GCCCTAATTTTACTACTCTAGTGGCCACTAAAACTTCAAAACCCTATAGTGGCCACTAAAAACTTTCGAAATAAAGCTGCTGAAAGGTGTAAAAAAGCGAAATTTCAAAATGTTTTCGAAAAGAAAAATGTCTCAATTATTTACAGTTTAAATAATGAAAATAATAAAGATTAAAAATTGAAAATTAATTTCGCAGATCATCATCTCTCTGACATATCTACGCTCCCTTCTCTCTAACCTTCATTGTGAGAGATGAAGAGGGCACAGACATATCAGAAAAGCTACGAGAAGCGACTGAAAAGTTCTGATCATGTCATAAAAATCTATAAAAGTTCTGAAAAGCGGAATGATATACTTGATCGAAATGATTTTTTTCCTTTCATATGAACCTTTTTCTTCAAAATACCCATACTTTTCAAGGAAAAAGACAATTACTGACCTACGTCAAATACCTCTGAATTACTACATGCTACCCTGAAATTTGGCAGAATTTTTCTTTTGTTGAAAAAGTACTAAATTAATAGTTTGGGCTGTAATTTGAAACTGGGTACAGTAGGATTAAATTTGAACATTATAATGGGTGTTTTTTTTTCTGAGTCGAGGAGTACTGGGAATAAGTGATAAAAGCCAATTTTATCGTTGAAAAAGGTTCCTTGACCTTTCTCAATCCGCAAAATCCTAGATAATCCACAGGATTGTTATAAATATGCCAAGCTTTTCCTCCTAATCCCTCAAGTTCCCACGTTCTTTCTGTCAAGCAAGCATTCTTTGGTCGTTTTTGCAGCTAATTCAGGTTTTGGTGAGAAAAAGGTGATTTTGTAGCTTGGATTTGTACTAAACCAGTAAACTATTCCAATTCTTCCCTCGGTTTCGAATCTGTCCTTCATTTTTGCTTTTATCATCCAAAAAATGTTCGATTCAACTTAAAATATCGCTGCTCATTAGCCTCATAACGGCTCGAAATGTCAAGGAAATGTGAAACTTTCACAAAAAAAACCTCAATTTTTCCCTGATTCATCCTTCAGTGTAATTGTTCTAATTGATTAACAAAATAAAAACAAGTGTGACGTCACTTTTCCGTTCAAAAAATCGCTCTTATCTGAGCCTCGCCTCCTTCCCACGCGGCGCTGAAAAAATGGGCGGAGTCGAAATTCCGAACGCTCCGCCCCTTTCCTTTTTCCCCGTGGCGCCAAAGGTTCTGCTCTTTTTCCCGCACTTGGAAGCTGTTATAGTCAATGTTTCCCGACTTGAAAGGCGTGGGAGGCGTGGCAAGGGGCGGGACGCGTAGCGTGTGCGTACGCGTTTCTTGGCACGTGTTCAATTCAACCGCTAGCGAGCATTCAGAGAGCTTATTTATTGTTCTTTTTCACTTGTTTTTTTATTATTTATTGATTATGTTCATGTGTGCATCAAAAAATAGAAGAAAATACAGAAAAAGAGCGGTGGCCGAGCTTTTTAAATAGTCGGCGGCGATTGAATTGAACTGGCGCCAAGAACCGCGTACGCACACGCTACGCGCCCCGCCCCTGCCCCGCCTCCCTCGCCTTTCAAGTCGGGAAACATTGACTATAAATTAAATTATTATTTTTTTTGTTAAAAAGGCTTGGAAGATGGTTTTTTTTAAATTTGTTGAATAAAAAAAGTTGTGAATTAAATAAAATGCTTTCTTTGACTGGAAAATGCTGACAACCAGATTTTCTATTTGAGTTTGAGTTACTGTAGGAAATTTGATAACCCTTGAAGGGTGATCGGATTACCTGAAAACAATTCATTCAAGTTTTTGTTTTCGCTCCCTTTTTTGACTGAAAAAAATTGTGTTCTAGATTGTTCGGTTATTTTTCAAAGAAAAGACCGAAAATTGTAGCTTTCTTTGGCTCTTTTTTTGAAGAAAAAAATATTTATTTCAAGATAGAAGCCTTATTTTTTACCTTTACCAACTTTTTCTAGAAGTTTTTATGCGATTTTCAAACTTCCATTTCCTGAAAAAACACTTTTTTCCCGTGATTTTTTGATCCCTGAATTTTTTCCTATCAAATTACTATCGCTTTTTTGTTTTCTCCGACGCCTTTTCGGTTTGTTTTGCAGAGATAATTGTCTTTTGAGATTGGAGATTTTGTGATTTGCTTCCGGGATTCGGCCGGCCAATTATTAGTGAAAGCTCAGATTCGATTGGTTTTCAGTAAAATTGAAAAAAAGGCATTAAAAAAAGGGGTTTATTACTATTTTCGAAACAAAAAGATGAATTTCAATTTTTCTATCATGAAAAAGCCTTTCTTAGATTAGTTAGCTCATTTTTAAATGAATAAAAAAATTGTCATAAAAAGCCCTTTTTCTAAGTGAACAAACAATTGAAAAAAATCATTGAAGTCCAGTCGGACACATTTACTTGCTTTTTTGTTCGAGTTTGGGACTCAAGTTCCTTATGTCTAGAGAAAATCGCTTCCGGCAGACGAAGAAAGCAAAAATTCTCGAAATTGGAAGCAAATTTCTTTACTTTCGAACATTTTCAAAGCAAATTTTAAGTAGAACTTGTTTTTTTTTTCAAAAATTGCAGGTTTTTGAACGACGATTCTGAGAACTGCTCTAGATGATTTCGATTTTTAAGGGAAAAAGCCTCAAAGAATAGCATGCAAGTGCTAATTTGAAACTTTTCTCGAAATTTCTCCTTGATAGGGCTTCAAAGACCTCTGAGAAGCCTATTATAGGTCTCTGGACGTTAACTTTTTTTTTCTGAAGGCAAAATTCTTGGAAACGTGTAATTTTTCTTTAAAAAAGATGAATTGAAAAAATCAGCTGTAAAGAAAGGTTTTTTTGTTTTTTACAAGTCTCTGGGATTTTGAAAAAACTTCAGAAAAAGGAAGTCAAAAAAAAACGTAGAATATTTCTTTTTTTCTTTCTTCCGATCAAGGATTCCGGAATTTTCCTTTTTTGCATATTGTCCGCACTTTCCTCAAATTGAATTTCCCGGTGAATCGAATTAGGCAACAAAAAAAGAGGAACCACATTCAGGAATGCTAATTTCGCCGTTCCATCTTTTTCTGTTGGTTTTTTGTCAAAGCCAATTTACGTAGAGGAAACCTACAAGTGCGAACGTCAAAAAGGACGAAAAAAAGGCATTTTTCATTTTAGATGAAACCTTGAAAGCCATGTGTCTTTTGAAGAGTTCTTTTTGGGTTTTTTGTCTTTTTTTTTTGATGGGCTCGACTTTCATATAATCGGAATGTCGGTAGATGAATTAAATTATCATAAAAGGTGTAATCAGATAATGAGAATGTCCTGAATGAATATTTTTTTCTTTGGATTAACGAAAACGTTTTATAAAATTGTAGTGTTAATTGCTGTTCTTTGTAGCCTGAAGCTTGTAATTGAGGGTTTAAAGGTTTTTTGTAGTGCCGTTTTTAAGAGAAAAAGCCACAATAGTATATCTGATTGTCTAAGATTTTAAATTCATTTTTTTTAAAGCTGAAATTGGCTTTTTTTCAACTCGAAAAGAGTAGTTCGGAAGTTGAGTACAGCTCCGAACGAATTGCAAAAAGAACTTAAAAAGGTCATTAGCCTCTTGAATTGGGTACTTTACTTGCAAGAGAGCTAGGTGGTTTTTTTGGACAATGACCAAGTCAAGCTTGATTTTTTTGGACTTCAAAGCGGCTTTCAATGATGAAGACATCATAAAAAAAGATTTTTTTTAATGTTTTTTTGATTCATCAAGATGTGTTAATTTTCAACCTATCACTGAATTTTTAATAAAAAAATAGGAAAAAATTAAAAAGTAAAATGGAATCAGGTCGTTTTTTTGTGTTCTGGGCGGGTTTTTCCGTTCCATTTTTTTAAGCAATTAAAGCGGTTTTTTTCCCTAGAAATGTGCCGTTTTGTCGTGTGCTCGAACTGCTAATACAATTATCCCGTGGCTCGACGAAAAGAGATCTCTTCCTTTTCTCTCCGATGTAGACTACTAGTCTCCGATGTCATTTAGTCGCGAATAATCCGAAAATTTACCCTAAGATTTGTCATATTTCAGTTTTTCTCCCTACGAAATTCCCCTCAACGTTGAAAGATCAAGAAGAGAATCTGAATTTTAAAACGCCCCGCGGAATTTTAATGAAACAACTATAATTTAGTTTTGTTGAGCCTCCTGCTTTTAAAGTTTCATAATTGGACGTTCTTGATTTTTAAAATTAATTTTAATTGGTCCTGAAACACTTGTGAAGTTCAAAAGCTCAGAATTTCGAAATTTTGAAGAGTTTTGAAAGAATTTGACCATATTATTATTCGAGTTTCTTTCTATAGTTGGAAAGTTTCCATTTCTTCACACTTTGATAAATTTTTTTCTTATATTTTTTTTTTCTCTCCTGGTTCACTTCTTAGGAGAAGAGTGGTCACTACAGAAGCAACCTTGGAGGCCCTCTAGGGACCACTTCCCCAACCCCTATAGGGGTCAGTAAAGCTTGCAAAAGTGGTCCCTACAAGGGACCAGTCGACCGATTTTATGAACTTAATGCGAAGAAACATTTCCATGCGAAAAAATTGAAAAGCGTTTTTTGAATTGAGTTGGAAGACCCCTATAGGGACCGCTTAAGCTTTAGGGGTAAGGAGTCCAAACCTAAACCCCTAAGGGACCGCTTTTTCGGCCACTATATGGACCACTCTGCACTCCCTAAAAACAGACCCCTTAAGCGATCCCTTGACCATCCTTTCCGCCTCAAAACTGCTCAGTTTTTTTTTTCATAAAACTGAAGTCTCTCATTGTTTATTCTGAGGAACGCACATTTGCCGACCACTCCAAAAAACCAAAAAAAAAAAATTTGACTCTCGAAATAAACAAGATTTTTGCAAAATGAGACGCAAAAACTTTTTGGTTTTGACGTGTTTTTGGAGAAAAGGTAAATATGTTCATCTATTTTTTCGACCAAACATGTCTTGTCTGTTCGTTTCTTGCATGCGTCATTCGTAGTGGATTCATTAAGGGGTTTAACTAAGGGATCATTTAAGGGGAGTGGCGGATGAACTGCTCAAATGCGAGCGAAATCGATTGCATCGCCGTCGAAGACGTCTCCTACAATGTCGATTACATGGAAAAGGTTCAGAAATTCTTTAAAAATAGGTTTGAAATCAAGATTTTTCAGCTAGAAATCGGGATTTATATATTATGTTTCGTCGTCGGCGGCCCTCTCAACGTCTTGTCTCTTCATCGATCTCTAAGGGCTTTCAGGTTAATATTTCTTGTCTTTTTTAAATAAGAACAAACTTTGAAGAAAATCTAGGAAGTACAGTAAATCTAAAGGATACGAGAAAAATCATTTATTAGCGTTTTTATAAGTCTAAACATTTTTAGCGGTTTTGGGTGATATTTTTTAGTTTTTCCGAATTTTTCTTATTATTTTTCACGCACAGAAAGACACTGAATCATTAGAAAATCGTATTATCTTGGTTTTTTTTTCTCATTTACTTGAATATTTGTTTCTAGTCCATTCATATCCACTGCTCCAAAATTTTGAATTTTCAAGATTCTTCTTTTTTTCGAAAGTTAGAATCTTTTTTTCTCCTTTGAATTTCCATTTTGAACCAACTAGACCTGAATAAAATAAAAAGAGGCTCGAATTTTTGCAATTTAAAAAAAAAATGAACTTTTCCTAGCTGCTCCATGAGAAATAGATCGTATGATAAAACAATTTTCTCGTTTTTTTTCCCACATTTCATTTATTTTCTAAGATTGAGCAGCTGAACTTCAGCTCTTCAAATTGCAGGGTACATGGAAATGTGAAAAAAAGCATTCTTTTAAACTAATGATCAGTTGAACTTCTGAATAGCTTTTCGGATTTTTCATACGGTTTGTAAAATTTAAAAAAAAGAGATATTTCCTTCATTCATCTCCCACTTTCATTGTAGATCTTTGGAAATTTTTAATTTCGTTTTTATTTTTATTTTTATTCTTCAAAGATCTTTATTATTTTTTTTTTCCAAGCTAATAATATCAGACATAAGAATCAAGTTTCGCCTTTCCAAGCTAATTCTAGCCGCTTTTGAACTTTTCTTGATGATTAACACGGTTATTAAACCATTCTGCGAAGGTTCAAGCTTCTGGTGAAAAAATAGACTTTCAGACAGACTGGTGAGCCATTTTTTAATTAGATTCTCCAGACTTGTATGGGGCTCTCATAATGAAAAAATGCGCGACCAGAAGTAATCAAATTATAAGAGAGAATATGAAGAAAACCGTCGCTTTATTGGTTGGCAAATTGTTCATTTATCTTTCAGACTGGTTAATTGGCTGAGAAAGGGTTCTGTGAACTGATAAAGAGTGAAATTTGCTGTTTTGAACCATAAAATCAAGTGGAAGCTTTGAATATTGAATTTGAACCACTGCTATACATTATTAATTCGTATAAAAATAAGTATACCTTTCTTAAACATTTTTTTAAAAGAGATTCCTACGAAACTGTAATAGGGCCCCTTTTAGGAACAACCCTCACACCCCCAACCCCTAAAGGGCCTTAAGTTAACTTTCCCCTTTAGGGGCTCTAAGAAACCCCCCTTATAGGACCCTTAAGAAACTTCCCCCTATAGGGGCCCTAAGACACTCCCCTCACCTCTCTATAGGGATCCTAAGAACCCCCCTATAGGGGCTCCTACGAAACTCCCCTCTATAGGGGCTCCTACGAAACTCCCCCTTATAGGGCCCTTAGAAACTTCCTTCCCCCTTTAGCGCTCTAAGAAACTCCCCTCCGTAGAACCCTTAGAAATCTTATCCCCTCCTATAGGGTACTAAGAAACCTCCCCCCTTGAGGGACCCCTCCAAAGCTTCCCAGAAAATTGTGATTTGAGGCATTTTGTTTCTCCTAAAACACTTCCTGTTTCAACTTTTAACTTTTTTCTCTCTTCAAAAAAAAGCCAAGAGCATTCCGAGTGTATTTTATTTATGCGTAGTTGTCAGTCGAATGGATAAGTGGTATTCATTCGGCCCGACGAAAAAAAAGTGGAGGAACATTTTTTTTCCCAATTTCTCAAAGATCGAAAGCAGTCTAGCGATTATTTATGCAAAGTTATTGAGAACGGAGAAAGAATATTCATTCTGCGATGACAACTATCTGGTGAGAAGGAAGGAGTTGCAGAATTCGGGGGATTGAGAAAGACCTTTTTTTGTGAAAAAAATAAGCGATAGATTCACGGTACTCTTAAAAAAACAAGAAAAAAAGTATCTAAAAAAACGTAAATTTAGTAATTTTTTTCTAATATCTACAAGCGGCTTTAAAAAGGGTCTTCCTTGGAAATTTAAAAAAAAAGGTATATTTTGTATCATTTAAAAATAAAATGAAGGCAAAAAAGTTTTTCAGCCCTTCCTGGCCCAATTTCGACTCATTTCAAAACCTCTGAGCATCGAGATTTTTTGACCTTTACCCATTTTTATTGAAACGTTTTCTGAATGTCTTATAGGCAAGACCACTTCTTTAGGTCAATTTTTCGCCGAATAAAAAGAGGAAGCATAATGAGTTGTCTTCCTCGAAAGTCTACCTACTTATGCGTCGTCATTGAGAAACATCCAGGAAATATTCATTTAGCACAAAAAAGTTGATGATGTCAACTGCTAGATTATTCATTCCAAACCTTTCATAAAAAAAAGGAAAAAAAAGCGGTTGGACACCTCCGGTTGTAATGCATAAATCACGCCGGAAACACTCTCTTTCGGCCTCCTTTTTTCTGGAACAAAGCCAGCGAATCATTCGGGGTACAAGATGAATGGCAACGTTTGTTTTCCCGGTTTTTTCGAGCCGAACATGTTCTCTGAAATGACACAACAATAGGTTTCACTCGGGGGTATTCAGAATTTGTACTCTTTCAGTTTGATGGAAATTTTCGGTTCAGAAATATGTTTGATACTTCTTTTTACAATTTTAAAAATGAGAATACACTTTAAATAGTATACTTTCATTTATACGACCTGAAACCATTTGAACTGCTCAAAACTTCGATAATAATCCAAGTGATGACAAGAATTTGAGCAATTTTCCTCTTGTTCTATAGGACAACACCGAGCGCAAGTAGTTTTGAGTCGGACGCATCGAACAGATCAAACAGAAGCTCATTTTTCAAAGTAGACGTCGAATGCAAAAATTGGGACTAAAAAATTTCAAAATTGTTTTTCGCTTTTCAAAACCCAAAAAAAGGTACGAATCAAGAAAAATCTGTATTTTCCAGACAACACAAGGCGAAGAGCCAAATAATGTTGCTGAGGATATCGCTGAACGTGGCCGACCTCATCACCTTGTTCGTTTTCGTCCCTCGCCAGATTGTTTGGCTCAGCGTTTATGAGGTATTTTTTGATTATTATTCAAGCAATTTATGGTTTTTCAGTGGTACGGTGGCGAGTTCCTGTGCAGAGTCTGCGCATTTTTCTCCACCTTTTCCTTCTATTCCAATTCATTCGTCATCGCCTGCATCGCCATCGACAGGGTCTATGGGGCTTATAATATAAGGTGAGGAGAAAATGAGCTTTTCCATTTATTTGTGAAGAAAATTAACAAAAAGACAAGAAGAAAATTTAGAGAATATGGGTTAATTTGATCATTTTTCAGTTATTTTCAGACAGATACATAAATTTTTGGTCATTTATTGACAAAAATGAGGTTTTTATAAGTTTGTAAAATGTGTCTTCTCAATCTTTAGAACCAAGTGAACTCGTTAGAGTTCAACCCCACCTGTCAATTTATTATTATCATTTATTAATTCTCAGTTCTCTGAACGCTCATCGGAAGGCCTACATCCGGTGTCGAACGCTTCTCGCCGTCGGCTGGATGGCCGCTTTCGCCCTGTCTCTTCCGCAAACCGTCATTTTCACCGTCGCCAGGCCTTCTGGCATGGGCGAGTTCATGTAAGCTTTCTGAAAAAAAAAAGATTTTTTCAAAATCTTAGTTTCTGGAATTTTAAACAAAAATAGTATGGTTTTCCAGGCAATGCTCCCCGATTTGGACCATCGTCTACCATGAGAAACGATACGCCAAAGGTCCTGATTTTCATGTGAGTTTTCATTCTTTTTTTTTTAAATTTGCGTTTTCTGCATAGGAACCGATCCCTTGACCTATAGATCAATAGCTTAACTGATAATCAACTGAGCTATCATCATCTAATAATTTCCAGCCGAGTGACGTTGCCGGGTGGAAGCAACTCGAAATGACATACAATATCGTCCATCTACTCTTCATTTTCTGGATCCCTTGTATAATTATTATCTGCAGTTATCTCACCGTATTGCTCATCTTACAGGGGCACTTGAGTCAAGGTTCGTTTGAAAAAGTTTTTTGAAAAGACTTGCCAAAATGACTCGTAGGATAGAACCTAGGGCTTTAGTGATTGTACTTTGACCTCTAAGCAGACTAAAAATAAAATAAATACCTAAGAAAAATGTTTAAACGTAAAAATTTCTCTAACCAAAGATGGCAAAAACCCGCGGAGGGATCGAACTTTAGACCCTACGGACTATAGCTCGAGCTCTTAGCCAGTTCACCACGAGTAGGACAGTTACGCATGTTTATTAGGAGCACGGAAAACATAGCAATAGATTCCAATGAAAAATAGTCAAACCTGGAAATGACAAAAACCCGCGGAGGGAATGAACTTTTGACCCTGCGGGCTATAGCTTGATCTCTTAGCCACCTTACCATGTTTCATTCATCTGTTACCTCATTTTGGCCAGTCTATATCTCCTGAAAGCCCTCAGTCTAATATCAGAGAAAAAACTTCATTTAACAAAGATCAATTATTGAGGATTTCATGCCCTTGATGAAATCTTGAGTTCCAATTTTTCAGCTCCCTCAAAATCGTCGTGCTTCCATCGTCGGATCGGCCTCACCTCTTCCGATGGTTCGTGTTCAGTTTAAACATTCTTTGAGTTTCACCGCATTGCGTGAGGCTTGAATTAGAGAATCTTCCTTGTTTCCGCATGTACATTTGTGATGTGATGAAGAACAGGAAAGAAGGTTTCTATTTTTAGAATCCCGGACGCCTACACCTTCGAGATCATCCCTGCTGCTCCATGCAGACGATTCCTACGTCCAGAAGGTCCTTCCCAAGGAGTCAGTTCTTTTTTGTTCAGGGAAAATGGAATTACAAGCAGAAAACATTCGATAGGCAAGTAGAGAACTCAATTTGTCCAGGAGCTGGGGTTGACTTGCTAATAATTTTTAAAATGAGCACCAGAAATGATTTTCGATCTCGTGGTTTCGACAAAAATAATAGGGATTCTTAACCTCACAAGGTAGTTTCACTTCAATCTAAGAATCAGGGGGGGGGGGTGACCTGCGGCCTCCAGAAACTTTCAATCCTGAATGAAAACACATGCACTAAAGATAACTGCCGAGACTGGCGCGAGAGAAATGCGAGGTCGGTGGCGGTACATTGACGAGCTCGCAAACATCTCGCTCTGTCCTCGCGCATGTCTCGCATTTCTCTTGGCGCGACCTCGCATTTGAACGATTTTCCAGGATAGCTCTAGCCCCCATTTATATATATATATATATCCTTGCTTGTTCAATATATTTTTCACTTATGAGCTTACAAGTCTGGAGATATTTGTTTATTTATAAAAATAACAACAAATAATACAGAAACAACGAAATAACAATGAATACCGAAAAAACATGCAATTACATAAACCTTTGAGGATGAAAAACTGCGAAAAGAAGTAATAATAATAAGTTTTTTTCGGTAGTTTTTTTCTTACACGGCAAAGTTCAAACGGCCTCAAACAAGCCTTAATCCTAAAAAAAGCTATCAAAAGTGTCTCGGAATCTCCTTTTTTTGCGCCTCTAACTTAGTTTTCTTTCTTAAAAGGTCCTTTTTCAAAAAGTCAAGAGAAAAAGAAAGCATTTGAGGCCTTTTTCCAAAAAGTTATTTTTTTGAGACTTTTTCAGACTTTGCCCGTGTTGCTTTTAAAAACTTGGATATGTACATACAGAAGTGAAATCAAAAAAAAAATCGAAAAAAAGGAAATCAGGAGATATCAAAAATATAAGTTCTGACGGGAACAATAAAAAAAGCTGGGTAGTAATATACTAGTAGTTGACAGATAAGAAATTTTACTGGTGAACAAAAAGAAAAATAGAATCAAATTTTTGGTCTTGAGAGAGAAAGAAAACGACAAAGAAAGTGGAGTGAGAGAGCCTTTTTGGAATACGAACGTTTTTTAAAAACCTTCGAACGATGGATGAAAAACAGTGAACTTTGGCAGATGACATTGATTTTGATAAAAATGACCTAGTAATTAGATAGCTCATCGATTTGTGAATTTTCGGACCCAACAAAGATTGCTTTTTTTAGACATCATAAAAACTTCTACTATCCGAAATTTTTTTATTCATTGTTTTATATTATGAAAAACTCCTATTTTTCTATATCCAATTTTTTTATAACTTCGTTCGAAAATTTTTATATAAACTTTCACCAGAAAGAATAAAAAGAAGATATCAAAAAAAAAAAACAAGTAAAAACCGTTAATGCCCCTCTATTGGCGCCAGAAGTTCTTCTTCAACAGTTGTCACGAGATTCGCTATTCTGCCGCGTCGAAAGTTTGCCCTTCAAAAAAAAAAAATTAAAGAATGAGAGATACATATAAGAAAAAAACTTACAGGACTTCTTTCATGCACTCATATAAGTTCTTGCAAAAATAGCTTCGTTGATCTTCAGTTTTTTTTGATACGTCAGAAGTGATCAACAGCATCTCTATAAAGCTTTAAAGAATTTTTCAAAAACTACTAACCAATTATCGTGTCTATAGTTTTTTTAGGAATGACGATGGCACCTCCGCTCTTTTGAGCCAGTTTGAAAGCACTCGAGGAACTGCTCACAAAAGCAATTTTCCAATTATCCTGAGTAATTACCTAAACATGATTATGAAAATTTTTTAGCATGAAAGTGTTACTACCGCTGAAAGAATAATTTTCATGGCATGATAATACCATCTCGCCTGGCCGATACCGGTGCCCGTACGCGAGCGGTGAATAAGATACTCAGCTAGAGACACTTTCCTTGATGAACCTACGACTTCCACTTCAAATGTTTTTGTAACCGTTTTGACGGCAATATTCTTCAAAAAAACTTGAGATCATGCTTCGTTTTGTAGAAATTTCTCTGGAAAAATGTTTCGATGTACAAAAAAATAATTCCGATCGATTACCTTATTCATTTTCTTTGAATTGTTTGCCTCCACAATTTCGGTAAGAGTGCTGATACGCTGAAACGAATTATTTTTTTTCGCGAACAGCTGAGTCGAAAAATTCAAAAAAACTATACGATGCCGTATAGACGACGTGACGCACCTAATCAGTTGAACGAAATGCGAATATCTCAAGACTAAAAAGCGGCTGAATATTCAAGTCAAAGAATTTTCAAATTAAAAAAATAAATAAATTTTGGCGCTCAGAATTTTATGAAAAAAACCATTTTTCGGTGGCATGGAAAAAAAGACCAGCGAAAAATTTGAACGGCGACTTTTCCAATTTTTTTCGTATCGCTAGGAAACTTTCCGACAGCCACCTTTACGCCAAATCTTTTTTTCAGACCTTTTTCGCTTATATTTTTTTAGTTTATAAAAGATCTATCAACATTTTTTTCATATTTCTTTTGTATTTTATTCATGATTAACTTGCCTACTTTACATGGTAAGATTCAGAACAAAAAATTCATCGAGAAAAAAAGTCGGAAAAAGATTCGGCGGAAAAAAAACCGTCGGAAAGTTCCCTAGCGATATCGAAAAAGTCGCCGTATGAATTTTCGCTGGTCTTTTTTCATACCACATTTTTTTTCTTGAAAAAAATAAGAAAAAAAAGTTTTTTTTTAATTAGCTATTTTTAAAATAACTTACTTCGTGTAAATAGTCAAGCTCATTGACTATTTGGCCAAGATTAGGAGCATTGGGCTGGTTTTCGTCGTTTTCGAAATATTGCGCTTCAGGTCCAAACTCTTCTTGTTCAAGACTTTCACTATGTCTGCTCATGCTCGTACCAAATTCGCTACCCTCACTGAACGTATCCACCTCTCGGACGTCAATAAGACTCTGAAGACAATATTCTATCCTTTTTCGAAATTTAGTATAGAAAAGCTATTAAAGTTGTCAAAAACGGATTTCAACTTCAGCACTTTTTTTTTAAATTAATACTCTTTCTTACAAAAAAATCATTCGAAAACCTCATCCTCATTCATTTCATCGCTTTCCACATTTTTATTGCTCCCGTCAGGTGATGCTCGAATTGACAACGTTTGCCTCCTTTTTTTCGTCATGTCAACTGAAAATTGTGGTATTTATATTAAATAACAGCTATAACTTCCCTCAATGATGATTTCTCTTTTTCCCTCTGACAAAGCACAACGGACAAGGCTGCCCGCAGGAACTCCATGAATCGACATTGAAACAATATTTTGTCGCCTTGAGATTATGTAAAATATAAAAAAATAAATATACTGCCAAATCTGCGCAATATTTGTATAGTTTTGGCTTCACGAGATACTTTTTGCCTTTGTAAAAAACGACGACACCTTCTGAATTCAGAAATTTTTTTTTCGAAAAAAAGTTAGCCACCTTCTTCAACTTTTCTGAGTTCTTCATGTAGATCCTTCACTAATGCGTTCATACATTTGCTATCAGGTGTGCCTCGTACATTAGCTATTCTAAGAACGGCCAGATTAGCTAAGTGACCTCTTTCAGAGGCTGGCAAGTCAACAAACGAGAGCAAAAAAGGCCAAAACTGGCCGCTGAAAATCGAACTAATTTCACTTTTTCGAAAAAGTCCCACCTCGAACCAGGGCTTAGAAATCCATCAAATCCAGCCACTAACGGCGTTATAAGAACTCCGTTGTCGAAATCTTCCTTACTTTCGATAAAATGGGAATAAGCTTCAAAGTGAAGCGGTTCGAATTTTTCGTGACTGGAGAACTCGTAGTGGTGTTTTAAATGAACATAAACAATTTTCTGGCCAATACGATCGATGATTTCAGTGATTATCGGTAAAGGTTCTACTTGAGTGATTGTGAAAGGTTTTGACAGCCTGAAACTATTTGACTAAACTAGTTTTTCTTTGCCATTAAATTACGGGTTGTTGAGACATGAAGAAGTTAGACACGAAAGGCCGACAGTAATCACACTATCGCAAACATTACAAATCGTCTCTTTTTTGAAAATGTCCGAAATCAGCTGATTGTTCATGTCCATGATGTCCTTATAAGTAATATCACAGGGACTGCTATCCTTGATAGCCTGCCATTCTGCCTCTGACCAATTGTAAAAGTTTCTATTTGCGCTGGCAATACAAATTTCAGGATCAGGAAGATCTTGAACTGGTTCATCCAAAACTGTAAAAAACAAGTGAAAAAAATTACTTCTTAAATCTCACATTCATCTTCCCTAGCATCATATTGAATCTCTTCGTAGTCTTCAACAAAAGAAACGTTCACAAGATCCTCATTTCTTTCTGTTTGTCTTTTAGAATTTGGAAATTCCGCTGTAAAAATCAAATGAAAACTACGTTCATTATTGTCGCAAATTCACGGCAACTCTGGCAGGCCGGGTTGCAAGTGCAAACTATGTGGCATTCACAGTCCGGACAGTAATACGGTCTACGTCTTTTGCCTCTTTGTGTCCGCCTTTCCATTGCTACAGCGCGCTGGATACACTAATTTATGTTTTCTTCATGCAGAGAAAATTTTAATAAAAAGAATAAAAACTCACCCAAACAGCCTACTGAAGGTCGCCCTCGAAGTATTTATGTTGCTTTTTGACACCAAACTGAAAAAAAGTCAATTTAATAAAAAAATTTTTTTCCATTTTATCAAAAAAATCATCGGAAAGAATAGATCACAGGAAGCAGTTAAAATGCATCAACGACTCATTCTTATAAGATTAGTATACTAATCGAAAAGCTCAACAAAAAAAAAATGAGGCTATTTGAAAAAAACGCGCTCGTCGTAGCCTCAAATTTCGAAAACACGGAGATTTTTCATTTCGCCGAAACTACATTGAGCGCGGCACTGTCTATGCAACAAAATTTTAAAATACGGTAACAAAAGAAACGCATAATAATTTGAAAAAAAATGCACAGAAACAGTATATTTTGAGATAAAGTAAAATAGTCCTGAATTGGTGTTCGAATGTGAGTAATAAACACTAATGCATAACCATCGAAATTCAATAAAAATAACTGCAAATAATGAAAATGGAATAAATAACATTTCAAATGTGACTAGAATTTAAAAAAATGTATAAAATTTAAAAAAATTGCAATTTAATTGAACACGATGGCGGACGATATATTGGCGAGACCGCAAACATCTCCCAAAAAAATCTCGCGCGAGACCTTGACGAGAAGTTTGCGAGATAGCGTCGAGCTGTCTTGTCGCGACCTCGCATTTCTCTCGCGCCAGTCTCGGCAGTTATCTTTAGTGTGTTTGAAGATATTCTGCTTGAGAACAAGTTGGAGCTTTTTTTAAAAAATTAAAAACTGTTTATTCCAATATTTTTTTGAAGAGTTTTTGACATTCCAGAGACACGGTCTCGGCTGCCGACTCCAGTTCGAACTTCCGGAAAGGCTCGACGCGGAGCAAAGTCGCAGGAACTTGTCAATATCGCATGGGCGCCGTTGCCGTATCCACCATCCACAAGGCCAAGCAGGTGTGATAATAAAGATAAGAGTGAAAATTAGTGATGAAAATTATTTGTAACTTTATTGAAATTCAAAATAAATTAAAACAGCTTTTTCTTGAGTTCAAAATTTGACGGATTTTTCTGACCAAACTCTCCCGTATTTTTAGTCTGAAACTTCATGAATTTTGAAAAGAATCATGCTACCTTTTTTTTAAATGAACTTCAAGATGATTATTCTGAAATTGTCGGATAGGAAACATGTTAATATCCGGCGTTTCCAAAGCAGCCCGTCAGATATGATGTTTCTTGTGCATGCACCGCCACGCGCAATTTTGAATACTTTCGAAATTTTAAAAAAAGTTTTCATGACCGAAAAATAATGCCGTGTTCAAAGTGATTCCGCGAAATTCAAAATAGCTGTCAGAGAAAGAGAAAGATAACTAAATTTTGGAGGGTCAGAGACCATTTTGCATTTCGCGGAAATTACTTTGAACACGGCATAAGTTTTAGAAGCTGAAATGCAGCAAGCGCGCTCTAAACCTAGCTCCACTGCGTGGAAACGCCGTGATCTCAAGCTTCCATAAGGCTTATTGGTCGATTAAATAGCTGAAAAATGGTTTGGAAGATCCCTATAGTGACCACTTTGATCTCTCAGGCTTTTTTTCACAATTTCATGGTTCAACAGCTTAAGCTTTTTATCAAACTATAGGTTTATTGAGAAGCCTGTCGGAACCAAATCTGATTCCCTCTAGTGTCCACTAAGAATATCTCTCCATTTTCCCTCCAAATCGTTCCGATTCCTAGACGCTGTAAGTTAAAACGTCATCGACCTTCAAAATGTACATAAACTAGCGTCTGATTCGAATCAAATAACTGGTGTTTGAGGTGAAAAAGTTTTTCTTTTTGACGATGTCACGCAGAAAAATCATCTTACAATTTATTCTTGAAAGTAAATAGCATGATTTTCTTTTTACGCTGTAGACTATAATCTTGAAGAATTTTATTTTGATTGTCTGTCACGAACAGCCTGGTTGCATCTTTATTCAGGGTGGTGTTATGCCGATAAAACAATACAATATCGGTGCCGTTATATAGCGAAACAGTTACACGTGGCTTTCCCAGGCATTAAGTATTCAAATCGATTCATGGGAAAAACAGGGGCAGCCGGGGCAAATATTCATAAAGAATCTCGTGACGTTTCACGACACTCCCAGGAGAACGAGGTGGGAGATACTCAAACAACATACTCATTCAGAAACAATTATTGATGAAATTTTAAGGTTCTCAGCACGTACCCGGAGGCCAGTACTGTGCTCGAAAAAAAGAGAAAAATAGTAGGATAACAAGAAGCTAGGGATCCTTTGTGACCCTAACTCTGAATAAACGCGTCGTTTATTCACTGCTCGACGACCTGGTCAGACTGCTTGCTCCTGAACCCAACGATGCCTGAACCCAGATGTCAGCTGCACTCGTGGGCCCTCCCGCCAAAAAGAACAAACAAAAAATACATCACTGAATTGTGCTCGGGGATCGGATTTTCAAAAAAAATGAAGTTGGAGTAGTTGCGTTGTCGATCGATGACGTTTGCCCGCTTGACTGTATGACGCTCCTGACAGCTGGGTGCGGATGGGAATAGCACCAGATGCGAAATATAGGTAGTTCTGATGGCCTTCTGACGAGGAAAGGGATCGGCTCCTTTCCAAGATGCAGGGAGGCTGACGTGTGATGTTGAACGGACGGGTGGAAGGATGTCAGAGGCCATCAGCGAAGATTGCAGACTTCGCTCCAAGTGGTCGCCATGTCACGAACAGCCTGGTTGCATCTTTATTCAGGGTGGTGTTATGCCGATAAAACAATACAATATCGGTGCCGTTATATAGCGAAACAGTTACACGTGGCTTTCCCAGGCATTAAGTATTCAAATCGATTCATGGGAAAAACAGGGGCAGCCGGGGCAAATATTCATAAAGAATCTCGTGACGTTTCACGACACTCCCAGGAGAACGAGGTGGGAGATACTCAAACAACATACTCATTCAGAAACAATTATTGATGAAATTTTTAAGGTTCTCAGCACGTACCCGGAGGCCAGTACTGTGCTCGAAAAAAAGAGAAAAATAAAAAAGCGGTTTCTTTCTCTTTTCAGCCTCTATAAAATCTTGAATTTTTTTCCCCTGTGCAATAATTTAGATTAAAAGTTCAAAGATTTCTCTCACAATAACTTCTGTTTTGTTCATCTTTTCGCACGTAGTTCAACCAGAATCGTGATCAAAAACAAGTTTTTCAAGGCGTTCTTTGTGTGGGAATGATACTGGACCACGTTGCATTCTGCAGAAAAAAGTGGAGCATTTTCCGATTCTCATATGATTTCTCTGGTCTTTCCAAGGAACAAAAGTCAATTTTTGCGTTTAGGCGGAAGTTTTTTGAAGTTTTAGAAGCTCTAAGGAGGTTTGAAGCTTATAGAACTCTTTGTAAGAGTTTTTTAAGTTGTAAAATTGACTCTATTGCTTTTTATAGCAAGGAAAACGAGTAAAAGAATAAATTTTAAGTTTTTGACAACACAAAAAATTTCATTTGAATAGAAAAAGTCAGCTGATTGTGGTGGAAAAGCAGGGATTTCTATCACTATTCCGATTTTTCTTTCAAAATTAGACTTTTTCCTACGAATATATGGAAAGAAAGTCCAAAAATGGAGTTTTGAGCTTTTTATGTGACTTGAGAACCTTTCAACTTTTTTTTCCATGCATTTTTCCAAGCTTACAGCACGCAAAACGCCAAGCCGCCCTCATAATCATCGCCTATCTGGCCTTCTGGAGTCCGTACAACGTCCTGACCGTCGTCAACTTCCTGATGCCCTCCGAAGGAACCACGATCCCCGTCAAATTGAGCTTCCTCAACGCCGTCATTTGTGCCAATTCTATCATTAATCCGATCATTTACGGTGTCTTCCGAACCTATAGAAAATAATGCGTCCGGTTCGAGAAAATAGCCGCGAAAAATAGCCAAGAGATAAGTTGCTCCAATGAGTTTCGAACTTCTGAGTAGAGCAAAAGTGCTGAGAACGGCCTTATTAATCCCTGAAAGTCGGAATAATTGCAAAAGTGGCATATTAAATTTGAACTTTTCGAGTCCAAGAATATCCTTTGTAATATCGTGCTCCATTGATAATCGCAAAAATTATATGTCAAAGCAGGGAATTTTGTAATTTTCCTGGTAAATAATAGCCTCCTTGAGGAAAAAAATGATGGGAAATTGTGCTCCATGGATAATTTTTTGATTCGCGGCTATTTTTTCCCGGTCTTTTCTGCACAGCTTTATCATGTTGTAGCTTTAATTTATTCCCATTTCCATTGTTATGAGTAGGACCTTGATTCCATGAACGGGCTTTTCTCCATTGTACATTTTCATGTAACCTTCACCAATCTTAATAATTTCCCCAAAGGGTTGTACAATTTGCAATCTCACTCACTGGTTTCGCTTCGCTTTTTCACGGATTTTCGCGATGAAATAAAGAATTTCCTTCGTTTTGGATTTTTGTGGAGTCTCGGGGAAAATCTTTAGTGGCCACTAAAGTGGCTCGCCAAGGACTACTTGGAGTGGGCACTAAAGTGGCCACTAAACCCACCTCCATAGTGGCCCCTATTTTCCGTTTTAGTGGCCACTTCAGTAGTTTTTCATCCCATATTTCTTCCAGTTACTCCGATAATTTTAAAACAAACAGATTGGTCCAGTTATGTTGATCCATTGACCCCTAAAGTGGCCACTTGAATTTTTAGTGGTCTAGTAGTAGCACTTAGACCTCTATAGTGGCCACTAATTTTTATCCCTTAAGTGGCCTCTAATTCGACTACTATAGAGCCCACTAAAACCTCAAAACCCTATAGTCGCCACTAAAAATTTTTCAAGTCCTTAAAGTGAAGTATTTTTCTCGAATCCGGAAAGAAACTACAAAAAAACCATTTAATTGAGGACCAAATCAAACCAGTTCTTTACTCGTCATTTTGTATTTAACAAGTGCGAAACGCGGTGAATTAGATCGTCAGGTGATGTCTTCCCTGAAGGTTACAGAGAGCGATTAGAAGGAACTCAAAGTTTCCCTCAATTAGGACACGTTTGTTTAGAAGAAAAAAAAAGGGAAAAGCTTCTTTTTTTGGCTTCTTACCTTCTTCCTTCTTGACTTTGCAACATTCTGTTTGTGAGGGGAATTTTTTTAAACGAAAAAAAAAATAAAGGGAATGAATTTAAAATGGAAAACTTTTATTAAAATATCAAAGGGGGACAGTAAAAAAATAAGTTTTAAGAAATCCTACAAAGAAAATAAAGTTATTTACTTTTTTCAGTTCTAACGCTTCAAAAACGCCGAAAAACGGTGTTTTTTTTCATTTTTAGAAAATTCTAAAAATTGAAAAAAAGTTCAAATATATACTTTTGTATTGGAAACTGTTTTTTTATTTGAAGTTTTTTAAAGGATTTTTGCAAAAAAATTGAGGATCGAAAATTCAAGATTTTCCTAGTTTTTAGAGCTTTTTATAATATTTTAAGCATAAAAAAAGCATTTTTTTAAATACTTTCACAGTTGTTTTCAGCAAAACTGCTTTGTACGCATGATTTAGAACTTTCCATGACAAAAAAATATAATTTTTGGTGCAGAAAAAAATTTTTTTGAAAAAAACTAACTAATTATTGGTCAATATTCATTTTTTTGGTTTTCGGCGGATTTCCAGCGGGAAGTTGTAGGAAATGAGGTCGAAATTTTTTTGGTTTTTCGTGAGATGCTATTTTTTTACAATTTAAAAAAAGCGACTAGAAAAACTTTGTAGTTTTTTTAAAAAAGTAGAAAAAAAGGTTAGCTCAAAAATTATTAAATATTTGAAGAAGATGCAGTTTTTTTCTGAATTTCATCAAAATCTCCTATTTTCCAAACGTGAGACGTTAAAAAAATGGCATTTAAGAGAAAGTGTATTTTCGAATTTCAAGTTATCTTCCCAACTATTTTCTCGTTACTCTCTCTTTTTTTCGACGAACTCCCACCATCAAAATAAGGCTTTTTTCCCCAAATAAGGTACCACTTATTCGCCCAAAAATACTGTCGAACAAAGGGCATTATGTTTGCCTAAAACGGCCGTTTATTTTTTTGATTCCCCCATATTTTTCAACAAAAATGACCAGGACAAAAACCAAGTAGAAAAACCACTTTGGACGGTGCACGAAGAGTCGAGTGGCCGATCGTTGGGCTCGAAAATAAACAAGAACCGAAGAAGAAAAAAAGAAGAATGAAACCGTGCGATTCACTTTTTTCTGTTTGAACAAACTGATAAGCCGGAGGTGTGAAAAGTGGGCGGGGCCAAGGGAATTACGTGATTTTAAAGAAAAATGTGACATTTCGAGATGGAAATTGAACGAGAGTTTCAAAAAAAAAGCTAATGTGGTCAAAAATTTTCAAGATGGGATTTCGAAAAAATAAATTTTACCTTTTTTTCTCCTGAAAGATAAATTTTTTTGAAGATTGGTTTTTCAACATTTTTTTGGATGATTCCCTTTAATTTCTTACTTCAAAACGCCGAAAAAAATTACTGCGGGAAGATTGACAGCACAGAAAAATCAAAAAAACCAAAAAAAGAAATCAAGAAAAATAACTGAAAAAAACGTGGAAAATTGTATTCCGTTCATTCTTAATTCCTATAAATTTTGATTTTCATGTTTCAACCAAAAATACATATTTATGAAAGCCGAAAAAGTTCTTGTTCATCGCCATCTTGATAGTTTCTGCGAACATGAGCTGAAAAAAATATAAACTTTACTTTTATTTTTTTGATTTTTTTATTGTAAAAAAAACCAAAAAAAATGGATATTTTAAGTCACCCATTTTTTTATGTTCATTTTTTTCCAAAGCATTTTTCATAATTTTTCAAAAATCCTTTTTTTCTCTTTTTTTAGTTTGACCTATTCATCATGAGAAAGGAAAAGTCAGACGAAAACATAAGTGCAAATAAAAAGAGGCCCAGTTTATGATAGGAACTTTCTACCGATTTTTTTCATTTCCAGACATTTTGGTTTTCGACCGTTCTGTTAAGTGCAAGGGGGGAGCGATTAGAAAATTACAAAGAACGGAGAGTTGGTTGGAAATTTTTTGAAAAACTTTCGTTTTCGAAAGTTCAGAGATTTTCTTTCTCTCTCGGAATAGGAATCGTTCAACTCAAAGGGCTGAATTTCATTAAAATATGATCCAATTCGAAAAAAGGTCCACCGAAATTAGGGATTTCGGAAAATTGAGGAGTAAATCAAATATGCATTTTGAAATTGTGATCACAGAAAAAAATATTTGAAGATGGGATAATTTGAAAAAAATGTTTTTTTTCTTGTGTGAGATCAGTTAAAGCACTGTTTCATGATATGGTGATAAAGTTTTGAAGCGATGAAACCTAGTGATTGTTTAAAACTATGAAGGTGGATTTGGAACCAAGAAATTGATGTTGAATATTTTTTTAAATAATTGTGTATGCGGAAGATGGCTGCTAAACTATCTGAATGGTGACCATTTCTTCAATGAGCCTGAGAAAAACTTTAGTGGCCACTTAAGAGGTTCCTCATGGACTTCTTGGAGAAAACTCTAAAGTGGTCCCTTAAACCATCCGTAGGGAAGACACTATTTTGTATCTGTGGCTCCTATAGTAGTTTTTAGAACTCTAACAGTACCACTTAGACTTCTAAACAGATCTTTAGCCACTCAAGTGGTCACTAATCCGACTACTATAGTGGCCACTGATACGGTTCCTCAGAACCCTTAAGTGATCACTTAAAGTTACCCTGTTTCACCAGTCAAGATTTAAAATGAAACATTCTAATTTCAACGCGCGAAAGTCGTTTCGTGGTCTGACGCACTTTAAAGACCGCTTCGCAACCGTTACACGTTGAGCCATTCTCAATGCGACCCTTTTCTGAAAAATTTCCTTTTTTTTCTCTGAGGAGCTCTGAAAGCTGTTCCGAACTTGACTGGACTTTCAATTCTACTAGCTGAAGCGTAAATAAGTATTTTTTACTTTTTGAAAAGGGAAAAATTATCCGAAACCAAGAAAAAGCTCATCGAAGAAGGGATTTTTCGTACCATCCCACCTCAGGACCATCATCTCGCCTTTCATTTCCGCTTTTGGTGCTAAACAGTCGTCAGAGGGAACATTGAATTGGAAAGAGACGGCGAAAGAAAGGAGTAGGTAAATACGGACGATTGGGGGGCGGAGCCGAAGACCATCAATGGAGGTCGAAACAGGTATTTAGGGGCGACGGTTCGCGACTTCAGTCAGGTCTACCCCAAAAGAAGATGCTCCTGATTCTGGCCACGTGTTTTGGAATGGCTCTGGCCGCGCCGCAGTTCCCTGGCATGCCGCCAAGGCCTCCAGGACCGCCTCAAGGGGTTCGTTTCAGTTCCATAGTTGAGATTTGCGGATCGCAAAAATCAAACTCTCTTTTTTTTAAAGCCCTTATTTATCCCATTCTGAGTAGATTTTATAAAGACCACTTGAAAATAGGTTGATGAAACAAAAACTCGATATTTTCAAAAAGACCATTATAGTCTGTTCAAATTATAAATGTCAAGTCCTCCCTTAGCTCCGCCCCCTGATGATAATCCAATCATAGAGCGAGCCATCCACAGAGCGTTTTTCGAATGACGTCATTCTACTTGACATTCAAACAAGACTATATTTTCAAAAAATTTAATTTTTTTCACCATCAGCTTGAGAGAAAACCTCTTATTTTTGCACACTATTTTTCTAATAATTCGAAATTTGAACTTAATATTGTCCTAAGCCAAAGGTCGATGAAATATAGATTTTTGCTTTTTCGAAATTTTTTTCGAAATCAAAGTTCCCTAAAAAAATGACAAATCCCATTCATTGTGTTGGTGGAACTCGAAAAAAATGTGAATTTTTAGTTTCTTCTTTTCTTTTCGTTTTTTTCGAAAGGTATCTCGGGGTTCAAGAATTTCGCGAAAGACATTTTTTTCAAATGTTTACTCTACAAAAATTTTTTTCGAAGATTTGAACTTATTCAACTTACAGAAAGCTCCGAAAAATACCTCCAAAAAAGTTACATATGGGTTTTTGATTAAAAAAACAAGAAAAATATGAAGAAAAGTCTCGTTTTCTACTTCTGACGAACTTCTTGTTGTCTTCAGCAAGTTTTTCCAAAAAAATTTCTTTAAAAACGATTTTAAAAAAAGTTTCAGAGGCAAATATGTAACCCTCTCTCTTGAAAAAAACTTTTTCTCCCACTAAAAATTTTTTTACAAAAAAAGAAATATATTGGTGATAGAGTTCAGGTTATATACCTCGATGCGTTAATATGATGAAAAAGTTCTTTTCAGGATCTGCCCCCAGGATTCGAAGCCGTCCTCCCGGCGGAGACTGTCGCTCAGCTCCGCGCCGTCCACAACGACAACTCCCTTTCCCAGATGGACAAGCAGATCAGAATCGACCGGATCATGGTGAACCTTCCGGCCGAGGTCCACGACCGGCTTCCCAAGCCTCCGGGCTTCTCCATGCTCCCGGCCGACGCCCAGGCCCGTCTCAACGCCCTTCACCGTGATGCGGTACGTGGAAGGATTATTGAGCTTTAGGAAGTAGCTTCCATTGTGAGTCACTTCTGATAGAATAAGCTCTCATCTCGAAAATATTTGAGCCTTATCGACAAATTTTTGCACGCAATGTACTTTCCCGGTCAAAAAATATTGAAAAAAAAAGAATAATTTTCCTCAAACTTAGGACTTAAAAAAATCAATATCATCTGATTGCAGAGCCTTGACTTCCACGCTCGCCAAAAGGCGATCCGCCAGGTCTTGGAATCGCTTCCGGCCGAATACCAACGTCTTCTGCCGCCGCCGCCACCCCCACCAGGCTTCCAGCACATGCCGGCTCCCGTCCAGCAGGCTCTGAAGAAAATCTACTTTGACACCAGCATCAGCCATCGTGAGCGCGCTAGCAAAGCTAGGGTTCGTTGAATTTTTTTGGACTTTTTGAAATTTTCTTTATTGAATTTTTCAACCTTTGTGCTTTTTATATCGGAATATTAACGTTTCGGCAAATTAATTAAGATTAGATTATAGCTCTGAAAAATTCATTCATACGCTATGAAAAAAAGCAAAAAAACAAAAAAATAGTTAATTTTTCCACTTTTGAAATACATGTGAAAAAAATTTTTTTATTCAGTAATCTTTGAAAAATTCGTGTTCAGGAACAGTTTTTTTAAATGGTTCCGTACCAATAAAAGGCTAATTTAGACTTAGAAAAAAGAAGTTAGAGAAATTAATTAGGCGGAAAAATTGTCATTTTTTTCCCGGAAAATTCCATTATTCAAAAAGAAAAAAAGCTTCAAGTAGGACTCTTTTCAACCTTTCGTCTTCAGGAACTCCTGAAAAACCTTCCCGACTACAGCAAAGACACCCAATAACTACTTCATCGTCTTCCCTGCAATATTTATTGTATATATTGTGTCATTCCAAATCGTTGAGAGCTTCTATTTTTTCTTTGATGTTGATAAAAATTTATCAAAACTTTTCTCATTTAAAAAAATTGTGCAAAGAAGTTTGTTGGATTTTACGATCCAAATACATCAAGTCATTGATCGAGGCGGTGTCGCCCACTTGGCGTCCGGTGTCCTTAGGGAGACCCCTCTTGATATTTGAAACTGACCTCGCGCCTTCAAAGGTCGGGTCGCGACGCATGCTATCGCTAAGGGTGACCTCAAAAGCTCCTAAGTGCTCTAAAGTGAAACCTCACAAAGGCCTTCCAAGTCATTACAAGCACGGCGCCAAAATAGGACCAGCCTATTTGAAATAAAGCGAAAGGCTGCTCCATGGCGACATCATAATGGCGCGGCAAAAGGGCGATTTCAAAATCTGGTCAGGTCTTCAAAGGTTATTCTGTTGTTTCTTCCATTATATGCTGTTCTTTTCGCTCCATATCGTTCAAAAATAGTTGATTGCTGCTTGTTAATTTCAGATTTTCATATTAGGTTCGATTGAAGTGTAAGTTAAAGCATATCCGGTTCATAAAATTGAAAGATTGGATATATTTTCTCTTCTAGTGAATTTCGCAGGGTTAAATTAACAGTTAGAGTTTGGAAACTATCAGCTGCTCATAGGGAACCTCATTTCATGGCTATCATGTCTATTTTGTTTATTTTTCTTATCAGTTCCACCGTCTGTTCATCATTGCCGTGAGGATCGGAGACCAGAATTTTGATTCGTACCTTGAATTTTCCGCTGAATTCCCTCGAATTAAAGTGTTCCGAATTAATGGCGGAAGAACTTGAGTCATTGTGCAGCAAATTTGCTTTCATGCGTTGACTCATGTTGCTGTGACTGTCGTTTTTCGGCTCTTTCCTTCGCCAAAAAAGTTTTTTTTTCCGAGATTTCCCCGCACGTTTTGTTTATATGAATGATATCGATCCGTTGTTTTTTTCTTCGTTTTCAACGTAAATTCGCCGTCATTTCCTCGTCTATATGCTTCGCAGCAGCAGACTGTTTCAGATTGTTCGCGACCGCCTCTCGGTATTCAATTCGTTTATGTTCTGTTCGCTTTGAACAATTTCCGTTGGGTAGAATGAAAAATTTATTAGATTTACAGGTAAATATTAGAAAAAAATTTCAAGCAAAAAAATAGACAAATTTTATGTCTTTTTTTATGGAAAAAAAAGTTTGAGAAAAATTTCGTAAAATCAAAAGTTTGTCATTCTAATGTTGATGCCTATTGTTCAGCTTTCACACCACTTTAGTTGCTTTCAGAAACATTATTTTCTGGAAACTAATTCGATTAAAATCGCTATAAAAACCCATGACACCAGGAAAATATTCATTTTTCCACGAAAATTCCACTTTTTCTACCATTTTCTTCATTTTTAGATGCACCAAGAGGACATTCACGTCGTCAGCACTGGACCCACTGTGAAATCCAAAACGGTGGATGGATCGACAATGCCGGTACTTTCGAAAAAAAGAGAAAATATTTGATTCTTTTCCAGGTGACTACCGTTAACGTCGAAGTTGATGTCCCAGTTGAGAACGGCATCACTCGGATCAAACTGCAAGAAGTGCCGATGTAAAAATTATTTTTGTTAAAAATTATATGTTTATTATTCAGGTTCCTGGTCTATGCATTCAATCGGATCTACAAACGCGGACTGGACGTCGAAGGCATTTTCCGGAAAGAAGGAAACAGCATCCGGCTCAACCGAAATGATGTATGTGAAGTTCGAGGGACCAGAAAAATGAAAAAAATTAGAACCTTTGCAATTTAGAATTTTCGAAGTTATACTACCTTTACCTTAGAGGAATCAGATGAAGATTCGGGAAAAATCCAAAATTTTCAAAAAAAAAAGCTGAAAATCGGCCTGTTTTTTATCGGTTTTTGAAAGAAATGTTAGGAAATTTCAAAAAAATCGAACTTTTGGAAAAATTTTTGCTGTCAGGTGTTGAAAAAACGAAATTATCGATTTTTCGCAGTGCTGTTAGATTTTGTCTTTCTACTACTCTTTTCGAACTTAATTTTGATTTTTTTGATAAAATGCCTTTTTGCGAATTTAATGCGGTTTTTTTTTTGATAAGATGTCTAAAAATTCGAATTTCCCGCGATCTTTGAGCTCCATGTCTCATTTCTCTGCGCCCTCTCTTCTCTCGCCGACACTCTCTTGTTTACGCCTTCTTCGCTGACCTCGGCGGCGAGGGAAAAGTGACGCAGAGAGGTCAGACGATGTTCGAATCGTTGCGAGAGACCCATAGGCAAGAATGTATCGTGTTTACTCTATTAGGAGGTTAAGGACAATATTTTCGGAGTAGTATAGTCTGTTCTACTTTTGAATGTCAAGTCATCGCTCAAACTCCGCCCCTTATGTGTAGATTAAAGCAATCGGAGAGCGAGACATCCACCGAGCGTTGTTGGGGACGGAGCTAGAAATCGACTATAGAGTGTTTTCACATCATACAGAACCAAGCTTTGTTTATTAAGGGCCTAAAATTTTGATTTTAGTTTTTGGTGTACAGAAGTAACATGGACTGCTGATATTCATAAAAATGTAGTCACCGATTTTTTTTTTCAAGCTCCGCGAGATCTACAAAGGCCTTGCGGACATACCCAACGAGTTCACCGTCCTCGACACTTGCGTCCTTGTCAAACGGTTTCTGCGAGATCTTAAGGTTTTTCGGATCTTTCCCAGGAGAGCTTCAAGATTTTATTCAGCCGCCGTTGATAAGCTCTCCGGATTTTCGCATGAAAATAATGGAGAAGGCCAGAATAGCCGGGATAACCGGAAATTTCCAGGTAAGATAGTCGAGTTCATTCGTGAAGTAATCATCATAGAACTGGTCCAAACTTTTGGGATAAATTCGAAAAAAAAAGTTTGATCCGAACGCACCACAGGGTACGGTAGAAAGTGTAGAGAAAAACCTCGAAAATTTTTTTATAACAAGTTTTTTCGTGTTGCTTGTCGTTTAGAGCAGCTTTATCTGTACCATAAAGGCAGTTTTCAAGGATTTCCTGTACATTTTTTTCGATCATACCTAGGACCACCTCCCACAGGTTTTTAGGACCACCCCTGAGATTTTCCCCTCAGAAACTTTCCTATAAAGATTTTCCTGATCGAATTTTTCAGATGACCCGCGAAGAAATGGCACAACTCGTTTTTCATTGTACCCCGAAACTAACGACTACGAGTCTAGGAACAATGGGTTTCGTTTTGAGAAGACTTGCCACGGTATGAAAAGAAACAAAAATTGAAGAAAATTGGAAAATATTAAATTTTTATGATAAAATTATTGTTATTCGAGTTATTTATAAGCCTCTAATATGTAAAAAAAGACTGTTACAAGTTTATTAGGGAAGTTATGTACATGTGTAAATTGAAATTTCAGTTGAAGGTCATTAAGAAATGAATTAATGGTAGTGTAGACCAAAAAATCAGAAGTGACCATTGAAATCGAGCCATTTTTGATGTCAAAAAAATGTTTGAATCTCTCAAATTTACTCAATGTTTAGCTTATCCTCTCAAGGCTCTTTTAAGAGATTTTTGGGGGATACGAATCTTATTTTGCATCTTTCTTATAGAAGTTTCAAACGAAAAAAATCATAAGATGTTTGAAAAAAAGTGGGAAAAGTTACTCTAACGCCATTTTTTTCGGAAAAAGTAGGCGTAAATACTCAAAATATAGTTTTAAAAAAATTTGCTTTTAACTTCTTTTTGCTGGCTCGAAAAATTATAATTCGGAGAGCTATAGAAAAAAAGAAAAAAATAAAATTTATAGGCTAAATTAATCATTTTAAGATTAAGATTTAGTTTGTTAATAAATAGCAGCTTCTAGTTTTTTTCTTTGCTGGCACGAAAATTCTAACTTTGAGAGCTATAAAAAAGAGGAAAAAAAAAATTTTCCGAAAATGTTTGACAAAAAAACCTTCATTTTGAAACAAATATTCAGATTTTCAAAAATTCCAGATTGCCACCTATGCGGACAAGCATAAAATGACCATCGACAATTTGGCGACGGTCCTCGTGAACTGTATCTGGGGAGAAGAAGGCAAGGGATCGCTTCACAAAAAACGTTCCACAAAAGACAGAAGAGGATCTAGCAACACTACGGTTTGGATCTTCCTTCTGGAAGAAAAATCATGAGCAAGATTCCAGGAAGAACTGAAGGTCCACAAGGAGGAGCTCAAGATTCATTCAGACGTCGTCAAGCTTCTGATCACTAATGTAAATTTTTTCGCGAGTCGATTTTTCATGTGTAAATCCAGAACTGATTTATTTTTCATTTGGAAATCAAGAACTGACTCATTATTTAATTCCAGGCCAATCTCTTCGGCTTGCCGGCAACTTTCTACGTCGCCAGCGTCAATCCACACTCGGCGATGAGAAGTACGAGTGCCATGCCTTCTTTGAGGTTTTTTTTTATTGAAACTGGAAAAAAAAGGGGCACCCCGGGGTGAGATCCAGCCGACGTATGGGTCATATCTTCAGAATTTATAAGTTTCAGAAAGTTTCGAAACCTTGAGTGTGTAAAAACCTGGAAAAAAATTCCAGATTATCCCCGGTTAAGGCTAACTTCGATTGGTGGGGGCTGAATCAAAAGGGGGGCTATATTTTATTCTAAAAATCGCCTCGCAATGTCTAGAATGAACCGTCCTACCCAAATTTCGAATAAGCATTGTCTGCCTTGTCCTGACAACCTTGACGAATATAAAACCTGGAAAAAAATTCCAGATTACCCCCCCTCTCCCCGTTTGCAAATTTCGATTGATGGGGGGCGTGTTCTTCTAAAAATCGCCTCGCACAGCGCTAAATGGGGGACGATTCCAGAATGAATCCACCCAAAATAATCATTGCAAGCCTTGTCTCCGAATTAGCCCCCCTCAAAAAGAAACCAGACCGCCAGAAGGAAATTTTTAAAAGTTACTTGAAAATAACCAGCTCCTGTCAAGTATGAAGTGATACTTTTCAGAACTCCGCTCGAAACTCCTGGCGGCTCAACTTCGAACGGAAACGGATCTTCCTTGGTTCGACGGGAAAGCGAAGCTATCACCTCGACGATTTCCGCCAAGAAGACGATCAATATCATGAAAAAGGTCCGTATCTCAAGAATGTTCGCAAAATACAAAGTTTCCTCCATTTTTAGCGTTCTTCGTCTCACTTCCCTACGCTTCGTGATTTCCGAGTTCGAGTTAGCTCCAAGTTCTTCGTGAGGAACCGCAGCCCCAGCCCGGTCAGAATCGTGGGCTTTTTTTTTTCTAAAATACTATTTCGAGAGTTAAAGGAAAATTGAGGAATGTGAGAAGCTCAAGAATAATTTTGACAAGAAACAGAAGAAAATTGGTTTTTTTTCAAATTTTTAAGAAGGAAGCAATGAATTGGAAGGAAAAGATTGCTTCATTTCTTAGAGTGAGTAAAATTTTGAGGAAAACTTGTCTCTCTATGAAGTTGATTGAGAACTTGAACAAATGCGCTCCATGGATAATGCTTGCTGAAGTTGTTCATACTCGGCCTTTGGGGCATTTTTAGTGACCACTTTGGTCAGCACTCTTAAGTGATCCCTAGAATGGCTGAGAAACGTCCGGAGCATGTTCGGTTTTCATTACCGATGTCCAAGTAATTTCTTAATGTTTTTTTCAGAGATGCATGCAGGTTAGTGTTTGGTGTGTTAAAAAGGATGATTTTATTGCATGTTTCGTATTGTGATTTGATTTTTTTTATTTGACAATTTGGTTTATTTTTTACTCTTTTATTCCTATTTCTGCTCTGCCAATATGGGAAAATGGACCCTGTCTCGAAAAGATGCGAAAATGATCCAAAAAAAGTTATTTTTTCAGAGAGACATTTGAGACAAGCTCTGTTTTTCAATTGAACGCGTTTTATAAAAAAGACGAATTTTCGAGTAACTTGCTGTGATTTCAGAAGCAATTTGCATGAATTGTCTTTTGAAAATGTAAAAAGTGTATTTAGTTGTAGTTTTCACAAGAAAAAAATTTTTGTGTCCCAGTTAGGGTAATTTCATTCTACAAGATTTTTTTCCTCTCTTATTCATTTCATTTGCATGTTATGGGTTGTATAGTTATCCATACACCTTCGTTCTTAGAAATTTTCAAGCATTTTTCAACTTTTTACCCTCCTCTTCAATATATCAATCTCTCGTATGAACCTTGTTTCCAGCACGTTAAGAGGTATTGTTGGTTAGTTTTTTAGCGGATCAGTCAGAATCCTAATTTTTTAGATTTCTATGAAGGTTTTCTTGAATGGTAAGAATGTTTTTGTAGAAAGCTTTTTTCCAGAATGCATTATATTCCACTTGGTTGCCCCACTGACAACCTGGTTGTTTTGCTCATTCGAATTGCGAATTTTTTACAGGATTTTGAAGAAACTTTTGAAGATTTTTCTTCAATTGGAGAACAAAACCGCCTGGAGGAAGATGGAAAAACAGACGCGGAGGACGGATCCAGGGAAAAGAGCTCGACCAGAGCACAAAGCTCTTTTTCACAGATCTTTTCCTTTTTTTATTTGTCCCACGTCCGCACGTCCTGAATTGTGTGTTTGTTCCATATCAATAGTTCTTCAGCATGTTAATTAAGCGCGCGTCGCAAGTATATATTGGGCATTTCCAATCATTTGAGATCATTTGTGGACGTTCTGAAGGCGTAAGGTTGTGTAGTTTACGAAAATACCTAACTATGCGAAAGATCTTGAATAAACATCGGTCTTTGATGGAAAGCCAGCGAAAACACCAAAAAAAAAAATCACGTTTAGCTTCTGAGCCGCTACATAGTCTTTTCAGATTTTGAGTGTCAAGTCGTTGCTCAAACTCATGATATTCTGCAAGAACTGTATTCCTATCGATGTCCAGAAGCAAATGAAAGAAATTGATTTCGCAGATGAAAAATTAAAAAAAAAATCAGCTTCTTGGAAGAGCGTCCCATACTCGGCTTTCCGCTCGGTTTTCAGTAAAGACCGAGGTTCATTCCAGATGTTCCGTAGAGCTAGGTCTTTTCGTATACTCAACAACCGTACGACGATAGAATATTCTTAACTTGTTTCAAATGACTGAAAATGCGCGATTCGAAAGTTTCCTGTACATCCGACGCGCACTTTAGGTAAATTAATAACGTCCTTATTGTCCTGTGTCATTTTAGAAATTTGTCGTCCCTTTTTAACGGGTTCACCCCTTATTCGTGTTTCTGTGTTTGTCTGTGTCTAAATGTGCATATTACTAATATAAATGTATATTTAGCATGTGGAAGAAATCACGCAAAAAAAAAAATGACACGCAAAGCAAACAGGAAAAAGTCATGAAATCATTGCAAAGCACTAAATAATAACTATTGTGTGATTATTGTCCGAATTTAGTCTTTGAGTTTTTTCTTAGGCCCTTTGATCAAACTATGAAAGGTTCATGAATTAGTTTAGACTCCTCAAAAGCGTTTCGTGAGAACATTGTCAATTTTGTTCATCAAAAGTCAGATTTAAAGATCATTCTTCTTCCTTTTTTAAGGCTAGGTAAACTAAAGAATTTTAATAGCTCAATATAAGTCTAAGTTGGGCTCTTAGGCGCCTTTGATCACTCTAGGAAGACTTTCAAACAGATTATAAACATGAAACGAATATTTGAAAGTGAATATATGTGCATCTGTATTTATCTGGTACATCACTGAGCACTACGGCCAGGTTTCAGAAAGCTCTCAACCGCAAAGTTAAAAGCTTTCTTGTCATAAATTGGATCTTTTACGATCAGAGCTGTGTGCTGGGGGGTAACGTCGGTCCACAATCAGTCGCAATCGGGACCTTTTTTTTTCTTTTTTCATAGTGACATCACATACTTCTTCTAAATAGCCCATTTTCGATTAACCTCCTCCCCCCTTTACACTCAAAAATTTCGAAGCAGTGAGGGTTTGAAAAAGTGGCAAAATTTCGACCCCTTCGCGACAGGGCCGGCCCAGCCCACAGCTCTGATTGCGATTGAAACAAAAGTTTGTCTCGGAGTCAGATAGTTCTAAAGTACACCTTAACCAAGCTGCATAATAACGCCAACCAAATCTAAAAACATTTATCTTGTTCAATAGGTCATAGGGAAAAGTCTCAGCACAAAATTTTTATAAAAAAATAGAGTTACGAGACCCTTTTTTATAAGTTATTAAAGTCTTGGATTCTCAAAAAAAATGAAAAACACAGTATTGCAGCGCTTTGGAAGAGAAATTAGTAGAAGCTGAGATTTTCGATTAAAAAAATGACTTGATAATCCTTCAAAAACAGAAGAAAATTGCAAAGGATCGCAATAAAATAAAGAGAAAAGTAAGGAAAAAACCAGCATATTATGAAGAAACGGAACAAATGTGGTATTTTCGGAAAAAACTAACGAAAAAAGCATCCTGAAAGACTCAATCTGTACAACTTTTTAAAAAAGACCTTCGAAATCATCAAAATCCGTCAAAATAGGAGAAATTGCTAAAATTCTGATCGCCTGTTTCTCGAAATTCTGAAATTTGCCCAGTATGAGAGTATCAGGGTTCATCTGCCTAGTTTTCAAGAAAATCGCGATCGCATAGTGAAAAATTACAACTGTGTTTTTTTGAATATGCTTCCGAAGAACCGATTCGAACCTTTTTTACGAATTTTGTCAAACTAGTGAGAATGTTCTCCAATTGATTTTGGAAATGTTTCAAGTCATAATTTCCCATTTTTCAGCAGGTGCAACGAAGGCCGTTGTTGGATTTGTCGACGCCGCAAGGATCTGGTGATGAAGTCGTGCCGCCGCCGACGAACGAGCCTCCTGATGACGACGTCACGTCGCCGCAGTCGCCGACGCAGCGACCGACCCGACGAAAGAAGACGCCGTCGCGAACGGAGGTGCGACTGAACCGAACAGACTCTTCCACGTAGATTGATCTTTAGTCGAAGAGCGAGTCAGTCGGATCGACGACGTCGGTCGGCCATCAGCCGCGGAGTCAGCAGTCGCGACGACCAAACACGAACGCCGTCCGAAGACCGACGCCCAGCGACGACGCCGCCGTCCCGACGACGTCGACGTCTACGGAGACTTTGAAGGTTTAGAACAGCTAGGAAATCATTGAATTGTACATGTAAGACGATCTCTAGTTAGACGCCCCTGTCTCAGTTCGTTATAGACGTTTTTCATGAACCAAAAAAAAAAAACAGAATTTTTGACGATTGTTACGGTTTCTGAAACAGAAGGTCCTCAAAATAAGAGAAAATTTATGAAGTCAGCTAATAGCTCAAAAAGAAGGTTTTTAGTCTAACGTCCCTGTCACAATTAACTATATCAAGAAAAAAATGGATAAAATAGAAAAATTTTTCGATGATTTCAACGTCTTCTGAGGCTTCGAAGGTTCAGAATAACTAGGAAAGTGTTGAAAAGATTCAAAAATTTTTTTGAAAGTTTGCAATCTTTTGGTGTAGTTCAATAGGTGATAAAAAAAGCCTGAAAACTGATAAAGTTCTGCTGTTTTTTTAAACCGGAAAGAAAAATATCTAGAATGAATTTACAGTCATCTTCATGGTCACAGGTTACATCCAAAAATTGTTTTGAAAAAATAGAAGAATTTTTTGAATTTTTTGCTTTGAAAGAAAGGTTATCTGAAAAAAAAAAATAATTTCCTGCGAATAACTCTGAAATGTATTTTTCTCAAGCCGGACCGCGAGACGACGAGAGAGGCCAACAAACGGACGAACATGCCCCTGCGACGGTTGTCGCAGAGCGAACAGAACAGCGAAGTGGCCCGAATGCTGAAACGACGCGAATCCGACGAGCGGAAGGTCGTCGGCGACAGCGATCTTTACATCTATGTTCGTTGAGATTCAGTGAAACAAGAGGAAAAAAATTGGGAATATGGGGGCATTTTTTTTAGCCTCTGGCTGAACTTTTGACTCGCGAAGTTGGCGAAAACCATAAAAAAATTTTTTTTTCAGTAGCGATTTTTTTCTCCTAGTTAAAAAAATAATCGGATAAATAGGAATTTCACATCTTCCGGCGTCAACCTGTAGTTCGATAAATCAACAAAGAAAGTATTTTTTTCTTCGAGCCTGGGGGAACTTGTTTATCGCCAGTCATACTCATCCAATGTATGGTGATCCCATAAAAAAGGGAAGTCTGTCGCTATGAATTTTTTCATGAAGTTATGAATCTTTAAGGGCGGTGAAAGCTTGGAAATTTTCGCTTTAGGTTTTTAACTAAGGTATTTTTAAAACTCTAGGAAAGTTGAGCTGAATTTTTTTTTATCGATTTTGCTCCCATTTTGGGACCTGACTAACTTGAAGCATATCCATGGCAAGAGTCCCTGAAAAAAACAGGCTGGTTCTGACTTTTTTAAAAAAGTTCTGACTGAATTGAGGCACGTTAAGAATAAGGCCCCCAAAGCTTTTCCACCTTCTCCAAAGCCCTCACATTTTTCAGAACGACAATCCAAACTCCTTACTCGGCGAAGAACATTTCTCGTTGTCCAACAAAATGCGCGCTTCCCGTTTGAGACGACACACGGCGCCGATCAAAAAAATAATATGTCCATAAAGTAAGTTTTTCAATAGAAGTTTTGTGGTAAATGTTTAAAAAAAAACTGGAGAATGAAAATGTAAAAAAATTTTCAGTTTTTTTGGAAGCTTCTAGAAATTCGGTTTTTTTAAAATTTTTTTTGAAATCTAGCGAACCAACTTTGGTTATCAAAAAAATTTCAGAACCTTATTTTTTTCATTAAAAAAATTTTACTTTTTTTGTAATAAAAATCGTTTTTCGATTTTCATCGGGAAATCAGTGATCTTCGAGCCTAGAATTTTTTTTAAACCTTTTTTTAACTTGAATTTTTTTTGTGTAGTATTTACAAACCATCAATCAATATTCATTTTTGTTCTAGTCATAGACTTAATCAATAATTAATTTCTTTGAATAATTCGTCGTTTCAGACGCCACCAACCGAATACGACCAAAACAGGACTTCCGCAACGTCGTGTCACTATGACGGCGGCCGGCGATGAAAAGGAGGTTTTTTCCCCTAATTTTCAGGAATATTCATCTCATTTCACTGTTTCAGAACTTGCGGCTGAACAGCGTTTATTGCGACGATGCGATGGACTTTGAAGAATCTGGAGCTCGAGACGATTCTGAACTGAACGACTCGACGAACATCCTCGAGAAGGTCGGAAGGGGTCTGGGAAAGAAGAAGATGATCAGAAACTCGGAAGAAAGGCTTTGAATTCGTAAATCTCTTTAATGCTGAGGAAATTGAGGGGATAAAATACAGAAAGCCCCACAAAGGTCAAAAAATTGTTATAAACATTTCTTCAATGATTTTCTAGATTTTCACTTACTGAGCATACATGGTATAGTCTCGGTGGACCTGAAAAAAAGGGGGGGGCTTGGAAAAAAACGAGAAAAATGGAGGGGGGGCTAAGTATTGCAGAAGTTGATAGTGATACTTTTGAAGAACTTTTTTTCTAAACGATTCCTACTTCTTTCAGAAACTAATCGAGTCGAGAACAAGGAGAGCAAAAGCGAGACGAGACAAGAGCTGCACGCCGAGTCTGAAGGTCCTGACGGGCTCGGCGGCCGAGATCGAGGACGCCGAGCGGAAAAAGGCCGAGAAGTCGAAGACACCCTCCCCGCAGCCGCCGCCCGTGCCCCCACATCAGCCGTCGCTCATCTACCTGCACCCGACCGTCTCCACGGACGAGTCCCAGGTCGCGGTCAAGGTCAAGGTTCCCCGGACCGAGCCCAAAGACGACGTCAAACGGGTCAGGACGTCGCCCAAGACGCCGACTGAACAGGTTCAGTGATCAGCTTCAATCACTATTCACAAGTGAAGTCCAAAAGGACAAGTTCTAGAAGTTTTCTGAATCCCAGATCTACAAATAATCTCTTTATGGACTGGAAGGGGAGGTCTTTCTGTGGCTGGTTTTCGGAAAATGGCTATAACACTCCTTGATGTACCAGTTGTAGATTCTGAGAGTCTCTAACTGCACCACTTTCTAGTTTTCAAGAAATGAGGTACTCAAGCCTTAAAATAGCCTATTTCAATGGATTTCTAGGTTTGTCTTTGGCTTTAAGGCATCTATTCTCAAAAAGGAGGGAGTTTTGCAGGTTGAGACTTTCAGAATCTTGTTCTGGTAAAATCACCTTCCTTGTGAGGATATACTCTATCAGCGTTTCTTGTAGAGTTTTCCAAACTCCCTACAATTTCAGAAGGGCAACTCGCTCTACGAACACGGTCATGCGTGGGTCGGCAACAAGCAAGTCGTCATGTCCTCCCCCCAGCCGCCGTCGCGAATCGAGCGAAGTCGCACGCGACTCTCCTACACGCGAGCCAACGCCTCGCCCGAAGCCGTTCCGCCACCTCCAGAACGCAGCTGCGTGTCTCCGCGACTCTCGATGTCGCCCGTCATGCGACACATCGCCCAGACCAACAACTCGCCGGCCGAGACCATCACGTCGGCTACCTTGCCGAGGTATCACCTTCATTCCATGCGGAAGGCCGATAACTGGTCGTAGAAGCAATTGAAAAAATAAACGGAAAAATCAAGAATTTGAGCTCTATTCTTAGCATGTAGAGCGTTTGACTAGGGTTTGAGCATTTTCTTCGAAGTAGGATGTAGAAAAAAGAAGAAGCTACGTGGACCAACGGTAACTGGACGCGCTCCGGACTTTTCTGGGCATCTCTAGTGATCACTTTAGGGGCGTTAGCGTACTTGAGTGCTTCCTAGAAACACTCCACTGTAGCCCGAAAGTGAAAATGAAAGAGAAGTGAGACGGAAAATTAGGATCATTAAAGTTTGAATTATTAGTAATAGAGTCTAATGAAGTTGGCTATGTATTCTTGTCGTTGAAAAATGAATCATCATTATATAATCATATGTTTAATTTCGAATTAGAGTTGTGCAGACCTTGATCTCTCGCATAATCTCATAGGAAACCAAAAAAAGGTTTTCTCAGATTTTGGAGACCTTTAAATGGATTCTTGCATTGAGTTTTCAGTCTTTTTTTTGTGATTAAGTAAATTTTAAGACTGAATATTTTGTTTAACTTTGAGAAGTTTTTGCCTTTTTGATTATTTTTTTTGATCCGAAAACTTTAATTTGCCACGAAAAAGAGAACAAAAATCGCCTTTTCAGAACTTTCTCTTCTTCTAGATACAACAACGTCCCCTCGCCTTTGATCATCAAACGGAGTCCGAACAAGTCTGAAGGTTTTTCCGGCTCTAAAAAACAATTTTTAATAGTTATTTCTTAGCAATACCGACATCGCCTGGAACACCTTCGTCGTCCCTGTTTTCTCCAACTTTGCCTGAAACCTTCGGATCTCCGCAGACCCCTCTGAATCTTCACCCACAAAGGCCACCTCTAGTGAATCAGTCGTCCTTGGATACCTGTTTAGATTCGACTGTTAGTTGTAGAAATCAGAAAATATGATTGATAGGACCTTTTAGTCGTCTTTCTTCGATGACAGCAAGTTCAAGGCTCCCACGGCGTTTTTCAAAGCTCCGCCCGTACCGAAACACTCGAGGCCACTCACGGAGTCGACGTCGGCTATTGGAGGGTCCAGGAAGGTAGGAGCTGTTAGCATACGAAGGGTGGATCTCACCCCGGGGTGCGGCCTACCCCCCTCAAACTGCGGCCTACTTTTTCGATAGGAGAAAGAAAGAAAAAGTTGGAAAGGAACTTTTATGAGACGTTGAGAAAAATTTTGCATCAGTTCAGTTTCTCAAAATAGCGCTTACAAAATTAGTTCTACCGATTCAAGTTTAAAAAAATCACTGTTCCCTTAAGTGACTTCATATTTTTCCCATGGTAACAATTAAATTTGAGTGCAAAGGGCTTTTTTGTGGTTGAAAAGAACTGGAGGGAAAAATATTGTATTTTTAAAATTTAATTTTTGATTTTGAAGGCAAGTCGGTTAGGCGTAGCCATCCTTAAAAAAATTAATAACTTTCAAAGTTTCAATTTTTTTATTTTGATTCATAAAGATATCCCAAAAATAGGTGGTCCCTGGGCGAATCTGCCTGCTTAGTCAGTGAAAAAAAACGGACACTACTGATATAAGTGCTGAAAAACGTCCAAAAGTCAGAAACAGTCCTTCTTTGAGGGCTAAAGTAATTTCAAAAGCTAGAACCAATTCTTTTTCAAGTGCTAAAAACGTCCAAACCCCAGAACCAGTACTTATTCAAGTACTGAAAAACTTCAGCAAGACTCGCCGTTGTTCCGACAGCCGTACTCGGTGTCGTCGCTTCCCCACAAGACCAGTCATCGCTCGGTGAATTTACCGCCGACGCGACATCGCTGCGACGACGACGACTTCAGCGAACACTACACCAACATGCTGCTCTCGTCGACCTCGAGCAACGACGTGGTTTGCCCCGAACGTCTTGCAGACCTTTTGGTCAACTACAACGTTCAGATCCTCACGCCACGCCGCGACAACCTCGACATGCGTCCGTCGGTCGCCATGATCCGTCAGAGTGGGCTCGTCCGTTCGCGCGTCAATCATTTCCAGGTAATTGGGACATGAATCGCCCGTTTCTGATGGCTCATTTGTGGTTCAAGGAGATCGCCCAGCTGTCGACCACCGCCAACGAGACGTTCTTCGGTGGACGGGTGTGTTTTCCTGAGGGACTTGGCTTTGTGAAAAGCAAATAAATATGAGAAAATGCAGTTGGAAGTTCTTTGAGTTAATAATTTTCAGTAGAAATTAAAAAAGTTTCAATTTTACTTTTTGGATGAAATTTGACCGCATTTTACTTATTTTGATTTCTTTTTTCGCCGATACTTGAGCCCAAAATCGTGGATTTCGTCGTAAATGTCGCTTTGAAACAATTGGAAACGTGACAATTTAATAATTGTATAGTCAGAGGCATAGATTTTAAGTTTTTAGTGCAGTTTTCGAGGTAAAAATTTAAGAAAAAATGAAGTTTTCAAAAAAAAAACCTTTGATCCACCACAATTCGCGCACCTTTTTTCAATTACTGATCATTTTTTCTATCCAATTTTGAATTCTTAAGACGCCTTCCTTTGCTTCCAACCGAGCACATCGGGACGGACTCATGGGCTCCTGCGATCTGCAGAGGAGTTCCTTGAACAGCGTCGATTCGACTTCTGGCATTTCCGATTCCCACAATCCCCCCGATCATCGTTTTTGAGCCTTTCCTGCCCTTCATTTTCTGTCGATTCATTTTTTGAACCTCTATCATTTCATTAATTTATTTTGACGGACTATTCGTATGGGTACATGCAAACATTCCTACAGTAGACGGGTCTTTGAAAAACTGAGCCGCGGCTGAAATTCTTTCGCCTTTCCAATGGTCTCGACTCTGATTTCTATGCTTTATTTCATCGCTTCTTGGAATGAAAACGTGCGAAACATATTTGAGCGCATTTTTAAAATCCTGTACATGTAATCAAATTACATTCACAAGTTTTTAAAATGCGTTAGAGCATCTTTTTGCCCGTTTTTTCTGTCCAAACTAGCGGTGAATTTGGTTTTACCCAAGGTAAATCTATTCCGTATTGCTCTATGTCGTCTCCCCGTTTATTTTTATTCATTTTTCTTCTTTGATAGGAATATTTTTCGCGTTCTTTCATATCTTTCATATCTTCTCTGTGCGATAAAAAAAAGAAAACTGGTTTTTTTTTTCATTTGTTTCTTTTCAGGTCTTTTATCTTTTTGCCCCAAGCTTCTCGTTTCCAAAACGATTTAGCCCCGTTCTCTCCCGCATTCGCTGTTTAGTACAATATAATTGCCAAATGATACTCGTCTTTGTTGAATTTTTTTTTCTCTCTCATTATTTCCTATCGCTTAATGGTGTTTATGGTTGTTTGTGTGTGCTGTCATTGATGATCTCTATATAGAGGTGCAAGAAAATTTGAGACGAAAGACGACACAAAAAAAGATGTTTTTTTTTTGCCGAAAATTGTGCTTCTCCTGAATTCTTCTTTTTGCACACTTACCATTCCTATCGTACGTCTTCGTCCTTTTCATTCCGACTGATTATTCTTTCCGATATGCTCTTGTAAATAAATGGTACAGTTTAGAAAGAAAAACAATGCTTAAGTGATTATTGTAATTTTGTCAGTTTTCCAGTAAATCTTGATGTTTTTCGACTCAAATCGATGTATTTTTTTGTTTATATGTAAAGCTGCGAGGTTTTAAACATTTTGTTAATGGGAATTAGGACTCTGCCGTCAAATGGATTGAGAGAAAAAAGTTGTGATTTTTTTTCATTTTATTGGTTTACGGTATTGAATTCGGTCGTGTGCACTGCAGACAATACGTCTGAATTCACGCGCAATCGTTATGATTTTTTTTTTCGCAAAGAAAAACTATATAAGATCACCAGAAACCCCAGTTTTTACTGCCCCTATGCCTTTAATGGGGAGCACTAGCTATAAGGTGATACCAAACTCGTATCTTCTGGATGAGATTCAAAAAAAGGAATCCCTAGCCAGTAACATTGTTCATAATCTATATTTTACGAAATCTTTTCACTTACAGATTTTCGGAGCTATAGGCAACACAGCCAAATTTAAAAAAAAGGAACTCCAAAAATTTTCAGAAGACAATTTGCGGGACCAACTTCGATCCCCGTTTGCATGACTTCCACTGATGTTTTCTCCGACGAAAGACCGACTTTCTTCATATTCACAGTTTATTTGATTGGGATAGTAGGAATGGCGACGACTGTCTTCTCGATGTACCTGGTTCTGTACAAACTCACTCATTCTCCCTACAAATATCACCTACTTCCCTACATGGTGAGAAACGCTTTTTGAAAAAAAAAATGAGAAATTTTCAGGTAAACTTATTTTCGGTAGAATTATTCCTGACGGAAAACTTCTGTTGAGGTTCGTTAGAGCGCATTTACCGAATCTAAAAAAGCATCATTTTTTCTGGTTGTTCCTTCAAGGAACTGTAATTCGTTCTTACATTTATTCCGCACAATTTCACTTTTAAACAAGGAAAACTCGAATTTTGGAGCAATTTACGTGATATCGTTTTTAAGGTGTTTTAAGGGGATTTTTAAGGTGATTTTTATCTTTTAATTCAATTTTTAAGATGATTTTCATTTCTAGAGAAATTTTTGGCCTTGAATTTCTGAATTGAGAAAAGTTCATCTAAGAAAATTTCTCGTCACACTTCATTTGCGGCGGATTCGTGTTGCGTTTCGAGAGGATCCAGGCCAACTTTGTATAAATTAAAGGCCTTTTTCGGGTCATGTTATTTTCACATTTTCCTGATTTCTATGAAGTGCGCCTTTCTACAAGGCCTCCGTGGCGTTTCAATTACTCTAGTTCTTGGATTCCACATCTTCCCGAGTATTTTCAAACACGGGTATATTGGCGTCGACATGTGGGTTTATATAATTTGAATCGAAAACTTTTTTTGCGTGAGTAAAGGGATTTTTCGAATTTTTTGATGACTCGATTCCAAAAATATTTTTTCATGTTATGTTCAAGGTGCCGTGAAATTGAAAACTATCTCTGATTCTCCTAAATTTAGCTACATAGCTATATTTTTTTAATGTTCTGACGGTTATTTTTTTGAATTTCTTTATACACGAAAAAAAGTTTATTACAGTAGGTCGATCACCGTCCATAGTGAAAAACTTGAATTCGAGGCTTTTCATTGTTCTAAAAATCGTTTTCAGATTTTTTGTTTTATCGGGATACCTGATAGCAAAGATCCTGTCGAAAGATGAATCTCCAACGATTTTGGAATTTTTCTCAAAACGCTTCAAGAGGATCCTTCCGATGTACTATCTCTCTGTTCTGATAACGTTTATTTGTGAGTTTTTTTTTCAAATTTCAATAGGTACAGTCAGAAAATGCTTCTGAAGGCTGAAATCAAAAAAAAAATGAAAAAAAGTCTGAACAGTTTGAAAAATTAACTTCCACCAGATATCCTTCAAAAACACTTTATTTCCATGAAAATGATGAGAAATGAAATTGAAAAAAAATGTTTCAGCATAAAATTAAGTGTAAAATGAATGACTTCAGACAGTTTTTTTTTGTATATTTGAATTTTCAGATCGTTTCTTAATTTTCCCCAAAATTTCTTTCTGAATCTAATTTATTCAGGCTGTGGCTTGATTGTGCTGCCGATAGACCGGCCTGATTTCACAAGTGATCTGAAATGGGCCTTGCCTCTTGTCTACAACGTTGAGCCGACCTTTGAACATCATACTTATTGGGAACAGGTACAACTAAAAACAGTTTTTTTTAATGATTGACTAGATTTTTAGCTGGAACTTCTAGCTAGTGTTTGAGACCGTTCACTGATTTTTTCTGATTATTAGAATTAATTGCAGATTATATGAATGTGACAGAGTGGATGAATGAATCAAGTAACCAAATTATGTGATTATGAAAATTTCTGATCCGGTCTCAAAAAAAAATTGAGCTGTCCCTAAATTTTTTCCAAGGTCAGATATTCACTATTCATATTTAAATTTATAAGATTCGACTTTTTTAAAACTTTCTGACAGTGTTTTTTTCAGTTATTTTTAGAAGCAGGAAAAATTCAGGGCTCATAAAAATGCAACTTTAAGGATAATAATTCATCGACTTCAATCAGATTCAAGCTTTAGAGAATTCAAAAAATTCATTTTTTGGCTAAAAACTTGAAGAATCCTGAAAAATGAAATCCCCCTTTCCAGGTAAAATCGGTGCGTTTCTTGGCGCAGACGTGGTCTTTGTGCTGCGAAGTGCAGTACTATCTGATCGCCCCTTTGATTCATTCCATCGCTAAGATTCTTCCAACGCAATTGAGACTTGTTGGATATGTTTTTTCTATCTCTGCAAGCTTATTTTATCACTGGACGGCGCCTTCGGAACGTGGCTACTCCCTGCTGCCGGCAAGACTTTGGCAGTTTCTCTGTGGAGCCTTGGCGGCTGAATTATCAGTCATCTTACTGGGGCAAAACGGGAAGAAAGACAAAAAAGAAGGAGGTGATTCTCTTGATTGATTCAAAAGGCTTGCTTAAACCGTTTTTCATTGACTTTACGTATAAATACACATTTTGTTTCTTACAAGGGAGTCTTGTCCTAACATCAAGTTGAAACTTGGATAGTTTATAGACCAGATAAAGATGCGTTTCATTTCAAAACAAAACTTTGAAAAAGTTCATTTGTGACCCCGTATATGGAAAAAATGGTAAAGATCATTCAGTTAAATTCTTGTTGTTACTGGGAAATAAGGCGGACCATTTTTCTCCAGAAAAAAATTGAAAACTTGACGAGTCATAGTCCTAGGTAAGGGTATTTGAAAAACAATATATATTATCTGATGGATCCAAAAGTTCATTTTATCAATTTCTTATCGAGTTTAACAGGCAATCTATCTTTTTCTCAAATATCTACTCAAAATTATTGAAACTTGAACTCGTTTCGCAAAAAATCGGCCGATACTTTTCCGAATCGAAATCCGAACCGATACTTTTCCGAATCGTACTTTTCCGAATCGGTTGTCTACTTTTCCGAACCCAAATTTATTATGCTTTTCCGAATCGTAATTCAATTAATTCTTTAGGTGGTACCGTCATTTTCAATCCGATTCCTTATAATTTTTTTCCCAGAGTGCAGCCTTCCGTCTGACCATTTTCGAAACTCGAATAGGATTCATTTTTCCTCGAGTGCTCTTTCAGAAACTTTTTTTCTTAGTTCTTCCGATTTCAGAACTCTGAAGTTGACTGGCCCATTCTCGTCTTAAAAATTTGAACTTGGAAAACAGTTTTAAGATTCGAAATTTCGGTGTGCAGGAGTCCGTTCTGAAATCGAAAGAGCCAAGAAAAAAAGTTTCTGAAAGAGCACTTGCGGATTTAAAGTCCTTCCTGCACACCGAAATTTCGAATCTTAAAACTGTTTTCCAAGTTCAAATTTTTAAGACGAGAATGGGCCAGTCAACTTCAGAGTTCTGAAATCGGAAGAACTAAGAAAAAAAGTTTCTGAAAGAGCACTCGAGGAAAAATGAATCCTATTCGAGTTTCGAAAATGGTCAGACGGAAGGCTGCACTCTGGGAAAAAAATTATAAGGAATCGGATTGAAAATGACGGTACCACCTAAAGAATTAATTGAATTACGATTCGGAAAAGCATAATAAATTTGGGTTCGGAAAAGTACACAACCGATTCGGAAAAGTACGATTCGGAAAAGTATCGGTTCGGATTTCGATTCGGAAAAGTACGGTTCGGAAAAGTATCGGCCAAAAAATCGGAAAAATGTTCCAATGAAAATTAAAAGGAAGTATCTAGCTCAATGGAATATAGCAAAGAAAAACGTAGCTTTTCTTTTTTTACTGAATTGGAAAAATTTCAGAAGCAAAAAAATAAAAAATAAAAAAAACTGCAAACTTCCAGAAAAAAATGGCTAGAATCCTTATCGATGCTCTCCTTGGCTTCATTCAGCTTCCTCATCATAACTTCCAGCATCTTCCCATATTTGTTCAATGAAGTCCCGTTACGGTACTCAAAATCAGCAAGTTTTCCAAATCGACTTCAAATTTCAGTATCGTCGTCACATTAATATCATCTATTTTGATTTTCTCGTCGAGCTCCTCATTTTCAAAATCTTCCGTGTTCAGGTACAGTAATTATCTTATTTTGTTCAACGAAAATATCTTAACTTCAGCTGGAGGCCTCTAACACTTCTAGGCGATATTTCTTTTGCCGTATACCTTTCGCATTGGCCTATTTTGACGTTTTTGCGTTATATTTTGAACGTGGAAACTGATTTTTCGATTCTTGGTGAGTTGGGAGCAGTTAACTAAGGAAAAAATCTCTCTAGCTTGATTATAAATTTTCTCCGAATAAAAAGAGGTACCAAATCCGTTCAGACCTACAGGGACCTGCCCGGTTTGCACTGCACCTTCTCCTCTGGCCCTACTAGACCATTTTTGACCAGATTTTTTAGTTTATAAAAAGAGAACGGCTATTTTCGACATTAATATAGTCTTTCCAGATTTTGAATGTCAAGTCGTCGCTCAAACTCCGCCCCTAATGATGCGATAAACCAATGAGAGCGACCCATACACAGAGCGTTTTTGAATGACGTCATTGCACTTGACGTCAAAAATATGAACAGACTATAGATGAAAAATTACAGAAAATACTATTTTTCACTTGCAGAAGACGAATTTTCAAATTAGGCTATTTTTGAAGAATTGCTGGCGTTTGCAGAAACTTCATTTTTAAAACTAAATGTCGAAATTTTTTAATGTTCTATTTGTGTTTTTCTTCAAATTTATCTAGGGTCCGCAAGCCATTTCTTCAGAACGATTCAAAAAATATGTTTTTTACATTGTTTGATAGAGGAGACTGTCCAATCTCATAATCCGTTTAGTTTTTGGAAAAAGGTCCACTAAGAAAAAAGTTATGGCCAAAAAACTAGCGCGCGCGGCGTTCAACTGGAGGCAAAATCTCACGGTTTACCCGCTGCCGCACGCTTTCTTTTTAAATGTTTTTGCGCGTTTCTGGACCGTTTTTAAATCGGTTTTCTGCTCTGTGAGATTGTCCGAACTGAGCCTCATGTTTTTGGTATGAATCTTTTGTACAATCCTCATAAGAATTTTTTTGATAAAATATCAAAAAAACTACCTAGAAAAAAAGGTCAAAGGGGTTTTTTCAGCTTATTTTTTTCTTTTTTTCTACTCAGAAAAAAATTATTATCATTCGATTTGGAAAAAAAGAAAAAAATGAAAAAAATAATGTTATTTCGAAATAAAAACAGGAAAAAAAGTGCAATTTGACTCCGAAAAAAACGGCTCCTGCGACATTTAAAAGGGCGCTTCGGTGTGTTTGACGCAAACACTGCTACGGACGCTTGCACGAAATCTTCCGAAATTTCAAAAAAAAATTGCCATTTTTTCGAAGTTTTCAAAGCCGTTATTTTTTTCGCGTCGATCGATTTTTTTCATAATTTTTTCATTGATATAGTTTTGAACGCTTAATAACATAATCAAAAAAATATAGACGCGATCCTATTCCCTCATGCGTCAACGAGGCAGACGAAAAATGGAGGTTTTGGTAAAACTCAAATATAACTTGATTCGCTGTCTCAATAATTGTTTTCATTTTGAATTTTAATTTTTGGACACACTGTTAGTTTTTAAATCAAATAAAAAGTATACCAAGTCGCTGAAATTTTTTCGCATTTCAGCTTCAAAGTTTGGTGTCACTTTACAAGCTTTAATATTTTTTTCGCGTCGGTAGATTTTTTTCATTTTCACTCAAAAAATAAAGAAAGTGTTAATGTATAACATACTTAAAATTTAGAAGCGTTCCTCACTTGGTTTTTCTGAAACGCGACGATTTTGTGAAACTTGTCAGCTTTTTTTCGTGTTAAATCTTACTTTTTTTCGCTTATTTTCGAAAAAAATACATAGTTTTTAAAAAAATATTCAGTCTTGTAGAGCGTTGTCGATTACATAGCTTAACAAAAACAGTTCATTTTTAAAGTGGGACTTTAGCTAGTATAAACGCCTCAAAACCGTTTTTGCAACAAAAAAATCGTCATTTTGGTGGCGTGAAGGGGCGGGGCTTTGCGCCCCCTAAATTTATCTAAAAAACCCGTTATTAACAACGATATCGCCTAAAAACCGCGATTGGTGTATGCACAATTTAAACCTACAGTGTGCCGAACCGGACGGGGCTGATCAGATGCAGTACCTCGAAAAAAAAATAATAATAAGGGCCAAAAAGTCTTTTTGTAATGAGTTCTCGGGGTTCAATATCCATAAATTAAATCATCTTCTATACTTTATTGATTTTTGAAGGAGGAAGCTTTGTTAGTGAACTGAAGGCGATAGAAAATCAAAATTTTGAAATTTCAATCTGAAATGATTCAAAACTTCATACTTCTTCTGCTGATCCTTTAAAATTTTCTTAAAATTCAGGCTCCTCAATCATCATCGCCCTAACGCTAACAATCTCAACAATCGCCTATTATTCCATCGAACGATTATTTCAAACTTCCCATTTTCTGGTCTCTTTTTCTGTTTGTCTCCTGTCACTGGCTTTCATGTACGGCACTGTCCCTTATTTCCAAGATTTCCCTGCCATTCCTCACGCTCTCTTATCAGGTTATTTTTTCAACCTAAAACTTGATTGAAGGCTGCATTTAGAAAAGTTGAAAGAAGCCGTGAATTGGAACATGTTGGACCACGACTTGAATCCCAGAGATCTTCCATGTCTTTTCGACGAGGAAACTACGAGTTGGACCAACTTTACTATCGAGCCTGAGATGCGCTGTTTTTCGGTAAGGTATTATTTTCTAAAAATTCGAATTTTAATCAAGACAGAAGTTGGTTGCAACTGAAAAAATTGAAAAGGATGAAATTCAAACTTTTTTTCCTTCACTTTGCATCTTTATAAGAAGGATAATTTTTCCTGCCTATAAATAAATATTATTATTATTATTATTATTAAGGAAAAAAATTGGTCTTCCGTTCTTTTTAAAAAAAGATATTTAAGTACATAAAAATTAAAGTTTGACTTTCTCTGATTTTTTTCAAACTAAAAAAATTCAGAGAGGCAACGGATCGGCAAAAATTCTCGTTATTGGAAATTCCCTTTCCTACAGAGCGTTTCCATTGATCTTCAAGTTGTTCAAAGGACGTTATGCAGAGCTTCGGATGTTTGGGAAAACTGGTATCCTTTTATTATAATCAATCAGTTCTTCAATTGAAGTCTAAGAAACTCGGAATAAGATAAATATTGAAAAAAGTAAGGAATTTCTTCAAAAAGTGTTTTTCAAGTCTTTTTCCACCAAAACTGTGAGATGAAACATATTTAAGTGAATCCAAAATTTTCAGGCTGTCCACCTCTATCCTTGGAATGTCCGACCTACACTGAAGCTTGCAGAATCGTGGTTCAAAAAATGAAACTCGACCTTTTATGGATTATTCAGGGTGTCAAGTGGGTAGAATGATTTCTTTCTAAGCTCTCGGCCGCATGTGGAATGGCTTTTCTAAGCATTTCGATTGAAATTATGCTCAAAGAACCATCTTGTTCTAAATCATTAAAAAGTGGAGAAAACGCCAATTTTCGTCAAAGTCGAACAATAAGTGGAACAGAAACGTTCCCGACTTAAAATGACTTGCGCGATTTTGCATCGAAAAGCAAAAATCCACAAGTTAGAAGGTTGGGATAAAATCAACTGTTTTGAGCTTTTCACTGTGTCTTCTTTCATATAAGTAAAATATTCAACTTCAAAAAGCCTTAAAAGCCTCAAAAAATTTCAATTTCCCACCAAGTTTAGACCAAAAAATCGAAAACGAAAAATTAGAGAAAAGCTACAAGCCATTCCACGTGCGACCACATATTTTGTAACCTTTCAAATTCAATCTTAAAAAATAGCGAGCTAGCATTTCCTCACAAGGACTCTACAAGCACAAAAGAGGATGGGGAGCTCCGAAAGATCTACAACGAAAATATCAAACTCTTGAGGTTTTCCTTCATTTCTACAAGGTTCAGAAATGATCTTACAGCAACCATTCAAGTATTGTATTTGTCGATCTACCGTACTTCATCACCAGAAAATACGTCTCCAAAGTTTTGGCCAGAGCTTTGACTTACGGTCATGACTATGAGAACGAGCTGATTTTTGATGAAAAGGTTCATATTTTCCACTCGAATATTCTTTAATTTATCTCCTTCAAACAAAAAATACAAATACAGTGTATTAGAAGTATAAAAAGAAAAATCTATTTTTCCATTTTCAGACAGTTTCTCTTCAAATCGAGCCACAAATACGTCGTCTCAAAGATATGCCTTGTGATAATTGTGTATATAATGATGTTCAAAAGGCAATAATATTTATAATTCGAAAAATACTCAAAATTTTCAGGAATTATCCACAAATGGATCTTACTACGCGTACAATATCGAAAACCTCCGCTCGATTTCTTCGGATGGAAGTCATTTATCGGTGGAAGGACTAGGAAGATTGAAAAAGCTGTATCAAGAAAGAATCGAACAGTTTTTGAAGATTTTGTGACTTTTTCTGGGAAATAAATGTTCTGAAAGCTTCAGATTAATCCTTGAGAAGAGGTCAAAACACTAAGACATGTAGTTTTTTCAAAACTTTCAGAAAAAAAAAAACTAAAACAGTTCAAAACTTCAAAAAATCTTTAATTCTCGGCGATTCGTGCTTCTGTAACCGTTTGTATACCATTATACTGTCATTAATTTAATAAAAAAAAAAAATCTTAAAATTCTATCATCCAGCTTCAAATCTTGAATGATTCTTGGAACATTCCTACTACTTCAAATTTTCAAGAAAATTTTCAAAAACATGGCCAAAATTCGTACTTTTTCCTTTTCTCGATCTTCAAAATAACCTCTTAGTAGTGAAACTTCTCGAAGATGTTTTCCAAAAGAAGCTTCGAAATTGTCCTTCTGAGTCATCCGTCGATTTTCGACTTGACCGCAGTTTTTTCGTGGTAATCGGACTTTACGCAAGCATTTTTTCGGATCAAAAATACTTATTTCTGGCAGTCGTCATCATTTTTGGAAAAACATTTTTTTGACTCTATGCTGAGTAATGAGTAATTAGTGATCGTCTATATTTTGAAAAAAAGGAAGAAATATTCAAGTGAAAATTGAGAAAAATTGTGAATTTACTGGAATTTTTTTCAAAGCTTTTCGAGACGTTCAGAACTCGTGAAGCTTAAATTTTTTTGAAAAAAATGAGTTTTTTTAATTTTTTTGAAATTTAGATGCTTTTTCAACTCTCACATATTCATTTCGTTCAGAAAACTGAATTATTATGATTTATGTCTCTATTTCGTTAACACTTAAACTTTTGGCCACACTTGGAATGTCTCGGAGCGTTGCGGACGCGCTGCGGTTTTATAAAAAAAAGTTCAAAAAAGACGCGAATTCTCAATTTTTTCGATAATTTTATTGGAACACTTCTCAACCTTATTGATAACTCAAAAGTCAAGAAAAAAATTTTTTTAAAGTTGAGATTTTTTTAAAGAAAATTTCAAAAAAATTAAAAAAATCGCATTCCCCCAGTCACCTGCCAAACGTCGAAACCGGTTTCCTCTCTCTCAAAAAAAGAAGAGCAAAAACGAACAGAGCAACAAAAAAAAAACGAAAGTGAAACAATCGCCAAAAAAAAAAACTAAATGCAAATGGCGTGTCAAACCGGAAAGTCGGTTAATCTTGCCAAAATGCAGCACAAGTAACGGCTTTTCGGAGCAAAGGACCTGTCCGATTAGGCAAAGTTCCCAAAAACCGAACACGCATTCATATGGTAACTGAAAAAAAGCGCGGAAAAAAGCACTTTTGCGCGGATTTCGAAAAAATCGCATTTTATCGGAAAAATTGGAACTTTTCCAGAATCAACCTGCGGCGAATTGGTCCAAGAATGCATATCCAAAAAGAAAAAAATTCAATAAATCAAAAAAATTTCGTATTGAACATCACCATAAAAGGAAGTGTTAAAAATGTCCGTTTTTTTCGAAAAAAATTTCCGAAAGTACTATTTGACCCCCAGCAGTTCAAAAAAATTGGAAAGCTGTTTATTTTTGAAAGTTAAAACTTCGTCGGTTTCAACACAAAAATATTATTTAATTTGAAAAAAATTCTATACTGTATCTGATTTGAACTACAGTATTATGGTCTAATATATAGATGCTTGAAAACCTGAAAACTGGAATTGAAAAGTGAGATTTTAAAGTAAATCCATCCTTTTTTGGAAATCTAACTATTTCAACCCTTCTTTCAGGTCTCTAGCAATCAAAATTTATAAAAAAAATTTTTCTCGATTTCGAAAAAAAGTTACAGATCTGATTTTTTTTTTCACCATGAAAATGAGATAAAAATAAAATCACTTTTCTTTTAATCAACTAATTTTTTCCGATAAATTGAATTATTCAGTTTTTCCAGTTAAAAAACTCAAGCTTTGCTCCAAAATTCGTTCCAAAATGTTCAGGTAAAGAAACATTTATTAATTTATTCCTCATCAATATTTCGTAACTACCTTAAAATGTTCTCTTCACTAAAAAAAACCTTAATATAGTTCTTTTTTTTTGTCGAAAAAAGTTCAACTGGAACATTGAGCAACGGCTCAAAACACGCCCGAGAAACGGTGGGAAAGTTTCAGTCATCCGTCGCCGCCGTGGCTCCGCCCACTTCCAACCAAACTTTTCGAGACCATAAAAGGCTCTGTAGATGCAAATATGAACAGCCATTCATACTGGTCCACACGCGTTCCCCCCATCTTTCCATTAATAAATAAATATCGTCAATTCTCTGAACCAGACGAGTTGACGATATTCATTTCTTTGTCTCTTATTTCTTTTTGAACTTTTTCTCTAACTTATCCTTTTTCTATTATTTTCTATCAATGATTTCTGAAAGGCCTTCTTGTGGATCGAAAACGACATTTTTCTTTAAAAAAAAAATTTTTTTTTGTGAACAGCTTTTCTGACCAAGGACGCCATTCTAACTTTTGAAGGCTCAGTTTCGCTTGAAAAATCCTGCTTCTGAAAAAAATGGTTCAAGTGTGACTTTTTTTGGGATCTCCTGATTCCAGAAAAACAAACAAATTTCTTGCAATAGATCTTGGTTTCGAGTTTTAAAGCTTCAGAGGTCGTAAAGAGGTCCTAGGGGTTTACTTCAGCGAATTTTCATCGAAAGTTCAACCGGGGGGTCCTTTACTTAGCACAAAAACTGTTAAGGTTCCTGAGGAATAAAAAAATTCCGTAGCGATTTTTCGCTTTAAAACAGTCTTCACTTCATGGCTAGCATTACTTTTTTCTCATTTTAAGGAAATTCTAGAATTTTTTGTCAGAGCGTCAGAGCGAACTGACATTATAAACAAGCCATGGACGTCTATAGCCAAGTTTTGATTTTTCTTCTCAAAGAAGAATATTTTGTACAACCCAATAGCTTCATTTTCAAGATTTCAATGATCAAGACTCCTCTATAAGCCTTCCTTCATATAATCTGCCCCTTAATTGTGGAAAACGTAACAATTATTCGGTTTCAATAGAGGCAGCTATGAATAGAAGTCGTTAGAAAGTAGTTGTAATCCTCGTAAACATTCAACAATAGAACAAGTTAAGTAAAAATCGCTACTTTATCCACCTCGAAAGTCCGCCTTTGTTAAAAGCTTCGTCTGGATCTTTTAAATTCCGAATAAATTTTCCAGCAGCTCAAAAAAAGATGGTCTCACAAATCGCACTCGCCGCCTTCACACTAGCTAACGCAGTGATGTGAGTTTCGACTTTTTTTACTTCTCGAATGAAAATCAAGGCTTATTTCGGAACTTTTCAAAACCTCTTATATTTAATTAGCTCCCGGAAAATTCCAGTAGTTATCTTTGAATTGATTAAGCTTAATTAATCTCCAAGCTATCATTTATTATAAAAAAATAGTTTATAAACTAGCTTTTTTTAAGCGGATTAAAAGGCCTCAAAAAATATTTCTTACTGAAAACTCGGATTCAGGTAACTTTCTCATTCAAAAATAAACTAATTTCAGGGTTTTTTTGAATACATATTTTGAAATAGACCTGAGGAAAAACTACTCAAAACTATCAAAATCGGTCATTTATTCAAAGAAACCAACGACCGTTTTTTTTTCTTTTCCTTATTTTCGTATCCTACTGAGAATCTTCAGAAGTAAAAAAAAGCAGGGAGAGTTAAGAGTTCAGAAAAATAATACCCTTTCATATTTTCCTCCTTATTCCACCTTAAAAAGGACTAAAAGCTCTTACGGCCGAAGGAAAATCGAGAAAAAGCCGTCCATTTTTGGAAAATTTATTTCAACGAACCAAAAATCCCATTTTTCAAAGCCAAATCTTCGAAAAGTCGTAATAGAATCAACAATAAGTTCACTCAAAATCGACTTCAGTGATATTTTTACTCACAGAATTCAAATAAACTAGAAAAAAGTCGATTATTCAGTGATAGTTCCAGCGCAATGCCGACCTCCTACAGTTACGGATCACCCTACTCGATGATGTCAAATATGGGCTACGGTAGTTACGGTAATATCTTCAAAAAATAATATTTTTATTTGATATTTGAATTTAAGGTTCAATGGGAATGCCTGGAAGTGGAATGTACGGTGGAATGGGCGCGATTCCTCCGCCAGGGATGGGATCCTACGGAATGGGTTCGTGGCTTTTTTCTAGTCGTTCCTGCGCCCCAGTGATAAAAATGGATCTTGACGGTTCTTACGCTTTAAAAAACGTAAAAAGACAATTTTCAAAAAGAGATAAGGTCAAAAAGCACGGTTTTTTTCCATCTAAACGTGTTTTTTTATTAATATTTTAGTGTTCGACATTTTTTGTGTACAACCAGAGCGAAAAATCTTATGAAATGTATCCAAATCAGAGCCAAAATATTTTCTCAGAAACTACAAAATCGGAGAGCACTTCAAACTTCCTAAAACACATCATTTTGTCCAAATGTGAGAAAAGTCTTCCGAAAGTCTCTCTGAACTTTGAGAGCTAGGAGAAGAAACGGCCAACCAGTTCGAAATGTACCGGTTCATCAAAACGGCGATTTTCGCTTTTCAACACGACCGCCGAGAACACAAATAAGCTCCACGGACAAGGATAATCCGGCCCCCTTTTTTTCTTCTTCGTTCCATGTCTGGAAAAAGAAGAGCGACGTTTGGCCTCGATTTTCGGATTAGGAAAAAAAGTTCTGGTTGTGTTGAAATTCTAGTGTTGGACTTTGGAGTTCGTTATAGCATACTCTCTGAAAGAAAATATAGCTTTTTTATTTCCAGGAATGTATGGGATGAACGGCATGCCTGGAATGAGTGGAATGGGTGGAATGGGCGGACTTGGCGGCTTGGGAAGCATGTCTTCTGGCTTGGGAATGTCCGGATTATACGGTTAGTTTGGAAGAAAAACAACTCGGACCTTGGTAACGCGAACGGGACGTGTCGAGGCATTTCTAGTGACCACTTTAGTAGTCTCAGCACTCTTAAGTGGTCCCTAGAATTGCCCAGAAACGTCCGTTTCGCGTTACCAATTTTCGAGAAGCTTGATAAAAAAAATTTTTCGCCATGGAGCAGAAAAGCTTGACAGTTTCTTTAAAACCGTGGCTATTTTGGGATCAGTTCAAACATCTTTTTTTTAAAGGGACAAGAGTCTTGTGGAACTGAAAAGTTTTTAAAATTCCTTTAGGCCTAGATACCGTTATTATGTCACTTTTTGCCTCCTGAATATCAAGAAATTATTTTTTATCAGTGTATGAGCTATAAAATCGATTTGATACCTTTTCCAGGAGGCTACCAATCCCCCTACGGTCTCTCTTCAATGGGCGGCCTCGGCGGAATGCCTTATTTCAACAAAAGAACTTGAACAGTTCACGTTTAAATACTTTAATAATTTTAATTATGTATGTACTTTCCACCCTGATAATGATCTGCTGACGTCTTTCCCATTCCATTTTCTCCAAACGATAATAAAAACTATTTAACAAATATATTCATATAATCAAATCCGTGAAATAAGTGGCTATTTCACATGGATCCGTCTGCACAGCGCACGCGGATAATTGTGAGCTCTCTCCTCCAATCGAAGATGGGATCCCTTTACAGTACTCCGACTTCGAGATCAAAACCCACGAGGCTATCGACAAACTCGTTCGATTGAACACGGAAGAGTACAGAAACTACGAGGTGATTTTAAGGCGTATTGGGATGGTTTTCACAGACCTGGCCGAACTGGGAATGGCTCAACCGAAACGGCGCGGTTGCGTTTACTCAGCAAGGATGGCGCACGGTGCGTTCTGGTGCGTAACTGGAGTCTGCACCGTGCATTTTCGCTGTTGTTTTTTGGGTCGCACTGGTGCCGCACGCTAAGAGTACTGAATTGACATCTGTGCACCAAGACACCAATTGCGCACCAGAGTGCAAAAACGCAGAATGCACCGTGCGCCATCCTTGCTGAGTATCGTCTGTGTACCACGACTTGGAATTTCATCGAACGACATTCCGTTGTTCCACTGCCTGCTCGGCCGCTTTTTAATTTTTAATTTTACTTAAAAACTCGACCAACACGTGTTCCTAGTGGAATAGTGTATCTATCGAAAATGAGAACCAATTCAAAGCGAGACCGAGGCTCGCAAAGACGCTTCGCGACGCAGCGGAAGAGCGGAATGTCGTTCCAAGTCTTGGCACACAAACTATACAGCTGATTCTTGCGCGAGCCTGCAAAAAAAGGGTCCTGACACGAAAAGAGACAGTCCCTGGTTGGTGGAGAGCGCAGACAAGGCGCGGCTCTTTACGTCCTAAGCTAGCCGTGAATGAAACTAAACTTGAAAAATTCGAAGCTCGAAAGCCGTTTCGGGTCGGGCGCATTTCCAAGCAGCGGTCCCTTATGAGCTACTCCCAGCATGTCAATTTTTGAAAAATCCTAGAAAACAAACAAATATATACCTTCACAAGGATCCTGAAAGCTCAATCACGCTTTTGAACAAGAAAATTTAGCGTCAAAGTTACTTGAAAGCTTGGAAAATTTTAAAAACCGTAAAAAAACGTCATTTCTTTCAGATTGAACATTTCAATCACAAGTTGGCGATGAAGTTGCGCGAGAGAATGAGCGAGGTAACTAATAGTACAGCTGATTTACGGCTGGCTTGAGCCATCAAAAAAAAGGTCCTGACACGATAATGCACGAGATAGCGCCTGGCTCGTGGAGAGCGCAGACAGGACACGCCCCCCTAGCGTTCCAAGCTGGCCGTGAATCAGCTATAAACAAGATTTTGAAATTGAAGATCCCGGGAAAAACCTTAAAAGAGCTAAAAAGTAAGCATGTCCCTAAATAGGCACCTAAACCCTTAAGCAAAGTTAATGATATCATAAATGACTTACAGCTGCACCCGGGGATCGGCGGCTGGTCCTCGATCGTCGGCACTTCATTCGCTGGAGCTTTCGCTTTCCAGAAAAACTCCATGCTCCACCTGACCGTCGGTTCGTTTCTAATCAATACAGAAATAAGTTATTAACTACTTTTTTTCAGATGGAATGCATATCGTGCTCTTCCGAACGCCAATCACGAGGAACATAAAGTCGAGGGAATTGGGTTGAAAACCTTGACGGAGAAAAAAACGAGGGAAAAAAACTGCCCAGGCGATTGCGCTTTATCTTAATAAAAAAATTAAATAAAATTAAAATTGTAAACGTAAAGCAAGTACATTTGAAACAAACATGGGAAGACATCTTTGGAAACTTGAAAAAAGCATGGGGTTCGAAGAGGGATCGGTTAACGATTTTTGAATCGGTTTATGAAAAGGGTCCTTTTCGAAAATGTATTTACAACAAGGTATATTTATTTATACGAAAATCTCAATTTTTTTGAGATTTAAAAGTTCTAGAAGCCGTAAATATCATGCAGAAAGCCTCAGAGAAGCTATACATGAAGGTTCACTCTAGAAACAATATTAAAAGTCTTTCAACTTGTAAAATTCGGTTCTTTTGAAGCTTGTACACCGGAAAGCGAAACTTTTCTCCTTGGATTCTACTATCTCAAACCCTTTCAAAAACCGTAAACTCCAATAAACATGATCAATAACTAGAGAATATAAAAATCAATGAGCATTAACAAATCTAGTGAAACAAAGCAGTTGGAATCCACAGAAAAGATTCGAAATGAATGGGAAAAATCACAAAATATTGACAAAGTTAGGAGAATGAAACAAAGTTGAGGAGTGTGCAAAAGTACGAACAGATAATGACAAAAAAAGACAGGAGATAATTTTTGGTAACTCTGTGACAAAGCAACATGGAAAATATGTGAGAAAAATGCAAGATAAACATGTTTCAAGATATATTTTTGTGGAAAAAAAAAAGAATCAGGAATCTGTTTTGGGACGTTTGCCAAGAGGTTCGTTATGGTTGAAATCCGTCCGAATCTGGATATTTTCCAGGGGGCCTTGAGATTCGACATCCACTGAAGAAAAAGTGGAAAATCTTTATGCAAATCTGGATTTTTTCCATTCAAACTGCTGTAGAGATTTCTGACACGATTCAAAGTTTTCTTTTTTTTCTGGTAGCAAAAATATCACGAAAAACTAGGAAATTCATTAAATTATTTTAAAAAAATTCATTAAGCATTTTTTTATAGGTTACATTGCACTTGATAAATGCGTCTAGTATTTTTCAAAGTTTATGATTTTTTTCCGTGGGTTCCCGGAACTATTTTCAGTTCACTTCAGATGAACAAAAAAATTAATAGAGCAAAAGAGAAATTTAAAAAAAGAATTTAAAAAAACTTTGAAAAAAATAAAAAAAGATTTTTTTCGAACTTTCCTACTACCCTGGGAGCTTTCAGTTTTTTTCAAGATTCGTTTCAAGTTCAGAATTATTTCGAGAATAGGTATTTTTTGAATTAAAGACCTGGTCCTAAGGGCCTAAAGCCGTCTATGACGAGAACAAAAAAATCACCAGGGCTCTTCTGATTCTCGGCGACGCTAGTGGGTTCAAACTCTTCGCGGTTCATCATAATCTCTGGAAAAGAAATTTTGGAATTTCTTTTCTTTTCCACAACGAACCATTCGCCCGGTTACGCTTCCTCATCGACTTGGCTTCTTCAGACTCTTTGTAGGTGGCTGAAAATATGGAAGTTATGTTCTTTTTTGAAGAGAAAGTGAACCATCAAGTTCAGAGGGCAATTTCAGGCCAATGATTCGCATATTTTCCTGCGCGATCAAATTGCAATGTTCCCTGTAGACGGGCGACGAGAAGACACTCACGTTGGCACGGAGAGGATTGTGCTGAAATCAAATCTAATCCCGTGTTTGGAGTAATTTCGAGGAGTTCAAAATAGCCGTCAGAGAATGGAAAAAATAACCTAATTTTAATTTTCTCAAAATACTTTGAACACGGTATGAAATATTTGAAAAAAGAAGCCTTTGAATGTAGAATATTGATATCTTCTTGATTGACGCGAAGCTTCAGGATAATGAGTCATTTCGAAAAATTTTTGTTCATCTCAAAACAATTCAAAGTATCAACTGAGTAATAAAAATGATGAGATATGCTATACTACATTTATTTTAGAATATCGAAGAAGAACTTTCTGTGAAATTCATAATTTACAAACTTGAAACACCCTGAGTTAATAAGCCTAAAAAAATTCTTTTTCAGGTTCAATTTTTTGTAATCGTTAGTAGCCTCTATAGGGGTTGGTAAAGTGGTCCCTATAAGAGCCGTTAAGGTTGCCCATGTAGGGACCACTCTAGAGTTCTTAAAAAGGTTTTAACTTTCAAGATTAAAACCACTTTTCTTTTTTTTTCAACGTTCAAATCAGGCAGAAGAAATTATCCCAACAGCTTGAATCTATGAAACTTTCCGAAATTCACTTCATTATTATAATCAGTCATGATGCAGTTGGCTAAGAGAGGCGTCGTCGCGTATTTTTCGACCAAAAACGGCGAAACTTTCTCCGGCGTCGCGTTGAGCTTCCAGGCAAGCACTTGTCGGCCTGAAAATTTTCATTTTCGGATAGAAATCATTTGATTCTCGACAAACACTGGTTGGAAGACAGGATCTGAGAATTTTCGACTTCTCCCTGTGACATCAAGACATTCTCCACGCATGAACCGGGAAAACCTTGGAAAGGCGTCTGGGACTGAAATTTCAAACTCGAAAGATAAAGATAAATAAATCTCGTTCAACGCAACGGATCGACTAAACTTCAGAATCGTTTTGTTAATAAAGGCGACAGAAACGTATCTGGACAAACTTTATTGATTTATTCTGACTGTCATTTCAAACACTAAATTTAATTAAAACTTCAAACAAAGTTTCTTGAACCACTAATTTCAGTGAATTTTTTTTTCAACTTGCTCAGAGGAAGTTATGGAATGATTACAAAAACAAAAAAGGTGAATTTCAAGAAACATAAACCGAAAAACTTACTTTGAAATTTTACGAAGAATAGCATACGGTGAGATAACACAGAAAAAGATATCAAATTTTTTTATACTTTCCAAAAGAAATTTCCATCCTGCTCCAAATTTTATGAAAAATGACTGAAAAAGAAACATTTAAGACTTGAAGATGGGCAAATTTATTAATTTCATAGGAAAGGCTGGTTTCAAAAATTAAATTTTTTTCGTAAAAAAATATCACTATTTCCTTCAGATTTTTTTACTTTCTAACAGCCTTCTGACTTTGTCAAAATCATTTTGAAAATGTAATTGAAATATTTTCAATCAACTCGACTTATCCACAAGAAAAACCCACCTTGATCTGATTATGCTGCAACTGAATCTGTTGCTGGCAGATGAGCATGGTGGCGAGCTGGGACACGGACGGGATCGTTGCGGGCGTCGCGGCGGCGAGATACGGCGCGGTCGAAGCGGAAAGCGATGCTTGTTGCTGAGGTGAGCCGGCGAAGAACGGGTTGGTCTGCATGAATGGGTGGAGAAGCTGCGCGTTTGCGGCGCCAAACTGCGCCAGTGCCGCGGCCGCTGGGGAAGGGATCAGGCCTGAAAATTGCTCCTACAAGGTACATTTATTTGTGACCGTTCAAGATTTACTTGGCACTTAGATAGATTCTTCCTTAAGTTTGGACTTCTTTAATTTTACCGCAATGCTCTTGGATGTAATGAGGACTGAACCGAAATTTGTCGTTTCGAATAGTTTTACGGAAAATTTATCACAACAATCTTCTAAAAATCGAAAAACCTTATCCAGAGTTAAATAAAACTCCAGTTACACTGAACCTTATAATCTCCCAATTTCTGATTTTTCCTGACTAAATAATTCTATAAAGATCTGAGTTAATTGAGAAGCAAAAACTTTCCACCTTTTTCGAGTTTTTCTTCTAATCTTCAAGTTAGAGAGTGTTCAAAAATGAGAGGGCGAGCTTTTTTTTTTGAAAGCTCTCTCGTTCCCCAGTGCTCTCTAGCTTTGGAATCTTCAAACGTATATTCAACATTTTTCTCACCAGCCGCTTGAAGGTTCTGGATCTGGGTCTGCTGGAGCAGGTTTTGCAAAGCTTCCGGGGCCAGACTAGCCTGGAGTTGAGCTGCTTGCAAAAGTTGCAGCTGGGCCACGACCAACGGAGTGAGGACTGGGGCCGGGTTCGGTGGGCCGAAATCAACGATCGGCTGGCTTGGAGCTCCTGGAAATTTCATAAATTGCAAAGGTCCCTGAGAAAATTAACAAAAACGAGTAGAAAAAGTAGACGTTACTAATGATTTTCGTTCTATTTTCCAAATCAAAGTCTAAAAACCCACCCATGTTGCCGAACGGAATATTAAATGCAGATTTGCTGAGCTCAGTGTTGAAATAAACCGCACTGGGCTCATTATTGCGAGGGACGCGATTTTCTCGTACGTTTTTGATCGCAGTCGCGCGACGGATCTGAACACTTTCACGATGGTATATACTTTTGATTTTTTATAGCTTCTCATATTTGAGATGGTTTCCATAGTAATTTCCTTGAAATGATAAATTTTCTCAAAAATTCAAACAAATGAGGTCACAACATCAGACTATACTGAAAATAACTGCCGAAATATAGCTGATTCACGGCTAGCTTGGGGGCGTGGCCTGTCTGCACTCTCCACGAGCCAGGCACTATCTCAGGCATTATCGCGTCCGGACCCTCAAGTCAGTCGTTAATCAGCTATAGAAGCGAGATCGCTGGCGGTGCGTTGACGACATCGCAAAAGTGCTGCTTCGTAGGCGGGCGTTTTCTTTAGAGCGATCTCACCTTTTTGCGATTTTCAAAACACATAAGTGTTTTTAAGTGCGTGAGAAAAACGGAGTCGCGCCAAGAAAATGTGGCGATTGATTTACGATGTCGTCAATGCACTGGAAGCGATATCGCATTTACTTCGCGTCGGACAAAGCAGTTAACTCTCGTTTACACCCACCATTTGAAAAAGAGCGGAGCAGAAACATATTATTTAGATAAAAAAAAATGAAAAGGCTGGGTAAGCCCGTTACAAGAGAATACTTCAAAGCTATTAGGGGCTTATACAAAACAAAAAAAATCGATCTTTTCTGAACATTCCAAGCGAAAAAAAAAACTCTCGGGGGCTTGTTTGGAGGTGCAAAGCGAAGTTTTGAAAATTTAGCTACATGGAATTCTTGATAAAAAAAAGCTATTAAATTGAGATCACGGTTGATAAAAGCCAACAAGATACAGTTTCTTCTTCGTTGCGGTTAGCTTTTAGCCACTACAAAGGGTTTTACAACAGACACGAAAGCCCCACAAAAGCACCTCAATAACACGGCCATCAATAACCAAGCGATTAAAATTCGTGCGGGCTTTTTCGGCCTGTTCCACAGAAGCCAAAGTCACAAAACCGAAACCACGAGAGCCGCGTTCATTGTAGGCGATTTCTGCACACACCGGCGAGAACCTGAACGAAAGAGACAAAGATTTTCGGGGCCTTAACAGAGGTTTCGACTTTTTGAACATGCTCATCAAGTCGTCATCCTTGAAGCGGAAAGGCAAATTGCACACGAACAATCTGAACCATGCAAGTTTTTCGGATTGTGAGGGGATTTGACAAATCGAATATATATTCTATTCGTAAATACTTTGTGATGTTTTTGAAAGCGCAAAGAGAAATATTATAAAAATTTTTCGAGGTCTTCAGATTTTCGGTGAGCCAAAAAAATTTGCGCCTTCAAATACACCATCAAAGGTTTCTGAACATATTGAGAAACTTTGGAGGGGCCCCTAGAGGGGTTTCATAGGAAGCCCTAGACAGAAACAAAAAAAAAAGCAAAAAAGAGGAAAATATCGCAATCTTTCCTGCAATAAGCGACAAAGCACTTTTTTTAAATTGATTATTAAACAAAATTTGGAATTCATTTTAACCAAATGGATCAATTTTTAATCATTCAACCTATTAGAAGAGAACTCCGGCGGTTCCACGGTAGAAACTCGAACCGTAGCTGGCGGGGAAGGCCTAAAATTTTCAAATAGAAAGATGTGGAAAAATATTGAAAGCTTACATTATTTCAATGACCAAAGCTAAATGGACCAAGTGTTCAAATCTGAAAAAATAGTATAAAACGAAAAAACGTCGACGTAACATGCAGAAAAACAGATAGAATCGTAGGAAATTGCGAAATAAATGAGAAAAATAGTTATCCAAGACAAAAAAAAGATGACTCAACGCGCCGATTCTCGACCTTTCTAATGCAATGATTCACGAAATGTCGCTTGCCGGCTCGCAAAAAGATTTTGATCCCAAAAAAAAACCAGTGAAAGATCGATTTAGCGCGGTTTGACCCAGGCACAAGGTGAGTCAGAAATATTTCGCCAGAGATAAAAAAATTATGGAATTCATGCTCGCTACTTTATAGAATTATCTACCAGAAAGGCTTTTTCAGTGTTTTTTAAGCTCTTTTAAGACTTCTGCATATCTAAAAAAACACCACAGCAAGAAATTTTGAGTGACCAATAATGCGAAAAATCACAGAATTATTGCTTATTTCTACATTTTGTTCAAGAAAATTAAAAAAATTGTTGCGAAAAGTACTTCAAGCAAGCCAGCGGCAAACTGATAACAGATAAACTGAAGAAAAAAAATTTTAATCAAATGGAATAATCAAACGAAACGCTATTAGGTATTCTACTCATTTTCTCGTCGACACCATCGGCTAACTCGTTCGCCCATTTTGGGAGGTCAATAGGCTTTTCTCATATTTTAAATGAATATTATGTTTAAGTTTCAAGGCGTAACATGTCTTGTACAGAACAAAATATACTTATAAAAAAGGGCTATTGCACCGACAATTTTTTTGATTTTTCTATTTATCCACAGTTTTGAGAAGCTTGAATTTTCTTTAAAAATGATCTGGATATTTTCCTTGTCCCTAGTACCCTATTCTATTTACAATCAGGTAAAATTTTGAATTTCTAGAACTGAAAAGGAAAACAAGCGGGTGGGATACGTAACAAGATGACTTCGCAATCGCTCACAATGATCCTTCTGCCTTTACTTTTGCACATCGCAATCATCACGCTCAATCTGACGTACTGTTGCGTAAGTTTAAGAAGGAATTTCCCGGGAAACAGAGAATTTTGTAGAAAAAGAAAAATGCGTCGAGTAAGGGAGCCGGTGGGGCGCCGACTTCCGACTCCGCTGCAAACGACGGTCAAACGTCGCTGAAAGGAGGGGAAGCCGGTGCCAAGGGTGAAGGAGAAGAAAAAGCTCCTGCTATGGCTGGTAGCTTTCTTACTTTTATGAGAACCATTAAGAAGAATTTCAGGAACACACGATCCAAACTATCAAACTCTCGCTGGAATCGGAGGCGATGTATTCAATAAACCTGGTGAAGGAGGGGCGGCTGGTGGAGCGCCAGCTGCTGGAGCTGCAGCAGGTGGAGGAGCTCCGATGGCCGGTGAGTCTTGTCAGAAACTTTGAAGGCCGAAAAGTGAAAAAAAATTGAACAACGAGGATCCAAAGAGAACAAATTTAAGGAACTCATGATCCCAACTATCAAACGCTCGCCGGAATCGGAGGCAATGTATTCGATAAACCTGGCGAAGGCGGTGCAGCTGGACCCAAGCCTGGCGCCGGAGGAACCGCCGCCACTCACGATCCCAACTACCAAACATTGGCCGGGATTGGAGGCGACGTCTTCGACAAGAAAGGAGGAGCTGCTCCCGCAGGACCCAAGCCTGGAGCCGGAGGAACCGCCGCCACTCACGATCCCAACTATCAAACGTTGGCCGGAATAAAGGGCGACGTTTTCGACAAGAAGGGTGGCGCTGCGCCTGGAGGTCCCGGCAAACCCGCCGCGCCGGCTAATCAAGTGAAACTTTTTCCAAAAACAGCCTTTTATCATTTTTCAGCAAGCTAAAGCTGCAACTCACGATCCTAACTACCAAACACTAGCCGGAATGGGTGGCGATGTATTCGGAGCCGACAAAAAAGCTGGAGCTGGTGGAGCTGCAGGAGGACCAAAGAAACCAGTTGCTCCGATAAATCAGGTCAGAATTCACTTACTGTGAAAAGGTCAAAAAAAAACTGGCGAAATCCCATCAAAAAGTAGACGATTTAGCGCAAAAATAGGACTGGTGATTTTTTTTTGATTTTCAAATTTTTTATTGAAAAGGAAATGAAAAAACGGCCCTGAAAAAAATATCTTAGACTTTAGCCGTGAAGTCAGCTTTTCGAAGTAGAATCAATTTAGCAAGCGAAAGCCGCCACCAAAGATCCAAACTATCAAACTTTGGCCGGCATGGGTGGCGACGTCTTTGGTGCCGACAAAAAGGCTGGTGGTGCCGCCGGCAAGCCAAAAGCACCGATTAATCAGGTTGGTGAGGATAAATGGGATTCGTATGAGAACAGTGACCGTCATTTATGATGAACAATTTTGAAAGCGATGAAGCTGCAGAACTTGAACTTTTTCTTGGCATTAACTGTAGGTACATAAAAAAAGAAATTGAGAAAAAAACTTTTTGAAAAAATTTCATAAATCTTTAACTCAACTGACAAGTGGTAGTGAGACAACTATTAAAAAAATCATGTGAGTGAAAATTGAAAATTTTGAATCGAAATGATCCGTAAAAATTAAAAATCGATTTAAAAAAATTTTCTCAAGAAAAAAACAGTGGACAAGTTTCGTGTATCCAAGAAAAAAATCAAGAAATTTAATGTTCATAGTTCATTCCCAAAGCTTACTGTAGTTTTTTTAAAAAGAAGTATGAGAAAATTTTCGAAAGTTTAGTGGCAAAATTTGACTTGTGCGCTTTGAATAATGGCAAGCGAAAAACTATAAACATATACAAGCCTTAAAAATGTATGAATTGCATAATAAGGAAGAAAAAAGTTCAAAAACAAAAAATAAAAGCTCAAACGACGAACTGCGGCCTTGTGATGACTCAACTTGACCCGTGCCTTTGTTTTTGCGGTCGAACATAATTTCGAAAACTCGCGCCTTTTTCCATTCAAATCGGAAGTGGCGATCAATTTTTCTCTATATGATGTTTACAACTACACGGCGTGAATAAAACATGCTTTTTTTAAAGTAGTAAAATCAATAAACTAGAAATTTTCAGGAAGCTAAAGCCGCAACAAAGGATCCTAACTATCAAACTTTGGCTGGAATTGGCGGTGACGTTTTTGGAGCGGACAAAAAGAAAAAATAATCGGAGCCATTTGAAAGAATAAAACTCACAGCAAGGCTAAGTAACAACGTGCACAGCAAGCAGTGGAACAAAAAGCAAAAAAATAACGGTGAAAAAATAACTTTATACAAAAGGTGATGCAAAGCAAACAAATAGGGTTACGAGTAAAATTGGGACTCATGCGGTGAGAAAAACGATTATTTATTAGGATATTAGAGCACCGGAAAAAGCAATGGATCAATAGAAATGAATCAACCTCTCCAGTAGTAGTAAAAAGAGGCCATGAAAATGAGGCAAAGCACGACCCCCGCTATAAACAACGTGCAGTCGTCTTTTAGCCGTCGATCGATTATATTTATAGTTGTACTCGATAAACCCAGCTGAAGATAATATATTTTTCCTATCAGAAAAGAAGATTAACCATGTTGCCCAAAGATCTCATCTTTTTCCGCGTTTCTTTCATTTCGAGCCCTTGCGACTGTATGTTTTTCAGCACATTGTAACCCTGGACAATCATTTCGTCGACCTGAATTCTCATTTTTCATTGAATAGACGTTTTTTTCTCATTTTCTTCACCCCTTTATTGGATGCTTTGAGGCGACTATGCACATCTCTCTCAATGTCAACCTCTCCGACGTTGACGGCGCAACAGCTGTTTGGCTCGAATCTAAAATCTTTTTATTTATCTTCTTTGAAATGGAAAAAACCTTTTATTTAAGAGCTCTTCCCTATCACTGGCCGCTTTCCAGCGAGCTTGTAGCCTAGAATTTAGAGTGTTGTAGGAAGATTGAATGAATGAGGCGTCACTTCGCAATTGTTCACGCTTTCTGCAGCCCTATTTATTTTTGGAAATTTATTCATCCTCCTTTTTCTGATCGAACCTCCTCGCGAAGAGCTGCCGGTTGTCGTGCTATCTCCGCATCTAACCTTCGGAAACTGTCCTCTATTCTCCTGAAACTCATTCACAGTTCGAAATATAATTTCAAACTACATAAAAAGACGAGACAAGTCGTTGTTGATGGGTCTGGCCGACTCTTCGCACACACTACGGTCCAGGGTCATCAAATGTAATTCGACTTCTTGCAGGAGCTCGGACGTAGCTTTTAGGCGTTGTTCCATGTTAAAACTAAAACTAAAAAAATCATGAATAATGGAACGAAAGAGAAAAAAAAATTGACGAAAACACCAAGAAGGATTCCCAAAAAAAGCGAGGTCCTCGCGATCACAGAGGCATCAGAAAAGGGCTGCTTCTTAGCCGCGTTGTTTCACACAAGGCAAATTCGCGCCGGACTAGCTAATGGCAACAATAACGAAGATAAGAAAATGAAAACTTTAATTTTTTTCGAGAATTAAAAAATGGCAAATTAGTCGTAAGATATAATGTTTAGTTCAATTTCCATCGATGCGTATTTTTCCTATACAGTAACCCATTTTTAGCCCTCTCGACTTTTACAACTTTTTCACTTCAAAATATTGCGTTTTTTTTTTCGATTTATAGAAAAATTTCCTTGGATAGAAGATTTTATAATTGAAACAATAATTTTGATTATCCGTAGAAGAGATTTGCCTTCTCCAATCCTTTCAGCTACTGATCATTGTCTTTCTAAAAAAAATTTTTTTGGCAACAAGATATTATTTATTTACCACTCTGTATTTTTTCTTTGGCGGAGTATCGTTCATTAACAATTTTAAACCGCTCAGAATGGATAACATAATTGTGAACACTAGAAGCATCGAGAATAACGTGTAATACCTGTAGGAAGTTTTCTTTGTTCAATAAAATTAGAGAAACCCACAGGTAACAATCAATCATACTGAATTGGAATAGAAATTAGCTTCGAAACGTTTTATATCAATTTTTTTTATTGTATGACTTTGATGGAATGTTATCAATTCCAATGAAGCGTCATTTGGTCAAAAATAAACTTCATCCTCTCATTTGCAAACTTTTTTTTTTCTTTTTTTCAACGTCTCGACTGACGTGTTGCATTCGAAACTATTAATTAACTTCCTCTTTTCGAAACTTCCCAGAAACATCCTCAACTTGTCGCGTAGTTCTCTGCCAAACTAACGAGAAGAGCTTTTATTTTCAGGGGAGAAAAAATACACGGAAAAGGGACCAAAAGCAATAAAAGTGGAAAAACAACGTTCACAATAGTTTTCCGGACCAATGAAGCTTGAAAGAAGGCGCATTTAATCAAAGAAAGGCATGAATCCGCGTGGCCGGCCTTCAGACATTTGCGAGACCGAATAGGCCGGATTGTGGAAGGGAAAACGGTTGAGGTGCGACCGGAACGGCCGGCTCATCACTGCAAAATCGTCATGTTCTTGGATTCTTTGAAGAAGAAATGTTTCATTATGAGAAATTCTCTATTCTAAATATAACTTGGTCTAGAGGGGTTCAAAAAAGATTTCTTTCACAACCTAGCAGCTTTTTGAGAGTTATGCTCTAAAAAAGGGTTTGGAAAACATGGAAACTCACTTGGCCTGTAAAAAGTTTCATCCTCAGCTCTGACCATTGAAACGAAGCCAATGATGAGGGCCAGCTGAAAAAAAAAATTATTATAACATTAAAATTGATTTTTCTATATTTGAAACGATTTTGCTTGTCTCTTCGGTTATAGAGAACGAGAAAAGCCGCTTTCAGGTTCCAGACAAGACTGTTTTAAGTCGATTTTACACTTCTTGAAACTGTTTGATTAACTGTAAAGCCGCCAAACCTTCAAAAAAAAAAAATAAAACCGATGAAAAAAGGACCATAAAAAGATCACCGGAACAGTAGCAAAAAATGAAACCTGTTAACTTCTATGAATATTAGTTAAACTGTGTTGCCATTCAAAATTTGAAAGGTAGGAAAAAATCTAGAATGCTCAGATGATTCGTGAAAGACCTGATTATTCAAGCTGGTTTGATGAAGTTTAGGAAAAAAATGTATAAAGCTATCGATTTTTTTTTTTCGGTTCGCAAAAGTTTCTGAATGGTTCTTAAAGTTTCCGACCACTCTCATAGTTTTTTTTTGGACTATGAATGCGCTTAGAGTACTCCTAGAACAAAAAATGTCCTTCTTGCTAATATAAATAACGATTCTAACAATAAGGCTTCCAAATAATTGAACCCCTTTCAAGTCTTCACAAAACTCACCACGTAAACAGCGAAGCAACGCATTCGGAGCGACGTCGTCGGCGAAAAATGCCCCAAAGTAGAGCCTCCAAAAGCCCCGCCTCTCTCTTTCCATGAGCTTTTGCGTCTATTCTACCCGGCCTCCGCCTCCTTTATCGAAAAAAGAAATGACAAACGATTACCAATTTAGCTTCTTAAGCTTCACAATAGAATAACTATTTCAAAAGACCCCAAAAGGCTTTCTCAAGTGTGCTCTTCGGGCAGACAATTGAAGTGTTTTCGGGACGTCTTTTTGTCTTTTGTGAAGTTAATCCGGTGTATCTGGAACTTGTTAAGCGTCGGCAGACTTGACAAAGATCACTGGATAAGCAAATATAATTATAGAAAATAAAATTATCGGACAAATGATATTAATTTAGGCTTGCTGGAGGCCATAGCTCATTCCACTACCTCATAAAACATGAACGATTATTTTTATTACAAATCATCATGCACGCGAAAAAAGCATTTTCTGCTTTTTCGTCTTTTGAAAAAGGGAAAAATAATTTCGTTTTCCTCGTTCAAAGTGTCAAATTTCGCAGTTTCTCAGAGGAAACGTGTGAATTTCAAGTGATCTTTAGCACAAATTTCGGAACTAAAGGTCGAGTAAGGAAATGGAGACTTGAAAAAGGCCCCAAGGCTTTTTATAATCCAAAGACTTGAAACAGGAAATGAGAATTTGAACTTATTTGGAGTTTGGATGAAGAGGATCAGAGAAAAACTTTTAATTTGTCTGGTGGTTCGAATTCTTTTTAGTTTGAGAATTTATAAAAAACATTTTTAACGGGTTTTTGACAAAAGATGAAGAAATAGACTCAATATTGATCTTAACGAAAGTCAAGAAAATTTTTCGAAGAAAGTTTCTTTTTTTTTCACTTTTTTTTGAAAACCTAAAAGCTCTCTTTTTTTTTCAAAGCTTGATAAAGAATAAAATCCTATTTTTTAAGAGATCTAAGATCTTCAAATCTTATTGGTTAGAAAATATGAAAAACATCGCTTATTTCATTGCACGTTTGTGGGTTTACGTGTTTTTGACGTGTTCCAGCTGAGAGCGGTTAAAAAATGGCCCCCGGCTAATTTTAGAGAGATGGCGAAAATGTTCTTACCAACAACATGGGGCTTTCGAATCTATTTCGAACATTATTTTTGACGTAATTCTTCGAGAAATCGAGAGAAGGAGATACGTCTGACAAGCGGGAAGATATGCAATCGATAACGCTTCCGCAGAATAAATGTTTCGAGAACTTTGGCTTCGTTATGTTCGTTACAATCAATATGTTTTTGTTTTTTCATAGCCTTCATTATTTCTTTCCTTAAGTTCCGAAAAGAAAACTACTTCCTGAGCCTGTAAGCCTATAATCCTTTCAGCAAACTTCCTTTTTTTGCCCTTTTTGGCAAGCTGGTAATTAATTTCGTGAGAAATGATCAGTGAGAATTTCAGAAACTTCTAATCAATAGTTTCAACCACGAAACTCGGAGAAAGAAATCATTATGTGATGCAACAAAGATTGACCAGACTCATAAATCACTTCTTTTCACACAAATGATACGCCGCGTTCGAGTGTGTTTCCGAGAACTACTCGAAAACGTTCTAACCATCTTTTTCTGATACCTTTTTCTGATTTTTCTCGCAACTTCTATGAAGAAATGTTGAGTCTTCGCCAAAGACATGATCATCGAACTTTTAAAACTGTTCTCAACTTATACTTTTCATTATGCCAAAGACAGAAATCTTCGGACTTTCCGCATAAAAAAAGTAGTTTAATAAATATATGAAGCTTGATAAATGAACTTCTTGAAATCTTCGGACTTTCCGCATAAAAAAAGTAGTTTAATGAATATATGAAGCTTGATAAATGAACAAAGTTTGTGCACGATATAGCAATATAATAAAAAGAATATATCTCTTTTTTTAAATGTAAATGACCAAACATTCTCTAAATGCTCTATGTTCCCATTTTGTGCATTGGTTTCTCAACGTAGAAGTTTGCCAAAAAGAAACTTTCATCGCGAAATTCACTACTTTGCCCTTTCTTAAAAACAAAACAGCCGTTTTAACTCCGATAATTCTCACGACGTCTCATTTTTTAAGATCATCATTTCTACTTAGAGATAAAAGTTAGACTCGGAATTCATTGACAATTGATCTATGATACAGTTGTAAAAAAAAAAATCAAAAACGAACCGATTTTTTTCTCGTTTTTCAAAAAAATAAATTTTGTCAAATTTATTGTAAATGCAGTTTTTTTCGTGCAAAACTGCTTCAATTTAATTTTTCTGACTGGCTTTCATTTTTTTATCATTGTTTTTTTATCAGCACAAAAAAACATTTTTTTAATTATAAAAACTTTGGCAGTATGTAAATTATCGTCAGCGGTAAATGCACAAGAAACATCTTATTTGACGACTTTTATGTGGGTGGGTCGTAGCTCTGGAAACGCCGTGGGATTATTACTTTTTATACTTTTTTTTCTCACTTTCAACGTCTGTAAAAGTTTTTGCATCGTCTAATAGTTGTCCATCGTTCTGATAAATTGATATAAAGGAGAAAAAAAACCAAGGCATCAAATTTCGTTGAGATTCCTTGTTTTTGTTTATTCGTCTTTCTCTTTCGTTTTCAACCTGAACCTGACGTTTTGATGAAATTTCGTTCATCAGTATTAATCATCGTCGCAACGAAGACGATCACGCTGATTCGCCACATTCAATGGTCGATAAATCGCCGAGCCGGGCTTCGCGGCTCTGGCAAAATGTCTGCGACGTTCTCCTCTGCAGGTTTGTTTTTTTTTTTTCAGAAAAGACGTTGAGAAAAAGTTTGTAAGTCTCAGTTCTTTGGCTTTTGGAAATTGATACATTCAACAAATTTCTTTTGCCGACCACCAATTTTTTTCACATCGTCGACCTCCATGTGTTTCCGAAAAAAGTTTCTCTGCAAACTAAATTCAAAAAAAGTTTTGCATAAATTATAGTACTCTAGGTTTGGCAACTTCCTTTTTCAGTCTTCCCTTTCCGGACTGACCAGGTTTTGGATTTCAGGACTTTATAAAGTTTTTTTGAGAAGGCTTTTTTTATTTTTTTCTTTGTAATAAGGCCGACTTGTATTTTTTTGCGCATGATTATCAAAAAAAGGCTTCATTCGAGTAGAAAGCTAAGAATCTTTACTTTGCATGTGTTCCCTAATTATTATTATAACAATGTTAATGAATTATTGCTATAAATAAATACAAAGTTTAATGAATTATTGCTATAAATAGGAAAGATATGAGGAACTTGTTTATTTTTTATAGAAAACCTTGAAATTTTCTTTGATTCGATATATTCTTGTTAAGCATTTTAAAATTTATTAAAAATACTTTTTGATTTGAAAAAATGGTTTTCTTTCATTCAAAGTTTGCTCACGGGTTTTGGAGTTGCAGCAATGAGGCGGGGTTTAAATAAACACGGAAAAAAGCTGTTCGCACCTAATCTGTTCCGATTTTCTTTTTCTATCATTGAAAAGAAAGTAGTATTTAATTAATTATCGAACAAAAAGGAATTTTCAGAGGTGACGTCGAGGAAACAATGGGCGAGGCACAGCCGGTGTCGTTTCTGGAATTGGTAGGATTTTTGTGGATTATTTATTTTTGTGAATCCTTCTAGTGTTTGAGTTTTGAAACCAGGCAAAACGTTCGAATTTATTCAGTTTTGTAGAAATAATCGGGTTGCTAGAAAAAAATTTTGGATCTTATTTTTCAGTTGTTTTACTCAGTATCGTCATTGCTGCATTGTTACAAGTTAATTGGGGCCTTTTTTTCACAGTTTTCTTCTTTAAAAAGTCATTTTTAATATTGTTATCCATAAGAATTTTCGACTAGATTTTTTTAAAAGTTCTCAATAAAAAAACGAAAATTCCAAAGTTTTTTGTTTTCAGTTCCGATTCGCTTCAGCAGCAGATATAGCCTTTTTCATTGCCGGCTGTCTTTGTGCGAGTCTGGGCGGAGCCTTGCAGCCGATGGTGATGATCATCGACGGCTGGATAACTGCCATCTATCTGCTACCCGGAGATGTACGGTTTCCGTCCATTCATAATGCTTTTTTTAGATTTTTGAAGGAGCACAGGTTAGGTTAGAAACATGCGATAAACTTCCTTCTAATTTTTTCAGCTTCTTTAATAAACAATTTAACGAATTTTTAATCAAAATATTTGGAAAAAATGACGTCATTAATCATTTAGAAAAGAGGAGATCAACAATTTGTCGATGACGTCACCAAGAACCTCATCCTTTTGGCGATTTTCGGGATCATTTGCTTCGTTTTCTGTTTCTTGCAGGTAATCTCCAAAGAATTTTTCTTGAAAGTTCCAATTTTTTTATAAAAAAATACTGTAGTTTCATTTTGTGTGTAGTCTGATCAGAATTATAAATATGGTTCTACTTATTACCATATTCGGCCGCCCCTTACGTCAGTGGAAAAAAATGTCATGTGTTTAACCTAGTGTCTTTTTTTGCATCATTTTTTTCCAGAAAGGGATTGAAAGATCGAAATGAGAAAAAAAGTTATAGTTTTTTTAGTTTTAAAATCTGAGAATTATGACTGGGTTTTTCAAAAGGTTTCACCTTGAACTTTTTTTGAATCCAGAGGTCGATTTTTTTGTAAGTGATAATTTTGAGATTTTTTTCTCATAGATTGAAGATTTTTTTGTTAAAGCTTATAAAAAGCTTATAATGGTTCACAGAAAAAAATAAATCTTAATTCCAATCAAGAATCTTAACTTACTTATAACTCGTCTGTATGCTCAGCTTTTGATCAATTTTCAAGTCTCTTCATAAAAAATAGTTTCAAAGAAGAAAATTGTCAGAAACAGACTTAAAAATGCTCAAAATTCAACATCCCGACAATTTCGATGTCAAAAAACCTTTTCACCTCCAGACACTGTTCTTACGACGGGCCAGTGCGAATATTTGCTGCAAACTGCGCAAAGAGTTTGTCTCGGCCGTTCTTCGACAGGACGCCGAATGGTTCGACGAAACTTCTTCGGGCACCATCAATTCTCAGCTCAATGAGTACGCACGCCAACAGAGCATTACTGTTTCTAAAGTGTTTGAAAATTGAAAAAAATTGAAAATTCCCATTAGTGCGCAGTTAAGCTCATAGTACAGCCGTTTTCAATGTGTTTTCGACGAAATACAGATTTATCTCGGACTCTCCGAAATTTAGTTGTCTTTTTGAGTTTCTGACAGTTTTTTTTAATTTTGCGGAATCACTTTGAACACGGGATCAATTTTTTAAATAGCCGGTTACACTAAGAATAACTGACGAGATAAACGCGAGCTCGGTGGTGGTACATTGACTAACTCGCAAACATCTCGCTTTTTTCAAGGCGCGACCTCGCATTTTTTCTCGGCGTGACCTCGCATTTATCTTGCATTTCGGAAATTTTCAGATTGCGAGAGAAATGCGAGCTCGCGCCTAGAAAAATGCGAGATCGCGCCTTGAAAAAAGCGAGATGTTTGCGAGTTAGTCAATGTACCACCACCGAGCTCGCGTTTATCTCGTCAGTTATTCTTAGTGTATAGTATTTTTAAAACTTTAATTTTTAGAAAATTGTCGTTTTTAATTTCAAGTTTAACGCTAATATTATCAGGCCAGGAGGGCAATTTTCTTGTGACATTTGGAATTTTCCATAAAATTGCTTCATAATCTCACATTTTCGCCAAGCTTGTTAACTTTTGATGTTCCCCTAACACAAAAATAAGCCTTGAGCCCATTTTTTTGCGTTTATTTCTTTAAAAATTAGAAGTCTGGCTAGGAATCTTTGTCTGGGAATTCAGATAATTTTTTTGAAAAAAATTTATTAGAAAAATCCCAAAAAAATTTACATAGAAAAAAACACTATTTTTTTCAAAAAAATTTCTTCGAAAAAAATAGCCAATATTTTCGGGTAAACTTTTTCGATTTTTTTGACATCAGAAATTTGAAGAAACGTGGACCGAATCGACGACGGATTGGGCGAGAAAGTGGGGATGTTGCTCCGAGGATTCATCATGTTCATCTCGTCGGTCGTCTACTGCGCCTTCGTCGATTTGAAACTCACGGCGATTTGTGTCACTATGGGACCTCTCTCGGCCATCATTTTAGGCCTCATGGGCAAAGTATCGACCTCAAAAGGGCTCGTCTAATTGAAAAATTGGCAGGTTCTGTCATCAACCGCTCAAAGAATCATGTCGACGAACTCGAAAGCGGCCGGCGTTTTCGAGGAAAGCGTTATGAACCTGAAAACTGTCGCTTCCTGCAACGCCCAGGAACATTTTGTTGAGGTGCTTTTTGGTAGAAAAGAAGAAACTAGGCTTTAAGATTTTGTTATTAAAAAAATACAGTCAAAAAATGGCTTTTTGATAGTTTTTCCTTTGAGAATTTGCTCTTCTGGGATACTAGCCTACAAGATTTTTGCTCGAAAGTTCAAAAAAATCCAAAAAAAGAAAGTTAAAAATCATTCAAGATCAGGGATTTTTGGTGTTCACGACGTTTATTTCGTTTTTTTAAATAGTAAAAATCGTAAGTCGTATTTACCGGCAAAAATCACCTGATTTTTGTCCCTTTTCAAGTTGATTCTACTTCTTGGGCTGACTCTTTCCGTTTCTTAGGAATTCCAGAGTGATCCCTCTAGGTTTCAGGGCGAAAAACAGCCCTACAGAGTTTGAAAAAGTGGTCCCTATAGGGGTTTAGAGTCTGACCCCTTGGCCTCGAAAGCTCAAGTGGTCCCTATAGGATTCTTTCAACTTCATTTGAAAAACGCTTATTTATTAAGTTTTTCGCAAAAATTTCATAAAATTTATCGACTAGCTTGTCCCCTATAGGGGCCACTAACTGAAACCACTATAGGGACCACTTTTTTAAGCTTTATTGGTCCCTAAAAGGGTTGGTAAAGTGGTCTCTAGAGACAACCTCCAAGGGCCCCTAAGGTTGCTGCTACAGGGACCACTCTGGAGTTCCTAAGTTTCCTATCAAGATTCATATAAATTTCCCATGAAGAATTGAGAAAATATTAAAATAAATCCTCATCTAGAAATACACAACGATACTAACGAACGAAATTCCGACGGTCCGGAGGTACAATTTCTGGATCGGATTCTTTAACGGATCGTCTCTTTATGTGATTTTGCTCGTCATGGGCTTTTCTCTTTGGTAATCTCTGATCACTGTATCACAATTTTAAATGTTAACACTTAAGGTACGGCGTCCACGCTTTCCATGACGGAAAGATCTCTGTGGCTGGAAATGTGATCCTTATCATCGACACGATCTCTATCACTGGATATTATTTGAGCCTTCTGGGGCCTCATGTGATGGCCACGGTGAAGGCTCGAGCCGCAGCCGCCATTCTTTATCAGACTATCGATAGGAAACAGGTGATTTCAAAAGATCTGCTTCAAAAGATAGGAAGCTTCAAGCTGCCCTCCATTAAGAGTTTTATCATTTAGAAAAAAACTGAACGAAAAAGTCTGGAGTTTTTCTTTAAAAGGTTTATGACAAAAGCTTGTCTCCCCCCGTTTTTTTCCCCCGATCACTTTAAACTAGGAAAAAAATCATTTCTGCAGCCCCCCATTTTATCGTTTTTTTGCCAAGTCTCCCCTCTTTTTTTGGGTCACACCAAGACTATCCCATGTATGGTCCACTCTAGGGATTATCGGCTTGCTTTTTTTGTATATAAACATCTGATATTAAAGTAGACCTTTTTTCATCCGCCTCTTGAGTGGTAACTCAGATTATCAACTTTAGAGAGCTTTTTCATAAAATAAAAAAAAATATCTCAGATATTCACTAAATATCAAGTCAAAACGTGATAAGCAAATACAAAAAAAAAACACATTTTTCGAACTTATGCTTAAAATTTAAAATTCGAAGTTTTCAGGAAAGTATGACCGTATGACTTTGCAATAAAAGACCCAATTTTTCAGTCTCAACCGTCGAAAGAGAAAAGAAAACCAGTCGAATCTCTATCAGGAAATATCTCATTCCAAAATGTGTCTTTCAAATATCAAAGTCGGGACAGCCCTGTTCTCAAGGTTTCCCTTGATTATCATTCCGATAAACTGGAAAAAATCAACTTCTAGGGCCTAAGTTGGGAAGCGAAGGCCGGCGAGTCCGTGGCGTTCGTAGGGCGGAGCGGCTGCGGAAAAAGCACATCAGTAGGTAGTTTCTGAAACAGTCAACTTATCAATCTTTTCATTCGCCGTAGATCGCCCTGTTGACGAAACTGAGAGAAGCGACTGGCGGAAGGATCACTGTCGATGGGATTCCGATCGAAGAAATCGAGACTTCAACTTTGAGAAAGGTGGGGATCTGGAAATAATAATGGGAATTATTGAAAAATTGACCTTTAGGGTTCTGAGAATTTCCAAAATCCTTACTGCGAGAAATTGTGAAAAAGGACTGGAAATTGGTTATTTTTGATGGTTTTGATCATCTTCACGCGCAAGTAGTTTCGGGTCGGACGCGCTGAAAAGCAACCGTTTTTAGAGACTGTGATTGTTTCTCGATTTGAGGCACAACGAAAATTTTATGAAAACGGCTCGAAAAATTTTTTTCAATTGATTTCTCTTTACATGGTGTGTCAAAAACGTTTCCAGAAAAAAAAAACAGGAATTTTCAAAATTTTACAAAAAATATGGTTGATTTTTCAGGATCTTAGTCGCTAGATAATCTTGTCCTAAACGATTTTTGTATTTCTTCTTTAAACTGAAGTTTTATTCGATTCAATTCCGGTTTTTTTCTTGGTAGTTTTACCATTTTTTTACTGTTTTGATTGAACATTTGTTAATTTCGGGTATTCTTAGTCAATTTTGCGCTTTTCATTTGTAAACGACGTATGTTTCATTTAAAAAAACTCCTATTTTTCATTCATCCGATCTTATCTATACCAGATGATCGGAATAGTTGAACAAGAGCCGACGCTGTTCAACGGCACAGTCATGGAAAATATCCTCCTTGGACGGGAGGTGACCGGGGAAGCGGCTGTTCGGGCCGCACAAGTCGCTGAAGCCCATGGCTTCATCTCCAAACTCTCCATGGTTCAAAAAATGAAAATCAATCTTTCAAAAATACAATAATAATCAAGGGGTACGAAACAGTCCTCGGAGCCCATGGAGTTCATCTTTCTGGCGGTCAGAAACAGAGAATCGCCATTGCCAGGGCAATCGTCACGGATCCGAGTATTCTGCTTCTCGATGAAGCCACGTCCGCACTCGACACGTCGAGCGAAAAGATTGTTCAGGTTTATAGATGATTCCGTTTTCAGAGAGAGGTCAAAATACGTTGTTCTTTTTGAAAATGTTAGGAATTCAGCGAGGTCCTCCTTCAAAAAAAAAAAAAAAAAATGAGAGTTTATACTTCATAGCCAATGTTTCCCGACTTGAAAGGCGAGGGAGGCGGCGCGCGTAGCGTGTGCGTACGCGGTTCTTGGCACGCGTTCAATCCAACCGCCATCGACTATTTGGAAAGTTCGTTTATCGCTCTTTGCATTCCTTTTTAATTTATTTATTGATTCATTTCATGTGTGCAATAAAAAATAGTAGATCATATAAAAAAAAGAGCGGTGACGGAGCCTTTTGAATAGTCGATGCGCTTGAATTGAACTCGCGCCAAGAACCGCGTACGCACACGCTACGCGTCCCGCCCCCTGCCCCGCCTCCTTCGCCTTTCAAGTCGGGAAACATTGACTATAGTAAGATTCGGCTAGTTTAAGCTTCATCGGTCCAAAAAATTCTCATTTTCAAGAGTTTGCAAAGTTTTTTGTTGTTGTTTTTGTGTGGGATATATTTCCCGGGGGCATACATGGGATAGTCTCGGTGGGACCTGAAAAAAAGGGGACTTGGCGAAAAAAACGAGAGAAATGGGGGAGGGTTGCAAAAAAACCGTAAAAAAATTCCGATCTTATAAAAATCAAAAAAATTCATTTTGTAAAGTTCAATTTCAAGGTTTAATTGATTGGCAGAAGCAAATTGGCAGAAAAAAATATTTTTTTCTTCGAGCAGGAGTGGGGGGTTCTTGACATTAAGGGTGGAGGGGGACAGTCATGCTCATCCCATGTATGCCCGGGGGTCATAGTTTTCAAGGTCCTCCGTTGTTTATTCTCCTGAAAAACTCCAAAAGATTTTTTTTCTACTCCGATTTCTAACTTTATTACGACTTGATCAAAATTGATAGCTAAAATAGAAAATGTACCACTTGCGAAAAAAAAACCTTGTTGTAAGATATTATTGACACGAAAGTTCATTTTACTTTGCAGTTAGGAATTGCCCAAAAGCTGGCTACAACGCTCCTTGATTTACCAGAGGACCCTACAGTCTGCAAAAATTCCTAGTTTTCGAGAAATATGAGCTCCAAGCCCAAAATTTGTCTATTTTGGCGAAATTCGAGGGTTCTCTCCGACCTTATGGTTTTATTTTCCAAAAACTAGAGCGTTGTGCAGATTGGGACTTCTAGAATAACCTTCTGGTACAACGAGAAACGTTCTTGTCATTTTTCAAGTAATTATCAACCGCAAAGTACAATGGCCTTCCTCGTTAGGTGCATCGTTAGCTAAAACTTTGAAAAAAAATAGGCCGATACTTTTCCGAACCGGGATTTTCCGAATCGAAATCCGAATCGATACTTTTCCGAATCGTACTTTTCCGAATCGGGTGTATACTTTTCCGAACCCAAATTTATTATGCTTTTCCGAATCGGTCTTCCATTTTTTCAGGTAGAACCTTTCTTTCGATCTTCTCTTTTCCGACCGGTTCCATATAATTTTTTTCGATCGGTTTCAAGCTCTGTCGTAATTAGTCAGAGACTTCTGTTCAAATCATTCTCCCCATAGTACTATTCATTTTGTTCGATTTTTGTCCAATTTTAGCATTATTTGATCTATAATTTCTTTTGGGGACCACCGAGATTAGAAATTACCTCGGCACAGATGGTGTCAAGTGCCCTGATCTTTGCATGACTTTTCAGATTTTCAGAATTTTCTGGATTTCACTTTTCATTCCCATAAATTTCATCGGCTAAGCTTTGAGCAATAACTTTTCGAGTCCTATCGATCAACTCCCATTTGGCAAACTAGAAGTCCACTTTTGGATCCGATAGAGTTGAAAGGATTCTTTTACGATCCTTCGCTTCGTCCTTCTGTTCGTAGTTCGTTAAGTTGCAAGCTCCGAGTACAATCGATGTTGTAGCTGAAGTCCAGAGACCGTACTCTGGGCGGAAACAATCAATTTGCAAGTTCTAGTATCCAGAAAAATAATTCGAAAGATTTTTGCCGTAATACCTCTTCACACATTGTGGTTTGCTCTCATTCGAAGGTTTCCGCCTAGAGAACGGCCTCCGGGATCAGCTTCACCACCTATTATATTCCGAGCTTCACCACCTACTCGTCAAAAAAGACTTCTAGTTCACCGAAGGCAGCTGATCGATAGAACTCAAAAAGTTGTTCCTCAAAGCTTAGTCGATATGTTTGACTGAAACAATGAATGAAATGATATATATATTAATTGAAAAGTAAAATCCAGAAAATTCTGAAAATCTGAAAAGTCATGCAAAGATCAGGGCACTTGACACCATCTGTGCCGAGGTAATTTCTAATCTCGGTGGTCCCCAAAAAGAAATTATAGATCAAATAATGCTAAAATTGGACAAAAAAATCGAACAAAAATGAATAGTACTATGGGGAGAATGATTTGAACAGAAGTCTCTGACTAATTACGACAGAGCTTGAAACCGATCGAAAAAATTATATAAAACCGGTCGGAAAAGAGAAGATCAAAAGAAAGGTTCTACCTGAAAAAATGGAAGACCGATTCGGAAAAGCATAATAAATTTGGGTTCGGAAAAGTATACACCCGATTCGGAAAAGTACGATTCGGAAAAGTATCGATTCGGATTTCGATTCGGAAAATCCCGGTTCGGAAAAGTATCGGCCAAAAAAGAGGCAGAATTTCGATTTTTTCAATAGAATTTTTCCTCTTCAAGGAAGCCCTGAACCGAGCCTCTTCCGGCAGGACGACTGTTATCGTGGCTCATCGACTGAGCACTTTGAAGCATGTCGATCGAATCTACGTTATCGACGATGGTGTCGTTGTTGAGAGTGGTACTGTTATAACTCACGTGGATCAATTTTCGAAGTTTTTTTCAAACCAGATGCAGTAAAATGAAAAAAAATTCTTGAAGAAAGCCATTTTAATACGATTTTTGAGGTTTTTTAAGGTTAAAAAAAATCCGCTCAAACTTGCTAAGTGAGAGACTCCTTTGTAGAAAGTTTTCATGGCAAAAACAAATTTGGGAAAAAAAGCGAAAATCAGAAAAAATGGTGATGCCTGTTGTCAATAGAGCAACTTTGCTGCAAAACGCCCTTTTGACGGGAGCGCAAACTTTTCTCTCTCTGATTTTGAATAACTTTTTCTCCGAGAATAGGAGTTTTTGTACAGTTTCAAGTATACCGTTCGATTCGCAATAAAAAGATCAAAAATGTGTACCTTTAATGTTTACAAAGCTAATATTGTGAAAAATTTCGAACTTTTCTTCAAACAGACCTCTCTTTTTGGACGTTAAGAAATGAGAAAAAGACCTCGCTTTCGAGAATTGTCGATCTTATGAAGTATTCATCAAAAAAGACATTTCCTTGGACTGTTAATGAATTTTGAGGTTCTCATGACGAATTACTTGAGCTGGATGGCCATTATGCCAAACTGGCTCAAGCTCAAGAAGTTGGAGACGTCTCAACGAAAAAGTAGTTCGCCATTTTTTCAAAATGCAACTTATTTTTAAAGACAAAAATCGGAAATTCGCCAGAGAAAAATCAAGAAATCAGCCTCCAAAGACGTCGATTCTGAACTGGAAGACGTCGAAGAAGAAGAGAGCGACGAGGGATCCGAATCTGATGAGGTTTTCTGGCTTGGAAGCAACTTCCAAAGCCCTTTTTTCAGAAGAATGACGCTCAACGGTACATGGGACTGAGGCTGCTCTATTCGAACATGCAGGGATATTACGGAAAAATGGGCCTCATGATCGTTTTCTCGTTGATTCGCGCCCTGGAAATGCCGCTGTTGTCGATTTCCGTGTACCTTGGGTTCATTGGATTGCAGGTAGGGAAGGAATTCTGAAAATGAAGGAAAATAATCTTCAGATAAAAATGAAAGAATAGCTCTAAAAATCTAAAAAAATTTTCAAGTTCTGAGGATCCATGGAAAAAAATCCAGAAAGTTCATTTTTTTAAAAAAAGAGGAAAAAAACCTGTAAAATTAAAGATTTTTTTGTCGCCCCCCTCCCCCAAACAGTTTCTTCTCTTCATTAGCTTTTTTTATAAAAATAATTTTAATCAAATTCACAACATTTGTCCATTTCCAAGCCCTTGTAAAATGAAATAATAAAATAGACCAGTTTTCGACCTTCGATAAAATTTCGTCAAGCGAAAAACTTCCAGAAAACAGAAGACTATGAAAATTACGCGATTTACGCTGTCCTCCTGCAACTTGTTAGTGGATTCATCGTCATGTGGGCGATGGCCGCAGCGGTGAGAGGAATATCGAAGAAATTTTTCAAATAAAACTGCAGTTCGCCATGTCCGGCTGGGTGTCGGAAGGGGTGACGGTGAACCTGAGAGCCCGGGCTCTGCGATCCCTGCTGTACAGGCCGATGTCGTCGTACGACTCCAGGTCGCCGGCCTTCTGTGTTTCGGCGGTCAGTCGCCACGCTCCCGTCTGTGCCGGCGCCATGGACAGCAACACCTCCGTCAGCCTGTCCGAGTTCTGCTCCGTCGTCTACAATCTCTCCATCGCGTTTATCGTGTCGCGCATTATCGGAGCTCTCGGCGTTGGTTCGTTTCCGATGAAATTGAGATAGATAGGCAGGAGCGTAGGTTTTGGAAAGAAAATAGTACTTGTAGGTCTTGAAAATTCAAGTTTTTTGAAAAAAAAAAACAGTTTTGTGGTGTTTACATAATTGTCCAGACAAAAAAATACCTGATTTTTGAAGGAACAGTTTAAAATTTTTTTTTTTTTTTCAAACCCCTTTAGCTCGTTTGGTAAGGAATAATACCGAAGCCCTTCAAATAGAAAAAAATAAAGTTGTTGAAAAAGGAAATGTGTATGTAGGAGCTTAGATTCTGATCAAAGAAGAGCAAAAGAAAAAAGTTTTCTGACTTCAAAAAATCACTTCGACGTCGAAAAACGTGTTAATCGATTTTTGAGCCTTGTTCCGGATTTTTTGGGGTCGGTGATTGAATTGACTTATTCTGAATTTTCTGATTTCGAAGGATGATTTTTGAAAAAAAAAATGTAATTCCTTCCAAAACCTATTTTAGCTTGTGGAAAAAGTATCGGAGCTCCTCAAAAAAGTGGCTGAAAAATGAGATGTGTAAGAAAAAGTGACATAAAAAGTGGAATGATGAGCAATTTTTGAAAGAAATGTACGTGCCTCCTTGCCCTTTTTTCAAAATTTCTCACAAATAACGCGGTTTTTCAGCCTTATGCGCTCTTCTGTACTTCTTGATCTTCGCGACCATGTACTTTAGCAACAAAGCACGCAACACGAAAAGCAAGAACGACAAGTCCGGCGAGGTAGCATCATATGTTCAATATCAAAGATTGCAAAATTGAATTTCAGTTCTCAATTGAAGTTATTGAGCGAAGTCGGACAATCCAGCTTCTGAACGTCGAAAGTTGGTTCAATCAGAAGTATTCTGATTATCAAGCGATAGGGAGGAAGCATGATTTCAAGGTGAAAAAGAGATAGTTGTCGTATGTTCAAACTTGGACTAGAACGACCAAAAAATTCGGAAACGAAAAAATATGATTTTTTTAAAGCATTTTTCAGTCAGATTAGTTTTTTTTTTTGTACATTTGTGGCCCATACAATGTTTGGGGAAGTTTGAATTTTTTTAATTTTTTTAATCAAGAATAAAATTGATCGAGATAAGATTTTTTTTAATTGGTAGCCGGATTTCCATTTTCTTCTAAGCCTCCAGGAAAAATTAATATTTCAAGAATTAGATCAGATAAAGTCTTTGTGAATGTCACTATTCGAGGCTTCAAAGAAAAAAGCAAATTTTTTTTTAAATTCTGGCTCTCAAACTTCAGAACTTATCCATTAGATGTTTTTGAACTAAATTTTCTCCTCTCAAAATTTTGATCAATCCGAAAAAATAAAGGTGGACCTCGCGGAAGCTCTCAACCAGGCCATCTGCAACGCCTACGCCTATTTCAACGACCTCACAAGTATCGCCTTGGGGACCTACCTGGTCTACATCGGACACACGACGCCTGCTCTGGCTTTCCTGTAGGAAAAAAAAACTTGACTTTTTCAAAAATGAGTTGAAGATCATTCGGTGGAGTCCAGTACGCCGGCTGGTCGGTCATGTACACGGCGCCGTTCTTGCCGGAGCTGATCAGGGCTTCGAGTGCGGCGGGGCAACTTTTCAAGTACATCGACGACGAGGAGCACATCGATACGATTATCGGGGGCGGCGAGAAGCCGGTTTGAATTCTTTGTGCTCTCCTTAAAATCTCAAAATTTTCTCGAAAAATGAAGATATGTGTTGCCCATAGAGCAACTTTACTGCAAATCGCACCTAAAAATTTTTTCTTTCCGACTTTTTTCTTCGAAATTAGGAACTTCTGTTGGTTTTTTTTAACCAGATGGGCAATGGGGGGCTTCACAAAATGGCACTTTTATCTGAAAAACGGTTTCTTTCCGAAAGACACGAATTTACTGCGATTTTTCCAATTCATGCTATTAATCCATTCGCAATTTAGAGTAAACCCTAATGTGGTTTAGAAAAAAAAAAACATTTAAAGATGAAAATGGCTTTTTTTCAATTCCGTAATCAAAAAGTTTTGGCCAAAGCAGTATACCAAATAAAGTTTTTTTGTCATTTCAAATATTTGAAAATGAAAAAAATCAATAAATTCCTTTTTTAAGCTTGTTTATCGAATAATATTCTTTTCTCGCAGCTTTATTTTTGCTCAGGTTGAAGTATTGATATAAAAAAAACCTGAAAAGAGAAATTTTTCATGGCTTTTTCTTTTAATTATTCGGGTTTTGTAGATCAACTCCTGTGTTCTAAAAATGGTTTTCCGATTTGTTTCAAAAATGATTTTTCAGAAACTTTCTGGCGACGTGAGCCTTCAGAACGTCTTCTTCGCCTACCCCTCTCGTCCTGATGTTCCTGTTTCTCAGGATTTATCTTTATCAGCACGCGCCGGCGAATCGATCGCTCTAGTTGGACCGTCCGGTGGCGGAAAAAGCACAGTTGTCAACCTTCTCGAAGCTTTTTATCCCGTCGACGAAGGCCAAATCGTTGAGTTCCAGGAAAATATTCTTTTATCGATTTTCTCATAGAAACTCGACTCTTACAATCTCAGCCAGATCAACATTATGCACTTGAGAAGGAGTGTCGGTCTTGTTCAGCAAGAACCCGTCCTTTTCCGAGGTTTTGAATTGAAAAAAGAAAGACTTCATTGTTTTTTTAGGTACGATATTCGAAAATGTGAGCCTGGGAGCTGGCACAGTGACCATGGAGGAGGTTATCAAGGCTTGCCGGACTGCCAATTGCGATTTTATTGAATCGTTGCCAACTGTGAGGATTTCAGTTGTACTTTAAAACGTACTGCAAAATTCATAGTTTCATGCCGTGTTCAAAGTAATTTCCGCGAAATGCAAAATACCCGTTAGAGAAAGGAAAAGATCACTAAATTTTGGAGAGTCAGAGATCATTTTGCATTGCGCGGAAATTACTTTGAACACGGGCAGATCAAAATGTGTGATTTTTTGTAGAAATTTTGAAAAACATTTTTTTTCGAATTTTGGTCATACATGGGATGAGCATGACTGGCGACAGCCAAGTCCCCCCTTTGAAGCTCAAAGAAAAAAAGGATTTTTTTGTTGTTGATTTATCGAATTACATGTTGACGCTCGAGGAAGTGAAAGTTTGATCACTTTTTACTAAGAAAAAAATCGCTTCTATTAATCAATTGAACTTTACAAAATGAATTTTTTTGATTTTTTTCATACATGAATGCTTGATTTTTTTATAAGATCCAGCGCGCACCCTGCAATTTTTTTCACGGTTTTTGCCAAGTTTCCTCCCCTTTTTCAGGTCCCAACGAGACTATCCCATTGAAAAAGCAAAAAAATTTTTTTTCAATTATTTTTTTCATTAGGTGTCATTACTACATGTAATCTATCATTTTTAACATTTTTTTGAAAAAAATAATGAAATCCAGTTATTAGAGCCGGCTAGAAATCATTGCATGAAATTTGGATTATTTTTTTAGTCTAAAAAAATAGAATAAGTGGCACAGTTTTAATTATTCATAAAGAGAAAAAAACTGAAAAAAACCGTAGTTTTTTTAAATTTTTTTCAAATAGAAGATAAGGTTTTTTTATTATTTCAGCGAGAGAGTAAAAATAAAAAAATATTCCCAGGGCTACGAGACGGAAGTCGGCGAAGGCGGCAAATCACTGTCTGGTGGCCAAAAACAGAGAATCGCCATCGCCAGGACGCTGATCAGAAATCCAAGGATCATACTTTTGGATGAAGCTACGTCCGCACTGGATACTCACAGCGAAAAGGTCGATTTTATAGGAAAAAAACGGTTCTTGGAAACATTTCCTGAGCAAGAGAGGTTGAAATGGAAATAAGCTTGGTGTGAAATAAACATTGAAATCACAAAAAAAGTCCAAAAAGTTTAAAATTGAAGGTTTTCAAAAGTCAGATTAGCAGCATTTTTTTGTCTGAAGCGAACTTTTGAGGAACCCCCCTTAGAGCTAAACTCATGAAAACCCATTTTATTGAAAGAACTCGGTCCTATGAGAACCAAATTCAGTGCGTTTAATAATTCCCCCTTGGAGCTAAACTCATGAAAACCCATTTTATTGAAAGAACTCGGTCCTCTGGAACCAAACTTATAGGAACCATGGGATGGAAGAATCTCGGTCCCTTGGAACTTTTCTAGTAATGAAAGTAATCCATTTTTAGATAGTCCAACAAGCGCTGAACGACGTCACTCAAGGCAGAACCAGTATCACTATTGCCCATCGACTGAGTAGTATCCGGCATTGTGACAGGTCATTTTGCCGTTTTCTTATAATCAAAACGTGGTTTTGTAGGAGATATCAGATTTTTAAGGTAGATAAGTTTTTAAACTTGAGCTCAATATCCAAGTTTAGTCTTTTTTGAGCTTGAATGAGTCACGAATTAAAAAAAAATGAAACTCTCATCAAAACGTAGTTACGTATCCGTGCCTCATTTGCAAAGCGAAACAACGGAAAAAAGAGAATAATTCCGAAATTCGTGGCTTTTTGCAGTAGTTTACTGTTATTGTAAGATTTTAGAAGCCCAAAGTAGGAAAGGAAAAAATTCTTCTTCTTGGCTGGTCAAGTTATGGGTATTACCAGTAAAACTCTTGCTCGGAATTATACACAACTTGAAATTTCACGGAACGACATTCCGCTGTTCCGCTGCGTGCGTTCGCGAAGCGTCTTTCGAGTCTAGATCACATCACGCTTTCAATTGATTTTTATTACTGTGGGAGCACATGAAAGTTGAGTACCTTGATAAAGAAAAAAAAATGAAAAGCCCAACCAAGGTTCGCAAAGGCACGCAGCGGCACAGCGGAATGTCGTTTGGTGAAATTCCAAGTCGGGGTACACAGGCTATATATCCTATAATTTCCGTGACGATTCAAGAGACGGTGGAAAAATTCGGCAGAAAGAGTCTAACTAATAAAGAAAAAACCTTCTCTAGCCCTTATGAAATAGTTCAATGAAACCTCGGAAGGACTTTGAAAAGTCCGTTAGTTATGTTGAACGAGCTCAGCAGATATTTTAAATCACCTTAACTATAATAATAATATTAGGTTTATTCATCGCCTACTTAATAGGGGTTAGTAGTTCAAATAATACAATATTAAAATGCAGTAGAATAAAGAGCAACGGGAATTAGTCCACCCTAACGAGTAGACTATGACCCGGAGAAAGACAAGAATTGGAGCAATAGGGAAGGAACTGAGCCGAAGAAGGCGGAATTTGGGAGATCATTAAGTTTGACCCGTAGAGAATCATTGAAGACATTGAAATCCATCAAACTATGAGATTTCCACCCCAAAAATAATCTTTTCCAGAATTTACTTTGTGGAAAACGGCCGAGTCGTTGAAAGCGGAACCCACGAAGAGCTCATCGACTTTGGCGGACACTATTCTCTACTCGTCAATGCACAAAAAATCACCTAATCTTTCCTAACCACTTCTCACGGGTCACCTATCACTTACAAGCATCTTGTAAACCAACTTTTTGTTCACTTTTTGAGAGTCTACAGCTCCCTGTTCTTTCATTGATCGTATTACCTCTATATTTATTTTAACTGATTTTTTTTTAAACTTCACACTTTTCAATAAAGATTTATTATAAAGAATAAAAGCTTTCTGGAGTCAAATTTGGTCGTAAAACTCCATTTTTTGGATTCTTTCTTTCAGAGAAAAATGATGTAAAGAAGGGAGACTTGTAATTTAAAAAAAAAATCAGGGGATAATTTGAAATATGAGATATTCTGATTTTCTACATTATATCATTGTTTTTCGTTTACGAAATTGAAAATTTGTTCTTTTCCAAAGAAGAATCTAGAACCATTAAAATTGGAATTTCATCGACACCAATGTTTTCATGTTTTCCACTTGTTTTCCTACCCATTTTCTTTAGAATTCGTACTTTAGGTCATCAGAAAAGACTGGAAACGTGAGAAAAATGAATAAATGAACAACAACGAAGCGAAAAAAAAAGTTAAATATCAAATCAATACGTAAACTCAAGTTGAAAGACCCCCTATAGGGACCACTTAAGCTTGAGGGGCTAAGGGGTCAGACGCTAAACCCCTATAGGGGCTTCCTTGGTTTTACCTTTATAGGGATCTCTTTTTCGGCCCCAAGGGGGACTGTTTCCCCGCTAACCCCTGGAGGGACCATTCTGGAATTCCTGAGTAGTGTGAAAATACAAAAATCAATACACTTTAACTTACTAAATATTTATTATACAATTACAAGAAAAATTTACAAGTTATGTGTTTATTGTTTCCTTCTCGTTTAAAGATGGCTTCGGGATCCGTTGACTTCGCGGGCTCGTAGACGCCAGATATCCTGAATTTTTCATTTTTCTTCGAATTTCTAATTGACAAAAAGCCATTGAAAGTTACATGAAAAAGTCGCTTCTTTTTGGAATTCCTAAGTTGAAAGATAAATCTCACCGCAAAATCGACTTGAATGTCCTCCGGGTTGGATCCGTACCTGCGGAAGCGTTTCTTGGCCATGTCGATGATCTCTTTGGAGATTTCCTGAACAATTGATTAGAAGTCAGATGATGGCTAATCGAACCTCTTGAGTGGTCCCTTCAACGTTCACATAACGGCAAAGGTCGTCGTTGGCGTAGTGGCAAGAGATCGCCTTGCGGAAACCTGGAAAAGATTTTTTTTTGAATTTTCAGATCTTCCCATGTTACCGACCAATTTTAAAAAGTTATATCTGGAAACGTAGAGTTTGCGGAACTATTTAGGAACTTCAGAGAGGCCTCTTTAGGGGGCCCTTGAAGGCTCCACTCCAGGAACACTTTACCAATCCCTATGAGGGCCATTAAAGTTTGCAAAAGTGGTCACTATAGGGGACAAGCTAGACGATAGTTCTCATGAAATCCATGCAAAGAAGCGTCCGAGAAACTGAATGAATATTCGTTTTATGAATGAATTTGAAAGATCCCTATAGGGACCACTTGAGCTTTAGCGGCTGAAAAATCAGATCTTTAATTCCTGAAGGAACCACTTTTCGATTCCTGTAGGGGCTGTTTTTCCCTTTAACCCCTATAGGGACCACTTGAGCGTTAGTGGCTGAAGGGTCAGACCCTAAACACCTATAGGGACCACTTTGATTTTAGCCATATAGGGACAACTTTTTCGGACTCTGTATCGGCTGTTTTTCCCTTTGAACCCTATAAAGACAACTTTGGTTTTACCTATTTAGGGACCGCGTTTTCGGCCTCTATAGGGGTTCTGTCTCCTTCTTACCCCTAGAGGGACCACTTTGAAATGTTTTACTGTCTATCTAGACCTCTAACGAGTATCAAAGAGAATTTTGAATGAAAAGTGGAAAGATTTAGAATTTTTACATGGTCATCATAACTTTTCCATTTTGACATTTCTAGAACGGACCCTCGGTTCGGTTGGCGCCAGAGCCGTGGATGAGAAGCGGATGGAAGAAAACCGTGTCGCCGGCCTCCATTTCGACGTGGATTCGCGGCATCGACGGATCGTAGTCCTGGATCCCGTGGTAGGCCTTGTTGACGCCTCCCTGGAAGCTTCTCAGGTTGAAAAATGAAAATTCAAAAAGAGAACGTCAATTTTTCGCGTAAGTGAAACTTCTCTGCGGCCTCCTCGTCTCTCGGCAACGCTCTCATTTTGAAGTACTATTTTTATGTTTCTCTGACCTCGCCGGTGAGGGAACAGAGAGACGCAGAGACTCGAAAAATCGCCGTAATGAAAATTCATTGCTTTAAAGCTCAGAAAGGACTGGATCTTACAATTTTAGATTTTTGAGGAAGTTTACAGATAAAAGTCGACTGGGAATACTCTTTCTTGGGAACCTTTAAAAATCCAATGAAATATTGATTTAAAAAAACTCTTTAAGGTGTTAAAAAAGAGAATCTTTTTCACAGTTATCAAACTCATTATAGACTTTTTTTCAACCTGATTCGATTTTCGAAAAGATAATTGTTTCAATCAAAAACGATAAAGGTGTGACCTTACCTCCCATTTGGGATATTCGTGAGGAAGAAGTTGACCTTTGTGCGATCCTGGCACGACCACCAGGCAGCCGTTGGCGCGGTTGATCTGAAGAATAGATCTTAAGTGAAAAAATTTTATCAGATTTTTTCGAAAATAAGGTTTTTTCCCGAATAGCTGCTCACTTTTTCCATAGCGGTCCATGCACAGCAAATATAGTCGGCTGGCCGGAACGGGAAGTACTGTAGGTCCTGGTGCATTGGATGGCGAGATGTGAGCTTTCCTGGAGAATAAAAGTTTATTTCCAATGTTCCTTTGAAGTTTTTTCAGTCTTGTCTAGAAAATGGCTTCTAAAAGTCTTCTTTTCTTCCATAAAACATTCAGATTCATGATGAGAAATTTTAAGACTTTGAAGTGTTCGAATAAGACTGCGAGAACTTTTTAGAAATCTTATTTTTTTCTGGAAATTCTTGATTTTTAAAGTTCTACCTTAGCTTTTCCGTCAGTTTATAGCCAAAAATGACTCTTATAAAATTTAATTGTCTTCCCTTTTTTAAGAACTTCATGATAAAAAATCTTAATAGTTTTGAAGAGTTGGGTTTGAAGCTGTTTTCAAATTCAATTTTTGTTGGAAAAAAGAGAATTGGGATTTTTCAACTACTCTATTGTCCAGTATACGGCTTCTAGAGGTTTTCAAAAGAAGTTTCTATTTTTTTTGAAGATTTTTTTACGGGAAAATTTTCATTTTAACTATTTTTACTTTGGATTTTTGGCAATTTTCGGCCAAAAATGACTGTTTTATTTTTAGGATATCGCTCTTCTAGAAGTTTTCAAGAACCTTTTTAGGAGTTATTTTTTAAATTTCCGTTTTTGCTGGGAAAAGATTTTCTGCGTTTACCATTATCTGGAGGCTTGTTGATGAGCATCGTGTGCATGGCCAACAAGTTCGAGCCGGGCTTCCCGATCACGTCATTGACGATGTCAATTATCTGAATCCAAGCCTTAAATAAGACATCCAAATTTTTTTTAATTTTTTTAAAAATAGGATTTCTTCCTTTTTTTCTCTATGCAGTAGTAGTTTCCCGTCACTTGAAGGATAATTGGTGACAAAAATTACCAATATAAGTTTGAAACTCACAGTCGGGTACTTGCAGTACTCAAAAAGGACTGGATCCTCGGAAAAATCTTGGACTTTTGTGATCGCTTTCTCGCCTTCAAAATGATCTTTTAAGAATAAATTTTACTTTTTCAATAATTACCACTCAAAAACTCAGACTTGGCAATGGTGATGTCCTTCATGACGGTCATGTTGGGCGGAGCTTGGACTCGTTTTTCGCAAATGTCCTGAAAATTTCTGATTTTTCACATTATTACAAGACATTTTTTCTTTTTTTCCGACCTTTTTCGGAAACCAGAACATCAGAGATTAAAGAAAAGATGAAAAATAGCGCTAAAGTTCAGAAAAAGTCTCTCAGTTTGAAGAATATACCTGGAATCTCTTGCGGAAACGGTCGAGCTCGTAGGTCGGCACGACGTTCCGAACGAGTAGGTATCCCTCTCTCTCGTAGTGCTGTTTCTGCTCGGCTGTGAGCACGAGTCCATCCCGACTCCAGTCGAGGACCCCGTCTCCGGCGCCAAGTAATTGAGTCATTCTTTCTGAAAATTATTGTTTGATTCCGATTTTTGAAGAGTTCTGGCAGTTCAGAGACTCTAGGAAACAGCTTTTTTGACTTTTTCGAAAGAATATGGAAAATCACGATAATTAGGATAACTTTTAAGCGAGAAGAGAATTTCAATTTCATTTCGGTGACATTTATGGATCGATGAAGTGTATGAGAAAATTGAAAAAGGAAAAAAAAACAATTAAAAAAGGACGTTGAAGATCCCAATTATCAGTAGAACACATAAACTCATAATTCCGCGGCTGTTTTTGCTTTAAAATGATTAAAAAGGAAAAATAGACACGCCTGATTGAAAATTTAGAAATTTTAAAGGAAATTCAGAATTTTTCATCTTCCTCAAAAAGTCTGATTTCTCTGCGCCATCTCCTCCTCCGGCAACTCTCTCATTTTCACATGCTGTTTTCCCTATGAGAGAAAAAGAGACGCAGAAAGGTCAGATTGTTCCAAATCAAGGCGAACAGGATTTCAGAGTCAAAATCAGTCTTAGCCGCTTATTTTTCCCCTGCTTTAAATAGACATTCCAAGTGCTAGTTCAAAATATACTAGACTTTTAAATGGAAACAGAAAATAAGAACCGTTCTGTACGTGACAAGACGAAAAAAAATGGGCAAGGGGTGTTTGATTGATATGAAACATATATACACGGCCGCTACACCATAGCCATTTCTTATCGATTCCGCATCGTGTCGAAATTAGCTGATTGGAAAGGACCGTCAACATTTGAGTGGAACACAAGGGCGGAAAACATGAAACTGGAAGCTCTTTGAGGTTGAAAGTGCATATTTTGAATTTTTCTCGAAGAATACGGCTTCAAAGAGTCCTCATAAGGATCAGAACTTCTGAAAAATGTATTGATAGAGCTGCTTCGCAAACAAAATATGAAGCTTGACCAATTTTTAACCACCAAGGCGATGTCCGAGAGATCTTTCAAGAATCTTCAAATCAGAAAATGGGCATAAGTTCCTCGGAATTGCTCCTGGAACATGCAGAAACGACATTTATGCCTCATTTTTTTCTAAAAGACTTCAAGCTCTCTGATGTTAAAAGTGCATTTTTTCAACTTTCCTCGAAGATTGAAGCTCTAAAAAGTCGTGACGAAAATCAGAACTCCTGAAAAAGGTATATATGTCTTGATAAAGCTATTTCGCAAACAAAAAACGGGAGCTTGACCAACTTTTATTCTAGATCGATGTCCGAGAGATCTTTCAAGAATCTTGAGATCAGAAAATGCGCATAAATTCCTCGAAATCGCTCCTGGAACACAGAGAAACAACTTTGCCCTTTCTTATATTTTATACTAGTGAATTACTTGAAAATAAGACTTGAAACTTTTTGAGATGATAATTTCAATTTTCAAGGTTTTTTTGAAGAATAATATGCCTTAAAATGGTGCTAGTAAAAATCAGAAAATTTCGAAAATTTAATTGAATTTTGATGGAAATAATTTGCAGAAACAGTGAAAAACAATGTTTCTGCAAATTCTCTTGAAGGCAAAAAACGCAAATTTCCATGATTTTTTTCAGATATCATTTTGGCTGCCTAGGCATCAAAAAGTGTGTAGATGTTGAAGAAACGTTTTTGCGAGAAATTAAGAGTCTATGTATTTTTTTTCTCGAATTTCGAGCAATGATCGCCTAGGCGATGTCAGAGAAAGATTTCAGAAGTCTGCGAATCAAAAAATGTGCAGTAAGAGCCTTCAAATTGCTTCTGAAACATGCCAAAATGGTTTTTGTCTTTTTGTATTTTTCGACTGAAAGATATTTTTGTAGTTTTTTCGATTTTCCACAATCCCGCTGGAATGGAACTCCTTTCTTCCTTCACAAAAGAAATCTCAAACAGAGAGGTTCAAAAAACGCCAGGAATAACTTCTTTCCATTGAAAAGTTGTTTGCACTTTTTTGAGAATCTATGAAAAATCAGAATCTCTGCCTCAAATTTTGTTTCAACTTTTTTTTCTTTTTTTTTTCTAAATTTGCTTCTTAGCGGCCTTCAGGACTAAACAAAGAAATTTTTAATAAAAAGTTTTAGTTCAGTTTTCTTTTCTTCTAAAAAGTAAGGAACTTAATTTATAGCTCTGACAAAAAAATCTCAATCTTCCGCTCAACCTTCTGTGCTGAATTTTCATGTGTTACAAAAATTAGTAACAATCTTAATAAATAAAAAATCATAATTTTCAGAAACAACTTCTATCTTCAAGTACACTTTTTGAATAAAATTGTTTTCTTTTAAAAGTATGATTCGATTTTCTACGATTTTGGGTCAACCGGAGGGAAAACTAATTTTTTTTCCGTTGTCATTTTCAATAAGAATATCAATTAAAACTCCATCTTTTTTATAGGTTTTATTTCGCCATTCTGTGGATAATCAAAGGAAGTTTCAGTTCTTGTATTCGAGCTTAAGAAAAACTCGATTTTTTTTGAATTTTTTCTAAATTTTTGTGAAGCTGTTGCTTCTTTGTGAATCTCAGATTCCAGACAAGATCCGCGAAAATGAGCCCATTCCTTGACCTGTGACCCCACTAGAGCCAGGTTGCAGGCAACAAAACAAGCGATTCTTCCGGGCCCGATTTACACTGGCAGGACTCCGCCCACTGTGCCAAGCGTCAAGCAACATCCACTTGAGCCCCCGGCAGTTCCCCCCGTGTAATTAATTGGTTCCTCACTTTCCTCCCAATCTTCCTGGTTTTTGTTACTTGTACAATTTCCTTTCCTTTGAAGACGTTATCTTTTCAAGAAGCCCTGCCGACGATGAAGGGAGCTGATCCGGCCCTGAAGAACATCGGCAAGAAGAACGGCCTTCAACTTTGGAGAATCAATGTACTTTTTCATTTTTCCCAGTATAGTTTGTGCAAAAATCCCGTATTTTAATACTTTTTTGACTTCTAACAAAACTAAGGAAGGCTCTTCGCTTCGAGACCTTTTTGAAAATTCGCCTATGCTCCTTTAAAAGTCTGAGCAGGAGAAAAGTGATGATTTTTTGAATAAGTGCTCCAAAAAATCTTATTTTCCGGTTGGACAAGATCTCACTAACTTTTTTTTTGAAATCTGAATTTTCTTTGATTCGATTCTATATTCCTGGAACATCGGATACTTTGAGATATCATTCAAAAAAAAATTGATATTTTTCGAAGCTATCGATTAATTGATATTTTTTTCGAAGCTAGAGATAATAGAAATTGAAAAAAATATAAAAAAATATAAGTTGGTTCATTTTTTTTCCGTTCAAAAAAAGCTATCAAAATCTTCCCCTTCCTAACTAGACTTTTTTTAACTCCTCCCCCTGTTGAACTTTCGAAGAAACTTTACTGAAGTGTACTTTAGAACCTCCTGAGTTCAGAAAAAAAAGAAAATCTCTCGCGATAGATCTTTTTTCAAGTTATGAAGCTTCAAAGACCGCCAAATAGGCAAATTATGACAAAAAGCGCTATTTTCAGTTTTTGAAGGGTCACATCACGAAAACGAGATCTAGGCAATTTTTTTTTTTGTTCTGCAATCAGGAGGTCCTTAAGTACAAGCGGGAGAGGGGGGGTTAAAAAAACGTTTCTAGTAAGTCATTTTTCAGAAGTTCCTACTCGAAGAAGTTCCGACGAAAGACCATGGCGTCTTCTACACCGGCGACGCCTACATTGCCTTGAATGTTTCTTCTGTCTTCAAGAATAGTTTGAAAATAAAAAAAAATTCAGCAAAAGTACGACGGCGCGTGGGACGTCCACTACTGGCTCGGAAAAGACGCGACGACCGACGAAATGGGCGTCGCCGCTTATAAAACTGTAGAAATCGATGGGGTTTTGAAATTATTTTGGGAAGATAATAAGAGATGAATTTGAAGGCCCTTGGAGGTCTTCCAGCTCAACATCGGGAGATTCAGGACCACGAAAGTCCGCTTTTCATCTCCTACTTTCCTGATGGAATTCGGTGGGTTTTCAAGAGAAATAGGAATTTTCGAGTCGAAAAACAAAATAAGTTGTATCTGTTTGGAGAGCATTTCTAGTGGACAATTAACATTCTCCTGTTGAAAAAATTTCTAAATAAAGATAAAAAACTAGTCTTCCTACAGCTTTACATTGTGAACTTCTCGGGAGTTCAAAAAAAGTCGTTTTTTTTCTTGTCGAACTGCACCGATCAATCAGTCTCCACGAGATTTGTTGGCCCTTTTTCTGTTTTTTTTTTTGTTTTCGAAAGGACCGACAAGGTTTCTCATGCATTTCCAATGGAGCTGGAGTTTTTTTTTTAAATTTTTTCTTGTTGAATCTTTGAAATTGTTTTATAGAAATTGACCTTTATCTAAATTTAATGGAATTTCATAATTCTAACCTTCTATTTTTCTTGTTTGTTCTCAAGCCTTCGAAATCAAATTTTTTTGATCATTTTTTTGTAATTTTCCTGGGAAAATCAACCAAAAAAATATTGAATTTTTTTGAAAAAAACAGCGATGAAATTTAGAAAACTTACAAATCATTCTCATTTTTTTGAAGTTCTTGAGAAAAAAATATAGTGAAAAAGTGTCCTTTTTATTGTATACCATGTAAGGATTAGCCAATATTCATAAAGGTCTCGCGGCGAAAAATTATTTTTTTGGTCATGCGCCTTTAAACAATAAACGAAAGAATTCGATGAAATGGAAGTAAATAAGATTTCTTTGCTTTTTTTAAAATTGATGTATACAATTTGAAACGTTGAAGGTACATAGCTGGAGGCTACGAGTGCGGTTACAAACATGTCGAGGATCTTTTCGCCAACTGGAGACCCAAACTGTACCATTGCAAGGGGAAAAGGAACATTCGATGCACGGAAGTTTGCTTTTTCGTTCTGAAGTTCTACCTGGAAACTTCGAAAATTGAAAATTTGAATATTCAAAAAATGACTCATTTATTTTTGGAGTTCGATTTTTTTTTAATACAATCTTTTTATATTGCCTATCATTTTAAAGTTCATTTGTCGGTTCAAATTTATAAAAAAGATAAGATACGTGAAAAACATTTAACACACTTTCTCCGAGAAAAAGCGATGAACCGTTGGTACAAGAATTTCAAGTTTTGTTTTGAGAGTTGAAATTATTATCACAGTTACTAGACATAATTTGTAAACTTTGAGGCTACTTACTGTGAGGTTTCGCCCTCTCACTGGGTTACTGTAGGACTTTTTAGTGAAATTTTTCTAACTATTTTCCTAGTTGACGGATCGACTCCAAACTTTTTTTAAAAACACAGATAAGGGTATTTCAAAGCATTTTCATTAAAAAACACGAAAAAGAAAAATTTTTTTTACGTCGAAAAGTTTTTTTTTTCTTTCTAAAATCGTTGATTTTTTCCTTTTTTGGGCTTTTTGAACGGTTAGGACCCCAAAAGTAGTAAAATTTTATTTCATAAATCGAAGCGCCGGGCTTTTCTTAGTCAGAAAAAAAGGAGTACATGTTCAAGTTTTGGGGGACGCAGTTGGTCGTCTGCTCGCCGAAGAGGACCAACTCGGAGTTGACCAATTTTTCGAAAATTTCCAACTTTCCTGGAAAACAATACCACGGCTTCTTTTTGTATTATTCTGCTAGAAAACAGAGTTCTTCAAAGTTTCAGCACTCTGGAAGTATAGTATTAACTATATTTTATTATATTTTTGGATTTTTTTATGTTTTTCCAGTTTTTCATTTTTCGCTGTTTTTTCTTTTATTTCAATTTCGCATTAAAATTACATTTTATTTTTCACGATTAGGACTTTTTCATGGCCTCCGATTGTAATCAAGAATCCCCGGTTTCAGAATCAGCGTAAAGTTATATTTCCAAGTTTCCATACATATTTTTCCAGGTGGAATGCAAGAAAGAGTCCCTGAACCTCGGAGACGTCTTTCTGCTCGACTTGGGCCGGAATATCTACGTTTGGATGCCGCCGGACAGTGGACGACTGGAAAGGATCAAGGTATATCATTTTAACGTTCCGAATGAAAATTTTTAAAATTAAGGGAATGGCCCGAGCGAAGAACATTGCTCAGTTTGAGAGGCAAGGCGCCAGTCAAGTCCATATTTTGGGTGGGATTTTTTGAATTTTTCGAAAAAAAACCCTATAGTGGCCACTAAAGTTTGACTAAATTTTTTTTAGCTTCTTTCTTTAATCACCCATTATCCAAGAGCAACACGTGTCATTTAACGACTGAATCGGCTGTGTAATACTGAAAATAGACGTTTTTATTGGCCATTTCTCAGGATCCTAATCTTCTTCCTGTTTTGAAGGGTTTTAGTGGGTTTTTGTTTCAAAAATAGTTCAAAAAAATATTCTAAATTTCAAATAAAAAGTGTACAGGCATTTTCTGGATTTCTCTCTTTTTTCTGCAAGGAAATCCAATTTCATTGGGTTTCTTTACTTTCTGTAAAAGTGTTCGGATCATAATGAAATTCCCTGACCTTTCAAAATTACGTATATCTTCTATGGACTCTCTAACATTCCAGACACGGAATGGGACGTCGACCAAGACTTCTGGGGCCATTTCGGAGGCCGACAAGCCCTGAAAAGCGTCGCGAAAGCCAAAGACGACGACGAGAACTACTGGAAAAGGACCAGCGAACAGATCACTCTTTGGAAGTTGGTAATGGAATATTATTCAGAAGAGAGTGACCATACTAAGAAAAAGGGTGAAAGAAGATTGAGGAAGATTTTGCATTTTTTAAAGTCAGTGTTCATTCTTACCGTTCTCTCATTTTCACCGTATTCTTTAAAAGGAAAGCAAAAACGGTAAACTGGTTTCTACAGAGTTTCCGACGCCTCGGGCGAGATGAAAGTGACCAAAGTTGGCCAAGGAGCCGTCAAACAGAGCCAACTCGATTCCAAGGTCCTGGAACCAGCAATTTTAGCCTTTTTAGAAGAGATTATATTTAGGACGCCTTCATTTTGGACGCTCTGAACGGCGGAATTTTTGTTTGGATCGGTAAAGATTGCACGATCGATGAGAGGTCCAAATCACTTCTCTGGGGGAGAATTATTTGAGGCAGAAGGTTTGAATTTTTTTAAATTTTGTGAAAGAATAAAAGGTATAGGAAGAGACTGGGAACATTTAAAAACTGGAAAATGGTCTCATATTCATTCATTTTTTTAGTTAAAAAAAGGTCAGAAATCAATTATTTGAAAGTCTTAATATAGAAAAAAATTGACACAGATTCTGAAAAATAATTCTCAAAAAAATGGGAGAATTTTTCATCTTGAGCTTGCAAAAAAATGTTTTAAAAAAAGAGTTGACAATATTCCAAGAACTTTGCAAAAATTTTGCGCTTTTCCATCATTCTTTTCTTAATATTTGAGTGTGTTAAGTCTATTTTTTTCCGATTCAGTGTTTCATTTTTCGTATTCAGCACCTCCCTTCGTGGACCCAAGTCACTCGGGTTATCGAATCGGCGGAATCGACTCAATTCACTCAGTGGTTTGCCGACTGGGCCGATGACAAGAAGAAGAAGACTTTCGAGCCGTTGCTTTTCCAGGTCTTTAGAAACAGTAGACATTCGCAAATTCGTCCTCATTTTATTCAGAGGCTCCTTCGGAACTTTTACCTCTTTTTCTGAGATCATGGATCTCACAGCGTTTTTTTTAGTGGAAGAAAATGAAACTAAAAATCAGGTGGGCGGGGTCAAAACCTACGCCGTTCCCACGTGACGTTATGGGGATGGCAAAGGTTCCGACTACAAGTAAAATAAAGGCGCAGGCCAGAGGTCTTTGAGACAAATCGAATTTTTTTTTCTGTCCGAAAGCGTCGCAGTGCATGCACACGACACACTAAAATTCACGGAAAAAAAGTGGGCGTGATCAAAAAACGCGAGAAAATAACCTAGAAATTCAAGAACTTCAATCTTCAAGGTGTCGGATGAGAGCGGCCAACTGCGAGTCGAAGAAATCGCCAACTTCACCCAGGAGGTGACGTCATCGAACCGGCTCCAACCGACAGTTTACCGTTGTAGGACCTTGACGGCGATGACGTCATGATTCTCGACGCCCTCAACACGATCTACGTCTGGGTCGGCGCCAGCGCCAACACCAACGAGAAGCGCGAGGCCGAGAACACTGCCAAGGTCGGGAGAAAAAAAGATTTTTTCCATCCGAAATAAGGGAAAGATTTTTTCATGTGCTTTGATTTCCAGAAAATCTTCAAAATACGTAGTTTCCACATTTTCTTTGAATTGTATAGAATTGCTTAGAACGATGAATGAAGGACGAAAAAAAATTGAACAGAGAAAAAGAGAAGGAAAATACTGGAGACACCAGAGAAGCGAGAGCTCTTTCTTTCTCTGGAATCTCTCAAGTCACTGATCTCTCGTTATCGTTAATTAAGATTCCAATTTCTTCCCATTATATCTATCAAAAGGGATTCTAAGAAAATCTTCAAAAGATCTTCGAAACATCCATTTTTCAGAAGTACCTCGAGCAAGGCAAGCTGCCAAGACATAAGAAAACCCAGATTGAAACCATCTTCCAAGGTTTTTTTTTTCTTAACAATTTGAAACATCTCTGTTTCAGGACGAGAACCACCGTCGTTCAAGAAGTTCTTCCCTCGCTGGGACGATTCTTTGTTCAAAGATGTTGGTTTTTTTCCAAACCAAAGACAAAGTTGATAAAAATAGGAATTAGTTTTCATTAGAGCGTAAAAGGTATAGACAGCTAGAACAGGTAGGTTTTTGGAGCAAAAATTCAACATTTTTTTGGAAATTTTTCTGTTGATAATTGTGCTTAGGAAACCTTAATCTAATAATAAAGTGAATGGATTCAAATTCGGAACTTTTTCTAAAATTTGCAATTAAAACTTCTCAATCTAAATTTCCAGTAAAATCAGAATACCAAAAAAAAATCTCACTGGTTTCTGAAAAATATTTCAAAAATGCTTTGTATTTGAAAAAAAAAGTTGGATCAGAATTCTCAAAAAATGGCCCGAAAATACAAATTAAAAAAATTTTTTTCAGGACGCTCGATCTGTGGAAAACATGCGCAAGCTGCTGTTCAAATAATAATTTGCTATTTTATCAATTTCTTTTTTCTGTAAAGATAAAGCTGGACACGCATGAAATTTTGACGATTTTTCAGAAAATTTGGAACATTTTTACGGCACACGGCTCAATTAGGAACTCCAGAGTGGTCCCTATAGGGGTTAGGGGTGAAAGTTAAGTGATATCTATAGGGTGAACTTAACTTGAAAATTAGAAAGAAAAAAACTTTTTATCTATCATTCAAAAAAGGCTCTTTTATTGAATTCTTCGCATTTAAATGCTTATCGTCATGTTCATAGGAGTTATCGACTAGCATGTCCCCTATAGGTGCTACTAATTGAAACCCCTATAGTGGCCTCTTTACATGCCTAAGTGGCCACTATAGGAGTTAATAAAGTAGGGACCTTGAAGAATCTCCTCTAGGGACCACTCTGGTGTTCCTAAGTACCTGAACAATTTTCAGCTCGGATAATTGTCCAAATGTTCAAAGGCCCCTATAGGGACCACTCTGGCGTTCCTAGGCACCTGAACATTTTTCCAAAGCTCGGAGGATTGTCCAGATGTTCAAAAGCCCCTATAATGGCCACTCTGGCGTTCCTAAGCACCTGAACAATTTTTGATTGTCCAAATGTTCAAAGGTCCGAATGACTTGTGTATCTGAATTGACCATCTTCTGAACGAAATGGCGTCATCGATGTATGTAGAAGCGTGCGAAAAACTGGACAAGCCCCGTCTTTGCCATCCATCCAATAACCATCAAAATGCCGTTGGCAATCGAGATTTCGCCTTGAGATATGACCCGCCTTGCCGCTTCGTGTATATGTTTTTTTATGCATCTGGATTTTCGGTCAAAGATCAGTTGGAAGGTGGATAAAGGAAAAATTCATTTCCGTATTCAACGTTTTGTGGTTTTGGAAAGTCCTGGCTCGAGAACTGTGAGAAAAATGGAAAATAGAGAGAAATAGTTCTTCTGCATTTTAGGGATGTATTGAAACTTTATTTCTCTGTTTTTCACGTTCAGTTTTTTTTAGTTTCTAGCAGTCCTTTCAAAATTCGAGTTTTGTTTGACGAAACTTTCGAATGCACCCGACCTGAAACGAGTTCCGCGCAAGCATTGTGAAACATCTGATTACGCTGTTAAACTTGAAATGATCTGTATAGTTGATTCACTGCTGGCTTGAGCCATCGAAAAAAGGGTCCTGACACGATAATGCACGAGACAGCGCCTGGCTCGTGGAGAGCGCAGACAGGCCACGCCCCCTTAACGACCCAAGCTGGCCGTGAATCAGCTATATTTCAGATTCCATGTTAACCTTTTCTTCAAGGAATTCGTTTCTAAAACGATATTTCCAAAGGTTCATTTCATTTCGCAGGCTTCTCCTATCCAACTCAAATTCAAATCATCTACAAACTCAGATTGCAATCTTCAGCTTGTTCTTTTTTACACTCCAACGGTTTCTTCTCGTCTTTCTCTATCGAGCTTGCCAAAACGGAGATGACCTCGAGGTCGAGAAGGACAGCTTTCGTGGAGATAAGCATCATCTCCGACCGCCCGGGGAGGTGAAAGCGAAGCCGTTTTCACTCGGAAACCTTCCCTTTCCATCCGTTGGACTTTGAAATGTTTCTGTTAGACTCTTCTTGCAGAATAGTTCTGGATGGATCAGAGATGAGCTTGAAACATTTTTCCGGTTCTGCACTTTGAAGACGGACTTTGTCCTATCTGAAGTCATTAATACAGTATTTCGGAAATTGAGTAATGATAACCGGACGTTTTTGAGCAGTTCTAGGGGCCACTTGAGTGTTGAAGCTACTAAAGTGGTCACTAGGATGGCCCCGACACGTGCGGTTCACATCACCAAAGGAGAGATTGATTTGGGAAAAAAAATCTTGCTTTACAAAAAATATTTTCGAAATTCGATGTTCTTGAAGCAAAAAAGGGCTATTTCATCCTACTGCAGCCAGAAAAAAAGCTTTACAAAACTTCCAACTCCTTTCAGAAAAAGAGCTTTTCTGAAAAATGATCGCTCAGAACTTTTTCACAAGTTGTCGATGATCAGGAGCGTACCAAAAGAGGAAAAAGGGCTGAAAACGAGTCGACGGTCACGCCCACCGGAGGCTTCTCCAACGACAGAATGGCTGCAGATCCTTCCGACGATAGCTTTTACCTCAGCCCACCGGCAGCCGACTCATCTTCCCCTCCAACATCGATTTCTCTCCCCACTTTCCCTTGTTTCAACAACTATAAAAGCTCGAAATCATTGTATTTTTTTCAGCTTCAAAATTCAGCGGACTGAAGCTTTGAGGTCATGAAAATTGCCTAACCGGTAATGAAAGCCCAAAAACGTGAATCTTCCCAGGAGCATTCTCAGCTTTGAAAAACGTCTCGTTTTCAATTTTTGACATATTCAAAGTGTGATAAAAAAAAAGTAATTTGCCTCGCTTTTCTTGAATTTCGAAGCACCGGTCATTGGAAAAACTGGTCAACATATTTTGAAACAACTTTTTGGATTCAGAAGCCGTTCAGATTTCATCTTACCATTAGAATCCAATGATAAATTATGAATTCTCAAGTATCCAACCTAAAACTGTTGCCAAAAAAGCTTTTCATGATTTTTTGATATCCTGTAGCCCAATAGAGCTTAAAAGAACCTTTTTTGATAATCGATTACTTTCCAAGTTATCCTACGTTTCAAACCAATAACAAATGAATAACCGGTATTGTGATGATAATTCCTCCACGGTTACTTCCACTTAAATCTTCCAAAAACTTTGTGCTTTTCCATGCATTCCGAAGCTGCTCAAAAGGAATTCAAAAAAAGTGTGATTTGGCTCATTTTCCAGAGGGTTTTTTTGTTTTGAACAACTTCATACAGGGTTGATTTTTTTTTAAACGCTTTTTTTCCCTCCAATTTTTTTAAATCGATTTTCTGCCCCTTTTTCTCGAACAATTATTGGTCGATTTCTTATAAGCTTCAGATGAACCTTCTCATTTTAGTAGGGATGGTCGAAAAAGGTTAAAAAAAACCTCTGCACAAATGTTCTCTTTATGGTGACAAAGGTTCCTTTTTTGGTACCTTTTTGCGCCATTTCATGGGCCCTTATGTACCATCTTTGCTGCCTCTCCCTCATCCCACCATTTTTTGAGCCTTTAAAAGTCTAGAAAAAATGGAAGGCTCGATGAAAGGACTCTTTTTGCTTCCTTTCTGCTGCTTTTCTGCGGCCTTTTTCTGCCTTTCTGCCGGATTTTTTGAGCCTCCCCCTTTTAACGACCATTATCCACTCTTCCGACTTTGCCCGAGTTATGGCGGCCTTCACTTGCAACTTCTTCTACGTTGTCTCAAAAAATCTTATACTTTCTGTTTTACGGTCTTCTTGAGCCCAAAAAACTTCCAGAAGACGATGGACATCGGCACGATAACGGTGTCGCGGCTCTTCGCCATGTACACTTCGAACTTGCTCTGGTCGCTTTTCCTCACTTCTACAGCCATTCACGCCGTCGCTCTAATCACTAGTCCAATGTTAGTTTGTTAAATATCTGAATATAGACATAAATTGGAAATTTTTCAGTCAAGCAGTCCACAAATGGGTCCGAAGGCAGAGCAGCGACAGCGACACGCCGATCCCCTACCTTTGCGCGGTTATTGGGTGAGCACACCTTCTCTTATCTTTTTTTACCTTACTTTTTGTAAAATTCCTCCAACGAGGAAGGTCATTTCACTTTGCGGTCTCTTTAAAACTAGCCAAAACGCTCTTTGAAATGCCAGATAAAGATTCTGGAAGTCTCAACCTGCACAACTTCCTAGTTTTCCAGAAATAACGATCTAAAGCCGCAAAATCGTTCATTTTAATGGATTTTGAGGTTTTGCAGGTTGAGGTTTTCAGGATGTTCTTCTGGTACATCAAGAAGACCAATTTTTCGGAAAATCGGAACCGCAAATTAAAATAACGTTCCTTGTTAGGAAATTCCCGAAAGTAGGTCTGAATACTCCTTGATGTGTCAGATAAAAATTCTGAAAGCCTCAACCTCAAACTATTTTTTAAAAAAGGCCACCTGAAAGTGTTCAAAACGCATTTCAGGTCTTTTTCTGAAGAATCTGGTTGAGACTTTCAGAATCTTCTTGTGGTTTTTCGAGAATTGTTATGACCATTTTTCATAAAGTTCCGTTCCGAAACCACAATGTAAAATGACCTTTCTTATAAACTAGTGTTTCATTTGGATTTTGGTCCCCGAGAAAAGAAATTCATTTTATTTAATTATTAAACTCTTACGAAAGGTTTGGATAGTGAAATTACATAGTTAGAGCTCTCTATTTGCAGTCTCTTAATGAATTATTTGGTAATTTCGAGCAAAAATATCGCGCTAGAATCAATCCAAAATGCCATTTTGTGTAAGAACCGCTCTTTTTTCAAATTACTGATCATGAGAATTCCGTTAAAAGTTAGGCGCAAATTAAACATTTTTCATTGACATCTCTGTTTCCAACCTTTCAGGTCACCTTTTCGCTATCCTACCTACAATTCCGTGATCTATGAAAAAAAAAACGGCTTTTCTTCAATTTTCCAGTGATTTTTGGGAACCTTAGCTTGCGATGAGTCAACTTTAATTACCCAGAATCTGACATATTTTTTCAAAAATTTTTCACGAGTTCTAAACTTTCAAGGTCGTCCCTATGGCTCCGCTACTCGATGTTCCTTCAAGACACCAAACTGATCCTCCTTCAAACTTACGCCGTTTTCATGCAAGCCTCCTTCGTCGCCATGCTGGTTTTCTACCGTTCAAAGAAGGTTTCTTTTTCAAAGTGCTTGTTTTTTACAGTACTTGAATTGATATTATTCAGAAAAAAAGAATCGACTGACTTAACTTTGATTGACAGATATTCAGACTCAAAGGAGGCTTCTGCGAGTTGTAAGCTTGATAATTCTCGGGCTTTTCTCGCTTTTCTACTATATTCAAAGGCTAAACGAGGATGATGGGAAGGAGGTTCGGTTTTGAAGGTTTTCAATTAAAATATGAGAAACTAATGAACAAAAACTTTTTGAAGAGAGAAAGCCTTAAAATCATGAATTTTTTTTTGAAGCACTAGTAAAAAAATTAATTTTAATAAGTTAAAAAAACAGTTCTCAACAAGTTGAAACAAATTATTGACTCGCGATTTTTTTCGAATTTTTTTATTCAATTAATTAAAAATAAAATGTTCAGCTAACTGGAAGAATCGCCTCTGGAGCTCAAATAGCGGGTTCTCTAGTATGTCCCTATCTTATTGTAAGTGCAATACTCAAAATAAATAATACTTCCTACTGAAAATACAAAACTGAAAAACTTACAGTACAAAGCCGTGACTTCGGGATGCATCGATTTCGTTCCCCTGGCCCCTGTCGTCTTCACCTGGTTTATGGAGTTCCATGCCATCGTTTACAGTATCGGAATCGACGACTTTTACATGCTCGTAAGATTTATTGGCTTCTAAAAATGAAAGCGGAGAGGATATGAGATTATTAAAAAAAAAAAAACTTCGTTCATGACGAAAAATCCGTTATAAAAAAATAAATTTAAGGGCCTTTTTTTCGACTCCATCCTTGTTTGACAATAACTTATCAATCAAAAATCATATTGATATCAATCAAAAAGAGAAAATACAAAAAATCAAAAAAGTTTGCGAAAAATTATTTCTCATAACAGCTGCGCTCCACCGCACTCTTGGCGGGAGTTCAAACCTTAATTTTTTTTTTCCATTTTCAGCTGGCGAACACGATATTTTTCTGCATGGATGGCTCACTTCTTTCCATGTTTTTCATTTTCCCAACGGAGAAGAAAGCGTGATGAACTCTATGATCTATTCGTAGTTCTCAATTGTTGTCAAAATTATCAATATCCGGGTTTTTTCCTTATTGCTTGTTTCAATTACTCAATTCTTTGTTTCTAATTTGTCCTTTTTCAAAGAGTTCGATGTTGAAATGAATATTTTGATTTTTTCCAAGTTTAAATGTGAAAAACAGCAAAAACAGAGGACTTTTTCTGTTATATAATAATTAAAGTGAAAAGTTGAAAAACGAGAGAGTAAAATGAATCGATAAATGGAACGGTTGGCCGGTAAATACACACAAATCGGGCTGGTTAATACCCGCCTCCACCGACGTGAATCACCTTTTTCGTGTCGTTTTGTTTTGTTTTTGATGTTTTTTTTCTTCCCTTTCCGTTTTTACGACCTTTACTGTACGATACCCTCAATGATTTATTATATAATAATCAATTTTTTGACGAAACTTGGATGAATGAACGAAGCGCTTTAACAATGTTTGACCTTATTTTTTATCATTTCAACTCCTCTCCGGAAAGCCCTTATCTTCTTTTATCAGCACATGTCATCGTCATTTCCTGTTCAGCGATGTTTTTGAGAAATGCACACGTTTTTTCCTGCGAAAGACCAAATGTCTATACATTTGCAAATATGACACTTTTGTGCATACAAAAACGGAATTCGCCCCCTGTTTGGTTTTCATTTTTGCCCTGGCAACTGTGCAAATTTTTCAGTTCCGTGTCGTGGGTATTTCAGAGATTATGGATTAATTGTTTCACTTCTGGCTTGAACCTAATTCGAAGTGGCTTTTCATGGAGGAAGGCCCTGATCGCAGTGATTTGTGTATTTTTTTATTAGGGTAATCGCAAAAATTCTCAAGTAGTTATAAATTATTTTCATTTATTCCAGCCAGTCTAGCCACTCTTCTTTCAAAATTTTACTGAAGTTTTGATTTTTTTTTTATATCCTAAACAGGAACAAAGTAGAACCGCGACGCGTTGAGCCATTCCACATGCGACCACGATTTCATTTTGCTTTCCAAATAAGACTAACCGGTTCATTTTCATGGGATTATCCTATTTACCTCGTGTTCGCTCTCGTTCTGTTCGTTTTGACACATCTTGTCTGCCCACTTTTCCGAAGTTTTAAAGGCGCATAGGTAGAATTTTCTGAGGTATTTCGATGCGAAAGTTTTAAACACTCAGTTGAACTGTTATGAATGGACCAACTCAATTTTTCGGCCGATTCTGTTCATTTTCCAACCATTTTTCTTATCTTCACTGCGATTCCTTTTCCTAATCAGATAATATTTTAATCCTCTTTCCAGTTCGTCAATAAATTCGAGAAATTATCTGTTCCACTAACATTTTTCTAACAGTTTCGCCTGGAGTTCAAAATAATTATTTTTCAGATGAAATTCTTCACAATTTTCTTCACAATGGTCGTCGCTCTACTCGCCACCCTCGCGGTAAGTCAAAAATAAGTAAAATAGAAAAAATTGCAGGTGGGAATTTGAGGAATTAATTGAAAAAAGTGAGAAAGAAAGTTTTCTGAGGCAGCTGGGAAATAAGAAAGTCACGTTTTTTATTTAATTTAGAAAAATCGTAGACTTTTTTTGAATTTCGGAAGTTCAATCGGAAGGTTGTGAACTAGAAGAAATAGAACTTGGACACTGAATATTCAGTTTTAGATTGGAATTTGATGAATTTTTCGTGCAACCTTTTGAATAATATGTAAGTATGATTGAAAAATCTGCACTCCAGGAAAGAAACAATGATAAATTTAGGAAAATAATCAAAGTTTAAAATTTTTTTAAATATCAAAGAAGTTTTGTTGTTGTTTTTTTTGAATAATAATCATAGGCTCAATTCAAAGTGTATTCACTTGCTACTTCATAAAAAATCTGTTAGGCTGAGAAACTGCAAAAAATCTAAAGTTATAAGCCATAGGGTGCTGAGAAGAAGCTAGTAGACGCTCAGAAAAGGCTCAAAAACAGGTTTTCTCTCGCTTTTTTTTGGATTGAAAACGACTTTTCAGAAAGATATTGTCCTGAGAAATTTCTCCACTAATAAACCCGGGAAAAAAAAGAGTATTTTTTCTGTACATTTTATACCGACTTTTCACGGTACCCTTGCGGAAAATTTCTTTTTTTTTTTGAGTAATACAACTTTTTTTGAGTAAAAGTAATTCAAACTGATTACCACAAACTTTTTAGTTTTTCATCGAGGTTGCTCGTCTCAAACACTTTCTGTTCAGAATAGACCATACTAACTTTAAAAATAATCATTTCAATTCGAATATTCCAGAACGGATTCAACGTGCCACCGACGGGAATCTGCTACGCCCCGGCCGGCGGCGACTGTTACCGATGTGACTGCGCCAAGCCCCTGACTTGCTACAAGGGAAGCTGTCGGTAGATTCTTCTCCCAAGAGCAACCAACTGACCCCAACTCTCGAACGATTGTGATATGACCTCACGGGAAACAATAATAAATTAAGCAGCTTGTTCTCAATTCGGAAAGTTTGGGTTCGTTTGAAGAAAAACACAGGAAATCTTTGAAATCAGAAATGTTTACCTGCGTAGTCCGTTTTCCGCGACTTGAAACTTCTCTGCGCCCTCCTCGTCTCTCGACGACCCTCTCTTGTTAACGCGCTATTTTCGCGTTTCTGTGACCTCGCCGGTGAGGGAAAAGAGAGACGCAGACACTCGAAAAATGTCAAGTCGCGGTGGATGGACCATAGCACCTGGGAAAAAAATTAGATTTTTTTCACTTAGTTTTTCTTGATAGCCTACTTATACCACGTGAAGGAAAAACAAGCTAGCTGGTCCTTCAAGGGATCACTAAAGTGGAAAAAGCTTCACTTGAGTGATTACTTACAAAAGGTCGGATGAGCCAGTTTCTTTGTTTTTTTTTTTTCAAACCTCAGTATTTTCTTTTTTTTTCAGCTAGTAACCTCACAAATTTTGAATAAAGTAAACTTTTTCTTCGTTTTGTTCTGAGTCGTTTTTTTTTTTGCATGGATGTTGAAGTTTCATAATTAAATTCTCTAGGGAGAAGAAAAAATCTCACACCGCCTCGCCTACACAATTTGATTTATAAAAAAGAGAAAAGAGAAAAAAATCGTTTCTAATTATTCTCCCATTCGAGCTCTTTTCATCAGATCTAGTACATGAAAATTTTTCATTTTTCTGCTGCGCCTGAAATTACGAGGAAAAATGAAATTGGATTTTAAATATTCTGGCGAGGATTTTTGAACACAGCATCACATCATTTCCAACAAAAACAGACTTCTCAGTTTCCTACTCTCCTCGCCTTTCAACACACTCTCTTTCAAAACCTTAATTGTCGTCCAGGTGGTTTTTTGAGTTGTCCAAACTATGTGTCTATCACAAGGAGGTTGAAGTAAATTGAAGGTTTTTCGTTCTGAAACTACTCGTTAGAAGAATATGATTCAGTTTCCGATATTTAGTCTCTCTTCTGCACTTCAAAAATGATGCCTTGCACAGTTTCCAGAAACTTGACTGAAGTTTGTATTTTTCTTTTTTGCAGTTAATTCACGAAATTCACTCAAAATGGGCTCTTGTAAAACTTGTAGAAGTTTATTCGAAAAAATGGTCGAGAAGCTTTTTTTTTAATCCTTTCCAATTTTTTTCTTGTCTTTAGTCTGAATGTATACTTCATTCAGCTTGCAAAAATCTATCCTGTCTGCGCTCTCTTTTCTCTCATAAAATTGTCTAGAATCGGAGAATATCTTCCGTTTTTCGGGGGATTTCTCTGCGCCCTCCTTATCTCTCGACGTCCCTCTTATGTTTATACGCTTTTTCCATGTTTCTCTGACCTCGCCGGTGAGGGAACAGAGAGACGCAGACACGCGAAAAATCTCAAGTCGTGGCGGACGGACTATACCATCTAAACACGTCGAAACTTTAAAACCAAAAGAACTATAAATTCAAAAATTCAAGATGGCAAAATGAGGATATTGTTCGTTTCTCGGAGAGATTTTCATACTTTTCTAATTTTGAATTTCGTAAATTTTTTCAATCTTCTCTCCTACAGCTCCTTGTGAAGGTTTTTGGCTCAATTTTTTTCAGAAGTTGTCTTAAAAAAACTTTCTAAGTAGAGTATACTGCAAACGAAAGTCAGATTTCTCGATTCTTCATTTTTGATCTGTTTTCCATGTGTTCTCATTTTTTACTTCAATCCAATTTTCTCCACCCGCAACGGCAGTTAAACCTCATTCCCTCAATATAATCTAATCTCTGTTTTTTACTTTTCACCTCAAAAACATTCTCTCTACTTTTGAACTTCAACCAAAGAATATGAAAAGCTGTTTTCAGAACTGCAAATATGTCAATATTTTCCTTGGTTGTGGATATCCCATCCCATTTTGACGGTTTCTTCGACAATTTTCATTATCATCTCGATAATGGTTACTTCAAAGCGACCCAATATTTATTGGGATTCACGGCTTTCGTCACGACCACCGTCTCATTGTATACCTTTTTGATAATACTACGGTATTCGACAAGAATGGAGAAGGAGTATCAAAGGGTTGGTAGCATTTTGGGAAATATAGCTTCAGAAAAAAGTTTTGAGAGAACAAATGTGCCCTATGGCTAATTTTTTTCTTAAAATTTGAACATTTTTGGAATGGTTTATCTTTTTACTTTTTCTAAAACATTTCTGCTTGATATTGAGAGTTTTCTAACATTTTTTTACTCGGAAAAACCGGACATTTCTGAGCAATTCTAGGGACCACTTAAGAGAGCTGACGCTACTAAAGTGGCCACTAGAAATGTTCCGACTTGTCCTGTTCGTGTTAGCCACGTCCGTATAGATTTTTTAAAAAAACCTCCGTTTTTGGATAGAATTAGCTATGGGGCGACCATTCCTTTCAATTTTAACGCCTGTAACGAACTTGATTTAAAAATTTCAAAAAATCTCTCAGAATGAGAATGAAACTAGTTGAATTTTCGATTGAAACTTCTCTTGAGAAAATTTTCCCAACTTTTTTTTTTCTCATAGGATAGTATTCTAAACAAGAAAGTTTACTATCAGTGAATTACATTCAGAAAATAATTAAATGATGAAATTTTTTGGGTCCGAACCGAATCTTAGCCTCGAATCTTCGGATGCGAGATAGTCCTTGCAAGTGAGAGCCCGTACAGAGAAAAAATATCTGCCTTCTATTTTTTGGATGCTCTCTAGCTTACGAGGTTTCAGGCGTAGTATTTTTTTAAGTCCATTTTTTTTTCGAGAAGTTTGCTTGAGGAACCTTTTTTTATTCAAACAAAAAGTTCAAAATCTCAGAGTGTTTTAGTGGATTTTTACAGATGCTTGTGAGCCAAGTGCTGGTGAGCAACGCGATGGCGATTTTCATCGCAACGACTTCGCTCTACACAATAATGCCGTACCGAGCGGTTTTCCTCGTCGGAGGAGCTGTTCGATGGGGCGCAACTGGCACCGTCGCCATTTTCCTCATTTTGATGGTCCTCGGCTCGACGTCATTTTTCCTGATGGCCTATGGGTTCCTTCGCAACTTTGTCATGTCTTCCGACATCCGGTTCCCCTGTTGTCATCGGAAGGACAATCTTCGGATGCTCAATCGATATTTCGTCCTTTTCTGCTTTTTGGCCTTCATTTATAGCGCCGTCATGTGCTTGTGGGTCATATTCCTCTCACTTCAAAAAAAAACTCGATTTTGAGCAAAATTTCTAGGGAAAATTGCAGTTTTCATCTTTTTGAACACAATTTCCCGAGCTTGAAAGACCATGATCCTATCTAAAATGGCACAAAGCATAGAATTGAGTATCAGCTATTTACAACAACGCTAAAGCGAAAGTAGTTTCTAGTCGGAGGCGCATTTATGTATGAACAAGGGTTATCAAGTTATTTGAGATGATTTAAAAGTTCATTTGAAGTATTTCATGCCCTTGTGACAGTGATCTGAAATTGATAAAACTAATTCTTGACCGTTATCAGATGGTGAGAAAAAAAGGACAGAAGTTTGAAAAGAACAGCAAAAACGCTACGATTTTTGGTGAGAAAACTTGGAATTTCGAATTTTCGTTATTGACAACCTTATGAAGCAAGAAAATAAGGTTTTCGATTTTCATTTTCAAAACTTTAAAAAAGTTCGGCTGAAATGAAATACGTTTCAGGCCGGAATATTAAAGAATTTAAAAAAGTGAAGCGTGTTCGAGATCGTGCTGCTTGCGTTGAATCAATTTCATTTTTCAGTTTCATCATCAACTGGAACCAGTCGGAATTAGAACAGAGAATTTACGAGAGAGATCCGCGGCTTCGCCAGATATTCGAGCAAACCTGTCTCTACGTCATCGTACTGTACCCTACCGTAATCTTCACCGGTGTCTCTCTTATATTACTGTTTCTATTCGTTTGCATCTCCATGCCCATCATCATATTCAAGTTCGACCTTTGAGTTTTCCGAATTCTGAAGAAAGTTTCAGAACGAAGTACAATATCCAACGGAAACACGCGGTGACGTCGAGGAAGGTTCAGCAGAATCAACAAATGGTTCTGAGGATGCAGACGACGTATTATGTCCTCTACATTCTTTTCATGGGCTCTCCCATGATGATCAATATTTTCATCGGTTATTTCGACTTTCAGAATGTGACTAAGTGAGTTTGAGAACCAGAAAAGTGGGGTATTTTTCATAAAATTCAGATATTTGCGATAGTTTTTCGGAGTCTAATTTATTCTACTGGGAAATTTTTTGAGTGGCCACTTTAGGGTTTCGACCCCACTATGGTAGTCCAATCAGTGGCCCTGAAGTGGTTAAAATTTAGCCCCTCTTTTGGGACTAGACCACTGTGAGCTACTATAGTGGCCACTTAGAAATACTGGGTTCCAGAGTGGTGGTTCTGGTGGCCCCTTAGGAGTCCTCTTCAAGTAGCCCTTGAGAAACCTCTTAAGTGGCCACTAGAGTGTTCCCATTTTTTCTTTTTTTTTAAGTGCTCCTTCATGTATATTTTATTCCACTCTGGATTAACATATCGTGGACGGATTTGGACTGGCTCAAAGCGTTGCGGTCGCGTCGAGCTGAAGGTTGAGAAACCAACTCTAATGATTTTTGATGACTCCTCGCGAAATTCGCTTTAGGTCGGGAGCTTCAAAAGAGCCATTCCACGTGTGACAGTTTGAAACGGAGTGAAAGCTCTTTTAAAGAAACTTTAAAAAAATATGAATTATTATAAGTTACAAGATCGAAAAATTTCTAATATTCGCGGCTTCAGGTACCCACTAGTGATGCTAAACTTGGTGCCGGGCCAATTGGTCGGCGCTTGTCTCTGCCTGACCTACCTGATTCTCATCCGACCCTACCGAAACGCAACATTCGGACTGTTGAAGAGGAAGAAGAAGCTGATGAAAGACGCTTTCCAGTTGTTTTCCGTCACGAAAACTTCGAACAACGTCCCCAGCACCTTCACGGTGTCCGTCTGAGATGTGAGACTTTTTCCTTCACGTCAAAATATGCGTAGGAGGAATGAAGTTTAAAAAAAACTTTTATTTTTTAAAGTTTTCGAAAAAAATTCTGTTCTCCCACGATTTTTCTTGATTTTGATGAAAAGGATTCAAGACGTCGTAAAATAGTTATCTAGAATTGGGGCGATTATTCATATATTTCTCTTTTCTGACCTGAAGCGAACTCGCGGAAAGTCGGGCGCAGTTCTTACTAGGGTATGGTCTCCCCTGAAAATCGAGTTGAGAATTGAGACTATGTGGGTTTGATAGCCCTGGGTAAGAATCAAAAATAAAATTCTGCTAAACCCCTCAGGCAACCGAGAAAAGCTCGTCGAAAGATTTCCAGAGCGGATATGGCCGCGCTAGCAACTGGCGGCGTGGTGTAGTGGGTAGTAGTCTTGTGCACTGTCAATATTGGGACCAGGGTTCGAGTCCTTTTGGCGGAAATCGTTTTTGCCGGCTCATATCCTTAACACTTTCACATTTTTGCGAGATTTTTTCAAAGATTTACATCAAAACGTGCAGAAAACTATTATTTCAGTTCTCAAATCGATGTTCAGGGGAGACCATACCCTAGTTAGATAACCACGAAAATAAAAACTTTTGTTTGAGCTGCGCATTGAGCCATTTTAGGCTGTTATAGCTTTAAATTTTTAGGTTCATTTTGAGGAAATTCGAAAAATACATCTATGTGAAACATTGGTATGTACAGCCTATCAAAATTTCAGCGAATTCTGATCTTTTTAAGCCAAGTTGTTGCCAAAAGACCAAATAGGCTGATCTTTATGGCCATTCTTGAAAAAATTCCCAGATTTTTCCCGGCTATTTTGAATCCACGCCAGTCTGCTTCTTTTATTTTCAACATTTTCACCCAGAAGATCATGATATTTCTCGAGAAGTGCAGGCTAAGGCTGAAAATAACTCGAAAACAACCTGCAATTTTTTTTCTCAAAACCCTCTATTTTTGTTTTGGAAAAAAAAATTGTCTTCGAGTTAATAACTTCCTCTTCTATAGATCTTACTGTGGTTTGAAGAAGTTACCTTGAAAGTTATAAAAACATTAAAAAGGCCAAAAAAACATGGATCCAGGTGCTGATCCTTATTCATTTCGTGCTTGATTTGCATCTTTTTTTGAGCTCTCGGACGATCCTGAGACGTTTAGTGATCACTTAGGTGGTGTTATCATAACTTAAGAGATCACTTTAGGTGTTAGAATCATCCCCTATCAGTCAATGTACATTTTAACTTCCCAAAACGACGTCACAGATTCACTTTCTGGAATTTGAGCATGAAAAATTAGTTTCAAACCCGTCGCCAACTGTCTTTCCAACATTTCTTAAGTTCAGAATAATATAAAGTTCAAGATATTTCTGAACCCTACCTGAAATTTACCCGAAATTAACATGCAATCCTTCAAAACTTTGTTTTTTTTTTCAAAGGATTCGAGTTTTTCGAGTTAATAACTTCCTCCTTTTACTCAACCTACACACACTCTACCGTAATTGGAGGGAGTTGCCACCTTGAACGTTATAAAGACGTAATAAAATCTCTCTCAAAGCCGAAAAAAAAACATGGATCCAGCTGCTGAACCTTAGTCATTTCGCGCTTGTTTTGCGTCAAGCTGCAGGTGCCGAAGATGTCAAGACCTACTCGGGCAGAATACATATATAAGTGTCGAGTTGAAACTCGAGAGTCCATTTACAGCTAGGCTTTCCAAGTTTTTTTAGTTCACCCAATTTCTCCTCTAAACAATTCCTAACCGCAAATATCGTTATCGTTATCATTTTCGATCCAGAAAAAATTGTTTCTTTCATTTTCTTTTCAGCACCAAATAGTCTATTCACGGATAGATTCTCGCAATTTTTTTTCGAGTTTTCAAACAGTATTTAATCCTAGAAGTTAGAAGGAACCTATTTATGCTTACAAACTTATTAAAATAAGGAATTCAGTAATGTCGGTCGAAACGTTACTCGGCTACGAAATTGGTACTCTTTTTTTCTGGGTTGGATCGTCGTTTTGTTGTTTCCGAGCACATTTCTCGGCGTCGGTCGTCTTTCTTTGATCCTTCATCAGGTAATTTTTATTTTTTTAAAAAATTTAAAGTTTGCCTATTTTTTTCTAGTAAATTCTATCCACCAAAGACGGATCAAAAACTTGAAAGGATTTGCAAAATTCAAAAACGATTTCCCCCTCAACGACTTTTGTCCCCCCTCAACGGTTTTTTTACCCCCCCTTCAACGATTTTTTTAACCTGAGTATAAAACGAGTATAAAACGTTCTTTCCCCAGCTAATGAGAAGAGTAAAAAGTACTACGAAAATATTTGAAACACAAATCAGGTTTTTTTTTTCATAGAGATCTGCTAGCTTACAAGTTTTGAATTGAACATATCTTTTTCTAATTCATATTTGTAAAATCTGTTTTTTTTTTCTAGGCCGCCCTCACCTTCCACATTGCCAAAAGCTTCAGCCCTTATATCCTCCAAGGTCACGACCATTTTAACAAGGTTATTTTTTTTATATTTTCAAAAAAATTCTTTTTTTCAGAATATGTTCATGTTATCCGACTTTCTGGTCACCTTCTCCACTACGATCATTCTTTTGAATCTTCAATTCAGACACTCAAAAGCTAAAAATCGACTTACCTTCAGCATCAATATGCTTTTAGTCTTTTCCTGCTCACTCTTTATGAGCCTTGGAACGTGTCGACTGTTCAAAGTGAGTGAAAACTTTCAAAATCGTGTCAATTTATCATTTCAGGAAAAAGTGACTCTTGATACAGTGTACATCGTGTCCCGTATTTTAATCCGTAAGAAATTATTTTTTTGCAATATCCAAAATTTTTTTCAGTCATTATCTCTATTGCAACTATCATAATAACAGCGGATTCGATTTTCTCCAAATACAGAAATTATCAAGTTAAATTGATTGCAACGTTTATGGTGAGGCTTCTGTATGGAAATCGAAATCCAAGTCAATTTTTCAGATTTTTTCTTTGATATTTGGTGACATGCTTCCGAGTATCGTCTTCACGGAATATTTCGATCCGGCAGAATCAAGCGCAAGCCAAAAGCAGCTCATTTTTGTTTGGATTTTATTGAATCCCTTGAATCAACTTTTGTATCTCATATTGATCAATATCCTCGACCCGAAGCAATGCGAAAAGTCCTTGAAAGTGCTGAGTGAGTTTTAATTTTGTTCAAGAATATTTTAGGGTGAAGAAGTTTTTTGGATATTTTTTTGAATAATAATTTATTTCCCAAAAAATTTGTTCATTTCCCTAGAAAACCTCCGAGTCCTTAAAACCACGAAGTTAAATAGAGCTTCCAGAGAAAAAATTGAAAGAGAAGAAGCTGAAAAGAGAGATCAGTAGTATTCTGAAGAGACGCCGGAGAAGCAAGAAAAATATTTTTCTCTCGGATCTCTTTAGACCTTTGCTAGTTTCTCTCAGATAGAAGTCAAAAATCTTTCAGCGGAGGCCTGAAGAGACGCCTGAGAAGCGAAAAATATTCTTTCTCTGGAGTCTCTCTGCTAGCCGCTCATCTTTCTTCCCGATGACCAAATCACTAGTTTTCCAAATTTCAATACCAACCTTTCTCGAAATTTATAACATTTCAAGTTTCATTCTTTCAGATCTCCGCTTCCGACCCCCGAGGAAAGTTGAAGCCAACTGCCCGGAAGATAAAAAGAAAACCCAGACGTTGCAAGTCCCGCCGAACATTCCTCCCGGAGCTTTGGCTAGCAAAAACCGGAGAAAATCCAGCTATTCTAACCAAGTTGGAGATATTCCAACCAAGAACCTCGAGCTCAAACTCGACTTCTGTACCCTCGAAAATGGGGAAAACTCCCCGATGGGAAGTGCCACACTTGGGAAGAAGTTCCAAAACGACGACAACTATTTGTTGAGCGAGGACCAGAAGAAGAAGCTGAAGAAGAGAAACCGGAAGCTGAGGAAATGCCGTTCCAGCCCGGGCCGCTTGGGATCGAGAAATTTAGATATCGACGCGAAGTTGAAAAGGCTCACCGCCCATCTCCGAACACTTCAGTTCTATTGAGATTTTTCCCTTCTTCGAGTAAATTCAGTTGTTTTATAGTATAGAATATAGACTAGATTACTGCCCAGTCTTTCAGAAATCAATAACTAAAGATTTGAAAATGAATAAAAAGTTTCTTTTAGAGTTTTCACAAGAAAAAGGTTGAAAAAAACGAGCTTTTTCAAATTAAAACTGGAAATGTCTTGGTCGCACTTGGAATGGCTTAGAGCGTCGCGGTCGCGTTGCGGCAACCTTGAAGCGGTGAAAAAGGCCATGCTTTTGAGCATTTCAGTGGCATTTGTAAAAGATTAAAACGTTTCTCCTTTCTACATTTAATCCCCGGAAGTTGGGTAGTTTTTTTTTTAGCCTGAACTTCACTTCCTAAACTCTTGGCTTTTACACAAGACAGCTGAATTTATTGAAATTTTCATCTACTTTGGCCTTTTCGCGTGGGTTTCTCTCTATTGTTTAGCTTTTTCGAAGTGAGACTTGAACTCGGCTTTCTTCTTGTCCTCGAAGATTTTCCAGGCGGCCTGAAAATAGAAAAATCATAATTCGAATATACGTGTATATTCATATAAGTGAGCAAAAAGAAAACTACAGTATATCGAGCTTTTATTGCACTTTCGCTTCAAGACCCTTCAAAATGCAAAATTACATGTTTTGGAATCTTTCAAAAAAAAGTTATACATTTTTTGACTAAAAAAAAACGTGACAAGCTGCTGCAACACATTTTTGAATAATATAAGGCCTACCTGATCAGCAGCAGAAGCCGTGACGATGTAGGTGTCGATGTCGGTTTTCAAGGCGTGGAAAGCGGCCTTCGCTTCTTCCTTGTTGCCCTTGGCCGCCTTGAAGGCGTCCTGAAACTCATTTTCCATTAAAAATGAAGCTTCAGGTTGAAAAAAACCTGGTGCTTCTCGCTAATCTTGCAAATTTCAGCGATCGTCGGTTCCGAGAGGCCGGCTTCCTTCATTTCAGCATGGAAACGCGCTGAATGAAAAATTTTTGAAAAGACAAAATTTTTTTGAATTTTCAAGCGAATCATGTCCAAAGATCGAAACGAGAATTTCAAACAGAAGAAAAAGAAAAAATATTCAAAAGGCCACTTCAGGGGTTTTAGTTATAGGCCACTCTAGGGGAGCATGGTAATGGTCCCTATACGTTTTTTTTATTCGGATCATAATAAAAAATTTTAAAACCACTTTAGGGACTACTAAAGCTCTAGGGGCGTGGTGGTCATACTCCTAATCCCTATAGGGGCCATCTAAATTTAAGTCCTCTAGGGAGCATTCTTTTGAAACTTCTATGTCGTAGCGATTGAAAAAAAATTATAGTTGGATTTGAAAAAACGGAAAAACCTCAAATTCTAAAAAATTTTGAACTAAATTATTGCGAAATTGATAAAAAACAACGAAATAAAATATTCGAACCTTTCATGTCCTCCTTATTGGGGGCTGCGGCGACGCAGGCGGCAATCACGGCAATCAACACGAAAAATCGGCTCATGATTGGTTTTGAACTCTTTTCGGACCGAAGTTATGAATGAACCCGACTCCCATCGTTTCCCTTATATACTCGACCATTTTTTTGAAAAATTCCCCAAAGGACGGGGAAATAATTGGCCTCCACAGAAACGGGATTATCTTCACCCACTCGTTTTCATTCAGACCATCGCTTTTTTTTGCTACTTTTTCCTACAGATCTCGATCATTTCGAACTTTTTCACTACAAGTTAGTTTTCTGGATGTGCTTCAAACTTCCAAAAAAAAAATCTGGCTATTTTTAAATATGAAAGAAAAGTTGAATATTGTCTTGAGTATTCAAATTCCAGCTTCAGCATTCTTAGAAACTTCAGAGTGGCCCCTATAGGGCCAACCTTAAAGACTACTTTACCAACCCCTATAGATAGGGACCGCAGACGAATTTTCAAAAAATTTTTCGAACTTCAATATTACTATGGTTGGATAGCTGCTCTAATTTACTATTCAAAACAGTTTAGTTTTTCGAAAAAGGTTGAGAAAAAAAAAAGTTATGGTCAAAACAGTAGTGAAAAAAGTCGCGAAATTTAGTACTGAAAGTTTAGATTTTACACTTTTGGTCGTTCATTGTGTTTTCATATCGGATTTAAATTTTTTAGTAGTTTATTCCGGTTTTCAAAGTCGTAATAAGTCATTAAAACAGTATAAAACCACAAGTTTGAAAAGAAAAGCTATTTTTTATTGAAAAATAAAAAAAAATGGCCGCTGCGAGGATTGAACTCGCGATATCAAAACTGTACGCAAGCGCACTTGCGCTGCTCCACACACATCTCTCGGAGATAAGAGGCGTTCGCGCTATACACCACTTCACCTCAAAGTACAGCATTTACCGACTATCTTGTTTAAAAAAAAGTTATGATAGTTGAACAATTATTAGTCACGTGTGTTCGGACCACCTAAAAATAATTTATTCATAGAGATTCAGTTCAAAATGCTTCCGTTTTCGGTGTTTTTTGTTATTTTAAAGGTTGGCTTCAAGTTGACAATAATTAAACTTTTAGGCACCGCTAAAAATTTTTTTATTTTATTTTTTTAATTGATTGAAAAATTGAAATACGCTAATATTTAAGAAATAAAAAAAGGCGCCAACGACATCTAACCATGTTAAAATAAATTTCGAAATTTTTCACTGTCTTTTTTTCTCAGAAAAACAAAGTTTTTCGGAATAAGTTTTATATTAATAAAATTTTAGTTACAATTTAATCCACAAGTTGAAATAAAAATTTTCTACTTACACGCTCTCGAAACCGAGTACAACATTTTCAACTTTACGCGGCCTCACGAAGATTAGGCACCGTAAAAATTTTAATATTTTTGTCTCAAAAGATTTGTTTTTCATTTAAGAATCGAATTCGAAAATAAAAAAAGGCGCCAACGACATGGAACTAGGTTAAAAACCCGAAGAAAAAAAGTAGTTTTGGTTTTTTGTACGGCACTCCGCTAAAACGCTACGAAAATCGGGGGAAAAATATATCAGATTGAAGAGGAAGGTTTTCTCTATGTTTCTCCCAATTTTCTCTGTGTTTGGTTCAGTATTGTGCTTTTACGAAAACATCAAACACAAAATCTAAAAAATCAGTGCATTTCACCATCGCAAAAAGGGGCGTGGCTCTGCGGTCTCTACCTATAGAGACCACTAAAGCTTGCAAGAGTGATCCCTGTAGAGGTTTTGGTTAGTGGCCCCTATAGGGGATATGCTTAGCGATAACTTTTTGCACTCTTTGCGAAAAATCATTTTTTAAAGACCCCTATAGGGACCACTTGCTTTAGGTGCTAAGGGGTCAGACTTTAAACCCTATAGAAACCATTTTTTCGTCCCCTATAGGACCGTTTCTTCCTTAACCCCTATAGGGACCACTCTAGAATTCCGAAGTTCGCAATTTCCCTTTTGGTTTTTTTTTCAAGAATTTTTTCAATTTTCTAACAATTTATCAGTTCTCCCAAAGCATATGCAAGTAGCTCGTTTAAAAATAATCCTCATATGACATAATGGCTTATCGTTTTTCGAATATTCATTAATACTTTTAAAAATCAATAAAAGTTTAGTTATCGTTAGTTACAGTTTCGAATACCTTTTCTAAGTTTTCACTCTTGATCACTTCTCAGTTAAGTCCATATAAGGTTACTCACAAACCTACGGCGCTACGACAAGGGCGAGTTTTCCAATTCCGCGTTTTTTTTTCCTTTCTGTTTTTGAACCTCTTCGAAACGGATTACACACAACGAAGCAGTGCAATTGATCAAATATTTATTTTAATCAGGACAAAAAACAAAGAAGCTTATCGGAAAAAAGCTTTCTTCCGGTCGATTTAGTACTTGTGTGTGAAATAAAAATACCTGATTTAAAATGAAAGGCTCAATATATTTTCGTAGCACCAAAACTCCCGAATAAGGCGAGGAAAAGTTTGAAAACCTAATTTCAAAGATTTTTTTCAAAATCGAAATATCCCCAACGCAACCTCGGTCCTTCGAGCCATTCCGAGCGCGACCACGCTTTCCAGTTTTTTTTTTTTTGAGTGAAAATCATTCAAATAGTTCAAGTTGACAATAAAAAGAAACTAGAAAAACACAATATTTTATCAAAATATTCATTCATCTCCAAACTTTAAAGCCATAATTTAAAAAAAGGATATCGTTTGCTTATTTACTTGGGTCCATCTTGAGCAAGTTCCTCGATGCGAGCCTTCGTCTTCTCTTCGTACGTCTTCCAGGCGGCCTGAAATCGGGATTTGTCAAGGGCGGGCAGATCAAAATTAGAACGAAAAGGAATTTTGAACTGAGAAATTAAATTTTCGAGGATATTCTTGTAATTTATTTTTGAATTCTGGCACAGTTTTCCTAAACAGGCGGCGAAAGTGGTTCTATAAAAAACATGCAATCGGGGGCGTGGCTAAATGCAATGAGGGCGCGATAGTGAGAGCCGAATTTTTGTGCATTTACTGGATGGAAATATAGCGTTAAATAATGTTTTTCAAGCCCTCATTTAACTTTTAAAATAGCTTGGGTTTGTTTCAACACTCAGTGAACCTACTGAAAAAAAAAATATATGAGCGAAATCGCTTTTGCGAAACGCTTTATCACACGAGCTCTAGGGCTTGAGTGAAATCTTCCAACATTCTCGTTATACCTGATCAGCTTCAGAAGCCGTCTCAATGTAGGCGTCAATATCGGTCTTCAAAGCCTTCAGAGCGGTTTCAGCTTGTTCTGGGTTGCTGATCGCGTTCTTGATGTCTTCCTGGAACTTTTCAAGTTAGCTATTTTTTTCAAATATTCTGATCAATGTCATTTTTTATCATAATGATCAGATTCAGATAGTGAAGTTAAAAATTGTAGATGAACTTCCAAACCTCGTGCTTCTGGCCGAGTTTCTCAATTTCTCCGATGGCGGCTTCCGAGAGACCGGCGTCCTTCATGTCTTGCACGGCTTTGGCTGAAAATTGATATTACTTTCTGAACTTCTAACTGTTTCTTTGAGAAAAATACTTTCGAAAAATTGAGGCGACTTGGGACAAATTTGGGACATTGGGACAAATTAAAATACCCTGCTTCCGTCCATTGAGATTCTTTGGTCGCACGTGAAATGGAGGAGAGTCTCGCGGTTCAGGCACTAATTAATTCCTTACTGCGCAAGTCGTTTCAGGTCGGGTGCGCTCCAAGTTTTACGCATTAAGCCATTCGCCGTGCTTCCAGCGTCGTTGAATCGTAGTAAAAAAAAACTATCTCAGCTCGTTTTCAAAATGAAAAAGTTATTTCAGGAGAAAATCAAACTATCATGTTGGAAATCCCTTAAAAAGTCGTTAAACAGATTTATTTCGCTGATTTTTTTGGAACCTGAAACCGGACAAAATCCAGATTTCTATCCATTTTATTTTTCAGAAAAATTAGAAAAGTCTAGAAACTAGTACAAAATCCTTCCAAAAAACCTCACCAGCGGCTTCATTGGCAGCCTCGACAGCATCGTCAGCCGCGCAGACGACGAATAGAGCAATGGCAACGAAAAAAATCTTGTACATTTTTGGAAGTATTCGGGAAATCCGCTGCCGTTCCACGCGGAACTCAACTTTAAATACCTTCCCCAAACCGAAAAATGGCAACCGGTCTCGTCGTTTTGGGTAATCCCTGAGGATCGGTCGGCAATATTTAATTGGGGACACTGTTATTCCGATAAATTCTGGCGAAAAACAAACGACTGGTTTTGGTCGGATAAACGGTTTAGACATCGGCGAGTCAGAATTTTCCTCGATTTTTGAAAATTCTTTCTTTTTTGGTTCACATTACGCAGTGACTACGCATGTTGAAAAAAAAAAACGAAGCTTGGATAAGTCTTCTGAAAGTTCGATAGGAGTTTCCACAAGCTCTGTAGTATAAGGAAGCTCGAAACCCTATAGTGGCTACTATTACTTCTTCGGGAACCTCTTGAATGAAAATTTCTCACTTAAGAGACCACTGAAATCCGAAGTTCCTCCAACGGCCCCGTCTTACTGGGAAAATTTTTAGTGGCTACTATAGGGTTTTGACGTTTTAGTGGCCACTATAGTAGTCAAATTAGTGGCCACTTAAGGGGTTAAAAATTAGGGGCCACTATAGGGTTTTGACGTGTTAGTGGCCACTTTAGGGGCCCATGGATCAACATAATTGGTCCAATATGTTTGTTTTAATATTATCAGAGCTACTTGAAGGAATATTGGATGAGAAACTACTGAAGTGGCCACTAAATATAGAACCCCTATAGTGGCCACTGAAACGGAAAATAGTGGCCACTTCAGTGTCCTCTCCAAGTAGTCCTTGGCGAGCCTCTATAGTGATTATTAAAATTTACCCAAGAGAGATCATTCTCCATGTATTGATTAGTTAAAACTTGAGTTTCCCGTTACGGAGATTGAATTTCAAGCAAAAAAATTGTTTTTTCCAATTCGGAAAGCATAGATTGTAAGGAGTATATTAGTGCGGAAGCAAGAAGGAAGAAGAAGTTGCAAACAGCAAGACCAGGCCATTCCACTGTCCACCAGAAGATATTCCAACAAGTGACTCACTTACATTAGGAAATACGTTAGGAAATCCGTGTTTCTTCGAGCTTTCGAAATTCATTTTCGAATTCTCACTTTATATAATATTATTTATTTACAGGCACTTTACAAGTCATCCAATCCAAACGCAAAAGAGAACTTTATAGACTTCTAACTGATCCATTACTTTTGAAGATCTATTAAAAAGAGAGCGTGTAAGACTTTGCGCCGGACCCGAAACGACTTGCGCATCGAACCATGACGATTTGAGCCATTTCCTTTTTTTTCCGCACAGTGAGATTCATCCACCGCTGGCTTAGGAAACTGATCCATTACTTTTGAAGCGCTAATAAAAAGAGAGCGTGCAAAAAGAGGAGGTCCAGACGCTTCTAAAATAAGTTTCAACTGGAGATGAATATATTACGATTTACCCTGTTTTCATAACCTATTTGAAAACTACGAAATCTACAGAGAACACAACACGAATTGTGTACTATTTCCTACCAAAGTTCAACAAAACGAAAAACTTTTTTTCCAAAATGCGCGTTGAGCGAGTTCTCAATGATCAACCACCCCTGCCTCGCAGACGTCAAACATCTCCTCGAAGGCCCTGACTCGGATCTGATCTCGATCAAAAACATTTCTTTCCATTCGAAACGTAACCTTCTTCACCGTCGACGGCCGTAAACAACACAAACAATATCAACGAGACGAAGAATATACCGGTTTTCCAACGTCTTCAGGAGAATCTGCGCCCTCTTGTTTGCCGACGTCTTCTGATTTGTGGCCGTTTTTTCGGCGGATTCTGTCGTGGACACAACAGTTCTGCCGGATCGTATTTAAGCGACGGGAGGCCCCCGTGAAAATGAGACGTCGACTTGAAAAATGTTCTCTTCCTTCAAAATTCTCGCCCTGGCCGCCCTGGTCGCCGTCGTCGTCTGCGAAGAGCAGTTCGATGAGGAGAAAGTCAAAGGTTTGGTTCGAGTCTCAAAAAGCTGGCGTTTGAAATGAATACTAAGGGGTGGTTTGCTTTGATTTCAGCTCGAAAATACTCAAAATCTCAAAAATTTCTCCGGAAGAAATACAAAAGGTTGTACTCTCGTAGTAAAAATTCAGATTGAAAGTTATTTTCAAACCGTAAACCTTTCTGTGAAAGCTCAAATGTTCAATAGCACTTTTAAAATTAAATTCTGCTGAAGATTTACAAAAATGAGGTTAGGTCAGATAGAATACGTTTCAGGTTTGAATGATGAAGAAAATCGAAAATTTTCAAGTCAATTCAGTTTGTTGTTGGCTTTACTGAATTTGCATGCATGAACGTTTACACAGCAAAAATTTAAAGGCGAAAAACTTCAAAACCAGAAAAAATTTATCCGACAATAAATATAATTTTGTTTATAACTGGCCATTTTCAGCCCAACTCGTGAAGGATATGAAGGAAGCTGGTGTTTCCGAGGAAACTATTCTCGGAGTGGAGAAGGTCGCCGCCCCTTTCAAAGTGAGACCATTCAAAATACCGTTTCGTAGCCTGAATGACGATTTGAGGCGCAAATCAAAGAGGCCCGGACCAAGAACGACGAGAAGGCCGGAAAAGACGCTTTCGAAAAAATGAGCGCTGCCGTCGACGCCTACGTCGCCAAGGCTTCTAAGGAAGATCAAGTGAGCTTTTTTTGAAACCAAAAAACGTTTTCAGAAACCTGGAGTACAGAATGATCTTGAAAAAAAGAGCAAAAGTCTGAAAATGAGAAAGAATAACAAGCTTTTGCTTATATTGAGCAATTTTCAAGCTTTCGCTTTTCTTGCTATTAGTTTTTGATGATGATGATTTGCAAATTTGAGTCGTCGTTATAACATTTCCCCTCCCTGAAGAAGTTAATTAATGAACTAATTACAGGCCGCCTTCAAAAAGTTCGTCGAGAAGATCAAGGCCGAATACGACGCACATGCCCGCGAGCACGAGCTCGCCGGTGTTCCCGAGCACCACTAGACTTTTCTATTTCATTTTAACTTAATTCCATTGTAATAATGTATAATAAAATGTTTCTCACATTCTTCTTTAGCTTTCCAAATTAAAAAAGGACACGTTTACAGACAGCGACGAATCGTAGCACAACAGGTAAGGTGCCTGTCTATTGTTCAAAGGGTCGCAGGTTCGATCCCCGCCGCGGCCCAACCTAGGGGTTTAAGGGATATTGGTAATTAGAAAACAACGGCTTCACAGTCCCCAGCCGTTACAATCAAGGACTTAGGAACGCCAGAAGGTTCCGTAGAGGGGAACCTTCAACAGTTTCTCGCTTTTTGCGCGTCGCTTTTCATGCATCGCGTGCACTGCGTACAAAACATTTTATTTTCCGCCGTTGCGGAGGGTGTTTTTGGTGTCGCCGTGTTGAGAGTTCAAGGCCTGAAATTATAATTTATAAACATAAAATTTGTAACAAAAACCTATGCTGAGAGAGGAAGATTATCGAAGTACTACCGTTTTTGAATTAATTTTTTTTTTCCCTCATTTCCATCCGAAAAGAAGTTTTGCAAAAAAAAAAGGCGAGGCTCTACGATCGCTAGAGATAGACACCAAATTCGAAACTTTAGTCTCTATCGATAACAAGTTACACCAAATAGGTACCTTTCTTCTACCGACTTGAAAATCACAAAAAACAAGACAAAGTTAACCAGTCTGGCGTGTCCCATATTCAGGATTATTTTTGCGACATCTACCGATCTGTGACCGTTTTTTTTTTGCTGATTCTAAAGTAGACACAAAGTCCGTATTTAAGGAATGAAGGAAGGATGATGAGACGCGAATTTGCTGAGAAATGTCCTGTTGGTTCAAACTTCTGGCTTTGGTATCCCTTCTGGTCGTCGTCGTCTCTTGCGAAGAGGAGTTCACCGAGGAGGATCTTATAGGTTTGAAATTTGAAAAAAGCTTTTATAGACTGTTCAAGTAATGGCTCAAACTCCGCCCCTTATACTTAGAGCAAACCGATCAGAGAGCAAGCCATCCACAGAGCTTTATAGCGGGCGGAGTTTGCAGCTTGACATTTAGAATACAGATTCAATTAAACTCGAGCACATGCTTATTTTATGAAAAAAATAACTCAAATCTTTCAAAAATGATAACTATTTTCAACCTAACGCGTATTTTTTCCAGCCTCTCTGTTAGGCGTAATGAAAGAGGTCGGCATTTCCGAAGGAACCCTTACTGGAATCGAAAAGATCGCAGTTTCCTACAAGGTACACAGTTTTTGATATTTTTTCCAGAATAATGAAATAAATTAAGCCGCAACTGCGAGAAACGCGTATAAAGGACGACAACGAAGCTGGAAAAGCAGTTTTTGAAAAAATGAGCGCTGAAATCGACGCCTACGTCGCCAAAGCTTCCAAGGCAGATCAAGTGAGTTTCCTGGGAATATAAAATTTCTTTTTTGAACTTTTGACTGTCAAAAGTCAAAAAAAAAAACTTACAGGAAGCCCACAAGAAGTTCGTCGAGAAAGTCAAAGCACAATTCGCAGCGCAGAATCAAGATCAATGAACTATTCATTTCAATTTTACTTCAGGGCTATCAAAAAGTCAATTTTTATAAGTTACGATAAAGTTTTCATAGTGATTTCTGACAAAAAAAGAAAAAAATGAAATAATCCCGAATGCTCACATCAAAATTTTTATTTTTTTGCTAATTCATTTTGTGAAGAAAGTAAGTTATAAGGAACATTTTTTCGAGCAATAGCGACTTGAAAATCACGAAAAAATCCATGTTAACCAGTTTGGTCTCTCGGTGACCCATCCAATTCCAAACAAGACACGAAATCCGCCGTCATCGATCGTTTAAAGGAAAGATAATGAGAAGGCTACTTCCTGTGAGAAATTTGAACTTCCTTCAATATTCTCGGAACTATCAAGGTAAACACCCCACTTTTAAAACTTTATCGACAGCGAATTTAACACAAGGAACCTTTTTCTTCAACGATTGCAACTGAAAAATCACAAACAACAACGAATTTACCCAGTTAAACCTGCAGATGACGTTTCCGCCGTTGTTCTCTGAACATTTTCAAGACTATTTTGCGATTTATATAGTAGAGACAACAGCTGCACTATTTAAGCGACTGGAGTGAAGAAAATGAGACGACTTCCTTTGAAAAATGTTCTCTTTCTTCAAATTTCTGGCCCTGGCCACACTGTTCGCCGTCGTTTTCTGTGAAGAAAAGATCACCCCCAATGATGTGATAGGTTTGATTGGAGATTTGATTCGTTTACTGGTTCGAAAATGTTCATTCGATCATAAATTCGCTTTTTCTCAATTGTTATTCAACACCAAAACAGTGAAAAAAGCTGAAGAACGCTTTTAAAAAATCCTACCGAAGTAAAAATTCACTTTCCAGCCCACGTGTTGGAAGTAATGAAGGAAGTTGGCGTTTCCGAAGGGTCCCGTCGCGAAATTGAGAAAATTGCCTTACCTTATAAGGTAAATACTTTGGGTGACACTCCCCAAGCTACAATGACGTAATTCAGCCGAAACTTCAAGAAACTATACAGAGGAAAGACGACAGCACCAGCAAAGCCGCCTTCAAAGAAATGAGGTCTAAAATCGACGCCTACCTCGCCACGGCCTCGAAGGCGGATCAGGTTTGCTATTCAAGAGCCAGAAAATTTCTTGCTTAAATTATAAGCACAGTAATATTATTTTAATGATAAAGAAAAACAATACTCTAACAAAAACAAAGAAAAAGAAATACCCATCTAAAAATTTCTCGCACAGTGACGGTCATATGCCGTGTTCAATTTGATTCCGCGAAATGCAAAATACCCGTTAGAGAAAGGAAAAGATCACTAAATTGTGGAGAGTCAGAGATCATTTTGCATTTCGCGGAAATTACTTTGAACACGGCAATAGATCCATAGTTCAGTTTTTTTTTAATCTCCTCGATAGCCTTGACGCATTCATCAAAGGAAAAAAGAAAGTAAAAAATAAAAAAAAGAAAAAAAAATTATTTTCAAATCGTTGTCCCTGGAGTGCTCGCTCCCGAAAGGCGCAATAGAGCGCATTTCAGAAATATTCAGGTTTTTCTTTTTCGCAATTTCGTTTTTCTATTCCTTTCAACCTTTATTGATTTTAATTTCTAAGTAAACCACACTCTGGACTTCGATTTGAGTTCTTAGGCCCGATTACAAGCTACAAAAGAATTTACTCTAAAAAAACTTCAAAAATCTTGTTAATTTTATTTTTTTAATATTCAATACTTCAACTATAAAAAAATTATAGTGAAAAATGTTTTTGCAGGAAGCACACAAACGGTTTGGCGCGAGAATTAAGGCCGAGGCTGGGGAATAAACAATCAATCTCCTTTCAATTTTTTTATTCTTTTTAATTTTTATTTTTGACTCCAAGACTTATCGAAAGTTTATTTAAATTTTATAAAGTTAAAAATAAAAATATTTATAAAAAAATTATCTTGTTTCTTATTTCAAAAAAATAAAAAAAGCAGGTGTATTTGCTCAAAACGTGCTCTATGGGCAACCAACTCCTCTTTCTCCTTTTCCACTTTTTCCACTTTTCTCCTCTTTCTCCTTTTTCAAATCGACCTCTAGACACTCGAATCTTTTCTCTTTTGGCTCTTTGTCTGTCGGCAGATTTTGTTTTTCAGTTATATCATTGTAAATCTTTGAAAATGGTTTTATTGATTTTAAAGAGTTGGAAAGCGTTGAAATAAATTTGGAAATAATCAAAAAAAAATTTTTGAGCCTTTTTTTTCTGTTTTTCTTACATTCATTCACATTAAAGTAATATCAGCGTTTGAAGTAATTTTAAGTTTTTCCATGTTTCTAGGCTGGAATTCAAAATCTTTTTCGATTTTAAAATTATCAGTTTTCTTCCTTTTCTGACCGAAACTCCTTATCTCACGTTCTTATTCGTATCTTTCATAAAGCAAACGTGCAATCGCTCTCATTTTGAAAAAAGGCGATGGCGGTGGAAGTGAAATGTCCATACAAACTGTACGATGAGGTCGTTTTGTTCAACGGGAAATGGATGCAGGCTAGGCAGATCCGTTTCCGAACTGCCGACGGCACTGAAGGGGTCGGTTTCGTCGATAATACCAAAAATTTCATGATCAATTTTTTTAAACGCCATCGTTGAAGACAAATTCAAAAAAATTCTCTTTGAAAAATTTTTGTGAGAAAAATTCTGTATAGGAATAGAGTTTTAGGTCTGGCAATCAGCTCATCGGAACACCAGACCTGCCGGAGCTTCAGCTGACGGAGTTAGTATAATCGGCGTGTTGAGAAGGGCCGACAAAAAGTTCATTGTTCTCGTCAAGCAGTACCGCATCCCATTGGGGAAGTTTTGTCTGGAGTTTCCTGCTGGTAAGTCTTCACAAAAAACCCCATGGTCGCATTTGGAATGCGGAATTCTTGAAGCCGATCTAAAAAGACTTACTAGCGAGGACTTCAAAATCGAGCGATTCCAGTTGCGACCACGTTTTTTTCAATGTATACACAGATAAAAAGGATAAGATGAATAGGAAGGGGTTGAGTTGAAAAGACTTCTAAAAAATGTTTCTGAAGGTTTTGATTCCGTAGAAAGTGTTTCATACCTAAAAACTTTCTTCTTAAACTTTCTGGTTTTTGAAGCTTTATCCAGTTGTTCTCGTCTTTTTCTTTCATATATTATAGATCGTGCAAAAAAAAAATGGAGTAGGCCGCACGGGGTGAGATCCAGCCAACGTATGGGACAGCCTTTTTGAATTTTTTAAACTCACATTCAAATCATCAACTTGCAAAAAAACCAATCTTTTTCGGTTTGATCGACGCTGGCGAGACAGCAGAGCAAGCAGCTCTCCGAGAACTCAAAGAAGAGACCGGGTACACGGCTTCTCGGGTCATCAGCACGTCAGTTTCTCGTCTTTTGTCCAAAAAAATGCGGCCTTCTCAGCTCGGAAAGCTGCGGCCTCGACCCCGGGCTCACTGACGACTCCGTGAACCTAGTCATGGTCGAGATCGATGGCGATGCTCCGGAAAACGTGAACCCCAGCCAAAAATTGGACAGCACAGAGGTGATAGTAACTGTCTTGGACATTTTTTGAGCCTTAAGAGCCTTCAAAGAACTTTGAGAATTTCAAAAATATAATCTATAGATTATCGATTTTGTACCTTCCCAGCTCTGTTTTATAACCCCTTCAGAAGACCAAAAAATGTTCTTTTGTGTTTTTGGCTCTTTTGTCAGATCAAATGGACTTTTTTTCTTCAGCCGTTCAAAAAAAAATTCTTATCCGCCTTCATCCTTTCACGAGAATTTTCAAAACTTCTGTTTTTCGACTGTAATATCGATTTTCAGTCGATCGACGTCATTCTCCTGGAGCATGATCAATTATTGAACTACGTTAGGTATCCAGAATTCTTCATAGACCCAATATAAACTGGAAGATTCCAGAAACGCTGGGAAAGACGTTGTCGTGGAGGCCTGCTTGTACGCCTACGCCATGGGCACGCAATTCGCACAAATGGCCTGAAAATCACTTCTTTCCGTCTTTCATTCCTTGATTCGGGTATCGCCGGTTTCAATAAAACTAACTATGATTGAAGTTTTCTGAAAACAATGAAAAAATGTATGAAAGGACTGGTCTAGAAGCGAGAGAGCATTGGCAGACGAGAGACGCCAAAGCTGAGTAGTTCTTTGGCGTCTCTTCAATTTCCACTTACTCTCGCCTTTTTTCCTGTTAAGCTTCGGATGACAGCAGGTAAAGGCTACCTGAACACAGGAAACTGAAAAAAAGGCTCCGGTTCATTTTCAAAAATACAAATCAAGAAGAAATTTCTAAAAAACTGCATAAAACAAAATTCAACGAAACAGCAGAATAATATAAAAATTGGTTCAAGAAAGATTAATTCTTGGAAAAGAGTTAAATATAATACGTGTTTTTCTGCGTGATTCAATGGTGATATTTGTCATTTTCTTCGCGGTTCTTCTTTGAGAAAGGTAAATTTGAAAATCGATGAAAAAATGGGCCTTCAAATAGGTATTCCAACTTCCGAAGTTTTAAAAAGTTTCAGATGATTCTTTCAAAATCGAGAAAAAAAATATTACTGAAATTGTTTGGTTAGAGAGCTCAAACACTGAGACTATTATCGAGTTGAAACTTTGGTGATTTGTAAAAATAATCTAATCTGATCTGTTTTTTTTTCTGGCTCCAAAGTAGTCTTATCCAGGTCCAAAAGCCACATAATTTCACCTCAATACTCATCCCCGAGTATGATTAGTTCCCTATTGAAAGCAAAAAAGTCAAGTTCAAAAAAATGTTCTTTTGTCAAGTTAAATTTTAGAAGTGATGAAAATAAAATACGTGATCTATGATCCCATTGTCATTTTCTCTGTTGTTCTGCATCAAGAAGGGTCAGTTTCAAAGTCCAAAGGGTACTGGAAAACCGGGCTTAAAACGTCTGCACCTACACTACTCCAAACTACAGTAAGACTACAACACCCCAAGCTACCGTAATACTATGGTATTACTATAGTCTGTAGTCTTACTGTGGTTCGGAGTAGTTTTATTACTAAAGTATTATTGTAGTATTACTGTAGTCTTACTGTAGTTTGGAGTAGTGTAGATGTAGCGTCACACACTATAATAAGGTTAGATGGTTGCTTAGAAAAAGGAAAGTCGAAATTTCTTTGGTGATTGGGAAAAAGCAAAACTATATTTATGCTTTCAAAAAAATTTAGGAGGGTCTCGAAAAAGCTCGAGATCAGCTCACTATGAGACACTATAGATTGAAGCCTTTTTTCGATTTATCAGTTACAAACTTTGAAAACCTTTCCAAGCCACAGATGTCCGCGGTGCCAGAAGCCGCAGGGGCAGGAGCCGCCGCGGGAGGCGGATCCGTTCTTTCCCCGTTGGTCGTCGTCTCTTTGGCCACCGTCGTGACTTTGGGGGCTGGAGTCGGCGTCCTCGGCGCGTTTCTCTTCGTCATTTCTCAACCAGATGCGGCTGCAATCAACAATGAAGGTTCTTGGATGAAAGTCGAGCTTTTTCAAGTCAATGTTCAGTGGAGTCGTGGAAGAAGGCGAACATTTCGCTGGAAGAGAATACGACCACAGTTTTGGTGGAGACCTCGACAATAACCTTCAGTAGTACCGTTGGTACCAATTATACTAATGGTATGTTGGTTTATGAGCAGTAGAAAAGAATTTAGAAAGCTTTTTCTTACAGAAAGTCGTAGAACAAGTTTTTTTTTTCTTTTCTTATGGAAGTGATGTTTTTCACACTTACTAGTTAGTAAAGAGCGTTAAAAACTGGTTCTGTTACCTCAAACCTCAATTTTTGTTGCCGGTTTACTTTTTTAGGCTTCGGCTATAGAATTATACTGTTCTAATCAGTTCCTATTTCAGCTTCAACTGCGGCAAATGGACCAGCTCAAGCTTCTTCTTCTTCTACTGTTGCCCCTGGTCCAGTTCCTGGTCCATTCCCTGGTCCATCGCCCGGTCCAGCTCAAGCTTCTTCTTCTTCAACTGTCCCTTCTACACCAGCTCGTTCAACAACTGTCACATCTGGTCCATCTTCTACACCGACTTCTTCGAAGGCTCCGAAACCAGCTGCAACTTCGTCTTCAACGGCGGCACCTCTCCCATTTCCGAGTCCGTCTTCAACGGCAGCACCTGATCCAGCTCAGAGTACGACTCTTAGCACAGTTCCAAAACCAGCACAAATTCCGACTTCTACTAAAGTTTCGAAGCCTGGTCCCGCTCAAAGCCCGTCTTCTACTGAGACTTCAAAACCTGATACAGCCCAAAGTTCGACTTCTACTGAAGCTCGAACTCAGCCTTCAACTGCGGCACCTGCTCCAGCTCAGAAACCGACAAAGACTCCGAAACCTGGCCCTGTTCAAGATCCGACTTCTACTAAAGCTCCACAGCCTGGCCCAGTTCAAAGTCCGACTTCTACTAAGGCTCCAAAGCCTGCTCCAACTCAGCCTCCAACTGCGGCACCTGCTTCAACTCCAAAACCTGCTCCAACTGCGGCTCCTATTTCAACTCAGAAACCGACAAAAGCTCCAAATCCTGCTCCACCTCGGCCTCCACCATCGGCACCTGGTCCTGCTCCAAACCCAATTCAGCCTCCAACTGCGGCACCTGCTCCAGTTCAGAATCCGACAAAAGCTCCAAAGCCTGCTCCCCCTCAGCTTCCACCAGTGGTACCTGGTCCTGCTCCAAACCCGACGAAGGGTCCAAAACCAGCTCAGGCGCCAACTGCGGCTCCTGGTGCAGCGCAAAATCAAGCTCCAACAGCGGCTCCAATTGAGAAGTTGGTGCACATTTTATCTTCATTAGGCATCTGAGCTTTTAGTTGTCCTTTAAGTGATTTTGAGGCATCTTCGAAGGAAATGTCAAAAAAAAAGCTTTCATGACTTTTAATATTCCAGGGACCCCACAAAGAAGACAACGATTGCCTCGAAAAAACCAAAGCTACCTTAGAAAACTGAAACGAAGGTTCTTCTCTACAGAGCCATTCAATTATCGTTCGCTGCCGTCTGTTCGCTCTTTTTTCCATTTCGTCTCCTTCGTAACAGCCACGAATGAAGAGTTTCCGCCTGATTATTGTTTTATTATTGATTCATTTTTTCTGAATTGGTCTGTGCCAATTTGTGTGTAAGAAGTGAACAAAAAAGAAAGTTTCGTTTTCTTTTTATAGTTCTGGAGCTTTCCTGACAAATTCTGTATTAAAAAAAGTTCTACGTACAAGTGTACGTAGAATGTGTACCGCGACTCGGAATTTCACCAAACGACATTCCGCTGTGCCGCTGCGCGCCTTTGCGAACCTAGGTCGCGCTTTTAATTTTTTTTTTCTTTTATTAAGGTACTCTACTTTCATGTGCTCCCACAGCAATAACAAACAATTGAAAGCGTGTTCTGGATTCGAAAGACGTTTCGCGAACGCACGAAGCGGAACACAGACTATAACAAACGGCGAAGTCGCATCTTAAAAAATTTTGGAAAACAGCTGTGCCACTTCTTAAATAACCCTCCGACAAAAATTTAAGATGCTCTCCTTAGGCAAAGTCACCTTTTACGGGTCCTTTGAGCTTCCGTTACGTATGCAAAAAGGTTCCCATTAATTTTTTCTGAACGGGTGACAACGGTTTCCTTTTACTGCCCTTTTTCCGTCCTTTCATCCACTAACCTTTTTGTTTTTTGAATTTTTAAATTGAGAATAATCTAACAAAAGTTGCGGTGCACCACGCGTAAAACTCTCGTTTCACCCCGCAATGTAACCAGGGGTGCACCGAAAAGTTCAACGAGGGGTGCACCCCGATGGCCGGTTCGACGCGAAGTGCACCGCAACTTTTGTTAGAGTGGTATCCAGCCGATGTATACTTCAAGGGCTCCTGAGGTAGCCCCTCTAGGAACCACTCTGGAGTTTCTAGTATTTTCAACTTCTTTTTTTTCTAACCTAAATACACATTTCAAGCAAACACCGTCGTGCTCAATACACAACGAACTTCATAAAATGGAAAGTGAGAAATTGGTTTGTAAGAACGCACACAGAAAAGCGAAAAAATGATAGAAAAGTTTATTCATTTTCAACGTGTAAAAAGAACTAGATGAACTTCTGAGATAAGAAGGAAAATCGGCGCGACGAGTTCCGTCCAGGAGAGCGTTATTCTTGAAGCATAACCTGAGAAGAACAGAAAGCGCCGGAAGAAGATGGATGACAAAATCCGAGGAGAGAAGTGGATAAAGCGGCAGCTTTCAGGTATACTTTCAACAAAATAAAATCTCCCAGCACAATCGGCTTCTTAGCAGTACTTTAGCATCACTGTAGTAATGTAGAGAATCGTTCACAGCCACACGCCTCAAAACACCACGGATAGAAATTGATTGATCGAGTTATAGAATCCGAACAAGGAGACGAATGCAACTCGCCACGCTGGAACTCCTTTGGCTGGGGTATCCAGAAAACGAGTGCGTTTTAAATATCGTTCAATAAGCCAACCCTGGGACTCTTCGCGAAATTTTTTGTATAGTTCCAAAAACCAAACATTCTTCTTAATAATCAACACGCAAACCGCTACTCCCTGACGTCATCCCTATGACATCATCTTCATTTGCAAAATTCGCACACGCAGCCATATCATTTTATTCATTTTTTTACGTTCCAATTTATAAAAATTAGATTCGACGTGAAAGCTTTTTCCGGTCACATGAGAAATAGAAAGATATCACACTTGAAAAATCCGCTTTTTGATTGAAAAACTTTTTTTATTCTTCTATTTTCTTACTTTTTTTAGAAAAACTTTTAAAGGTTTGGAATAATCCGAGGCGTCGAGGCCCACGCTTACGCACAGTATGCTCCTTTAATTTTTCTGGGAAATACATTTCACAGATTTTTTTCGCTACGCGTATCAAGTTTGCAAATCGTTTAGAGCTACCTGATAGTGTTATTAGTGTCCACGTTTTGATACTAAATGCCTTTTATGTCAGGTATTCATTTATTTGACGAATTTTTCACTGTGGCTCAGTTTTTTCGAAGCGAGCCACAGTCGGCTTCGCGCTATGCGCGCTCCGCCTCCGTCTGAAGCCTTAAAACTAAGCCTATCTTCTTAAGTAATACATGAACCTGTAGGCGCAGTTTTAATGCAAAGGCGCGATTCAGGCTCTTCCCATTCTTCAATTTTCTCAATTTCAATTTCAATTCAATTTATTCAGTCTTCAGAGTAAGATGAAGAAAATCTCTGCTGAATCATGGTATAATCGAAGAGTTAGTCGTCGGCGCGGGTTACGGTCCACAATCGTTGTCCAATACGTCCTGGAGTGACAGCTAGCGTTGGGAAACAATGTGGGACCGCGGGTAGTACCAGCGAATGAACTGCTTCACCATAATGGAACAGTACGGAGCCCAGCTTGTCCAGGGCTGACGGGCGTCGGAATATTATCCCATGCGAGAGCGGCAATGAGACCGACCAGTCGACGGGATGAAATGAGATAATAATAATCTGCTGAATCATGTTCACGTAAATAAAAATGAATATATAGCCAAATATTTCGATTAAGCTTATTTCTTGTGTTACGAATGGAATGATGTCAGGGAGTAGCGGTTTTGCGATTTAACGAAAACTATAATCAACACACGCTCTCGGAGAAAGTCGATGAACTGCAGTAATAGTTTTAAGTTCTGACTTGAGAATTGCACTAAAAGACCTACCGTAACCCATTGAGGGGCCAGAGCCTCACAGTAACTAGCCTAAAAGTTTCCACACTATGTCAAATAACTGTGACAATAATTTAACTCAAAATGAGAACTTGAAATTCTTGTACCAACCATTCAGCGTGAATCTGAGAAAACGTATGTTTAATGGATTAATCTTAAAACCGATTGCTTTTTTCATCCTTTATTCGATAATTTCAAGTAATGATTTTTTGGCCGTAAATTTTTTTTTCTTTAATGATGCCTTTGAAGTGCACTAATTGTGCAAAAAGTCGTTTCCAGCGTATTTTGAATCCTGCAAGACTAGAAAGCAAGATTTTCGAAAAGCAACTAAAATAGGAAAGTGAGAGTTTACACTACACTTTCAAAAAACCTATATTCAACGACTTCCTCGGGAAAAAAATCAGTATTAGGAAATTCAAGATTTGAGTGTACAAAAATTTGTATTTGAACCTCGAACGCTGGTTTTTGTTTTCTCTCAAAGAAACGTTTAAGAGAGCGCGGTATCCTGGATTTTCGGCGGAGCATTCCGTCTGAGAAGTGGTGCGGAAAGTACCGCGAAAACCATGCAAGAGCCGACGGGCCCCGAACAACTCAACGGCAGCAAAGTCCAGAAACCCAACGAAGCTGGTAGATTATTTTGATTCAATTGAGAAAAGTCTTTTTAAACAACCAATGGTCTATAAAGTGGTTGGGCACAGGATAATTAAAAGGACAAGGAAAACGAAAAATCTATATCTGAAGCTTAGTCGCTTCAGATAGTCGAAGAAAGACGTCACAAGTCGAGTTGAGTGTGAATATAACATGAACCCAGCAGGAAATACAAATTTAAGACCAAACATATATTGATGAAACCAATTGAAAACTTTTATGAGAAAAGTTCTCAAACAGGTTTTTTATTGAATTTCGCAGGGATCACTGATGAAGGCGTGAAAGACGGGGAAAAGGATGATCAAAAGGACATCCTGATCGACAAACTAATGCCGGAGGCTGGAGAAACAAAGAAATCAATGATAACGGACCAAGAATGTAAACGGTCTGAGATAACCCAAGACTTCGCTGGGAGACTTGAAAGCCGAGCTCGTGAGTTTTTCTTTTTCTCTTTTTTCCAGTGAAAAATCGAACTGAATTTTGGATTTTTTTGAATTCAGAGATTATTTTGAATTTCGCGAAAACTTTGAACACGGCATGTGCGAGAGCGCCGCAGTGCATGCACACGACCCACTTCTCTTTACGAAAAAAATATGGGCGGGACGTCGTCCAAAAAACGCCGTGATATCGTACCCCTTTGAATAGCAATTTAGACTAAAACTTCTGAAAATGAACTAAAATCGAACACAAAAAATTCGAAAGATTCTCATTTTTTATTATGACCATTTTCAATTGCAGGAGCGGATATTCACCAGTTTATCGAACCTCAACGGTTGGAAACGGTGCAGGCTAGACCGAAAATCAATGATGAATTTGATGATTTATTGTTCCACTTCTCCTACTTCCATGGGTAAGAGGTTTTCCATCGAATATCGAAAAATCGGTTCTTTGCATTTTCTTGCCGCAATTCGAAACTAGGCGATTCCTAAGAAGATCCGGCGACTACCTCGTGCGGAAATCGGAGGGTTCGAGAGAAAAGTCGTGCCAACCATCTACTATGAATTTTTAGAAGAAGGCGAAGAATACATACTAGTATCCGTCGCCGTACTTCTGGAATACAAAAAAGACGGAACCGAAGGCGATTTTTTTTTCCTTTTTTTTTTTCAATCATTATTAATCTTAATTTCATCCGATTCAACTGAGTAGAATCATACGCCCCTGTTTAAGGTGGTCGGTCGTGTTACGGTAGTTTGGATAGGTTTTTCAGTAATAAAAAGAAATTTTGGGTATCTTTTGTGACGTAACTTACCTTGTAACCTCGAGAAATATGTCTTTAAAAATTTGCAAACAAAGAAAGAAAATTTAAAAAATTTCCTCGCCGAAATATTGACCAGCCGCCGTAGTACTGTCTCAAACATGCGTGCATATGAGAAGATTTTTTTTAATTTTCAAACCAAAAAGTTTCAAGCTCGAACATCTTCAATCGAATTCCTATCACAACGCACTTTGAATCATTTGAATGTTTATACCGTGAATATTTCCTATAAACCTCGATCTCATCCAACTTTACAGACCTCGACGAAAACTTCGGCAACGACGAGCCGGTAAGAATAGAAGACCATGTCGTCCGCCGTGAAAAGAATGGAAGAGTATCAATCGAGCACGAACACGCATTTGAGTCCCTGGGAGACCTCCTGGGTTTTTATATACTCAACCCTAAGAAGGTAAAGCCAATGATATTTTAGTGGATACTGAATTAGGAAAAAAATTGTTCTCTGATAACTTCTATATACGAAATCTGAAATAGAAGAAAAACGATTTCGAGACCAAGATGTTGGAATTTTTTTATATTTCTAAAAAAACTTCGTATAATGAGATGACGGTTCACAGTCAAACGGAATGATCTATAAGACTTTCACCTCACAGTGAACCGGATGAATAAGAAAATTTTGATCTTCCGGGCTGCTATAAGTTACAAAAGGAAGTGCTGCTGGAATTAGAACCGCAGAAGGCAAAAATGGACTCGAAAGTCATTTCACTTCAGCTATCGCTCAACATCAAACTCAAGCGAGGTTGCTATACTCGAATGTTCCAATTTCGAGAACGCCAGATCATCCGCATCAAAACGGTGAGTAATGAAAAGTCTAAAATGAATCTTCAGCCAGAAATATAAAGAAACCATACAAAAACAAACTATGAATAAGAGTGGATTTTTCCTAGACTGATAGAATGGATACCATCGTTTTTTGAATTGAATTAAAAGTCTGCCTTTTTATTTTTTTTTTTTGATCTAGACGATCAAGGCAATCAAGAATCAAGGGAGGTGATTCTACTTTGGAATTTTTTTCAGATTTGCTCAAAGACTCTATGAATGTCTAGATGAAGATTCCTCATAGACTCTACCGGCGCAAACTTCGAGTTTTTTTGAAATATGACTTTTTTTAAAGTTGCGAAATGTGATATTTTATGTAAATTATGTAAATTTGAAGCTTAACTTTTCAAAAACTTTTTCAACCTTCAAAAATTAATTATCCTAAGAACTGAAGGCTAGCGCGGGTTGCAGCTCTAACTGATCTTCATAAAAACCATCAGAGATTGTTTGAACAAATTTGTAGGAATGTCCAAGTTGCAAAGTAAAATTAACTCTTTGGAGGGCCTAATTATCTAATCTGTGTTGAACGCGAATTTAAAAAATTAATATCTCAAGTACTAAAAGTTTGTGCCGGAGGCGACTTTGAGGGGATCTTCACCTAGACTTTCACAGAGTGTTTGAGCGCATTCGAAGAAAAATGGAAAAGTAAAATGACTTTCCGTGTAAATAGAGAAAAACGTCACAAAACGCGGCTTGGAATTGGCTAAAAAGAGCGTTTCGAACGCTATTCCGCTATAAGGAATCTTCTGAACCAAAAATGAAAGCCTGTGTTGAAATAATATTCTAAAATAGTCTATTCAGCTCCATAGCGGGAATTTCGGGGAAGTGTTTTTAGCGGATGTGTGGTCGTTTGGGATGATTGGCCAAAAAGCCGCCGTGAAGGCAGTGAGTTCAATTGACAAAGTGTCTTACAAGAACTTTTTTCGCAGCTGAAAAAAGACAGCCCCAAGTTACGCGAACAGAGCGAGAGCTTCGTGGAAGAAGCGAGGTTGATGTTGACGCTGAGCCACGAACACATCATAGAAACGTACGGATGGATGTTAGATATTCAGCCTTTCATGATAGTCATGGAGTACATGGAAGGTGAGAAAGTCCAATTAAAAAGCCGCTAATTTTCAAGCTCAAATTGTTCTTCTGCGACAAGATTTTTCTCGGTTTATCACTTTTAGCAGATGGTCGTTCTTGTTTCCATTATCCTGACCTAGGTCTACAAACCACCGAAGTTCGAAACAGATCCGCAAATGCCATTTCGGGTAGTTCCCTAGTAAGGAAACTAGGATTTCATTTTCCAAATTATTTTCTTATTTACTACTTTTTATGTTATAGCTACTTCCAAACTTCCAAAAAGAAATCAATCTTTGTGAGCTTCAAAAAAACAAAAATTGAGAAAAAAACATGAAAGGAAATCATCAACTTTGAGTTTTTCTTAGTTCCTTTTCGTTTCGATCGATTCGCGAAATGAACTCACCTCGTAATTTAGAATTTTTAGAAGATTAACCAGAAAACTTTTCGATTACTGATTTTTTGGAGGAAATATGGTATAATTGGCCTAATAATATTGAAATAGCTTTTTCTACATTCAAGTAAATCCTGGGCATTGTAGGAGGATCGCTGGAGACGTATCTGTTGAAAAGTTCTGAAGAACCCAACATCCAACAGCTGCTGAAGTTCGGCCTTGAGGCAGCCGAGGGACTGACTTACCTCCATGAAATGGGAATTATCCACAGGAATGTGTCGGCCCGCAACTGCTTGCTCACCGCCGACCACAAAGTTTGAGCTGGATTATTGATAATATAGTCAAATCTTCCTCACTTGAAAGACGAAGGAGGCGGAGAGGACGCGTACGTGGCTCTTCAATCCAAGAACCTATTTAAAAAGTTCGGTCCCCGCTCTTTTCGTATCTATTCTACTATTTTTCAATGTAACATTTAACATTTAGCATTTATTCAGTCCTCAGAGTAATCTTGTATCTGCTTAATCATGAAATATTTGAAGAGATGTTTGTTGGTTCGCGCAACTGTCGCCCATCTTTCACCAAGAACTGCTCGTAGGTCATCTCGCCAACGGGGTTTGGGTCGTCCAACTCCACGCGTTTTCGCCCATGGTCGCCATTCCACTATTTTCTTCGCCCATGTGTCTTCTCCCGTAGCGATTTTCTTTGCGAAAAGCCATTTTCTCTTCACAGCTTCCGACCGAACTTCGCGTAGCTTCAACTTTTCATAGAGCCAGGAGTTTCTTCTTCTGTCGAGCAATGTTACTCCGAGCATCCATCGCATAATTTTCCGCTGTGCCGTTGCCAGAAGGTTCCTTTCTTTCTTCTTCATAGTCCAAGTTTCCGAACCATAGAGAAAAGCTGGTTCAATACACATGTTGTATATCTTGGCTTTGTGTATATTGGAAACGTTTCTTCGTGTTAAGTACGTTTTGAACTTGTGGAAGACGCTCCATGCAGAACGAATTCGGCGTTGGATTTCGGTTCTCGAGCCATCAGCGAAGTGAAGATGGGTACCGAGGTAGATGAACCCATCCGTGTAGGCAATTCTTTTCCCATCAATCTCGACATTTCTTTGGGCTCGATAAGCCATTATGAACGTTTTCGCGAAGTTGATTTCCAAGCCGGCCTTCTTGCTCTCTTTTGCCAGCTCATTAGCCATTTCTTGGATCTTCTGCGCACTGGATGCAAACAGTACGACGTCATCCGCAAAACGAAGGTGCGTCAAAGTCGTTCCGTTCACAGAAAATCCATAGCTCTCTTTTATCACTACACAAATAGAAAAAAAAAATCATCAAAGAATTAAACAAGAAATGAAAAGAGTGATAAAGGAGCGCTCCAAATAGCCGCTGGCAGTTGAATTGAATCGTGCCAAGAACCGCGAACGCACACGCTACGCGTCCCGCCCTCCTTCTCCGTCTCCCTCGGCTTTCTAGCGGGATAAACTGACTAAACAAGACTTTTTTAAGCTGAAGTTATGCAATTTCGACCTCGCAGTTGCCGGACCTGTGTATTACATGATGAAGGGGGAAATCTTGCCGACGAGGTATCTGAGCCCGGAGACCTTAGCCATTTTCCTGTTCCTTCACGCATCAGACACTTTTGCGTTCGGAGTGAGTTAACTGATTTCTCAAGGGAAAAATGATTAATATTCTAGAACCTGCTTTATGAACTCTTCTCCAATGGCCAGATGCCGTATGAAAACCTAACTTCGGCTGAAGCAAGACAGAAAGTTGGTTTGATTATTTGAAAGCATCTCAATTATCTGAAACTCGAGTGGAAACTTACAAATGAGTGCAGTACGATTATTTTTCTTGACGCCTAGTAATGAGAAAGAGAATCTGATAGAACTTTCACTGAGCCCGAAAATCAAAATACAACGCAAACCTCTTCGAAACTTATTCGGATACAACCTCGCTGTTTGGCATTGCCTACTTCAAAATTATCTAAGAAAAGCTTTTTTTTTTTAATTTGAGGAACGCCGATAGGGACCTCGGAGTTTCCCTTGAACCCCCTAAACGATTCGGGGCTTCTATAGGGCGTAAAAATTTGTTTGGGAACGGTTGTTTGAAAAAGTTAAGGACGAATATGAATAAATGAACTCCAGTGAAAATTTCATTTTACCCCCTATAGGGGTCACTAAACCAGATTTTCGGGGCCCAGGAAGACTTCTTAGAAAAGTTCAAAATTTCAAAATTTTGTCTTCTTTATCTGACGAATGTTTGCATTGAGATCCTGGAGGGAGAAATGAATGACCTGGAGGAGACTTGTGCTCCTCCAGCTCTTCGTCAGTTCATACAAGATAACTTGTGGGCCTACGAGATGAAAACAAGGTCTAGAATGAACGAGGTTTTTTTTTATTCACTCTTTTCATTCTGACAAGAAATATTTAGGTAGTTGTGTTCCTCAAGAAAAACCTACCGCGCCTTTAAAAAAAGGTCAGTTTATATTTAAAAAAATTATTTTCTGATCGTGAAACTTTGCAGGAGCAGGGAGGCCCAAAGACGAACACAGAGACAGAAGAAACTGCGGTGAGATTACAAAACCGAAGTTTTTTTCAGCTTTTTAATAAATTTGATAGTAAACTTTCCAAAAAACTAATTTCACTAGTTCAAATTTGAACAGTAAACAAAATAAACCTGTGCCGGCGTTGAAAGAAAGTGTTATATAGCCGGAAAATTAACGCGTTTTGAAGCAGCATGAGAGAGTTTTTATAAAATTCGCATTTTCTCAAGAAATTTAGAGCAAAGATGAGCCAAGACTTCCGAAAAAGGGAAAACTCCGCCGACGCACACCGGCTAACCGCCAGGTCACTTTTTCTTTTTCTGACTTCATGTATCAAACTTTTTTTCAGGAGATCATGGAAGAGCTTTTTCCGATAATGGAAGAATCCGCCAATAATGAATAGCTTGGCGATCCATAACTGTGGAACAGCTCCCTCGGATTCAGCTTTCATTTGAATAAAATATTTTTTGGAATCTTGTTGAACATTTTTTCAAAGTTGGAGTTTAAGAAGTCGTTAGTTGTTTTTGATATTATCTAGAGTTACTTCATAATCCCAAATCTGGTCACGATCTCAAATCTGGTCTCAAAAACTGCCGAGGAGGTCTGTGAAAAATGTTATGGACCCTCAAAAGTCGAAAATTTCAGTGTCTCTGATTGAGCTCATTTTTTAAGGGTATATAGATCTCGTTCCTCTAGTCACGAAAAACCAATAAATTTTTCGCAAAAAATTTTTGGAGCTTTGAAAGGTCATATCTTTCAAAATGAGCTCAAGCAAAATAACTGAAATTTTCGACTTTTGAGGGTCCATAACTTTTTTCACAGACCTCCTCGGCAGTTTTTGAGACCAGATTTGGGATCAGCGTGAAAAACTACAACTAGGAAACTTGGTCTCATTGAGAGGTCCCCCTGCGACCGGAGAACATTCCCTGGTGACAGAGCTGCTGACCATACCGGGGCGACCGGGGTCGGGGTGCCCCGGGGCGACCGCAACGCGCTCCGTGGCGCCCCGTCAGCAGCACTGCCTGGTGAGGCTCTGCTCACACGAAGTATCAATAAATGAATTAGATTACCAAGCGTAGTTATTTGAAAATCTTCACTCACGCTGTGAGTAAAGCGAAAAAATGATAGAAAAGTTTATTCATTATCAACGTGTAAAAAGAACTAAAGATGTACTTGTGAGATAAGAAGGAAAATCGACGCGATGAATTCCGTCCAGGAGAGAGAGTTATTCTTGAAGCTTAACCTGAGAAGAATAGCAAGCGCCGGAAGAAGATGGATGACAAAATCCGAGGAGAGAAGTGGATAAAGCGGCAGCTGTCAGGTATGCTTTCAACAACATCAAATCTCCCAGCACAATCGGCTCTTCAGCAGTACTTTAGCATTACTGTAGTAGTACTGTAGCATCACTGTAGTATTAGTACTGTAGCCTTACTGTAATATTACAGCAGCTACACACTAATAGCTTTCGCGTGAAAAATTGTCTCCGTAGCACGCCTGTTTAAGGCGGCCGGTCGGCTTACGGTAGTCAGGAGAGGTTTTTCGGTAATAAAATGAAAGCGTATGTACTTTTTGTGACCTACCTTATTTTTAATCTCAACAAATAGGTCCTTTACAAGTTGTGATAAAGAAAAAACATCAAAAAAATTTCCTGGCTCCGAAACTGACTGCGCAATATTGACCGGCCGCCGTAGCACTGTCTTGAACATGCGTGGTAGAGACACTCTAATCCTTGCATGACAGCTAGAAGAGTTCAGAACACTTGAATCCTTACAAGAGGTATATCTACTTTGCTTCTTTTTTTTTGTTCACCTAGGTAAAAAGAAACGAGAATATCTGGAGGGATCAAAGCCGTTATCCCTCCAAAAACCTTCAAAGCCTTTCTGGACAGCAATGCATTGTTTGCCACGGTCCATCGTGTGATCAATCTCACATATGACTTTCAAAATCCATAGGCATGTACTTAAAAATTGTAATTATTCAATTGATTTCTCGTGAGGGTGAACCAGACCAGAGCACATGTTATAGCACGGCGTTACCAAGAATAAAATTTTCTGCCACCGCTCTGTGCGGTCAGCTGTGTTGGCCGCAATAGACCGCGACGCAAATACGAACCATCAATTCACAATTTGGCCAGTTTCCAACAGTCTTTAAACACATTTTTTAAACTTTTCGCTAACTATCTTTTCATGAATATCGATGATAAGGAGCATTTCACAGCTTTTACGTGATTTTTAGGTGGTTAGCAGGTGAAAACGGATTGATCAAATTTATTACTAGTAGGTTTTTGCTATGAAGCAAAAATTTGCCAATTTTTCCGGCGAAAAAAATTAACATTAACTAAAAAAAGTTATTATGTACATTTGTAAGTTGATAAACTTGTATTTCTTTTTTTGTTCACATGGTCTTTTTTTAGCAAGCTTCTGCATTAACGACTGTAAGCCAGAATAAATCGAAAAAGAAACGGAAAACGCGTAAAAACCCTTTGAAACATACGTAGATTGGATTTTGCAACGATAGAAGTTTAGCAAAAACTCCAGACTACAAACCCAGTATTTTTTTTTTCCATTTCGCAAAACTTCGAAAATTTTGAGTTGAACATCAGATTTTTCACAAGCAACGGAAAAATACGTTCCACGTACCAAACGAAAGAGCAAAAATATCTCAACAACTTAGACAAAATAGATTTTCGAAATTCAAGCCAATAAATTTTCAAAAATATAAAATATACTGCTTTAAGGCCTAATAAAAATAAAAAATTGGCGCGTGAAGGAAAGTTATAACTCTATGAGAAAAAAACTCTATGAGAAAAAAAGTTTTAAAAAAACGCTTTTCTCGTTAAAAAAAGCGAAAAAAATTCGACTTGAAGAAAGTTTGAGTTTTTTTGGGCCGTGTCGGCCATTTTTTTGCTTAAGGCCTCCCTAGGGCCGGGCAGGGCCGGGCTTGGAAAGTGGCCGGGGGCCGAGAGGTTGACGGGCCGGCCCTCGCACAAGCCTGACCGCGATGCGTGGTGGCAAAATTTACGCTCCGCTTCCACTGTGTGGTAACGCCGTGATAGTCAGTTCACGGCTGGAGCCATTGGAAAGATGTTCCCAAAACGATAAGAAGAAGAGATATTGCCTGGTCAGTAGAGAGCCAAGTCACGTTCTCTCAGCGTTCCAGGCTGCCCTTGAATCGGCTATATAGTTTCATAGTTGAGTCACAGCTAGCTTGGGGCGCAAAGGGGGAAAGGCCCTTTCTCTTTTCTTATCGTATCAGCCGTGAAATCAACAATTTACCTGTAACGCCTTGTGGGTTATTGAATGATTTATCAACAAGTTGAGCCAGTTTTCCATCCATCTTTCCTTAAGACACTTCTTGATACATTTATGGGTCTCAAATCTAGCCAATCGTATTAAAGGCGCAGGACTTCAATAAATTATTTCAAGCTGGATAGCTATGTAAGGTATGAAGTAGAACTCAAGTTTAATTTTGTTTGAAAAATTGTTTTTTTCTGTATTAGTGGTGAAAGGTAGTTTTCTCTCAAGTGCTAACTCTACTCTTATGATAAAACCATATCAGAAAAGGCAAAAAGGACTTGAAGAGACAACAGAGAGATCATTTAAGTCACAGAATGCCGTAGAAATTGATTGATCGAGTTATAGAATCCGAACAAGGAGACGAATGCAACTCGCCACGCTGGAACTCCTTTGGCTGGGGTATCCAGAAAACGAGTGCGTTTTAAATATCGTTCAATAAGCCAACCCTGGGACTCTTCGCGAAATTTTTTGTATAGTTCCAAAAACCAAACATTCTTCTTAATAATCAACACGCAAACCGCTACTCCCTGACGTCATCCCTATGACATCATCTTCATTTGTAAAATTCGCACACGCAGCCATATCATTTTATTCATTTTTTACGTTCCAATTTATAAAATTAGATTCGACGTGAAAGCTTTTCCGGTCACATGAGAAATAGAAAGATATCACACTTGAAAATCCGCTTTTGATTGAAAACTTTTTTTTATTCTTCTATTTTCTTACTTTTTTTAGAAAACTTTTAAAGGTTTGGAATAATCCGAGGCGTCGAGGCCCACGCTTACGCACAGTATGCTCCTTTAATTTTTTTGGGAAATACATTTCACAGATTTTTTCGCTACGCGTATCAAGTTTGCAAATCGTTTAGAGCTACCTGATAGTGTTATTAGTGTCCACGTTTTGATACTAAATGCCTTTTATGTCAGGTATTCATTTATTTGACGAATTTTTCACTGTGGCTCAGTTTTTTCGAAGCGAGCCACAGTCGGCTTCGCGCTATGCGCGCTCCGCCTCCGTCTGAAGCCTTAAAACTAAGCCTATTTTCTTAAGTAATGCATGAACCTGTAGGCGCAGTTTTAATGCAAAGGCGCGATTCAGGCTCTTCCCATTCTTCAATTTTCTCAATTTCAATTTCAATTCAATTTATTCAGTCTTCAGAGTAAGATGAAGAAAATCTCTGCTGAATCATGGTATAATCGAAGAGTTAGTCGTCGGCGCGGGTTACGGTCCACAATCGTTGTCCAATACGTCCTGGAGTGACAGCTAGCGTTGGGAAACAATGTGGGACCGCGGGTAGTACCAGCGAATGAACTGCTTCACCATAATGGAACAGTACGGAGCCCAGCTTGTCCAGGGCTGACGGGCGTCGGAATATTATCCCATGCGAGAGCGGCAATGAGACCGACCAGTCGACGGGATGAAATGAGATAATAATAATCTGCTGAATCATGTTCACGTAAATAAAATGAATATATAGCCAAATATTTCGATTAAGCTTATTTCTTGTGTTACGAATGGAATGATGTCAGGGAGTAGCGGTTTGCGATTTAACGAAAACTATAATCAACACACGCTCTCGGAGAAAGTCGATGAACTGCAGTAATAGTTTTAAGTTCTGACTTGAGAATTGCACTAAAAGACCTACCGTAACCCATTGAGGGGCCAGAGCCTCACAGTAACTAGCCTAAAAGTTTCCACACTATGTCAAATAACTGTGACAATAATTTAACTCAAAATGAGAACTTGAAATTCTTGTACCAACCATTCAGCGTGAATCTGAGAAAAACGTATGTTTAATGGATTAATCTTAAAAACCGATTGCTTTTTTTCATCCTTTATTCGATAATTTCAAGTAATGATTTTTTTGGCCGTAAATTTTTCTTTAATGATGCCTTTGAAGTGCACTAATTGTGCAAAAAAAGTCGTTTCCAGCGTATTTTTGAATCCTGCAAGACTAGAAAGCAAGATTTTCGAAAAGCAACTAAAATAGGAAAGTGAGAGTTTACACTACACTTTCAAAAAACCTATATTCAACGACTTCCTCGGGAAAAAAATCAGTATTAGGAAATTCAAGATTTGAGTGTACAAAAATTTGTATTTGAACCTCGAACGCTGGTTTTTGTTTTCTCTCAAAGAAACGTTTAAGAGAGCGCGGTATCCTGGATTTTCGGCGGAGCATTCCGTCTGAGAAGTGGTGCGGAAAGTACCGCGAAAACCATGCAAGAGCCGACGGGCCCCGAACAACTCAACGGCAGCAAAGTCCAGAAACCCAACGAAGCTGGTAGATTATTTTGATTCAATTGAGAAAAGTCTTTTTAAACAACCAATGGTCTATAAAGTGGTTGGGCACAGGATAATTAAAAGGACAAGGAAAACGAAAAATCTATATCTGAAGCTTAGTCGCTTCAGATAGTCGAAGAAAGACGTCACAAGTCGAGTTGAGTGTGAATATAACATGAACCCAGCAGGAAATACAAATTTAAGACCAAACATATATTGATGAAAACCAATTGAAAAACTTTTTATGAGAAAAAGTTCTCAAACAGGTTTTTTTATTGAATTTCGCAGGGATCACTGATGAAGGCGTGAAAGACGGGGAAAAAGGATGATCAAAAAGGACATCCTGATCGACAAACTAATGCCGGAGGCTGGAGAAACAAAGAAATCAATGATAACGGACCAAGAATGTAAACGGTCTGAGATAACCCAAGACTTCGCTGGGAGACTTGAAAGCCGAGCTCGTGAGTTTTTCTTTTTCTCTTTTTTCCAGTGAAAAATCGAACTGAATTTTGGATTTTTTTGAATTCAGAGATTATTTTGAATTTCGCGAAAACTTTGAACACGGCATGTGCGAGAGCGCCGCAGTGCATGCACACGACCCACTTCTCTTTACGAAAAAAATATGGGCGGGACGTCGTCCAAAAAACGCCGTGATATCGTACCCCTTTGAATAGCAATTTAGACTAAAAATTCTAAAAATGAACTAAAATCGAACACAAAAAATTGGAAAGATTCTCATTTTTTATTATGACCATTTTCAAATGCAGGGGCGGATATTCACCAGTTTATCGAACCTCAACGGTTGGAAACGGTGCAAATTAGTCAGAAAATCCCTGAAGATTTTTTGAATAGCTTCTGCTACTTCCATGGGTAACAAGTTTTCCATCGAATATCTCATTGAAATCGGTTCTTTGCATTTACTTGCCGCAATTCGAAACTAGGCTATTCCTAAGAAGATCCGGCGACTACCTTGTGCGGAAAGTGGAGGGTTCGAGAGAAAAGACGTGCCAACCATCTACTATGAATTTTTAGAAGAAGGCGAAGAATACATACTAATATCCGTCGCCGTACTTCTGGAATACAAAAAAGACGGAACCGAAGGTGTTTTTTTTTCCTTTTTTTCAATTATTATTAATCTTAATTTCATCCGAATCTACTGAGTAGAAATTTATGAGAGGACTTTTTTTATTTTTTTAAACCAAAAAAAGAGCGGAATAGTTTCAAGCTCGAACGTTTTTCACTCGAGTTTCTATCAAAACGCATCTTGGAACATTTGAATGTTTATAATATGTATCGTGATTATATACAAATACTACGAAACGATAACATTGCTGTCCCACTTTGCGTCCTTTACTGAAGTTTTAAAATTTCCACGTGGCGATACACAAACAGCAGTTTCTGCTGAGAAGTGTATCTCATTCCCAAAAACTTCATGCGTCCGAGACCGAACCATGTTTGAAGTTAATTTACACTTCTTGTTTTGGGAATGACGCAGCTCTGGAGTGCAGCATGACCTGAGCGTTGCGGCTTCACTTTTGTGCGTCGCCCAAAAACTTCATGCGTTTTCGCCGATCGGTTCTCCACTGGAGAGCCAGCTGTTTTCCAAACAGCCCGTATCGGTCTTGAAGTCGTCGAAGTCCCGTAATTGGGCAAGAAGCGATGCTTTTGTGGATCCTAGTAATCCCGCTATACTAAACCGCTTCGAGCAGCGTCGTAGCTTGGTCAGAGGTCTTTCAAGTAAAACCTCTATCGTAGTAACACTACGTGGCATAAAGCCATCGGAATTAATCGGAATCTGGTGAGGCTCACGCCTATCACTAGTTTATTTAAATCATAGTTATGCTGGGTGGGAGGTATATATATATGACGGTATGAACAAGCCATCTTCAAGATCAACGCATCGAAGATGAAAAAAAGTTCGAAACTCCAGAGCTTCAATTATAGCTAGGAGAAAGGAGCAACCGGAAAGGGGGTGAACTGTCAGACGTCGAGTCAAGATGACTTGATCTGTGTTGAGTAGAGGAGCGACCAAATGATACCAATAATCCGATAAGCCTAATGAGCTATTGGATTCAAGATTCCAGTTTAGATTTTTTTTTTTTCTCGGTATGGAACAGTGCAGTAGTTCCCTTGCTTACTAGCAGGATTGATTCGAACAAGTTTTGAATTCAGAGGTGCTCAAAGAGAAGCAAAGACAAAACTCTCCAATTAGAATAATGGTGTCGGATACTAGGAATTCGTCTGAACAAATAACTGACAGGTCTCGGACGATGGCAATCGCTAGAGTGAGACCAGGCAATTCACGAATCGGTTGGCGATCTGTAGAGGAGCACTGAAAGAAGCAGTTCTCTCTAAACTATGCGAAATTGTGTCAAAATGTACATCGCGCAATCCTGAAACAGGACCGTTAAGGCCTCAGGAGACTCATCAAGGAGAGACTATCATCGTGCTCACACCGAGCTAGTTCATGAGGCAAATACAACAAAGAAGTTAAAAGTTGAGGTTGAGAGGCTAAGCTATCAGTCGAAGGCGTCGCCAGATGGCCCCTTCGCGAGGAAAGCTCCAGATAACGCTCAAACGCCTTGCAAGCAGGAAAATCCCAAATTCCGAGGCTTTGAACTAGCAATGTGATCGTTTCGTAGTATTTTTTTATAATTTTTATATTTTTGCTAGACAACGCAGTTGTTGACGAAAAAAATATCTATTATATATATATATATATATACGAAGAAACGATCAGATTTCCCACCCTAGGTATCTTCACAAGAGAAGATACATTTTCCCACCCGTGGGGAATTTGGTGAGGTAATCAAAGCGTACAACAGGCGCAGAAGGTCAGTGAAAAATACGGGCATAGCCGCATGGCCATCGTTACTGTTAACAGCAGCTCAGCTGAACCGCTACAAATTGGCGAAATGGTTGTCTGAGGTGAAGCGAAGCACAAAAGTGAAGCCTCAACACTCAGGTCATGCCGCACACAAGAGCTGCGTCATTCCCAAAACAAGAAGTGTGAATTAACTTCCAACATGGTTCGGGCTCGGACGCATGAAGTTTTTGGGAATGAGATACACTTCTCAGCAGAAACTGCTATTTGTGTATAGCTACGTGATTTTCGAACACGTGGAAAAATTTAAAACTTCAGTAAAGGACGCAGAGTGGGATAGCAATGTGATCGTTAATTCGTATTAATATATAATAAATATTTTACGTCAACAACTGACGTAGAATATTACATTAGATATAACATTATTTCCTATAAACCTCGATCTCATCCAACTTTACAGACCTCGACAAAAACTTCGGCAAGGACGAGCCAGTAAGAATAATGGACCACGCCGTCAGACGTGTAAAGAAAGGAGTATCAATCGAGCACGAACACGTATTTGCGTGCCTGAAAGACCTCCTGATTTTTTATATGTTCAACCCTAAGAAGGTAAAGCCAATGATATTTTAGTGGATACTGAATTAGGAAAAAAAATTGTTCTCTGATAACTTCTATATACGAAATCTGAAATAGAAGAAAACGATTTCGAGACCAAGAAAAAAAATGTTGGAATTTTTATATTTCTAAAAACTTCGTATAATGAGATGACGGTTCACAGTCAAACGGAATGATCTATAAGACTTTCACCTCACAGTGAACCGGATGAATAAGAAAATTTTGATCTTCCGGGCTGCTATAAGTTACAAAAGGAAGTGCTGCTGGAATTAGAACCGCAGAAGGCAAAGTTGGACTCGAAAGTCATTTCACTTCAGCTATCGCTCAACATCAAACTCAGACGAGGTTGCGGAACTCGAGTGTTCCAATTTCGAGAACGCCAGATCATCCGCATCAAAACGGTGAGTAATGAAAAGTCTAAAATGAATCTTCAGCCAGAAATATAAAGAAACCATACAAAAACAAACTATGAATAAGAGTGGGTTTTTCCCAGACTGATAGAATGGATACCATCGTTTTTTGAATTGAATTAAAAGTCTGCCTTTTTTTTTGATCTAGACTTGATCAAGGCAATCAAGAATCAAGGGAGGTAATTCTACTTTGGAATTTTTTTCAGATTTGCTCAAAGACTCTATGAATGTCTAGATAAAGATTCCTCATAGACTCTACCGGCGCAAACTTCGAGTTTTTGAAATATGACTTTTTAAAGTTGCGAAATGTGATATTTTATGTAAATTATGTAAATTTGAAGCTTAACTTTTCAAAACTTTTCAACCTTCAAAATTAATTATCCTAAGAACTGAAGGCTAGCGCGGGTTGCAGCTCTAACTGATCTTCATAAAAACCATCAGAGATTGTTTGAACAAATTTGTAGGAATGTCCAAGTTGCAAAGTAAAATTAACTCTTTGGAGGGCCTAATTATCTAATCTGTGTTGAACGCGAATTTAAAAAATTAATATCTCAAGTACTAAAAGTTTGTGCCGGAGGCGACTTTGAGGGGATCTTCACCTAGACTTTCAGAAAGTGTTTGAACGCATTCGAAGAAAAATGGAAAAGTAAAATGACTTTCCGTGTAAATAGAGAAAAACGTCACAAAACGCGGCCTGGAATTGGCTAAAAAGAGCGTTTCGAACGATATTCCGCTATAAGGAATCTTCATCTGAACAAAAAATGAAAGCTTTTGTTGAAATAATATTCTAAAAAAGTTTATTTAGCTCCATAGCGGGAATTTCGGGGAAGTGTTTTTAGCGGATGTGTGGTCGTTTGGGATGATTGGCCAAAAAGCCGCCGTGAAGGCAGTGAGTTCAATTGACAAAGTGTCTTACAAGAACTTTTTTCGCAGCTGAAAAAAGACAGCCCCAAGTTACGCGAACAGAGCGAGAGCTTCGTGGAAGAAGCGAGGTTGATGTTGACGCTGAAACACGAACACGTCATAGCCATGTACGGATGGATGTTAGATGTACAACCATTCATGATAGTCATGGAGTACATGGAAGGTGGGAAAGTCCAATTAAAAAGCCGCTAATTTTCAAGTTCAAAATTTTCTTTTCCGACAAGATTTTTCTCGGTTTATCACTTTTAGCAGATGGTCGTTCTTGTTTCCATTATCCTGACCTAGGTCTACAAACCACCGAAGTTCGAAACAGATCCGCAAATGCCATTTCGGGTAGTTCCCTAGTAAGGAAACTAGGATTTCATTTTCCAAATTATTTTCTTATTTACTACTTTTTATGTTATAGCTACTTCCAAACTTCCAAAAAAAAAAGAAATCAATCTTTGTGAGCTTCAAAAAAACAAAATTGAGAAAAAAACATGAAAGGAAATCATCAACTTTGAGTTTTTCTTAGTTCCTTTTCGTTTCGATCGATTCGCGAAATGAACTCACCTCGTAATTTAGAATTTTTAGAAGATTAACCAGAAAACTTTTCGATTACTGATTTTTTGGAGGAAATATGGTATAATTGGCCTAATAATATTGAAATAGCTTTTTCTACATTCAAGTAAATCCTGGGCATTGTAGGAGGATCGCTGGAGACGTATCTGTTGAAAAGTTCTGAAGAACCCAACATCCAACAGCTGCTGAAGTTCGGCCTTGAGGCAGCCGAGGGACTGACTTACCTCCATGAAATGGGAATTATCCACAGGAATGTGTCGGCCCGCAACTGCTTGCTCACCGCCGACCACAAAGTTTGAGCTAAATTATCAATAATATAGTCAAATCTCCCTTACTTGAAAGACGAAGGAGGCGGAGAGGACGCGTACGTGGCTCTTCAATCCAAGCACCTATTTAAAAAGTTCGGTCCCCGCTCTTTTCGTATCTATTCTACTATTTTTCAATGCACAAATAGAAAAAAAATTCAACGAAGAATTAAACGAGAAATGAAAAGAGTGATAAACGAGTGCTCCAAATAGCCGCTGGCAGTTGAATTGAATCGTGCCACGAACCGCGAACGCGCACGCTACGCGTCCCGCCCTCCTTCTCCGTCTCCCTCGGCTTTCTAGCGGGATAAACTGACTAAACAAAACTTTTTTAAGCTGAAGTTATGCAATTTCGGCCTCGCAGTTGCCGGACCTGTGTATTACATGATGAAGGGGGAAATCTTGCCGACGAGGTATCTGAGCCCGGAGACCTTAGCCATTTTCCTGTTCCTTCACGCCTCAGACACTTTTGCATTCGGAGTGAGTTAACTGATTTCTCAAGGGAAAAATGATTAATATTCTAGAACCTGCTTTATGAACTCTTCTCCAATGGCCAGATGCCGTATGAAAACCTAACTTCGGCTGAAGCAAGACAGAAAGTTGGTTTGATTATTTGAAAGCATCTCAATTATCTGAAACTCGAGTGGAAACTTACAAATGAGTGCAGTACGATTATTTTTCTTGACGCCTAGTAATGAGAAAGAGAATCTGATAGAACTTTCACTGAGCCCGAAAATCAAAATACAACGCAAACCTCTTCGAAACTTATTCGGATACAACCTCGCTGTTTGGCATTGCCTACTTCAAAATTATCTAAGAAAAGCTTTTTTTTTTTTTTTTTAATTTGAGGAACGCCGATAGGGACCTCGGAGTTTCCCTTGAACCCCCTAAACGATTCGGGGCTTCTATAGGGCGTAAAAATTTGTTTGGGAACGGTTGTTTGAAAAAGTTAAGGACGAATATGAATAAATGAACTCCAGTGAAAAATTTCATTTTACCCCCTATAGGGGTCACTAAACCAGATTTTCGGGGCCCAGGAAGACTTCTTAGAAAAAGTTCAAAAATTTCAAAAATTTTGTCTTCTTTTATCTGACGAATGTTTGCATTGAGATCCTGGAGGGAGAAATGAATGACCTGGAGGAGACTTGTGCTCCTCCAGCTCTTCGTCAGTTCATACAAGATAACTTGTGGGCCTACGAGATGAAAACAAGGTCTAGAATGAACGAGGTTTTTTTTTATTCACTCTTTTCATTCTGACAAGAAATATTTAGGTAGTTGTGTTCCTCAAGAAAACCTACCGCGCCTTTAAAAAAGGTCAGTTTATATTTAAAAAAATTATTTTCTGATCGTGAAACTTTGCAGGAGCAGGGAGGCCCAAAGACGAACACAGAGACAGAAGAAACTGCGGTGAGATTACAAAACCGAAGTTTTTTTCAGCTTTTCAATAAATTTGATAGTAAACTTTCCAAAAAACTAATTTCACTAGTTCAAATTTGAACAGTAAACAAAATAAACCTGTGCCGGCGTTGAAAGAAAGTGTTATATAGCCGGAAAATTAACGCGTTTTGAAGCAGCATGAGAGAGTTTTTATAAAATTCGCATTTTCTCAAGAAATTTAGAGCAAAGATGAGCCAAGACTTCCGAAAAAGGGAAAACTCCGCCGACGCACACCGGCTAACCGCCAGGTCACTTTTTCTTTTTCTGACTTCATGTATCAAACTTTTTTTCAGGAGATCATGGAAGAGCTTTTTCCGATAATGGAAGAATCCGCCAATAATGAATAGCTTGGCGATCCATAACTGTGGAACAGCTCCCTCGGATTCAGCTTCCATTTGAATAAAAAATGTTTTGGAATTTTACTTGTATCCACTTCTACATTGGAAAACAGACGTGAAACAAAGGAGCTTATGGAAAACAAGAAAAACGTTTTTAACGTACATTTAAGATGTCCCATCTTGGTTAGGTGTCCGCACAAGATCCCTCATATATTTCTTTGTTTTCGATAAAATCATCATTTTGTTCCCGCATCTGAAGAAGAAAAAAAAAATAGAGCGCTCCTTCCAGAAAACTCAACTTCTAGCACCGATCAAGGCGTATCTCGACTACGCAAGCCAATTTTTTTCAAATGACTCAAAAAATTGAAGTTTGCTTGGAAACACAGGGCGTGTCAACGATGCGTGCGCGAAACGATCACAGCGAAAGGCACACCGTTCGAATGTGTACCGTAACCCGCGCCGGGCGAGGAGAGCGCGGTTTTTTAAAATTTTCCCAGTTTTCCAGCTTTTGGGTTTTTACACGGGTTTTTTCTGTAAGACAATACATATTTTTGGTCGTTACGTGTTTTTATCTCGCTTTAGCAGTGGTTTTTACCACTTTATTTTATCAATATTGATGTAACGGGTTGTCACACTGATTTTGAAAAGTTTTCGCGTTTGCCATTGCAACTTAAACCGTTCTTAAACTTACAGCTAAAAAGTGATTTGTCTCATTAAGAGGGGCGACATAGATGGAAGAAGAGACGGGGTCGACAGACCCGCCACAGCAAACTCAACGGACAACACTGTCCCAAGAACAACTATCGTCGATCCTGGCAGCGATTTCGAACGCAAACGCCGCTCCAGCGCACGTCAAGACGACCGCAGCTCCGCCTTTCACATTCCGGCGCAAGGGATTTCAGTACCAATACGACTTCAACTGTAAACTCATCGATCTTTTGGAAACAGCGGCTGGAAAAGGAACAGCAGAAGCGGCAGAAGAAATCAAGCTAGCGAAGGAACGGCTCGTGGAGCGCAACGACACGTTGAAGATCGGCGATGAGAGCCCAGAGGTCTCCTCCTTTCTTGAAACAAAGGAGAAAGCGGAAAGCATGAAGTCATCGAGTCCTTGGTTGGCAGAGCTCCTAGAGCAGCAAAAAAAAGAAGAAAAGAAAAAAAAAACCACCACTCAACCAGCCCTTTCACCAAAGGGTTGCAGCCTGGACACCTGCGACCCGCTTCAACCGAGTCCCTGAACGTGCCACCATGGATGTGGCGGCATTTCGACCTGGGTCCTCTCGTCACGTCTTCGGACCAACGCGAGGCCCCCAAAACCCGCAGCGAAGAGAGGAAGAGAAGCGACGATTCTCACCGGATCGAGGACGTCCGGGTGGATGTTACCTCTGTGGAGCAGAGTCTCACTGGGCGAGAGAATGCCCCAAAAGAAAAAGAGAGTAAAGGTAAGTTTAAAGCGGGAGGCATTCACAAGAGCAGACACGCCTGGAGAGGTTTAGGAGCTTCAGCCTGGGTTCTCGACACCTTAGAAAATGGTTTGAAAATAGACCTAGTCTCGACTCCTAAGCCTCTCGAGGCATTGTCGAACAGATCGAGCGTACAGAGAAATCATGATTTCGTTTCAGAGGAGGTGGTCAGGCTCGTCGAGACCGGAGCAGCGGAGGAAGTGCAGCTAGAACGGAACAACAACAGGACAAACTCGCTGCACGTGGCTACAGGAGGTAAAAAGCCTCGGCTTATTCTAGATTTATCGAACTTTAACGACCACGGTAAGAAAGAACATTGTCGTTTCGAAGACTGAGGTACAGTTAAATGGCTTATCCCTGAAGGGGCCTTTGTAGTAGTCTGCGATTTGAGGGCAGGATATCACCATGTTTTAATCAGAGAGCAAGACAGAAAATGGTTTGGTTTCACCTGGGAAGAAAAGTTCTACCGTTTCCGAGCTCTTCCTTTCGGGCTTAGTTGTGCCCCTTCGTGTTCACGAAGTTGTTAAGACCGTGGGTACACAAATGGAGGCTCCAAGGTTGGGGAGTGTGCTTCTATTTAGACGACGCCATTATATGGGCCGAATCAGAGAAAAAATGCAGTGAAATCGCAAATTCGATTAGAAAAGATTTAGAATCGGGAGGATGGCATTTCGCAGACGAAAAGTGTGATTGGCAACCAACTCAGAAAAAGACTTGGTTAGGCATAGAGGTAGATACAGTAGAAAAAACCTTATCACTATCAGAAAACAGGAGAAAATCTGCCATAGACCGCCTAGATAGCCTCCTGAGGCAGCAAAAACCCTCCTTGCATGACAGATTGCGATTTACAGGTACTCTGGCTTCGGCAAGCCACGTGGTCAATGAGGCCTTGAGGAAGACCAACAAGGAATTGGTGACGGTGACGGCAGAGGCGCAAGGGGCTCGAAAAAACCTCGAGGAGCGTTGGCCAATGTCGCAAGCTGAAAGATCAGAGGCGGAGGCTTGGAAGAGTGAGTTGTTAAAGAATAACTGGATATCGAGCTTTAAGCAGCCGCCTGGAAAACAGTTTGAACCTAAATTCTATCTTTGGGTAGACGCTTCCAAAAGCAAGGTTGGAGCGGCGTTCGAAATTAAGATGGGAAGTGATATTCTCGAGTTTTCCCAAGAAATCCCAGAACCACTTAGGGGAAGATCTAGTACTTTTAGAGAGCTTTTTGCGATATCGGCTGGGCTATCAGCGTTCCAAGATTTTCTCGTAAACGAAGTAGAGATTAAATGCGATAATCAGGCAGCAGTTACCATTGTTAAAAAAGGAAGTCTAAAAAGAGACTTGCAAAATTTAGCGAAAGAAATTTGGAGGAAGGAGTCTGAGAATAGATTGAATTTAAATGTCGTTTGGGTTCCGAGAAGGGAAAACCAGCTGGCAGATGCGCTGAGTCGCATTAAAGACCCAGACGATTGGGAGATCCTTCCGAAAATAGCCGAAACGGCAATGAATTATCTACAAAAATGCTCATGGGATCTGTTCGCGAACGAGAAAAACGCAATTTGTTCCAGGTTCTGCGCCAGATCCGAATGTCCGGGAGCAGCGGCCGTGGACGCCTTCAGTTGCCCGGAGCTTCGGTACAGAAATGACCTTTGGTTAGTCCCGCCAGTTCGTTTGGTACTAAAAACACTAGCCTTCATGAAAAAACACAAATCCAGGGGAATCTTAGGAGTTCCAGATTGGAGGAGTCAATCATTTTTTCCTCTTCTGAAAATAGGCCAAGACTGGGCGCCAGAAATAAAAGGGGGTACCAGAATGCCACCGGGAGCCAAAATGTTTGTACCTGGAGGGGCAGGGGAAGCTTCCAACTCTTTCGCAAAATCACCGTTTTTATTCTTACTAATCGACTTCTCGACAAAACCAGTGCCCAGAAAGAAGTTTTCTTTTCAATGATAGTTTCCTCGCAGCTTTCCAAAGGTTTTAGGATGCTCCCCTTGTAAACTTCGTTTTCCAAGCTGTACACGACCTAGTTGAAAAGCAAACTGAGTTATTTGGGAATGTAATGGACAAATAATTGAAGTTTGCTTGGAAACACAGGGCGTGTCAACGATGCGCGCGCGAAACGATCACATCGAAAGGCACACCGTTCGAATGTGTACCGTAACCCGCGCCGGGCGAGGAGAGCGCGGTTTTTTTCAAAATTCCCCCAGTTTTCCAGCTTTTGGGTTTTTACACGGGTTTTTTCTGTAAGACAATACCCCACCCACCCACCCAGAAAAAGACAAGATACGAGGAAAGAAAAGGTCAGAGTAGAAATGCTTACAGATAATCGTTTCCTCAACTATTTCCTTGGCGAGATACAACCACATGAAGCCTCTCTACAAAAAGCCATTGCGTCGGCCGCAAGCAGGACAAAACCAACGGTACAAAATCGGACGAAATTGCCATTTGAGCATTACCGAAGGTTAGTAGAAACCGCGTCGAAGTACCCCGAGCTGGATAGGGCAGGCACTTTGGCGATTCTCCTATTTAACGCAATGCTCAGAATATCCGAGGCACTGGCTCTTCGTTGGGACGACGTTCAACTCGACAAACCCGACGGGGAAGGCAGTCTGCAAATTAGACGATCAAAGACAGACCAAGAAGGGAAAGGCGTGAATCTTCCGATCAAGCTGGAGAAGGAAGAGTTTCGGGTCGTCACCCGCTTCAAATTGGTCAACGGCGCAGGTTTTATCTTCTTATCAGCCTCAACAAAAACGCCCATCACCTACTCCACGGCATGCAAAGAACTAAAACTTCTGCTTCATAAGGCCGGACTCGAAAACTTCAACTACACTTCACATGCCTTCAGGGGTGGTGCGGCAACAGCGGCCCTGGAAAGCGGAGTGGATGGGACCGAAGTTATGCGGGCGGGACGATGGAAATCAACTTCAGCGTTCGGATGTTACATCGGCAGAAAGCCAATTAAGAAGTCAACAGATGGAGAGCACGCCAACTTAGGAGATGAAGACGGCTCGAGGAAGAACTAGGAGCCCTATCCCCTGTTAGACTTTCTCCCATGCTCTTGTGAATACGTGTTATCGGTTTTTGTCTCTTTGATTCACGTAGAATTAGATCTGGATTTGACCCCCAGACTCTTACGCTTTATTTTTGTTCGTTCCCATTGTTTGTTCGTTATTGTTTGTTGTTGTGGGCCGGTTTTTGTTGGTTTCGGGTGTAAAAAACCCCATAAAGCTGTACACGCTCCCCTTGTAAACTTCGTTTTCCAAGCTGTACACGACCTAGTTGAAAAGCAAACTGAGTTATTTGGGAATGCAATGGACAAATAACATGTTTTTTTTTTACAATTTTCGATAGAGGAGACTCAATTTTCATAACCCGCTTAATGTTCGAAAAAGGTCCGCTAAGAAAAAAGTTATGACCAAAAAACGAGCGCGTTTACCCGCTGCCGCACACTTATTCATATTTCAACACTGCAAAAAATGATGGTACGACAAAACCTCAAGTCCGCAAATCTCGAGGACCGCAAATCTCGAGGATCCAAACAAGAGGGTATAAGTAGATAAAGTGCAAAAAGAAGACTAAAAGAGAAGATTTTTGCTTTCCAAGATTGTGGTTTCCAAGATTTTGGTCTCCAAGATTTTGGTATCCAAGATTATGGGACTTTAGATCTGCGTACACAAGATTACGGTCCTCGAGATTTGCGGACTTGAGATTTTGTCGTATAGTATATACTATCCAAAAAATATGAAAAGAAAGAAAAGGAAAGCGCGCTCCAATGTTAAAAAGCGTCACGGTGGGCTTCGTAAAAAATTCTTCATCATTTTCGTCGTGATTCACATTTTTATTATTTTATATCAGTCAACTCTGTTTTTCACGTTCATTTTTTCAGAAGCATGTACGGAAATCAACAGTCAGTATACGACTCTGTGGCCGAACTGGCCGTGTCTTCAGCTATGGTGATTTTTGCTCTCTTTTTCTGATTAGTAAATTCCTTCAGTTTTTAGCTAAAAATAGTTATTGGTTTTTTTTTTTCGTTTAGGCGAATGTTCGCAACAAAAGCACAGATGAATTAACAGCAATGCTTGACGATACAGCGCAACTTGACGCGATAATTGATTCGTTACCACAGGTTTTTTTAATTGTTATTTTCAGTTCATGTGGTTGAAATTTTTTCTAGGTTACTTCTGTCAGTGTAGATAGAGATTCATCATTGGCTAGGAACAAATCGCTCGCAGAATGGAACATGGCTCAGCAGCCGCGAATCGATCAAATTCATTCGCAGGTTTGCAAAAAATGATAATTTCAAAGTATGCAATACATTTCAGAATCTGAAGCTATTTGAAGAAGCGTCAGCATTGAAGGCAGAAGTGAACGAAATGAAGAAAAGATTAGGTGCAGTCGATTTGAAGCTTCTTTGAGTATATTTTCTATTTTCAGACGAATTATCTTCTTCTCGGTCTTTAGATACAACTCACAGTTTGATGTTGATATCTCATCAGGAAGCTGATGACGATGCTGAGGTTTTAATATTCATATTTTGATTGAAAAAGTCAAAAATTATTTTCAGAACCTCGTCAAACAATTTCAAAATGGCGAACTGAGTCTTGACATCTTTTTGAGGCAATATAAGGAGAAAAAAAGACGTTATCGCATCTCAGGTTGGTTTTTCTAAAATGCAACTGTAAAAAAAGTTTTTTTAGAAGATTAATTTTATATTTGAATTTAATTTTTCAACAACTTTTGTTTGCGTGTACAAGCTTACTTCGTTTTTATGAATTTTGTGAATTTAAGTGTGTATCGATACTTGAGATGTGTGTAAAAGTTACTTTAAACTAATTTTCGTTTGAGTTGTCCATGGAGCGCAAAATGTTCAATTTCTAACGGCTAATTCCTGAGTACCACTTTATTGTCTGAAGTGACTTGAATTCATGAAATTTTCACTATTTTTTGTATTTTTTTTTTCGGTTTTTATGTTGAACCATATTTATAATCCTGTCTTGTTTCGAGAAAAATATACAAATTTTTAGAAATTTTTTTAGATCTACATGACTATACCCGTCTTGTAGTTGATCTTTTAAAGACAATTTTGTCAAAATTCACAGTTTTTTTTAATATTAATCGCAAATAAGCAAATTATTTTATGTTTCAAAAGTTTCTCCTTTTCCCAGGAAAATCAAGGCGGACCGTATCAATGCGATAATCCGGGAGCAACAGGGCTACGGGACGATCGGAAGCAGTGGCCCCCCACAGCCGATGACGTCATCGCAAGGATTCCAGATGCCCGGGTACCCCAACTTGACGTCATACGGATATCAGGCTCCGATGGGCGGTCCATCCAAACATCCCTTCTTCTAATGTATACTATTTTTGTCAAAAATGTGTGATAAAATAGCCGCGACCTAGTTTTCCAAAAATTGCAGCCTTTTCTCGAGTAATATACTCGATTTTCAATGCCAAAATCAACCTTTCATTTTGTTCTCTGTTGTCAAAAAATAGTGAAAAGTTTAGCCGCGGCTTGTTTTCTGTAATATTCCCTACATTCTTAACCTCCCAGCGAGCTCTCTTTCATTTTATTTTGAGCTTTTTTAACTGTGAAAAAATGAGCCGCGGCTCTGTTAGTTATTCTCACTTTTAGCCCTTTATCCGATTCAAAACCGGTACTTTTACAATTTTTTCCACTATAATCTTTCCTTTAGTCTGCGACTGTCCCAAGCTTGCTTGCTCAATTGCTCTAGGATTTTTCCTTTTCGATGTACAGCTCCCACTCTTGTATCATGATTTTTGTCCGATAAATAATTGCATTTTTCAGTTTTTTCATGTTTGTAGTGGTTATTTATACCACGTTTATGTCTTACAGTTTATGAAATTGCACTTTTATTGAATAATTTTTGATTTTTTTGTTCACTAGTCACGCCAGAATAACATTTTCAAACTTCTAACCTTTTTTTATTTCATTCGTTTCTTGAACCCCTTGACAAAATTTCGAACGTTTCAGAAACTATTATCTTGAAAAATTACAAATTCTAAATTTGAAAAAAATATTGGAGTATGTGATTGTGCGTTTAGTGCGTTTACATCCCAAGCACAATAATTCACGATACCTCTTGAGTTGCGTATCAAAAAAAAAAACGCCGTGTCGCTTCTTTCTCTTAAATTTTCGTTCAGATGACATCGCGATTAGCAAAATTCGCAATTTCTCGAGCTTCTTGCTCTTTCAAACCAACTCAAAATGTTCGGAATTTCGCTTCTTTACGCGAAATGGCCGGGGAGAAAGACCCGACCTTGCTCTATGAGCCGAAGTTTGTCGACACCCGAGAATTTCCTGAGTTAGTTTGAAAAAAAATTACTGCTGGGGTGTTTGAAGGAGCATAGGCGTCTTGGAAGGAAATTTTCAAAAGAAGAGCTTTTTTTTTGCGTTTTTCTAAGGTCAAGTGGAATTGGACTTTTGCGCCTTTAAGGACCCCAGCAAAGATCTTTGAAGTTTTTAGGACATGAAGGAAGAAAAAGGGACATTTTAGGTATCCGACGATCAATGTTCGAGTCCAAGGATTCGACTTCGTTCCTCTGGAAAAGTTCCAGGCTTTCATTGACCGCACGGCGAGGAGATTCAACTTCGAGGTCGTTGATAGGTTTGTTTCAGATCCATTCGGGAAAATGATCCTCGAAAAACAGTCATTTTCAGAGAAATAATCATGATCTTTTCTCAAATCACCAACGTTTTTTTTTTGCGACCCTTGGCTTTTCACCTTTTTAAATCAGCCTTTGCTGTTTCATTGGCGAATCATAAATTTTTTTTTCACTTTTCAACTCTATTTATAACTTATTTAGCGCATATACTGAGGAACACCAGAGTGGTCTCTATAGGGTTTAGAAGACTCGTATAAGCGTCAAAAAGTGCCCCCTTTAGGGGATGAAATTTAGGCGGTTCTTATGGAAGTTTGTGGTCAGACCGCGAAGCCCCTCGAGCTCAAGTGACCCCTATAGTGTCTTCTAATTTTTGTTCATATTTGAATATTAAAACGGCTAACGTGGTCAATATATCCTCTTTTTATTCATTAATGCTAATTTATTGTGGAAATTCTTCTCCTCGCCGAGTTCATAAAAATAATCGAAGCTTTAATGGCTCTTGTAGGTATAGGTAAAGCGGTCCCTAGAGGGCAACCTTCAAAGTCCCCTATAGGGGCCACTCTGAAGTTCCTGAGTAGGTTGTGAACTTTGGAAATGTTCGGAGAAGTCCAAAAAACTCTTTGTTGACACAGGCCTTTCCAAGTTGAGAACATTCCTTTCCTGCTTCTTCATTTCGTTTCTCTTCTAAAATATTTTCCCTCTCTTTCAGTTACGCCGTGGCCTCTCAAACCCACCGCGCACTCACCTACAAGCCTCACTCGACGGTCGTCGAAGCTGAAATGGACTTTGCCGTCTACGACCGTGTGGTCCGACTTCGAGCGGTTCCCGCACCTCGCCTGGCTCTGTTCACACAGCTTCTGCACACGCATCTCCCTGTCGGCGTTACGGTATCGTTTTCTTCTTCTTAGTCACAAAAGCGTACACAATTTCAAATTTTCAGGTCAGTAAAAACTCCGAATTTACAATATTGTGAAATTTAATTCAAAGGGCTTTGAAATACCGCGATTCAAACCCTTAAAGAAAATTTTCCGCCTGTAGCTTTCCAGTCAAGTTATAACTTCGAAAAAAATTTTTTACTGAGCTATTTGAAAGTGCCAAACTTCGAATAAAATGCAAAGAGATCGGAAAAATTATTATTTTTTGGGTCGAAATCAGAGTCCTCAAATTCTTTCTATTATGGCGTGGAAATTCTCGAGCTGTTCTTTTTTTCTGATTTTCTTTTTTTTTTTCAAGTAAAATTAGGATTTCATATCTCTTTTGTGTGTTTTTTTTTAGCTCTCTTCTTCGTCGATTTTGGATAATTTACAGTCTTTTCAGTATTTTCCATCTTCGTAAACAGTTCGTTTTGCAGCTGACCGTGAAAGAGCACGAAAAGGCGGACGAAGACTACCGCTACATTCCCGACGGGCTTCTCAAGCAGAAACAAGAAGAACTCAAGGCCCTCGACGACCCCAACGTTCGAAGAAACCTCGGATGGGAATGATTTTTTGTCATTTACTACGTAATTTGGCTCTATTGAATTCCCTGATTGTCGCTCTACGGATAAAATTCTTGAAATCCCGAAGTTATCTACCTTTGTGATCCTTGTCCGTGGAGCGCATATCCACCTAGTGTATCGGCTGAATCTTCCACTGTCTTTTCTTCCTGAGTACCCGATTTTTACTTCTTTCTCGGACTCATTTTAAACGTGTATTTATTTTTTTATAGTCAAAAAATATCGTTTATTTCATAATATTTCGAGAGGAAATGAAATATTACGAAATAGGTTTTTTCTCTTTAGATAGGCCTATATAACGTCCATTCGAAAAGATATATTCTAGAACTATTTCTTACCTATTTTTCAGTCCAGAAGTTTAGGTTCATAGCAGTTTTTTTCAGATTATACGAGCATTTGTCATTTCATTGTTGTTGAAATTCGTTTTTTTTTTTTGTTGATTTCGTTACAATAAATCCTTACCCATTTTATACCTTTCACTACAATTTAATTTTGGTTTCTTCCCACAACCGAGTTCGTTTTTTTTTTTTTTTTCAAATCCTCTCTTTTTAATTGAGAAATCTTGAGATTTTTCTCCGTCTTTCAACGCTTTTCACTAGACGATTCGCAAAAATGACGTCATCTTTGACGGGTTACGATTTGGTGGACATTGGAGCGAATTTGGGGCATCCTTCTTATAAGAATGATATTGAGCAAGTGATCGAGAGGGCCCAGAAAGCTGGTTCGTAATGAATCTCTATTAAAAATCGTTTTTTTTAAGATTGAAAATTAAAAAAAAAAAATTTTCAAATTAGGAAGATGTTCAGCGTTTTGCAGAGTTTTAAGCATAAGTTGGAATTGGAAATTTTTAAAAAAAAACGGCAAATGTTTTTTTTTTCGCTGGCTTTATCAGTGGAGCGCACTCTAGCGTTTTTTTCACCGGCTCAACTTTCACAAATGTTTCTCTATATTTTTCATGAAAAAAAAAATTAATATTAACCTTTCTCGAGCAGAAAAAGGTAAATGAACTTAGAAGCACATATAAATGATTTTCTAAGTTTGGTTATTTTCTTTCAAATCTCAAATTTATGCAAAGAGAAAAAATTTGAAGGTGTGAACAAGATAATGATAACTGGGACAAGCGAGAAATTGAGCAAAGAAGCCGCGAAGTTGGCCGAAACACACCCCGGATTCTTTTATTTCACGGCCGGTTTGTCCCAAAAATGTTTTCCGTGGAAGAATCCGACTTTTTGAAGGAGTTCATCCTCACGACGCCAAAGACTTCAATGAATCCACTACAGCTACTCTTAGAGAGCTTTTGGTTACTTTTTTCTCGAGAAAAATTGATTTTGAACAATTTTCAAGAAACACGACCAATGTGTCGCGGTTGGCGAGTGCGGATTGGACTATAATCGCAATTTTTCGCCTCAAGGCGTCCAACGGGATGTTTTCAGGAAACAGGTTTGTTATATATAATTTATAGGTACGTTATAAAAAGGTTCCTTCGATTTTTTTCCTTTTTTTCATTAAATCGCAAATTTCAAAAGCAAGCTTTTTCTTTTGAGATAATGTGAGTGGTTTCTGCGAGGTTTTTTTAAAAAAATTCAATTTTTGGAAATTCGAGTTATTCAAATCCCCCAGTACTCATTTTGATTCCTTGTTGTGAAAAATGAAAAAAAGCTTATGAAAAAAATTTTGTCTGGATAAATAAGATTCCTTTAAAAATCCACATGAAGTAGCAAATTTTTCGGTCCGTGGCAACTTTTTTTGAATTTTTTTCGAAGTTGAAACATTTTTTTATTTAAAACGTAAAAAAATATATTTTTACAGGTCGAATTAGCCGTGGAATTGCAAAGACCCCTGTTCATACACGAAAGAGAAGCCCATGAAGATATGGTCAAAATTTTAGGCGAAGCTGGCGAAAAGTTGGAAATTCCCGAGAAAATGAAGAAAATATGAAAGATTTTGACAGAATCCCACCAACTGTGATCCACTGTTTCACGGGAACTGTGGACGAGGCAAAGAAATACATCGAAATGGGCTTTTATATTGGATTGACAGGTTCGAATCGTAAAAAAATGATGGTTAATTGGAAAGAAAGGATTTTTTACTAACAATATGCCCGTATTTCATTAAGAATGATGGAGAAAACTCGAGTTGAAAACAAAAAATACGAAAAAATCAGGAAGTCCATCGCATACACCGTGTGTCATTGTGAATGTCGCGGCAGGGAATCGAACAGTACCTTAAAAAATCAGTAATTCAAGTTTTCCCGTTAAAAATAGGCGATCATAAAGCCGTCGATCGAATTTTGCATCGTCTAAACCAACTTCAATCCGCATTTCGTGCAATTGTAGTTGGATTTGAAACCGCAAACTGCACAAAATCGTCTCGGCGGACGAGTTGTCGGCGGAGCTTGTGCTCTTTCATACGCATCCACCCTTCAAATATAAAGTTTTTTGATCATTCATTATTTCTAAAAAAAAACCTCCTGAAGTCAGGATTCTGAGAGCTTCGAATGGCTTTACTCTGCTCGGCGATTTGCAGTAGTAACGGTTTGCGAAAGCGTTGTTTTTGGAACTCTGGTCGCATCATTTTTCGCTTTCTTGATGGTTTTGCCGGCTTTTCAGATCCACCTGCTTGCCTTTCTTTAAAAAAAATCTAATAGATATTTTTTTAATTCTTTTAAACCTTCATTCGCTCCTCTCTTTCCTTTCTTTGCTGAATTTCCTCCTATCATCTCATCTTCAAACTTTGGCGCCGCCTTGTTCCAAATAATGTTTGCATGAGGATCTTCCTAAATTTTCTCATATTCGATAAAGAAAAAATTGATAAATCTCTTACTTGAACATTGTCGAGCTCCAAACCTTCAATTTGCTTTGACTGTCTCTGTTTCCGAATGCTGTCATCCAAAATTTTGTTCGTATCAAGGCTGTAAAAACGAATTTTTATAAAAAAAATATTAAAAAGAAAAAAAAAACTTACTTCGATATTCTTACGGATTGTCGAGCAATAGCCACTGCTGATCGGCGTGGTGGCGCAAAAGTCATTATTCTAAAAAAGAACAAAAGGGTGAAACAAAAAATAAAGCTACGAAATCAAATCAGAAAAACGAAATTTGCACTTCCAAGAAGAGCGCGTAAATAAATCAATAAACCGTGCCAACCATGCGTGAACACCCTGCACATTTTGCATTGTTCTGGCGGCGGTTTGAATCTCAAAATTTTTGAAAGTTTTTCTCTATTACCCCTTTTTTTAAAATTATAATCATATTTCTCAACAAGGTTTTGTAGGATTCTTATGGAAGGACAAGTCGCAGAATGGAGTTCAAGCCGGTTTACGGTCTGGCGACATTCCGATAGGTTTGTTAGATCAATATTTCGAATAAAAAAAGTTTTTTTATTTATAGAAAAGTTGGTTATTGAAACTGATGCGCCGTACATGTATCCTAAGATCAACGACAAGAAATTGCCATCGGAAGTGAGGAATAAGATCACGGAACCAACAAAAGAACTTCACAAGGTTTTCTTTTTCAAAATATATTTATGGTAACTTTTTTAGTCCGCTTCGTTCACCCGGAATGAGCCATGTGCTCTGGCCGCTGTATGTGAGCTGATCGCGGCTTTTGCAGGTCGAGACCCCAAAGAAGTGAATTTTGAGAAGAATTAGAAGTAATCTTAGTTGTATTTCAGGTTTCACGGATAACCACAGAAAACGCGAAGAAAATATACGGCTTGGCATAATTTATTTTTTGTAATCATCATGAATAAATGTTATAAAATTAACCCTTTCGTGCTTATCAATTGAAATATTACGTTTTTCTCAATCGTATTCCAATTTTTCAACTTATCTTTCAGTGAAATGATAACAAATCGTTATCTCTATGTCCTGCAAGGTCATTCGGCAGTCTTCTTCGAATTAATCAGTTTTTATTGGTCACTCAGGCTCTTTGATTCAGCATAATGAACGCCTTGATTGGAAGAACTCGTCCAGATGCCCTCCAACGCAATCTTTTACGGAAAATGCTCGCTTCTCAAGTTCGTTCAGAGGCTTGAAATTTGTAAGGGAATGATTGTGCAGGTCTTCAAGTTCGGCGAGTTCACACTGAAAAGCGGGCAGAAGTCCCCAATTTACATTGATTTGCGGGAATGTTTCGGTCACTCAGATCTCTTGGTAGGTTCCTCGTTAGGTTCTCCCGATGCCCCCCGTTTTCTTCAGATTCTAATGTCAGAAGGCCTATCCAGCATGGTCACTGAAAGCCGCGTCGAGTACAGTGGAATCGTTGGCGTTCCGTATGGCGCTCTACCGCACGCTTCGGTTTCTATTTTAAAGAAGAACTCGGAAAATATTGTTTATTTGAAGGTGGTTGCTGGGTTGTACCTACAGAAGCCTCTGTTGATCGTGAGGAAAGAGGCCAAGGCTTACGGAACGAAAAAGCTCATCGAGGGACTCTATCAACAAGGAGATCGGGTGATCCTTGTCGAGGATGTCGTCACGACTGGTGGAAGCATCTTGGAGGTTTGAATTGTTCTAGAAATGTTACTTTTTTGCCGCCTTTTTGCGCCATTTCATCGGCTCTTATGCATCATTTTCGCTGCCTCTTCCTTTTTTCCACCAATTCTTGAGCCTTAGAAATCCCAGAAAAATGGAAGGATTGATGAAGGAACTTTTTTGCTGCCCTTTTTGAGCATCTCTCTTTTAGCGACCATTATCCATCACTCCTTCTTTGCCCGAGCATAAAGTTAGCTTATTTCCAGAGTTTTCTAAAGCTTGATTTTTGAATTCCAAACTTTTTTCTCAATTTTAAATGAACTTTTAGCCTTTTGAAAACGGAAAACGAGTTTAGGTCGTTGAAACTCTGAAAAACGAGGGTCTCGTGGCCACCGACGTTTTCTGCATACTTGACCGGGAACAAGGCGGCCGGGAAAGGCTCAAGGAAGCTGGAGTCAATCTCTACAGGTGATTGGTCCACCAACTGATTGAAAAATTGATTTTCTCAGTCTTTTCAACATGGAAACGGTGATGGCTTTCTTGGCGTCAGTCAACGCTATCAACGATCAACAATGGGCCGAAATTGTCAAGGTCTTGCTTTTTTCACGCAGTGTTCAAAGGCGCAGGGCTGAAAATTATGATTTCTTGACGAAAAAAGTTGTGACGAGTAGGGGAATCATTTATTTTTTTCATATTTCAAATTTATTTTTTTGATTTCTTCGCGAAAAATTGGAGTTGAAGAAACCGATTTTTCCGTTTTTTTGAGTTGAAAGAAGCTATTTTTTTCATGATTCGACAGCTATTTGAAAAACTTGAAAGATAAAAAAATTTTTCATTTCGAAAAAGTTTACGAAATGCATATTTTACTTCAATTTTTTTCGCCCCTCAAAACATTTTTTTAATAGAAAAAAACAGATTAAATACTTTTTTTCCAGGCTCTAAACTTGAAATATGAGACGGTTTCGCGATTCGAAGTCTCGAAAGAGGAGGAAGACTTGAACGTATTACCCTTCACTAATGCGGTTAGGCCTTATTTTACTTTTAAAATTTTTTTATTATAATTTCCAGGGTCGAACATCCCTACAAGAGCGCGAAGCCCTCACCACTTCTCCCCTGAACCACAAAATCATTTCTTTTATGAAAAAGAAAAGTTCAAACCTCTGCCTGGCCATCGACTACACTACTACCGAACAGATTTTGCAGGTGATTTTAAAAATTTTGCTGTAAACTTGATTTGCAATTATTTACAGATTAAGAAAAAAATGAACAGGGCTTTGAAATTTACTGAATCATTATTTTATTTTCTAAGCGTAGAACCCTTCAAGGACCCTTTTGAGCGTCCGTTATAGATAAAAAATTTCCCTTAAATTATTCCTAAACGTGTGGCAACGGTTTCCTTTTCACTGCCTTTTTCCTACCTTTCATCGGCCTTTATCCAACCTTTTTGGACCCTTTTGAGAAACACAGAATGTTTTGAATTGGGAAAAATCTTTACCAATGACTTTGTACGAACCAAAATGTGAGTAATAAAATCGGAAATCATCAATGGCCGAGACTTTCAGCACCCTTTTTGCAGCCTCCCTTTTTTTTTATCCCTTTTGAGATTTTTTAGCCCACCAAGAAAGAAAGGCTCAATAGAGAGCGCAAAACGGAACCCTTATAACAGCCATTTTGCTCCCTCTCCCTTTTGTCACCCATTCCCTAGGCTTTTTAGCCCACCAAGAATAAAAGGTTCAAAAAAGGTCGCAAAACGGAACCCTTTTAACGGTCTTTTTGCAATCACTCCATTTTTGCATCCGTTTTCCGCACTTCCGACTTTGGCAGTCACTTGACTGCTCAGTTTGACATGATTCTAGGTTTTTTTTTTTCAGTTAACAATATTTGTTTCTGCTCTCTTGTGAGATTTCATTGAAGTTTCCTTATTCATGTAGCATTTTTTACAAGTGGAGGCCATAATTTATCGAAAAAGGTAAAAAAATGAAACTAATCTGCTTATAAACATTTTTTTTTGTTAAGGATTATGATCACATTTTCAAGAATCATTTCCAGATGGTCGAAAAAGCTGGTCCCTTCGTTGTGGCCATCAAGGTGCACTCGGATATCATCACAGACTTTTCCGAAAGTTTCACTCAGCAACTCGTTCAACTCGCTAATAATTTGGAATTCATCATTTTCGACGATAGGTTCGTTCAGAACTCCTTCTCAAGGGCCCAAAATGATAGTTGAACCTTGAAAATTCAGCCTTTTAAAGTTGAGACGAAGCATAATATTTGAAAAATTTTGGTTTTTTTGGATTTTTTTTTTCAAAAAGTGGAATTTTGGAAAGTTTTCACACGTCTAGAAGTATCTGAAACAGATAGTTTGATTTTTTAAGTTCATTTTTCGAAAATTTTTCGATATACCTTGATCCAAGCGTTCACCTGTTGTTCAATGTCCGCTTTGAGCCGTAGCTCAACGGGTTGTGCGCCTGTCTACGGTCCACAGGGTCAAAAGTTCGATCCCTATCGCCACAAATACAAGAGGTTTAAGAAGTGTTGGTAGTGGGAAAACACGACTTCAAAATCCCCAACCGTCATACACCGTGGAACGCCAGAGTGGTCCCTAGAGGGGAACTTTCAAGACTCCTTAAGGGAGCACTCTGATCCTCCTGAGGACGGGACAGTCACTAGAACCAGTCCCTTGATTATTCCACTATCGGGATATAACCTCGTAGGGCTCAATAGGTACAAAGGCGTAATAACAAGAAAATATGATGCGTCTCGTCCGAATGTCCTTTCTCACTTTCCTCGTTTTAAGAAAGTTCGCTGATACGGGAAACACGACGAAGTTGCAACTGACGGGCCCTTTCAAAATCGCCGAATGGGCCGATGTCGTGACGACTCATGCCGTACAAGGCGTCGACAGCATTGTGCCCGTTTTCAGAGAGGTTTTTTTGGGAAAAAAAATTGAGAGAAAATATCATGTTTTATTGAATAAACAGTTTGGAGTAGCTCCCAAAAAAATCAGTAACAATGCAATGAAAAATCAAAAATCACGCAGTTTTCAAAATGAATATAAATTTAGAAAGGCCTATGAATCAAAATGAGATGAAAAATGTTGAATCTATGTTATTTCTCAGGCCGAAAATTTAGAAAAAAGTCACAAGTAGAGTTCAAACTGCTCGGAAAAGCTAAAAAAATTTTCAAAGTTTTTAATCTTCAAATTCAGCTTTTATTTACTCTGTAACTATTTTCTGAGTTTTTCATCCAAATTTCATCAAACCTTTGTAATATATTCCATACTTATTCGCATCCCGTCGAAGTGAATAATCTTGAACTAAAAAACCTTCGAAATTTGCAAAACCGTTTCCAGCCCACATTTATACATTTTCAGTTCATCAACAACCCGGCTTATCGTTTATCGGGTGTTCTTCTCATTGCTCAGCTTAGCACAAAGGGATCCCTCACGAACATCCATGAATACACTAAAAGTGAACATTTCAATCCTTCAGAGAAAAAATCTCGCAGTTTTCAAGAAGCCGTCCAAATTGCCGACGAAAATCGAGACATCGTGTCGGGATTCATCACACAGACGAGGATTTCCGAGTTTAGCGACATTCTCAATTGGACGCCTGGTAATAAAATACGATGAAGGTTATTATCAAAATATTCTCAAGGAGTTAATCTGGACGCGAAAAATGATTCCACTGGCCAGCAATGGAGAGGCGTTGAACAGGTAACTCGGAAAAAAAATATTTCCGAGAATATAATTTTTAGGCTATTGAAATTCAACAAAATGACATTGTTATCGTGGGCCGTGGTGTAACTTCCTCAAAAGAGCCTATCCAGCAGTTGAAAAGGTATATTTATGTCGAAAAAAAGGATAGGAAAAAATGGCCGCGTTCTGGTTAAGATTCCACGCTCCAAGGATAAAACCACAAAACCTTACTTTCAGATATCGACAGACAGCCTGGGAAAGCTTGACCAAAGAAGAAAATGAGAAAATTGATCATAATTAAGAGAAATTTAAGATTTTTAGGCTGAAATGAATGTTGGAACGTTTTATCTGTAATGATTGAAAAAAATAATAATTTATTGACATAAATCTTTTTGAAAAATTCAGCCGGCCAGTTTGAGTAACGCAGCGTAGCCGTAGGGGGATGCATCTGGAAAAAAATAAAGTTGAGAGTGAAAAAGAACAATACGGCAGCTTTTAAAAAGTCTTGTGGTTTTTTTATTGAAAAATTTAAGATTAAAAAAGGAGATAAAAGAGAATTCGTGGCAGAGTGCGCTCTATAGAGAAATTCGAAAAAAATTTTTGACTCATTGAATTTTTCTTTAAAGATCCGTCTTTCGATGGCAGTTTTATTTTCCAAATTTGGATTATGGTTCCATTTTTGGCTCAGTTTTTGTTTTCTGCATTCGTAAAACTATGAAAAAATACCTATATGGAGCTTCAGAGGGATTATCAGCGGCTTAACGGCAGAACAAATCATATCATTTGTTTTAATATGACTTCTTTTCATCCTGATACTCTATTGAAAAACTGGAAAAATCTTATTTTGTCTCTTGTTTTTTTTTTCTGAATTTCAGAATTTTTGGATGGGCCTTTCTAGGAAAACTCTGCTTTCTATCGATAGGAAAAAAAAAGAGAAGCGTCTCTAGTAATTCATATTAAGTGTGTACATAAATTTCTCAATCAATCAGTTCACTCAATAAAGCCCCCAAACTACCTGCAATCATGTAGACTAGCCGCAGCGATAACTGCAAAATCGCGACATCCGCCCTTGCAAAGACCAAACGCGTCGGTGCATTTCAGCTGGGCCAGGTCCCAGGAACACCCAGAAGTCTTCAAATTGTCACTAATCACATTCTTGAGGATTTTTGAGAGCACCTGGAAGTTCTCCTTGTCGTTGATCAGGCTCAAATAACTGGCTTGCTCGACTATTGGATTGGGGGCGATTGAATTGGCGATGACTCCTGTGAAAAAAGATCAGATGTTACCTTTTTTACACTGATTCAAATGAAACGACTCTATACTCTTGAGAACTTTCACTAGGTTCCCTGAATTTTCCAATTGAAGTCAAACTACACACTTTTAAGTAACCAAAGTCGTTAGAAAACAGAAATCAGTTCTGCTTATATAATTCTTTTTTCGGATTATTTTTTACATTAAAAACTGAAATTTTACTGAAATAGTACCTTTCATTTTGAAAAATAGCTTACCACGACTATCAAAAGCTCCAGATGGATCTCGAAAATCGTGCCCAAAACCTGCCTGATTCATGAAACTTCCCCCCATCATCATTGGGTTCATCATTCCTGAAGTAACAGTCTTTTTGAAGAATTATTTGAGGAATAACCGAGCTTTTGAAAACGAAAGGAAAAGGGGTTCAATTTTAAATTACCGTAAGGGGAAAGAGGCATCATTTGCTGCATCATTGGATGTCCCATCTGAGCCATTCCATTCTGCATCATGTAGGGATTCATTCCTCCTTGCAAGTACTGCATCGGAACATTTATCGTGGTGTATCCTAGAAAAGAAATTACTCGCATTGACAAATAATACCTTTTTGATGAACAGCCCAATTCTGATTAAGTAAAGAAAGTTGAAAAAAAAAGGCTTTTTCGTCTTCAGAACGGTTTTGATTTCTTTAAATGGTTTTAAAACTATTTTTTTTCATTATAAAAATAAGTGAATTCTTTTCTGAAAAAGTCATTCCTAATTCGAGAACGCAGTTTTTTTTTCCTGGTCCCAAAAAAAAAATGGAACGAGACCCTTAAATTAATTTGAATGACTGTACGAAAAAAGGTTCAGATTTATTTTTCCAGCCAGAAAATAACGATGAATAGATCATTCTGAAAAAAATTCAAATATTCACCTGCAAGCTGCATTTGTGGCATCTGAAAATCCGGCGGAAACATTTGACATTTGAAAATCGGTAATAATATCGAAAATGCCGAAAAAAATTCCATTTGGAGATTGAATATTCGAAAAGAGTGCACAGTCGTCTGGGCCTCGGGTTGTCCTCATTTTCAAGTACCTTCCAAGGTCTTTTTTTTTCGAGTGGCTCTCATTTCTTGGCGTCAAAGTTTGAGTCAAAAAAGGATGAAAAGTTCATAATTTCGGGAAAAATGGTCACGTGAACGTGGAAACGTGGATTTTCTCATTTTATTTTTGAGTTTTTTCATTTCGAACACCGGACCTCGCTTCGTTTAGCTGCTTTCTGACTGTTGCAAGGTTTGTTTGAATTATTTTTCTTGGGATATAAAATTTATTAAATCAAGGTATTCGACTTATTCTGCCTGGATTAATTTGAAAGAATTGAAGGAAATTTTATGGGGTTTTTGAGGTTCAATAGAGCCTTGACGGCCGTAAAAACCTTTTTTTCATTATTTTAAAAAATCATTTACTAAAACTACCAGATATAGCTGATTCACGGCTGGCTTGAGCCATTAAAAAAAAGGTCCTGACCTGACACGATGATGCATGAGATAGCGTCTGGCTCGTGGAGAGCGCAGACAAGCCACGCCCCCTTAGCGTCACAAGCTGGCCGTGAATCAGCTATACATCAAAATGAAGATTCTGGTGATTTTTAAATAGATCATATCATGTTTTTGCATCCTTTTCCTTTTTTCAATATTTCTTTTAGAACGAAAAAAGTGAATTTCAGTTAGAAAAAATGGGAATTTTCAACGACGTTTCAACTGCCGCGAACGAAAACCTTTTCGCTGCGCCGTCCATGTTCCGCACCGCCCATTGTGCAGGAAAATGTCCCAAAAGTTGGCTTCAAAATATAGTGGATCATGCGCAAACTTGTCACGTTTTGGTTTAAAAAAAAGTAGGTAAATTACAGTGTACTGAGCTTTTCTGCGTGCTTTCCCTTCAAGACCTGTGATCTAAAATTATACCGTACTCTGACCGGAAAAAAAACGTGACAAGTTGGCGTGGAATAGTCTACAGTAACTTTCTTCGAACTTTTGATTTTTCAGAAGGGTGCGACGACATCCAACTCGGCTCGATGAAATTCTACACGCTTTGCGCCCTGGGCGGATCCTTGTCCTGTGGCTTGACCCACACGCTTATCGTGCCCCTTGATCTCGTCAAATGTCGCATTCAGGTGGTTTTGAATGTGGAAATGACATTTATGGGTGTTTTGAAAACTAGCAATTTTACTGAAGCTGATTAAAAAAAATTTTCCTAGATCCCTTCCTGGATTTTCCATGTTTTTTGAGGTTACAAAAGTTTAAAAACTTTGAAAATTCATCAACTGACAATGAAGCCTTTCAAAAGTATCGAAAAGTGCTTCTTACAATGGAAACTAGAAAAGTTTGTAGAGAAACCGATATTTTTTCCGAATTTTTCTCTCTTCCAGATAATTAGAGCTCTCAGAAGTTTCCAAGATTGAAAAACTTACCTTTGATACTGTCAGGTGAACGCCGAGAAGTACAAAGGCGTTGCGACGGGTTTCCGAGTGACGGTGGCCGAAGAAGGAATCCGCGGCCTGGGCCGAGGATGGGCGCCCACCTTCATCGGCTACTCGATGCAGGGCCTCGGCAAGTTCGGATTCTACGAGCTCTTCAAGAACATCTACTCCAACATGCTCGGCGAGGTACAACGTCTTCAACAGCTTCCTGTTGAATGAAAACGATTTCCAGGAGAACGCGTACCTGTGGCGCACGTCCCTTTACCTGGCCGCGTCGGCCTCCGCCGAGTTCTTTGCCGACATTTTGCTGGCGCCGATGGAAGCGACCAAAGTTCGGATCCAGACGTCTCCGACGGCGCCGCCGACCCTGCGAGGCTGCGTTCCCATGATTTACAAGACCGAGGGATTGACGGGCTTCTTTAAAGTATAGTTTGATCCTCTAGATTTATTGCAGAAGGGATCTGACCGAGAAAATTTCATTCAAGTAGTTCCGGTTGTTAGAATTTTACTGAAGACGTGAGATAACTACATCTTTGAGGCGGGACTGTTTGTAATTTAACAGAACTTACACAAGCTTCAGGGAACTAAGAATGAAAAAAGCCTCTTTGCAGAGTGCTGCAGCAAAATACAATTTTCAATCCTTCATACTTTTCTCCTTCAGGGACTCCCACCTCTCTGGACTCGCCAGATTCCCTACACGATGATGAAGTTCTCGTGTTTCGAGAGAACTGTCGAGTTGCTTTACCAATACGTCGTGCCAAAGCCGCGGGCTCAGTGCTCCAAGGCCGAACAGTTGGTCGTGACCTTCACGGCTGGCTACATTGCTGGTGCGGCTCAACTTCTCGGAAGTCACACCAAAGACCTCTTCCAGGCGTGTTCTGCGCCGTCGTCTCGCATCCGGCCGACACGATCGTCTCCAAAATGAACCAGAACGCGAGCGCCGGCGCCGTCGAACTCGTGAAGCAGCTCGGCTGGGCCGGCTGCTGGAAGGGCCTCACGCCGAGGATCATCATGGTCGGCACGTTGACCGCCCTTCAGTGGTTCATCTACGACTCCTTCAAGGTCTTTTCTTTCTAACCACGGATGTTTCTTAGGCTCAGGTCTGGTCCAAACCTCTTTTTCAAACGCTCGAAAATGGCTTCCCTGAAGGTTTTTGGTTCCGAAAACAACTCCTTTGAATGAGCCGTTCATAAAAGCAAAAGAAAAACAGTTATTTTTTTTAAACCAGATCTGCAATGACTACAGAAATGGATTCCAAACTCTGTAAATGAACTTTGAAGGTGGCTCTCAATATTCCGCGCCCACCGCCCGCGCAGATGCCAGAATCCCTGAAGATCAAGCTCGCCGCTGCCAACAAATAGTAGAAAACCTTTTTTTTTTCCTTTTTCTTCATTTTTCGCGTCTTATAAAGTTTTTGTTTCTTTTAGGCGTTCCATTTGGTTGGGATTGAAGATTATTCTGGCTTGTAACACACTAAAGAGATCTCTCAGGGTAATTTTCACGACAGAAATAGTACCAATCGAAGCCTTTAGTTCTTCTTTGTACTTTCTGATCTTCAAAAAACTCGAATTTTTTAAAATTTCGCATATATATTCTCATCTCATTCTTCTTTCCAACTTTTGTATCAACAGCTAGAGTTTTGCGATGTTTCTTTATATTTGTGTTTCATAAGTACTGTTTTCTTGCTTCTTTTAAAGTAATATCTAATTTTATAAGGGATCGTTCAAATACATATAATTTTTTTCGAAACTTTAGCTGTTGAAACTGTTTTGAAAAAGAAAATTATGATCTTTTCCCGAGGAAAACAAAGTATTTTCATGTTTCATCATGTTAGAAGTAGTTGTGACAAATAAGACGTTCAAAATGAATTTAAAAAGATAAAACCCCGACAAAAATAATCAAAAACGGCGAGTCTGATCTGGCCAAAAGTTTTGATCTGACGCCGGGGGTCAAAGCGGCCGAGGTTCGAGAAGGATCTCTGGAGTGGCGCCAAATGTTCGTCGTCCCAAAAACAATCGTCATTGTGTTTTTTTTCTCCGTCCTGGGCAGGGTGTTGCTGTCTCTCTTCTTAATTTTCGAATTTATTATTGTAATTGATGTTTTTTATATTGTTTCATTTTATTATTTCAATTTCGTTTAGCTGTCTTCGAAGTTCTTAGGCCTTGGATTTTTGTTTACTTAGTTTTTTAAAATTTCTATTTTCTTGAACAACATGTTTTTAACTACCTTTACAGAGTTTTCGAAAAGCGTAGAATATTTATCCAAGCTAGACGAATTAGGTGTTCCAGAGTCTTGTACTTTCTTTTTCAAGCATCAAAACTTTAGATGATCGCTGAAATTTACTCTGCTCTATCGTTTTTTTCAATGAACTCCCTAGCACGTTTAACCGCCGTTCCGGATTTCCGCCAGGAAAATTTGAATCATTTGTTGATTTTTATTGATTTTTTTCAGAAGGCTCGCCCCCGCTGCCAGAGGACCGATGGATTGCGACTCCGAAGACGTTTTCGACTCGGATTGGTATCAAATTCAACTTTTTCAATGTTGATTTTTGCGTTGAGAAACGTTTGAAGATTTAAATTTTCCGTTTTTTTTCAGCTATTTCTTTACCGGCTTCAAAAAAAAAACGACGTTTCTCAACGTAGGAAATTTTGTGTCAATACAAAAATTTTTTCTCTTCTCGAAAGTTCGACTAAAACTTTTAATCCTTATTTTCAGGCCTTTTAATTTTCACCTCTGGGTGGTATCGCATGAGGCTCGCACATAAATTTTTTTCGAGAAAAAAATTCACTGAAAGCAACGCGGTCGCGCTGCGGTTCCAGATCCCTTTAATTTTTTTCAATCTTGATTTTTTTTAAATTTTTTTATTTTGTAATTTTAGTAATATTTTTTTCCTACTTTTTTTATCTATTAAAGGGTCAACTTTTCATGTCGTCAGCTGCAATGAAGTCTAGTTAACAGATTGATTTTTCAAAAGTTTTTCTCAAGTATTTACTCATTTTCCATTTTTCATTCCAAAGCGTTTATTTTTCCCTTCTCTTGAGCCGTTTTTATCAGAAAAAAAGGGTTTTGCAAAAAAAAAACCAGTTTTCGGCTTTAAATGTTGACATTAAGTTTATTATAGCCTCAAAAGAGTTTCAACAAGCGTTTTGAACCGTTACGCGACCGCGTTGCACAACTTCTTTTTGACCATCCATTTTCAAGTTTTCAAATCTTTCGAACTTTCCTAGTTGAAGTTTTTTTTCTTTGAGGGTTCAGGTTCAGTTTTGATTTCATGCGACATCATCTACCCTTCTAGATTTCTTTTTTAATCTTACAAATGAAAATGAACTTTCCAGAAGAAAAAAAAATTTTTTGTCCGTCTCCTGTCCGTGGGGTGAATGTTGCCGGCGTCTTTGGTCGGTGGTGGCGCAGAGAAGAAGACGACCGTATCCTCGGCTTTTGTCCGGCCAGAGAGAGCATCACGAAAGAGGAGAGCTGTAGTCTGGCGTCTCCTTAAATGCCATGCTCTCTCGTCGGCTTCAGCCGAGCATACATGCGGCTTTTGCTCTGTGGAGTGGGGGTACTGTGTGGCGAGGCTCCTTTTCCCTTCCAAGCTCGTCGATTCGAAGATGGCGTCCAGTATTTGTATTGGGTTGTGTAAAAATAAATTTTGCCTTTTTTCAAGTTATAGTGTGTTGTTTTTCAGATCCGTGCTATATCCAAGCTTCTTATGATCCGAATGAAATTGATAATTCAATTTGAAAAAAATTTTGAGGTCGAATTTATGAGGATAAAGGTGTATGAATGAATTCAGTGACTTAATTACCTTTATTCTCTTTTTACTGATCACTCTTGTCTAAAAATTAAAGTTCCAATTACAAAAAAAAGACCTGAATTTATTAGTAGACTATGAATCTTCATACATTCGGCCTCATATATAGTTGATGAACCTTGTCTTTCAAATTTTTATTTCAGGTTCAATCTTCGTTCATTTCGAAGTAAATTTCTAGCTTTTGGTTTTTCTAAGTAGGTAAGGTAGATACTCTCATCGTTGAGTTTTTTTTCTTAGGTAGTTAGTCCAAGATGTCCGCTTTTGGAGGTTATTTGAGATATAGTTTTTTTTTTAGGTTCCTAAATGGATTAAAATCGATTCCCTTTGTCAATTAGTGTTGATCGATAAAAGGCGAGATTTATTTGTACACAACCTAATATGATTCTCGATCTCATGGGAATTTACTAAATTTTCTGGTTGGTCTAGTGGTTTGGAAACTGGTTTGGTAAACTCACGACAAAGGTTCGGATCTTGATGAAGATTCAGTTTTCATTTAACTTGATAGTTCAAAGGGTTTTTTAGGGTTGTCTTTTAGTCGAAACTGTCACATTCCATCAAAACTTCACGGAATTTCTTTCAATTTTTTCAGGAAGTACTTTTTTTAAACTTTTTATTGACCGCTTACTGTTTTTGCAACAAGAAAATCTGAAAATTCATAAGCTTATTGAGGTTTTTTTTCAAACTTTATAGGCTTTTTTTTTTCATATTTTAGGTAGAATTCGGACCTTCACCTTCGAGTTTTCCGAGAAAATATCTAGAAGCTTTACGCATTTTTTACTTCAATGATTTTTTTGAATTTTTAAATAGTCTTATTCGACCAATCAGCAAATTGCGTACATTCTCGTGGGTTCGGGCGCCACCTGAAAATGTCTTGCGAGTTCATTCCTGCTCTTTTGTTCCATCACAACTTCCAAGCTTCATCATGGGCCAAGAGCTCGAACTCTTTCCAGTTGATTTTCAGATCATTTGAAATGAACATGCAGGACTTGTGTCTTGTTGGAAAAGTGCTCTTGAATTTTACACTTTTCAGCTTTTTCATAGTTCATCTGCAAGGCTTCTCTCTCGAAATCAAATTTGAATTTTACGCTTTGAAGTCTTCTCCATTTCAACACAGTCATTAATAGTAGTCGATATAAAAATTTGGCTTTTGGCAAAATTTTTCTTTGAAAACTTAAGTTTTGTACTTTCTATTTTCTTTTTGTATTCACTTTCTACATAAGTTTGAGAGACATTTTTTTTTCAGTTTTCAGAGTTCAAAATATTTATATATGGACTGTTTCAAATTGGCGAAGGTGTCAAAACGCAATTTTTTTCAATTAGTTGAAAAAAACTGATATTTTTGAGCGATTTTTTTACTTTATAGTAATTTCAAGTTAACAACTCACCATTGTCAATTACTAAATGTAAAGCCATAAGAAATCATCGAAAAATTATTATTTTTTTTCTTGACAATGATATTTTTCCAAAACTTTGTTTTTCAGTAAACTTTAATTTTTAAAGACAACTTCTTTATGTCTTTTCAAATGTTTTCATGAAAAATCAAGTCTTTGATGTAGTTTAAAAAGCTTAAAAGCTATTCTTCGAAAAAAAAAACCTTGCAGGTGAACTTTCAAATGTTCAGAAACTTGAAAATCTCAAGCTTTTGCTGAAATGCTTATTGCAGTTCTTCTTAGGTTCATTAGGGTCATACAGCCCTAGAATAATATTTGAATAAAAAATTTTTTTTCTTTCGAAACAGACTTCAAAAATGTGTTTCTTCTAGGTAAACTTGTGATTTTTGAAAAGTCGAACTGAATACTTCTTTTTTTCACAACCTTAGAAGCTTAGATGCTTGATGTGATTGACTTGAGTGGACTGGAGAAGCGCAAGACGTGTTCAGCAGATTCTTGAAGTTTGAAAGACTTAGTTTCATACAAAAAAAAAAGAAAACTTTGAGAGCACCTTCTCAACATAGCACAAGCACAGCATGTCCTTTCAAAGAATTTGGTCATCGAGCGAGCTTGAGCTCTTAGAATGGAGCTTGGAGGTTGTGGTGGAACAAGAGCAGCATGAATGACCTTGTAGGACAATGGCAAATGACGAGCGTGGAGGTAAAAGAAGCCTCGCTTGACAGGACCCTCACCAGGCCTCAAGCCACCTACCAAAGACTTGGCCTCGGTCTCCGCCGTCCTCCAGAGGGCGGTGAAGCCTGAAGTCAAGGCTTCCGGCTCGGACTCCGCAGCCAGCCTGTGGAGTCTGAGGCTGAGGTCTCTAGCCTGGGCCCTTAAGGCTCTGGCTGGAGACTCCGCCTCAGACTTCAACGGCGGGGTGTGGTGATCGAGATCGGAATGTCTACCCGGCACCTGAAACCCCAGGTCCGGCAGCGGCTCTGACCCTGCCGGACAAAACCAAGTACAAAAGGGGGAGGAGAATACTTTATTAAAAATCATGGTTTAGAGTGTCCGGTTCAATGCCGCCCTCGGAGTACGACGTCGTCCGGCGTCCATCCCGTCACATCACTCGACCTGAAACCCTCCCCATTAGCCCCTCCGATTTCTTTCCCTTGTGATCTCGGAACCCTCCAAATCTGGAGCTTCCTGGACCCCTTCCTCAAATGACCCAAGGCCGAGTCATTTTTTCTTGCCAAGGCCTGAGTGAATGGCCTTTTTGACTGGAAGCCTTCGAATAAAAAGTCTAATTTTTTTTTTTGCAAGTTTCACAAGGGAACCAAGAGAGAAGCTCTCTGAAGAATTGAAAGTCCATCAAGAGCCGCTCAAAGTGTTAAGCTCAACTGACCCAATGACCAAGTGAATGGCAAAGATGCCCTTGGACAAGTCTGCAAAAAAAAAAGTAAAAGTTCTTCTAAAATCAATGTTGGAGCTTTGATTTGCAAGTCTTTGATGAATGGATTTTCATTACAAGTGTTTTGGAACTGTTGTACTACAGAATCTCGACTACGGACGTCTCTCACTTGAAGAATTGATTACTCTATTTTTTTCAAGTTGAAAGCTCACCACGCTATTTATTGCCTTGTTCAAAGCAATTTCCACCAAGTGCAAAATTATCTCTGACTATCCAAAGTTTAGTTATATTTTTCTTTCTCTGGCGACTGTTTTGAATTTCGTGGAATCACTCTGAACAAGGCTTAAGTTTTTTTTTTCGTAAAGCTCAAAGATTCAAAAAATGTAGAGCAAAAAAAAGCCGAGCGTGAGTTAAATCATTTTATCAAGCTATTGAAAGACGTTAAGTTATTGCGCTAAGTAATTGAAAGGAAATTTCTCAGGAGTCAAAGGTAAGCTCGTAATTTGACAACTTTCCAACTAATCTTGGCAAAATTTAAAAAAAGTTTAAAAAAAAAGTTTCATTGGAATAATCATCCAGAAAGAAGCCTTTTTGGGCTTTAGGTTGTAAAAAAAATCAGAAAAAAAGTGAAGTTTTCGATTCGAAAGCAAAGTTTATTGAAACAAAATGTGATTACTAATTGGCTAAAACTTTAAAAATTGCGAGTTGACCCTTGAAAAAAATCCAAAACTAAAGCTATCTGAAATAAAAACTACTAAGGAAATTCGTAAATATTTAAAAAAATTAACGTCTTTTTGTCCGACCCCAATAACTTTCGAAAAAAAAACTACAAGTAAATTACGTGACTATTGAAAAAAAGATATTTTCGGTCTAGAAAATTCATCAGGACCTTGCAATCCAAGTCAACTGCAGCATTGACTTCATAAAGACTTTCACTTTTTGCACGACTTTTCCAAAGATTTTTTTCTGTCCACTGAGTCATCAAATCAATTGACAATCTCATATTTTTGAGCAGATCTCGATAGATTTGTCAATTCTGATTGAGCTTCTCTCTCGACTTCCCTGTGAGACTTTGCAAAAAAAAAAAATAGGCCCTTCATTCGAAAAACTCTCAGTCAAAAACTAACGGATAAAAAGCGTTCTGCCAGACAAATTATTTGAACAAAAAAACATAATTATTTCTTAAATTGCGTTGCAGATCCAAACTTTAAGACCAAACGTCAAAAAAAGAAATGAGCGAAATAAACATTTCATTCATTCATTCAATTCAAACTGAAGCACCGAAATTTGGAGGAAAAAAATCCGGGAAAATGATAAGAAAAATGCTCGATACACTAACGGATAAAAAGCTTTTTTTCTATAACAAGCTCAAGTCATGATAAATTTTTTTTACTTTGTAATTTTCTAAACGTTTTTCAATTTTCCAAATTGCTCAAAAAAATTAGGAGTGTTAGTTTTTTGCGATTAAACTTTTGAAAAGCCTGAAATTGGGAAACAAAACCCGGATCCGCAACAAAAATAATACAACTAAAAAAAGCGAAATTTATAAAAAAATTGAGCACTTTATTGGCAAAAAAATCCGAAAAAGTCGATCGGCGAAACGTTTGCATCCGTTAGTCGACCACCAACTTAAGTCCCCGGCAATAAAAAAGGAGCCGGCCTTGGGCCATTTTTCCCAGGAAAACTCTCGAAATCAAATAAATTATCGACTTTTGAAGCTTTTTATTGGAGAAGTGAGAAAATGAAGCCCGAAAACAGCGTTTAAATTTGACTGGAATGAAAATTCTTTGTTAAAGGTCATCAAATCTCGAGCTGCTCTGTAAAAGTCACCGAAATTGGAAAAAAATAAACAAATAGTTGTTTCTTTTTTAAAAGAACCGATTCGAAAAAAGTTGAACGAGAAAAAAGAAATTCTTCTATTTCTAAAAAAGAGAAGTCACTGAAAAAAAAAAAATTCAAACTTCGTTTTCGGACCTCTACTCTAAAGAAACCTGAAATGAACCAGAAAGAAAAAATTGAAAACAATTTTTTAAATTTCCGGCCACATAGTTTCAATCAGACTTGGCTTCTTTTTTTGATTTAGAAAAAAATCTTTCGAGAAATTCGAAAAATAGATCGGAAATCTGAAATAAGATCCGATTGAAAAAAATTGCGGCAAGGAATGAAAAAAATTTTTTTTCTATTTCCTAAATCACTTTGATTTCGAGAACTTTCCTGAGTGGGAAACGCCCAGTCGCCCCAGTTTTGGACGATTCCGATCCCAAAAAGGAAGGAAATCAAAAAAACAAAAGTTCAAACAAACCTAAACTTACTCGCGTTTTCAGATCCTGTTGACGGAAGTCGGGCCCTCCGATCGAGTAGTTGTCCATTTGTCCGATCCGCGACAAAGACTTTCTGGAAAATTCTCAACTTAGCATCAATGAAAATCCCTTGGAAAACAAATTAGTATCATTAAATAATATTGAAACTTATATTTTATTTCACGAAGCATCTTGAATAGTGGCGTATCGCCCAGGGCCTCTTCGAAGAATCGTCCGCTTCCCCTGAAACAAAAAAAAAATTGAACAAAATTAACGTGAAAATAAACGCGAAACAATGTTCAACGAGAAAAATGGAGAAAAAATTCAGTGTGGATCCAAATGTTCAATCTTAAAAGCGTCTATGAAAAAAAAACCTAAAAAACATAATTCGTTTCAAAATTTTGCTGGAAAGTTTCAGAGGTAAACTTGGAGAAATTCTATAGGCGAAAAATAGTTTCCGTTGTCATTTTGCCGATAACAATCTTCTACGCCTTTAAATATTCCTGCAGGGATAGTTGAAAGAACTTTGATTACATGGTGTTCATATAAGAGAATTCTATTTTCATACTAAATTCGGCAACTCGACGCGAAAATTCGATGGTAAACATTCAAAATTTTTTTTTAATTACTCAAATTTTAATAGCAGTGAAAAAGTTCTAGAGAGAACAGTTTTCTAAAAAAAAAACCCTGAAGGAAAGTTCAATGGCGCAGAGGTAAAATCGAGGAACGTATCGTGGCGAATAATCGTTTCCTTTGCTATTCAAATCCTCTGCGCCTTTGAAAAACTCCTGAAAGGAAAATTTAAAAAACTAGGATCACAATAAATTTGAAATAGAAAACACCTTTTTAATAGAAAAAAATTTAGAAATATGCAAAAGCATCGATAAAATTTAAATAACACGATGAAAAAAATATAAAAAAACATCAATTACAATAATGAATTAAAAAAATTAAGACGAGCGACAGCAACAGCCTGCCTAAAACGGAGAAAAAAAACATAATGACGATTGTTTTTGGGACGCCGAACCTTTGGCGCCACTCCAGAGATCCTTCTCGAACCTCGGCCGCTTTGACCCCCGACGTCAGATCAAAACTTTTGGCCAGATCAGACTCGCCGTTTTTGATTATTTTTTGTCGGGGGTTTATCTTTTTAAATTCATTTTGAACGTCTTATTTGTCAAAACTACTTCCAACATGATGAAACATGAAAATACATGTTTTCCTCGTGGCTGTGAGCAGGAACAAATTAAATAACAGCGTGTATTTTAATTAATTTAAACGCGGCATAAAGCAAATTTTGAAAACTGGTGCTTTTTTTGAGCTTTTCGATATCCGACATAATCCTGCTTTAAATGTTTGAATTATTTACTTATGTAAAAGAAATGAAGATAGAGTTCATCTGTAGAGACGAGTTGACCCTTCTGAATCGTAGTCCCAAGATTTTTTATCGATCGATCTCGCCAATTTCCTTCAAATCCAATAATTCTCTTCCAAATAGACCAGTTTGAATCAAACTGCTTTCTCATATTCTGAATCATATCCAGCTCCGATTTGGACACTTCGATCATATGTGATCCTTTTGATCTTTGACTGAAAAATCGAAATTTCTTGAATAAACAATGTTCGGGAGAGAAGTTAGAAGACATTTTTCTGGACCCTTTTTCGAAAACTCACGTAGGACTCATTGGACTTATTGGTTTCGGATCACTCTCCTGATGAGGAGATTGAGAAGTAATCCTCAAAAAAGAGATTCCTGTTCAAGAAATAAAAGTGAACGAACGTTCCAGTGAAAGAAACCGGAGTCTTATTGATCTCATCAACCTCGCTCCGAGTGAAACGAGGTCTGAAATTGGTGAAAGTGAGCCGAAAGAGAGATCAGCAGAGGATAGGAGAGACGCCAGAGGAATAGAGATCATCTGGCTGTCTGGAGTCTCTCCAGGCCGTTGTTGTTCTCTCGTTTTCAGATTTTGAAAATTTAGAAAAATAGTGGCTTACTTGATCGGAACGGTGGAAGTTTTTTCGGCAAGCCTAAATAGTTATTTTTCTCAACTTTTAAATCCCGTTGTATCCTATCATCAATGGCTTGTCACTGAGAAAAACTTTTCGTTACTCTAATTTCTCTTATTATCTCACACTATTTCGCTTCTTTCACTCTCAATTTTATCGAATAAAAAAAATTTACATCGAGCTCGTTGATCTCCCTTGTGCAGATGATGGGGATTTTCTGAAATAGAGAAATTCAAAAAGCGCTCAAAATAAAACTAACGGTTCTTTGAAGTCAACCGGCAGTTTTTTGATCTCAACAATCTCGCTTCGAGTGAAATGAGGTCTGAATTTGATCCAGGTAAAAAAACAGAAGCGAAAAATCAAGTCGCCAGAAGAGACGCCAGAGAAATGAAAGTCTCTCGCTGTCTGGCGTCTCTACAAGCCGCCAATGATCTCTCGCTGTCTTTTTAGCTTTTATTGCAAGAAAAAAATAATTACTTGATTGGAACCGTCGAGCTCTCATCACGTTCATTCTTACGAATGCTGAAATTCTCAATTTGTCACAAATTTTGAAAAAAAAAAACTAACATGGGACTAATCGCCTTCTCTTCACTTTTCTCACTTGTAGGAGGCGATTCTCTGAATTTTCAATAAAAAATAATCAAAAAAAAATTTTTGAACCGGTTAGAAAAAGAAACGGGAAGTTTCTTGATCTCCTCGACTTCGCTTTCGGTGAAGCTAGGCCTAAATCTTCTTTGGCTTCACTTAAAAAAAAACCGTTTCGTTGAGCTAAAACTCCCCAGCTGAAACAGAAATCTTTTGATGCGTAATGACTCCGTTCTTTCAAGGTGCGTCCGACCTGAATCGACTTTCGCGCGTATGCATCAGAAAGCACTAGCGTGAAACAATGTATTACAAGGCTTTTGGTTTGCAATTTTATGTGGAATTCATTTTTGATTTGTTTTTTCACATGCCTATTAGTCAAAGTAAAGGATTATCAAATGAAAAAAAAATATATTATATCCTAGCTTTTCCGCGTCGTTATCATCTTTTTAGAGAGCTTCTTTCTTTTTAAAAGTTTGTTTTTTTTTTTAAACATACTTTTGTTTCTCAGGAGGCTTTTGCCATCCCAATTGGTCTTTCCTAGAAAAAAAGAAAATGAAAAAGAGTCGCACTTTAAAGACACCAACTTGACATAGGAAGGAATCAGAGGGGCTTCAGAGTTTATAGGTCCTTGGGTCCTAAAAATTCAGCAATTAAATAAAATATTGTAGGTTATATTTTTGCTGTTTTTAAAGATAACCGAGAAATTTTCTGAACGTTTTCAAAGCGAAGAGCCATTTCAAGGATAAATTAGGCCATAAAATATTTATGTGCCATCAAAAATCACAGAAAGGACTTTAAAAAAAGCAGAACACGAAGAGAGAGTTTAAAGGCGCAAGGCGGAGTCTGAGAAATCGCTTCGGGACGCGAGGTTGGTTCAAAAATGCTTCGAGATGGGGCGCAAAAATCGTGTACTCAAAAAACACGAAAACTGGCTCTTCGCCTCGAGACCTTCGTCAAATCAGACCATGCGCCTTTAAACTTCTCAAGTTGTCCGGGAATTTTCTCTCGCTTATATTTCACAAAATTTCAAGAGATCTTCCTTCGATTCTTCCGATTGATCAATATTTATCCAATTATTTTTTAAAACTAACAAGAAAGGATTTGGCAAAGCGCGGATGTGATTGACGTCGCTCTGGGAAATCTTCAACGGCGATTCTTTCGAAGGATTGTTTTCTTTCTTTTTCTCTTCCTCTGGTGTCTCTTTTATAGTACCTCGAATTGTGAAAATGAAAAATGAAAGTTTGAAATTTTCACAATACCGTCGAAATACTTGGCCATCGGCTTCAACATGTCGATATCGCTCAGAGTCAATTTTCTGTTGAAATAAAATAAGATTTCGAAGAAAATATTCAATCGTTTTCGAAAAAAGTTGATGGAAGGTAACTTGAGAAATTCAGAGTGGCCCCTATAGGGGCAACTTTAGGGGTCTATAGAGACCACTTTATAGACCATTTTAGGGGCCTCTAAAGATTGCAAGAGTGGTCTCTATAGGGTTCATGCAAGTCGATTATTAATATACATCAACAGATGAATAATTGATCGAGTTTTTTTTTCAACCCCAAAGGGACCACTTAAGGGTTAATGACTCCTGGGCCGGACCCGAAACCTCTATAAGGATCACTTAAACGTTACGCCTATAGCGACAACTTTTTTGTCCCCACATAAGGCTATTCCCCTAGCCCCTATAGGAGTCACTCTGGAGACCCTAAGAAGCTTTTCACAGAAGAAATAATAAAAACAATGAAATTTATTTTTTCACACGGTTTCGCTAATATTCCCAGACTATCTTTCCTTCAAAATTTAAATATTCGTCGAATTTTAATTCCGATTTCGTCATTTTATCATCCTTTCAATTTTTTCCTGACTTACAAAGGGTCAATCGGCTCTTTTAGACTGCTGGAAACTGAGGTACTCGGGGAAACTGATGTCTTTCTGAAAAAAAAGAATTCTTCCAAGAAAAAACATATTTTTGAACTTATCCGTTGTCTCACGGGACCCTTGCCGCTTTTTCTTATCCTCCTTTGACCCGGATTCCCTTCAAAAAAAAAAAATCTTATTCGGAAAAAAAGACTACAAAGAAACTCTGAAGAGGGACATGAATCGGAATCCGTGCTGCTTCTGGAAAAACTCAAAATTTCGGTACCCGAAGGAAAAAATTACGTTGTCTCGGGCGGTGACAGGCGCTCGGTTAAAAAAACTAAAAAAATATTTATTTATTTAAAAAAATCTCACGTCAAACGAAGGAGTCTTGTTGATACTGAAAAAAGAAGATTTTAAAAAAATCTTGTAAAATAAAAAATAACCGTTTTAAATGAACTTCCGAAAGTTTGTGATTCGAATCAACCAACTGGATGCTCAACTGGAAAAATTACACTTTTTTGAAAATCCAGTGAAATATCCAAAAATTCACCTCCTCTTTTTCGTCCAACATTACCGCGGTACGTTTGGAAGTTCCTTGGTTCAGAAGGAACTAGAAAATGAATTTACTTATTCAAAGTTCATTAATTTTGAGACTTTTCACTTCAATGTCCATATTAGAGCAAAAAGATGAATTTTTCAATTTGTGTCGAGGTTGATTCTTGAAAAAGTCATTCCAAATGCGACAAGGATTTCATGAAGTTAGCAACTTCTAAACGAACAGTACTTAGGAAATCTAGAGCGGTCCCTATAGGGATTAGGGAGAAAACAACCTATATATGAGCCGAAAAAGTGGTGCCTATAGGGGTTTAGAGTCTGACCCCTTAGCCCTTAAAACTCAAGAGGACCCTATAGGGGTCTCTCAATTTCTTTTGAAAAAAAACTCATTCATTCAGTTTTTCTCATGGAAATGCTTCTTAGCTTAGAGTTCATAACAATTATCGACTAGCATGTTCCCTATAGGGACCACTTTTGAAAGCTTTATTGGGACCTATTGGTGTTGATAAAGGGACCCTTGTCCCTATAGGGGATACTCCGGAGTTTCTAAGTTGATTGAAAGGTGGGCGAATTTCATTTCTTCAGAAAACATCGAATCGACTTTAAACTATCCTTCAATCACCTACTAGATTCAAAATCCATGCTTTCCCCTCCAAGAACCTGAAGAAGAGTGCGTCGAAAGGCCGAAAGCGCGTCGAATCTGGCGTCCTTGATCGTGATGCTGTTGACGACGGTTCTGATGACGTCACGCTCCGGGTTGACAAGGCCGATCCACCGAATCAACAGGTTGATCAACGCCAACTTCTTCTCGGTCGGCAGCATCAAGGCGGCGACGCCGACGGCTGCATTCGGTTCCAGACGCCGGATTTCATGCTTGGTGATGCTGGGCAGGATTTCGTGAAGGGCGTGGCCGAGATGAGACATGGTGTCCGTGGTGACGACGGCGTTCTCCGAAGAGGCGACGTTGAGGGCGAAGAAGACGTCGCCGACGTCGGCCAGCTTCTTCAGATGCTGCTCCATCTGACGGTGGAGGAACGGCATCCGCAGATGGGAGACGACGGCGAGGTCGTCCCGGAGACGTTCCTCCGACATGGGCAACTGCAATCGTGTTCTTGGTTCTGAACAGCGGGTGAGCTTTTCGTATGCTTACAACTCAGATTTATCGTTTTTTAATTGTCCTAAGGTTTGGAAGGGCTTTTCTGCGCCCTCCTCGTCTCTCGGCGACACTCTCATGTTGACGTGATATTTTCGAGCTTCTCTGAGAGAGAGAACATAGAGACGCAGACACTCGAATACTCTCAAGTCGTTGTAAATGGACTATATTAATAAACTTGCAGTTCGGTTCCATTTTAAACTAATTTTGTCAAATTTCAAGCTTAGCCGCAGCAAAAAGTGATAAAATTCTAACTTGAACTTCACGACGAAAAATTCAAATCCAGTCAATTGAAAATTCGAAGAAACTATTGAAAAACCTCTCCGAAGTACATCCAATCGACAACTTTCCTCACACTCCGTCCATTAAACCGCCGCATATCGTATGGGGCATGAGGGGGGCGATTACGCGAAAATATCTTCAATTTTTTAAAACTTTTTCTCAGAGCACAGAAAAGAGGAAACCTTAGAAAATGTAAAAGAATGTGCACCCGCGACGGCGGAATGCAGCAGCTCGAAGCCATTGTTGAGTTCGATTCGTAAATCACACGTACTGAAATATTTTTTTGCTATTTTTTTCTTCGCCTACAAGGAAAATAATTTGATTTCGGTCGTTTTCAACTGTTTTTTTATATGTCACGTGATGATCAGTTCATTAAAAGTTGTTTTCTTCTTTTTTTTCTTTTTTATTTGGAACAAAAGCTCACCTTTACTCATTTGAATTTCTCACGCGAAACTTCGAATTTCTTTCCCTATATACAGAAAAATAGAAAAAGACAAAAAAATATTCAAAAGGTCACGGAATATGCGCCAAGGCGCAAACTTTTGCGACAATAATTTTGGACCGCCCTTGAAAGCTTGGGACGCAAAAAGACGTGGCCTGTCTGCTCTCTCCATCAACTAGGCACTGTACCCTTTTTTATCGTGTCAGGACCCATTTTTCGATCGCTCAAGCCAGCCGTGAATCGTTTATATTTATTCTGTTAATTGACCAAAATGCCTTGAAGTCACTATCCTCCAAATTCAAGGATTCATTCTCTTCTCACTATCGCTTTACAATACAATTGAAGATCATTTTGCTTATAACTGAAACTTGAAACCTAAAATCGTGGCATTCTCTCTGGCTTCTGAACAACTCGGCGACGCGTTCCAAGTGGTGCGGCGCCCCACACAAAGGCACTTTCGCCTTCGAATTTCTAAGAATGAACTTTGTGCAAAATTTCGAGCAAAACAGACATTAATGAATCGCTCTTGTCCATCGCCGTGTTTCGAAATGAACAAGGACAGGCGCAAAATTGACGTTTTTAAATTAAAATGCGCCATTTTTTCATTCACAGCTTCCTATAAAAGAAACGTTTATCTTTCAAAAATTTTTCCAATCAAGAAAATAGCAACTGGATCGATTTAAAAAAAAATGGCCAAAGTATGATTTTGAACTGGAATTTCAAACACACAACATTTCTTTAGATTCCAAAAGTACACGAATATATTTTATTTTTCAAACGAAAATATGTTCCGTTAATATTATTGTATACGTATAATTATCAATCAGAGATTACAAAAAAGCACCAAAATCCTTGATAAATGCGGAAAAAACACGGAAAATTCACAATAAAGCTTAAAACCAGGATAAAACTCAGCAAGGCATCGAAATCAAAACTATAGATGGATAAAAAGGCCAAAAATGACAAGTTTGCAACGCAAAAATAGGGTAAAACGTATGCTTTCTAGCTAAAATATAGTATGTGAGGAGAAGAATATTTCTTTAAAGGAAAATAAAGAATAAAGTGAAAAAGAGGGAAACCGAGAATAATATTTTACAAACTATGGTTTAATGAGATTTGATGGTTTCTCAATTATTAAGGTCGTGAACACGGAGAGGGACAGAATAGTAGTATTGACGGAGGAAATTCGTGAGGCTGAAGGGAAGGGGCAACTTGGGAATGGCGTCGTAGGTCGTGTTGCTGAGCACTTTGGCGCGACACAGTTCGGCGAGGCTGAAAACGGACTTGCGAGGCAGCGGATGCGTCAGTTGAGGCTCGTAGAACAGGCACCTGGAAGAAGGATCTTGACTGGGAATTGCAGAGAAAGAACTCTAACAAAAATGAGTGTGTACCCCGCAGTGAACCCCGAACAAAGTGAACTTTTCATTGATGTTTCCTGGACGGCGTGCACCCCTGAGACAACCGATCGGAAGTAAAAAGTTTTTTTTGATCTACCGTAACAGCCTAGGATGGAACTGTGGTAAATGGTGAGATTGAAAAATAAACCACTTCAAAATTGTGTACGGAATGATTACCTTAATAGGCATTTGAGAAGGGGGTCTGGTTACACTGTGGGGTGCACCGAGAGTTCGACTCGGGGTGTACCGGAATTTTTGCTAGAGAAAAAAAGCAGAAAAGCTCCGTTGAAGCTTCTCAAGGGGTGCAAAATGAAATTATTATTATTTCTCTCTCTCTATCTTGGCAAGCTGGAAAAAGCCTGGCTGTTCGGTCGATTCCGACAATCTTCAAAAAGGCTTTTTTTCATCTTTTTTTATAAACTTTTTTTCTTGAAATGATAAAAGTTCTAGAAAAATAGGGGGTAGATTTTTGAAAAAAATCGCGTTCTTATCTTGAATTACATATTTTCAATCAAATTCCTAATTTTTTTATTAACGATTTTTTTAGGACTTGTTAATTTTTTTGGAGTGAAAAACAGTACTATCAAATTCAATTCTTTCAAAATTATTTGCAATAAAACTCGCATCAACGTCATTTCGATACAAAGTCCTACTATTTTAGCTTTGAAAAATTATATTCAACGGGTTTCAATTCCAAACCAGTCCTCAAAAAAAAATAATAAAAACGAACCGGGACGGATCCTTGTAATTTTCGATGAGATCGGTCACTTTTTTCGACGAAAAAACGTTGGGATCAAAGACGTCGAAACTGAAGCGGTGATTCATCTAAAAGCAAACTTTCCACTATTTTTTCCCCGTTGGAAAATGAGAAACCTGCTCGATTCTCGCATGCAAAGTTCTCTGGTAGCGACGGAAGGAAACTGAGAAAAGGTAGTCGTCTTGGGCGCTGTCGCGCAGCAAAAAAGTACCTGCAAAACCGAAAAATTCTCTTTTTTTTCCTCTAACTAGTAAGTCAGTTCAATAATGCAAAAAATAAAAATAAAAATTTCGAGTCAGACTACGAAAAAAAAGCTGAAAGTAGCCGACACTTATCCGTTTTTTAAAATACAAAAACTTTTTTCCTAACTATCGGGATCAAGTTCTTTAGATTTCAAGGCCAAAAAATATATCCTTCTTCAACTTTTCCAATCCTCACCTTCCTCCTTTCCCTCTAAGAGCTCCTCCGCTTTGTAGCGATCCATAACTCCCCAATAATAAGTCGAGGCGTAGATCTGATCGATGTCGCCAACGAGATGGCGGCCATACTCGATGATCCGATGGACATTTGGTCGATTCGATTGATCTTCTGGACATTTATTTTTGTCTTAAATCGTCGACGGAAGTCCTACCAAAGACTCCAGCAAGAGCCAGACGTCTCCGAACTTCTTCATTAACGGAAGAAATCGACCAAGGGCGGCCCATGGGAACCTCGATGTTCATCCCGTTGCGAGAGACCCTCTTAAAATGCTTTTTTGAAAATTTTTGACGGGAAAATAGTCCGTAAAAATCGCCTCTCCTTTCAAAAAAAGTTTCATTTCTACAACAAAAGTTCCTCTTCTGGATCCGAACCTTTGACTCTCCGATCCAGTTACAAGCCCACAAGCCACTAGACCACCAACCTGGATGCCATCGGTCCGGTCCTCGTCATCAGAGTCGGAGACGCTGGGCGAAAAACAGGCGCAAAATGGCTTCCGCCAACGTCTCGTTCTTCAATATCTCTTATTTTAATCAAAGTCCGAGATTATGAAAACCTAGGCTTGGAGCGTTTCGGAGGCTGGGGAGCAATTTCAAGGGGTTCTGGGGGCGGATTGACGTAGGGAAGGACGACGGCGAAACCTTGTGGCGAGACCAAAATCGGTTCCCCTCTTTGCATGTCTGGAATTAAGCAATAGATTTTTTTTTATTGACAATAATGAATAAGTTCTTCGTTTTCACAAATTAATCTGGTCGCAAGTGGAATGGGTCAATGTACTACGGACACAGTTCATACATGGAATATAACAGGGGTTTTTTTTTTATCACTTTCGGGTCACCTATTCATTCAGATAGCTTCCTAAGCCGCTCCGTAACATTCATCGAGCTTTTTTAAAGTATATAAGGTTGTAAATTTATCGCCTATCTTTTATCCTAGCTTCAAACGGTCGATAAATCCGCATGAAATCGTTGAAATCGCGTCATAAAAAAATTCAGAGGGATAGTTAATAATAATTTGCTCATCCAGAAGGTAAAAGAAAAAATAAAAACCGGTTTAAGGTCACCCGAAGGGGTGACGTCACCGAATAGGGTGTACAATAAATAATCAAAATTGGTAAAAGTACACGAAAAACAATGAAAACTTTTGATAAAAGTTAAAAAAGCGACAAAAAAGTTATTTTAGAAAGAAAAAAAATGTGTGAATCAGAAAAAAAAAATACTAGAGAAGCTCCCCAAAATCACAATAATAAAACGTCCTGCCTCTCATCAAATTGAACGGCGTTCGATGAATTTTTCCCGTGAAATATGAGCTCTGGTCGATAAATTTTACTAGAACAAGTATATTGAGCTCGAATAACATACTGAAACCAAAAAGGAAAAACCTAAAAAAATATTTAAAAAATTCTGATAAACTTTGAAAAAAATGAGAGAATACTTTCAATCTTTAAAAAAACTTTACAGCTTCAATTTACCTATGACAGTCGGGAAAAATTGCTGATAAGTTTGCGTTTAAAAAAATTATTGTTAAAAGATATTGAAAAATTGCGTTTGAAAATTCCAAATCCTATCTCTTCAAGCTCTCAAAAAATGCCAAGAAACGTCCTTGGAATGGGCAATTTTGAAGTTTCCTCCCAAAAACCTTCCGAAAAAGAAGAATCGGGAAAGAAATAAGGGACGAAAAACTGAATGAATGAACTGTGAGAAAAGCGCCGACTCCATTCCATTCATATTGGTGGCAGCGTGGGCGTCAGATGAAAACTAAGCGGATCCAATAAAAAAAAAACAGGTGCATTTATCGCCTACGCAGGGAGAAAAAAAAAGAAAAGAGGGTTCAGAGGAGCCTTGCAATAAAAATAAAAACCAAGTAAGAACCAAGCCGAGTTCAAATACTAAATCAAAGTGTAAATTCGAGAAAAGAGTAAATTTTTCTTGGTTTTGCTCCGAGTGAATTCAATTATTCGGTTTAAAAAAGTCTTGCGATAGCTCTCAAATGCCGTGTTCAAAGTAATTTCCACGAAATGAAAAACTATCTCTGACTCTCCAAAATTCAGTTATCTTTTTCTTTCTCTGACGGCTTTTTTTATTTCGCGTTTAACACGGCATAAGGTGCATTATTATCATAATTTAACATTGAAAGAAGCTCTTCCCTTCGAGACCTTTTAAATTTTGTCCATGCTCCTTTAAAAATCTGAGCAAAGATTTTTTCTAATCCGAGCAGCCATGTAATTTGAGAAAAATGGATATTTGTTGCGTTTTGAAATATTGGTAGCTTTGCAGTAGGAAAGTACAAAAATTTGCAAACTTGAGGAAATTCAACGAATAATTGTAACTTTAGGCCTGAGGGTTCAGTTTCAAAAATTTACGTATACCATAATAATTTTTTAACATCTCCATTTTCAGAGACTTAAACTAGACATAAATGAATGTTTTCTTCTCAAAGAGAAACCAAAAAAAATAATCAATCGAAAAAAGTGCATATACAACAGGTGAATTTTTCAAAGTTGCATAAGCAAACGAAAACCTAGTAATACCGCCTTAACAAGTGATAATCCCACACGGCGACAGGGGAAAACCTTCAATTTCGTCATCTCAGAGGCGTTAATCACTATGCCAATTCCAAGAATCGACCAAAAGACAGAAAAAAAAAACTGAAAACCCGTTCTCTTTTCACACGGCAAAAAAAAACTCGTAGAATAAACAAATCGACGGCAAAAACATAAGAAAAAGCAAAAAAAGGAAACGAATGGAACGCCTCGTTCTTTGAATTAATTTTTTTTTTTGTGGAAAAATGACTTTTTGATAGAAAAAGCTATGCCATTTTGTACGCTACAGAAACTACGTTTTTCTTATTTCCGGAGTATTCTTTTGCATGTAGCACATTTCACTAGTCTGATATCTTTTAATGAAAATCGTTTGGCTGTAAACGAAATAATATGAGAAACGAATATAATTTTTCCACAGTGGAAGTTTTTTTTTCGATAAATGGAATCCCCTTGATCAGGAAGAAATGAATATATCATAAAATGACTTTTCAATCAAAAAATCAATAATAATTCATCGCAATGCCAAACAGCGACAACTTAAACAAAAGAACACTGAAAAAGGTGTCAAGCTACAGTAAAGTGAGATAAAAACGAATCTAAAGAAAACCATTATTCCAACGAGTCACATTATTTTTACGACATAATTTTATTACGTGGCGGACCATAAAAGGGGAAAAAAAGAAGCCGATTTTCTTGAGAAAAAAAAAAATAGAAATAAAAAATTTTCTCTTTCAATGGGTTTTTGAGCGGTTGTATGCAGCTGAACGTATATGAAATGGATAAGTTCCAGAAAAAGCCCTAGTGGCCACTTAAGAGGTTCCTCAACCTGAAGAAGACACTAAAGTGGCCACTCAAACCACCTCTGTAGAAGCTATTTTGAGCCTTAGTGGTTACTATAGTAGTTTTGATGGTCTAGTACTACCAGTGGGACTTTTGAAGAGGCTTCAACTTTTAGCCACTTAAGTGGTCATTAATTCCACTACTAAAATGGCCACTAAACGTAAAATGATTTTTTAAGTTCAGATCTAATATTACTTAAAGCTGAATGGAAAATCTAAATCTGATATATTGAGAAAAAAGACCAAATTTCTTACAACTGAATTTGAAAAAAAAAAAATCAATTTTCATTAAATTGCTAAATAGATTGTTTTTATTTCTACAAAAAAAAAAACGATTCCTAATCTCAAACGGAACTAGAAATTCTAAAATTGAACGAAAAAAAAAACGGGAAAAGTCACACTTCTAAAGGACAGCTAATTTCCTCTCCGTTCCCGTTATATCCCTGAAAAAATCCGGAACTAATAAAAGTTCTCTTTGAATCATCACTCTGTCCAGAATTCCCAGAACTAATATTATGCATCGAAAGAACACTGGGAACGGAGGAAAAAGGGACAAAATTTCCCGTCCTGTGAAGGTAGAGGGGAAAAAAGAGAGACGCGCCTTTTCGGGGAACACGCGAGCCTGCAAATATTTCCTTCCAAGAAAAGGGCTTTCCGCCTTTTTTTTTCTCCTCTTCCGCTGCTTTTCTGATATGAATATGGGAATATTAACTAACAAGAAGAGGGAAAATTGAATGGAATGCGGAAAAATCTGACCAAAAGCTTCTATATTTTCTTTCTTTGGGAACTGTGTTATAATATTTCGATTTTTGAAAAGCTCAGATTGAAGTTAATTTTTCTTTACGTTTCCAATGATAAAATTAAAAGAAAAAAAAACTTAGAAATCAAAAAAATGCACTTCTTTTTTTCTGTGCATGAGAACCTTTCCACCAAAATAGATAACGAATCAAAAAGTCCAGAGTCTCAGGATTTTTAAAAATTACCTCTTACAAGATCAAAAACAGTTTGAGACCTCCTATGTATTGAAAAAGAAAAATAAACCAGTTAAAAAAATTATATATTGACAAGACTGAAACTCTGAAAAAAATTTGGTAAATATGCTAGAACTTTTAAATTTCCTCAACCTATTTCTGAAATTCCCAGGAAGGGAAATTATATATATAAACGTAAAATTCATAAAAAAGAAGTCTTCATCATCAGAAAAAAAATAATAATAACAAGTATGGATGATGGAAAAGTGATAACCAAGTACTTTTTCTAAAAAAAGCCTTTGTTGGCCTTCTCTGCTAATCTTTCCTGGTTCTTTAATGCATTGAGAACAATTTCTAATACATCAAAAATTGAAAAAGGGGAAGAAACACGCGAAGGAAGAAGAATCTGACAAAGTCGGAGTAAAAATAATACATAACCGGATTTTCCTTCCGATTTTTCATCGAACTTTCTTTTTTGTTGCTATCCTTGTGACAGGGAGAAGTGAAAAAGTTGGTATTTGAAAAAAATGGCAACGGAGAAAGGAAATCAAGAAGATCTGCTAGAAAAATCGCGGAAAAGTGCGTTTTTTTTTTGGCGATGAAAAACTGAGATAGAGATTATTCGAAAGCGAGAAAACGCGACCTTTCAAACTTTCGATCGATTTTCCCAAAAGCCAATAAAAGATAGTTTATGATTTTTTTGCAGCTTCAAAAGGTTGCATGAAGAATCATTATGGTACGATTATCAACGAGGAATTACCAAAAAATAGCCCAAAAAAATTATTTTTCTTCTTCAAAATTAGATTCTAGCCTTTTTTTGGATATATGTTCCTGTTTTTCCAAGTTTATAATTACGATCAGCCTTATGAGAAACTTTCAAAATTCAAACTTCTGAAGATTTTGCTTAACTTCAAAATACACTGTGGATGAGGTGTCTCAAAAACTATTGAACAAAAATGTATCCTTTGTTGTATTTAATGAAGGGAGAAACAGCAATGTAAATTTTTTGCAAATTTTTTTTGCATGTTGTTACTGAAAACATAATTCTCTGTTCAGCGTGATTCATCAAAATAGCCGTCAGAGAAAAATAAAGATCACTAAATTTTGGAGAGTCAGAGAAAACTTTGCTGCATTTCGCGGATCCCACGGCATAAGAGAGATCTCTGTTTCAAAATTTTTAAATTTTACAAGAATTTAAATTTTTTATAATGATGCAATCTTCTGTAACTTCATTAAACTGAGAAAAAGGAAAACCTATGAGAAGCTTGTTTTATCTTCGAATTCCACCAAGAAATGTGACAAAAACCAAGTATTTTGATGGGAAATGTCCTACCGACCAAGAGAAAAGCCATAAATGGAAGCGATAGCGGCCCAAAAGGGGCCTGGCCTATCAGCAAAAAGTTCCACTGGCCTCCGATAAAGACGCCTGCAGTATCTGTCATGAAACGACGTCCGGAATCTCAGGCTTTTATTCGCGAAAGTGTTCGTTTCAGAAAACCAAATACCATCAGTTTCGTGTTTGTTCCAGTGAAAGATAAAAAGCCATTGACCGATGATTTCAGACTACGTTCAAGGCTAATCAATGGGAAACTCAACTGATAAACAATTATATCGAGAAGCTGAGAAAAAAATTAAAAATAATGGAACTTGTTAAACATTTCGTAGCGCAAAGAAAAATAGCCTTGAAACAATTTTTCCATGCGATTTGAAAATCAATTTTTCGAGCCAAAATGGAGATTTCTGAAATTACCCTCAATTTGAATCAAAAATAAAAAGATATTCGAGAAACTATCATTAAAAAGGAAGCTTATAATCATTTTTCAAAACAGAAAGGTAAAAAAAAATGCAATTTTCTATAAATAGTTTACAGGTGGAATTAAATTGAAAAAAAAAAAAAAACTTTCAAACTTTTTTTGGTCCCTAAAAAATCTTGTCCAGGTGCTATTTGTGCGGAAACAAGTATATCTGATCGGAGTGAACATTCAAAACAAAAAGCAACACTCAAAAAAAAATTATTCATTGTAAAATATTCTTAAAATTGTCCTGAGTCTAGAGAATCACACAAAAAACGCACAGAAACATTGAAAAAAATGAACCTCTTCTTCGTCGAAAGATAACGTGGATATGAATGGATTCGTTTTTCTTATTGGAATTTCTTCTTGCCCTGCAAATCAAGAACCAAAGTTCTTTTGTTCGAGTTCATCAACAACCTCCGAAACATAGAAGAAGAAATTGGGAACGCTCTTAACGTGACTTCTGCAAAAGATCAACTGTGAAACGAAAAAGAACTGGTTTGGCAAAAGAAGATTTACAACCTTGGTCTTTATTTCGACGCGGTCGGTCAAACTGGTGTAGATCATATTTGCAACTACCAACAGAATCAACGACAAGGACACGATGATCACGAATCCGGCAGAAACTCGAATTAACAAAGCTCCGTAGTCGGTCCCTTTTTGAAGCTGAAATAAAATATCATTCCAGAATTGCCTCTCAAACCAACTTCCATCAGATTTGGCGAGAATAGAGAGATGAAATCCTTCAGAACTCGTCTTGAGAGAAGATCAATGACAAATTACCCCTGAAGGGATCACTTTGACGGCTTGTTTACGTGTCATGCTTTTGTGGGAAGAAGTGTACGCACAAAAGGCTAAACATTACACGCGCAGAAATTTAGGGATTATTTTTTCGAACTGTTTTCCCTTTCTTTTCTATATTTTCATCAAATTTCGCTGTTTTTTCATTTATTCAAAACGTAGAAGTTTTTGTTGAGATAATTTGAACTTACATAACACCAATTTTTACGAGAAAGGTTCAAGATAGCTATCAGAAAAACAGTTTTGATTTTTCACCTAAAACTAAGATTATCTTTGATGCAAATGAATATTTTTAAGAATGTTCTAAATTATATTATAGGTAATTTCAAAATGATCTCAGAAGAGGACCTGGACAGCAATGCACCAAAGTTGAATGGTCGTAAAGAGGGGTCAGTTTGAAGCGAAAATCCAGAAAAAAGTTGAGAAATTTTTAGGACTTTTGTTTTCATCACCATCAAAGATCGCTGGCCGAAGATCGTAGCCAGGTTGGCCAACGACTTTTGTGTCAAGAGAGCGGAGCTTTTGGAGTCCTATGGGGAGGTTTTCGATTTTTGTTTGTTTTTCGTAATTGAATTCGAAATTTGAAGAGCGCCGACGAAGATATCAAGGCCGTGAACCATGGATTTGCTGAGTTGAGGTATCGGATGACGACCGATAAGCCGCTGGAAAATATCGTGGACAACTACGGAAACGCCGGCGTCTGGAACACGTTGCTGATCAACCTGCGGGACAAGGTTCTTTTTCGGAGTTTAGCAAAATGCTTGGATCTTTTAAACGCTAAGTCTATGCTCTTTTAAAAACTAATTTCAGCTTTTGTGAAACGATTTCGAAGCCTCAATCATTCAAAAAAAAACGTATATTATTTTCGTTTTCTCGGAAAGATCAAAGACTCGTGTTATTTGTTAAAAATCTAATTTCTGTGTTATATTTCTCGTTCAATGTTTTGAGAGCTTCATCCTCATTTTAATTTTCTTTTAAATCTAGTATTTTTGAAACCAACTTTTTTTTTTAAGGGAGGGTACAATGTAGCCATAGTGAAATGATTTTGAAATGCGTGACAGAAAATCGAAAAACATTTCTTTTTTTTAAACTTTCTAACAACTGAATATGATGGCCAAAGTTTAAAAAAACAGTTTTTACTGATTTTTTTCCAGAAAGAGTAACTTTTTGGGTCCTCTGTAAATGGTTTTTTTTATTGTGAGTACTTCCTAAAGATGCATGATTCTTGAAGTAGATGTGAAAAACGTGTGAGAAAAAATATTCGGAATATTCTTGCAGGTCGGCGAAGACCAGGTGACGTGGTACCGCGCGGATTGGCTATTTGTGGAGTGCTACCTCTATCGGAAAATCTTCAGCATTGTCTTCAACTCTCGACTTCTTCGCGACTACGATTACTTCGCCGAGCAGAAACAGTCGAGCTTCAAGGAACAGTTAGTGGATAATAGTTCATTGAAAACAGCTTTTACGTTATTTAAAGGTTCAAGGTGAGAGAAAAAGTTTTTGATAGGATCTTGACGACAATAATGTGATTTTCTTGAAGGATTTATGAAAATTTACAAAATATTCAGATACTGAGAACATGTTCAGAGGCCGCTATAGTAGTCAAATTAGTGGCCCCTTAAAAGGGTTAGAAATTAGTGACCACTATAGAGGTCTTAATGCTCTTACTAAACCACAAAACAATTTTAGTGGCCCGTGTAGGGGTCAATGGATCATAGCAGGTTCTGGAGGAAAAATTACTATAGTGGCATCTATAGAGATGGCTTTAGTGGCCATTTGATTGTCCTCTACAAATAGTCATTCTCCTTATTGACCACTAAAATTTTTCCCACTTCAAAAAGCTTCAAACAAGCTAAAATTTTGAATTCATCCAACTGTTTTTTGTAAACTTTAGGCTTCAAAAAGAAAGAAAAATAAATGATTCAATTCACATATCAAAAAAAAAGATATTTTCTCAGTGTTCCTCAAATCGAAGAATCGGCCTCTTTCCTCATGTCCATCGTTGGCGAAGGTGCTCCAGCTCACGAGACTTTTGGACTGGTCACCATGCTCAAGGTAATGCTCTGGGAAAATTGAGGAAGACTCGTTTTTCGAATATTTCTTATCTTGAATAATTGCCTCTAATTTCAAGATGTGCCTTTGGGGAAATCGCGCGGATTTGTCGCTCTCCGGCGGCGATCGTGCTGTTTTGGTAATAAAATGAATGATTTCCGTGAAAAAGGGACGATTTTCAGGCCCAATCCTCGATGATCGCCTCAACCAAACGGGAAAACTTCATCCTCGTGGATGATTTGAACACGGCTCTGCTCAATTACATTTATCCGCTGCACAAAAAGTGAGGGAAACGGGAGGAAAAATGGGGCGAACGGTAGTTTCCGAAAAAATAAAGAAAGACGGAGATTTCCTCGATGTTTCAAAAGTTGGGATAATGCATTTGTTTATGCGGCCAAAAATATATATGAATTTTCGATAAATAAGCTTCAGAAATAATTGAAAAAAAGTAGAGAAGAAAAGTGAATTTTTGTGAACGCTAACTCGGAGAAAATGGATCGAAAAGAGAAGATTCTATTCATATTTATTTGAAAACAAAAAAATGGAGGAATTTTTTTGAAAAAAATGAGCTTTTCAAATAAGTTGGGGAAATCGCTAAATCCAATATTTTTTTCTCGAAATGGACTTTTTTTGGGCATTTCTCGTTCTTTTTCAAACTTGAAATTTTTTTGAAATTTTCTCTTTTTTCAGAGTTTTTTTTCAGAAATTTCCGGGAGTCTTTTACTCTAAAACTAGCTTATTCCTCTTTTTCCGAAGAAAATGTCCTTTTTGGGAGTTCACTCTCAATTTCTTTCTGTTTTTTTTTGAGCTGTAGGGTTTCGCCTTTTTTAAAAATAATTATGATTTTGAAAGTATCATATGACTCAAAAAAATGAAATACTTTTTCTACTTTTTCACAGTTTCAGCTCAAAGTCTTGCAGAGAAAAAGGAACCCGACGGATCGACATCGTCCTGGACAACGCTGGCGTTGAACTGATGGGCGATTTGATTCTGGCTGAATACTTTCTGTCGATGGGCTTTGCTGACAAGGTCGTCCTCCATGGAAAGGTTGAAAAAGAGGGTTTCCCGAACAATTTGAAATGGAAGTTGTAGGAGTTCCCATATTTCGTCTCGGACACGACCAAAGGCGACTTCGACTGGACCCTCGAGCAACTGAAAGAGGCCGGCGAAAACTGTGCCAAACTCCAGGAAAGACTCGCCCAGAGACTCGAGAAAGTCGGTTTTTTAATTGTTATAGGATATTCTTTCATTTTAAAAAAAGCGACCAGCAAATATTGACGTTAAACTTCAGCAACATGTTGAAATTCGGGTTTTGCTATTCAAAGATTGTCCTCTTTTTAATCACTAAAAGACGACCAGAAAGAAAATAATGATTGGCTTTAAAATTTTAAAACAAAATCGATTTTTCGATACGCAAACTAGTATATATATCTCATAGTGTTGACTAGTTTTATAATCTTAAAAAACCGACAAAATAAAAAAATACTCCTGATTTCGGATTTTTTTCTTTAATTTTTTTACTGCATAAACCTTGAAAAAAAGGTAAATTTATAATTTTTTTGATCCGTGAAATTTATAGTCTCTATTCCATCTTGGTAATTTCAAAGGAGTTTTTTTGACCTTCTATCAAATTTATAGCCTACTTGGATTTTTTTCTGATTTACATAACTTTGAGATTTTCGAGAGGAAAAAAATTTTTTCTTATAAAAAGCCATTCCAAATGCGACCTTTCATGAATGTTTACAGTCTTTTTTTCACCTAGCTGAATAATTCTGATTTCCTTCATAACTCTGAGATTTTCAGGGCGAACTCGTTTGGAACGCTCATCCGTTCTGGACATTCCCTCACGCCTACTTCGAAATGCCGACCGAGTGTCCCGAACTCTACGAAGAACTGAAGAAGGCCTCGTTCGCCTTCTTCAAGGGCGACCTCAACTACCGGAAACTCGTCGGCGACCGCGATTGGGACTTCGAAACGCCTTTCGTGGTTGGTTTTGATAGTCTTTCATGTGATCTTGAGAGGTCACTAGAGGGGCAGCCTGGAGGATCTTGTAGGGTCCCCTTAAGGGACAACCTTAATTCCACTATAGGGTGCATTGAAGCTTGCAAAAATGGCCATTCTAGTGGAACAATCTAAAGGTCCAGAAATAATATCACTATAGGGATCACTTCAGCTTTAAGGGACTAGGGGCCAGACTCTAAGCTTCTATGGGAACCACTTGAATTTTTAGCCATCTAGGGAGCACTATTTCGACAATTGTAGGAGATTTTTCCCTCAACCCCTATAGTGTCCACTCCATTAAATAAGTTTTTTGCATTTCTCAAACTTGGGGAATCATTTAGGAATAAGAAAATTGACAGGATTTTTCATTTTTTCAAGTCCATGCAACTCAAAATGTCATTTAACCGCTTTTTGAAATTGTGTACTTCTAATGGCCTTACGCGCTGCGGTTGCGTCGCGTTTTGCTGCTCGAATGTGAAATTTTAAAATTACTATGATATTCTTGTTCATTGAAGACTGGCTTGAAAAAAAAAGTGAATAATTTAGGTTTGATTCGCAGAAAAAAAGCAGGTTTCCACGTTGGTTCTATCCTAAACTACTGGAGAATTAAGGGAAAAGTAGAATAAAATAATTTTTTTTAAAACTGCTAGCCAAAATTTTTTGTTTGAAGGGAGAAATACGGGTTTCCGGTTTCTTTCAATTTATTTAAATTCAGTGTTTCATTGAAACAATAATAGGTCATCAGAGGTTGATCTCCTCGCAAATCAGCAGTTGGGCTTGTTTCAATTGAATCGGATGTGTTCAGACGACCCTTCGCGGTTTCGCGCCGTGTCCTTTCCTGGCTCTGCGGACCCTGAAGGCGGAGACTCTTGCGGGCCTGAGTCGGGAGACTGCGATCCGAGTCCTCGACTTCGAGGACAACCAGTGGCTCGTGTCCGGAGAGTACGCCGTCTGCCAGCTCGGAGGCATCTAAGGGACCACTTGAGGGGTTTCCATGTTAAAGCGTCCTGGTTCGATACGGTGTGATAGAGAAGCTGGAGAAAGGTAGCCTCAAAAATGGATTTTTCGAAAGCACTTTTTTTCTCATTGGAGCGCCTGAAAAGGCTTTTTTTTCCCCAGCTATTCTTTCAAACTCCTCGAAGCCCCGAAAACTATTCCCACCTTCTCATAGTATTTTCCAACTCGCGGTTCCTCTTTTCTAACACTTTTTCATACTGTATTAATTTTATGTACGTAGTCTTTGTTAGCATTTTTTCTCCCCCCTTATTTATGTAATTTAGAATTATGTATTTAAATATCCGTTTCATGGTTGTCTATTCACTTCTCTCTTGTTTTTGCTTCATTTTTCCAAGTTCGTTCTGCCGGTCGAGCCTTTTTCTTAATCGTTTCGACTACCGGGTTCTTCTATCTTTTTTCATTTGTTCGTTTCTATCACTTTCTCAATTTCGAAACGCTAGACCCCAAGTCACAAGAAAATGTGTATCCTCCCAGATTTGATTATAAAGAGCTTCCGAACCAAATTCATCTCGAGTTGAGCCGTCAAATGAACTTTTTCAATCGAAAACTTTTTTCGAATTTTATTTTTCATGAGAAAGTTTTTTTTGGAGAAATGACGCCTGAGTGACAAGAGCATTCAACGTATTTGGAAGAGAAGGTATATAGAAAAGGCAATATTTGGAAAATGAACGGGAAAAAGAAACAGCACACCAATAAACTTTTAGAAAGTATGAAAAACATGAGAAAAGTAAGTCATGGCTTTTCGCCCAAATAGGAACTAGGATGCAAGGAGAAAAAAGAGTTACATGAAATGACAAGGAAGAAAGATGATGATTTCAGCAAAGTTTGGCAAAAATGGAAAAATTGTAACGAAAATGAATGAACCGGAGCTGGAAAGGCACGGAAAAAAAGGAAAATGAGAAAATCTAAAGGCAGAGGGTTAGTCTAACAAGTTCTATAGGAGACGATTTCCAGTCTTATTATATGATATAATATGTATACGAAGGGAGAAGATCACACATGGTCATGGAAGGCACGTGGAGTACAGTAAAAGACGGCGTTTTTTTTTTGGAAGGCAACTTCTTTTTGTTTCAATTTTTGTCGATGAAGATTTTTTCTATTCGGCGTTGGTGATTTGTGCTCCGAGAGCCGCCGACTCCATGAACTGAAAAATGGTTTTTAGGTCAGATTTGAAGATTTCAGATTCAAATGATAATTCGGTTTTTAAAAAAAGTAAAAAAACTTGGAAGATTTTTTTTAAAAATACTTTAAAGGTCTTCAAATTGAAGAAAAACTAGTTTTTTCTGCTTTTAAATACCAAAAAAATTTTTTCCTTCCTTCTAAAAATCGTAAAAAAGTCACACTAAATTGAAAATCCTTACTCTTTTTTTTACTGTGAAGAAAAGTTAGCCTTAAAAGTCATGAAAGTTTAAAATTTCTCATTCAAACACTACGACAATGAGCTTATGGACTTATTTTTCGTATAAAGATCCCAAAAATTCATCAATTTTTCCTATGAGTTTGAGAAAAAAATATCAATAAATCGACCTTTTTCAAATTTTCAGCAATCAAAACTTGTTATCAACTTTAAAATATTGTTTTTTCCTTCCAAAATTTCCCTCAGATTCGGTTCAACTTCGAAAAAAGTGAAATAAAGGATCCAACCGCTTTAAAAAGAAGCCCGTCAGCTTTTAAAACCATCAAAAACTTTAAAACCTTTTAAATTTCACAAATTCATTTCAAAACTACAAAAAGAAACCTGTTGGAGGTTGATCGAGAAGGGAAAACTGAAGAGCGGATTGGCGGCGGCGGCGTCTTCGCCCTTGGAAGACGAGGTGAACAGCGAATTGGCGTTGGCGCCACCTTCAAATTCATTTTTGAAGCGGGGAAAAAGATAAACTTATTAATGTTAGATTTAGGAGTGGGTAAGGTTCTTATAGAAAAAGGCGCAATGAAATCGGGGAAAAAGGGATAAAAGCGAGGTCAACGAAAAAATAGCCGCGGGGAAAGTGCTCCATTGACAATATAATATTTCCCACTCTCGGACGTGTCGGGGCATTTTTAGTGACCACTTTAGTAGCCTCAGCACTCTTAAGTGATCCCTAGAAGTGCTCAGAGCGCGTCCGTTTCGCGTTACCAATGTTCGAGCTCTCACACGAGTTTTAAAAAATTGTCATCAGAGCGCGAAAGCTCTAAAATAACAGATTTTTGAAGAAAATTCGATTTCAATTCTCTTTCTTAGTAATATCGTCCTAATAGATTTTTGTCCCTTTTTTGAAACTTATCAAAATTAAGAGTTTCAAAATATGGCCAGTCATAGTGAATAAGCTCGAATAGGCTTTCGAAAGCTTTTTTCATGAAATTATCCATGGAGCACAAAAGCTTCAAACCAGACCAGTCCAGGCGATTTTTCCAAGTTCTCATTTTTGACTATTTTTGAGCTGCGGCTATTTTTTCGCTCTTCCGACACATTTTTGGAACATACTGTCTGGCGAAGAAGAAGACGTGCTGGTGTAGACGCAGCCCTGGGGAAGTTGGAAAATGGTGCCGTTGTTAGTGGTGGTCGTGGTTAGGCCTGTAGAAGAGAGACTCGTGCTGGGTGGGAAAACGGTTCCGAAGGGGGATAGTTTTGAAAAAGGGCAACTACTAGAGGAAAAACTGATAAGGAACGTTTTTCTGAGTTTCCAGAGTTCCAAAGCCGAAAGGTAGTTTTTTCTTTGGATCATCACCAAAAAAGAGATTTTTTGTGAGGAATAGAGTATAGGGGAAGGCAAGGAGAAGGGTTGGGGGTGAGGTAACGGTTGCTGGAAAAGGCGTACCTTGGAGGAGGAACGGCGCGAGGAAGGTGTTGGGGTTGGCGTTGTTGACGGGGGTCTGCTGCGGCTTCTGCTTCTTCTGCTGTTGCTGACGCGTCGTCGCCGCCGCCTTCAGCGCGTCTTTCAGCGTTTGTTGCAGTGACGCCGTCACGTCGGAACCTTCTGAAGTATAGACGCGTTTTTCTTGGTCAAGTCTCAATTCTGACAATCTCCTCTGAAGAAACATATATCCGAAAAAATATTCAATTCTTTTACCAAGTCTAAAGTGATTTTTACTAAATGTGGATTCATCAATGGCTCTCCAAAATGTAGTTATCTTTTTCAATCTTCAAGGGTCACTGTAATTGAATAGATACTTCCAAGTGGTCCCTACAGCGACAAGCTTAGGAGCCTTGGAGGGTCCATTTCAGGGACCACTTTTCCAACCTCTATAGGGACCGCGAAAGCACGCAAAAGAGGCCCCCTGTAAGAAAAATGCCAGTCTACAATGTTTATGAACTCTGAGCGAAGAAGAATTTTCATTTTCTTGAAGGAAATTGAAACACCTCTATAGGGACCACTGTTTTTGCCCCTATAGGGGCTGTTTTTCCCCTGAACCCCTACACTCTGGAATTCCCAAATTCTTGCCGGAAGAACTAGTAAAGAAAAACCTACAGCAAAAACTCAAAAGTATTTTTTGAAAAAATTATTAACCGGGTAATCCCCAAGAAAGTGCCCCAAAATCGCTGAGAAAGCCTTAAAAGTTGGTTAGACGAGGAGCCGCGACCGACACATGTGCTGACCTTATGCGGAGCCCTAAATCAAAACGACGGCCCATCGGCTCGCCGTTTTACGGCCGCTGCCAGTGTCTCAACTTCCAGAAAGGTTAAGTTTTGAAAGTTCTCAAATCTTTCTGTGAGTACTCAGTGGCAAGCCTAAAAAGGAAGGTCCTTTGAGGTTGAGAACTTTTTCGAATATCAATCAAAACTCTCCTTAATGTACCCCAAGGAGATTCTGAACTGATTTTTTCTTAAAATCAAACTTCTGAAGTTCTAAAAGCCTTGATTCTCTGATGAACTCTACCTTATTCGGACCAAGACATTTATTTCGTCATCCAACTGACCATCCTTCTTGTCGTCGTCCTCCTTGACGTCGCTGGCCTCTTCCGAATCGGAATCGTCGCCGCTTTCGTCCTGATTGTAGTCTTCCTCGCCAAACGCCGAGAAAAGCGTCGTCGGCACCATCGTCGGCAAGAAGCTGGCGATCGCCTGGAAGTGAAAAGTTTCATAGTAATCATGATAAATAACTGGAATCAACCATTAATAATTTCAAAGATTTGCTCCTTCCGACTTCGTGACGCTTATTATCCATAGAGCGTAAATCTTCAACTTGAAATGGCCATTTTTCAATGCTCTTACCCAATATGATGTTTTTAGTCCGTGGCTGTTTCTTTCTTGCTAATTTTCTATAGCTATTCTGTCTCCGTTTTATTTGCGACCTTTTTCAGAAGTTTTCGCCCTGACTGGGTGTTTGAATGATCCAAGCAGATCTTTCCAAGACTTTTCCAAGACTTGCTCTCAATTTTCTTTAATCGCTATGCTTTCCAGACAAAATTTTCAGACCATCAATCATATAGTTCACAAGCTACAACCTTGATATTCCCAAAAAAATTTCCTAACTTTTCTTTTTCCGATTTTGTCTCTTTCCATTTCATCCCAGTCGATTCCCCGAACTTTCCATGTTCCTCGAACGTCCTATCAACGTCATTTGCCGCAAAAGAACGGGAAGCCACTTTGGAGGAAAAAGGCAAGGGAAAAAAAAAGAGATGGGAGCATAGTCGCCCCAAATACAAACACAGTCACAAGAAGCCAACGGCAGCGAAATAGTGCCGTTTGTGGCGGAGACGCAGAGAATATGCTCTAACCGGTCTGTTTTCGGGTTGGCAGGCCTCCCCCACACACAGACAGTTCCATTACCGTTGGAGCTGTCTTGACGTGAGCATTTTTTCAAACTATTAGAAGAACTTGGAGAAGAAAATGAGTCATAGGTATAACCTATTCCGCGCCAGTCACGTTTTTCTTTCCGCCAAAAAGACCGTATACCAAATTAGATCAAATTTCTGCTTTCATAACGGCAAGTAACAAAGGTCTTGAAGCGAAAGTCGGTTAAATTTGACCTAGCATTTTGGCGGAAAAAAAAACGTGACAAGCTGGCGCGGAATGGCCTATACAGCCTTTCTGAGTAAGAGCTTCCCAGAGAGGATTAACTTTGATTAAGGAAAAATGAACTTTGTTTCAAAAATCACTTAATAGTGAATGGCAGATCCCCTATAAATCATTTTCGACCTCTCAAAGGATTTTCAAAGCTACAGTAGGCCTGAAAGTCCATTTTGACACTTGCAGAAGGATTTCACAAGCAGCGCTATGGAAAAGAAATCGCCAAAAACATCCTCAAGCTCTCTAGGGCTTTTTAGAGTCTGATGTGTTCCAAAAAACAGCCATCATCCTAAGAAATTCACCCTTGCAGGAGAATTTCACAACCATTTCCATCTCAACTCGAATTCCGGTCCAAGAGGCTCGGCTCCTAAACGGCTTTACACTGCCATTTAGGTTGTGTAACGCTTCTTCGGCGCGTCTTCATTCCGTTCCGATATATAGCTTTTCAGGGCGGAGAAGAATCCAGCACCCGGAAAGAGTGTAATGTGTTGCGGTCGTTTCCAAAGAGAGCTCCTCCTTCTTCTTGTTTTCACCGGGAGGGAAAATCAAGAGAAACGAAGTAACACGTAATGGCGATGGGGCTGCTGCCAGATGATCCCCGAACATCACACTTTTCTCTTTATTTTCCGGGGATAATCACGCCAAAGTTTGTCATGCGCACAAGACGAACGGAAGGGGGCAAAAAAAAAACGAGTTGTTTTGCGAACTTTCCCCGATTCGAGATGGGATGTTACACTTTTCGGAGCTCCTCAGTAGGTCGCAGAGTCCGGACTCCAACCGGCTCATTCATCATGCTCGGCGAACATCCAAAAGAACAACAAAGCTCGAAAAAACGAGATAGAGCGGGAGAGGAGAAACTCCACTCTTCCGTGTTCTTGTCAAAGTACAAGCATCCGAAAGTGGAAAACAACCATGAAATGTCTGGGTTGAAAGCCGAAACTGAGCTTGATTTCCACTTTACAAATTAAAAAAATTCCCAAAACTTTCCAAATGATTTTTTTTTGAACTAATTGCAGTAGGACCAATGAAAAATATGCAAAATCTTCACTTTGATATTCCTGTGAAACGTTGAAGTATGCTAAAAATATTTTAAATTTTGAAACTTATACTTTTTTCAAAATGAAATTTTCAAGCTTTGAAAAACCAACTAAAAACTAAAAATAGACAAGATCTTTCATGAAACGTTTAAAAACGATATGTAATGAATCTTGAAATTTTCATCCGAATTTTTTTTAAGGGGCACATTTTTTGAATACCGAACTTTAAAAATTGCATAACATTCAAAATTTTTTTTTCAGAACTAAACTATTCAGTGATCTTTCTAGGATGATTATAGAGACTGTAGTTCAATTTTTTTAATATTTTTTTGGGACAAGTAAAACTAAATATTTTTTTGGAAAAAATCTCTTACTCTCTGAAAACTCTTTCAAATTGATAGAAACTATACTCCATGTTTTGGTATTTTATTTTCTCACCCTAAAATTCATTAGTTCTAAAAGCAACGAGCTAAAAGATAGTTATTCACGGTAATATTCGAACATCATACTTTTCAGCTGATCTAATTTATTTCTCATAAACCTTAACGTTCTTTGATGTACCTGACACGTCAACAAGGTAAAAAGAACAAAAGTTTCATCAGTCCTAATAAAAACTCCATGAATCACGCCATTCTCTCCAAAAATTTGCCAAGCTGTTTGCAAGTTGATTTTTTTCTCCTCTTTTCCTGGAGGGGATCGTCACGCGGCCGCTCCATCGGTGGCAAACAACCGATTGAGCTGCTCTACGTGTGCTCCGCGAGCCCCCCGCCATCCAACTATTGACTGATTGTGGCAGTTGTCTCCGCTTTTTGGCTTCCAAGGAGCAAAAAGGAGCCGCCACACACGGCCCTTTTTTTCGCCTCGTTTTTCTGCGAGAGCGATTCTCGTGACGTGCTTCACTCTCCTAACCGACAGCTCGTTACAGAGAGCATGAGAGTGCTCGGAAGAGTTGTTGATCCGAAGGAGATAGGCAGTTGCCTTTTATGGAAAGTTAATGGAAGAAAAGGAAAGTTCGGATCGGAAAGTGTTGGTTCAGGCGATGAGAGAGGCCAGAAAAATTTGAGAAAAGCGCACAATTTAGCGGCATTTGGTGATAAAATAAAAAAGTTTCAAGCTTTCTACGCAGCAGATTTTGAAGAAAAAAACGAGAAAATATAAAAATTCGACCCTTGGTCAATGAATATTGGGTTCTTATTCAATTCAACATTTTATATTGGGTTCTTCTGACCAAATCAGCTTTTATTAAGTTCTGAAAGAAAAACTTCTTATTTCCCCCTCTCCGGTTGAAACTTTAATGAAACTTTGCTGAAGTGCACTTTAGGACCTCCCTGATTTCAGAAAAAAAGAGAAAAATTTCTCGCAATAGGTCTAGTTTGAAGCTTTAAAGCTTGTAAAATAGGCAAATCACGACAAAAAGCGCTATTTTAAGTTTTTGAAGTGTCTTAACTCAAAAATAAAAGCTATTGTGAGAATTTTTTCCGCAATCATAAGGGCCCAGAGTACACTTCTGCAATGTCAGTTCAACCGGGTCTAAAAAATGTTCCCTAGTAAGTCGGGAAAATTTTCAAGATAGTCACCATTTGACCAATAACTCAACTACCAAGTACTTTAAGATAAAATAAACGTGTGAAACTGTCCTTCCACACAAATCCACCGTATCCAAAACCCTCCCAGGGACAATTACACCCACCGGACATGTTAAATGTGTGAGTGAGTGAAATGGAATCGCCTAGGATTTCTGGAGGCCAAATCGGATCCCCGATTGGATCGGGGAGCCGTATGGGAGGGCATTACAACGGCTCTTCGCCTTCCTTCCAACGAAAGCTGCCGGATGGATGGATTGGACGTGGGGCTCCTTTCCAAGTGCACCATCACCACATGTGCGATCCCTAAAACTGCCTCTGCCCACGCCGTCCCAAACGCGGCGGCGGCGGCCGTCGTAAAATCACGTTGTTCCCAACTTCTTCCTCTCCAAGACAAATGCAAGCTGAGCCGTCGATGGGAACGATTCGAAAGAAGGGCCTTTTTCGCTTTGAAGGACGGCCACTCAAAGTTAGAGTTGGAGATGAAGGACGCCGAGATTTTTTTGAAAATCTCAAAGTTATTAAACTTAGAGTTTTTTAATTTAAAAACAGTGGATCCCTAGGTTCATCCTTTTCAAAAAGAAGATGAAGTTTTTACTTATTTTTTTCCTCATAAAAAAAGAGCCTTATAAATGTAAAATGATGATTCATAAAATGATTTAAGCTCAAAAAAGCATTCCCATACATTGTGTGCTTCGGGATTCCCAAAATTTGAAAAAAAAAATGAGCAAAAAAAACTGTTTTTTAATTCTAGAAATACCTCGTTCTTTCAAGGGTATATATGGTTACTAAATTTCGAAATTTTGGATCGAAGCCATTCCTTTGAAGCTTTATTTGATATAAAAGAGGCCTACTGAAAAATGAGCAGAAGTCAATTCAGTAAAAAAAAAGCCAGCATCCAAGTTTGAAGCCTAAAATCATTATAGATACCCGAAAGTGTGCTGGTAAACCTAAAAAAATTTAAAAAAATTTAAAGATCTTCGTTTGTAGAAACACACTAAATCATCGTTTGCTAGCCAAAGAACCGCAAAAACCCTAAAGTTCAAAAAAACCTACAGTAATCACAAAAAAAGCTGGTTTGACATCCTCCCGTTTCTCAAAAACAAAAACATAATTGCCGGTAAAAGGTCTATGGGAACGCTTTGAAAAAACGAAAAAGGAACGTACAGAAATTGGAAAGTATTCTAAAAAGAATTTGAGAAGGATCAAAAGTATTCAAACTGAAAATAAACGGATTGAAAAACTTTTGAAAAATAGGTTGCTCTTTCAAAAAATCCTTTTAGAGCTGGATTTAGGCGATTATTAATTTCGACAGCTGTTAAAAATAAACATTCAATAAATACAGTTCAACAAGTATGAAAATAAACTAACGCTGTTTAAAAATACTTCTTAGAACAGTAATCCGATAGAAGAATCACCTATTATTCAGCAAAACGCAGTTTTTAGAACATTTAACGGAGAAAAAAAAAATTGAAATTGGACCTAAAATTTTCGAAACTTTCTTCCCAACTTCAATTTTTCTAGGAGAATTGTATAAATCGATATTATCAAAACAAATTTTTCGGAAGCCTCTCGAAAAAGCGATCCTATGGAAATGAACAAATTTCCCAAGAGAGTCCAGAAAAGGCGAGGCAGAGAAGAAGAGAAAAAGGGGGCGGAGCCTAGCCGCATTCCCTATAAGGCAGCACGACGCGCTACGGTAGATAGAACCAGTTCCAGGCTTCTCGGTACGGTAGGAAAAATTCGAAGAGAACTAACCGCAGAATTGTCGGAAATGTCGGTGATTTTCCGTTTTCTCGGGTTCACCGTCGCATTTCCCGTTTCGAAGGTGAACTCTGTCCGGCTCGGCTGCAGGTCCGTTCCTTCTGAACGAGAAAATGGTTGATTTTTGATAAAAGGCCAACAAAATAAAGAAAAATTTGGATTCGTGTCGGAGTTTTTCTAATATCAGATATACGGGAATGTATTAAAAAACTTCTGAACCAAAATTTTTTTCCAAATTTTGCGGCTTTTTAGTATGACATTTTCCAAAAGTTGTAAATTCTTATTTTGAAAAATAACTTCAAGACTTTTTTTGACAAGAAAGGTTTCTTATATGAACACCAAATAATTCCAAATTTAACCTGAAAAATTCCAAAGTTCTGAAATCGAAAGCGTCAAAGAAATATCTGAACTATAAAAAACAAAATAGAGATTAAATCATGAAAAAAAGTCCAAAAATATTGATCAAAAAGTAACATTTGAAGGATCAAAACGCAACTGTTATAGTTTTTAGCCGTGGCGCGCACTTGCACTTGCAATAAATACCAAGACTAATTCATTTTTCATTTTTTAGAACAGCGGCTAATTTTTGTTTTCGTTATGAATGCTAACTATTTGAACGACGCCTGGAAATGAAAATTAAAAAAACCACCACAATTGTTTTAAAATTCATTGTGAAAACATTGAAGTGAACTAAATTTTCTTCGATTTTACTGTATTGGTTGAAAAAAAAGCTTCTGACATTCAGCTCCTCCTCCAGTTCTAAACTAGCCCATCCCAAGACAACGAAACAAACCTCCAGGCGAGTTAAGACAGGTCTGGATGAGGGCCTTGCCGGCGTCCGAGGAGATCATCGGCTGGAGTTTCTTCGTCGCGTACGTGTAGACGTGACCCGTTTCGGACGCCACCAGGAGCATCACCTGTGTACCCGTCAGCGTCGACAGTTCGTACGCCTCAAATCGCACGTGTTTGTTGTCTTTTTCGATTGGGAGAGGCCTCACTTTCTTCATGATACCCGTCTTTCTCTTGCTGAAAGTTGTGTAGCGCCGCAGTTTGTTGCCGATGTACTCCATCTTGATTTTGACGCGACCTGAAGATATTCCAATCGATTAATTGCAAATCGTTTTCTGTAATTTTATGAAAAGAACATCATAAAAGAAAAAAAAGCAAATGTTTTGAAATGTTCTTGAAACAGTGATTTCGAGATTTCGCTTCTCCTAGTCATTTTGAAATTTCTAAAAGCTTCTCCTAGTCCTCTTGAAATTTCTAAAAGCTCTCAGAACATTAGAAAAAAACTACAGAGCTTCTCAATTTTTTTCTAGGAAAAATTTAGAAGAACCAATCTCTATAAACTCAAAATTTTTTTATTATGTGTCCATTTCAAACGTTTACCGTTTTTTTTACTGTCCATAGTCTTAAGTAAAAAAATAAAAAAATAGAGTTTTTTTAAACGTTTCTATAGAATCAATATCTAGTCAATCTGTTCATTTTTAATGATCGGAAAAAATTCTTGGTCTTTTTCTTTTGATGGAAAAAAATGCCCCCCTATTCTGTTTCAAAAAAATCTTAAGATTCAATTTCGTGATTGCCGACTAGGCCCACGATCGCGAGATTTCCCAACCCATTTCATAATTTACATTATACTGCTTTTTTTCCCATTTTCAATCACTCACCCCCCGCCCCCTTTTTAAGTTAAAAAGGTTTGAAAAATGGCAGATTTTCGACCGCGTAGCACAACTGTAGACAGGTCAGTTTCGCGAGGACCAAAACTCCATCAAAATTCTCATTTTCACCCAAATTCTACTTGATACTTCTGAGATGATTACTATGAAAAAATCTATCTTTTTTCAATTTTGAGCAACGGAGCAAACTATCAGCCTACTTCTTCCTACCCATTCACAAAACGAACCCTTGGTCTTTTTTCCATTGGGAAGGAGTCCGGAGGCGGAGGCGACCGTGCCTTCGGGCAGAGCGGCGCCGATCTCCGAGGAGGAGGACTGCAACTGGTGCATTATGTGGGCAATGTCCTCGGCGTCGGTCATCCTTCCTTCTGCAGATTAATTCATGGTTTCCGAGTGAACAAGAAAAAAAAACGTCAACAAGCGAAAAGGTCGAAGAGTTTGATGGAATTTTGCTTAAAGGGGTCTTTCGAAAGGTCCTGATCAAAGTATAGAGATGGGGAGAAATATTTCTACCGTGGATCCGAAAAAGTTACGGAAAAAGACCTCAAAAGGTTCTTAAAAAGGCTGTCGAGTAGCTGTTTTGCTTCTTTTTTTCAAGTTTGAGATTTTTGTAGTCTTGAGTCCCAGAACTCTTAAGTGATCCCTAGAAGAGTCCCAGGCTTTCTGGATTATAGCACAATTTGTTGAAGTTTGTATCCTCGGACTTTGGTATCACGAACCGGACGTGTCGAAATATTTCTAGTGATCACTTTAGTAGCCTCAGAACTCTTAAGTGATCCCTAGAATTGCGTCCCGAGGTCCGAGTCGCCTCAAATTTGACGAAATTTGAAGCGAAATATCTCCAAAACTAGAAAACTTACACATTTCTCAACAAAAATCAGGAAACTTCGAATTATCTACCAGCAAAGTTTCATCAACCCTTCAACCCTCGAAACAATAAAAACGACAAAAAAAGAGCTCGGGAAAAAAGAATGAGGAAGGCGGCGGCGAAGATGGACAAAATGCCTTCCGACTGATAAAAATCTGTGACATTTTCATCTCGTCCTTTTTTGCTTTCTTTTCATTTGCCTCCCACCGCTTTTAGCCCCCAAACTGTTCGCATCTATTTTCGAACGACGCAACGTTTCATATTTTCTAAAAGGCCGTGTCGCATCTCGGGGACACGTACCTCGTCTTTTTTCATCCTGTTTCTTACCGCACATGGGGGAGACAAAAAAAGGTCATTGTACGATTTCTTTTTTTCTCGAGAGACATTTATGTCATTGGCAAAAAAAGGATGAGTTATTTTTCTGAGCAATGAAATATTCACGAAAAATTCTGTTGATGAACGAGAAAAAAATATGAAAGAACTGAAACTGATTTAAATTTTTGTTGGATAAGTTGTAATTTTGAAAAAAATAAAAAAACTAATCTCTATGTACAATGAGAGATCGAGGAACTTTTTAGGTATTTTGATATGAAAAAAAAATTATAGAGATTTATTTGAAACGATAGAAACCATTAAAATTTTTTGTTAGGCTTCAAGTCTGAACCTTCAAGTAGTATACTACCGAAAAAGTAAAGATATGATACTAACTTCTTAGAAAAAAACGAACCATCAAAATAATCATATTAATCTCAGAAGCTTCAGGTTTCATTTGCCAAAAAAATTTTGCGAAAAAAACTTGTTGAGTTCTACATTCCAAGACAAAAAAAAGAGCTTTCTATTGGAATCCAGAGAAGATATCAAGATTCAGGTCATTCCGATAAAATAAAAAAGATTTTGAGATTTATTCTGGAAAATAGTAAAATTCTGGTTTTTCTAAATAAATGTTACATTCAAGGCCTAAAAAATAGAGAAAAAAATTATAAAGTGCCTAGAACTCCCAAAAAACTATGAAAAGCTTGATGAGAAAAACTTCAATAGATAACGCTTCGAGTTCAGCTTCACAGTAGCTCAGACTCGAGCTGAGAACCAACCAAAACCGTCGAAATGGTAGAAGGAATCGCCGAGGAAAGTAATTTCTTGGCTTGATGTGGCGGTTCTCAGCCAGATCGAGTGCGTTGTGGGCGGAGCCAGGGGGAGCGGCCCGAGTTTTTCTCCAAATTCATACTACTCCTACTACAACTACGGTGTCCCCGAAATTATAACACGGCGGGGATTCTTCTTTTTTTTCGGCATATTCTTGTCGAGGCGAAGCACGTTTATTAGATGCATAATATAGAAGTTGGTGGGGGGAAACCCGTTTCTGGCCTTTTGTAGGTCAGAATGTGGGCCGACGTCTCCTTAATAGCCTACTACTGTAGTTGTCAAGTTGTTGGGAAGGAGAATTTGGCTGAGAGTCTGGGGAGAACCAAGTTTCAAGCAAGATTATATTCACAAGAACTGTTGAAAGGCTGAAAAATGAGAAGGAAAAAGAAAGCAAGCTTAAATTGATTTTACATGAGCTTTGAAAAGTGGGAAATCTCTAATGAAGAAAAGTTGAAATTTAAAAAAAGTCAAAAAAAGAAAAAGAAAATTTGAATCATTAAACACGATCAAGCTTGATTTTTTGAAAAAAATAATGATTAAATGGATATTTATGTACCCGAAAACCTCCCGAAGAACGGTTTCGATTCGATTATAAAAAAATAGTTTTTGTCATCTAAGGGGTCTTTGAAAATTAGATATAAATCAAAAAAACGAAAAAAATTCTGAAAAAAATTTATTTTTGCGCTATTTAAAAAAAGCTTTCAACTTTTTTTCCAACTGCCTCTAAATTTTTTTAAAAAAATCGAAAAAAAGGGGCAAAGATTCAGAAATCTAACTGTTCTGGAGCCTAGCTCACTAGGAAAATACTTTCGGGAAACCTCAACAGATTCCAAGAAAACGAAGAAGGGAACCACGAGATGAGCCGCACATACACAGCGGAGCTCTCGCTCTCCTCCCGAAAACAGTGTAATGAGCATATCGAGTCCGGGCAACTGCTCGGACGGCAGGTTTGTAACAGAACACGGAGCTCCGCCCAAACCTGGCGCGTCTGGCGGACGGCGCCTTTACAGGCCTTGCCACATGTTAACCGCCCTCCTCGCCGAGCCGCTTATATGGAGGATATTCGAGAAGTATATCAGGTCAATATACGTTTCGGACGAAAGCCTTTGAGGTTGTATCCGATTGGACTGTCTGGGCAAGACCTTTAGCAGAACCAAAACGAGCCAAATTTTAACTTGAAAAAACTTTATTTGCAGTAAAATGGACTGAAAAGTTGAGTGGGGGTGAGACTATTCGGGAAAGGAAATCAGAAAAAAGGCAAGTTTTCGCTTTAAAATAACGTTTTCCATTGAAAAAACTGCCTTCAAAAGGGACATCAGGTCAATAAAGTATCAATGATTTCGTCGTCTCCGCTAGGAATATCAGGAAAAAAAAAATCAGTTTCTCTTCTTGGTTAATAGGATTTTTATCGAATTAAAACAATCGAAAGATGGACTTTCAGGTGACAGTGTATCCGAATGAACCATTAGAGAAAAATTAGAAAATTTTTCACTAGAATGAAACTGAAATAAGCTGCGGTAAATATAATAAGACTTTTTTTGAGAAGAATTGTCGACAAGCTTATAAGGAGAGTCAAATTTTCCTTCAAGGATAGCAATTTTTCGACGAAACAGGCCGGCAGTTAACTTGAAGTAATATCGAATTTGAAAAATCAAAAATTAAGAAAAAAAAATAATTTGAACAATGATTTTTTATGGGAACACTGTTCTAACAAAAAGACATTGTTTCATGGAGAAATAAGAAAACGTTCACTTATGGGCTCGTAAAAAAATATTATCGACTGCCTATTAAACCAACTAAGTAACTGAAAAAAAGTTTTCAAAAAAATCATTGAAAATTTCGAGAAAAAAATTACAATTTACGCATTCATAAAACGAAATCGTTCAATCAATATATCCCGCGCATCAAAAAAACTAGCCTGCACTAAAAAAATAAAACAGAGAACTTAATTCCGAATTTCTAAAGAAATTTCGAAATCAACAAGGAAAATCGTGAAATTATGGAAAGTGGAGAGAAATTTTTTTAACCTTTACAATCTTCTAATGAGTTTTACCCTCGTTAAGTTTTTAACTAACGTATATTCAAATAAAAACCTAAAACCATTCAAACTTGATATATAAAATTTTAAAGCTTTCATAAGTTCAAAAAGTCTCAAAAAAACAATAAACTGAAACCTGAACTGAGCAGATACGTAGACATTAAAAAAAAACCGACCTCCCCGTGGAGGTATGCAGAAAGGGTACAGAAAAAACAAAAATTTAAAAAAAAGCGAAAAAAAAAATTTTTCATGTCGTCAAATTGGGTGTCTTCGGCGCTTAGCAGTGTATACATCTTTACTTTAGACAGTAATTTTTAAATTATTTTTTTCTAGTGACAGGAAACTTTTCGGGAAAAAAATATCGTTAAACAATGTTTGTTTGTGGAAAAGTAAGAAATGGTGAGGAAAAGGATCAAATAAGCCAATGGGACTGCAACAACATTACACCTTCCTTCGTCCAAATACTTTTTACACTTGAAAGGTACTTTTGAAAGAGAAACTATTTTGATAACGTGGTATTTCTAGAGGTCTACGTATAGCTGGATCCGGCAGAGAAGTATTTCAAAAATCTCGTATCTGTCAGAATCAAAAGAATTAACTTCACGCATCTCTCGATTAATTAGCACCGATCGATGAAGCGTGAAAGCGGAAAGAACAAAAAAAAAGAAGGAAAAATGCTTGAAGGAAGCCTGGAAGGTATATGGCACATTGGCAGAAACGCACACAGTGTGAGCCACGAGACGACAAGCGCTCCCGAAAAAGGGGCGTGGCGTTGAAATGGCGGAGGAGCGCAAGACGGCGACGAAAAACCGCCAGATCCTGGAATTTCCGCCTTTCTCGAGCTTTCTTTTTTTTTTTGGTTTTACTTGGAATGGGATCGGGGTTGGTTCGAACTTCTTTATTTCTTTGAAAGCAAGAAAGAAGTTTTTTTGATCAATTTTTCGAGGCTTACGCTTGGAAAGGTCGAGTTTAACACATTTCTATTCACCGCTGAACTTTTACCGGGATTAAGAAGGTTTCTGTAGATTTCTATAAACTCATAAATTTTTTATATTTTGTGCTAAAGCCGATTTCCTCATCCTATCCTTTAACTTTGTGATAAAGGGACAAGGACCATTCGAAGACCAAGAAAATTAAATTTTTTGAGACTTTTTGATCAGAATTATTTCTACGAGTTGTTTGATGGTTGAAAAAGGTATATCGAAGTCTGGAAAAGATCTCCGCTACAAGACCTTCTATTAGACTTAGCTATGCGCCTTTAAATATTTCTTGCGAATTAAAAATCGCTTCACCTTTTGTCTTTCCCATTCTTTTTCTGTCATTCCCTTTTTGAATGAAAAGAGTATCGAAATCGACCAGGAAAAGCCCAAAAACGGCGTCCTACGGTAGCGTGGAAGTGGGCGGAGCCAACGACGCCAAAACCGGAATGGCCTGCGCCGCGTGGAAATTATGGCCGCCGAGCGGCTTTCCGACTTCATTATTCGTCATTTTTCTTGTCTGTTTGGCTCATCGAATCGGGAAAAAAGGGGCTCGTTGCCAGCTCTCGTCTTGTTGACGCCGAATTTCCGCGGGCTTTGAACTTTTTAGCTTGTTTGTTGATAGCAAAAGGGACTTCTTTCCCTTATACGGTACTTTTTGTTAGTTCTCGGCGGAGTTTGAGTCAAGATGGGAGAGAAACAAAAATATTTTCGATACTGGATTTTTTAAAAGAAGCGATTTAAGGTCTAGACGCAAACCATTGACAGTAACATTGGGAGAACTTTTTAAAACTTCAAATAGTCCTTGTAGAACAGAAAAATCAGGTTTGCTCCTTATTTTTCTTCAAACCACTAAACGGTTGAGTTTTCTATTGAGGATCAGCCCAAAATGAGCATATTTTAAAATTGTGAGGGTTATTGGAGAAGCATATACTTATAATGAGAAAAGTTGAAGTTTGAAAAATCAAAAAAAAACTTCCAGTAGCTTTCTTAAGATTTAAAAAAGCTCAATTTTGGTAAAGATGTGAACAAGATGTCCACCTACAGAATCTAGCTCAAAATCCTTCCAAATTTTTCACAATTTATCAGAATTCCTCTACTGAAATTCGAACTCAAAAATCCCAAAGTTCGAAAAAAGCCCAAGAAAGAGAGAACTTCCGAGCCGATGGAAATAAAAGTAGTGGAGCCGATTGATTGATTGCTTTGGAGGCGGAATGCGAAGGAAAACGATCCCATTCAGCCATATGTGGCCGCACTGCAATGGAATTCAGTCGCACACGTTATAAACAATTTGGCAGCATTTCGCGGAGGTTTTCCATTACGGTTGGTTTTGGGGAATAGGGTCCGAAATATGAAGAGGAAAAGCTCAAAAATGGAAATGGTACTTTGGGAGCTTTGAAGTTGGGGTTTGAATCAAAAAAATGCTCGATTTTTATCAAAAATAGAACCTGATAAAGATCAGTTGGTCTTAGCTTTAAAAATCGACGATTTTGAAAAAGTATCCAACTTTTTTAGTTCAAGGAATCTTTAACAGTTTCTCAATTTGATAAACAAGACTCTAACATGTCTGCACCCTCTTTTCTATCTCCGACGTGGTCATGGAAGTAGAAATAGTACGTATAACAGAAAAGTTGCTAAAGAAATCACAGAAAAATAATATTTTTTCAATTGATAGAAGTGCAGTTCGAGTTAAGAAAAAAAGCTGGAACCAAATAATAAACTTAGATTTTCAAAATCTGACATGATGATAGGAAGTCTGAAGGGATTCTAATAAAAACTTCAACTTCAATTTTCTCTGGTGAGCCCAATTTCGGGAGTTTTTTTAGGGAGCTTTTCTTCAATAAAATCACAGAAACTCGAAAAAAACCTACATTCATCTGAAGCTAGAACAGATAGCTAGGAAAATTCAATCTTCGAACATTTTTTATAAGCCGCGCAAAAAAGAATACTAAACTTTGACCTTCCTGGAGACTTCAAAGCTCAGGAAAAGTAACCGAAGTCACAAGGAGCTCATTTCTGAACTCAACTCAAAAGACCAGCTTCCAGAAGAAAACAAGTAACTCCAAGTCCTCTCCAAGACAAAAAGGAAAAAGGGGGGCAGGGCAGCCTACCGTAGTCCAAACACAGAACGACGCAACTTTATGGCGGTGGGGGAGGCCTGGAGCGCTTTTTTGTCGCTCTTCCAATCATATGTGCCTTCTCGAAACGGCGCCCTTGCCGTGTGGATCCGTGTTTGCCCACTTTGCAGACGCCTGAGCCGCTCACGCAACTCTCCGGCAGGTTGCCGCCGCCGTCGTCCGTGTCCTGGATTGGCAAGTCCGTCAGATATCACTCGGATTTCTTCGGGAAGGGGATTTTCTACTTTGGTGTCTGGAGAAGAAGCAGCTGGTCGGTTGCGTTGTTGAGAAGAAAATGGACAGGAGGGTGAAGAAATCGTCCTGGAGGTCCGAGCTTCTCGTTTCAGTTTTTAGCCCAATTCATCGCATTCTAACGCTTTAAAGGCATAGGGGCAGTAAAAAACGGTGTTTCAGTTCAAAGCAGTACTTTGTAGAGCTTTTCATTGCGAATCGAACGGTAAACTTGGAAATGTACCAAACTTCCTAGTTTTAGAGAAAAAGTAATTCAAAGTCGGAGAAAGAAAAGCTTGAGTTCCCGCCAAAAGGGCGTTTTGCAGTAAAGTCGCTCTATGGACAACAGATGGGCAATCAAGACTTTCGAGACCGTCAGATAAGAAAATTATCCAAATGCGGATCTGTCCGCGGAATTCTCTTCTCGGTGTCGAAAAAAAAAGTTCCTGGTCAATTTTCAAGTTTTATTCAGAACCGAAAGTACAAACGTGAAGCTCGAAAAGGATATGAGCCCTGATTTTTTTCTCCTGCGGTTTGGTCTTTTATTATCAAGAGCTCCCGACGAGTTTAGCTTTTGGAACGATCAATGAAAACCTGAGCTTCTACGAGGAAGACCGCCAGATATTCCTTGGGTTCTTGGGGAATGATATTTTTTTTGGGACGTCTTGAAGAGAAGCTTCTGATCGATTTTGTTGCTTCAGTCACTAAAATATTTTAAAAGATTGCCCTAAAAGTCTGAAATTTAGTTTCTCCATGTCAGATAATGTGCGGCATGATATCTAGATCCTCCTTGTCAGTTCAATAACGAATTCTTGACAAGTATAGTCTGTGTACCACGACTTGGAATTTCACCGAACGACATTCCGCTGTTCCGCTGTTCCGCCGGGCGCCTTTGCGAATCTCGGTCGCGCTTTCAATTTTTTCTTTCATTCAAAACGTGGAACGATCCATCTATCAGCGATAAAAATAGTCTGGAAGGGCGACCTAGATCCGCAAAGGAAAAAACGCTTCGCGGCCGTACGCAGCGGAACGTCGTTCGGTTAAATTTCAAGTCGTGGCACACAGACTATAGATGGTAAATGAAGACCTGGGAGAGTGTGAATAATAAGAAAAATCTACTCTTTTTCGAAAATGACTCGAAGTTTACTTTGACCCCATCCATCTTCATATTTGACTCCAAAGTCTATTTGAAACTTTTTTCTCGTTTTCCTTCCACGCGGCGGAATGAGTCAGTATCATCAGAGTTTTTGCCGCTGCCGAAGAAGCAACATTGTCCGATAAAGGCAAACAGACGGGAGCAAAGAACCAGGAAGGCGCCCATCCCGACCGGAGCCGGTTTTCGCCGCAATAGGAAGGATGAGACAAGTGGAAACAACGGCTCCATGGGGGCAAAAAAGCCGTTGCGGAACACGGTGTTTTGGCTTTGTTGAGCGGATATGCATGGCAGGGAATGGCTTTCACGTTTCCAGTCAACTTTAATAGACCTCTAAAGAAATTTTAAAAAGACTCCAAAGAAATTTTAGAAAGAAAACAAAGAAAACGTGAGATTTCAACACAGACAAGGCTCAGTTTCGAGTTATTATTTGAGCTTCTTATGTTTAATAACGAACCAAAATGAGAATCACTGGTAGAAAAAAATCGAAAAAAAGATACAAAAAAAGATTTTTTTCAACTTTTTTCTCAGAATAAACTCTTATAAGTATAGAAGTTGTAAAAAAAACAGGAAAAGAAAATGAAAACTGTAATACGAAAAGAAAAACAAATGTTTTGTTGCGAAATTTGTTGCGAAAATTTGGCTATTCCGCTTATTTGAGCTCTGATTTATTTTTAAAAAAAGTTTGAAAGTCTCGTGATTCATTTTATAAATCAAGAAGTTCTCTGTATTATTCCCAGAAACTTCAGAATTCAAATGAAAATAAATCCCCTTGTCAAAGCTTTTTTGCAAAAACGGTCCTTGCAAAAGCGTCAGACAAGACTCAAACAGACTCAAACACATAACATCGAAAAAAAGGGTCAAAATAAAAGTATCGAGTTGGAATTCGGCGGCGGCCGAGGAAAAGCTGCTCAACAAGAGGTATGCAAATGTTTCGGACCAACCCAACTTGGACCTCCGTCGCGCAGAAAATCGTGACGTAAGCAAACGAGCCATTTTCGTACATGAGAAGCATGCGAAGATGCTCGGCCGGGGGCAAATATACAGGAGCCTCACAGGCAAACGAGGCTTATCCAGCCGTCGGATCTCCATTCAGATCAGCTCGCCCGGGAAAAGGGAAGAAATGGGGAGGAATTGGGTTCTGTAGAGTGAGAAGAACAAGACTGAGTACAAGAAGAGGTTGAAGGAATGGAAAAAGGGCAGAAATCTGGATAGAAGGCAAATTTCTGGCATTATTATATTTTATCATTCTCTGTGAATCGATAAGGAAGTACTCTGACATCTACATAAGAAATCTTGAATCTTTCAACCTACATAATTTCCTATTTTTCATTCAAAAAATGACACTTTAACTTGACGAAAATTCCTTAAAAAGTTGATTTATATAGGTAATTTTGACTTTAGTTTCATTATTATTGGAACAGGAATATTTTTGTACTACCAGAATCTTCAATTACCAGATTCAGGAATACTTCGGCTAACTTTCGGAAAATTCCCTATCTAAAAGTGAAATTGCCTTTTTAGGAAGGTCATTCAAAATATGGAGAAAGTTTGATTTTTCAAAATTTGGAGAAAAAATTGAAAAAAGGTAGAAGTAAAAGTGAAAGTTCGAAAAAAAAAAAGCTAGAAAAATAGAAAGTGAAATCCATCAGAGGCCCTCAACCCTTAGAAGGAAGAACGAAAAAAATATTTTTTTTTCTTGAGACCTGGAAATATCGAAAAAAAGTCAAGCTAGAAACGATAGGAAGACGTAATGAAAGGTTAGAAGTCTTTGAAATCGATATAGGATTAAAGAACCTGATCATAAACCTTCACAAAAAGGAGAAAACTTGAAATTAGAATCTTCAATGAACAAAAATATCGTAAAACTGAGAAGAAAAACAAAAATGATTGAAATATTTAAAGTCCCATTCAACAGACTTGACACTACTGAATCGTTTTTTTTTAATTTCAAATAATACTGAACACTTATTTTTTAAATTTCGAATCTATTATCAAATACCTGGTTGTAATATGTTTCGTCACTTTGATATAACCAAAATCCGTAGTTTTGAGTTTGATCATCTCATCTTTTCGTCCTCATATAGACGCTGAACGTGTGACGGCTTCGAAACGCTATCTTCAAGTTGCGGCCGACTAAAAACTGTTTGCGCCGGGAGACATGAGAGCCTTTTTTGCCGAAGCCTTGAGTTACTCCACGTGGGTCCAATGTGTTGAAACTTCATTGCCTTCGCCCCCTTGGCCTCCAAATCAAGGCTAGGGGATTCATTTCCTGACTCAATAATTTTCCTCCAGCAACGAGCAACATGAACCAGGAATTTGGACGATAATCCACTCGGAGACTGTATAAGGGAGCGTGTTTGCATGAAAAGCATGGGTGCGTATTTGTCTCAATGTGTCTCTGTGTGTCTGGGAGCCGTCGATCTTCCATCACGAACTCTTGTTTGAGTTCCAACTCCCTCTTCGTCTTCTACGAAACAACCCTTTTCGCTAATATTTCGAGATTTTCGGATCAGAGAGAAGGAGATAGTTGATCAATCATAATAGGATTATTATCAAAATCAAAATTACCGTGGAAATTCGGCAAGGAAGCACTCTAAAAACGAAGTATGGATGGGAAAATTGGACATATTGCACGATTAAATGGGAAATTTCGATTTAAAACCATCAAGAAATTTCCTTTATCTGTTCAATGAATACATGTCAAAATTTAAATTTCAAAAGTTTGCAACAGAGATTTTTGTAATAATGAGCTTTATTTGGAAGTTCTTCTTTTTAAACTTTTTATTTGTTTTTTTAAAAAAGTAAACGAGGCATATTATGCTATTCGCCTCCATTTGTTTTGCCACCACAGCCGCATGCAGAATGTCTCTACGCGCTGCGGATGCTTAGCGATCGTCTCATTTCGCGTCCGACCTGAAACGGTTTTCGCGATGAGACATCGGAAACCTTGTAAGTGAGACACTGACGGTCCAGCTCCCACCGCATTGCGACCGCGGAGCTTTGAGTCATTCCACGTGCGACCATGGACTTAGAAAAAACATATCAAAATTGACAGATTGTTTTTTAGTTTAATCAAATGATAGGTTGTCACAGAGCACAAAAACAATGCCGATCGTCAAGAATTAGGTCCTGCGACGATAAGAATTTTACAGTGACCTGCACATAATCCTAGCAAGCTAATATGATTTGAGCAGACCATCTGTTCACGGAATAAATGGAAAAAGTTTATCTTTAAAAAAAATTTTTTTTGACGACTGAAACAGAGACTTTGTAATAGTGAGCCTTATTTTGCTTCAAAATATCATTTCCGCATGTGCAATGCTACGCGATACGAATGCTAAACGGTCGTCTCATTTTGCGTCCGACCTGAAGCGGTTTTGGCGATGAGACATCGGAAACCCTGCAAACGAAATGCTGAGGGTCCAGCTTCTACCCCATTCAAACCGCGAAGCTTTGAGCCATTCCACGTGCGACCATGGAGTTAAAGGCGGCGGAAAAAATTTTCAAAATTGAGAGATTTTGGAATTTTATCAACTGTTAGGTTGTCACAAAGATCTTAGGAACGCCGATTGTCAAGAATTAGGTCCTGGAACGATAAAAAAGATTACAGTAACCTGCTGGCGAGCTAATAGGATTTGAGCAGACATTCCAAAAATGCAAACAAGAAGAAGACCATATCAAAAACCAACACAAGACAGAATATACGACCTTTTTCTCGGAAGGTTGGAGGCCACGTTTGGGAGGACGAATCAAATCAAAACGTCTTATTGGTGAAAAGTGCTTTGTCCTTTGTGGAATCGTGCGGTTTTACATGCCGTAGATAATGACAACATTCGACGTCTCCATCCGCTTTTTTCGCGGCTCCAATTCACGCTTTTTCTGGCCGCCGCCGCTGCGTCGACCTCGTTATGCTTATTAGCCCATACCTGTCCCATGGTTTCCTTGCTCAAACTATTCCAAAAGTTCAAATGAACAAGGGAACGTTTTTCTGGGAGCTATTGGAACCAGCTGAAGGATCGACGAATGGATTTTGTCGTTGAAAATGCTTTGAAATGTAAATTACTTAATTTCATCCATAACAATAATGACATTTAATAAACTTTATTGTTTTCATTTCAATTTCGAAAAAAATGAAAAAACTTAAGATTCAATTTTTCAGTGAAAGAGCGATAAGCACTTACAAAAAATGAGACAACTGGTCAAATTTAAAAAAAAAAACCCTTGAGCTGAAAATGTAATATTTTAGTCTAAATTAATCTTTTTTGAAAGTTTCAGAGCTTTTGATTTAATATTCCTATTCGAAAGATTTTTCAAATTTTTCAGAAAAATTGGCCGTTTCCGGAAGCAATTTCATAATCTGAAATTCGCATTCGCATTTTTGTCTAGGCTACTGTACACATACGCGCAGCCCTGCACGCCGGCGACAAACCACACGGCAAAATTTTTTTTTCATTTTTCAATAAATTTTTTTCTTTTTAAATGCATTTTTTTCTTTTTTTATTTTATTGAACCAGTTACTCTCGAACTTTAATATGTTCTACTTTTTGTCCGGTATTATCATTATTTTACCGTTGTGAGAAAAAAAGTAGCCATCTATAAGTCAAATTAATTTTTTTAATATAGTTTTTCGCTTTTGAGGCCTTACCATAGTTTTATCCCCATATTTCTTGTTTTCTATAAGTTCATTACCATATTAAATATTACAGAGTTAGTCTTTTCTCGGTGAAAACTTTTTTGAACTATGTTTTCTTTACCTTTTAGGTTATTTCAGTTTTTTGTGTTTTCCTTTTTGAGGTAGGGTTTCTTCGCGAATTAAAACTCGAATAAGGCAAAGTTAATTTCATTGAGATTACCCATCACTGTTTTTTTTTCTTAATATATATATCTTTTGTTTAATTTTTGTTTTCGAAGCTATTTTTCGGCGAAGAAAAAGTGCTTGCCTTTTCCCACGACCACCGCTGCTAATTGACACATTAGGAAGTGTTTTCCTTTTCTTATAAAATATTGCTGGCATGTAGATGATTTATTCAGGCAGCTCCCATGAGCCCCGTTTTCCCTTTCCTTTATGTATCCCAGGGCGCCAAAATCTTTTCTTTTGTTTTGCGTCCACCTCGTATTGCTTATTTTCCGAGCACTTGCGTTCGAAATTATAGTTGTGAAAATGGGAAAAGGATGTTTATCGACAGATGTCGTACCAAACGACTCTCGAGCAGCTGAAGCGGTATCGGAATGCGCAAAAAGAGGCTGAGTCAGCTGCGGCGCAAGATTTTCCTCCACAAGTGCGTTTTTTTCTTTATTTGGTAGAGACCGTTAAATGTGTACTTATGATCTGTTACACGTTTATGGAGAACTAGAAGCACTATTTCCTTCAAGTTTTTATCGAATTTTTCAAATTTTTCACGCTGTGAAGGCCAAATTTCACCATTTTATCATCCACAATAAATTCAATTTTTAAAAATTCGATTGTCACTTTTAAACTCTGTTTCGTGTTCGAATTATATAGTATTTTTAAAATTTGGTTCATTGAGATTTGTTTCTAGGATGGAGTTATCATTAGAAAACTTTTTGCTTTTATTTTTTACCTTTTATTTTTAAATTTTCCTTTGAGCATTTTTTATCTGAATACTTTTTGAGCTGAAGAAGTTTTTATTGAAAATAAAAAAATACAGAAAAGCTTCATGTTTTGAAATTTCTTATTATTTGAATTAAAAAAAACAATAAGTTCATAGAAGATCCTGAGGTCATGAACGAATTTCAAATTTTTCGACATTTCAAATTTTTTTAAATATTTTTTTAGCAGCTTTCTAGATTCGTATTTATTTTATAATTATCATTCTAAATAATTAATAATTTTCATCAGAAATTCAGCTTTCTGAGATTATTTTTTTGGTAAAATTTAGATAAATTTCTTCCTTTTTTTCGTACTCTGAAACTGGATGAAGTTATGATTTTTCTTATCTGAAGCTTTTGACAATCCATGTTTTTGACCGTTTTTTATAATCATTTCTTGAGTTATAGTAGAAGTAAACTATGTCGCGAAAAGTCCAGCCACCCAAAAAATAGTTTTCTGGATAATCGAAGACAGAAAATTGGCCGTTGAGCGCATTTTCTTCTTCCCTAAATCTTTTTTGGAGTCATCTTGAAACTTTCAAGAAATGCGTGGTCGTACCTAAAATCATACCCAACTTAAAATCTCGGAAAATCTAGCCGTTGAGTCGTCTAGAAACATTTCCTCTCATGTCAAAACTTCAAAGAAAAAAAAAGCGTGGGTTGAGACGTCTCACGAAAAGTTTCCAGAAGGCCGAAAACGAAGTGAAAGTCGAGTCGACGAACCGCCAACGGCCAAAAGCTCAGGGGATTTGGCTGCGGCTCTTCAATATCGACTTGCTCGATAATTTCGCTTTCCGGGCCTGGCGTGATGTCTACCATCGGCATCCCAATCCCACAATCATCGGTTCTCTCGGCTTCTATCTCGTCGCCCAGCTGTTCTTCGTCTGGTTCGTTCCGCGCCCCAACCTTAATCTTGTTTCTATTTTCGGGCAAGTAAAGAGCTCAATTGGCCTAGAAGGAGGGCGTCGATTACCAAAAATTTACTAACAGATACAAGAAAAAAAGTGTTTTTTTAAGTTTGGGGGAAGGGGGGTTGTTTAGGCAGCAAGCTAGGCTCAACCTTAGGGAAGTATTTCTGACTTTAAGTAAAGAAGGGTTGAAAGAAGGATAAAGCTTCTATCCTTGTTTTTTTCTTCCATAAATGGGTTTTCAATCCAAGAAAGGTTCTCAAGAAGTTAACTACAGATTGAAATAAGGAACAAGTTAGGAGCAATCTTAAAGAGTTATTTAAAAGGAACTTAAAGAAAAAATAGGTGAACTGGACTTTGCTTGAACCGTCTTTCGAAAATAGTTTTTGGATTTAGCGGTTTTTTCAATATATCCTTAACTTCGAATCTGTTGATTGGGGCTGTAAATATGACAACCATTTCGAACGAATTCGAATATTTGGAGGGAATAGATTCAGAACTTTTAGTAGAAGCAAGTTTATTTGGTCTAGTCTCATTTTACATAGTTTTTGAAATGTTAATATTCAACGTATCATGCTCAAATCACAATATATTCAAAATAAAGAAGTAATAAAAAGTTTTTCTCAACTAGAGTTTGAAGGTTTTTTTTTCAAAAAAATTTCTAAGTCGAGCTGTAGAAATCACTTTTTAGTATCATTTCTTAACTTGACGAAATTTTCAAAATCCTATCCAGTTTTCAGGTTTTTGTGAATCTCCCAGATTATAGTGTCTAGAACAACCAAGACATTTCAGTATTTCATTTGAAACTTATAGTTTTTTTTTGTACTTTCAACGCTCAATTGGAAATTTTGAAATTCGGAAAAATTGGTCCTTGATCAAATCTCTTCCAAGGTCTAAAAACAACTTGGATCCTTGGTTCGCTTTGGGAAGCTTTTCCCTACCCAGAATCTAAACAACTTTTTGTTCCATTTTGTCTCTCTGAAAAACAAAACAACTCAAAGACCTCTTCATTTGAAACTCGATTATTGTGAGATTAGTTTTACTTGTCATCCCTTTTCAGAGGTCTAGAAGAATGTTTCACAAATCGGGTTTCCTTTGATTTGCAGAAGGATCTCTTTCTTTTCCTCCCTTTTTTGACCCTCGACGCCAACTGAGAAATCTTCCGCCCATTCAGAGCCTGGGAAGAACGCCTTGATGAGCTCCCATCTTTTTTTTCCTTTTTTTCTCTTAGACTTCCTAAAAGATTCTTTTCTTTCTTACATTTCTCTTGAACTCTCATCGTGATTTGTTATAGTTTATAAGAAATTTAAAGAATTTCCAGCGGTTTTCGAGTTTCTCTAATAGCCGAAATAGTGGAGAGACCTTCTAGTTCAATTTTCAAAAATTCAAAAAAGGTAAACTCAGAAATTCCTCTCTTGCTTTTTTGTGCTTTTCAATGTGAGTGTGAGAATTGAGATGCTTCAGAATGTTTCAAAAATCAAATAAACAATTCCAAATTTTTCACGGCCTAAGTTTTCAAAAATTTGATGTGTTTTTCTTTTTTTAAACAACAAAAAGAAAATAATTTGCATTATTTGTCTGTGAAATTTGAGCCGTTTTTCCATATTTTCCTGGTTTTATTTCTGGAAAAACCTCCATGCCTATTTTTTTCAGCAACTATATTTTATTTTTTTAAATGATATTTTTTTCAGCCTTTTTTTGAAAAATTAATTGCATTTTTCTGATTTTTTTCTCAATTCTCAGTTTTTTTAGCATTTTTTTAGTTTGAGACCTCATCGAGCACTTTTTTTGCTTACATTTCCTGCAAGCTTCTGTAAACACGGAATTTGGATTCGGGAAATGCACTTTTAGAACGTTTCATAAATTTGAAGTCTTTTTTTCCCTTGTTACTACAATTTTTCGAAATTCTCGGTTCATATCGGCTTGAAAAAAATTTTATTTTCATGAAAATTTATGGTGTGTTTTCGTGAAGCAACATACAATGCCATAAATCTTTCCGAGCTCTTTTTAGAACCCAAGTTTCTCGTTTGTCGTCTTTTCCAAGTCCCGAAACGTATCAATCTTGTAACAACTGTTCTTGAGAAATGTTCGGGATTGCTGCTTATTTTCCTCCATGAGCTCCGCGAAGTTAATAGCCCTTTGAGACTCTGGCTTTTTTTTCGAGAAGAGTTTTTTTATCGTTCAGTTTGAAAATTGAATTCAAAAAAAGTTATATAGAAATCAAACCTCCTTAAGAGGCCACTTATGGTCGGACGACCACTTAAATTCTACCCCTCCAGGGAGCATCATTTTGTCTCTCAAAGTGGCTTTTTCCCCAACCCCCAAGTGACCGCTATGGCGTTCCGAAGTCTGGATTTTAGGACTAGGGAGTTTATACTTCCCCCACAAGACATCTTCAATTAAAGCTGCTGAAGAGTAATAAGAAGCGGTTTCGGGGGGGGTGGAAATAGCCGGGAAGAGTTGCGAAACAATGGAGCAAGACGACGGGATTCCCCCAATTAGCATGCATCGCGCTGCACGGACGACGCTTCTCTCCCCTACAACATAACGTCCAATTTGACATTTATTCGTCATTCTTCTTCCCCCCAAAATGCTCCCTTTTTCTTGCCTCTGACTGACTTCAATTTTGGAGTGAATCATCCTTTTGGTTCAGTGTTTTTGGTAGCCTTTTAGGATCTTTTTTTAAGGCTGGGGTATTTTTTTTCCAACTTGAACTTGAAACTTGATTGGCCCGTTGAAGGTTATCTTCTAAACCAAGTTTCAGGGAAGCTGTTGTGTTTTATTTGAACTGAGAGCTTAAATTAGCATTTTGTATAAGTTTGAAAAACTAATTGTTTTTATATCTTTCTGTGAGCTTGAAAGGTTTGGTCTCGGTAATTTTGGTACAGGCCTTAGTGAACTCAAGTTCCTTACACAAATTTTTCCGATATTTTATTAGAGATGATATTTTTCTACCGATCCTCGGGGGCTTCATTTGTCGCAAAAATGAGCTTTTAAAGTTATTTTTCATCCATTTGAAGTTAGATCATTCCGGGTCAATCTACTGGAATTTATATCGAAAATCAACAATTTCCCTCTTACAGGGCTCAATTCGGCATGGTTTTCTTCGTTTTGGCGGCCCTGACGGCGATTTGCCTGAACCTGGGCCAGAGGGACCGCGACCAGCCCAGCGCCTACTCGGTCTTCAACGAAAACTGCGAACGATTGCCCGGCCAAATGACCGCCGAACACTTTGAACGCGACGTTCTCCAAAGGAGAGTCAAGTGAAAAGCTCATTTTCCGGCATTCTGTAAATAGTTTGTGTTCTAATCGCATCAAATGGTAAATGAACGAGTAGCTGTTGTTTGGGTTACGGATTGGGGGTCTTTGTTGACCTGAATCGAACAGATTTCATTGGTTTCTCTAGTTTTGATGTGTAGTTCTTCCTTCCTCTTTTTTTCTGAGTATTTAATAATTTTTTTTGTTTTTCTTATAATTATGTGCGTGGTATATATTTTTGCCTAGAGAAAAACTTTAATCAGTACTAAAAAGAGTGGAAAGTATAAAGAAAGGCATGATTTAACAGTTGCAAATCAGAAAAAAACCAGGAAAGCATTTTTGGAAGCTCAACGTTCCAATTTCAATTTTTAAGGCCAATTTCCGAAAAATTTGACATTTTTCAAAGTTTTCAAATGCTTCGGTTCATCAGAATCACGTTGAAATTTTTTCCGGAAGGAAAAGCTTCGAAAACAGATTTTTGGGTTTTAAAGGAGCATAGATAAATTTTGTATAAGTTTTTCGAGACGAATAACTTTTTTCCTGTTAATTCAGACTTCTTCGTCTTTAAAAAACCGAGAAAGCTTTTAGAAATGGTTTTTAGTTGGTTTACAACTTTTACTTCGTTCCGAATCTTCATTTTTAAGTTCCTTTACTCTTCAAAAGCTGTTCAAATCGCCTTACCTGTCTTTCCAATTAAAAAATCTAGGTAATTAGCGTTATCAGACCCTTAAATGGTCGCATGCAAGGGCCCGCGGACAAACACGACAAAACGTAAGAAGTCTCGGGTCGATTGTTTGCGTTGACCACTCGAAAATGAAATGCGACCTTGCGCGTCTTTTTGCAGGCTCCTCCACGAACCCCCAAAGGTCATTCCCACGTATTATGCTCTAAATCCCTCTTTTCCCTTAGTCCCGGCCAGCCATTGTTATCATTTGCAGTAGCCGGGGAATTGTAGTCGTGGAGATTTGGACTCTTTTCAGGCCGTTTGTTTAGAATGACCACTTTTTCCCTCACGAGAAGTTGACCAAGAACAATTTTCGACTTTTTGAAGATTTTGGCTTTTTCCAGTAGTTTTTGTGTAATATGCTTACTTGAAGGTTATAAAATCCTGCTCTTTTCTATTTAATATCGGGAATTCCAACTTAAATCATATATTTAGTCGTTATCAGTTTTTTATCGTGGTTATAATTTACAATAGTCGAGGAGTTGTAAATTTTGATGTTTTTTGAGGTTCTGACTCTATTTTTGGTCTGTTGTCAATCTGAACGGCTATATTTCCCTTATACGATTTCTACAGCTGATAACATTTTTCAGCCTTTTCCGGCTGATAATTGATAATTTTTGTTGACTATAGGCTTTTCATTACTTTTTCCGATCTAGATAGCTCGAAAAATTGCGGCCTATTTCAGGACGTCTTCAAATATTCATAGAATCTTATCGACTCTAAAACATGCCTTTTTGAGACCTGATGAGAATCTCTTTCTTGAGGAATTGTAGTCGTGGAGATTTGGGTGGTTTTTGAGATATTAGCCCTATTTTTGTCGATGTTGTCGATCCAAAGGCTAATTTTCTTCTATTGGAATTTTAGTAGCTTTTTCTTTGAAGAGGTTTTTTGACCGCCGCTCAGTTGAAAAATTGAAGTTTTATACTTTTTTTTCAAATCAGAAGTTTCGATAATATGCTCGCCCTTTTTCTGTTAGTAAGTACTTGTCTCAAGAAAAGATCTTTTCAGTACTGGTTTTTTAAAAATAAGATAAGATCTATTTTCTTTATCCATTATAACTTTTGTTGGTTTACTCACGTCGGTTTGCATTTTCAAAAAGAAATATTTTTTGTTTGATCCGCCTCTTTGTGAATTTTTGCAGATTTTCCGTTTGTGTTTCGTTTTTACTGTATTAATCTCATTTTTTCATTTAATTTTGTTCTCTTACTTGTTCATTCTCAATAGACCCCTACAAAATCATTTTTTGGGCAGGAGCTCAGACTTTTTTCATGAAAGCCTCGAGGAAAAACGTCGTTTTTTAGTGTTATTTCACTAAAAGATTTTTTCAACCAGTCTCGAAATATTTTTGAAATAGCTATACCTGTAAATTTCCATAGAATTCTGATAGATCCACCCATTTATGTATCTTCTCCCCGCCCTGTAAGAATTTGTTTGCACTTGCCTTATCATTGCCGATTGTGTGATATCTTTTCTTTTCTTTTTGTCACTTGCTCGTTGTTTTCACCATCTTTGTGCTATTTTATGGGTATTAATGGTCATTTGGAACAAGAGAATAAACTTTTTTACCGGTTTTCCTGTTTGCTATAGTTTTTCTGTTGTTGCCAGCGGCTTTTCCGTCCGCCTTTGCATATCTGACGAAGCGTTCCGGCTCGTGTAACACAGTTGTATGTGTAAATAGTGAATTTATTCGTTCGTTTTGCCAGAAAATGGAATAGATCACACGATGGACGAATCCCACAGCTTGCTGCTCAACGAAGAAGCCTTCAAGGTGACTCTTTCGATTTTTCAATTATTCATTTGACAGCATTTTTCAGTTTCTAGGGTTTTTTCGATGGAAAAATTGTCTTTTTCAAAACCCAAAAATAATTTTTACCATTTTGAGAAAAGAAATACTCCCAATTTGAAGTTTTCAGCTCACTTAGGAACTCTAGAGTGTTCCCTATCGGGGCAACTTTAGGGACCACCTTAACAACCCCTATAGGGGTCACTAAAGCTTGCAAAAGTGGTCCCTATAGGGGAAATTTCATGAACTCTATCTGAAGAAGCACTTCCGTGCGAAAAACTTTGAAAAAAATTACCTTTTTTAAAGGAAAATCGATGACCCCTATATGGACCGCTTAAGCTTTAGGGGCTAAGTGATAAGATTCTTAACCCCTATAGGGACCACCTTGATTTTATCCCTATAGGGACAACTTTTTAAGTTCCTTAGGGGCTGTTTCAACCTCTAACTCCTATGGGACCATTCTAAAATTCCTAAACAGTCTTTTTTTTTAATAATTTTGAAACAAAGATTCCTTATTTTTAGAAAATCTTTTTGGGTCCCGTTTTTACTATAAGAATCAACACGATTTAAAAAAAAATACGAAACATTTCAAAGTTGAACACGTTTTTTTTAACGCTTTTGTCCGTCCCTATTCGAATCCGTATCATTTGAGGCTTGCCCGGACGCGAAAAAGGCGGTTTTCGTTTACGAATGGCTTCGCTACCTGGACAGGATACTACCGGTAACCCAACGGACCGACCTGAAGTCGGTCCAGCGGGACCTCCAGCGCCAGCTCGAGTCTCGGCTCAACAGCGCTTCCGGACCGCCGACCAGGCAGCTTCTCGCAAGGTTCCGTCAGAATTGTAGTGTTACTATACTGTAAAAGCACAGCTGAGAAAAAGCTACCGTAAACACGGGTTTTTGTTTGAAAGAACTGTGAAAAAGCGAAATTTGGCTCAAGTATTTTTTGCGGGAAAACATTGGGACTAGCTGCCGCGGAATGACCTTTATTTAGACAATTTTCAAGTTGATAGAATTTTTTTTATCGATTTATGAAAACGTTCAAAAGTTATTTTTTCAATAAATTGGTGTTTCAGGAACCAAGGAATTCCTGATTGCGTGTTTGATAATCCTAGAGAAACAGTTCTTTCAAAAAAACCTCAAATTTAGGAAAAACCCTTAACTTTAAGATTATTTTCATATCATACGTGGGCTAGCAGCCCATTTAGCACATGCGGGCCCCCCGATCCTTTAAGAAGGGTCGATAAGTTACAGGAAATCGGTTTATTTTATTCATTAAGCCTTTTGAAGTTTATTGAGTGGTGAAATTATTGACAAAATCTTATACTAGCGCCAAACGGTCGAAAATACTGAGGCGAATCGTATAAATCATGTCCTAAAAAAACTTCAGAATGATAGGTATCGATTCAATTTCTTTTTTTAAAAAGTGAATATTACACATATTACATGTTCTCACAAAATCTCAGGCCAATCGGAAGGGTTTGAAAATTAGTCATTTTCCGGCCATTAGAAAAAAATCAACTTTTTATTTTCGCTTTTTACGGCTCAAAATCATTACTCATCTTGAGATAACACCTAATAACGACGAATAACTCAATTTGCAACCTTTTGGAAGCTTTTTCAGTCCGATTACAAGATTTTGCGCTTGTGAGAATAAATATCAATTGGTGGCTTGCGGGCCCCCCGGCCTGTCCCTGATTTGCGAAAAATCGATCCTATTTCGATGTTAAAAAAATAATCATAAATCAGAATCTACGATCTGGCCAAGTTTCAGGCCGGTGGGATGAGTTTTGAGAAAAATGATTTCTCCGACCTCTCAAAAGTGATTTTTTGAAGTTTCCAATTTTTCGGCTCAAAATCATTATTAATTTCGAGATAACACCTAATAACGACGAATAACTCAATTTGCAACCTTTTGGAAGCTTTTTCAGTCCGATTACAAGATTTTGCGCTTGTGAGAATAAATATCAATTGGTGGCTTGCGGGCCCCCCCGGCCTGTCCCGATTTGCGAAAATCGATCCGATTTCGATGTTAAAAATAATCATAAATCAGAATCTACGATCTGGCCAAGTTTCAGGCCGGTGGGATGAGTTTTGAGAAAAATGATTTCTCCGACCTCTCAAAAGTGATTTTTTGAAGTTTCCAATTTTTCGGCTCAAAATCATTATTAATTTCGAGATAACACCTAATAACGACGAATAACTCAATTTGCAACCTTTTGGAAGCTTTTTCAGTCCGATTACAAGATTTTGCGCTTGTGAGAATAAATATCAATTGGTGGCTTGCGGGCCCCCCCGGCCTGTCCCGATTTGCGAAAAATCGATCCGATTTCGATGTTAAAAAAATAATCATAAATCAGAATCTACGATCTGGCCAAGTTTCAGGCCGGTGGGATGAGTTTTTGAGAAAAAAATGATTTCTCCGACCTCTCAAAAAGTGATTTTTTTGAAGTTTCCAATTTTTTTCGGCTCAAAAATCATTATTAATTTCGAGATAACACCTAATAACGACAGAATAACTCAATTTGCAACCTTTTGGAAGCTTTTTTTCAGTCCAATTACAAGATTTTTGCGCTTGTGAGAATAAATATCAATTGGTGGCTTGCGGGCCCCCCGGCCTATCCCGATTTGCGAAAAATCGATCCGATTTCGATGTTAAAAATAATCATAAATCAGAATCTACGATCTGGCCAAGTTTCAGGCCGGTTTGGGATGAGTTTTGAGAAAAAAATGATTTCTCCGACCTCTCAAAAGTGATTTTTTTGAAGTTTCCAATTTTTTTCGGCTCAAAAATCATTAATAATTTCGAGATAACACCTAATAACAACAAAATACTCAATTTGCAACCTTTTTGGAAGCTTTTTTTCAGTCCAATTACAAGATTTTGCGCTTGTGAGAATAAATATCAATTGGTGGCTTGCGGGCCCCCCGGCCTATCCCGATTTGCGAAAAATCGATCCGATTTCGATGTTAAAAAAATAATCATAAATCAGAATCTACGATCTGGCCAAGTTTCAGGCCGGTTTGGGATGAGTTTTTGAGAAAAAAATGATTTCTCCGACCTCTCAAAAGTGATTTTTTGAAGTTTCCAATTTTTCGGCTCAAAATCATTAATAATTTCGAGATAACACCTAATAACAACAAAATACTCAATTTGCAACCTTTTGGAAGCTTTTTCAGTCCAATTACAAGATTTTGCGCTTGTGAGAATAAATATCAATTGGTGGCTTGCGGGCCCCCCCGGCCTATCCCGATTTGCGAAAATCGATCCGATTTCGATGTTAAAAATAATCATAAATCAGAATCTACGATCTGGCCAAGTTTCAGGCCGTTTGGATGAGTTTTGAGAAAAATGATTTCTCCGACCTCTCAAAAGTGATTTTTTGAAGTTTCCAATTTTTCGGCTCAAAATCATTAATAATTTCGAGATAACACCTAATAACAACAAAATACTCAATTTGCAACCTTTTGGAAGCTTTTTCAGTCCAATTACAAGATTTTGCGCTTGTGAGAATAAATATCAATTGGTGGCTTGCGGGCCCCCCCGGCCTATCCCGATTTGCGAAAAATCGATCCGATTTCGATGTTAAAAAAATAATCATAAATCAGAATCTACGATCTGGCCAAGTTTCAGGCCGGTTTGGGATGAGTTTTGAGAAAAAAATGATTTCTCCGACCTCTCAAAAAGTGATTTTTTTGAAGTTTCCAATTTTTTTCGGCTCAAAATCATTAATAATTTCGAGATAACACCTAATAACGACGAATATACTCAATTTGCAACCTTTTGGAAGCTTTTTTTCAGTCCAATTACAAGATTTTGCGCTTGTGAGAATAAATATCAATTGGTGGCTTGCGGGCCCCCCGGCCTATCCCGATTTGCGAAAAATCGATCCGATTTCGATGTTAAAAAAATAATCATAAATCAGAATCTACGATCTGGCCAAGTTTCAGGCCGGTTTGGGATGAGTTTTTGAGAAAAAAATGATTTCTCCGACCTCTCAAAAGTGATTTTTTTGAAGTTTCCAATTTTTTTCGGCTCAAAATCATTAATAATTTCGAGATAACACCTAATAACGACGAATATACTCAATTTGCAACCTTTTTGGAAGCTTTTTTTCAGTCCAATTACAAGATTTTTGCGCTTGTGAGAATAAATATCAATTGGTGGCTTGCGGGCCCCCCGGCCTATCCCGATTTGCGAAAAATCGATCCGATTTCGATGTTAAAAAAATAATCATAAATCAGAATCTACGATCTGGCCAAGTTTCAGGCCGGTTGGGATGAGTTTTGAGAAAAAAATGATTTCTCCGACCTCTCAAAAAGTGATTTTTTGAAGTTTCCAATTTTTCGGCTCAAAATCATTATTAATTTCGAGATAACACCTAATAACGACGAATAACTCAATTTGCAACCTTTTGGAAGCTTTTTCAGTCCAATTACAAGATTTTGCGCTTGTGAGAATAAATATCAATTGGTGGCTTGCGGGCCCCCCGGCCTATCCCGATTTGCGAAAATCGATCCGATTTCGATGTTAAAAATAATCATAAATCAGAATCTACGATCTGGCCAAGTTTCAGGCCGGTGGGATGAGTTTTGAGAAAAATGATTTCTCCGACCTCTCAAAAAGTGATTTTTTTGAAGTTTCCAATTTTTTTCGGCTCAAAAATCATTATTAATTTCGAGATAACACCTAATAACGACGAATAACTCAATTTGCAACCTTTTGGAAGCTTTTTTTCAGTCCAATTACAAGATTTTTGCGCTTGTGAGAATAAATATCAATTGGTGGCTTGCGGGCCCCCCGGCCTATCCCGATTTGCGAAAAATCGATCCGATTTCGATGTTAAAAAAATAATCATAAATCAGAATCTACGATCTGGCCAAGTTTCAGGCCGGTGGGATGAGTTTTGAGAAAAAAATGATTTCTCCGACCTCTCAAAAGTGATTTTTTTGAAGTTTCCAATTTTTTTCGGCTCAAAAATCATTATTAATTTCGAGATAACACCTAATAACGACGAATAACTCAATTTGCAACCTTTTTGGAAGCTTTTTTTCAGTCCAATTACAAGATTTTGCGCTTGTGAGAATAAATATCAATTGGTGGCTTGCGGGCCCCCCGGCCTATCCCGATTTGCGAAAAATCGATCCGATTTCGATGTTAAAAAAATAATCATAAATCAGAATCTACGATCTGGCCAAGTTTCAGGCCGGTGGGATGAGTTTTGAGAAAAAAATGATTTCTCCGACCTCTCAAAAGTGATTTTTTGAAGTTTCCAATTTTTCGGCTCAAAATCATTATTAATTTCGAGATAACACCTAATAACGACGAATAACTCAATTTGCAACCTTTTGGAAGCTTTTTTTCAGTCCAATTACAAGATTTTTGCGCTTGTGAGAATAAATATCAATTGGTGGCTTGCGGGCCCCCCGGCCTATCCCGATTTGCGAAAAATCGATCCGATTTCGATGTTAAAAAAATAATCATAAATCAGAATCTACGATCTGGCCAAGTTTCAGGCCGGTGGGATGAGTTTTTGAGAAAAAAATGATTTCTCCGACCTCTCAAAAAGTGATTTTTTTGAAGTTTCCAATTTTTTTCGGCTCAAAAATCATTATTAATTTCGAGATAACACCTAATAACGACGAATAACTCAATTTGCAACCTTTTGGAAGCTTTTTTTCAGTCCAATTACAAGATTTTTGCGCTTGTGAGAATAAATATCAATTGGTGGCTTGCGGGCCCCCGGCCTATCCCGATTTGCGAAAATCGATCCGATTTCGATGTTAAAAATAATCATAAATCAGAATCTACGATCTGGCCAAGTTTCAGGCCGGTGGGATGAGTTTTGAGAAAAATGATTTCTCCGACCTCTCAAAAGTGATTTTTTGAAGTTTCCAATTTTTCGGCTCAAAATCATTATTAATTTCGAGATAACACCTAATAACGACGAATAACTCAATTTGCAACCTTTTGGAAGCTTTTTCAGTCCAATTACAAGATTTTGCGCTTGTGAGAATAAATATCAATTGGTGGCTTGCGGGCCCCCCCGGCCTGTCCCGATTTGCGAAAATCGATCCGATTTCGATGTTAAAAATAATCATAAATCAGAATCTACGATCTGGCCAAGTTTCAGGCCGGTGGGATGAGTTTTGAGAAAAAAATGATTTCTCCGACCTCTCAAAAAGTGATTTTTTTGAAGTTTCCAATTTTTCGGCTCAAAATCATTATTAATTTCGAGATAACACCTAATAACGACGAATAACTCAATTTGCAACCTTTTGGAAGCTTTTTCAGTCCAATTACAAGATTTTGCGCTTGTGAGAATAAATATCAATTGGTGGCTTGCGGGCCCCCCCGGCCTATCCCGATTTGCGAAAATCGATCCGATTTCGATGTTAAAAATAATCATAAATCAGAATCTACGATCTGGCCAAGTTTCAGGCCGGTGGGATGAGTTTTTGAGAAAAAAATGATTTCTCCGACCTCTCAAAAGTGATTTTTTTGAAGTTTCCAATTTTTTTCGGCTCAAAAATCATTATTAATTTCGAGATAACACCTAATAACGACGAATAACTCAATTTGCAACCTTTTGGAAGCTTTTTCAGTCCAATTACAAGATTTTGCGCTTGTGAGAATAAATATCAATTGGTGGCTTGCGGGCCCCCCCGGCCTGTCCCGATTTGCGAAAATCGATCCGATTTCGATGTTAAAAATAATCATAAATCAGAATCTACGATCTGGCCGAATTTCAAGCCGTTTGGATGAGTTTTGAGAAAAATGATTTCTCCGACCTCTCAAAAGTGATTTTTTGAGTTTCGGTTTTCAAAAAACTTTAAACTTATCTCAAAGCTTGACAAGGAGTTTGTTTTTGTGCGGTGTTTCCGCGAAAAAATTAGTTTATTTTAAGAAATTTTTTTTCTTTCAGTTGACTGGTTTATAATCATTTTGTTTGTCTGTGAAGACGTCGGGATGTCGGTGTACCTGTAAAAGTTACCTTGTAAAAAGTCTACGGTTTAGTTTCTCAAACCTCTTCCGAGTTTGCTCTGTCAAAAAGTGGTTTGTGGCGTTCGTCATCCGAACGCCATTTGCCGGCTTTAACCCAGGTATCAACGTCGCCATCGGGAGCATAAACATGTGCCGGTGGACCATTTGTTCTTATCCGAAGGAAATTGTTCACATTCATGGCGGTTGTTCTAGCGCGCCTTTTACTGTCTAACGTCCAATCAACCGAAGAAAAACCACGTTCGACACTTGCTGTTGAAACAGGAAGTGCAAGTATTTTTTGCAACGTGCTCTGTAAAGCCGGACCAATAAATATCGTCTTACACTCTGCGAGGATTAAGGTCCAGGACTTGTCGTCGTCGTAAACGTTCGCTTCGACTGTCTTTTGGCATTGCTTGTCTGCTTTCAATTGTGATAGGAAATCCGCAAATGCTATCGATAAATCACCATGTTCGCAAGGTATAACAGCGCAAAGTTTTGAAAGTGGTATGTGAAGGTCGGTGGGAGTCGGGAGGACATCGTTACTTTTGTTATCGCAATAACCTTTTTCGACTGCATAATCTCGAAGGGCTCATATTGAGCGAAATTCATATGTTTGTCAAGCTCTCGCAGGATATTATCAAGAAACTCTTTTCTTAGATTTCTTGTAAAAAATGGTAATTTCATTTTTCGATACTTCTCAAAAGTTTTGAGCGTTTGAACCGTGACGACGTTCGCAGTGGCGGCCTCCAAGTCGTCTCCTTTGCTTTGACTCTCTTCGAGCTCTTGTTTTCGTGAAATCTCAGCAGATGACTGAAATGCTGTTGCTTCATTTAACAAGAAAAAAAAATATTATATAACCAACGCAGCGCTATAATGACAAGCGATGGGCGCGCAAAACTTATCCTGGTTGACGAATACGCAAAAAATGGCGGAAAAGAAGTTTTGTTGAGGGTTACCTTGAAGTTAGCGGTGACTCTGAGCTCTAAAAAAAACAGAATACAAAAAATCACTTTTGAGAGGTCGGAGAAATCATTTTTCTCAAAACTCATCCCACCGGCCTGAAACTTGGCCAGATCGTAGATTCTGATTTATGATTATTTTTAACATCGAAATCGGATCGATTTTCGCAAATCGGGACAGGCCGGGGGGGCCCGCAAGCCACCAATTGATATTTATTCTCACAAGCGCAAAATCTTGTAATCGGACTGAAAAAAAGCTTCCAAAAAGGTTGCAAATTGAGTTATTCGTCGTTATTAGGTGTTATCTCGAAATTAATAATGATTTTTGAGCCGAAAAAAATTGGAAACTTCAAAAAAATCACTTTTTGAGAGGTCGGAGAAATCATTTTTTTCTCAAAAACTCATCCCACCGGCCTGAAACTTGGCCAGATCGTAGATTCTGATTTATGATTATTTTTTTAACATCGAAATCGGATCGATTTTTCGCAAATCAGGGACAGGCCGGGGGGCCCGCAAGCCACCAATTGATATTTATTCTCACAAGCGCAAAAATCTTGTAATCGGACTGAAAAAAAGCTTCCAAAAAGGTTGCAAATTGAGTTATTCGTCGTTATTAGGTGTTATCTCGAAATTAATAATGATTTTTGAGCCGAAAAAAATTGGAAACTTCAAAAAAATCACTTTTGAGAGGTCGGAGAAATCATTTTTTTCTCAAAACTCATCCCACCGGCCTGAAACTTGGCCAGATCGTAGATTCTGATTTATGATTATTTTTTTAACATCGAAATCGGATCGATTTTTCGCAAATCGGGACAGGCCGGGGGGCCCGCAAGCCACCAATTGATATTTATTCTCACAAGCGCAAAAATCTTGTAATCGGACTGAAAAAAAGCTTCCAAAAGGTTGCAAATTGAGTTATTCGTCGTTATTAGGTGTTATCTCGAAATTAATAATGATTTTTGAGCCGAAAAAAATTGGAAACTTCAAAAAAATCACTTTTTGAGAGGTCGGAGAAATCATTTTTTTCTCAAAAACTCATCCCACCGGCCTGAAACTTGGCCAGATCGTAGATTCTGATTTATGATTATTTTTAACATCGAAATCGGATCGATTTTTCGCAAATCGGGACAGGCCGGGGGGCCCGCAAGCCACCAATTGATATTTATTCTCACAAGCGCAAAAATCTTGTAATCGGACTGAAAAAAAGCTTCCAAAAAGGTTGCAAATTGAGTTATTCGTCGTTATTAGGTGTTATCTCGAAATTAATAATGATTTTGAGCCGAAAAAAATTGGAAACTTCAAAAAAATCACTTTTTGAGAGGTCGGAGAAATCATTTTTTTCTCAAAACTCATCCCACCGGCCTGAAACTTGGCCAGATCGTAGATTCTGATTTATGATTATTTTTTTAACATCGAAATCGGATCGATTTTCGCAAATCAGGGATAGGCCGGGGGGCCCGCAAGCCACCAATTGATATTTATTCTCACAAGCGCAAAATCTTGTAATTGGACTGAAAAAAAGCTTCCAAAAAGGTTGCAAATTGAGTTATTCGTCGTTATTAGGTGTTATCTCAAGATTAGTAATGATTTTAAGCCAAAAAATTGGAAATTTCAAAAAATTGATTTTCAGTGGCCCGAAAAGTCATTTTTTTCAAACTCATCCTAACGGCCTGAAACTTGGCAAAACTGTATATTCTGATTTATAAGTATTTTCAACTTCAAAATCGGATCGATTTTCGCGAAACGGGATAGGCCGGAGGGCCCGCAAGTCATCAACCGATAATCACTTTGACGGCGCGAGACTTAGCTGAATGTACTACATATGGATCGTAAATCAATAAACATTTGCTAATTAATCCATAACCCAACTTTGAAAAATATTTCACATCAATAGATTTTTTTCTGGAGGGGTACGCTCTTTTTCCAAGGGGGTACGCTCTTTTTCAAGGGGGCCCGCTCTGACGTCACGAAAAAAATGTGGGTTAGCCCATGTATGTTTCATATTCAAAAGATCATAATTTCGTCTAGGTTATTATTTTTTATAAACTTGTAGAACCTTCGCTTGAAACCTATTTGTCCCCAGGTTATCATAAACGGAAAGATATTTGCTTAGATTTGAGTTGAAGATTATGAAAAAAACATAAAAATTTTACAGGAAAAATTTTTTTTTATAATATAATATTTATTTACAGGCAGAACAAAATAACATGTACAAAAAAAGAAGGAAAGAATTGGCATTTAAGCCTGAAATAAATAAATAAAAGGCCCTTTGATAAAGATTTTTTTAAATTTTTGATTGGTTCATTCAGTTGCTTGGAATAAATAGCTCTTATTTAGGTACGAAAACCTGGTTTCAAAGTTTTTTGAAGGTTCTTCTCTTGCTTTTCTATTTTCATTTATACTTATCATTTTTTTGCTTAAGTATAATTGTGAACAAACAGCTTTTTTTCCGTGTTTTATGAACCTTTTTGGGTGCAGTAAAGTAGTGAAGAAATGGTTTCAGATGCATCGCCAGGGTCTATCTTCTCGGCGACAGTTCTGCCCTATTTGGGACCATCAACTGTTGCAATGATACGTTGCGCGTGAAGGACGACTCGCCGGCTCAAACCCAAGCCAAACTGTTCGTTTTTGATACTGTTTACCGTTTCTAGAGATCCATTTTATTGATTTTTCCATGTTTTTCATGCTAAAATCGAGATTTTGCATATTTTCATGTAGTTTTCTATCAATAATCAATCGTTTTTCATCTCTTTTTTCTGTTTTAAGGATTTTTTTCCCTTTCAAATCGAGATTTCTTGTAGTTTTTCCACCATAATCGTTTTTTTCATCTTTTTTTCTGTTTTTTTAGGATCCATTTCAGTGATCTTTCATGTTTTTCAATCTAAAATCGAGATTTCGCATATTTTTCCTGTATTTTTTTCTATCATAATCAATCGTTTTTCATCTCTTTTTTCTGTTCTGAAAATCAATTTCATCACTTTTTCCCTTTCAAATCAAGATTCCTTGCAATTTTGCATCATTATCAATCTTTTTTCAGTTCGGCGCTGAGTTGTCTGGCGGCCTTGTACGAAAATGCGGGCAGATTGGTCGGAAGGACCTACGAGGAATCCTTCCAACTCATGCAGAAATGGATGAAAAGCGCCGAGGTTTGCCTTTTAACGCATTTTGTTGTTTCAAAAATGGAACTCGAACTCCAAATAGGAGGATTGAAGTTGATTCATGAAGAGAACTCTATCAGGACTTTCAAAGTTGCCGGAAATTCGAGAAAAATGTGGAAAATGGTTTTAAAAATAGAGTAGATTCTCTATTATTCGAAAAAAGTGATTTACAGTAAGAAAAATGAAAACAGAATAGTAGAGTCGTCCCAAATTTGAAAAAAAAAGATAAAAAGCGCCCAGGTTCGGCTTTAAAATGTTTTCCGGTTTCTGAGGATTCACAACTTATTCCAATTTTACTGTTTGTTTTAATAATAAAGTAAGGATTTTCACTTCTTCGATGGCAAAAGATACAGCTGAGAAGAGAAAATTCTAGAAAAATTGAAAGGAAAAATTTCCGTAATTTTTCGACAAGATAACTGTTTCGAACAGGATTTTTAGCTTTTTCTTAATATGTTTAACAACGATCTTCGAACTTCTTTCGCATGCTATAAAGTACGAGTGTTTAAAGAGCGCAACCGGTTTTTTTGTACTCCCTTGTGAATTAATAAAATACGGGCGTTTCTTAATCTTATCTTTTTCACTTCTTCAGGCTGATTTTTTCAGAATTTTTATTTTCCCTGTCTTTCCTTTGGAAGAAAACGATTCAATGGAGTACTAAGACGAAATTATTGAACTCATAAAGATGAATTTTTTTTGATTGCTTGAAAAAAATTTTTAAATTAGTTTTTTTTATTGCTTGAAAAATGTCTCATGAAGAGTTTTTAAAAACGATTTTGTATAGTTCATAATTCTGTAATAAACTGAAAGTCGGGTGAAAAAATTGAATATAAGACGAAATAAACCTTGGAAAAATGGTTTAAAAAAAGATAATGTCAAAAATAAAAAGGTGCAGCGCTATAATGATTGGATAGCAATAGACAAAAAAATAATTTTATTTCAAAAATCAAAAATTCAAAAAAACGCCCGTGTTTCATTAATTTTCAATGGAGCTTCTGAAATAGAAAAAAATTTGAATATAAAAAAATATTAATATATCTTCAAAAATTGATGATAATGCTTTTTGTTCTCAACTATATTAAAAACACCTTAAGTGGCTCCTTTGTATTTTTTTTTAGTTTATTATTTGAGCATTGACTTTGAATTTTTTTCTAGTTAAAATGACGGCTTTTTTTGTTGAAATTCTGTTCCAAAAAAATCATTTTTCAGTTTCAAAAAAATAATATTCACATCTATAAGTTGAAATGAAAACCCAAGAATGATTAAAATTTACAGATGAAAGTTTTTGAAAAAAATAGCTGAGAGAACAGCAAAAAAATATTGAAGTAAAGAAATTGAATTTAAAATAATTTTTCCTTTTTGAAAAGATTTGAATCTTCTGTGAAACACCGTTGGAATGTATTGACAACGTGTACTTATCCAGAAATCGTCATAAAGGCGTCCCAATAACAAAAAAAAAATGGAAAAGTATTTTGAAGAGCACGTGCAGCCGTAAACTCAAGAATATTCTTTTTCCAGTCCCAAAGCCGCGCCCTGATCATGAACACGTTGACGAGCATGGTCAAGGGCCTTGGAAATGGCGGATCGACGGTCCACAAGGATATTTACAAACTCGCCAAAACCGCCATCACCGATAGAGCCATTTACGTCAAAGTCTCCGCCGCTGAGGTTTTTTTTTCAGAGAATTTTTAAACTTTGTAATTTTTATCACGTTTTTTAAAGCTTCTGCTTGATTTTTTTAATCGATCATTTTCGTTAATTTTCGTCGATTATTTCAGCTATTTTTAAAAAGAAAGTTGGCTTAAGGAAAAGAAAAACTGACCGAAATGCCTTTTGAATGCTGAATTTTATTCCTTTTCGAAACATTTACTCAAGTTTGCAGCTTCAAGCCGAGGAGAAGTCAGAAATAACTATTCAATCCTTAATAAGACCAATTTATGGAATTGGAGCAGTTCATAATTCTGATTTCTCCTTGTCATGTCACTGCAAATTCTTGATAAAAGCTTAGAAAAAAATCAATGATAACAAAAAGAAATTCAACATTTTTTTTGGTTAATTTTTTTGACAATTGGAGGTGTAATTTTGTTTTTCCAAATTTCCTCACAGCTCAAAGATTTCTATCGCTAGTTAACTGATACAATAACTTTGAAATCTATCTTTTGGAGTAGCTGCAGCTTTTTCGGAAGTTAGAGCACTAGCCTGAGCTGAAAAACAAAAAAATCGATCTGAAAAATTTTCGTGGGAAAGTTCTTGATGTTGGTTTGCTGAGAGATCCAAGATTTTATGCTCAAAAGTCAGAAAGAGATATGAATACATTATTTTTTCAGTTCGAAAGTTCAAAAACCTGTATTTTGATGTAAGCTAGCGGTGAAGTTAGCAGTAAATCTGGAATAAAAGATTCATTTTTCAGTGCTCTGTAGACGTCAAGACTATGGGCTCAGAAAACTGTCTTTCTGGGAAGATGTTTAGTGGCCTCTATAGAGGCTCGCCAAGGGCTATTTGGAGAGGACACTAAAGTGGCCACTAAATTCACCTCTATAGTGGCCACTTCAGTAGTTTTTCATCCAGTATTCCTTCCAGTAACTGATAATTTTAAAACAAACAGGTTAGACCAATTATGTTGATCCATTGACCCCTAAAGTAGCCACTAAAAGTTTTGATGGACTAGTAGTAGCACTTAGACCTCTATAGTGGCCACTAATTTTTAACCCCTTAAGTGGCCACTAATTTGTCTACTATAGTTGCCTCTAAAACTTCAAAACCCTATAGTGGCCACTGAAAATTTCCCAGTTCTTTTCTGTGATGGTCTAAACAAAAAATCTAAATAAATAAGGAAAAAATGGAAATGGATGAATTCCGCAGTCCCTGACGGTTCTGTAGACATCAAAACTAAGCTTGGAAGGTTCAGAAAACTGTCTTCTTGTTTATGATGAGCTATCTAAAAATCCAGAAAAAGCAAGAAAAAATAGAAATGGATCAATTTTTCAGTGCCTGACGGCCCTGGTCCCCCTCTACACGCCCCTGTTCACGACGGAACTCGAGGCGGCGTGCACCCTCTGCGTGAAGGCCTTCGACGGCGCCACCTACGAGTTGCGGTTCTCGGTGGCGCGATTCATGGCGACCCTCGTCGCGACTTCCCTCCAGCCGCCCCCCGGCGCCACAATCAGTACGACTCTTTTGTGTACGGCTCGCTAGTTTTTTCCTGAGTCGATTAGGAACGGGACTTTTTAAGAATAAAAAGGGAAATTGGACAGGATTTTGAAAAGTAGAGCATATCTGGATTTAAATCACGATTTTTTGAAAAAAAGTAAATTTGATGTAGGTTCTTCAAATTTGAATTTTGAAACATCATTTTATTTGAAGGAGAATTTCAAAGAGATTCCAAGATTTCAAGCTAATAAGTCTTCCCTGAAAATTCGAAAATCTCTGTAAAAGGAGCAGGATTCAAATATAAGTTGATCACGTTTTTTTCAAAAAAATTAGTCTTTCTAAGATTATTTATACGGTCGATTTATGAAGTTTCAATTTAAAAAGAGGATAATTTTTTTATGATTTCAAAAAAATCATGATTAATATTCTGAAAAAAATAATTTTCATATTTTACGGTTTTATCGATTAGAAAGTTTTTAAATAGCGGAAAAAAATTCATTTTTTTGGATGCAATGGAAATTTTTTTCTCTACTTTTTTTCATATCATATGACGATTTTGATAAAATTTTGATTGAGAAAAATCGATTTTTTTGATTGAAAAGTGTTTTTAACCGTTTTCCGATAAAGCTTAAGCATTTTATCCGTGTTCAACTTTTTTTTCTCTTCAAAAGTTACATCCCTGTTCCTGGTCCATTTTTAATGTTGTAGTGCTTCTGAGTCTTTGCTTTGTATTCTTCTCAGTCTGCTGGAAAAGTCGACCGGTCTGTTAGGTTCGGAGAGTTTTTGTAATGGCTATTTTTTATTTTTCAAAGTTTACAAGGTTTTTTTGACATTATCAACGCGTTAACGGTTGAACAGTACATTTATGAAAGTTTAAAGTTTTTCCAAAAAAATCACTTTTTTTGAAGAATTTACTATTTATCACTGTAAAGCGCTCTCTTATGATTTCCAGTCTTTGACGGCTTATTTGAATTTCGCCGAATCAATTTTAACAACAACCCTCCGAATCAACCATAAAAAAGGAAAACCTTCCGAACCAATCGACTTTTCCAGCATGCCCAACCTCTGAGATCCGCCAATTATTCAAAAACTGATTCAAGGCGGCAAATCGAACCAGCCGGTACCGGTGAAGGCGGCGAGCCTCGAGGAAAGTCTCCAACTGCTGGCCGCCGGATTTCTTCGAGGCGGAATCGGCGGTTTCCTGAAAGGAAGTTCCGGTGGCGCCGTCGTCGCCGGAGGCCAGAAAGACGTCAGAATCGGAGTGGCCATGGTTCGGATCTTTGAAGGGATTGTAGGACCTTTTGCCAAACGGAGTGTATCTGTGTTTTATCAAACACTTTCACGGGAAAGGTCAGAGTGAGCGTTTAAGCGTCAAAAAAAGAAAACAGAAAAATTAGCTTCGTGCCTAAAATCGGCAATGAACTTCTTATAGGCTTCAACTTTTCGAGAAAAAACTTTTTTTTTATCGATTCTTGAACTCTTTTTTTCTGGGTCTGATCTTGATTTTCTCCTTTTCAATACGCTTTTATCCTTTTAAAAATAATTTTCGGGTAAAAAGTCACGAAAAGTACCTAAGAAGGTGTTTAAAAACGTTTCTAGTGGATATAATTACAAAAACGAAAAAAAGCGATTTTTTTCAAAGAAATTTTTTTCTCTACAAGTTTCTAGAGAAAAACATTGAAAAAAAGCACTTTTAATGAGATTTTAATTTTTAAATAGGAGAACTAAAAGACATAAAAAAACACCGGTAGAAATCGCAATATTTTGTTCTTAAGGTGTGGAAATAAAATTCTTTGATTTGACTGATTTTTACGCAAAAAATCCGTTGCGCAAAGATCCTACGTTTCTCTTGAAAAAAAAAACCTGGAATATTTAATTGAAGGCTCACGTTGAAATGATCCGCGAACTGGGCTCGACATGGCTCGAGAAGAACCTCGGCGCCGTTTGTCAGCATCTCATCGATTTGGCGGCACGATGCGGTCATCTGGCCTATTCGACGTGGGTTTGGAATGGTTTTCGAGAAGGATGAGAAATAACAAGATTTGACGATATCATTATCCGACTTAGGAACATCAGAGTAGTCACTATAGGGGCAAATTTAGGGGTCTTGAAGGGTTCCCTCTAGAGCCCGCTTTACCAACCCCTTCAGAGGCCACTAAAGCTTGCAAAAGTGGTCCCTCAAGGGATTTTAGTCGATAATTGCTATGAACTTTGAGCGAAGAAGCACTTCCATAGGAAAAACTGAATAAATAATCGTTTTTTGAATAAAATTGAAAGACCCCTATAGGCTCCACTTGAGATTTAGGGGCTGATGGGTCAGCGCGTAAACCCCTAGAGGTACCACCTCAGCTTTACCATTATAAGGACCACTTTTTCGCTTCCTATAGGGGCTGTTCTTCTTCCTAACCTCTATAGGGACCACTCTGGAAAAATAAAAAACCATCTCATAGTTTATTTTTAGATCGTAGCTATTTGTTTTGAAAAACGAGGAACCGAAATTGATAAAAAAACAGATGTACTAATTTTTTTAACGTTCATAGTTCTTCAATGCAAGAGAAATCTGTGTTTTCCAGTAATCCCGCCCAAATTTCTGAAGCGTCGACCCTTCGAAGATGTGTTTCCTACATGGTCCGGTCGACGATCGGGACAATGCTGGGCGAAAACGCCCAGTTGGCCGCTTGCAAACACCTCGGAGCCCTCCTCGCCCACCACATCAATTCTTTCGGTTCCTTGGAAACAGAGAATGTTGAATGATTTGTCCCCCTTGAAGATTACTCGGTCGAACCGGGAGCCGAGAGAAGTTTGGGAAGCGACGCCTACGCGAGTGGATACGCCGCCACGGTGGCTGTTCTCGAACTCTCGGCGTTGGTTCGGCAAATCGGCACCGCTGTGACGCCGTTGTTTGTCGAGGCTTCGGGTAATTTTGTCAAGGATATGAAAAAATTGAAAATTCTGGACTTTTTTTGCCCCCTTTACGAATCCCCCAAATCTTAAAAATTTTTTTCAAAAATTTTTTTCTTTTTCTTAGCAATGTCAGAAAGCAGGTGAAGCTCATTCCGCGCCAGCCTGTCTCGTTTTTGAAAAAAAGAAGATATATATTTATATATATACCAAATTTCGCTTCAAGACCTTTTTCGCAGTTTTGTAGAGCAAAAAGCTGTTTTTTTATGGTAGTTTTTTTTCTGCTGTAAGGAACCGTTTTCCCGGAATGCACTATGTTCAAAAAAATGTTCCAGAAAAAGGTGGAAAAAAAGACCCTTTTTTTCATTTTTATAGTATGTTTTCGATATATTTATAGAAAGTTTCTAAAGAGCATTTTTCGGAAAAACTACCTTCAAAAAAATAAAAAGATTCATCAGAATATGAGCATTTTTTTAGTTCTCAAATTCTCGAAAAAAATCCCATTTTTTTGAAAGTTTTCGGATAATGTTCTCAAAAAAATTTTTTTTAAAGGGGTCAGAAATGGTTATGAATAATCGAATTTTACTTTTTGTTTATTTGCAAGGCTCTCTGTGAATCAAATGACTGAAAAATTCGACAATATTAAAAAAATGGACCCTGAAAAAGATTATGTGGTTTATTAAAAATCATTTTTAATTTTTTTAGCTTTGATATTCGTAGGCTTTTTTTAAACCTCTATGCTGGGAAAGATGAAAAAACTGAGAAAGCAGAAATTGCAGTTCCGAGAATACCTTATAAGGGTTCTTTTTAGTTTGAAACATTTTTGTACCCCCCTCGAAGAAATATTCATCATTGTTCAGTTCAGGAGATGCCAGGTTGAAACTGGTGTTCTAAAATTTGACCGTTAAGTTTTCGAACGGTTATAACATGTCATTCTTCTGACCATTCTTTTGACCGACCAGTTTCCGAAATTGACGAAATCGTCCGACCTGAATAGTTACATTTTGAAGGGTCAAAATATGACCGACCATTTTGAGAGTGACATTTCGAACGGTTGCTCTGAAGGGACGTATTGAAATGTTGAAGCTCCAACCGTTCGACCAATGACCATATGTTATTTTGAAAAAATATCGGTCAACTTTCGGAACTATAGTCGAAACGTACTGGGTTTGCCCAACTTTTAGGGATTATGGAGCCGGTGTTCGCCTGTCTTTTGCATCCGGTAACCGCAACACGATTAGCCACTGCTTGGTGTCTCCGCTGTGTGACCATCGCTGTGCCCAGTCAACTCACTCCTCTCATTGAGCGCTGCATCAGCAGGTTGATGATGTTTGTTTATTCCAGAAACAGGAACAAGGTTGATCACTCTCATGTTGGCACCCGTAAGAGCTACCCGTTTAACCCTAGCCGAGCAAACGCAATTTTTAGCCGCTCATAAACCGCGTTTTAGTCCAGGAGATCACTCGAAACGTTAAAAAAGACCGGTGATCGGCAGCAGTACCCGTTTTGCAAAATCAGGACGTAGTAGCCAAACGGGGGCGACTGATCACCTTTATGCACACTCAGGCACTTAGGGGCGTCAGAGTAGTACTTTAATGCTCTATTAAAAATTCACTTCAATTACTGTTTCGAAGAATAGTAACAGAATAAAATTTATAAAAATAATTAGTCGACAACAGCTTCTTTTCAAAAGAGCATGCTGGAAAAGTCGGTCGGTCAGTTTGGAAAACTAGTCCACGCCGCAATTTTGCTCCATGGAACACTTAGATATTCAAATTGTTTTCTGAATTTTTCTTCCTTTTTTAAATTTTAATAAGAAGGATTTTCACTCATTTTCATTCAATTGTATCGTTCTCGCTAGCAAAATACGATGGATACTGCATTCAAAATTATAAATTGATTCAATTTTTTTAAAAAAATTCTCACATTTTTTTGGCTCCAAAAATAGCTTCATCTAACCAAATGAGCAAAATTGAAAAATCATAAGTGATCTGAAAATGAGATAATGTGTAAAATACACACGAAAAATGGCAACACTACCTAGGGAAACAATAATAAATAAGGACCAGTTTGGTTCAAAATGAGGAGCATGTGTCTCATATCCTAGAAAATTGATAAAAAGGAAGAAAAAATATAGAAAAGGGGATAAAAAAGTCTGAAATTCGATTTTCCATGGAGCAAAATTGTGGCGTGGTCTGGTTTTTTAAACCGACCGACTTTTCCAGCATGCCTTTCAAAATTGGCTAGTTCGAATAAAAAAAAGCAATTAAAAAAGAAAAAACCTCTTTTAAAACGAGACTCTGCAGGCTGGACCACATGAAGTCGTCTTCGGATGCGATCAGCGGCTATTCCTTGGCCCTGGCTTCGTTGGTTTCCGGTTCCGCGGACTGCAAACTCGGGATCCCCTACGCGAAGCCGGTCCAAGTCCTCAATTGCGCCGAGAACATGCTCAAAACGGCGACTCAACAAAGTCGTTTGGCGATCGCCAAATTGGAAGCCGGATGGAACCTCATCTACGCCTTGGTGTCTCTCAGTTCGTGTTTATCAGAGATTTGAGAAGAAGCTTATTCTTCGGAACACCAGAGTGGTCTCCAGAGGGGCTACCTTGTGGGCTCTTGTGAGTACCCCACCTAGATATAAGGGGACACGAAACCAGACTAGAGGGTTTGGTTAATGGCCTCTCTAGGGCAGCATTCTAGGCAAGACAAAAAATCGAAGAAGCTTTGACGTCAGATCCTATACTCATATAGGGACCACTAGAAAGGCTTCTTACGCTTACCCCTCTAGGGACCACTCCGAAGTTTGTATGTTTTTGACTGAAGCTATTTATCTCCAGTTATGGTCACTTTAAAAAAAAACTGAAGCATACTTTTTGACCTGCTTTCAAGTTTTTTTTTGCATCCCAGCCGCCCGTTTCCAGATTCCCCACTGATGAAGGAGCACATGGACAAGATCATCACCCTGTGGCGAGCCGCATTCCCGCGGAGCGCAAAAGAAGCCGAAGCCGAGAAATCCCGCGGCGATTCCTTCTCATGGCAATGCGCGATGGTCTCCCAGGCCGGAGCCCTGTCCGTGATGTGCGGCGTCGCGTCGCAGCCCGAACTGGCGACCCGCGACAACGCCGTCGCCTCCATGCTCCTGCCCATCGAGTGCAGCCTCGTCATGATGTCCCAGTCGGTTTTTGGCAGCTTTTGGGCGGATTTACCGTTTCTGGACTGATACAAAAATATTTATTTTATCTTTGTGCCAATTTTTCGATTTTCTTGGAGTTTTTGGAGAACTGGCAAAAACTTTTTCCGGAAAAATAAATAAGAAAATTTAGGATTTCGAATCGGCACACTCAAACCCGACTTACAAAAAACGATTTGCGCAACTTTTTTTTCAAACTTTTGTTTTGGCGAAAAAAAAAGAAGTTTAATTATTCCTTCCGTAGCAAATATTTGGCGATTTCATCTCAATGCAAGTTTTCGGCACAGTCAGTTCGAGGAGAAAAAGAACGTTAAAAACAAAAATTAAGGATTTTAAAAAGGAAAAGAAGAGACAAATGAAACAAAAACCCATTTTTAAACCAAAAATCATCAAATTTTTTCATTTATGACACATAAAAAGTTTTTCGGATAAACTGTTAGGAACTAAAGATATATTAAATAAAGGGATAATCTTATCAAATCTTTTTGAAGTACTCCATTTCAGCGTCGGATCTTTGATACGAACCTACGGGGGAAGGATGCGGCAGTTGAACAGCTTGGTTCGGATCCGACTCTACAAACTTCTTATGCTTCTTCCGCCGAGGACGTATGAAAGTAATATCGTTTTGAAGTTTCAATCTAGCTTTAAAAAATTTATTTTAAGCTTGTCGTATATTTTGAAACGATCGATAGCATTCCGTTTAGCATATAATATTTATCTTATGATGTACAACTTGAATACTATTCAAAAACTCTAGAAAAACTATTACCAACCAAGTTTTCGGGTAAAAACAACGTAGGCTAATTAAGGGTTCTACGCAGAAAGCAATGTACGGTAGCGCGCACATTGATTGTGTGTAGATTTACGGGGATCCCGCATCCCACAACAATAAGCATAATCACGAGATTTTTTCAATCTAAGCTAGATCGATTGAAGATACTTTTCTAGTGAGAAATCTGGGAAAACGGAAAATTAGTGCAAGTTTCTTGGTGTATGACATAAATTTATACATATTTTTTTCTCTCAAGAGGGCCATTTTTTTATGGAAAAACTCGAGATTTTTCAATTTTTTTCAAATTTTTTTGAAGGAAGATTAGTTATATTAGCTACTTGTGTGAACTATTTTCGTTTTTTCCCATTCGGACCCCGAAAATTACTGAAAATTCCTAGTTATCACTTAAAGGAGCTGACGCCGCTAGAGTGATCACTAGAAAAGTCTGTTTAACGAAAATTCGTAGTTATCAATTTCGAAACAAATAAAAGTTCACGGAGCGAATATATATCTTAATCTAGGCAATCAAAGATTTTCGGGCTTTTCAGAAATTTTACATTGAATTGCACTTCGTTTTCCGTGAAATTCTTTATTTTGTGGCATAAGTTTTCTCGACTCAGACATTCGTAACGCGAAACGGACGTGCTCCGGACGTTTCTGGACAGTTCTAGGGTTCACTTAAGAGTGCCTACGCTACTAAAGGGGTCACTAGAAATGCCCAGAAACGTCCGTTTCGCGTTACCAATGTCCGAGCGAGGCTTCTGGCAATGAAAAAGTAGAAGTCATTGTCAATCTTACATGAGTTCATTACACACTTCTAAAATCCCTCAGGCTGCTACGTGTCTCTGCTCCGCGAACTGGTGGCCGACATCACGATGTCGGACAACGGCCAGAGCTCCCTGATGACGTCACTTCCCAACCAACTCTGCTCCGGCGCCGAGCAAATCCTGCTCTCGCCCTGGTTCGGAACCACGGACCAGGCCATGGTCGAGGATATGGTTGGTAGGGTCATCAAGAAACAGGAATCATCGAAAGTGAAAGTAATTGAATGAAGAAAAATTTGAATTATTTTCTCAAAGTGAAATCCAAGCTGTCTTTTTTATATTGGTATTAGAGCGTGTAAGCGTCGAAAAAACGCTCGGGCATGCTATAAAGTACGAACTTTTACAAAATGCGACCGCTTTTCTGGGCTCCACGGCGAGTTAATAAAACACGGACGTTTTTTAAATTTACATTATTCTTTTGAAATACAATGAGGTTTTTATTTTATTTTTTTTCCTATAGATTCTGATCAGTATATTAGTTCCTCTTTTGTATTTTTGACAGTTTCGCCTTCCAAACCATTTTTTGAAATTTTATGTGTGCCATAAGTTCAATTTTTTCACCTTCTTAGCGGTTTGATACAGATCCATGGACTGTAGAAAAACGTTCTTAATGAGAAGTTTTTGAAGCAATTAAAAAAAAAATCGTAATGAGTTCATTATTTGCTTCGTAGTTCTTTTTTGAATCGGAAGGAAAGATCGGAAAAAATACAAATTTTGAAAAAAAAAAGGTCCAGAAAGAGTGAGATAAGGAACGCCCGTATTTTATTAATTTCCAGCGGAGCGTTCGCCTTTTTTCGCATTTTCGCATTTCCGCACTTATAGCATGTCTAAACTCGTACACAAGTTTGCAAAGTTGGAAAAGTAGAAGCCGTATTGGAAAGCTAACACATTTAAATTTTTAAATTATTGAAGAAACCGGAAGGTCTGTTTTGAATATCTGAAGTGTTCAGATGCAAACAATTTCCTGCGATTTGGGAGCTATGGGCGATGACGTCACTTGTGTCATTAGGTGGGTTCAAATATTTAGCTCCTGGAAAGTTTAAAGAAGCTTCTTGGCAAAGCAGAAGCTTCAATTGTATAATTTTTCCGCTCAAAATATCAGAAAATTCAAGCCTGAAATAAATTATTCTGCGTATTTCTCAGCTCCTCCGCTGAACGGGTAGAAGACTTGTGGCCGGAAAAAGACTCGACGCAATTGGAATGTCTCGACGCGGCAATTCAAGCCTATGGAAAGGTTGTTCTTTGTTGCATTTCGTCAAATTGTCCATTCACAGCTGTCTTGTCATGGAAATTATCTTTTTTTATGATTATTTTCTCAATTGCTTCTTTTAATTCCTGATAAGATCATAAATTGTGTAGAAAATCCGTTTTTCCAGGTCTTCCCATTGGTCGCTACCAAGCACAAAGTCCAAATAACTGAACATTTCGGTGAAGTTGTGAAAAACTGCAAAAATGCGGCGCGCCAACAAGCTGTAGGATCTGTACCGAAAATACAGCGAAATTGAAGTCTTCAGATCCATTTGAACGTCTTGACGGCGGCGATGTTGGCCTACAAATCGCTGTGCGAGCAGAGAAGTCCTCGCGTTGACAACGAACAGTTGCAAAAAGTAAAAATTAATAAAATTTGTGTAGAGTTTGAAAAATATACTCAGCAGTCAGTAATTTTTTTTAGAAAAAGAGGATTTTCAGAAGAACTTACCGTTTCAAGTTGTTACAAAAATCGCAGTTTTTTTATATTTTCACTAATACAGCTGAGTTAAATTTTTTTTCTTGATGAAGTCGAAGTATGAATCCTGACTGAATCATAGTCATGGAACAAGGCGTTTTCAGTAAATCTATTGATTTCTTATCGATTGAAAAATAACGCTGTTTTGACGAGAAAGAAAGGTAAAACAGTTGTATACTTCTATCTTTGAGGCAAGCGTCGCCCTGATCGTCCCGGCCTTGTCGAGTTCCATGGGAGTGACGCGTTTCATGGCGGCAGAAGCCTTGGCGAGACTCGCGCAGGCCGTCGCCGTCCCTCAGGTCTGGAAAGAAGCTTTTGGTGGAATCTCGATGTTTTGTGTTGAGACTGATTTTAATTGCGAGAAGAATTACTTGAATCTACGAAATGGTCTTCAGACCACCAATAGACTTGCGCGCGTCAGTTTAACGAATCTTATAATGTGATTAGAGCGCTTTGAGCCATTCCAAATGCGACCAGTTTTTCGATTTCCAGTGAAAAATGATATCTAAGGCTTTTGATCGTTGTGAAATTGGTTTTTAGAAAGCTCCATCGAAATTCTGAATTTTTTAACATTAAAAGTAAGCTTCTTCAAGATTCTTGGAAAATCATTAAGCAAATTTTTTTCTGGTTTTCATGAAAAATTGAACGTTTGCAGTTCGTCGCCTCGATGGCCCAGTACTGCTTCGACAAGCTGAAGACGTGCCGCGACGCTCCGAACCGGGCGGGCCATTCCCTGGCCCTCGGATGCCTCCATAGACACGTCGGCAGCCTCGGCAGTGGCCAGCATCTCAACACGGGCGTCTCCGTCGTCTTGGCCTTGGCCCAGGACACGAGTTTCCCCGGAGTGCAATCCTGGTCCCTCGTCGCGATGGCCCTGATCGCCGAGACCGGCGGTGGAATGTTCCGAGGCTTCGTCGAACTTGTCCTCAGCGTCTGTTTGAAGCTGCTGCTGTCCACGCCCTCGGCGAACGTCGAAGTCGTCCAGGGAATCGGGAAATTGGTTGGTGATGAACTCCTAGGCCGAGAAGAGCTCTGAGTTCAGCTGACGGCGTTGATCACTTGCGTCGGTCCGGAACTTGCCTGCGCCGGGGTCATTGATGGAGTTCGAACTTCTTTACTGGCAGCGTGTGCGATACAGGTGATTTTCAAGGAGTGGTCGTTATTAAAAATCAAAAAAAGGGATCATAGTTTATAAATAAGTTGTTAGGCAAGCGAAAAAAGATGAGAAAATCGAAAAAAGTTTTTTTTTTTGAATAGGTTGGATTTTTATCAGTGGAGCAAACTTACACATGAAAACTCGGCCGGTAGTTTTAAGCTTTTTTTTTCCAAAGGCTCTAGTTTTTTTTTTTCAAAATGTTTTTTCAAAGAACGGAGTTCTACCAACAAAACGCTGTATTCCTTGGACCAGGCTTGCTAATTTCCAGCTGGCTCATCCTGACCCTTCGATTCGGGCCGAAGCCATTTCGGGACTCCAGCAAATGCATCTTTTCGCGCCCCGCTACGTGCATCTGAGTCAGTTGGTCGTCGACATTTGCTCGCTTCTTTCTTCGCAACATCTCGCCATAAGGAAAGCCGCCGTTTCCTGCCTTCGACAACTCGTTCAGAGAGAGGCCAGAGAGGTTTGCATCATCATGTATTCTTTGAAGGACGTCTGAGGCTCATACATCTGCAGACGATTATTAGAAGACCCTTCCCAGCCTTCTTTAATTGAAGTCATCGTCCCGAGAAGTCGCAAAACTAGTTTCAGAAATCAGAAACGAACAAAAACTTGAAAAAGCAGAATCTTTTAAAAATTGACCTGAAGAATGAGAAATTTTCCCGATGAAATGCTGATTTTTAGGTCCGAGAACACGCCCAAGTACTCGTTCCTCAAGGCGTCGTCGATGAAAGTCGAAAACTCCCCCTGCCTGACACTGGCCTCGAAGGAGCGCTCTTTGGAATGCTCGACGTCGAGATCCATTCCGAGATCCGATCACAGATCCAGGTAATGATAGATCTTCCAATTTATTCCATGTTTCCCGAATTCCAGGAGACGTTGATATCCCTGGTGCAAGGGACCAGCAGCGAGCTTCTGAACAACTGGCTGTCCCTCTGTAAAGACATCCTGGCGACTTCGAACGACAACGTCCGCAGCACGTTGATCGTCGAAGAAAAGCCTCGCGACAAGGCCGGCGACGACGCCGAAGACGACGAAGACGAGGGCGGCGACGACGACGTGAACCTCGCCGGCACCCACTCGGCGATCGTCGGCAAAGGCCGACTGCAGCCGCGATGGTCGACCAAGGTGTTCGCCACGGAGATCGTCCAGCGACTGATGAGCGTCTGCGACACGGAACGCGCCCATTTGGACCTCGCCCTCGCCAAGGAACTCCAGATGACTTCGGGTTTTTGGAAAATCCATAGAAAATGTTGATTATTGAATGATCAGGTGGAAGATGCGATTATTTGGTTCTGCATCTCTCTGACCTCGTGAGGATGTCTTTCATGGGGGCCACCAGCGACAATTCTCAGCTCAGATTGGCTGGACTTCGCTCCTTGCAGGTTTTAAGAGGAGAAAATATGAACAGTCATAAACCTTAGAAATATTCTGTGTCTAGGGAGTGAATTTTCTGAGGTCTAATTTTCAGGTTTTGAGATTTTGAAAGTGAAAAAAGCAGCTCGACTAGGAAAAAATCTAAATTTAAAAAATGTCGTCCTTTTTTAGAACCTATAAATATTTTCTATTCGGGAAAGCAACTTTCTGAGGCCTCAATAATCGAAAAAATCACCTGAAAGTTGATCCTTTCGCAATGAAGCGCATCTGACGGAAAGCTTTGTCTTTCCAGGATGTGATCAATCGATTCTCGACGGTTCTCGAGCCGGAGTTCCCGGGACACGTCATTCTGGAGCAGTTCCAAGCCCAAGTCGGCGCGGCTCTTCGTCCTGCCTTCACGGACGACACTCCGAGTCATGTCACTGCAGCGGCTTGTCAGGTCAGCAGGAAAAATAAGGAAATTGAAACTGCATTTTGAATAAAATTAAGTCAAAATTAGGTGTTTTCTCAGTTTTTCTTTTCCTCCAGTTTGTTTGATTCACTAGACGAAGGCCCTGAAAGATACAATCTGCAAGAAAATCTAGTTTTTTTCTTTTTTTTTGGGAGTACTAAATTGTTGACAAATCCGTTCGTGAAAAATAGAGATTTTGGCAAAATAAGACTTTAAAGATACTTTTCTAGTCTGTCAAAGAGTTTTCTGCTTTCTATTCTCTATGATTTTTTTCAAAAATGCTCTGAAGGGCTAGGAAATTATTCCTTCTTGCGGAAACTTACGATTCACAACGGAGGTCATTTAACTTTGCAGTTGGGAGATTCCTGAAGGTTAGCCAGAACACTCTTTGATCCACCTGATGAAGATCCTGGAAGTCACAACCTACACGACTTCCTAGTTTTCGAAAAATGAGCGCTTAAAGCCTCAAAATAGCCTATTTTAACGGGTTTTTAGTGTTTTTTTTGCCTTTAAGGTGTCCTTTCTCGAAAACTAGAAAGTTGTGCAGGTCAAGACTTTCAGGATCTTGATCTGGTAAATCAAGAAGTGTTTTGACCAATTTTCAGAAAATTCCCAACCCCAAAGTAAAATGACTTCCCTTGTCGGGCGGAAAAAATTTTCAAAATTGCAGAAAAAAAAATGTTTTCAGGCTAATTTATTGAATCTGGAAAAGTTTTGTTGAGAGGGTGATCCATCGTTTTTACAGCCGTTTTTTTAATGATTTTTATATTCATTAAATTTTTAGGTGTGCAGCACTTGGATTGGGAGCGGCGTGGCGCGAGATTTGAACGATTTGCGAAGAGTTCATCATGTAATTTCCCTCAGAAAGTCTTCATTTTCCCAATCGATCTCCTTCAGCTTCTCGTGTCCTCCCTGAGCAAACTCAAGCACGGATCCATCAACACCCAACTCTACAGCGAAAGCGCCGCAACCCTCGAGAAACTCTCGATTCTGAAGGCTTGGGCGGAAGTTTATGTGACGGCGGTTCGACAAGAGGAATCGAGGAGGGACGACAGGACTGATGAGCTCAACGATAATTGTGAGTTTCCAAGAAAAATCAAGAGGGACTTTTTTCAGAGTAGCCGCTATATAGAAAGTTCGAAAAACGAGCTCGATTTTTTTTTATTTGCTTGTCCTTTATGATTTTTCTTTACTTCCTGGCGTCTACTAGCATAAAGCTTGTTGCTTTTTTCTCAACTTTTATAGATTCCGAATTTTTCCAGACGATGACGGCAGCTGTCGAGAATCGTTATTATCACTGGTCGAACCCGAACTCGAAGCATTGATCGCCTATTGGTTGGCTTCTCTCCGCGATGCGGCCATGTTATCCCTGCCTCTCCACTTTTCCAATCAATTACCGACTTCCGGAGGAGCTTTCTTCACACTTCAAAGCGCTGAGGTTTGCAGATCTCGAAATGATTTTGTAGTACACTGTAGCAGCTCCTGATTCCAGCACAATTAGAAATTTTCACCAATTTTTTGAATTTTAACGGTTAGTCGAAGAAAATGCGAAACCAAAAACTCTGTGGGCGGAGTCATTCCGTCGTTCCCAAGTGACGTCATGCGAACGGCAGAGAGTTTTTGGAGCCGCATTGCCAGACGTCTTTGAGACGAATCGAATTTTCTCTAAATAAACGCAATTTTCTGCGCGAAAGCGGCGCGGTGCATGCACACGACACACCACACTTGACGGAGAAAAAGTGGGGGTGGTTGAAAAAAACGCCCGTGTTTTGAAGCTAGCTAACTTTTTTACAAAAAACGTCCCGTGACACGGCATTTTTGTTATGAAAAGAAATGCGGTAAATGATTGCAAAAACTCGGTGGGCGGAGTCAAAACCTGCGCCGTTCCCAAGTGACGTCATGAAACCGGCTTCCGGCTCTAAGAGCGTAAATAACAGGGCATATTAAAGGCACATGCGGCCATTTTGTCAGAGGCCTTTGAAACGATTCGAATTTTCTTTAAATACACGCATTTTTTCTGCGCGAAAGCGGCGCAGTGCATGCACACAACACACGACACTTTACGGAGAAAAAGTGGGCGTGGTCGAAAAAACGCCCTGGCTCTTCAATCAACGGTTTTCCTCGACGTTTTGTGTATTTACGCTAATTTTGAAACGATATAACTCAAAAAAAGAAGATCTATTTATACTGATTTTCTTGTTCTGGAACCATGAGGCCTTGAAGCGCGATACAGCCAATTTTGATAGGATGACTGAAAAAAATCGCTTTTGAAATGAGAAAGACGGAAATTAAGATGTGCCGGGAATACTACCGAACGAGTTGGCCTCCAATTCTACTGGCTACAGCGACTTGGCTGGGGACCCGGAATTTCGAACTTCCGACTGAGATTTCCAACGGAGTCTGGGTGGACGAAGGCAAAGAATCGAGATTCTACCTCTTGTTGGGAATCGCCGTGGAAGCTTTGAGTAACAGAACGAGCAATCTGGAGGATGTCACCGTCCAGGTCTTGGGATCATCAGAAAATCCCATCGAAACTGAGAAGTTCTCTTCAGATGGCCGTCAGAACCATCACCAGCTTGGTTTCTTGCGAATGGTGCCAACTGCATTTGATGTCGGAAATGGGCATCGCCATCGAAGTCCTGAACGTTCTGCACAGGTGATTCTGAAGGAATCCATTGGATTTCTTACAAAATAAAAATGAAAAATTTTGAATTTCTATTCAAGCAGGTCAGGACCAGAAACTTTTGTATTGATTGTGAAACTATCAAAAAAAGGAGATAAAAATAGTGGCTCTTTGACGTTTGACTTGAAGTTGCCCGCCAATAGCCGCGTCGCGTACGCAACGCTTCACTCCATCCAGCCTTTCAAATCGGGAAAAATCGACTATAAAGTAGTTTTCGATTATAGATTGATCCTGACGCGAGACAATCTGACAACTCAAGCCCTCTGTGTGGAATGCGCTAGTGCGATCATCGACGCAGCCCGGGCCGCTATCCGGGCGACTTCTTCTCGAGGTTATTCCCATTCAAAAAAAAAGTGGAGATGTGCGAGGGCCGTCCATAATGCCCGAGTTAACCCACCAAATTTTTTTCTTTCATTTCTTATTCATAACAATTTTCGAGATTTGCGTCATTTTCTATATGTGAAGGCGATATTTGGGTTGTTTTTCGATTAGACTGCATAAAAATATTTTTTTTTCTCTCAAAATGAAGGACAAAACTGAAAAAGATAGATATGTTGAATTTTATTATGATGACCAAACGTTCCTGATTCACCTTGCTGTCTTTGGCTAGCGCTGAGAAAAAAGAGGGCGCAGACACGTCAGACTTTCTCAAGTCGTGGCTTATAAAACTTGCTAATAATGCATTTTTTCAAGACCTGGAGAACGGAAACGTTGAGATGAACGCCGAAAAGCTGCCGGCTTCTCTGTTTTCTGGAAACGAAACCGGAATCGGTCCGCCCAACGAGCCGACTATCACTTACACGGCCTTGGAGCTTTGTCTTTGCACTATCGTTCGACAGGTTACTTGGGCTTTCGTCATTCCTTCATCCAATGACTTCTGATCCGAAAAAAATAAGGGTTTTTTGAAGATGCCTCAAATAAACGCAACGCAAATGAAGTCGAGATCCCTGGCTCCGCTGCATTTACGAAGACTGGGTCGATTACCTGCGGAGAGCTCCCATTTGATCATCCGAAGCATGCAGATCATCGTTCAGGTACTCAAAGGCAGGAAAATGCAAGTTAGAAGTTGAAAAAGTCCTCATCATGTCTATTTTTTTTGCGGCTAATGAAGTTTTCTTCCACTTGAGTGGCCACTTGAACCGACTCAATCTTTACAGATTTTTGTCAACCCATTCCTTCTTTCCAGATCCCATCGCTGTGCTCCAGCTCCTCACGAATAGAAGTCCTCCCCGTGGTGATGTACCTGATGGTTGGATTCGTGAGGGAAACGGCCAGAATCGACGAACACGCCGTCGTCCCCCTGATCCCGCCGGGCCATCTGACCGCCGTCGCCGCCTCGGCTCTTCAGGCCATTCGAACTCTGGCCAGCGCCGCCCCGGCCGACGCAACTCTCGACGATTGGAAGATGATCATGCGCAGCGCCTTCTACTCGCTCCTCGTCTTGACTGATGGTTTGCATCTCTTCGGAACTTGAAGCTTCTGAATGCGACGCTGTAGCCCCGTTTTTTCGCGACTTGTAACTGCTCTTTATCTCTGCGCCCTCCGTGTCTCTCACCGTTTTCATGTTTCTCTGACCTCGCAGGGGAGGGAACAGAGAGACGCAGACACTCGAAAAGTTTCAAGTCGCGACGAACGGTCTATAGCTGTACTTTTTTTTAGAACACTCCTAACTTGCCACTAAAATTACCTTTTTTGTTCTCAAAAATTTTTACGCAACCTAGGCTTTTTTCGAGTCTAGGTTTAGAATCAGCAAATGAAAATTAAGTATAGATTCCTATTTCGCATTCAAAAGACAACTTCTGACTTCTGACCATCTCCTGGTTTCATTTCTCACTTCTCAATCCCTTCAGAAGACTCCCGAATCGATCAGTGCGTGGTGATGCTGGCGACGGTCGTCTTCGCAACCTCTGCCCCTTGTGACGTCATCACTCTTCACGCCGACTCCTTCAGAAGATTCGTCGCCCTCTTGCGTCGTCAATTGCATTCCGAACATGTCGCGGTAGCCCCGAATCCGTCGATTCCCAACAAAAATTGCTTGTTAGGTACGGATAAAGGCCCTGCAATCGATCGCGTCGATTTTCTCGCGGAGAGCATTTGGCGCCACTTTTGTGAGGCAATTGGCCCGTGACGTCATGCAGGTCATCCGACCCTACGTCGCCGCCAACAATGGCAAGATCCAGCAGGTTATAATAGGGAGTAACTCGGAAAAATGGAAAGAATGAAACAGAAATTGATGCGTTTTGAATTTTGCGTATTTTAAATTCTTTTTGGTCTTCTTTCAATCGTGATTAAACAAAAATAGAAGTTAGAGGCCATCCAATTATAAAATTATCATAAATAATTTTTTTCCATTTTTTTCGACTTGCCTTACTTGCAAAGACGCTGACTTTTCTTCTTTTTTTGGTTTTTCTGTAAGAAGATCAAAAGCCATTCCAAATGCGACCTTCTGACTTGAACAACTGGGGAGAATTTGACATTTTTTTTTTGTTTGGAGGTGGTAGAAAGGCATTCTTGCATATTTTCATCGTTCTAATATGTTTATTTAAAGTTCTCCGAAGACGACGTTCTGATAACGCAAGAAGCCGTGAAAGCTCTGGAGGTCCTGATCATGATTGCAGATGATAAGAAACGTGAGAACCTCCCATTTCATTCAGTTCTTACTGAAATATTGAAGGAACAGCTCTGGTATCAATCCTTGTCCAATGTCTGGTCCGACTTCTGCGAGCGACATCTTCGGACGAGTGGCGGCAGCTGAATTCCGTCGATCGGAAGCTCCACGAAGCCTCCATCGGTCGTCTCAACGCTGCCGCTTCTCTTTGGCCCAAGGAGTTCAAGAAGGTCGATTAGGAGCTTTTCATGAGTATCAAACGTGTTTCTTTCAGGTCGTCGAGTGGAACGCCGACCTGAAAAGTCGGCTCGAGAAGGCGCTGCTCCTACAGACTTCGCGACATGCGATGGCGCAATCCGCCCGGTCCAAAGCTGCTGAGATTGAGGTTTGTCGAGTTACTTTAAAAAAAGCAATTCTATCAATAAACAATAATTTAAAAAAATTTCAGAAGCAAAAAAACACTAGTTTTTAAAAAAAATTGAATCCTTCCATTCATTAGAATAGTTTTTGATTTTTAAAATTTCTAGAAGTCCCTGAGAAGTAATGCGAATCTTCAGTTAAATAAACCTTTCAGTAATTTTATCTAATGGATCAAAAGGTCTTGAAAACAAATTGAAAAAACTCCGAATTTCACACTGAAACGACCTTCCTTGTCAGATGGAAATGAAGATAAAGATCAGATTTTCGCCTCTTCAAAAAAACCTTTTTGAAATAAATACAGATCTATTTCGAGCAGTATTTCGCAATAAAAAAAGGTCAAAATTTTCATCAAGATCACTCTGACGATAAAATAAGGAAAACATTGAATGAAGGTGCACACGATTAGCGAAAAGAGTGTGCAAAAAAAGAGGGTGGTCAGACGTTTATAATATATTTTTTTTCTAAGCAAGTGATAAATAAAGTATATTACTTCAATTCAGAAAAATAACTTCAAAAAACTATGACTTTCCAGACAACAACAACTGTACAGAAGCCGAAGATCAAGCTTATGGACTTTAATTCCTTCAACACTGCCGCTTCCTAATCATTTTTCTTTTTTTTTTTCCAACTTTCAGTCAATTTCCAATACTACATTTGCTTCAAAAACACGCTACTGGTAATCCCTTTTTCATGGATTTTTCGTGCTCATTTTTATCGATCCATTCATAGTGTAGGATGCCTTATTTTTTTTTGTTCTAAACACGGTTTTTTCCCCTCTTTTCTCTTAACATTCGATGTGTAACACTTTATATGATGGGTATAACGATTCTTCTTTGTATCACTATTATCGCAATAACCTTTTTTTCTGCTTCTTTGTATTATATTGCAGAAAAATCAACTTTCAAAAAGTTGCCTCTCTTATTTATTTATGTTAGATTTTTATTCTTTTTCCTCTGAAGTGAAGCTTTATTTTGAAAGAAAAACGCTCAGCTCCGCACGTGTTGTGATAGGCTAAATTGATAAAAAGTACATGACCCTAAACTTGTGCGCAACGGTTTTCTGTGTGTATAAATCGGCATGAAAATGAAGAAAAAGTAAAATTTTATTGTACTTTGTTTTTTTCTTTAGTAAGCGGCTCATAGTAACAATGAAAAACGAAAAAAGTGATCAACACATGCGAAGTTAGAGAAGAAGGACACTTTCCATCGGGGCGGAATTAGACATTTCAACCGGCTTTCAGAGGTTGGCAGCGTACGACTAGCGACGGATATTACTATACACAATAATTACAAAGAGTCTGATGAACTACCTAACTAATTAACTAAGGTATTTGATAAAATAGCCGTGGAAGATGCTTTGAAAATATATAGTTTCTTTATACCTTGGCTTTGCGAATGGGGACAAAAATAGCGCGAAGACCACTCAAGTGACCCCTAAAGGATTCTGAGCCGTAGATGACACCTTGGGCTTTTCAGCAGTACAATTTCAGTTTTGAGATTCTCCACTTAGGAACCCTACCGGGGTATAGGGTCAGACCTCTTACTGTTCCCTCAAGTGGGCCCTATAGGGGTCTCTCAATTTTATTCAAAACGCTTATTTGTTCAGTTTTTTTTCACGGAAATTCTTATTCGCTTTAAGCCCCTACAGACACGACTTTTACAAGCTTTAGTGGCCCCTATAGGTATTGGTAAAGTGGTGCCTAGAGAGAAAGAGCCCCCCAAAGTTGCCTCTATAGGGACCACTCTGGAGTTCCGTAGGGAGCGCGAAAAATCTCTGATTTTATAAACAAGTTTCCACGGCTTTTCTTTCAAAAAAAATCTCAGGCAATATCTATTCAATCATCTCCAACAATCAGCTTCCTGAGGACCCCATAAGCGGTGTTGGTGATCCCCCAGGTGAGCATGGACCTTGTGAAGTTCAGGTAGACCCCGTGATAAATTCCTCTCAAGGAATCATCTCTTTTCACGATCAGTTGTCGGAACACGCGGAACGGGTTTTCGAATGGAACGCCGTACTGAAAATGAAGCCTTTTTCTTTCAGTATCAGCAATAAGATGAAATTAAGGAAATGAGCGGTTCCCTAGGAAATAGAAAAGTTTCAGTACACAGATGAGAAATGAAAACTGGAATGAAATGGAGAAAAAAAAATCATAATAATGGAATATCAAGATTATTTTTTTCGGCTTTTTTTAATCCCTTTTAAAAATTTTGGCGAGTTTCCTTCAGAAAAAGAGTGAAGATTTCACATTTCACAAGCAAAAAGTTATTTCCAAATTCAGCTTCGTTGAATTATTTGCATTTTTAAAAATTCAAGAACCATTAAATTCCTAGCTTCATTTTCGAAAAAGAAAAAAATCAATTTTTGAAAAAGTCACTTTTCGGGTTTTGATTTTCTAAGATTTTAACCATCGAATTTTTTTGAATAATGAACACGTTCCGTTAAGAAATTGAAAAAAAGTCCTTAAATTCAGAAAAAGGTAGAGAAAAAAACTCCTGAAAAATAGTTTCACCGTTTCGAACTTTTTTTAATAATTTTTGATTTGTAGGATTTTTTTGTTACGTCGGATCTTAAGTTTGCGATGAGCTTTTTTCTTTTTTTATTTCAAAATAACCTTGCTCTGCATATTCGTCTTGACAACCCCAACGGGGAAGAAAATGGTCGAGATCATGGCCCCGAGGATGGCGCCAGCGAAAAAGTCTCCCATCGCCCCAACAACATTTTTCGACAGATTCGAATCCCTAGCACTTTCTGTTATCTAAAAGAAACCATAAATTACAAAAAAGAAAACTTTGTATCTCACAATTTTCTTCAAGGGGTCCCTTAAGGTGAAAAACATGGAATTGGAAAGGGCATTCCGGACGACGACGACCGAATAACCCCGATAGTACTCTCTGAAGCCGTACGGCTGGAAAATGGCCGATTTTTCGGATAAAACTATATTTTTGCGGTACCCTCAGCTCTTTGACGACGTCTAAGGTGTTCTTGAATCGATTATTATAGGCACTCGTCTGCAGAATACACTGTATCCGTTCCAGAGGGCAAAGTGTGGCTTCCACGACTCCGGCTGGAAAATTTCATGGATTTTATGACAGAAAAGCATAAAAATGAGTCAGAAGACGCAAAATAGAGGGGTTTTTTGGACACAGTTGAACTTTTGATTTACTCTTGGACCTCCTGATTCCAGAACAAGAAAAGAATTTTTCGCAATCGATCTAGTTTTCGAGTTTAGACGCTTTGAAAGCATGAAATAGCCCTTTTGTGGTAATTTGCGTTTTTTTGCAAACTATGAAGATTTATAAATCGAAAAAAAGCGAAAAATATTTTTCTTGTTTTTAAAACAGAACTAGTTTCATCAAAAGTTCAACCGGGGGCCAAAAAATGTTTCCTTGTTTGAAAACAAATAAACTTTCCAGTAATAAAAGCAATGACAAATGGAACTAAGATGGAAAATCTGCATTTTTTCGGAAATTCGCTTGAATAAATTTGCAATATTTTCCAGAAAATGAAAGATATCTGAGAGTAGCTATTAATCAATTCAATTCGACAATTTTCTGATTCAATATAACTTTCTTAAAAGACCCAGATTTGAGAGAACTAACTCGAAAAAAAAGAAATAAGAGGTCATTTTTTGATTCAGAAAAATCATGAGGAATCACTTTGCACATGATCTCTGAACATTAATTTATCAAAAATCTTAAAGAAAACCACCTTTCCGATTGTTGAAAGAATCGCCTTCACTTACCAAGAAAGGCGGCTTGGGCATGACAAAGAGAAAACGTCGAATGAGGCGGCGCCCGCGGACACTGGAGTATAGACTGGAAAAATGACTTTTTTTCAATTGAATTGATTTAAAAAAAGTTAGACGGTCCAGATTGTTTTGAAACTGTGAAAAGAGTCAAACTTTTTAAAAAGATGAGAAAAAAATAAACGTCTAAATTTGAAGAATCGATAAGTCATCACTCTAAATATTCACCATTTTTGAAATATTTTTATGTGTAAAATTAAAACAAAGACCATTTTTGATCCCTTGCAATGAAGAATTAAATTCAAATTTCAAACTGTGTAAAAATAAACTTCAAAAATGTTTCCTGGTGTTTTAAAAATTTAACGTTTCAGCTGATCAAGATAAAACTGAAATGGAACTGTCTTACGTGTGAGAAAAGTGAATTTTGGATTAAACCGCATTTTTCTTTCTCTTATAATTTTCACCTGAAACTCGTCGAACAACCCGAACATCAACGCCCTTGACGTCGTTCTCATCAACAACGGCGGTAAAAGTCCTCTATATAACAAAACAACACCCTCATTTTTGATCTGAAGATTAATTTCAAACTAGAACTCGCTGCAGAACCTTCGAAAACCTGTAGGGCTGCTGCTTTGGCCGAAAACCCGTGAAGTTGCTGTCGGAAGATGATTTTATTCGTCGGATACAATAAACACGTCTCAATGCAGCCGGCGCCCCAGCCACAGAAAAAATCCAAATGTTTTCGTTCTAAATCAAAGTTTTATACTATTTTATTAATATAGAGAAAAAGCTCACTTTCAGCCGGTAATTGAGCCATTTCGTCGCCGTCAAGAACCTTTCATGAAAGAATTTCGATACCTAGTTGAATCAGAAATGATAAATCATTAAAAAGTGTTTGAATTAGGTGATTAAAGGAGTTAATGAAACAAAAACTTAAAAATCCCTCAAGGGGCCAGTTTTTGCGGACATCCCATGACTGGGGCGCGTTTTCCTCATCAATGATCAAGGTAAACATAAAAATATGTTTATCCTATTTTTTTTTTCTTATTTTTACGAGTGTGAAGCTGTTTGATCTCCAGAAATACGAGATGAAGGTACATAGAAAATCATCTTTTACGGGTTCAATCAAATCTTTGAATATTTATTATTGTACCTGCATCATCCGGAATGAGAATAACATAACGAAGACATGAAATGTATAATTTTTAACAGTACACATGACAATTATGCGATTTTAAGGGGAATCTCAACACTAAAAACGGCAGAGGTATCAGGATTTTACAAGAAAAGCGGTCAACAAGTTTTGTAACCCAATATTTTAGAAGGTAAAAGCAATTGTACAATTGATTAATAAGGAACGGAGCCTCTCCTGGTTGAGAATTTCTTTTTGAGGGTTTGGAGATGACCATCTTTGGAGAAGGGGTTGAAGGCGTTCAGGGCGGGCAGGATTCCGCCGGCCTGGGTTCGCCGTCGTCGAACTTCTTTCTTGCTCGATCTTCGGCTTGATCGGCGGCTCGCGTAGGAGCTATGGTCGTCGCCGGCTTGGATTGACATGTCTGCGAATGAGAAATTATATTTTTATTCATATCACTGACAACTTTGAGCGATGTATCCCTTCAAAGTAATCTCGAGAAATGCAAAAATTATCCCGGAGTTTTTTTAAAAATTCAGTTATTTAGTTATCTTGATTTTTGTTCTATATAGGTTATCTCACATTGAAAACGGCATGAAATTCGAAATTTTATGATTAAAATCCTGGATATTCAAAATTTTGTTCAAAAATTCGTCCGTCGGTCCAGTCCCCCCTCTATAATTGCCACAGGCGGTACAAGTACATCTAAAAAGCCATTACCACTAGAACTGGCGCTATTTGCAGGATCCGGCTCGTACTCTCGGACACTGGCATTGCTCTTCATAGTCACGGCTCGTTTCCTACAAAAATATTGATATCCCTCCTCCATCATTGTGTTTTCCGTTCACCTCGAAGCGTACGGTGGATTATCGTCGATACAAATTCGTACGTGATCCTCAAGTCCATCGGTTCCCGTCGAATTCGTTAGGTTGCTCTTTTGCTGTTGTATTTGCGGAGGCTGAATTGAAGTTTTATTTTTAACTCTTGAAAGTTTCTTTCTGAAACATTAATTCGATCTTCAGACACCTTCGAAACTGATGACCCTGGAAAAAAGAAACTCTTTTGAATGTAGAAAATCGCTGTTATTTGAAGAAAATGCGCTCCACTGATAATATTACGTTCAAAACTAATTTTCTCATTAGTCAGTGCAGAAAAAAACCCAATACTCGAGTCACTAGCACAATTTTTAGTGTTCAAGGTTACGCAAAAGCTTAAAAAATTCAAAAAAGAAGGGTCTCTACGTTTCACAAGGTTTTTCAATCAACTTTTCCCATTTTCGGGGAAAATGAAATATTAATTCCGTTCCTGAACTCACAGTTTCAACATGAAGCTCTGCCACAACCCGATAATCGTTAGTTTTGATCAGTGCCAAGTAACCGTATCCTTCAGCCGTCTGAAGACAAAAATTCAATGTTTCCGTTCGATTTTTGAAAAAATACCAATTCAAGTTGATTCGCGAAAATGGTTGATAATTCTTCGAAAGAAGGCCTGGAGGATGAATCTTCCAGCCAGCACCTATTCATCACTTCTGCTCTGAAGTGAAACTTCGTAAGATTTTGAATTAAATCAAATATTCCTTTTCTTGAACTAACTGAATCTGACTGTCTGCACTCTCGCCGCGAAAAAGAGAGAGCACAGACATGTCAGAATTTTTGAAGAAGCGTGGAATGAAGTGGGGATTTTTCTTTTGTTCTATTTTAACTTTTCAATTTACTCCAACCCGTCGCTCCAAAGAGCTACGTCTCTGATTGGCTAGCCACGCCCTTTTTGGCGAATCAGGTAAAAAAAAACCCTCTGGGAGAGAAAAGGCCGCTACTGAGAGAAAGAGAGAGCGCAGACAGGTCAGATTTTTCAAGAAGCGGGGAATAAAGTGGTGCTTTTTCTTTTTCCATTCTTCAATTTTCTCCAACTCGCTCTAAAAGGCTACGTCTCTGATTGGCTAGCCACGCCCATTTTTACGGTTTTGTGGGAAGAAAATTGGGTAAAGACGCTACTGAGTGAACAAGCGAACACATGATTACACGAAAATAAGGATAATTTATAAAGTACGAACACTTTGTCCGTCGCAAGAAGAGGTCTTTTTGGTCTGAGCCCATTCTGAAGGTGGAGGATGAGTTCCGTTGGTTCGATATCCGAGAAAGGAACTTCTCCCAGGGAATACATCTCGAAGATGACGATTCCGAAGGACCAACTGCAACATTTCTTTCACTAAAAAGCTCGAAATAAGTTTAAAGTTTCATTAAAATACAAAAAACTCAAAAAAAAAATCATTCTTCAAATTTCCTTTTTTTAACTGAACATACAGCCCTTGATAACCCTAGAAAAACAAGATTCTCAAAAAACCTTGAGGAAAGTTTCAAAAAAAGAAAGAACTTAAACGTTAAGGTCAAAAAATTATCTTCTTCTTTTTTCCTTTGGGAAAATCTTACCACGTTTTCATCGTCTTTTTTCTACCAATTATCTGAAACGTTCAAGTAGTCACTTAAGGAGATTTCGATTAATAAAATGATTGAAATTATCGTTCATTTTTCGGATAAAAGTAAGAAAACTCACACATCGCTCTTAACAGAAAACTCTTCCTGAACGAGGCTTTCCAGAGCGAGCCATTTTATCGGCAACCGACCAGAACAAGAGACATTCCCACTGCTGACCGGATCACGCGACATCGCGAGTCCGAAATCGCTGATCTCCAAATATTTCAGAAATTAGGAGAAAGTCTTGATTTTGATCGAACCTTGGCGCTTTTCATTCCGAGCAGTCCGGTGATAAGGACGTTCCTGGCGGCCAGATCCCGGTGGATTATGCCTTTTTCTCCCAGGAATCTCTTGAAATTTTTGAATGAATATTTTCATTAAGGAAAGTTCATTGTGATAGAGCTGATTAAACAGGAAACGATAGGAAAACTTGAAAAGGGGCCTAAATACTTGATTTATTAGATGAATATTGTAAGTTCGCTACTTTGAAAATTCCTATAATTCTGAAAAAAAATTCATTTCTTTTTATTTTCATTTCTTATGACTTTTTTTCAGTTTTTGCGCGTTCCATTTCTTCTAGGCCGATTTTCAGAAAAGTCTCGAGCAAAATGAGTTCATTTATCAGAAAAGTTCAAGTCGTCATTTAAGAAAATTTCGAAAAAAAATTCCTTACAAAAAAAGGAACCCGATTAAAACGCCCAATAAATTGCTTCCATGTGTAAAATAGCTAGATAAGATTTTTCGAACAACCCCTTTATTGACCACTCAAACTTTTGGAAACTGACCATTCCTTGGGCGATTTGCCAAGCGAAATTCAAGAATTCCTTGTGGCCGTCGATCGTGTCATCGATGCTTTTTGACTGGAAATAATTACTGATTGGCAAAAAAAAAAAATCATAAACCAAATTGGATCAAACCCTGAACTCCTATAGGGACCACCTCGATTTTGACCCTCTAGGGAGCACTATGTCGTCCCTTAAAGAGACTAGCCCCTTTAGAGACCCCTCTGGCGTTCCCAAGGAATACAAGAGATCAACAGGAAACTTACAATTTCGAGCTCGATCTTCTTCTGCTTGACGTAGCGCAACAGGTCGCGGTTGCTGCAGTACTCCAAGACGAGACAGGACTTGGGCGACGCCGTGATGCAGCCGAGCATGTTGACGATGTGCTCGTTGTAGCCCAACGTCTTCATCAGCTCGATTTCGTGTCGAAACTCCTCTTTCGCGTTGTCGCTCGCGTATTTCGGCAGCATCTTGACGGCGCAATCGCAGTCGGTGAATTGCGAAATTTCCGATCGCGAATATTTCTCGATCGCCGGCGGTACGCCTCGGATTTTGCCTGAATTAATTTGATTCATTCTGAAACGCCTGAAAATCTGGAACCTTTGAAAACTTGTCCGTAGGCTCCATGTCCCAGTCGTTCGTTTTTTACGATGAGTTTCTCCCAGGAAAGCTCCCAATGGTCGATTCTGAATCAGTGAGATGGAGAATTGGACTTGAAAAAGTCAAAAATTGGGCTGGAAAGAGTCAAAAAATGGTCTCGAAAGAGTCAAAAATTGGACTCGAAAGAGTCAAAAATTGGGCTTGAAAGAATCAAAAATTGGACTCGAAAGTCAAAAATTGGACTTTAAGAGAGTCAAAAATTGATTTATTTATTCGTAAACAAACTCAATTAAAACTTTTATAAAATTGAGAATGCAAAAATTATCTAAACATGCTCAGTGTTGTTTCAATTTTACCAGTTTCGAATATTTCTAGTTTGCTGAAAAATCCGAACTAAGGTCCTCAAATAAGCAAAGAATCTTTATAAGGCTTTCAGGGCGAAATTCCGTTTCGGCATACAACTTTTTTATTCCCAAAATGCACAATTTTGAAACCACCCCATTGTAAAACATCCATTAGAAAATCAAAAGAACGATGTTTTCTACGAAGAGCGAAAAAATGGACTTAGAGAGACACCGAAACGTTTTTCCCGAGATTCTTTATTTCTACTATTTTTCCACAAATGAAAACCATGCCAAACGAGAGAACATATTTTTGAAAGTTTTTAAGCTTTCACTGAAACGTATTCCCTTCATTTTTCTCATAATATCATTTGCAAGTCGTAGCCGAAAAGTATTAAAAAGTGGGAAAAAGGCTTTTAAAGACGTCATTTCTTCCATAGTTCCTGGAGACACAGGCGAATCGAGAGGGAGGGTACCATAATGTGTCCACAAAGGTACCTATCAAAATGGTTCGTGAAGAGCCCATGATGAGTCCATCGTGAGCCCTCCAGCATACCTTTCAGCTATACTTGAGCTTTCTCCGAGGTACCTGAGAGTCTCCCTCAAGCCCCTCTCATTTTGCTCAAAGTCCTCAGAGGTATCCTCGAGGTACCACCAATGGACCTCAGAGGGTCTCGTAAAAGCGAAAAAAGCATAATTCGGACGACTGCTTCCCGATAACGCTTTTGGTACCGTACGCTGCGAATTGGGTATGGTGCGCTGCCAGTTGGGGAGGGTGCGACATGACGTCCGCCGCTTACGTATTTTCTCGCGGTACCCTTTCTCAATTAGCCTATGGAAGGAGTACACTTTCCTCAAGCTCTTTCAGGATCGACTCACACATCATCCAAGTTCTCCTCCAGCTCGTGGTTGTTCTTGAACCGGTTCAGCTTCTCCATCCACATGTACTTCTGCCGGTACAGTATCGTCGCGATAATCAGAAGAGCCATTGCTCCGGTACACGTTCCGATGATGATCAACATGATGGTGGTGACCGAAGAACTGTTCACTGGAAACAGAAAGCTTAGAAATGTTTTTAAGGTCATTTCTCCCGTATCGATTCAAAAATGTCTTGGAAGGTATTTGAGTATTCCTTGAAACTTATTTTTTCAAAGATTTATTGGCCTTGCTGAAGAATTTGAAATGAACAGACGAGAAAACTGGAGAGAATACGTTCAAAAGATCATTTAAAAGAAATAAAAAACTTCCTTCATCAGTAGATCCCGAATAGCCTGATATCCAATATTTTCTGCTTCATATAAAACTTCCCATTGAAAAAATTGAATTTTATCGAATTGGGTTAATAAAAACAAAAAATTTTTTGTTTTAACTTTTGAAAACTTTGAAAAAAATAAAAAAATCTAATTGGAAGCGAAAATATTTTCATGGCAATGGGAAAATTTAATGTTATTTTTCGTTTTTCGCTTCATTTTCATCAAATTTCAATGTTTTCGCGAAGAAATTTGAGGTACTTCTCAACACTGTTTCACAAGTTATTTGAATCTCTTCATGCTCGATTTCCCAGAATTCTACAAATTCCTTCAAATAGTTGATAAAGTCCTAACAAAACGAAATTTTATTCATACTACCTTACCTTTATGACACATGGGGATCTCATTGGAGTCTCGATAACCGGGATCTGCGTGAATATTCCTCGCTTTTCCGGGCAGATTTTTCAGGTATATGTCGGCGGCTTCCTGAAAATTACTCATACTATAGTTTGTTCAGATTTCAAAGGTCAAGTCCTCGCTGAAGCTCCGCCCCCTAATGGCGCGATAAACCAATCAGAGAGCAAGCCATCCACAGAGCGTTTTCGAATGACGTCATTGTACTTGATTTTCAAAATCTGAACGGACTATAGCTCAGAAAAGAATGACCAAAGCCCAAAAAAAAATGGGAAAAGCTAAGCATAAATTAATGGCGAAAAACACGGTTATACCAAAAAGTGAAACTTGCCTGATTGAAAGCAATTATTTGAAAATCGTAGGGTTCAAGCCTCCACAGTGTGGCGTTGTACGCATTGACCAGGTTCTGGAATATGTTTTTTTAAACATTTATTCAGTATGACCCTTGAAACTTTTAATCAAATGAAAAAATGAGTTAAAACTTGTAAGCTTTTTGGCTTGTCAGGCGAAAATTCAAGTTTATTTTTCCACACCTGCGAGACGAAATCCGTCAAAAGCGTGATCCGGGGCTCATTTTTGTTGTGATTCGGGTCGCTGACGTTGTACGACAAAGGGATCGACAACGCCTTCAGAACCAATTCCAACGTCACATTGTCCGAAATATCCACCGTATTTGCTAAAAAGTCATGAATTGTGTACTCATCTCTTCAAAGAAGTCCTCTGAATCATTAGGAAATCGGAACAGAATATCTATAAATTTGGAATTTTCCTCTTTCTCTTCAAGCTTTCCGTCGAAATTCTCACTTTTTTAAGAAAGTAAGTTAATTTCTTCTTGCAAATTTACGCCGAAATCTCGCGGTTTTCAAAAAGAAAGACAAGATAGAAGTCTCAAAATGACTCCTTGTGGCTTTTCGATGGCTTCCTTTGACCCCCACCCTCTTAAAAAATATTTTGCAGTTAGATACTGTCAGGATCTTCATCTGGTACATCAAGGAGTGATGTGGTCAATCTACAGAAAGTTCCAGAGTTTGAAGCAAATTTACCTCCCTGTATCTCGAGAAAAAAACAAAAATTGAGAAAAATTGTGAATTTTTTTGTGGACGCGGGGGGTGGGGGGATTCTTAAATTATTCAGTAATAACCGACTTCGAATAGGGTATTTTAAATTACTGAGAAGCTAACTTTTCAACCGCTCCAGAAGTTCGAAAATGAGCAAAAAATTTTTTTTACGAGAGCCTAAAAATTGGGAGTAAACTCCTTGGTGTATCATATAAAGATCCTGAAAAATCTCAATCTTGCCAGTTCCTTTTATTTCGAGAAAGAGCAGTGAACTCTCCCCCAATCCACTAAAATGAGCTCATTCCGGGTTTTAAGCCCCTATTTCTCGACACATAGGAAATTGTGTAGGTTAAGACTTTCAGGATGTTCTTCTGGTACATCTAGAAGAAATCCGCTCAAATTTTAGAGAACTCCTCCCTTGAGTTTTGATTTTTAAAAAATTGACCGGCGTCAAGTAGGATCTCGTCGTAGGCGAGGCTTCTCATGTAGGGCCCAACTGCGGTCATATCCGTGATCCAGCCGGAATCGGAATTGTTGCGGGCCAGCAATCTGACGGCGATTTGCTCGTTCTGAATTGTATCGGATATGTATGGTCTCGGGTTCTGAAAAGTTTCTCTACAGTTCGGGGGGAAGCGGCATGCAGGAGTCACTGAAGCGGGTGCAAGGGGTTCGGAAACGTGCGGAAAATGGAAATCGTGCCACGTGAAGCAGTTCGAAAATCCATCCAGGAAGAAATATTTTCAAGAAGAATGATTGAAAATGTTAAGGAATCAGATTAACTAAGATTTTTTGAAAAAAAAAGAATAGCTGTTCTTCAAAGTTTTTTTTTTGGTTGCAAGCTTTTCCACGCTCTTTCCAATCACATGAATTCAACTTGAACGTATTATTCAAGACTCTTTTTTCCAAATTCACATGCATTTTGAAAGAATCAAGTCTTCAGAATCATAAAAAATGATTCAAAATACTCGAAGCTACAAAATTTAAAATGTTCCAAGTTTTTCTTCTCCTTCAACTCCAAGTACCTACTTCAGTGGCCATTTATTAAAACCGATCATATTACCTGGCATTGGACCAAGGGGTCGCTGACGAACTTGATAAGGTTATTGAACTCGGCAGGAGTCGTACGATTGGAAATTGCGAACAGATAAATGACCTGCCAATAGTTGGCTAAAGCTGGGTCGGCCTAGAAAAAATCCGCTTCAGAACTGATTTTTATTTTCTGAAAAGGTTACGGTAGGCAGCGGAGTTGTAGTAGAGGTAGTAGTGGAAGGTGTAGTCGTCGTGGTGGGAAATGGACAATCGGTCAGTTCTCTATTGTAACAATCGCTGCCGGCGTTGACCCCGCACGGCTTGATACAGTCCTAATAAAAAATGAGTAATTCAGAGATAAATAGTAAGTTCTGAAAAAAGATGCATGATATTATAAACTTTGAGGGAAACTAGGAAGTCTTTGTTTGAATTTTTGGGGTTCCAATCTTTGAGAACTACAGCTGATTCGGGCTCGAGCCAACGAAAAATGGGTGCTGACACGATAACAAAAGATAGTGCCCGGTTGGTGGAGAGCGCAGATAGGCCACGCCTTTTTACCTTCCAAGCTAGCCGTGACTCGGCTATAGAGAGTGTTCAAAAATGGGAAGGTGGGCGTTTTTTTTTCTCTGATTGCCCTCTTGTTTTCTAGCGTTCTCTAACTTCAAAGATTCAAGCTCTGAAGGTTTCTAGATATAGTAACACAAAGGGGGAAAAATTGACATTTCATGAATAAAATTTCTTTTCATTTGAACGACATTTGAATGAGCAAAAAAAATATAGCTTGAAAATTATCGAGTATAAAAAGATAAATAGCTTTCAACTTGATTGAACCTTCAACCTGATGATTAGAATATCAAAAAAGAGCCTTCTTACATCCTCAATACGACCCCTTTACTCAGAATTCGCCTAGGGGTTGGGAAGGTAACGAGCTCAAGGTCAGAAGGTGAATTGAAGCTAGACGTTCTTGAAAAGGTTTTGGGAAGGTGGTCAGACGGTAGCTAGAAGATCTTTGGAAGGTAAGAAACGAAAAATTCCTGTCAGAAGGCCTCCAGCAAGCTTCTGGAAGGTGAAAAAAGGCGTTAGGAAGGTATGGGGAAGGCATTTGCCCACTTGTTGGAAAGTTTCCAAGTGCCTTCCGAGGAACCGAAAGAAGAAGCTCTCAAACTTTCCCATGAGAAGACGATATAGCTATGGCGATGAAGGAAAAGAGTTCGGAGACAAGTCAGATTTCGTGTCGAATGAATAATTTTTAAAACAACACTTTCCTGACCTTATAGTTAAAGCTTCAACTGATTAACAATCTCATTCTTACAGAGTTCTCCCTGGGAACATACCTTGAGGTTGTCGAGACAGTTGAAGCCGGGAACCGGGAAAGTCAGCAGAGTGATGTTGCCATAGACTTTATAAAGCATTTCGCTGTCAATCGCTGGATTTCCAACCGCTATCACAGTCAGTGTGATGCAACCGTTTGTGTAGATCGATTCCAGCTCCTGAAGTCAATTGTTTTCGAATCTATGACCTTCTTAGGATAAAGATACCGTGAAAATGATGCTGTTCGTGACGTTGAAAAGACGGTTTGTTATGAGAACGACACTGTTGTAGAGACACGAGGCCGGCTTGTGTCCGATTGTTTTGAGCTGAAACAGGACACAGAGTTTCAAAATCGCTCAATCTTTTCCTCCAGCCGTTTCTGGATATCATTAGCTGTTGATTTTGATTGATTATTTCGATGGTTCTTTTATTTTATTTGTATACAAAGTGCACTCCAACCAAGTTTCATCTAGAATTCAACTAATTTTCGACTTTTAAGAGTCCTTGACTTTTTTCACAGACCTCGGTGACAAATTTTAAAGAAAGGTTTGAAATCAGCGTAAAAAACTACATCTAGTGATGATAGTTCCATTTAGAAGTACCAGTTTGCAGGTAAGAGCTCAAGAAATCCCTCGTAAGTGTTTTGAATCGTTACAAAAATGTTAAGAAGTCAAATTATCATGCAAGTCGGAAAATGTTCGCACATCGTTGATGAGAGTGAAGGAGAAGTTGGCCCGCGCGGTTTCCTGCTGCAAAGGAGCCGTCGAGTCGTAGTTCCCGACGTAGTCCTCGTATCTCATGAACCCGAACCGTTCCATACAGTCGTTTTCCTCGCAGCAAATCGTTTTCGCGTCGGGATTGGCCGTCTAGAAATTGAAAAAATGCTTCATTTTCCTGTATAAAATGGGGCAAAAATCCATTTTTGTTGATCAAAAGAGTTATTTTTGATGTGAATTTTCAATAAATCACTTTTAAGATGACCTTATTGAATCCTTTCTTGGTTAACAATTTTTTTCACAGAGGTAAAAATTAAAATAGCCTAGTCGATCACATCTATGACTAAAACAACGAAATAAATCATTGATTGATTAACTTTTCGAATAAAAACCAACATCGTTGAACATGGGATAGGCGAAAACTTTGTAGCCGACGCCCCTATCCATACAGGTGGCCATCGTGTCGCTGATGAACATCAGAACTTGGCTGTAGTTCTGCTCTGACGTCATCTGTTGGTCGAGGTCCAGAAGGAACATTATGTTGCAGTAGTGGATCTTCTGGAATATATATTTTCAAAAGAATAAAAAAATCGTGATCTCATCTTCGAGTCTAGATTTTTGGAGTCATGTACAACTGTTATTCTCTATTTTTCGGGTTTCATCTATTATTTGATTTGATTTTTTAAGTGAGAACAACGCCAACGCCTGCTTTGTTTGTTATTCAATGCGCAAATTTATCAAATCGAAGCAGGGTCAAGTTTATTTTGAGAGAACCCGACTGAGCATAAACGAACTACCGGAAGTACCAATAAAGCAGTTTTTTGAAAAAAAAAAATACAGTAAAAAAGACAAACGAAAAAGAAAATACAACTTACGTATTGATCGGAAGAATTGTACTGTTTGACCGGCGGTTTGAGGTCTGAAAAGTTCTCCGGAGTGCACATGAATGCGGGATCCGTGATGTCCGGTTCATCGCTACCGTCGGATGCTGAAAAAAATTAAACGTTTTAATTGAAAAACTTTCAAAAAAATAGTTCAACAGCCAAATTGAATGAAAGTTTAGCTAAACAAAAAAAAAAGGAAACGACTGCAGCAAGATGAACAAAAAAACTATTAACAAAATAATAGTTTCGAAGGAATTATCGTTAAAGAAATAAACGCTGTCAGAAATAAAAATAATTGGTTCGAGTTGTAAACAGTGAAAATACACAACTCACGGCGTTCTTTTGACGACGCCCCTCCCACAATTTCCGTAATATTTGACGTCTTTTGTGCATACACAGAACGACGCTAACTCGCATACTCATTAAATTCAAAAATAATTTTTTTCCTCGAAAAATAGGGTTTTTTCAAAACTATAGACGTGAAAAAAAGCGATCCTTTCACAATTCCTTTTCTAGTTGACAAAAAACATTTGGGTGAAAGTTTTTCTTATTTTCTGAACACTTTCATACCTTTCATCCTCAAAATTGGTTAAAGTCCTTTTTTTGAGTGAAAAACGTGGAATTTTGTGTCGAAAAGACTTATTGTGGTTCTATGTGTCTTTCCCGACTTATTGAAAATTCAAAAAAAGTTTTCTTTACAGATTTAGTTTAGTTCATCCACCTAGTGGTATTTATTCTCCTCTGCAACATCGCCATACCATTCTGATGTTGCGAAAATGAAGAGATTGATTGATTCGAATAAAAAATTTAATTTGACACTGAAAATGTTGCTGAAAGGCTTTTTTTTGCTTTAAAGGGAAAATTTGGTCAAAACACAGCAGTTAATATTGAAAATTGAAAAAAAAAGTTCCTTCGCATTTTGCTGTCGCAATAAAAAATAATTACCGTAAATCAGTACAAAACAGATAAGATACAGCTGAAATAAACATGAAAAATCACGTGAAGCACTTGAGCAACAAGAAATTCAAATGTTCGCGCGCAAGCTGTCTACCGTAAATCTAGGTGGAGCAACCCTTCCACGCCGCTCCACATTTTCAAAAATTTAACATTTTCTTCCACTACGCAGAACGCCGTGAACTTCGATTCTAAATTTTTTGCATTCTCATTATTTTAATGGTAAAAAAGGGCAATAAGAAATATTATCAGCAAAAAAATTAAAGCCACCAAGCAACCTTAAAAGCACAAACCCTGTTATTCAAATCGCCATTTCAATGAAATTTTCGAAAAAAGCAACAAAAAATGAGAAATTTATGTAAAAATTGCAGAGAAGAGCGATGGGGCGCGTAAGCTCGGCATATCGTTTTTTTCTTCCGTTGAAATTTTTCTATGCCGCGTTCAAAGTGATTCCGCGAAATTCAAAATAGCTGTCAGAGAAAGAGAAAGATAACTAAATTTTGGAGGGTCAGAGACCATTTTGCATTTCGCGGAAATTACTTTGAACACGGCACTAGAATTCTAGAGCATTTCTCTCACCGATTCACTGTTCAAATTTGTTAAACTGATGGATCTCCGAAATCTTGAACACTGAAAAAGGTTCAAAGTATTTTTTTCAACCGCAAGGTTTTCTTTTAAAACTGCCATCCGTGTGCAAGAAACTTTTAATGATATTTTCTGGTGATTTCATAAACATTACACCAGAAAATTGAGTACACTGATGAGGAACAAACCGCAGAATTCGGCGCCGGAGAGGAAGTTGGAGACAAGGAGAGCGAAGATGACGTTATGGAGGGCGCGGAGCATGGCCACGGAGCATCCAGAGGACCGCCGATCGATCGCTACCGGTCTCGCAAAACGCGCCTGATAACCAAACTCATTAACAGACGCTCCCTAATTGTTCTTTCATTATCAGCCATTCCGCCTCGAGAAAACGTTTTACAGCTGATTTCGTGGCATTTGGTAAGACTGATTTGGGACAAACAAGGTGAGTGAAGCTTGAGCGAGATCTGGGATACGGTAGAAACCTTTTTTTTTTTGGTTTAGGCTCGAATATCTGTCCAAAATCTTTTCTGAGCTTTCAAAATGGTTCAAAATTTTCCTCCAAAGCTAGTAATAGCTTTTATTCGTCGGGAAAATCACGACTATTCAGAACAAAAATCCGAGAAAGTTCATAGAGACTAGAGAAAATGCAATAAAGATGTTTTTCATAGTAAAAAAATTATTTTTTTGAATTCCAAAGTAAACTTATCAACGAAAAATCATCATAAGCAGACCAACTGAACAAAAATTGGATAGGTTGAAGGATTTTTTTTGCTCGTTTTATTCAGAAATCAATAAAAAGTAGAGAGCCGGAGAGAGAAAGAGGGTGCAGACAAGTCAGACGGTTATGGTGAAAAGAGTATCATTTCATAAAAAAGCACGAGTTTTGTGGGAAAAATTTCGAAAAGACCAAGAAATCTAAAAATATGACAAGGATCCAACATACCACATCCCACTATCATCTCAAAAAGGACACACTTCTCAAAATTGAAAAAATCACAAACACCAAGAAGCCTGAACCTTCGAAATGCTATCAAACCGCGCCAATTACAACAATCTGCTTAAAGGATAATAGTACCCAAGAGTCCTTATCAGAGACGAAATTCGCTCATGGGCTTGAAAAATCGCCTACCGAACCGAAACAAGGCGATAATTCGAACAATAAATTAATCGCGGGAATCAATAAAGTTTGGTAAAGAAATAAGGAGTGAAGCTGCCGAGGGAGAAAGTATGATAACACAGGGCCAGTGCAGGTCGTTAAAAAGTTTATACGACTTTTCTTTTTCGCAGTCATCTGATTAAAGATTGGTCGCATTCAAGTTCACACGTTTGGCTCATTTCGCTGCAGTTTTTCGGTTTGTCTGGTAATGCATAACTATAATTTAAGAAAAACATTTTTTTCAATAATTCTAATAGTACCCAAAGAGTCCTTATCACATCGTCCATTAGCAAGCGACTTTCTTCTTTCAAAAAGAACAGTTGATTTTAAAAATTGTTTCCAAAACTTGATCGCGATTGTTTTAAAATGCATCCGACCCAAAACGACTTGAGCAAGCTTGGAAGAAAGCTGCTGAACGCCAGAGACCCTCTTCGAACCTCAAAGCGACGGATTAGGCCATTCCAAGTGCGACCACGGAATTCGAACAGGAAGTTTTCTCTTGAGACACTTAACTTTTGGATGCAACAACTCTTCGATCTTTTGCATTATAAATCTTTATTACCGATTGAAAAAGTCATATGAGCACCGTATTACAAAACTAACACATTTGTCATTGTCCCAGAACCTATCATCACAGGTTGATTCAAGAAATGAAGCCGAGGAAGGGATGAATCGGGAATTTCTCCATGGGGCTGATTTTGCTGAAGTCGGCGTCTTCGATCGTGAAGTCATCGTCGTGGACGAAGAAGATGTCCTTACGAGGGGCGGGCGAATCTTGCTCATTCGTCGTCGTGGAGTTGTTCTCATCCAAGTCAAGGGTGTAATCGAGAATGACAGTGGAAGATGACGGAGTGACATTGCAAATCGGGAGGTTCGCAACGACGACATCAGCGACGGGAGATTCAGACGAGGTGGAGGGCGAGTTGGCCAGACGTTCAGCGATGGAGGACATCGTGAAAACGGAGAAGGTGTAGACCAAGGCAGTCAATCCGAGGAAAGAGAACAACTGTTTGGCCAGGGAAAGGTAGGCGGCGAGAGGAATCGAGGAGAAGGCGTGGAAAAGTTCGTTGTAGGTGCAGAAGTCGTTCTTCTCGATGAAATCGTTCGTCACCCAACGTTCCAGGCGCGTCAAGCCCTGCTCGATGTCCTTCTCTTTGATCGAAACGTCCCAATCCTGAAATAAAAAAATGTCTTGAGAGGAGAAAAATGAAGAAGTTAAACGTATGACTACAGTTAAAAATGAGTGTCTGATTTAGTATTTTCATAGATTCTTCACCAAGTAATCAAGAAAAATATTCAAAATTCTTTCTCAAAACGACTTGAAGTTTTCAACTAACAGCCATAGGTTAGAAAGTTGGTAAAAATAAATCTATGAAAAACTTTGGTAATAATCATGAAAAAAACTCGAAAAACTTCAAGTTTATAAAACGAAAAACTCAAAAATTCTCTAGAATTCCGTTATCTTTTTTATGCTTTTCATTAAAAACCTTGCCTGACTTCATTCATTCTTCCTGTTACCTTTGAATATATCAATCTAAAAAAATCATCACGAGCTTACTCAGCCTCACATGAACTCAAAAAGTTAAACAGACTCTGAGCCTCAATTCAAAATTCATTTAAAACATATATCCACTAAGAAGATGGAAAAAGGGAGGCGCTGGAAACTTGAAAAATTAAATTTTGAGCTCTTTTCCAAAAGCATGATTAAACTTTATTGTGATTAAATGCAGAGAACAAAAGCAAGAACATAGATGGCAGAAACTAACTTTTTCCGGGACCTATTCTACATTTAAAAACAAAACTACCATCCAAAAATCTTCAAGTATGTTTTAAAGCAGCAATATGGATGAAAAATTATTTTTTTCATTTAGTACCAGTTTTCAAATTTTCTCCGCAACTTTGATTTATGGCTCAATATTAACTAGAATCTCATCGAAAATAGCTTCTCTCGCCTACTTTTGATTCAATTGAAAGTTGACAAGTAGAAAAATCGTCTTAGAACGCTCAAAATCGAAAAGAGAAACATAACACTATGATAAAGCTAATATTCACATTATTAACGTTGTTGTTGCTTTCTATTGTGAAATTTTTCAACTAAAGACATTGAAACTTCTGTTAAACTGTTTTTCAAAGATAAAATCTCAATATCAAATTAAGTAGAGTGTATTTAGCATTATGAAAAGATGAAACTGACGAGATGCTTGATGAACTCCCACTCGAGTTCGACCAATCGCTCGTTCTTCATTGACACCGCGTCGGCCCAGTCACTAATATGCGTGCTGTCGTACGTGGGGAAATCGTGAATGTATTTGGAAGCCAAATCGAGGGCAGGCAGGTAGAGATCCGTCGGATTCGTCGACTCAAAGTACTCCTGCAAAAGCAACTTCAGTTCTAGAATTAGTGCCATATTTTCCATTATCGACAATAAATTTCATCCTAGTTTCTCCTAAGTAAAATGTTCTGTGTTGAATAGAAAATCAGTTACTCATTCAAGATTAAAACATATCTTTATACTCTTAATCCTATTTTTCGTAACCTGTATTACTTGATGTGAGAACGTTGATGATCACTTGTGAACTCTTTAATTTCCCTTTCCCCTAGAACCTATTCGCGATCCAATTGAACCCGTCTACGAATTACGACTTTTCAACAAAATTAAATGTGAAGCACATGTGAATAAATGGAAATTTTCAAACTGAAGCTCGTTTTTCAAATTTTTCGACCTTATCACACACTGTTAAACATCATTTTCACAAGGGGTTATAGAAACAGCTATACAAAAAAATGAAAAAAATGTTTTTTTTAGGCAGTTGCAAGCTACTAAACTTTTTTTGAATTGACTTTGAATGGATATCTTCATTAAAAATTAGAAAGTCTTCTTTAAAAATATTTGAAAAATAGTTCTGGCTAAGCCTACAAAAAAAAAAGAAAACCAACACATAGATGAACTGGTAAATAACCCTACTGTTCTCCCCTATGCAAATTTGCCTTGCGTAACTATCTGAGTGTGCAAACAAGCAAATCGTGGTGCCGAACAAAAAAATACTGAGAAAGGTTTCCTATGAAACAAAAAACTTATAAAAACCAATTGTTTAAAAACGAAACCTTATCACGAAGACTGAGACGATCCAGATAGATGAGGGCGACGACCAACGTAACTGGATCAGCGTAACCCGTGTCCGAGATAGCAGCCGATGTTTCCAAATCCATATAATCGAATGGGCATTTCTTGTCGAAAAAGTCCACAACTAGTTCTTAAATTTTGAAGTTGAAACACAAATGCGTTCAGAAACAAACTTGATAACGGGAAGCTCAAGTTGCAAGGTTTCCTTGTCCCAAACCCAAGCGACCTTTTGACCCGCTTTCGTATTCTGTGAAAATCGGAGAAATGCTGGGGCATCTGTAAATCCCTTCGTGAAAAAAAAACAATTCACTCATATTTATTCCGACAACTCAACGATCTATTCTATAATTAAAATATATCGTTCAAAAAGCGTTCCTAGAATAAAATTCACGGATGGTTTAAAATTTACAAAACAAAACTCTAAAAGTTCATTGATTACTTGGAGAAGCAAAAACTGAATTTAAGAAGCAATGCAAAATATTAAATTAATCTTAGAATCATGTCAGTGAGTCAGAAATGATGAATGCAAGTATGTTGTTGAAAAATAAAAGACGAATCACTGAAAACTTTACACATTGCGAGCTAATCGATAGTGATCATGTGACAAAAAATCTTTGAAAGCGTGCTAAATGAATACAAAACAAAAATTAAGAAACCACATTCGTAAATCATACGAAAAAAGTACTCCTGTGTATCCGCAGCAGGCCTTTACGAGTTGACGCGCACCGAAAACGCGTTGCTTCGCGGCGAGATGCGTCGCGGTAGCGTGGCGTCAGATTGATCTCGACGATTACCCCGCCAATACGAATTATTTGTTTATTTTTCAAACATTTTCAAATTTTTAAAATTTTCTCCTCATCTTTAATTGTATAAAAAAAATTTTCTGCTTCTTCCTCACATGAAATTGGCACTTGTAAAAATTATTTTCAATTTTTTTCCGAAGACAATGTCGTTTCTTGTAGGGAGCCTGTCAATTGAATTTCGGATTTTTTCTGGTTTTTTGTTTCTTGATATTTTTATTTTTTTTAAGTTTTTCTTTTTTATTTAGAAATGTCAGAGGAAACCCAGACTACGGATCTACCAAGCGAGCAACCTGCAGAAGTTGCTCCAGCCACTAAAGATCTGCCGAAGCCAGTCGAAGGTTTTTTTTATTTCGAAATTTTTTCATTTTGTTGTTGACTAACTTTTATTTTTCTAACTAAAATATTGATAGCTGTTTCTTGTTTGGAATATATATTACTGGTCGTAAATTTTTTGAAAACGAGCTGTAGGATAGGCACAAAATCTTAGAAGATTCTTTCAAGCTTCATAGAAGAGTTAAGTGGGTTTTACATTTTTCCACTGCATTGCAGTGAATATCGTTTATAAAAGAACTACCTAAATTTCTACTTTTAAAATGCGGTATTTGAGAATAGTTTTAACAATTTTTCAGAAGACGCCGAACAGAAAGAAGCAGCTGAGACAGTTTCAAACGGAGAGGCCAACAATCATGCTGAAGAAACAAAGGCTCCTGCACCAACCGAAGAGGTAATCATCTAAATTGTTTTGTTTTTTTTCAACGAGGTTAATTTATCAGGTAAAAGAGAGCGAAGCGGCTCCTGAGGCTGAGAGCGAGGATAAAAAGGTAGAGGAAACTGGTCCGAGTGAGAAAAATGTGGAGAGTGAAAAGAATGATGTGGAGAGTGAAAAGTGGGAAGTGATTGGTGATGAAGAAATTAAGAAGGTTCGAATTAACTCATCTAATATTGTTTTATAAAGAAGTTATTTTTCAGGCCAAAGAAGACGAATCTGCGCAGAAGGAAGCAGCGGCTGCTAAAGAAACTGAGGAAAACGCTGAAGAGCCGGTTGCTGAAAAGAAAGAGGTGAATTGAATCGAATCCATTATTTTTAAACGTTTCGGTCGCAGGTTGCTCCGCTGACCGAAAATGCTGAAGAGTCCGCTGAAGAAGCTGCTACAGAAGAGGTTCTTATCGACTTTTATTTTCGAATTTCTATTGTCAATATTTTCCAGAAAGAGGAGTCGCAAGAAGATGACGCTGAACTGAACGAAGAAGTCTCGGCAGTTGCTGCGACTCCTTCGAAAAGAGGAAGAGGTCGTGGAAGGGGCCGAGGACGCGGTCGTGGACGTGGAACAGCTTCAACGACAGCCACGCCATCGACTCCAAGAGAGAAGAAAGAGCGCAAAGTCGCTCCGCCACCTTCTGCCGAGGTTTTTATAAAATTTAAAGTATATGGTTGTGGATAAAACGATTTCAGTCTATCGCGGCCACACGACCAAGACGTTCGACTTCAACTCGTGTTGATTATGCGAACCCTGACACTTCAACTGTTTTGGCAGAGGTAGATGACGAGATTCCTGGAAAATTGTTCAAGGTCTTCTATTTTCTGTGAATTGAAAAACCAGAGTAAGGTAGCTGTAGGACCTTTTAGGAGAATTTTGAGAGTAGAATTACTTGAAAGAAGGATTCACAGATTTTTTTTAGTTTTGAAAAATATGAATATGATAATAACGAACTTTTTAGAACGACCTAACCTTGTTTTTTTGTTTATTTCGAAAAAAATTTCTTTTGCGATAATTTTTTTAAACTGTTGCAAATGTTTCTCTCTGTGACTTATTTCTTTAAGTCTGTCCTCATTTGTCTAGAGAGGAAGCAGACTTGATAGATTATATTGCTAATAACTACGTGTTTGATTCAAAAATTCTAAACTTGTGAGGATTTTTTTCTAACTTCATAAAACTTTAGGGCGCTCGAGGTGGTCGTGGCCGTGGACGTGGAGGACGTGGCAAAGGTCGTGCTCGTGGATCCGAGTCCGACAGTGATGCTGCTCCCAGCGACGAGGACGATGTGGTAATTTTTTCTCTTTTCTGGTTTTAAAGAAAAAAAAAGTTTCTTTTTTTTTAAATAGGAGACTAGTATGCTGAAACGTTTTCAAAATATGTAATGGAGATTTTATCATCAACACAAAGTTAGTTCTTCGGAAAGAGAGAATGAAAGTTCAATTTTAAAAATTATCGAGGGAGGTGTATAAAGTTAAGAATTTGGTCATTCAGGAATGTAGTTACGAATCTAGAAAATAGCTTGAATGTTATCTTGAAAAATAAATATGTATCGTTTTCTTCAAGTCTACATGTTGGAGTTTTGCAGGAATTCGGCAAGAAGAAGCGCGGAGGAGCTGTGGGCCGAGGCCGTGGCCGCGGAAGAACTCCAGGAACTGGACGCGGACGTGGTCGTCCAGCGGGCGGTCGGACCAAGAACAAGGAAGAGTCTGACGAGGAGGACGATGGAGAAGTCGAGTACGACGACCGCAAGAGCGACGAGGCTGAGGTTGAGGCCGACGCTGATGTCGACGTGAACGAGAAGGACGATGATGAGGCAAGTTCAGGATTTTCAAGGGACTCTTCAGCACAGAAAGTACAGTTCGAGAGAGATTATGAGACTAAAGCAACACTCTTTCTCCTAGCGACTAGTGAACGCCTGAGAAAACTTATAGATTAATTTAAATTAGCCGTGGGTAACGACTTTAAAAGTGTCGTTGTCTGTAAAAAAGAAATTAGGCTGATTCTTCGAACATTTCTCGACTGAGAGTTTCTTTTTCAGGAAGGCTTAAGGAAGTATTTGTTCGATAATTTGAATTCATTTTTCTCAATCGTTCAACACACCCGATGTTTCCAAGCTTAACCCTTTTTTTTTTTTAGTTTTGAGCTCCGTGAGGATGGTTATAGCTAAAGTTTGATATTTCATATGTATCTTGGCTTATGGAAAATACGATGTAAGTATTAAACATGTTTTCTCTTTCAGAGCGGCAAGAAGAGGAAAGCGCCTGAGTCTTCAACTCCATCTAAGAAACGCGCTCGAGCTGGAGGCGATGATGAAGAAGAATAAGTCTCCACTTTGAATTCCATTGTTTTCATTCAATAAGTTGTGCTCTTTTGTTTTTACGTTTTCACTTTCTGTTCCTCACTATTTATTACGAATTGCCACCCTTCTGTATTCGTTTTCCTTTTGTTGAGTTATCACTACAGTTAGCACTTGCCAAGATTGCAGATGCTTTCCGCAGCAAAAGATGATTAACTCGGTTTCCAATGAACATCTCAAACCTAATATTGTTTTAAACTTTAAGTTATTTTCTTTTTTTTTCCATATACCTCTCGCATTTTATTTCAACGGTTTTAACTTCTCTTTACTTGTTTTTTCCGTTTGTAAATAAGTGAAGTTATGTTTGTTGCCATTTTCTCAATATCTTCAAAAGGACTATTACAAATTCTGATACTAAATCGATTTAATCTATTTATGTGTATATGACGTCCTTTGTTTCGTTTAAAACGTTCTCACAATCGTTGGCAAAGAGTGCGAGAAGTCAATTTCCTGCTCATGCACCTATTTTTTTTACGTTCCCCTTGGAGGCACAACATAATCCTTGCTGATTGCCAAGAGGTGTCTATCCCCTCAAGTATTCTTCGTATTATGTTTCCATTACTCTCCGTGCGTGCACGTAGTCTGAACCGATCCTCGACTTTATTTCTTTTTTTTCATTCATCTTTGCGTTCTTCTCGTTATGGTTTCTCATTTTGAATATTTTGAACCTTCAAACGTTGAAATATTCTTAATAAACATATAGCCAAGCGTTTTGTGATTTTATTGTTGATTCGAGGGCAAGAAAGTTATCCAATTGAAGTTCTTTGTTATCAAAGTAGCTATAGTTTTTGTGTTGTCAATTTGGAAGAAAAGATGATTTCTTCATTGGAAAGGTATCTTTTTTTTTTTTAAATTTTAACAAAAACTAATTCTGTAAGTATGGAGCAAAAAATAAATCTTGATTTGAAAGGTTCGATTTTTTTATTATTAAAATTGAATATAAAAAGATGTCCTGATTGTAATTTTTTTCATCATCTTGTAAAAATTTGACGTTCCAAGTTTTTTTCATGAGATCTTAGACTTATAAAAAAATTAATTTTTAGCTTTTTCCGATCATGGTATGGCTTGTGGTGAATGGCGATCCGAAAGAGGTTTGTAAAAAAATTTTTTTAAATTCTTTTTTTAGTCCATTTTACTTTTGCATTGAGTCAAGTTTTTTTGAGAAACTTTGCAAGAAGGAAAAATGGTCCTTTTTAGAAGTTTTTTGAAATTGAAAGGTTGACAAAAAAGAAGCTTGTGAACATTTTCTTTGCTCAATTTTTACCGAAATGGCTTCGAAACGAATAACGGAAAATCGTGTAAAAATGAGAGGTTCATGGTTTTTTTTTTGTAACCAGCTAGAGATAAAATTAATTTATGGTCTACCTAAACACACTTAATGAGTTTTAAAAGCACAGGATTTTCCAAAATAGAAAACTGTTTCGGATTGAGTTCAACTCGAGTGTTGCTTCCTGCTAACACTGGGAAATGTTTTTGGGCCGGAAAAATCAAGTTCTCTCCGATTTATCTTTGCATATGGGCAATTCGTCTTGAGACCTTTATAAATTTAACTCCTTTAAAAATTTTATTTTGAAGAAAATTTTGGCAGTTTTTGAAAATTCAGAAGTTTCGGATGGCCTCAAGGCACACTTTTGATAAGCTTTGCGCTTCGAAAACCTTAACAATTCAGGCTATGCGCCTTTAAAAATCTGTTTGAAACCATTTTTGTGAGAACCTGTAGATTCGTAATAACTCTTTTTTATCGCAGAAATCTTGGACTAACTAAGGATAAGGAAAACAGTTCTTCGTCTCGAGACCCTTATGATAGCTTATGCTCCTTAAAATCTTTTGATAATGCATAACGCTAGATTTGAGTGAGATAGGATTCTTCAAAAAACACTGGAAACGACTCTTCGTCTCAAGACCTCGATGAATCATGTCTATGCGCCTTTAATCACTCCAAAAAGCCGGCTCTGAATCTAGTATAATCCGTCCCGTCTTTTGACACGCCAACGACGCTGAATGGAGTCTATCAAAGCCTTGTTTTCTTGTTATCAGTGGCGAGGGGAATGACAAAAAAAAAGAGACAGCCGGAGATCGATATCCTCAAGCCTGATACCTAATTCCTACTTTGTGTGAGTGCCCCCCGTCGGACGTGTTGTGTTGGTTGGAGGGAAACCAAGTTTTTCTTTCCCCCTTTTTCCCCCCGTCGCCCCTTTGTAGGGCTTCTCCCCCCTATCCTCTCCTGAAATACGCGCACTCGCGCATGTGAAAGTCCTACTGGGTAACTCGACCTTCCTTTCCGGACCGCAAAAAACCTCGCGACTACCGCGATGATTCCCATCGGAGAGGTAGTTTCTTTTAATTTTTGTGTGGAGCTTTCCGAAAATTAATAAGGCCTGGGCAGCTCTTTGAAAGTTTTTTCCGAACTCCTTGTCAGAGTTTTCCGAAGATCTTCGATGGACTGAGATACTGGAAAAGACTTTCAGCGTCGAAAAATTTATTGAACTTCTCTATGCTTCTTTGAACAGCCCAAACAAGAAGATTCTGTGAAAAATCAGATGAAAGCTAATATTCAGCCTAGTTCTTGTGACAAAAAGTTAAGTTTTTCGTAATTTTTCCCCCTTTCTCTTAAAAGTTTACCCCTACATGATTCTTAGCAACCCTTTTCCTGTTGTTTCGAACCGACTGCTCTGAATGTGAAGACTCGAAAAGTTGAAAAGACAATGATAAGACCATTTATTTTTTGTCCCTCAAGTAAAAAAATCGAAGAAGTTTTTCTGTGAAATTCAAATATTTTTTATAGTTTTTACAAGGCCCTTTCACGATTTTCTTCAAATTTGAAGTCCTTGTGTTTGAAAAAATAAACGACAAATCAGAGGAATAAGGAAAAATTCTAGTAATTAAGTTTAGATAGGTCTTCAACATTAAGGCTTCATGGAAAATTGAACTTTTCAACTTTTTCAAAATTAAATATGGATCTCATTATTTTTGAAACTGTTGATTTACTCAAATAGTGTTCCAATGAAACTGAAAAGGTCAAAATTCTGATTTTATTCCTGATTTCTTACTTAAAAAGATTGAATTACGTGTAATGTAATTCCCAATCGAGTTAAGGTGCAAAAGGTAATTTCTGTCCGCAAAATTCAATTAAGGGGCCCAACTAGATTTATTACCACTTCTAAACTGATTTGCTTGATATTGAAAGTTTTGAGAAAACCTGAGCAGGGCACAGGGAGAAAAATATGAAAAAGGGGAATTGTTTTGAGAAAACTTTGTTTCATTTTGTTTTGGTGAATCATCGAGAACGCGGTTTTATTGATGTCTCATCGTTAGTTCCGGGAAGATTTGAAGGATAGGGGGATTTTGGTGGAGGAAAGGTCTTGACACGATTAGATGAATATTTTGAAAAAAGGTATTATTTTAAAGGAGCTAACAGTGAAAGGGACTGAGACGGTGAAAGTAGTCAAAAATTTTGATAAATTTGAAGAACTTTTGAAGCTTTTTATTCATGGAATAGAGAAGGAAGTTTACTCCGGGTTTACTGTCGATTTCCAGAAAAATCTCGAAGGGCACTGAAAAATTTGAGTAAAAGGTCTCCATATATAATTACGACAGGAAAAAAGTTATAAATTTGCAATTTACGGTTAAAAAAATAATGCTCAGAACCACAGCTTTTGATGTACTGTTTCACTAATTTTTTGATGATAAATTTCAAAAAGGCTCGCCTCAATAAGTCTTGAATCAACTATGAAAAAAATTATTATCGAAAAATGAAAAAGAAGTCAAAAAAATGTGAGTTCCAAATGAGATTTTTTTTTTGTAGCCCAAAATATCTATTTTGACGTGGAAAAATCCTCGATATCACTACGAATTCTCGGAAATGAGATGGCAATCAACCCGAAGCTCTTTATAATAATAATAATAATGGAAAGAGAAAAAAAGGATGGCGACGAGTTGTGATTCAAGTGATTCTTCGAGTGCTTGTTTGCCGGTCAAATTGCGAGCATATTGCGGCACCCGGCCGCGTGCTTTTCTTCCTGTTTTATTGTCGAAATCGGCCCCCATTCTTCTTCCGTTCCTCTGTACTTTTCCCCCTAACTTTCCGATCTAAATGCTCCTTCCTTCGACGGTCAGGCCTGTTGAATATATCACGGAGGTTTGTTCGAAGTACACCGTTCCATGGAAAATATTGCTGGATTTTCACATTTTTTGAAAAATTCTTGGCAGTTTTAATGTAAATTTGTATAGCGATCTCTCTCAAAAATTCAGATTTCGAATTTCAGAGCTTTTACACTGATTTTTCAATAAATCATTATTTTTAAACATTAGAAATTGAGATAAAAGCGCTGTGAATAATTCTTTGAAATTTTACAGTTCTGAGCTTTTTCAGCACAATTTTTCGATTTCGAAACTTTATAATTTTTCAATTTTTTCACAATATTCAGCTCGATTTTTTTGGATTATTTATCCAATAGTTTCATCTACTAGAAATACTTCCAAGTATCAAATGAAAATTTTAAGTTTCGTTTTTAAGTCTTTTGATCATGGCCTAAAAGATGTAGATGTACTCTGAACTCTTTTTTTCGAAAAAAATTTTATATCTAGAAAAAAAGTTGATGTAACCCCAAGGAGTGTGTCGAATTCATTTTTAATGTCCGGCGGCTTGCTTCTTTTTGTTTTTTTGAAGATCTGAAGGGGGTGATAATGATTTTTCTTTCTTTATATTTTAATTAAGAAAAATATCGTTTTTTTCTAGAAGGGTTTTTAAAAAAAGGGCTTTAGAGGTCGACCTTGGTGTTAAATAAATTAAAAATCAGAAAAATGGAATGAAATAAGTATCAAATGCATTGGTCACTGAGTAATGGTAGGAACTTATTCTAAAAAAGATTCTGCTGGAATATTTGAAAAATAGGGGACTTCGATGGTTGAACGATAGTGTGAAATGAACTGGCGAGTAAGTTGGCAAAGTCTCAAAAAAAAAATTATTTCAATTGAAGAAGGTAGAAACTGAGTTTGAGGTTCCTAAATTTGAGGGATGAGAAAAAAAAAATGAAGATAAAAAAGGGGGTTTTCAGACGCACGATGGGCGCGCCGACATGACCAACTTCGAGATGGACTTGTTCGACACGCGAATGACCGAAATCAAGGTGGAGAAGGAAGAAAAGGCGACATACTGCTGTGGATATCGGTTCGTTTCATTTTCCGGGCCGGGAAACCTAGTTGATGAAAAATTTTGGAAAATGTTAAGCCAGGACTTGAGAAATCAGTAAAAGTAGCGATTTTTAGATGTCATTTTCAAATTTTCGTCTGTTTTTCTGAAAAATCAGCACTGGGCCAGTCCTGAGCGATCCAAAATCCATTTGGAAACCTGCCCTCAAATTATTTTTTTCTTTTTTTTTTTGCCTTCAAATTTTTATTCACTCTTTTTTGTAGTGTAACTGTTTCTGTAAGAGACCTCTTGGTATTAGAATTATGATTTTTTCCCTTTTAATGAGTTATAATGATAATGATTTAACTTATTTTCGCTTTAGAAATTTACTTTTTTTCTTTGAAAGCAGTCTTTATTAAGGGGAAAGTATTTTTCTTATTGAAACGCCTTCAAAATATGATAAGAGCTCTAAAATTCCTGATTGCAAAGTATTTTTCGATATCCCAAACTACAGTAGTTTTCTTCTTGCAAACTTGACTTCAAAATCTGAAAAAAATGGCTATCACTGAAAAATCCCATCGAAAATGGAAGGCTCGAACTGTTTGCTCTATCGATAAGTTTTTTTTTCCGGAAAAAATTCTTCCAATTGTGAGTTCAGCCCATTATTTTTTATGGATCCATACTCAGCGAACTTTTTTTTTAGATCCCAAATTTCGATCATGAACTCAACGTTTCGGTTTTGTATTTTTCAATTATCGTTCTCAAACATGGAGTTTAGAAAAGTATTCGGAAGGCTAACCTCAGAATTTCTCTTATAATCATTTCTAAATTGTTTTTTTTTGCGCGCTTCAATTTTCTCAGTTTTCTCAAAAAGCAGTTGTTTTCCTATGATGACAACTATAAAAAATCAGTAGGCCCGTTTTCCCGTCATATCTTGTTTACCTTGGTTTTTTCTTCAAATACCAAGGATTATTCAAAAAAATCTTCCATTCCTCTTAATTGAAGCTTTTTAGTATAGTGGATAGCTGTGAAAAATTTCGCGGAAGCTGCGAAACAGATGTTCATCGAGGGGTTCTTTTTTTCCGAAGGGATCTTTGGCCGTCGTTGATGGGTTAAGGACGTTCGAAATTTTGTTGCGATTCGCTCTTTGCACTTGGCTTTTCAAACTTTCCTCTCAAAACTTTTAGGAAATTCAAAGAAGCTTCAAAATTAAAAAAAAGGTCATTCTAGTTTGTGGTTCGAACTTCTGAGGATTGATAGGAAATCTCTTCGAGGCACCAAAAAAGATGCGGCAAGCCTCAAAATCCACAACTTTCTAGGTTTTGGGATAGGACACCTCAAAGCCAAAAATAAATTTCCGTTGTAATAGGTTGTTTTGTAGTTTTGAGCTCTTATTTTTTGAATTTTTGCAGTTTGAGGCTTTCAGAATCTTCTTTCGGTACTTCTTTGAAAACTTCAGAGAATTCCCAACGTAAAATAACCTTCCTCACATTTTTATATATGAGATTGGAGGCCTCGAACTATCGATAAATATAGGCTTTAAAGAAAATCTACTTTTCCGTAGTTCTTCGAATTAGGTCACCAAACATTTTTCTAATTAGTTGGCTAGAAAACTTTGAAATTCTCAAAAGTGGGTTTTTTGATGGAAAATTCACATTACCTTGCTTTTTTTATCCAAAAAAATTATATATTTACCTACTACTGAAAAAGAAAGCTTATTTGCTCTTCGCTCCAATTGTTTTTGGGCGCAAAAGGTTCCATTCCAATTCCAATTAAGGGCGGTGTCGCGTGTAAAACGATGCTTTGTGCAAGAGAGATGTGACGTTATTTTAAGCAGCTTTTTTGAATTCAGGTTTTTCGGTTTCTTGTTTTGTTGAAATTCCACTCCTTGATTTTAATTGAATCCGAAGTTTATTTTCTATATAACTCAAAAAGCTCAATGTTACGTTGTTTCGCTGTCTTTTTTGAGCTCAAAATTGTTTGCAAGTTGGAAAGAGGCCTGTTCCCGACTCTCACCGACTTGCGCAGCTTCCTATTCATGCCTATCTCAGTCATAGCTCAGGAACTTCAGAGTGATCACTATAGGGACAACCTTACTTAGAGGTCCTTGGAGAGTCCCCTCTACGGAACACTTTACCAATCTCCATACTGGCCACTAAATCTTGCAAAAGTGGTCCCTATAGGGGACATACGTCGAGAGTTTTATGAAATAAAATTGAAAGACCCCTGTAGGGACCACCAGTTAAAAAGTTTCGAAACGGAAAAAACCCCAAAAAGGGAATCTTAATGCCTTACCAGCATTACAACCCACCTCAAAAAGTAATTAAGACACGGATTTTTTCTCACTTTTTGGTTCATATTCAAAGTTTTTTTTGAGAAACTAAGAAACTCACATTTTGGCCATTTCGAAGCGGGATTTGTACTCCACCTGCCGTCGTGCCTTGCCCATTTTATACTTTGCCTTATCACAAAATATAAATCTTTTTTTCTTCCTTTCGGAGACTCTCACTCACATTGCCGCTCTCAACACAGAGCCGAATCGATGCTTAATCTTGTCCCTTTATTTTTTGTTCCGTCTTCTCCCCAATTTCACATGAAGAGAAATAAAAAAAACGAAAATCTTCCCTTTTTAATAGGTCTGCTCCGCAAGGCGGCTTGTTTGAGAGATTGACATTTTTTTTTTCTGGCTTAGACTTGATCTTCTCCTTTTCTCAGACTTGTAGGAGGAACGTGGTCTTTTGAGCTTTTGATAGTGGATAGAGAACAGGAAGTTTGGTTTTCTAGATTTTTTAAAATCGAATTGAAAGCTTATCAGATAGATATCCTTCAATATTAAACTTCCCCAGATTTCCATGAAGCGGAAATTTTTTAAATATCATAAAGTTTCAGAAAAAAAGATTTTCGAACCGTGAATTTCATTTTTTTAATTAGAATGAACTTGGAAAATGATTTTCCTTTTATTTTCATTGATAAATTGATACTTTTATTTTTGCGAAAAAATAAGATGGGAGGAGACATTTTGTAAATTTTATAAGCTCTTCCCTAATGGGTTCTTCGAAAACTTTAGGTTTCCGAGGATGTTTGAGGGCGGGATTAATTCCGAAACAAGTTTTTTTGAGGATTAAAAATTTTTTTTTGTTTTTCTTGTGGTTTTTCGGATTGAATCGGGTACTTTGGACAGTTTCGAAATGTGCATTTATTGTGGAGTTTTTTTTATCGAGGAGATATTGTGTTTTTTAAGTTTAATATCTTTTTTGCCCAAACTTTGACATCTTTGATTATTTTGAAGTAGAGTTATTTAAGCTTTCCTTGATCGCATTGATCACAAGTACAATTTGAATATTTAGAATGCCCTTTCCATAATTCACCTGTTCGCACGACGTCAAGTGTGAAAATTGGCAGATGGAAATTCACGTCAAAGCTTGAATTTTCCTCCCATTTGACTATAAATTTCCGTTCTCATCGCCTTTCTTTCTCCTTGGAAAAGCTGATTTGTTAACGTTTGGAGGGTTGGGAAGCCTTCAGTTTTTGGACTGAATAGCGGCGGATGGTGGTTCTCCTTCCCCAGGGCGACTACGACGCCATCCGCGAACATTATTCCTACACTTCTCGATTTTACGCCGTCGAAAATGAGGAATGCTCCTGTCGATGCAGGTTTCCATGGGTTCCCAATAATCTTTCTTGAAATCTCTGTGTTTTTCTCAACGAGTTTATTTTAATCCGAACTCCAGCTCATACAGTACCATGCAATTTCACTTTTTTCGTCATAACTTTTCCAGAAGTTGTCCAATTTTTGTCTAACTTTCTACAGTTTTTTTCTAGGGGTCCAGTTTGGTATATCAGAAAAATTAGTTTGATAGCTCATTTTATAGACAGTTACCGCCTGAAACCTGAAATCAACAAAAATTTTCCGAAAAATTTTCAAAAAATTTTGTTTGGTCGGGTCACGATAGGAAACAGGTATTGAGCACATTTTTATGGTTCACTGAAGCTTTGAGTTCAATATACCATCGCTTGCTCCGTCATAAAATTATTCTTCAGTAGAAAAAAAATGCTCTAACTAGAGAACTACTGGGACTCGGGTACCCGTTTCGAGTTGAAACTTTGGTAGCTTACATACCCGGGTAAGAGAACTTGGGAACAAGAAAGATTATCTGCTAAACCCCATAGGCTTCTGAGAAAAAGCTTTTTGAAAATGAACAGTTTAGGCTTGAAAATTATTACAGGGTGAGTACTAATTATTGAAACACGTTTGAACAAGCGCAACTCCGAGGAAAAGTGAATGATCCGTACCAAAATTTTTCACTGGCAATTCTGGAATGTACATTCCAAAATTCATGAAACTATTCCAATTCCTATCTTCATTCAGCTCTGCTCTGGCTCGAAAAGTGTGTAGGACCCAAGCCCCAACGGCACGCGGTCATTTTTCGATGTTTATAACTGGTAAAAAGTTATCTGAACGTTCATGTTCAAATAAATACACAAAAACTAAACTTTGGGTTTTTCGCAATATTTCTTAGAAATTTCCATCAATGAGCGTTAACAAAAATGATAGGAGCACTCCCCGAAAAGAGCTAACAAAACCGTTTTTTTCATTTTCAAAATCATGCAAAATGGAATTTTATCTCTGCTCGAACTTGATTTTTTCTAATTCAGGGTAGGACTACTTTATACAAAAGCCCAAAGTCTCAGCTTTGAAAAATATATAATTGGGTCAAGGTTAGACTGTTCTTATTTGAGAGGGGGGCTGTAATATGCGATTAATCGTTGATCTTAGATTTTTTCGCATATTTTGCAGTTCTAAAAAGAAAGTAAATCTAGAGTAGCCTGAAACACATTTAGAATAAAGAGTAACGCTAGTAGTATAAGACAAAAATAATTTGGGTTCCTAGAGTTGGCTCCCTTCTAAGAAAAATTGCCGTTGTTAGAGATGATGGTTAGCCGCGTGCCAAAACCTGATTTTGGGCAACCGATTGGTAGGTTCCAATTTATCCTGATTTGATCAAAAAACAAGATATTAGAAAAATGTTAAGACTTCAAGTTCACGAAGGCGTATAGACTCTAAAAAATTATGAGTGAGTTTTATTTATCAAGTATGATGGGTACGCCAGTCCTTAAACCGTTGTTTCAATATTTAGTGCTCACCCTGTAAATTATTGCTTTCCTCCTTCTTTTGGCTGGAAAAAAGTTCTTCAGAGTTTATCATAGCCGGGTCATCTAAGGCGATTGTATTAAAATATAAAATAAGATAAAAAGCAGTACTCTGAAAAATTTCAGGCCTAATTTTTCACATTTTCTACTAATTTTTTTCTCAGTTCTCTATGGGGTTTAGCAGATATTCTCACTTGTTTTCGAGTATTCTCACTTAGGTATTTAAACCACTAAAGTTTAAACTCGATCGGCGTACCCGAGTCCGAGTTTCCCTAGTAAATTTAGACGCCCTTGATTTTTTGTGATTTTTGGATTATCGAGTCCCTCACAAACTTTTTGATGGATTTTTGAACTTTATAAATAAAGCTGTGGTGAAGTTTTCCATAGTACCAGACAGTGTTCGGAGCCCTATAAAGTTTATTGTTTTAGGGACCCCTATAGGGGTCAAAAATCTTATGAGCCCCTATGAAACCCCTCAAAAGTTTTTCAGTCAATGTCATTTTTGAATTTTTTTAATTTAGTTTATGAGGTTCATATTGATTATACGACTCAAACAGAGTCACCAGGTTCTCTTGCTTTTTTTTATATTGAGTTGTTGAAACAGTCATTTGAAATTCAAATAGAATATAGTTTTTTTCAAAACCTATATATTGTTAAATTTTTTTCAAGTTTCTCAATAATTTCAACTGATAGTTTTTATGATATGATTAACAGGACGGTTTTTCAAATTTTTCTTTTTTTTTCCATATTTCATGAGAGCCGTGAGTAGTACATGTTTACGTGTCTTTTAAAGAAAAAGGCAAGATTTGAAATTTTTCATTGTTCATTTCAAATTTTTCTGCTCGACGAGTACGATGAATAAAACTTCAAAACAATCCAAATACCATGCAGTATTTTTAAAATAGCTTCAGTAAGATGAAATGAGGAAGATGAACTGACCAGTGAGAGGTAGAGAATTTAAATTGAAATAATACGTGAGTAAATATAAAAAAATAAGTTGGACTTGGAGAAGACCTTTCGAAAATTTACCGAAAAAAATTAATGTTTAAAAATAATTTTTGAAGCTCCAGGGGGTAGTTTTTGGACAAGTTTCAACCTCAGGAATGACTTTGGGTTGACAAGATCTGGGAGGCGGCTTCAAAAAAATGGTCTCCTTATGTATGATTTAAAATGAAAAAAATATCTAAAGAACCCAAAAAAACAGCTGCACAAAAATTTATCATTTTTTTAAAGTCGAGGTTTTTTTCAGCGCGTCTCGGAATCGGATCATCAAGCCGGCCTGCGTTCCCATCAGCATTATTTCCCTATTCATCATCGCCCTCGTCTTTTTACCACTTTTTAACGAAGAAGACCTCTCGTCGCCCTTCAAATTGCCTACAGAATGTCCCAACTCCTGCAGGTGATAATTAAAAAAAAATGAATCAAAAAAGACAAAAATTTTATTTTTTTCAAGTATTAGTGGCTTTCATGATCCGCCTAAAAAATCGTGATTTTTGAGTTCCTCCCTGGTCGAATCCATCCCAACTGGTCTCCAACTACCGCCACCTCACTACAACTCGACTTCCGACGCCTGGATCTCTTTGGTCGACGGAGCCAGGAAATACATCGACATCTCGGTCATGTACTGGAACCTCAACACTTCTGACTATTCTACGGCGATTTATGGGCGAAGATTCTATGAAGCGCTCATCCGGGCTGGAAGAAGAGGCGTCAAGGTGAAGGAGCTCCAAAAATGACTTGACTAGTTTTTCTTCTTTATGGGTACAACGGTCAATTGTACTTACTTACTTAGATACTTAGATGGTCCATCTTCGCTTTCGACCTTTTATTGCCTTTTAGTGCCTTTTATTGATCGAAGCGTGGACCACACGTTTTCCAGGAGGTCTTATGCAATCGGTCATCCAGTGTTGTCGTCCTGGTTGACTGGTATTCTTGCGAAAAAAATCCATCCGTGGTGTTGAACGTGTTATAGCATAATTGTGGTCTTATTATCCTTTTTGCCTTGCCAGGGCTAAAAAAGACCGCCCATTCTGTTAGCAGAAGCAAGCCGAATTGCGTGACCGGTGTACCGTTAGCCGCCATAAATGGCGTTGCCTCCCCATCACCGCGTAGAGGTGGTACTTGAAGGGGTGATGGATCTCAAAAAAAAAAAATTTTTTACCCCATTTTGATGTTTCCAACGCTTATTATTATGATATCAACCGTCAAAATGTTTAGTTGTATGAATCTTACACAAAAGAAAAAAAAATTAATTTCATCTATGAAAAAAAATGGTCGGTGTTTATTTTTATTTCAGTTTTAGGGGTATTAAGAACATAAAAAGACAGACTGAGTAACAGGAAAAATTTATCGTGAATAATTTGAAGCTGTAATTTTAAGTTGCTTCCATTTATTTTTCGGGTTTTTGTTTGGAAAAGAAAAGAAATTGGTGATTTTTTCTTCGTTGTGCACATTTTTGACGCAAACGAGTGAAAACCATTTTCCTTTTATTGATTGAATACGAAATTTTAATTGATTTTTATAGTTTTTCTGAAATCGGAGTGTACTTTGAAAATGGAGGAATTTTTAGGAAAGAATTTTTTTTTGACTCGAAAAACGCGAAAAATTTTCTGAAATGGATAGATGAAGTTATGATTGGAATCTGTTAAAAACATGTTCTCAGAAATTTCCTTGATAGTTTATTTTTTGAAAAAAGAAGCAACGTTTCCAGATCCGAATCGCTCAAGACGGTTCAGGCTCCGGGCTTTCTGACAACGCCGAGTCTAAATACTTGGCCGATCAAGGCCTGGCTGAGGTCCGAAAACGAAAAGATCCAAAATCTTTAGTTTTTGTTCAGGTCAGATCGATAAATGTGAGTCGATTGCTTGGAACCGGCATCATTCACACCAAATTCCTGATTGTCGATATCGAAAATGTGTACGTTGGATCGGCCAATATGGACTGGAAGTCGTTGAGCGAGGTTTTTCGCCTCGAAGTTCCAAAAAAGAGGAAGTCTTTTCCAGGTCAAAGAACTTGGAATGGTTGTGGAAAATTGTCCCTGCGTGGCGGCGGATTTGTACCGAATCTTCGCGATTTATTGGAAGTTGGGCGAGGTTTCCAGAGAAGCCAAGAAGCTCGGAAACTCATTTTGAGTCCATTTCCAGCCCGACGCGAAAATACCCGAACATTGGCCGATTTCCTACAGAACTCCCTACAATTTCTCCCATCCGTCTCACGTCAAGCTGAACGGCAACCTGTCGGAGTTCTTCATCTCAGTAGGAGGCCACTCTAGATTTTTCGTGGAACTTTTGGAATTTTCCAAGAGCTCGCCGGGTCCATTCAATCCGAAAGGCCGGGAACACGACCTCGCCGCGATCCTGCAGGTCATCGGATCGGCCAAACGGAGCGTCTGCGTCTCCGTCATGGACTATGCTCCCCAGACGTTCTACATGAAGAATAACACGTGAGGAATGACTTTTTGGGGTACTTGAAACAGCGAAGAATGATCCAAAAATTGAAGAAGTTTAAATTTTTTCCAAGTGAACATTTTGTTGATTTTCGAACCGTCTTCATTTCTCTAGGCTTACTAGAAGGTTCCAAACGGAAAGTAGATGTTGGCGTGAGATTTTCGAATTTTTCTTTTATCGATTTCTGAAGATCTTCAAGTTAATCCAAAATAGTGAAAACTTTTCCACCAATTTCAGATTTTCCTCAACTTGTTTTTATTTTTATCGGAACAGACTAGAAGTACAGTTTTTGAGGTGCGGATAATGTTCAGCTGCAAAAGTTTTAGGATAGAAGAAATATAGCTTCAAAAATTATGCCTGTACAGGGCATTTGTGATCTATGGATAATAGGGGGGCTCATGTTTTTTTGTTGAGTCAAGTCGATTTTTTAAGAAACACAAAGATATCTTACCCAATTTCCCAGGCCCTATTTCTATTCTAACAGTTTTTAGTTCAAAGAAAACTTCCAGCTCAGTTTTCCTGGCTTTTTCAATGTTTCTTGCTCATATATCTTCCATTCTGCAGCTTCTGGCCTCTGATCGACGACGCCCTGAGAGCGGCCGCCTTCCGTGGCGTCGCCGTTCGTTTGCTCGTCTCTCATTGGGACCACTCGAGGCCCAGCATAATCCCGTTCCTCCGGAGCCTCGTCGCAATAAACGACGCCATGCCGAAGACCTCCACCGGATTCGGCAGCATCAACGTCAAGATGTTCACCGTCCCGGCGACGCCCGAGCAGAAAAAGAACCCCTTCACTCGGGTCAACCATGCCAAGTTCATGGTCACTGACGACACTGCCTATGTTGGTGCGTGAATTTGGTTTTTTGAAAATCGTTTTGAATGTTGGGAACGGGCGCGCCGTAGCGCAACAGGTTGTGTGCCTGTCTACGGTCCACAGGGTCACAAGTTCGATCCCCGCCCCGACCCAACCAAGGGGTTTAAGAAATGTTGGTAGTGGGAAACCACGACTTCAAAATCCCCAGCCGTCACACACAAGGACGGATATGTCACTGGAGCCAGTCCACTGATATCAGGATAGGACCTCGGCTAATCGACTTGGGGAGCCGACGCCGCTCAAGCGGTACAAAGGCGTAGGAAGAAGAAGAAGAAGTTTTGAATGTTGGGAAGTTGGGATCCGATACAGTATCAATATAGAGGTTTGAAGAAAAAACGGTTCGCTTAAGAACGCCAGAGTGGTCACTATAGGGGACAGGAATAGAAATCTTCTATAGTGAACAAAGTAGAGTTCCCTTTATTTTTAAAAATAATCATCGAGATATATTTTCAAATCGTATAATATTTCCTTCCTGCTTTAAATGAAACTACAGGAAACTTTTTTAATATATAAATTTGAGCGTCAAGGTTCTTTTCAAAATGTCTTTTCGCCACAAATGCAACTTTAATGTGATCCAAACAATATGCTTCTCCTGAGAAATCTAAAATAACTGAACTTACCAACTTTTCTCTCGATAATAATACTATTTAGGCACCTCGAACTGGTCAGGCGACTACTTCATCTCGACGGCCGGCGTCGCCTTGGTCGTCCGACAAAAAGCCGCTTCCAGACAACTTCAGGAAGTTTTCGACCGCGACTGGGGCTCTCCGTATGCCGCTTCTCTCACTGCCTCCCCTCTAAGATTTTAGCCTTTTTCTTGTCAAATTGTTGAATTATTGATTAATAATAGTTTTGATTGCCTCATCATTCCATTTTGTGAATATTTCTTGTGCCTTCGTTAAGTCTCTCCTTCTGTGAATTGCATTTATCCCCTTATACATAATGTATTTATATTTGGTGCATTAAGTGTAATTACTGGTATGATGGCTTTCATATTTTATCATGTGATTTAGTATTATGCAATTTTTTTATTGATAAAGTTTTTTTCACTTTGATTTGAGTTTGTGAACTCAAGAGTGCAGGAAATGTTGACAGGCATCATATGTCCTGAAATTGCTATCTTGAAAAAAATCAAATATCTTTTTAAAGATAATTTTGAAATATTTTAATATTAAAACGCGCGGAGATTAGAGTCGATGGTGTTTTTTTTAGAGCCTTGCGGCCAAAGCGCAAGGTTACGCGCAAAAACATTTTTTTTGATAAATTCAATTTTTGTCGAATTTTTCTTGTTTGTTCAACTGAGAAACGGGTCATGTTCCAAAATTCAAAAAAATTGTTCAATTTTGTGCTGAAATTGCTCCGAAACAGGACAGTTCTCTGTTTTGAAGTATTTTTCTTGCGTTTTGAAGCAAGTTTAATTTTTTCAGTGATCACGCCATCGTTATTCAGTTTGAATCACCTAATTAGAGCTCAACTTTCAGTTTTTTTCGGCCCGCCTTTCAAATGGCCGGCACAGAAGACTTTCCGGTGAGTTTCTCAACCGCTTCAGGCAAATATATACCGGTTAGTTATCTGACCAAAATTAAAACAAAAATATTTATCAGGTAACCGCGAAATCTCTAACCAAAGCGGCGGCACTTTTAGGACCGTACGATGATGTGCAGATAAAACAGTTCACAGTGACCTTATTGAGATTTAATATATCATTTTCTTCAGAGAAATAAAAGAGGATCCTGAAGTGCAAAGTCGCAAAAGAGTTGCGGAACCGCCGGTTGTTCCAGTGGTGCCAACCAAGCAGATTAAAAATGAGGAGTAAGAAAAAATTGCCTTGATTTTTCAAAGCCAGTGGGAACCTGTTATTTCGATTTTTTCCACTTTAGAATTCATATATTGAATTAAGTGAGGAGAAAGAGACGGTACCCGAAAATCGAAAAAGAGCCGCCGAATCGCCGGTTTTGCCCACGAAACGGAGAGCTGTTCCATTTCATGAGGCCAAAAATCCCTCAGAAAGGTATAATAGATGAAATTTCGTGACATACATCCAAATTTTGATGTTTTCAGACTGACTCGGCGCCGTTCCCTGCCTGCCAGCTATCGAACACCATTTTCTGACGATTCAAGTTCAATTTTTCTAATTTTCAGCAACATATAAATTTCTTTTCAGATAGCCCAAATGAAAATGATTTCCAACTGTCCCCATGGAAATTATCTCCAGTTTTCCGACAACAATTGAGTCGTGGAAGCTTGAAAATCAACCAAATTTGTGTGTCTTATATCAAAAACTTCAAGGTTTCATCCGTTTTTTTTTTTCAGCGGTGGAAGGAAAAGTGGAAAGTGTTGAAGAAGAGAACGCACTTCTGATGATTGAAATCATCTCGGATGAGGGCCAAAAATTCCTGGCCCGAACTCCCAAGCGCGTTTTTACGCCTTCTGTTCGGGCTGGAGATCGGCTCCTTTTCCATAAAGTTCGGCCGGTTTTCAAGGGTTTGCTTTGAAGTTTCTTAGTTTAGGAAGGTGTCAAGCGTGTTTCTAATAGTTCATTTTCTTTTTGCCCGAAAGTCGAATACAAGAGTTTTCATACGTTTCTGTAATCTCTGTATTTTTTTTGATATCGAATGTTTAGTGATGAAATCGACTTCATTATCTTTTTTTACTTTATGTTATATACAAACAGTTTTTTTAGGAAAAATATAGCTATTAATATTCACCTATAAGATAATAAAAAGATTATAACTTTTCTATCGTATTTAATTGAAAAAAAGCTATGAAACCTTGAGTAGATCTAATTGAATAATATTTATATTTTTTTCATCAAGTAGAACTCATTATTTAGGGCCAGTAATAAAAAAATTCATAATCATGAAATTTTTTTAGCTCTTATTATGCCCTTTTCAAATTTGCGAAAGCTTTTTTTGACGGAGTGCTGTTTTTTTCAAAGTTCTTTCAGGTTATCTACAGTTTTTTTACTGTGAAAGTTTCAGCAAAGATTTTTGAAAGATTCTTTAAAAAAAGATTTCTCGTCAAAAGAAAAAAAGAAGCGAGAGGTCTTTGAAGATCCTAGAAAACTTTATTTGTACTATTATCAAGTTGAGGCTTTCAGATCTTATAAACTAATCAAAAAAAAAATAATGAGCCGAGACAAATTTAATGCAGATTTCAGGACGAAGAGCTAGTTTAGTCTTTTCGGTCACTCACGGTTTTTGTAACTTCAAAATGTCCAAAAAAAGTATTTTTTTAAAAAGTTTTTTTAACCATAACAGGTAGGCTACTGGGCAGAATCAATACAGCAAAGGCAAGAAAAAAACTACCGTATATACAAACTTTTGCTCTACAAAACTGCCAAAAGACAGCAAAAAACAAAGGTCTTGAAGCGAAGATGCTCACTTTTGATCTAATTTGGTGAAGATTATCGAAAATTTTAGCTAAAACTTTTATTATTCTTATTTTAAATAAATTATCCAAACTTTCAGAAGGTCGCCTATCTGAGATCTTCGCCGACGCCGTCACTTCATCTATAACTTTTTGTCCAAAAGAGCAAATCAACACGAAACCAACGTACAACCAGACTTACTATTGTAATTTTTTTTTCTATAAGTCTGTAGATTTTATGATATGTTTGCAGCAATCCACGACCTCCACACGATCAAAGGTCTCGACGTGAAAGAAAATACGATCAAAGCTTGTATTGCTGATTTTGGCAGCACAGTGACGTATATCGGGTGGGTCACCTCGAAAATGGAGTTTTAGTAGGAAAAATTGAAGAAACAAGTCATTTTATTCTAAAAAAACAGAAAAAAACTCACCTTTATTATGAATTTTATTAACTTTTTAAACTTTCGAAGGGGCGGGGCCTGTGTCTGCGCTCTCCACCAACTTTCGTCTTTTTTCCGTGTCAATACCCACTTTTCGTCGGTTCAAGCCAGCTGTAATTCAGCTATAGTGCTATAAAAATAGACATTCGAAGCAGGAGAAAATCAAGAAGTTGAAATTTCCAAACTTTCAGTTGCGCCAACAAGGTGTGCCGATGGAAACCCGACAAGAAGGACCAGGCTTCGAAAAGCACCGTTTGTCGGAATTGCCGTCGGAAACGACAAGAAACCTTCTATTTTGCTCCGATTGTGAGTTATCGAATTAGAAATGAAATTGAAGACTCTTGAGAAAAAAATAACGTGAAGCTCTCTTTAATAGTCTTACACTTACATAAGATGAGTTTCAACTCAACTATGAATGATTGAATATGTTAACTACTTAATTATGCGGATCGAAAAGCGTTCATTAAAAAGTAAGAGTTTGATTTTTCGAGTTTTTTTCGATTTTTCCACATCAAAAAAACTCAATTGACTTTTAAATTTTTCCCGAAACATAATCCGGACTCTTGCAGTTGACCCTTTACGATTTCTCTGGAAAAATGTTGGCGACGATTTCCGATGAACTGATGGCCAAATTGGTCGGCGCCGACGCCAAAGAAGTCTATCTCGAACGGGCTCAGCAAAGCTTCGCGGATAGGTGAGGATAAAAAGGAAAGAGAAGAAAATTCAATGAAAGCTTTATTCAGTTTAGAATTTTTGAAAACGAGATATAGTGCCAAACAGTCACGTTTTAAAAGAATAGAAGAGAAAAAGCTATCGTATTTACAAACTTTTGCTCTACAAAACTGCAAAAAAGACAGCAAAAAACAAAGGTCTGGAAGCGAAGATGCTCAATTTCGATCTAATTCCATATACGGTGTTTTTGGCGGAATAAAAAAGGTGACAAGCTAGCGCGGAATGGGCTATAACGTAAGCGAGAAGGATTTTTTCTTTGATCTAATTCAGTACTCTAGAGGATTTCCGCTCCAATGATAATTCAAAAAAAAATTTTCGGGACATTTTAGTGACCACTTTCGTAGCGTCAGCACTCTTAAGGGATCCCTAGCAATTGTCAGAAACGTTCATTACCGAGATCCGAGTACGCTTGCAGTGCGATTCTGCCTTTTTAATAAAGCCTCTGAAATCTTAAAATCTCTTAGAATTGTTCAAAAAGCGTAGAGGATACTTCACACAACTTTGAACCAAGATAATAATTCACAAGAACAAGAAAATTTCACAAAAACTTTCAAAAGAAAAGCGAAATACAAAAAAGTTTATCATTTTCCAGAGCTCACCAGTTCTTCAACGTCCCCTTTCTGTTCCGCCTGAAACGGACGTCTCCTGGATACTGGATGGTCCTCGGGAGAGAATCCGTCGATTTTCACGACTACGGGCAGTTCCTCCAATCCAAAGTGACCCCATAAACCAAACTAATAATAATAATAATCTGTTCTATTGTACTGTCCTTGTTTTATCTCGAGTTGCGACCTCGCTTGTGATGTCTCTGTAAAATAAACTCTTTTTATTGGTCTTGTATGAAAGTTGAATTAGGTTTTTGTGACCTTTTGCGGGTACTTTTGGGTTCCAAGAATTTTCTGTGCTTTGGTCTCCAGACACCCACTAATGTCTGAAATCGCGTCTCTGTTTGAGTTCAAACTGATCGAAAAGCAAATTTAAGGTCGGCTTTTCCCGAAAAAGCCGCGAAATGGACACCGACCTTCCAGCGCAACAAAATGTCATGGTGGGGATGAAAAGGGAGCTCTTAAGGGGTTTTTTTTAGAAAATTATCTGTTGGAATAATTTTTTATAAGCGTATGACTTATTAAGAACGGAGTTGGCAATATTTCGAAAAACTCAAAATTTTTGAAAAGTTCCGTAAAGTTATTAATTTCATGCATTGAAAGGAATGTTTTGCTAGTATTAATGTTTAAAAAATAAAGTCGGATCCCTTGAGTTATCACTTAGAATTGAATATTCCAATAAGACACCGGGAATCTTGGTGATTTTTTAAGAACTGAGCTTTTTAAGGGACCACTTCAGGGATCATTTTCAAGTTTGACCAAATGTACAGAATCCTTTGTCTCATTGGAAAGTTTGAGAATGGCTTTGTCCGATTTTTCTTTTCATTATTAGGGGCTTTGCATTTTGTACTGTTCTCAGTTCTTCCAAAACCGAGATTCCCCATCAGAATTGACTTCAGCTTTTAGGATGTGGATTGATCGTTCTCCATTGATGGAATAGTTGGATCGATGTGTTTTTTCACTTAAAGGCATAGGGGCAGTAAAAAACGGTGTTTCAGTTCAAAGCAGTACTTTGTAGAGCTTTTCATTGCGAATCGAACGGTAAACTTGGAAACGTACAGAAGTTCATAGTTTTGGAGAAAAAATAATTCAAAGTCGGAGAAAGGAAATCTTGAGTTCCCGCAAAAAGGGCGCTTTGCAGTAAAGTTGCTCTATGGACAACAGGTTTCGCCATCTTCCGAGTTTTCGCTTTTTTCTTCGTTTCTTTCAATTTTCAATTTTTTCTGTTGTCACCAAAGTTCTTTTTGTCACAAAAGCTTTCTATTCATGTGTAATTTGCAAACTTTGATCGCAAAAATGCTTTTATGGTGAAAAATGATGATTTTACACAGGTTTCTATTGAGATTGCGATATTTTGTGTTTTGTTTATTATCAATGTGTGTTTTCTGTTTTCTTAATCGGTTTTCCAGAGTAGAAACCCTTAATTTTAAGCAGAAAACCGGTTATTTCTTCCAAAGTGCGAGTCTAATGAGACGTCCGCAACGTCGTGTGCACGGCTACTGTAAACATTTGTCCGTAGACCGATCCAAAGCTTTTTTCAAAATTAAAGGCGAGAAAGTAAAATCGCGTTTTTCTTCTAAAGTTGTCATACCTGTAATTTTTTTGAGTACACCATTCGATTCGCAATGAAAAACTATATAAGATACTGCTTTCACCTGAAACCCCATTTTTTACTGCCCCTATGCCTTTAAGCGGCCCCTTGAGGGATCACTCCAAGTCCAAGGTCCCTAAGGGTAGCTGCCTGAAGGTGTATATTATTGGAAGATTCCTTTTGATCTCTATCTAGTCCCGTTCCTCTCAAGAATTTGCCCTTTGTAGAACCATCTAAGTTTTACCAAAGTCTGGCTGGTCTTAAAAGAACTGCTGATTTTTCTCTTTTTTTTTGTCTAAGATCAAGCCGACCGAAGCCTAAAATTAGGATTGCTTTACCCGAAAAAGAACAACCGTTCCAAGGGAACAAAAGGCGTCGGAAAGTAGTGATGGGGGGCCCGAAAAAGGCAATTTTTTGGGGGGCGGCCATTTCGCTGTCAGAGCCGCGACGTGTGAGCAGCGCACGACTCGGGTTTTTGCGGGCGTCTTGCACCGCCCCGCCGCGGCTACATAAGGCTTGGCGCCGACTTTCCGCACGTCTCTTTGTCCCTTTTCGCCAACACTTTTTCCTTTTTTTTTTTCTTCTTCTTGGTCACTGTATCTGACTCCGACTCATCACTACCCGATAAACATGATCAGGTTCGTTCATAACTCGTTTTTTGATTGGTTCAAGTGATTATGAGTTGGGAGGTCGGTTTTCAAGTGGGACTAGGGGTGTCATTTTTCGTTTCTACGATATTTTTTAAACTTGGAATTCATATATTTATTAAATGAACATAACTTGTTTGGTGAGGGTTAATAATTCGAACATAGAGATCGTAAAAGAAAATTGAACTTCATAAATCTGGGAAAAATTTATGGCCCTCGACACATTTTTATAGCTTATAAATTTTTTTCTACCTTTTTTTCATTTAAACGTTCTTTTTAGACTGGAAAAATCACTTATATTCAAAGTTTTATTCTCAAAATTTTTTTAAAAAAAGCCTCCAGAACATCTTTTTTTCTTAATTTTTTTTCAAAAAAATTTCGATCTTTTTCTGAAAAATTTCATTGTTTTCTCATTCTGTTTACTCTGAAAAAAATTGTTCCAATTTTTTTCGACTTGAAGTTAAGTTGTATATACTTCTTTAATCGTTCTATAAATTTTATGATATGAATAAGAAGTGATTGGGGAAAAACCTTTGTCCATATTAAGTCTCGAAATTTGCTTTGTACCCGATTTTGAGAGCCTCTTTTTGATGTCTCGGAATCAAAATTTAGACTTTTTCATTTTAAATGAGTTTCCTGTTTCTTTCCAAAATCATTGGTGTTAATTCTTCTCTGAGTTATTAAGATCCTGTTATCTAGAACCAATTTATTTGAAATCGATTTTAAGGTAATTTAACAAGTAGACCAGTTCGAATAAAGTAATCATCTTGTTTTTTTGAAAATAGAAGTCAGGAAAAAATCAGAAAGAAACAGTAGTAACTTTTTACAGCGGTTGGATTTTCAATTTTTTTTTCAAAAACTCTACACTCTCAAAAAAGAGCTGAATCTGAGACACTGAAATTCGACTTTTGAGAGCCCCTAAACTTTTTTTCAAGCATTTTTGAGACCAGATTTGGAATGAGCAAGAAAAAGCGCATCTAAGGAGCCTGGTCTCATTCAGAAGCCCCATTGTGAGCTGATAAGATCTTCCAATGAGATTCACCATTTTTCTAACCTGATAGATTTTCCTTTCCAAGGCTCAACTTTTACCTCTTCTGGAATCTTCCAACTTCACTTTAGTCTTAAGACCGACAGTTCAAGTCTTTGTAGGAGAAAAAAGCAAAAAAAAAAAGTCCGCAACACTTAACGAAAAAGCTCTCTTTTTGAAGTGTACGCAATGTCAAAGGGCGGCCGCCATGTTGTCCGGGAGCAACACATTTTTGCGGGCCTTCCTTTCACGGTCCTCACCTTTTTTTGCCGCTGATTTCGTGTGCTCCTCGCACCGGTCAGCTCGGTGGGAGATAGAAAAAAAAAACAAATGGTGTACGCTTCTCGGTGGACACCTTTTAGTCGAGCAATTAGGGGAGGAGCTCTAGGTAGAGGAGCATTTCAAAATATTTAGTTTGGGGTAAGCTTTTCCATCGGAGAGGTTGGGTATGATTTTTAACGTCAGAAAGCTGTAATAGTAGCTTTTTCTCGATGATTTCAAAAAATAGCACCAATATCATGAAAAATTGGAAAAAAAGCCATATATTTTTTACTATGTCAGCTTTCTTCTCTAAATACTCATTTTCAAGGAGAAAATAGTCAAAAATAGACTTTTTTTCAAGCAAAAACTTAGGCTCACTCTTGTGAATCCTGTTTCAAGGATCTAAGATCAAAAAACGGTTAGAAGAGCTTTCTCGACATCAGGTTTTTGCAGTTTGAATGATTTTCCAGTTTTTTTTCGCTTTGAAAGAATGATGCTTTAGTGAATTTGATATTCAAGTTATTCCATGGAAATTAGATTTTTTTGTTTTTAGGTTCCTTTTTAGTTTGGACTTGCGAGAACTGAAGAATTTGTTGGAAAAAAAACTTCAGAAAAGTGTAAAAAAAAACCTTTTCCTGGATAAAATTACAAACTTATTTCGAAAAAAACATATATGAGAGCTTACGGTTACAGATCTTATTATTTCTTCATTGCTAAAACTTCGATACTTCTTGTGAAGGAGTTCTTGAGCTATTTATTTTTTTGGCTGGTAAAGATTTTGAAACTTTTAAAATAGTTCATTTCGGATTCTGAAGAGGATTCCGCAAAATTCAATCCACTTTTCAAAGGAAGATCCAAGTTTTTGAGTTTTTCTCCTGTTTTCATGGGGATTCAAAGCTTTTTAAAGAACTATTTCTGGATTTCTCTTTTTTTTTTTTACGATAAACAGTGATTCTGTTGCTCCATTTGGTCCGAGAATGTTTGCACTACCTGATGCGTTTTTTTCTTCTCTCGCAGTTCAAACACTTTTTGGTCACTTCAAATCTTCAAACTTTGAGTGCTGTTAGTGGCTCTGAAACACTTGCGGGGGCTAATTGACGCTTTTTTTGAGAGAGGAGGAAGGGATTGGAAGATCTTCAATATGAAACTGATAAAAAAATTATTGCATTGATACAGGTTTCAAAACCCATTTATGGTCAATATTAGGAAAAATTTTTTTATTTACTTCGTATATGAACCCATTTCAGATTGGATAAATAGATAGAAAAATTCAGATTGGATAAATAAATAGGAAGTCAAACTTGATTTCAGGGGAAAAATCAGATTACAAGTTTTGAAAAAAGGCGAAAATTTCCTTAAAAGGGAAATATTGAATTTTTTTCAAATTGTTTGAATTTAAAAATATTTACTTTCAATAATTCCATTATCTAACCTGAACAAGTCCATCTACAGTAATACACATGTCCGAAGCTACAGTAATCTTAACAAAAATTAACACCGTAGAGATCTGCATTCTTAAACTTTTTTCCACTTTATCAAATATTAAACTCGGATATACTAATGACATCTCAATTTACGAATTTTGAGCTTGCCGTTTCAATATTTTTTTTAAAGATTTGAAATGATCAATATATCCACCAAACCAACTAGAAAAGTATGACTGGCGTAAAAATAGTCCTAGAAATGTTCATTTCCTCACAAAATGACGAATTATTCCATGCGCGAGATCATATCAAAACAGTTCTCGATTTCGAGACGCGCCTCACGTTTCAATGGAGTGAACGCCATGCGAAATGTTGACCCACTGGCTTTTTGAGTCAACAATTTTGGTGCGCAATGACCGCCACACGGCGGCTTTTCGAGTAGGCCTCGAATACCGTCGAGCTTGATCACGCTTCCAAAATGGGATTATTATGGAAAATTGATAGTTCTTGAGTGCTTTTCGGGATCTATGAAGGGAGAAAAGGTTTCTTTCAGAGGCGGGGAAAAATAAGTTTAGGAAAAATGCTTTTGAAGGTTCTTTCTAACGCTTTTTCATGACCTTTTCCTTTATAGAAGTTCTTTTTAAGATGATAAAAAGATTTTGAGAAGAGAAAACAGCTTCAGAAAAGCTGATAAAACTTTTCTTGGAAAGATAGCTTAAAAATTTTTTTTCCCTCCTCAGGAACTAAAAAAATAAGCCCTTTTTCCTCTTTTTGCCACCAAAAGTTTTTTTGGACTATTTTTAGATCGCTAAAGGGTTTCTGAACCCTTTTAAAGTTTGTTTGAAAAAAATGAAGGAGGAAGGAAGTTAAAACTTTTCAAAAATCCGAGAAATTATGAGTGATTTCTCTGTATTTTGTCATCTTCTTTTTTTTTTGCAGAGTGACGCTCGTCAGTATGTTGCTGGGCATTACTGCCGCGCAGTATTCAGCACAGCGACCAACAGGTGAAAAAAATTGAGGTTGAACCATATCCGTGTTTCAGCGAAATCGCCAGAGACGATGGAGATGGTTCCGGCTTGGTACACCTTGCCGAAGGCTCCACAGGCCGCGCCGCCGTCTTTTTATGAACGTCGGGAGCCGACCTATGACCGGATCGAGCGGCCGCCAATTCAGCACACCAATTCTTATGCTGGGTTGGTTTCAGCTTATCTTTAAAGTTTTCTCAAAATCAAGGGCCCAAAATAATCTGGTCTGAATTCCAACTTCTTGAAAGATTCTGTCGGCTTCATCAGGTTCATTGCTTTTGTTCTATACTTTTATTAGACCGAAAAAAAGATACTTGAAAGATGCTATGAAATATATAACGGTTTTTACAATTCTGTGAACCTTTAGAAGCCCTAACTTGACTTATCTTGGTCAGATACCCGATGTCTGAGGCCCTTAGGACTGATTCCAGTTATTCTCATGTTTCGAAGCTCCAACCTGACCTCTTTCGTTGCAGATACCCCTCGTACACGAACCGACAGCCGTTCGACTCGCTGTCGTCGTTGGCCGCCTCCGGCGGCTCTCTGTCCTCCCTTCCCAACCGCCGATACCCGTCGACGAACGTCGGCCCCGACGTGAGTGGTCGCCATCACCGAGTTGCCCTCCACCACCACCACCACCACCAAAATCACCAAAACCAACGTCACCTCCTCCCCTCTCACTTCCCCCCGGAGACGTCCTCGTCGGCCCCCACGCCGACGAGACGCCTTCTCCGCCTCCGTGGCACAAAACGGTACTCGCCGGCGGTGTGGTACACGAGCAAGGCAACCTCGCCCTATAACGTGATTGTGACGACGTCGGCGCCGACGTCGTCAGCGATCCCGCGTTGGATTCCCATCGATCCGACCAAAGATCAGCTCGCGCGCTGGTACGACAGCGTCAAGACCTTCTATTACATGAACAAGCTCCTTGGGTGGGACAATGTCAAGAGCTTGTTCTTCAATAGGTTCATTTGAGGTGGAAAACCCCGCCTTTTTGTAGAAAATGTTCAAATTTTTCTTCGAGTAGACTTTTTTGAGTCGAGTTCCAATGGCTGGAAGACCTTGAGATTCTTCTTTATTTTGTTGAAATATTGCTCGTTTCAGTGTCGGTTAGAAGATTATGAGTTTTATTCGATTTTTTGATTTTTCCAAAAGGTTCATGAGTTTGAAAAGGCTAGAAAATGTAGAATTTCCTTTGTTTTGTCGAAGACGGGGTTCAGTTTTCCGCACTGATTGGAAATAGTTTTGAATCGAAATTCAGGATTTAAAAAAAACGTTGATTCTCGAAATTGTAAAACCAAAAATCTCATCGTCTTCTGACCAGCGATTTTTTAGGAAAAGATTTTTCCAAAAATCATATTTTTAGTCCTACCGTCGTTGACAGTATTAAACTCGCCTTGAGGTATTATCGTGACTTTTTTCTAATGGGTTCCTTTTTTTGGGTTTCTCCAAACGCCGATGATTTTCATATCTTGACCCGGTGATTTTCACTTTTTTCACGGTTGTTCCATCTTTTTTTTGCTGCATGCTTCGCTTCGAATTGCTCCATATGCTTTCGGATTCCACGTGCGTCTTCTTTCGAATTCTTTTTTTTTTCGTGTATCAGGAGGTTCGGAATCGATTTCTACCTGATTTCAAGCAAATTTGAAAAATATGTTGAACTCGTGGAAGAAGCACGTGGTCCGGGGACAGTTTATCAGAGCGCAAATGACACGTTTTTTGCCTAAAATTGTTCATTTTTCGTTATTCGCCTCTCGGCTCACGTCTCTCGGGTGTCGGTCATTTCAGCCCTCTGATAAACTGTTTCAAAATGTTCCGAGTGTATCGCAATGCATAGAAAAAGGTTTCCACACGCACAAGTTCAAGTTTTTTTTTCGAATTTTTATTCTTTGAGTTACTTTTTTGGGCTTCACAATGCACAGGGAGAGCTAGAGGAATGGCTATGTCTTTCAGTTTTTCCAGAATTTCGAATAAGTTCTGAAGGTGTACAAGGTTTGTGTTGAAGATCAAAAAAATCGAGAAAAATAGCCTAGGGTTTCGAAAACTTTTTTTTCGAAATGACTTTGAAAACTTCAAAGTGGACCAGAGCTCCATTCCGAAGGAAACCTATTTTTAAAACATTTCTGTTAAATTTTCAAACGTTCTGAGAATCTTGCATTTTTGAGCGTTTCGAGTAGAACTTTTGGGCTTCATGGAATGATTAATGAACTACGAAAAAATGAGGCTTTTATTTCAGGCTTGAATTTAGACTTCTGAAAAATCATTCCACTCTTTCGGATTTTTTTTAAACAAAGAAGTAGGCTCTGAGTTTGTTTTTTTCATTTCTTTTGAAAAAAACTGATTTGAGACATTTTTTTCTAAGATGTTTCCGGTCTACAAATGTCAAAAAAATAACTCCCAAAGGGGCCTGAGCCTCAAAAAAAGTTTTTGGCTAGGTAAGAAAACCCCTAACAGCAATTTTAGAATGAACTAGACCTTTTTTTGTTGAAAAATTTGCATTTTGAAAATTTAAATATAACTTTGTAGGAGAAAAGATTCATTAAGAAACATTGAAAAACAATTTTTACCATTTTTTTTTTCAAATTTCTGTCAAGCCTATTCTCTAGCTTTCTCTTCCACCTTCACTTTCCAGATCCACTTTTTCTCCCTATTTTTTGTGGCTTTGGCTTCTTCTTCTCGCCGTCTTTCGCGTTCCTTTCCTACCATGGGCTTTTAGCAATCGCCGTTCGAGTCGTCCTTGTCGCGCTACCACAAGCTTCTCCTCCGCAGGGGCAGGACCACGACGACCAGAAAGGTCCTGACTACCACCACCACCCCTTCCACCACAACCACCTCCGAGCCGAGCACGACCACGACTCCTCGGATGCCAAAGTCCCTCAAACAAATCTACTCGACGATCATGACCAAGTCGACGGAACTCCTCCCGACCCCCGAGCCGGAGGGCCCGCGTCGGATGAAGAAAATGTGGAAGAAAGTGACGCCGAAGAAGCCGTCGACCACTTCTACTACCACTCCTACCACCACTTCTTCTTCTTCTACTTCCACTTCTACCTCTACCTCCACCTCGACCACAACGACGAGCCCATCGAGGTTCATTTGCAGCCACAAGGCTGGCGACCGAATCGAACGACCCACCATCGGACCATTCAGGCCCATCGAAAAGCAAACCTGGAAGCCGTTGACCTTCGTCAAGGCGACGTCGACGCCGACGCCGCCCCAGACGACGTCGGTTCGCGGCCTTCGCTTATTGGAATACCTTCTGGTGGGCAGTGGAATGGCCTGGTCTTGCTGTTTGCAACTTCTTCTTCTTCTTCCTTCTTGCTTCCGCACTAATATACTCCTTACAATATATGCTTTCCGAATTGGAAAAAACAATTTTTCTGCTTGAAATTCAATCTCCGTAACGGGAAACTCAAGTTTTAACTAATCAATACATGGAGAATGATCTCTCCTGGGTAAATTTTAGTGGCCACTAAAGAGGCTCGCCAAGAACTACTTGGAGAGGACACTAAAGTGGCCACTATTTTCCGTTTTAGTGGCCACTTTAGAGGTTCTCTATTTAGTGGCCACTTTAGTATTTTTTCATCCAGTACCCCTTCCAATAACTCTGATGATTTTAAAACAAACAGATTGGACCAGTTATTTTGATCCATTGGCCCCTTAAGTGGCCACTAAAATTTCATAGGAACTATTTCAAAAAATCCTAAAAAGACTACTGACCTTGAACTTTCAGAGAAGTTGCTTAAGGGCTTTCGAAAAGCTTTTTTTGAAACATTAAATCTAAAAGTTGAGGTTTTTTTTTATCAAGATTGATATCACACACCTTTGTTTTTTTTAACTTCAATAATCCTCATCATTACTAATTTTACCTGCTTCAGCTCAGCTTAATTAATCATGGACTGTTTAATAACCTCACTCTTTTAATAGGATGTCGTTTTTAATTTAGTTTAGCAAAAATTAAATTTTTTAACAAATCATGATAACGGATTAATCAGATCAACCTTCCTTGATCAATTTGAACGTTGCCTACTCGAATTAATCCCCTCGGTTCAATCACTTTGATAATATCATCAGACCCGTTGGGAGAATGAGTGAAACCTCTAGCGAATGGTACCAAGAAACCACTTAAACGACCACTCCGCACAAGAGCACCTCTGACGGCGATTTTCAGCCGAACACGGAGCTCCTGGCGGCGATCAAAGACGTCGTGGCCAAGTTCAAGGCGAGCCTCGACGAGGCCGGCATCGACCAGGACGTGCGGCTGATGAGTAACCAGCTGAGGAACACCTGGCAGCAGCTGAGAACTGGTTCGTCTTGTGTTGCTGTTGATCTTGACCCGGTTCCGACGAGGAAGCTCACTTCACTTTGCCTTTTCGGATTCTCGGAAAATTGGCCAGATTTCTCCAAGATGTAGCTCCGAGGAGTTTCAACTTTCAAAGCTCTTCTTTTTGAAAGTTAAAACCTGGAAATGGCGCATTTTAACGGATTTTGACTGTATCTGGAACTCAGGGACTTCAACGGGTACATCGGGAATTATTCTGGCCGATTTCTAGAAAGTTCTCTAACGCAAAGCGAAGGGATTTCCTTGTGAGAGGAGTTTGTCTTCAGCCAATTAGAGATTTTCATGATATTTCATTATTTTACCGGGAAGTATTAAAATTGAACTATTTAAAAGATGAATGTCCCTTTAATTTTTCGACGAGACAGCTGCTTAAAGATAATAATAATTATTTATTTATCCTCAAAATGAAAAACAATAAATAAAGTTCATAAAAATGTTTCTCCCGAGGGACTTTAGAGCTTGGAGTATGCGATAGTGTGTCTCGGTGTGTTTACACCCTAAGCACCATAATTCACGGAACTTTTTGATTGGCGTACAGAAAAATATAAATTTTATCATTTTAAAGTATAATCTCGAACTTTTTTTGTTTTTCAGTGACTATTGCTGTTTTTTAAAATCATAATAAGCCTACAATTGCTAGGAAATTTGAAAATTTTGCTAGGATAGTTTTAAAAAATCCAAAGACGGCAGCAAAAAGCCGTACTCCATTTTTTTTTCTCGATAAAAAACGGGCTGAAGACAAACTTCTTTCTAATATTTTTCGTGACGTGTTGAATAGTTTTTGAGCCTTTAAAAATGCTTCGAGTTGTTTGATTTCAATCAAGGGGTTTGGGAAGTTTTCTGCTTCGCGTTTACTGTAGTGCCGCTTTGGGAGTTGTTTCGTGTGCTTTTTTGTTGCCGTGGTGAGGAGATCGAAGGCGATGGGCGACACCCATTCTCAGGCCTGGACCGCGGGATGAAAGTCGTCCGACAGAGCGCAGAACACTCCGTCAGCCATATTAACTACGGTGGCCGGCCAGCTACGGAATACGATGGTCCGTTGTCGTGTAGAGTCTGTTCAGTTTTTGAATGTCGAGCAGCTGACTCCGCCCCATAGGCTACAGTATCTTTCGCGTCGATGTTTTGTAGCGGGTGATTATGTTCCTTTAATAGCAGAGGTTCGCGCTTCATTTTTTGGACTTTCGTTCAATCATGCAGATCGAAAAGTAGCGCTATTAAAGGATCATCGTCGCTTGAATTAAATAGTAGACGCAAAAAGGTACTGTGACCGTTTTGCAAGTTTTCTTGCGCTATTAAAGGAACATCTTCACGCACGATAAAACATCGACGCGAAAGATACTGTAGCCTATGGGGCAGTAGCTGCCTAACGTTTAAAATATGAACAGACTGAAGCTGTAGACGTTCGGGGAGTCATTTCAGATCAAAATATTTCAATTTATCAGGAAGAAAATAAGAAAAAAACTCATTTTCATCTCAAAAAAGTTTTAGTATTAAAATTCATCCAAACAGTCTTTGAAGGCCCAAACGAAAAAAGAATTCGTGTCTCGAATACGGATAGTTTTCGCAGAAATCTTAATTTTGAACTTTTGCAAATAATTTGGTAGTTTCTAAAGGTCTTTCTGTGCCTATCAAGGCTTAAATAAGCAAAAAGCGCGTTTTTCTGAAAAAACCCAAAATTTAAGGACCAATGAATGAGCAACTAGGACGACTGTTCGAGAAGGCGGCAGCCGACGCCGCCGACCAGAAGCGACAGCCCTGATCTTCTTCTTCTTCCCGTCCATTCCAAACATTTCCAAAAATGGTCAAAAGTCCCCATCATCATCCAAACTTTTCGGAGATTTCCAGATGTTTCCTTTCCAGAACAACGGTTGGTGATTGTTCCAGGGATTCGTCGTCGTTCTCGGCTTTTTTCGCCAAAAAACCTTACAATTGTACGTACAAATTGTACGAAAGTCCCTTTAATCGTTGTTCATTCTTCATTAATTATTATCATTTGAAAAAAAGAGAAAAAAATGCAATAAAAATTACAACTTTACAACAGACAAGGGAACAAGAAAAAAAAAACAAGAAGTGAGTAAAAGTAACCCGAACAAGGATATCTTTTTTTAAGTTAACAACTTTTTATAAATCTCTCTATCACATGGTACAGTCAAGAAGCTCTTTGGAGGTGACTTTTTAAAGCCTTGATTTTGATATTTTGAAATGAATTTGAAAGAGAAAAAAGTCTGAGACTCAGGAGTTGGTTTCTGCGGTTTCTTCTTGTAACTTATTTTTATCCTCAGAGATTAGAGACAATTTTGTCTGTTGAACGGCTGAGAGACGTTTCGATTCGTCCCAGGGTTGAACTTCGCCTGAACATTTTGAAGAAGTTGGAAACTTTTCCGAAATATCAAAGTGGATTGCAGTCTCGGAGATTTTCAAAATTTACAGGAAAGCCCAAAAATAGCCGTTCTTATCTTTCTCCAGTAGAAAAATCCTCCCTGTTTCAGAGAAAAAAAGGTAAAAAGAGCAAAGAAAATTTATTTTAATATATTCCATCCCAACGAAATTTCGCATATTGTGTGACACATATCATAATCGAAAATCCCACAATTTGGTGAGTATTTCAAACTCTGATGAAACTGCAAAAGTAGATATTATCCAATGAGCTTCACTAAATGCTCCAGATTCGAACCTGCTCTTCAGATCTTAAAGGGTTCTCGGTATTGATGGAACAAAATTCCTTCAATGAGTATATCGAAAAATTAATAAACTGAGTCCTTCCTGTCTGATCCACTTTTCACATAAAAAAATATTATAAGAAAAACGAGATTCAAGATTAAATTCCTTACCTGATCCGAAAAGAACAAAAACGACGGCGCAGATCGAGCTCATCACCGCGTAAACGAGTAAAACATTGCCCCATTCTTCGGCGGTTCCCTGGGAAATTTTCGATCTTTTGACCATTTTTTGACAGTTGAAATTTTTTCAAGACGTTTCAAAATAGCAACAGTGGAGTTTTTCAAATACCTTTTCCGAGAGAAATTTCTGATAAAGGACTAGAAAAAGCCCATGATCTTATATTCAATGAAAGTGAAGGTGAAGTGTTCCCTCTAGTGTTTTAAACCCGTGAATCAAAAAAAAATTAAGTTCTTTCAAGGGGTCACTATAGAAAGAATTTTGGACATATTTTCTTCAACTCCTTTAAAATCCAGTTACTTTTGAAATCCTCATTTGAAACTAGAATTTTCTTTATTAAAAATCGATATCGCAGAGATTTTTTTCTTCCTCAAACGTACTAAAAAGCATGCTACTCTTCTGAATTTCCCTTTTTTTTAACTTTCGAATATTCTCCCAAACTCACAATTGTTTTGAAATACGATATCAACTGCGGCGTGAAAATCCTGCCAGTGAAGCCTGAAAAATAAACTGTCAAAGGAAAAGTTTCGAATCTGACCAATGACGGTGCTAACTCCAGTCAAGGCACCAATATGGGAAGGTGCGATGGATAATAAGGAAGTGTAGAAACCGGAAATTGAAAGGCCGAATGATGCCGAAACTCCTGAATCCGTCGGATCAGTTTCATACACAAGTTCTCTCAGATAGTCCGTTTGCCGCGACTTGAAAGTTCTCGAGTGTCTGCGTCTCTCTGTTCCCTCAACAAGATCAGAGAAACATGAAAACAGCACGTCAAAATGAGAGAGCGCAGAGAAAAAGCAGTTTCGCGACGCGAAAAACAGAGTATACTACAAAGTCACCACTGAGTAGAATGAGGGCGGCGATTGGTGTTGAACAGTCCAAATACCGCAAGACGAAGCAGGAAATCGCGATTCCCATCATGGCTGCAGAGACACAAAAATGAACTCATTAGTGAGAGAATTTTCTTTTCAATTTGTGTATTAATCCATTTTTTTCAAAATTTAATAGAAAAAATGTCCCAATTTAAAGGAAAAAATGTCTCAAAACCGAGTTCTCAAAAATTAACAATACTGGGAAAATTTTTAGTGGCCACTATAGGGTTTTGACGTTTTAGTGGCCACTATAGAGGTCTATGGATCAACATAACTGGTCAAATCTGTTTTTTTTTTTTAATTATCATAGTTACTAGAAGGAATACTGGATGAAAAACTACTGAAGTGGCCACTAAACAGAGAGCCTCTAAAGTTGTCACTAAAACGGAAAATAGTGGCCACTTTAGTGTCTTCTCCAAGTAGTCCTTGCTGAGCCCCTATAGTGGCCACTAAAAATCTTCCCAGACAGATCTCAAATAGCATATGGCCGATTCACGGCTAGCTACGGTGGGGCACTGTCTGCACTCTCCATCAACCAAACAGTCTCTCATTTTCGACCGTGTCAGGACCCATTTTTCGATGGCTCAAGCCAACCGGGAATCGGTTATAACCAACTTCTTTTTCTAAATATCTGCACCTTTCCTGGTTAAAGAAAAACTCCTGGACCTTCAGAAGGTATGAGAAGTATTATGATGAGATCCACCGATTTTTCACAATATTTGTTGCCTACTATACCTATAAACTGGGACAATTTGCAGGCGGTTGTCGGATGGATGGTCCCGTTGCGCTTCATCCGATCCATCCACATGCCCCAGGCGATTTTCGCGAACAAGTTCGAAGCGTTCGGAATGGAGCTGTAGAAGCCGTTCTAGAAACCCGTTTTCATCCATTTTTCTTAGAGGAACGAACAGCCTGAACATCGAGCATGAGGACATCTTTGAAGTACACCGGGATGTAGACGAAAACCAAGGCGATCATCATGTTTCCGAGGATCGAGCTGTACATCAGAGCCCAGAAAGCGCTGGAGGTCAACATCGATTTCCAAGGAGTCCTCTGAGAATCGACTTGAGATTGGAGTTTTTTGTTTCGTTGGCTCATTTTGGCACAAATGTTCACCTTTTTGGGCAACCCGAGGGCTCTTTTGGGCAGATGATTCTCCAAATAATCGAGTTCCCTTTCATGGATCCATCTGCTCTTGTGCGGCGAGTTCCTGATGGCAAAATGCCAGACAGCGAGCCAAACGAATCCAAAAACGGCACCCGAGTAGAAGATCGCCGGCCATCCCAACGGACTCGCGCAGAGTTCGGCCACGATCGGGGTACCGATTATTCCTACGAATCGAGAGTTTTTCTAAGATCTATTTCACCTAGTTTAACCGGCAAATTGGTTTCCAGAAGTGAACAAAGCGGCGGCTGTGCTCTTCTCGTGTAGCGGAATCCATTTGGTGATCATCGAATTCAGAGAAGGAAGCAACAGGGCCTGGAAAGTAAGCAAACTAGAGAGAAGGTCCTTCAAATAAAATAGTCAATAATCCTTCAATTCTGAACGTGACAAAGGTCGCCAATTTCTTCCCTTAGAACTTCCTAAATTATAGTCGACAAAACCTCCATGACGTCAGAGGCTAAAAATCATTACTTTCACTGGTTAATTTGCGTCATTTTTCAAAGCAAACTCCTCCTTTTGAACTTATTGAGTTCTGGACTTGTCCAGGGGTGATTGGAAAAAAGTTATTTCAATCCAAAATGTGTCTTTTAGATCTTTCCAAAAAATCTTTTTTTCAAGGTTTCATAACTGTAAGCTGACTACTATTTGGTTCAATAAAAATTGAAGTCACTACTTAGGAACTCCAGAGTGGTCCTTATAGGGGTTTTTGAAGGGTGCCCTTAAGGGGCCTTCTTACTTGCAAAAGTAGTTCTTATAGGAGACCTTCTAGTCGACTTTTGTTATGGGCTCTATGAGAAAAAGGATTTCCATGCAAAAAGTCAAAAAAAATTGTTCCTTGAAAGAAATTGGAAGACTCCTATAGGGACCACTTGAGAATTAGTGGCTAACATGTAAGGGGTCAGACCCTAAATCCCTACAGGGACCACTTTAATTTTAGCCCTATAGGGACCACTCTGGAATTCCTAAGTACCTTCTTGAAGTTATAACTTGATTTTATTTTTGGTTACTTCCTCTTAAGGGTGAAATTATTCATATCTTTGCCAACCCTTTCCATCTGAGCCCACGTTTGGATCTTCCAAAATTTCGGCTCAAAAAAGATCAAAAAAACTATCATTTCGCGACACCAAATCACCCACATCCGAAATGCCCATGATGAACCGGACAACGATCGCCGAGGTCGCTCCAAACTGCTCGACGAGCAACGGCATCGACAAGGACATCAGCGACAGGACGAAGATGGCCAGGGAGAGGAGATGACGGGCGCTGAGGCGGTCGACGGCGAACCCGGCCGGATAGGCGAACAGGAATCCGCCTGGCGGAATTTCCTATTATTCGATGTCAACTGCATCTGAAAACCAACAAACGTCGCCGTCACGATGTTGCCCTGCGTCTTGACGGACCACACGAACGAGCCCTGGAAATCGATTTTATAGTCAAGGAAAAAAGACAGTTGAAGGCATACTGCTAAAAAGCTGAAGTGGGTCCTGTAGGGGGAAAACCCCCTAAAGAGGTATACTGAAGGGTCCCCTATAGGACCCCCTAAATGGTCGTTTAGAACCCACTATAGGGAATTTTCAGGAAGTAGCTGGTAGGAATTCGGGAAAAGAGGATTTTTGTTTTTTTCAGGTCCTAATCCACTTAGGACCCACTTCAACTTTCCAAGTGTGGGAAAAGTCATTTTTAAAACTTCAATTTGATTCAAACAAATCGCTCAAAAACGTATTGACTTTTCTTTAAATTTAGGTTCTTCTGTAATGAATATGCCATCCGAATTTCAGCCAAAATTTGAGCGGATTTGTCTTTTTCTTCTTTCTGAACCCACCCCATAATCCTTGACAGTTCTGCCCTGAAGCCTCGTACAGCTTTCGTCTGACGTCGACGCGTTCAAGTCCAATTGCAAATCTTCGCTCTTGTCGATTCTAAAACTCTCCTCGGGCAAGAATGACAGTAAGTGAGAACAATTGAAATGAAACGGATTAAAGACATTTGAAAACGGAGCCGCCCGTAGAGCTCTCAGAACGTGGCAGGAATTTTTGGAAAATTCTAGAATTTTCTAACATACATAGGCATATGATACACAAGGCAGCCATTACCTTCCCACAAATCTTTCAAGTTTAAAGTCTTATCTACCTTCCTGAGGTTGAAAGTTATCCGTATTCCTCAATTTTCAGAATATTTGTGAGTCCGACTTGTAGAGTTTTTTTACTTGCCCACCAAGTTTTTTGACATATGCATCATTTATAGTCCGTCCACCGCGACTTGAAAGCTCTCGAGTGTCTGCGTCTCTCTGTTCCCTCACCGGCAAAGTCAGAGAAAAATGAAAATAGCGCGTAAACATGAGAGCGTCGCCGAGAGACGAGGAGGGCGCAGAGATCTCCCTTTCAAGCCGCGAAAAACAGACTATCAATCGATAATCGACTAACGAAGCATTGGAAAGAAGCGCGACGGCGGTGGAATTGCACATGCAGGACAAGGACAGGCCGATGTGTGACGTCATCTGTCCGAGGCAGAAGAAAGCGGCCATCAACATGATGACGAGGTGAAGACGTCGGGATCGGGGATGGATGAAAGCTAAGAAGCATTTGAGAAAAAATCCTTCTAACTAGTCAAAATTGAAAAACTTATGTTTAAAGTACCATTTTGAACTTCTTCTTTTGATAAAAAGTGACCGGGAAAAATTGAAAAAAAAATCTCAAAAATATTATTGGCGGATCTCGTGATAAAAATATCAAAAAGACATAGAAAGAGCTAAAAAAAGTAAGTCCTTAATAATATTAAAAAAATATTATAATTTCTGAAAAACTCACGATGTCTCTTCACGTCCGTCGCCATGACCCGTTTTTGATATGTAATAATCCTAAAAAAATTATTTTTTTTCTTTTTTTCCCATTTTTTTCAAGCATAGGAGAAGAAAAAAACCGGAAAAAAATGGCTCAAAAAAAGTGATTTTTTTCTTGTCAAATTTCATTCAATGCTTTCCTAATAAAGTATAATTTCAAATAAACGGAAAAAAATCCCTGATACGGACAAAAAAATTTTTCGATTCTTCTGAGGACACTTCAATAGTACTAATTGATAACTGCGATAAAAAGGAGATTTTCCCGAAGAAAGGGAGAAAAATCGGATCCAAAAATACTTCAAAAAAAAATTCGAAGAAAGGTTCAAGCTATTCAAATTTTTCTCTATGAAAAGGCCGATTCTTTTCATCTGATTATCATGAAAATGAGAGAAAAATATTTGCGCAAACAAGAAAAAAAAATCTTGGAGGACTAATTAACCTTCTTTCAATTTTCAAAGGGATCCCTACTGAATTTCCAAAAAAAGTACAAAATTTTTTCTAATTATCTGTGTGAATTCTCGAGAGAAATCTCAGTAGAAAAAAATTGATAAATTTCAAAAATTATTTGAAAATGGGAAGAATACGAACACCTGAATGAAAGAAGCACGAAAAAAACAGGAAACATTGAAAAAAAGGACCTGAATAAACTTTAAAAATAAGAAAAAAATCGAATTTCAACTTCAAAAAGCTTGAAACATTGAAAAAAAGTAGTGAATATTAGTTCAGAAAAATATAAATGAGTTTTGTTTTCCAAAAAGAGAAAAAGATTAACTTTCAAAAATTAAAAAAACTCACAAAAAAACGAATGAAAAATTATTCAATTAACTGAGATCGAAAATCTTGGAAAGACGATTTTTTCAATGAACAAAAAAAGCACGAAACAAAGAAAATCCTCTCAAATTAAAAAAGTTTGAAAATAAGGAAAATTTTCATTTCTTCGGGGGCAAAAAGTCAAAGCTATAAAAAAACAGAACGAAATCTATTAAATAGAAAAGATACATTTCAGAAATCTTGCATCACATTTGCGCAATTTTCGGCCAAAAAGCGTTCCCGGAAAAACGAGAAGAAGCCGAGTGACGTCACTCGGAAGCGAAATTGTGCGAAAAAAAAAGAAAAAATGAAGAGAGAGCACGGAAATATTGCGGCATCGGAGCAGATGCATTGGGAGAAGCATGAGAGATCTTTTTTCCAGAGAAGAGAGAGAGAGAAAGAGCAAAAGCGCGGGTGGGGTGCCCTTTCACCTAATCCCGACCAAATACGTTGTCGTCTGCTAAACGATTTGCCGCATTTCTCACTTATAGTTGATTGAGAACTGATCACTGAGGTGTTTTAAGGCGCAGGACAAGGTTGAGACTCTACGAGACCATTTCTTTATCTTCATTTTCGGCGAAAAGCTTCAAAAATATCGTTTTGATTTCTCCCTACACTTCAAATCACAGAAAATATTTTTTTGTATACCATATCGTTAAATTTCTTCGAATTTAAAGGAGCATAGCCAACTTTTGAAAAAAATTCTCGGGGGAACTATTTCTGCACTATATTTCTTCGGAATCGGGTACAGGAATATTCAAAATTTCTCAAAAATCTGCCTTTTGTATAGATTTCATTGTGACTGTAATAACCTGCTTAAACAGCACGTAAATTTTCTCTTTTTAGACTTTGGAATCTAAAATTCTACTTGAGAATTTTGAATGAAAAACGAAAACGTGGCCAAATTCCTCGTTTTTTTCATTTTTTCGTCGTTTTTCTTTTCGTTTGCTTCATTTTAACTGCCTAATGAGACTCCTGACAATAAGAAATTCAAATTCAAATAATTTTAAGCTTTATCCAATCGAAAAACTTTGCTCAATAAAGCGAAATTTCCCAGAAAATCGATTCTAAGTCCAAAAAACGAAAAAAAAAAAACCAATGAGCTTCAAAGAACAACTGCAAATCGAAAAAAAGAGACAAAAAAGTTATTGAGAGAGAAAAGCTTCCGTGAGAGCTTACACTGCAGAAAATATCTTTCTCTGAGATATGATGATGACAAATGCGCCAGGAAATAGCTTCAAATCCTCATCATTTTCGAACGCAGGAAAACAATTTTCGACGTTCCAGGCTGAGTTATCGTCCCATAGCACGAATATGCGAAAGTTATGAGCTTTTAGAAAATCGCAAAACAGCTTTGCGAACCAATTTTCCCATGAAAACTTGAAAAATGGGGAATTAAGTCTCAAGAAAAATTAATTCTGATTTATATTTTTAGATTTAACCTTAAAGTTATAGATCCACGTAGAAAATAGCTGAAAAAAGCATTTGAAAAACGGTTTTTTTTCTCGATTCAGTGGTGTACTTTTGGATCCAAATTATCCGTTCAAAATTTCAAATAAATCAATAATGATTTTAAACTGAAATGAGAATTATAATAGTAGATAATCTCTCAGAAAAAAACTGTTCGATTACAGAAATTTACAAAAAAATCGTAAATTTGCATACTTCAATCAAATTAATGAGGTTCGAATAAATTCCAAAGTTCCCGCCAAAAAACCTTCAACTATTAAAATTCACTGAATCTATGAAAATAAAACACAGACGAAGGTACTTTTTAATTGACAATTGGTGGAATGGCGAGAAGAACAAACAAAAAAAGAACGCCGATACTTTTTCTTTTTTCCAGCACGCCCTCCAATCTGATGCTTAGCAACAGCCCAGAATACATCTGCTCCTTGGTTTTCTACTGAATTATTCAAGGGGCAAAAAAAGAGCTGATATTCCAACAAAAACATCATTTGAAACACCGAAACTCACACAAGAATAAGCTTCAGAGCTTTTAAAAACAAAAAATGATTCGGAAGTCTATTCAAAAACCCTGGTTTTGAAGCGCGAAAAAAAATCTATAAACAATGAAGAAAATGCTCAGAAAGCAAGATCTGCAGTTCTCAGGTGAAGGTGAACTTTCGGGCCTTTTTTCAAGAACGATTTATACAAAAATTTCATTCAAATAGATAGAAAATCAGCATATTTTGAGAGAAATTATAAGAAAAACTCTTTTTTTATTTCAATTAAAAAAATCAATCCAGCGGTTTTTTTGACGGTTTTCAAAATTGATGTTCGACCAAAAATTTTGCATCATTTCAAATTTCGATTCTTTTTCAAGGTTCTCAGCTTTCTAATCGCGGAACTGATTTCAAAATGGAGCGCAATTTTTATTATAAATTGAGCTGGCTCTTCCTATAATGAAAAAAGTTTGAGCTAAAAAATGCTCAAAATGACAAAATCCAAAGTTTTTGCCTTGAAATCAAAAAATCAGCTCAAAAAAACAAGTAAAAATCCGGAACATGACATTCCTCGACAAGCTTGAAGGTACAGTTTCCACGAAAAGAAAAATCCACAGAGAAATAAATAAACGATCCGCGGCAACAGGTAAACATTTATTAAAAATAAAAGCCGTGTCCAATAGTAATTTACAAATCATACATCTGACGAAATTTGGAATGATTAGAAACGTGACAAATTGGGTAGCCTTTTCTTTTCCAACCACCAAAAAATTGCCTAGTACGAACACGCATAAGTGAATGAAACACGAATGGGAACAAGTCGAGCAGGACGATTTCCAAGGGATCCAGGTCAATAAATGAATAAATGAAATGTGTGTGTATATGTAAAACCTGCATTTTAGAACTCATTTGTGGGGTATTTCACAGAAAAAAAGAAACAGGCAGCGAGCTGCGCCTCCGAAGAAAATACGAAACAGTTTTCCTATTCGTCTAGAGCCCTCATGAAACACTATGGGAAAAAATCTAGAGAGGGCATGGATAAAACTACGTAAAACTGTGATGATAAGATGGGGCGGGAGGCAACCAATCCAATGATTTTATGGGAACATAAACTATATTCAACAAGTCAGTTTGGCGAGAAGGAAAAGGCACGGAGAACAGGAAAAGAAAAAAGAAAAATTAAATAAATGAATGGCACAGAAAGTTAAAGATTATCATAGTGATTTAACAGAAAATCATATGAAAGATGAGGTGATTCAGACACCGACGTTGGGATTTTGGAAGATGTTCTCGTCGATCGGGCGAAGATCATACAGACTCTGAGCATCTGGGACCGAGGCGTGACGAGAAGAGTTCAATGGATTCTGAAGATTCCTTTTGTTCATAATTGTAACTAGGATTCGGGTGATTTAGTAGTTTTTAGTTGGACAAGCTTGTAAAATTCGTTCGAGTAAACTAAACTTTTCTAAAAATTTGATTTCACTCTTGCCGCTCAATTTTTGATCAAAAACATTCGATTTTATACATAATTTTGTCAAATTAATAGTTCAATTTAAGGAGAAAACTAGCTCGGAAACGCTTTTGAAACTAAACCTCATATCGCAATGTTTGAAAACGGTCTCTTGGTTTTTCTTTTCAGGGTAGTACTAGGAAGTTTTTTCATGAATTTTTGACTAAATTTATTCGAAAAGATGAAAAATAAACTCCATTTGAATGCAAAAAATTTTCTGGCCACCAATTTTTTTTCACGAGAGCTGGATATAAACCTATTCCACTGCATCTACACTAATTATAAGGATGGAAATGTTTTTTTCTTGCTATGAAAATTATAAACAGTGAAAGCAACGTAAAACACGTTTCCAACATGTTATTTGTAGCCCAGTTAACTGAATCTTATGTTTATAAAAATAAAGAGAGCAATATATCTTCTAACATTTCAAAAACTTGTGCCTAGACTTTCTTGTAAGAGCGCTTTTAAATAAAACTGTTTCTAACGATTTTCACAAATTTGGAGTGAAAGTGATGCCGTGTTCAAATTGATTTCGCGAAATGCAAAATGATCTCTAACTCTCCAAAATTTAGTGATCTTTTCCTTTCTCTAACGGGTATTTTTTCTTTCGCGGGATCAAATTGAACACGGCATGACTGTTCCTCAGCTCACCGAAAATCGGAAAGTCTGACGAGAACGAGGCATCGGAGTCGCAGAATGGACGTTCGACGGGAGACGGTTGTTGGTGACGTCATCGAAATGATTCATCCGCTTGGAAAGACAGATTTCGGCCAAGTGCGGAGGAAAGTTGTTCGGAAGGAAGGAAGCCGCGGAAAGGGCTCGGCGCTGCGAATTCTGAGCGGCCGAATGATTTCCGGTCGTGCCGAGGTGAGGATCCACACCACTGTCGACAAACACCTCAAAAAGTCCTTGTTGAAAAAAATGAAAAAAATCTTCCGATATTTTAGATATATTTTTTTGTTTCACCTATTTTTCAGACTTAAAAAAAGCTGATTTTTTTAAAAAAATTTTTTTGTTCTTCACAAAACTAACTTTTGAATTATAAATTTCTCTTCTGCAGATTCTACTGCTCACTATTGCAAATTCAACGCTTCCAGAAATAAATCCGTCTTTTTTTTTGCAACCTAATCCTCACAGACACGTAGGCCTTTTGTGGGCTAATCTCTCAATTGATGAGAGCTTAGTGTGAATTCCTAAGAATTCCTTTTTTTGGTCAAGCGGAAAAGACGCACGTCGTCATCAGTCTCGGCGTAGGAAGTGAAGAGAGGCGCGTTGGATCTGATCGGAGAGCACTGGGGACTGGAACTGAACGCGTTGCCGCCCATGCAGCCGCTCTCGGCCCGCAGCCTTTTCACGGGAGACCAGGGCGCCGGGCCGGTGTCGTCTGCGAAAAACGGTAATATTCCAGACTGGACTTGTAGAATAATGTTACGATTCCTTGATTTTTACCATATAACATTCCACTACAGATCGTTTTTTTTCTCGAATAAGTCTAGGTTCTGGAAATCCACCTCGAGCTGCTAATATTGCGTTTAAAACTATTTAAAATATAGTCTGTACAGATCTCGAATGTCAAGTCCTCGCTGAAGCTCCGCCCCCTAATGACGCGATAAACTAATCAGAGAGCGAGCCATCCACAGAGCGTTTTCGAATGACCTCATTCTACTTGACATTCAAAATCTGAGCAGACTATAGCCATAAGATATTGAAAAGATGAAAAAAAAAAATGAATTATTTGATTTGCGATTTTCTCAGAGCTGCATAAAAAAGCAATTTCGGATCAGCTGACCAATTCTCCTACTGCGCTCATTTCTAGTCGAACAAACCGAAATTGAGATGAGCTTCCATGTTGGTTTTGGGGACGTTGCCGTTGAGCTGCAGGTTTTTGGTCGAGACGATCATCTCCGACAGTTCTTCGTTGGTCATTTCGCGACGGGAGCTGTCCAAGTGAGGCTCTTTTCTCGTGACCGGATGCGGCATGATCGGCGACAAGGTCTCGTTTCCGCCGAACTTCTTCAGATGGTCTCCACGGCGGTAGGCGACCACAGCCGGGTCCATTGGCGAAATTGGAGCTGCAAAGTCTTTTTCTTTAAAATTCATAAGAAATCGAGATCTGGGAATGATGATTTTTCGAAGAAATCTACAAAAAAAAAGCCAAATTTTTTTTTGTTGTGTTCAAAATGATTCCGCGAAATGCAAAATAGCCGTTAGAGAATGGAAAAGATAGCTATATTTTGGAGAATCAGGGATAATTTTACATTCGCTGTGAACACGGCATTTAGTGAATACGAACAACTGAAGTTGAAAAAAATTCCCTGAATATTTTTTCTTACATTCTGAAGGCTTTCATATAGACTGTAAGAAAAAACAAACGGAAAAAATTATAATTTTTTTGAAAACACCTAAATTCCATTCTGACTCAAAACTAGGTGAAAAGGGCCCAAAAAAGACAATTCCCAACTAAATTATTAGAATTCAGTTCACTCAAACTTAAAAGTTGACTCAAAATTTGAAAAACTCCTTGGAAGATCCATTAAACTAGAAACTTAAATCTTCACTAGGAAAAATGAAATAAACCATGAGCATGAGGCGCATTGCGATCCATCGGAGTCGAGGTGCACGGATACTTCTCGAAAAAGTCGGCATTGTTCACAAGAGAAAGGTTGGGCGGAGGATTCCGACGACGCGATATCGAAGACTCGCCGTTGCGAGCCTGGTTGACCGTTTGCGGAGCCGCTTTTTCATTGTTTTTCGCCGTATTCTCAGCTTCGGAAACTTCTGAAAAATGACATTTCTGAGGAACTCCAGAGTGGTCTCAATAGGGGCCCTTGGAGAGTCTACTCAAGAGACCACTTTACCAACTCCTATAGGGTCTTTTATATAGGGGTTTTAGTTAATGACCCCTATAGGGGACAAGCTAGGAAGCATTTTCATTCAAAAAAATAAAGAAACAAAATTTTATGAATAAAACTGAATAACCACTAATGGTACCACTTATGCTTTCAAGGCTAGGGGATCAGACCCTCTACCCCTATAGGGACCATCTTGGTTTTCCCCCATGGGGACCACTTTTTTCGGTCCTATAGAAGCTTTTTCACCCCCTAATATCTATAGGGACCACTCTAAAACTCCTAAGTATATTTTCGAAGAAGAATGAGTTTCTCACGGTGCTCTTCAGGCTTCGAGTCATCTGCTTTGTGCTGAAGCTCCATTTTCCAAGTTGGTGGCGACTTAAAGCATATTTTCTTAACTTTCAATTTTTCGGACATACCGATTTCATGTAAGAAAGCGATCCTTGGCGTTCGCGAGCGCTATTTCTGGGTCTGTGAACGTAGTCATCGCTTCTCGACACCATGGGCGACATCAGGTTTTGGAGCCTGAATGCCAAAATTATTTTAAAAACGAGATGTTTAGCACCGGATTGCGTTTTCAGCAGACGCAGACTGTCTCAGATTTCCAAAATGAAAAAGATGAGCCAACAAGTCAAACCTAAAAATAAGGAACACAATTCAAAGGAAAAAAAAAAACTTATTTCGGAAAGGAGTATCACAAAAAAAATAATAAAAAAAACCATAATCAAGTGGTATATTTTGGAGGTTATGTTCGCTTTGAAAATAACCGTTGAGGGCTCAGAACGGTATGCAATATTCGAAAGTTGTCAAAAAGCTTCAAAAAACCGAAAGTAGACGATAAAGTCCTTTCATAAACAATAGAAAAACTTTTTTTTTAATGTAAGTCTGATGAGGAAAAACCTTTTGAAAAATTCTAACAAGAAAAAAAACCCACTCCTGAACAGTATGAAATTTTCAAATCTACATGATGCAATTTTCAAAAGTTGGGAAAAGCTTGAAAAATCAAAACTAGACAATATAATCTTAAAGAATAACTTTTTCAAAGACTAAAACGCAAGTCTGATTGAGAAAAACCTTTTGAAATTGGTTAAAAAAAGAAAAAAACCTACTCCTGAGCGGCCCCCGAATAGTCGTCAAAAGAAATGTGATCGGGATTGAAGTTCATCGGCGGCATCCAATAGTTCTGAGGAAAGTAGTTCTGCTGCTGTCCGTTTGGGTAGTTGCGATCCCGGTTGGTGGATCTGCGATGGCCTGCGTTGCGGTTAGACCCGCGGTTGAAACGCGGCTCGACGTTGGAGAAAGCTCTGTTGCGAGGGCTATTAGCGAAATTCATCTGACGGTTGAAAGGATCGTACAGAGCGCTGAAGGTGTCGTTGCTTGCGTGAGAGCTTTCTCTGGAAACCATGTTTGAAAATAAAAGTTTTTTTCATTTTAATGAGTAGCAAAAATGGCGCTTCATGTATATCCGCTGAAGATGGTCACAATTTAAGACACAGCAGAAAAAGGCTATCGTAAAACACTCTTTACAAATCAAAAAACAAAGGTCTCGAAGCAAATCTCCGTCAAGTTATGAATTTGTAGAAACAAACTGACTGGCGCATAATGAGCTATACTTAAAAATAGTTCATTTTCAGCAGATGTTTTATTTGAAAAAAAGGCGAAACCTCAGTGGCCGAATATGCAAATTCCTTCCTTTCAACTCAAAGTTGTGAAAAGTGACCAAGGCTTTGTAGAGGCCGTCTACCGTCCTGAAATAATAACTTCACTCATTTCACAATAACAGTCTTCACACCTGAACACAATGAGAGCATGACGAGGAGCAGAGTTTCGCAGAATCACTTTTTCCACGTGAGTCACCTTCAATTAGAATTTTTTCAATTCAAAGTTTCCCTATAAACACAACCCTGTTGAAAAGTTCGAACAGCTCTATGTCCCTGACGGAAGGATGTAATCCAGAAACATAAGCGGTTCTTTCGCACCGCTCTATTTGATACATTATAGCCGCCAACGTCTCCAGACTTCTAACAAAAACATAAATATCTCCGAAAAAAAGGCAAAAAAAAATAAGTAGAGCGAAAAAATCCTTAGTGCTAACGTCAAAAAAATGGTAAGAAAATAATGACGTCAAAAGGCATTGTTAAGCTTGAAGAAGATTATAAATTTTTCTTGTTAACACGATATTGAAATGAAAAAAAAGAAATATTTTTTCGCAGATTTTCGAATTACGCGCTTCAGAATTTTCGCGCCAATTTCAAATTAATGATCTCTGACGTGATCCTACAGTAAGAAGAAAAATCGACCCGCGCTTTTTTTTTCAATAATTTTTTCCAGTGTAATGCCGTGTTCAAAGTAATTTCCGCGAAATGCAAAATGATCTCTGACTCTCCAAAATATAGTGAACTTTTCCTTTCTCTAACGGGTATTTTGCATTTCGCGGAAATTACTTTGAACACGGCATAAAAATTATATTTCTTTGAAGAATGAACTCAATAATGTCTAGAAAAACCTGCCATTCATATCCTTTTTTTTCTTGCACGGTTCTTCATTTTTAGAAAAATTTTCCAATTTTTCGGTACTTTTTTTTTCTCAATTTTTCGCTGAATGTTTTGAAATTCCAGTTTGGTTTCTAGTTCATTGCACGGACACCACATTCCATGACGCGGTGGTTGAATAAAACATTTGTTTGCTCATCGTTATCGATAACGAAAATGGAAACGGCCGATAAGGCTTTTCGGCATTCTGAGGGCGTTATCTGTCAGCTCCGACTCAGGACATATGGAGGTTCCTATTTTGAAATTTAATTTACAATCAAAAACTTTTTTGAAAAAAGTTTTTTGTCAAAGAGAAAAAAATGATGAAAAATTTCAGGTGACTCAAGTCATAGCTGACGAGATCGGACTGACTGATTTTGAAGAATCGAAGCCTCAAGCCAGTATCAATGGTGTCACAACAATAGATTTATCAGTGAGTGTTGATTTTTTCCGTTCATTTCACTTGTTTTCAGTCTCCGCAAGGAAATTTTCGAGTTCATTTGGTGCGGGATGCAAATGAAGAAAACGTTTCTTTAGAAGAAGGATCCAAGTTGGTTGGTCTTGAAATTTTGATTAAACTATTTTTTTCGTTTTTTTTTTTTCAATATCAAACTTGCAGGCCGCTTTCTACAATGCTCGTTTTTGGCATGAAGTCGCAGCATACGAGAAAGTCAACTTCAAATGCGGAAAATTCCACTCGGCCTTTCAGGTGGGAGCTTTTTTCAAAAGTTCACTGCGATAAACTGTATTTTGTGCGAATTTAAATTAAAAGTCACTTTCAAGTCCGTTGTTAAATCGCGAAAAATCTAAAAAAATGAGTCTTTTTTTAAATTTCTTTTCAAAAAAATATTTTTTTATTCACGGTCGTTTCAAATTTTTTTTCTAAGAAACTGACAACTCATTAGAAAAAAATTTATACGTTTTGTTTTAAATTTTTCTGAAACCACCTCGATATTTTTCAAATCTGGAGCAAAATTAGCGCGCCTTTTTTTTGGAATTTTTTGTTTATTTCTGGTTAGTTATGAAAAATAATCATTCAAAAAAATTTTTCTCTTTTCTGTAATTTTATTGTCATGAAGATCCAGTGATTTTCTTATTTCCGGTAATTTTTTTCCTATCAGACAATTCGAACGTCCATTCAATCTTTTCTCATGCTCAGTTCTTCAGATAGCGGAGGACGAGGCGAATCACTCTGTTTTTGTGACGTCATTCCAGGCGGGCTCCACGCGGGCGGAACTCGGGCTCGGCGAACTCATTAAAGTCGCTGAGCAAATCGCTCATCTTCACGCCATCAACCCAGCAACTATCAATAAAGAGGTTTCCATTGTAAAATCGACGGTTTATCCGAAAAAAAGAGTTTCAGTTCACAAGTGCAGTGAAAGACAACCACGACAACATCTCGCTGTACAAGAAGAACCTGCAGAAGTCGCTTCTCGACATTCTCGGCTACGCCGTCAGCAAGGAACTCGCCGTCTACTTCGACCAGCCTTTGGAAGTCGTCTCCAAGGTGAAGACGTTGATCGAGGCCGAAGAAGATGTCGACGAAGAGGATCCCAGAGTCCTTTGCCACGGCAGACTCACCGCGGAAAACTGCAAATTTGATGAGCGTGGCGAAGTCGCCGAGATTGCTGATTGGGAGGTTCATTTATACACCTATTTCTCTACAAATTGTTTTCCCTACATCTTCATTTTTAGTTTTTTTGACATTTCAAATTTTTGGGCCTATAAGAATCCTAATTTTTTCAAGGAAAATTAAAGGTTTTTTTTTTATTTTTGCATTATTCAGCACTGTAGCCAAAAGTTAAACATCGGTCATTGAAAAAAAGTTTCTAGAAAATTTTTTTCTTGTTTTTCTGCAGGTACATAAAATCTTTTAATATTACCTAAAAATTATAATTTTTTTCTCCAGAATATCCACTTGGGAAATCCAGCGAGAGACCTCACGAACCTCATTTTAACGTCCGCTAGCCCCAGTTTACGGAGAAAACAGTTTATGAAGGTTCCGAAATTGAGAGTTTCTCTTATTCTGACGGATTTTCAGGTTTTCCACCACTATTTCTACATTTTGGTAGATTTGCGACCGCCAAAGTACCAGCTTCCTGAGTTGAAAACGTGGTTCCGGAGAAACCATGCGGCCTTGGTTTTGGAGGGGTTCGTTATTTTCAGACTTATTGGAAATCATTTGAATGACCGTTCATATTTATTAAATGCTCAGAATATTTAACACGTCAAACGCGATTACCGGTTTTTTTTTTGTTGAGCTCTAGTTTTGCCCTATTTTGCTTTTTTCTGATGCCGTGTTCAAAGTAACTTCGCGAAATCTCCAAAATTTAGTTGTTTTTTTCTTTCTCTGACAGCTATTTTGCATTTCGCGAAAGTACTTTGAACACGGCATGAGCTTTCGAACTTTTATCTTAAGATCTCTGTACATCTGTCTAACAAGGGAAGTGCGAAAAGACAAAGTTTGAGAATTTGATGAATCTTTGCTGAGATGTACTACCAGGTCCCCTGAATCGAAAACAAGAAAAAAATTTTCAATTCTCAAACTTTGTTTTTTTACACTTTCCCTTGTAAAAATCCTAAAACAGGAAAACTGGAGGTTTTTCTTTCTTTTTTTTTTGCCCATTTCCTTAAATTCGATTTTACATTAGGAGTGTCTGAATAGTCATAGGAAACGTTTTCAGATTTTATTATTCTGTGCGTTATAGTTAACTTCACCAACTATTTTTTCCAGGATTTTTTTTTTCTTTTTCTCCTGGCATTTCATCTTGTGTAAAGTTGATAACAAATACATCTAAAAGACGAATTTTTTTTCTCATTTTTAAAGCTCACAAAAGGACTTTTTCTGATTTTCATTTGGATTGCTCCTTAGAATCGAACGTCTACTGGAGATCCTCTCCGAGTCCGACGACGAGGAGCTCAAGAAAAAGGCGGCCCTTCGATGGGAGTCGGCCCTCGACGACGCCGTCGACTTCCACAGTGGAAACTATCTGAGTGACGGAGAGCAGACATTCTTTTCGTACAAAGATTGAATAAAACGGCTCTCGACTGATTTATTTGGGCACCAATCAAGCGAATTAATCTCCCGAGGTGGCTTCCGAACAGAGTTGCTTGAATTCTTTCACCTTTTCTTGCAAGTCAACCGGGACTCTTCTCTGGAAAAATTTAAGAAATTTGTTTTTGTTTCCCCAAAATTTGAGTTGGAAACGAAATGGTTGTCTTCTCAAAAGGACTTGGCCAGTAAAAAAAACATGTTCGAGACATGCTTTTTATATCAATTATTTCATTTGTTTGACGGATTGTTCACTGTGGCTCAGTTTTTTCGAAGCGAGCCACAGTCGGCTTCGCGCCATGCGCGCTCCGCCTCCGTGTGAAGCCTTAAAGCTAAGCCTATTTTCTTAAGTAATTCATGAAAAAAAAAGCAAACACTTCTATTCCTCAGAATAATCACTTGATTGAAAACTAATAATGTTCATCTTAAATTTTTCTAAGTGGTCAGCGCCAAATAATTCTATGATATTCGTACGTATCTCGACGAGACGGATCGAATGGTTATACTTTTATGCTGAAAATCAAACATGTTGGTAACGTCGGATTATACCAAATTTTGTGTATACTGTGTCAAAAACTTAGTTTGAAGTGAAAACTTGAAATCCATATTTTACTGCCCAAATGTTTCTTAGCGTTGGCGCATCTTAACATTATTCTTTAAGCCATTCTCCATGCGACCAACGGTTTCCGATCGGGAGAAATCGGACATTTCAAACCTTGATATGATGAAGAAAGGCGAGATATAAGAAGCCAAACTGTTGCATGCTATCCACGGCCAACGGTCGTTTCAACCGAATTTTTTGCACGATTTCTTTCATCTGAAGCACAAAAACCGAATTTTTCTAAGATCCCAATAATCAAAAACGTTTGGCTCTATGCCATCTTGCAAGTTTTTCAAAGCGACCGACAGTGCCAACAAGGTTCCTGCCCTGCCAGCGCCGTTCAGAGACACGATTGCAGTTTTCTGAATTTTAATAAACAATAAAATAATAAAATTGCGAGGGAAGTCTTACTTCGAAGCCGTGGTGAATTTGGTTGGCGGTGGTGAGAGCCGGTCTGAACTTTGAAGGGCCCAAAAGAGGGTCCCAATATCCATGATGGTGAACCTGGAAGAATAACTTTCAAGTTTGGTATAATCATTCGTCGAATATGCCAATCAACTGCCAAAAATACTCCAAAAAAAAAAAAAAACTGTAGTCATGACGGCGTTGGAACAGCCCTCAGGAAGCACTTCAATCGAATATTTTATTATGTCCGGATTATCCCTTGAAGTCTGGAGAAATTTTCTTTATCCTAGAAAAGAAAAAAACTCGCTCGCCGACCTTGCGATTGTTGATGAACATACTGCCAAAGTACTGGTAGGCGCCAGTGTTCAACGGGAAAAGTTCGCCAAAGCGGAAAGGCGTTTCTTCGCTTTTGCACAAAAGATGAACCGCGGTTATTTGTTCCTGAGAAAGCTTAATTGATGAGAAAAAAAGAGGTTGGAATTGAAGTAACATGGAAAATCATTCGCCAAAATTCTTCAACAGCAGAAGGCTCGCTGAAAACAGGGACTTGGGTGAGGATGACCGAGGGAAACTGAAAGTGATACATTTCTGTTTTGCTACTTTCTTGAGAAGTTCAAAAAGCATTTTTATTGACTTTTCGAAAAAAAAGGGACTTTTTCCGTTATAGTCTGTTCACTCTTTGAATGTCAAGTACAATGACGCCATTCGAGAACGCTCTGTGGATGGCTCGCTCTCTGATTGGTTTATCGCGCCATTAGGGGCGGAGCTTGAGCGACAACTTGACATTCAAAATCTATACAGCGATTTCTGAGAGCTCGACATTTCTCAACAGCTGAAATGAACTGACCCCTTCCAAACTGACTACCGTTGCGTTGATATAATCTTGTTTACACATTTGCAGAACGACTCGATTCGCGTCGAAACAAGGATAGTTCTGAAAAGGTTTCAATAAGAGAATGCCTGCAATCATTTACATCGGTTTGGTTGCGGTTCATGTTGGCGGCCCAGATCTTGCACTGGTCCAGTGGAGCTTGGATCGCCCTGAGGTCCTCGTACTGCGTCTTATAAGTCACGACAGCTGCAAAGCGTGCAGAAGACGTCAGAATGTTCTGAATAAACGGACCGAGGTGCTCGACAAAGTCCCTGGCGACGTTGTTCTTCTTCTGGTCGTCCGGGTTGAAAGTCGCCGGTTGAACGTTGTCGGGAGAATGGACCGTCGGCGGCCCGTTGTTGCCGTTGCTGGCCGACTTCAAAGTCTTCTTTGTAACCTGACTCGCCTCCGTGGCTGAACGGTACGCAAATGAACGATTTAAGACAAAGTAGTCGCAGGAATCTAGCAAACAAAAAAAAATCGTGAAAAAAAAATATATATCGATTTATTGATAAGTTTGAATAACGCAAACTTTTCACGCGAAATAAAAAAATCAAAAGATTCCGTCACAATCCGTTTTACCAAAAGCATGGATTTTGATGATTTTGTGTTTTCATTTTTTTTTTTCCTGTCTCAAGCCGACTTTTTTTCTATCTTGAAGCTTTTTCAACCTCACTCTACGGAAACCATTTCTGACTGTCCGGATTTCTGTTCAATGTTTCTTTTTTGAACTCAGCGCTGGATTGAGCCAGGGCGGACCCGTCAGCCTAGGGGCCCCGGGCTAAAAATCTCAAATTTCCGTCAAGTAATATCGAGCTTTTTTTAACGACAGAAGTCATCTTTTTCTTATTTTTCACTCAGAGTTCAAACGAAAGTATGATTTGAGAAGTGATTTTTCGGTGCTAATTTTCCAAAAGTAACTTCAGAACTTTTCGCAACCTGGCTCGAGCCCGCGCAAGCTTCTTCTCGGGAACGAAGGCCCAAAGCCCGGCCTGAAGCACAAGCCCGGTCAGTCTTTTACTTTATTACGGTAAAGCGAAATTCAAAAGCTTCTAATCTTCGAATCAAAACGCACAAGTGGAGTTGCCTTTTTTCTTATTTAGTTTCGGCGCTTTCTTGGCCGTGCTGGTTTGCTCCCTGTGTTCCTGAATATCGAGCTTTCCGTTATTCTTCATTTGAAAGTCAAGAAAGAACCGATTTACTGCGTGTAGACCGGCGATGTCTATTCGTTTTTGCTGCTGTCGGCTGCTCCTTTGATTTTTTGTCCATCTCGCTTTTGATTTTATTTAGTTCTCAAAAGGAGTTATGCACGAACTTTCGAAAAGAGTCACTTACAGAAAAAAGAGAGGTCCGTTTAGGCGGAGAGCTCGGATTGGGAATGAGCGGAGCACGAAGAGACGCAAGCGTTATTTTATGGTACGTCACGTTCATTTTTTTTTCTTGCTAGATTATTCATTCCGTGTTCAATTAGACTCGCGAAATGCAAAATAATCTCTGCTTCTCCAAAATTTAGTGATCTTTTCCTTTCTCTAACAGGTATTTTGCGGCTCTGAGCCCGAGACCCAAAGCTCAGGCCGGCCAGGCTCGTGCGAGGGCCAGCTCGTCAGCCTGTGCCCCCCACTGCCAGACTTTCTCTCAAAAATGAATCTGACAGCCCTATCCAGGCTGGCCCGGTGGCCCGTCTGACGCTCAAAGCAAGTGCGCTCCATCGCAGTATTGAAACTTTTTACGACAATTTTTTTTTCAAGTTTTTTTAATGCCATATTTCTAGTTTTTCATTTTTAAGTCGTTAAAATCTTTATCATTGAAATAACTTTTTTGTGTTTAAATTGTACTATAAATATCGGAATTTAATTTTGAGCATCCTTATTAACGTTCAGATGGCTGCCGCGGGTAGTTCTGACCGTGTTACTAATGTTTCTTTCATAACCGATTTTGTTTCAAAGTATCAAAAAGGGCTCGAAATGGAATTCGACCATGTGGGTTCATTTCAATTATTTTTCGAAGTAAAAGTATTAAGGGAACATCGAGGCGAAAATATGAGTACAACGTCAAGTTTTCGAGTGTCGCCGTTCTTTTATATCACACAGAGTTGAATAAACTGTTGATGGTACGTCAATTTCGGCCAGGTAAGATCTAGACATTTTTCCTAACGTTTGAATCTTGTTTCAGCTGTTTTCGTGGGAAGAGTGTCCAGGATGGCAGAGAATTTAGGCAAAAGTCTAGAAGAAATTGAGTGGGAGAAATACGACGCAAATCTGGGCTATACATTAGAACTGTGTGCAGGGATAATCGATAAGGTGACGGAAATCGGAATTTTTGAGATTTGATGTTTTTTGTTTCAGGATCTTCCAATAGCTGATGTAGCGCGAGAAGAAGTCGCTGAAGAATGCGGATATGCCGTCAGAACCGATGATCTTTTGCCAATATTCACTTCTTTGTGAGTTTCCATTCCAAACAAAGAAAAGGAAAAGTTTTTGAAGAACCGGAACGCATCAAACCGGAAACACGGATTTCATGTTCTACGCTGAAATCGACGAGTCCATGAAGATCAGTGAGGGAGGCGGCAATTTGGCCGAGGGCGAAGCCATCACGAAGTTGAGGCTTTTTCCGTGGAAAAATAGAATGAAGGAAAGTTTTCAGGTTTTCCTGACACCCGAAGAAGCCCGACAGATGCTGGTTCCATCGAAAAATTGTGTTTTACAAGGTCCGGCCGGTGTTCTTCTGGCTATACAGTGGTGGCTTCATGGCAGGAGTAGGGGATCTCCGGTTGGTTTTTCGAGTTTTTTCTTTGAAGGTCAAAAATTAAAGTTCGAAGTGAAATGCCAGCTTTGTAAGATTCCATTGCTACGCTCTCCAAGTTTGGTTTTTCAAAAATATAAAAGAAATTGAAAAAAGTTGAAGGCATTTTGTACCGCATTTCTTCTGGCATTTTCGCTTGAATAATTTTTTTTCTCTTTTTGGCTACATTTCTAGGCTCTCACAGTTTCTAGAACTCTTTTGAGAAAATTTGATGAAAATTGAAATATTTTTTGTATCTCTTTTTTTCTCTGCAAAACGCTTAAAATTATTTTTCTTCACTCTGAGAATTTTCGAATTTTGGGTGTAGGACAATAATACGAGAAAAATCACACCAATTGAGCCAAATTAAAAAAATTTTTTTTTCAAGCCATCAGTAATTTTAAAACATCATAAAAGGATTTTTCCCAGTTTATTTTACTTCAAAGTGTTGATCTTGAATTTAAAAAATTACCGAACAGTATTCTTTCATGATTATACTAACATAGGCAAAGTCGGAAAGGGTGGAAGAAGGGTCCATAGAAATGTTCCCTTTAGGGTGAGGAAGGTTCCTTTTTTGCTGCCTTTTTGCGCCATTTCACAGGCGCTTATGCACCATTTTTGATGCTTATTCCTTTTCCACCATTTCTTGAGCCTTCAAGATTCCAGAAAAAATGAAAAGCTCGATAAAGGGACCCTTTTTGCGGCCTATTTTGAGCTTCTCCCTTTTAGCAGCCATGATCCACCATTCCGACTTCGCTCGAGATAATAGAAAATGAAATCTTGAATAAAATGGAACTTTTTGAAGGCCAAGTTTTCAGATAACAAGCTCCAACGACATCTACGAGCCGATAAACACGAAAAATCTCTCCAATTTCTCCTTCAAAGACGCCTTGTACCGACAAGTTGATGGATACGCTCCGAGGAGGATGTTTTTCACCCTTGTAAGCCTTCAAAAAACGTCTCCTTTCTGATTTCATCGATTTCAAGGGTCCCATGACGAGAAGTTGGGACCTGGCCTTGGCACCCAACAACGTCGTCATCCTGCTTTTCGACAAAGCAAGCCAAGAACTCATTTTGACGCAAATGTTCCGGCCTGGTGTGTCTTTTGAAAACATTTTTATTTCTCTTTTCTCTCAATTCTGTTTCCAATGGAAAAGATTAAAATTCAGCCGCATTCGTCGGCCGCGCGCGGAAACTGAAGGAAAACGCGGGAAAGCAGTTGTCTGAAATCGGGTGGGAGTCGTACGACGTCCGCTGGTCGTACCCCCTGGAGTTGGACGGATGTCTCGTCGAACCCAAGGACGATCTTTTCTCAACTGCGACTTCGGTCGCTCAGAAACTGGGCTACAGGGTCGACGTCGCGTCTCTTCTCCACATTGGCCAGTTTGTGTGGGTTTTCGGCTTGATCAACTCCAAAAATGTCTAAAAAATGTCCTTGTTATTCTGAAAAAGGCTTATCAGTGTTGGAATTTTCTATGCTTTTCATAGATTTAAAGGTAAAAGGAATGCTTTTTTTCATGTTTACTCCATAATTTCTTCTGAATTTTTTTTGCATATTCTGTTTTTCCAGTGTCTCCATAAACAGATCTTTTGAGCTTGAGTTATTTTTCGAGATATGTATATATTATTTTTTTTGTCAAAAAAGGAATTAATGACACTTTCAGAGGCTAAAGTCTTCATTTTAGGGTAGTTCTTTTTAACTGCGTTTCTTTTTCACTCACAAATCATTTTCAATTTTTTAATATATTTTTTAAACTAGAAAACGATTTTTCAAAACGAACTGGATAATGCAGAAAATTTTCTTTTCAAAACTGAACTCAAAATTTTGAGAATTTGAGATTCACAAGTTCATTCTTGTCGTGATATAATGATTGAATTGATTCCGCGGAATTCGAAATAGCCGTCAGAGGGTGAAAAAGATACCTAAAAGTTGGAGAGCCAGAGATAATTTTGAATTTCCAGCACGGGTGTCTCGCAATCCGGTAACGTCCAGGACGTTTTCTTCTCAACTGTTAATGGACCTTCGACAAAACCTCTTGACACTGAATCCGATGTCATTGAGGTAAAACTGGCAACAAAAAACCATTTTATTTTTATTTCTAAGAGACGATTCCACGTCTCCGTCCTTCCTCAGCTCTTCCAGCAGCGATCTCTCGGACCACCCACCACTTATTTTGCAATCCAATGGTTCCTCGAAAATCAGAGTCTCGTTAACACTTAAAATTACTCCACCTTCAGGTTTTACAGAGTTCGGATAGATTTTATTATTTATTGGAGTGAAATTGTACTGATAATAAATTAATATGATTGTAACTTTAATACTGTAACAGTATTTTTAAAAATCATGAAAAGTTAGGACGGAGATTGTCATTTCAAACTTTCAGCAAAAAAATTTAAAATATTTGAATTCGATAGCTTTATACGAAAAAAGAAAATGAATCAATGAGTCAAATTTTCAGTTAATTTTTAGCAATTTTGGCTTTTTATGTACCCTAGTCGCGCATTTTGTATCAAAGACATTCCAATTCATTTTCTTTAAATTCCGTCCCTTGGAGGCATTCTCTAATCCCCGCTAGTTCATGACTGATATTCTACAGAGACCTCTCTAAAACCTATTTCCGCATCCTTTTTTTTAAACCGAGTGAACTTCCTCGAATAATTTTCAACGGCAATGGCGATGAACATTTTTTGAATCGATTTATCGTCAAGAGACTTTGTAAATTTCATTCTTTTAAAGCTTGGATGTAGGTTTATCGCGCAGGAATCGTCGAAGGATCTTTCCGGCCGCCGATTTCGGAATTTCATTGATAAACTCGACGCCTCCAGCCAATTGCTTATAAGCAGAGACTTTGCCTGAACTTTCGAGTTTTCAAATTGAACTTCGAAATAGTCAACTTTTGACGAAGGCCTTGACTTCCTCCTCGCTGAGTTTGTCGTCGGCGCGGACGACGAACGCCTTGGGAACCTCGCCGGCGTTGGCGTCCGGGATTCCGATGACGGCGCAGTCGCGGATCCTCGGGTGCGACAGAAGCAAGTCTTCCAGCTCGGCTGGGGCGACCTGGGAACTTTGTTCGGTAATCATTCAATTTTTACTCTTGAGAGAATCAGTGATGCTCATAAGTTAGATATTCAGAACTCACCTGAAGTCCCTTGACTTTGATCAACTCTTTCAAGCGGTCGACGATGAAAAGGTTGCCTTTGGAGTCGACGTAGCCAATGTCGCCTGAAGACTTCCCGATATTTTATTATATTCGACTTGAAGGGCTAGACAGCTTGGCAAGGTTTAGGCGGGGAAACAAGAGTTCGAATTTGAGCGACAAGTTTCCCGCCAAAAACCGCGTCGCATCCGCAACGCTTCACCCTTCCCAAACTGCCCAAATCGGGAAAAATTGGCTGAAACTCGAATACCCACCAGTATGAAGCCACCCATTGATGATGGTACTGGCGGTGGCCTCAGGCCTGCCGAGATAGCCGAGCATGACTGTCGGACCTCGGACGCAGATCTCGCCCCTCTGCCCTTGCTTCTGCTCCTTGTGCGTTCCTGGGTCGACGATCTGAAGTCCAAAAGCCTTAATCGATTCAAATTGAGGTGGAAACCTTCATCTCCATGTTGGACGTCAACTTGCCGACACTCCCGTACGGCTGATCGTTGGTCAGGTCCGGCAAATGGCTGGCCATCGTTCCTTCCGTCATTCCGTAGCCTCAAAATCAAGGTACGGATCGAAATTATGATCTTTAATCCGGAAGTGTAGTTTTCCAGGCTGATTCCGAATCTATGCTCAGATATGAGCAAAAAGGTCTATGAGAAAATTCATGTCTTCTAACAAAAAAAAAGAATCTATTTCTTCCATTTTTTCTCTATTCTGCGTTGGACGAGTGCCTTCAGAGAATGGAAAATAAAATTTTTCTATTTTCGCCAAATCACTTTGAGCGAGCCATTATAGAACAGTTCACGAAAAAAAACCTTTCAAGAAAGTCTTAGAAACTCCAGAATGGTCCCTACAGGGGCAACCTAATTGGCCCTTGGAAGGTCCCCTCTAGGGACCACTTTACTAACCCCTATAGAGCCCACTAAAGCTTGCAAAAGTGGTCACTATAGGGTTTTTATTAGTGGCCCTTATTATGGACAATCGATAAGTTCATGCGATGAAGCACTTCCATGCAAAAAACTAGAGAAGTAACCTTTTTTGAATAAAACTAAACGACCCCTATAGGGACCGCTTAAGCTTTCGAGGCTAACGGGTCAGATCTTCATTAGAACCACTTCTTCGATCCCTATAGAGGCTTTTCCTCCTAACCCCTATAGGGGCCACTCCAAAATTCCTAAGATCTAGCTGTTGAAAAACTCCTCGCAGACGATTTTCCCACCTTGTTGGATATACTTGAGCTTGGGATACTTTCTCTTGAGCTCCTCGATCAAGTCTTTTCCAGCTGGAGCAGCTCCAGAAAGGATCATCTCAACGGAAGAAAGGTCATATTTCGAGCAGATTGGGTGTTTCGCCAGGAAGACCATGATTGGCGGCACCAGGGCCAGGATTTTGGGCTGAAACTCTTCTTAATACTGCTTTTCACGATTCGAGCGTCACCTTGTGGGACTGGATGACGGAGCAGAAGTTGTTCGGCTCGAAATGGCTCAAAATGATGCCGGTGCTGCCTTGGAGCATGGACTGGTTGAAGAGGGCGAATCCGAAGGCGTGGTAGAAGGGGAGGAAAAGAAGGAGTTTTTCACGTCGGTAGTCCCAGTTGGGGTCGATGGTGACCGTGTTGCGAGCCTTGTCGATTCTGAGGAGTTTCGATGGAAGTGATTGAAAAAAAAATCTTATCGGATTCAGCAAGCCTCAAATTCAAAATTCGAAATAATTCTCAAAAATTCATTTAATCATGAATAATTCTATTGATTCAATTTTATTCTGATAAATATTTGATTAGAAAACTGACTGGTTGAAAATGTTGAGCATGGTTCCAAAGTTGAAGTGCGACATCATCACCCCTTTTGGAGGTCCCGTCGTTCCGCTGCAATGAACTTGTTTTTTTGAAAGAATTGCGACTTGAAAAAATTCTGACATGTCTGCGCTCTCTTTTCTCTCGGCGAGGTTCGCCAAAAGTAAAAAATTTACCTGGAGTAAGGCAAGGCGAGGAGGTCCTTCTTGATGTCGATGTGGACTTTTGGCAACGTCTTCGCCTTGGTGGCGATGACGTCATTCCAAGAAACGACGCCTTCTGGAAGGGATGATCCGGCAGCTTTTGGGATCACAATGATCTTCTGAAACCATCTTTTTCGTTGAAGCTGTTTCATTTTCAAGCTTACTAACCTCGACATTCGGACTCTGTTTCACTGCCAGGACGACCTTCGGTAGAAATTCCTCACAAGTGAACACGACTTTGCACCGGGAATCGACAAACTGTCGTTGAAGTTCGTCTAGAAAATGATCAAATTTTCGAAAAATTGAAAAGATAAAGTTACAATCGGTGAAAAGAGCGCTGGCCCCAGAGATGGCGCCGCCGGCGGCTGCGACGCCGACAAAGAAGGCGGCGTACTGCCAGATGTTCGGCATCACGATACAGGCTACATCTTTCTGAAACCGCAAGTTGTATGGGCATTTTTGATCTTATTTCCTTTCGCTTGGTCGCATGGGGAACGGCTCGAAGTCTCGCAGAAGATTCAAACAACAACTATAGTCCGTTCGCCGCGACTTGACAGTTTCCGCGTGTCTGCATCTCTCTGTTCCTTAGCGGCGAGGTCAGAGAAAAATGGAAATAGCACGTAAACATGAGAGAGACGTCGAGAGATAAGGAGGGCGCAGAGAAGTCCCGTCCGAACAGAATTTTAACCGCTACGCGACCGCGACGCTTCGACGGTATGCCGAGAAAGTACAAAAAAAGTAAAAATTTATCGAAAAATTCAAATTTGAAGTTTTAGAAGCTCGAAGGAAACGTTGATTTTTTCTCAGAATCATTTTTCTTCATTCGTTTCAACATTCCAACAGTAGCATCCTCACCTGGAAGCCAATTCCATGAAGGTAAGTAGCGATGGAATGGATATAACCTCGCAATTGCTCGTAGGTGATAACAATTGACGGGTTATCGCCGCTGATCTGAAACATTTTTTCTCATTTTTTGTCCATTCAGATTCTCTTTGTTTTATCTTCTTACAATTTCTACAAAAAAGCCTAACTCAAAAACTCCACAGTAGTCCCTATAGGGGCAACCTTAGAAGTCCTTGGAAGGTCCCTCTAGGGACCACTTTGCCAACCACTATAGGGGCCACTTAAGCTTGGGAAAGTGGTCCCTATAGAGGACTGTTATGAACTTTAAGCGAAGAAGCATTTCCATGGGGAAAACTGAACAAAAAGCGTTTTTTGAAGGAAATTGAGAGATCCCTATAGGGCCCACTTGAGCTTTAGGGGCTAAAAGGTCAGACCCTAAAACCCTTTAGTGAGCACTCTGCAATTCCTAAGAAAGAACGGTAGAAACAGCTTGAAAAATAATGACTCGTAAAAAAATATAAAAGAGAGCCTACGGTATATACAGTACCCTTCGGAAAAGTACGGAAAAACGCAATTCTGGTCACATTTTTCTTGTGAGGAATTCATCTTTTTGAAAACTTTCTGGAATTGTGATGACAGTTAATTGTAAAACGCTTATAAAATTCAAGTTTCCAGGAAAAAAAATCAGGTTGGGAGAGTTTCAAAAAGTTTCCTCACAAGATGTTTCGACCGAAAATCGCTTTTTCTCGTTTTCTGACGCTATTCAAAAAAAATTTCCGAAGAAATCTCAACTTCTAATAGAGCTTTATCGGAACAGGGACTCACAAATGCGATCGGATTTTTTCCGGCGTTGATATGTTCATCGATGGCCTCGAGAAGCGTCTCGTGATAGGGCCGGGTGGCCACCGGCGCGTCCGGATAAGTCGATCGGATCGGCATCCTTACTTTTACCTGATCGTTTATTTTTTTTTCAAAATTTTCCGCTTTAAGAGAAAGCTTTGATGCAAGGAAAAAAATAAAGAGATTACAATCAATAACTTTATTGGAATAGAACAAAAAAAGTTTTCATCTTTGAATAATACTATCATCTAAAAAGCTCTGAAGCTTTTTCTGACCTTTTTGGGCGTTTCAAAAGGAAGAAAAAAATCAAAAATGAAAAAGTTTGTTGGTGATCTTCTGAACGTCAAAAACTTGGGGATAAATCAGACTTTTTGACGAATTTCCAAAAATTTCAAATCAGAATGAAGAAAAATTCGTGTCTAAAACACAAAAAAACTATTATAAAATTGCATTTTACAATGTTAATTTTTAACTTTTTTTTTGATTTTTTTTTTGTTTCTGGTCGAATAAATTTTCAAGTGATGCTGACTGCACAACGATTTTCAAAAATTTTTGTTTAATTATAATCTGGAATTGGCTAAATTTTGGGAGTGGTTTAGCTTTTAAACAGGCAGATTATGGGACCGATACAACAGGTAGAAAATAGAACCAATCCTCTTTTTATCCGACTTGGAATTTTTGATGAAAAGTTGAAAGTTGCAATCACTACAAGATTAAACTGACTAAAGTTCGAAAGTCTGAAAAAAAAAACATGATTAATCACATTCGGGAATCCCAGGAGAGAAATCGATAAGGATCGAAAAATATCAGGAAACAAAAGTTTAGAGCAGCCAAACAAGGGGCAGTCGTTATCGAATCGACGCATTAGGGAAACGGGTTGACCCTACGTCGTAGCTTATTTTCTTCACCTTTTATTGACCTAACCTTATTCCTATCATTTCTGACAGACCATTTTTCCCTGCTTAAACCAAGTCCTTTTTCAGAATCTTCCAAAAAAGGATGCGTTTTCAAATCAAAAGAAAAAAAAAAATCAAAAATTAACTTCAAAGAAGGTTGAGACTACCCAAAACTCATAACAAATGTCACCCAATTTTCCTAAAAAGCGATAAAATCAGAGCGCCTTGTGAGCTGTTATCAGCCGAATCCGGGGTGCGAACTCACCCATTATCATTTTATCGCTGATTAGAGCGACTGACTCTCTCTCCAGTTTCACTGTGGCAGGGAATATTTGGAAGGAATTTATTTCTATTTCCAGGGTTCCATTGAAAGTTTCTCAAGGGGCCATCCGGATTGTGATGGCGAAGCCGGCTTTCAGGTCGAATCGGCATCTGAAAAGGGTCATTTCGAGTTTTCATTTCGATGAAAACAGTTTCGGAAAGAGAAAAGGCAGTGAAAATCATTTGAATCATCTTTTGTCTCTTATGTGTGCATGATACTTCGTAAATCCATTCGGAGCCATTTTTGTAAATCCTAACTTTGTAACAGGCTAATGAAGGAAGTTGAATACATTGATACATTGACCCCTAGAGTGGCCACTAATTTCTAACCTCTTAAGTGCTCACTAATTTGCCTACTCCAGTGGCCAATAAAACGTCGAAACCCTATAGTGGGCACTGAAAATTTAGTGGTCTAGTAGTATCAATTAGACCTCTATAGGGGTCCCTATTTTAAACCCATTAAGTGGCCAGTAATTTGACTACTATAGTGGCCACTAAAACGTCAAAACCCTATAGAGGCCACTAAACATTTTCCCAGTAGTACCATTCAATCTGTATGTTCAAACTGAAATCGAATCATTTTTTTTTTCAAATATCCAAGTTTTCTTCACTTTGATGAAAATTAATTACCACCGCCCTTAACTAACTTGACACTGGGCTTGATCCGGAGCATCGTCTGAGATTTGCACGAATAGGTCACCCCGTTCTCCTCCAAGACGGCGAACGTGTTTTCCTAGAAGATGCCCTTTTTCATCAAATTTTGGGTTTGAAAGGGAAGAAAATGGATAATTAGCAAGGACTACGGGAAAAGTCCGAACCTGGAGCCAAATAAGGAGTTCGACGGCTCCGCTTTCGAGGTCATAGAAGCCTTCGCCGAGGAGCATGACCTCGGATCGGAACAACGGAGGGCCGTAGATCTTCACCGGGCCGGATCTGATTTAATTAATTTTTTTGAGTTCATACTCTATTTAAAAAGTTCATTCTCGGACATTTAAAGGAGCATAGATTACCTCAATAAAGGTCTCAAGGCGAAGAGTTATTTTTGAAGATATTTTTGAAAAATTGTGTGCCTTCAAACCCCTATGAGGGAAATTTCGAAAGATCTTTTGATCTGTGATCGCATTGAGAGTATTTTCGAGTGTGGCTAGATGTAGTTTTCAATGCTGGTTATGAATCTGGGCTTAAAAAAAGCCAAGAAGGTCCATGAAAAAAGTTATTGTCGTTAAGAGTTGATTCTGATTCTGAAAAACAGCACTTGGTATTTTTGTCCTTATCAAAGGTGCTTCTGTAAGCTTTTTGGTAACATCTACGCGAAAGTCGCTTCATGGTCGGGCGCACCCGTTAAGCCATTCCCCACGCGACAAAAATAATATGTCTCACTTCAATTCGGCAAAATGATCATAAATGAACTCTTTCCGATTGATTGGCGACCCAATGTCCAATTCCCTCGGCTCAAAGGGCGGCTTGATGATGAAGGAATCTTTGCCGGGTCTGCCTGCACATCTAACCAAGATTCATTTGCAAAAAAGGGAATGGCTACCGCTTTTGAACTCGTTCGAGTTGAAGAAGGCTTTGATCAAAGGTGGCAAATCTTTGACGACGTCTGTCAGATGGAACCATCTTTCGTAGAGCCGTTCTTCAGTTGAGCCGACAAAGTACCTGAATTTTTCAGCGATTAGAAGCCAGGTGATCATTAAAGACCGCTAGAGTAGTAGAACATAGATACCTAGAACTTTTTAAGAAAAAAAGTTCGACTTCCGTTTTTTTTTAGATTTTTTCGAAAATCCAGTCGCTCTCATTTGACTCTATAACTCTGAACATTAAAAATGTACCAATGTTCAAATTTCCCAAGAATATTATGCTGATCCGATGTATTTATTACCCATCAGTTCAAAAAAATCGGGATTTAACCAATTCTGACAATCAGTTTGGATGGAACATTGAATTCAAGAATCCAAAAATGTTCACTTTCCTACTTTAGTTGTAACAGTGAATAAATGAAGATCAAAACTGAACATCCTTGGGCATACCAAAAGCGTAAAACCGGTAGAAGTCGGTCGACGAGACTCACCTAACACAGTCAAACTCCGTATTGAGCCGTTCTCTTTCGACAACAAGTCCCAAGGTGTTGGAGAACCGTTGAGGAGAGTGTTCGACCCTCGAGGGCAGCATGAACATTTCTCCTGAAGCTCTTTTCTACAGAAAAGTCTAAATCATTCGATTTCACCTTGTTTTATGACCAAATCTCGGGCATGACCGCTGTCAAAGGTCTTCAGCAGCATGTCGCCTTTCAATTGACAGAAGAACTGAGAGCCGGAAAATGTTTATACTGGTGAAAATGAAGAAAATCGAACCTCTTCGCCTTCCTCCAAGTGAAAATCTTTCCGTTGGTTGGGTCCGCCGACAAAAAAAACCTTCAGTTGATCGGAGAACCTATTTTTGTATCATAATAGCTAGGTGTATGGTCCACATGGGAAGGAATGATTTCATTTTTTTACAACTTTCGTGTCTGTAGGCCATTCCGCGCCAGCTTGTCATGACTTTTGCTTCCTTCCGAACTAGAGAGTCATTCTGTTCAAAGCGCGCGGGATCTTTCGATGCCTGCGTCTTTTATTTGGCCCTAAATGTGCGTTATATTAAAGGCGCAGGCAGAAATAAATATCGCGCGCTTTGAAGGGAAAGATTCTGTAGGCTCAGAGAAAAACTACAATCGTGACAAGCTGGTGCGGAATGGGATATTAATCTTATTAGTGAATTCATAACGGAATTATTGATTTTGGAAAAGTACGATTTTATAATCTATTGAAAACTGTAACGTGATCTAATATACCTTTTTTTTCCTTCGAGTTTTTTTTAAATTAGAAGTTTGAATTAAACGAAAACTCTTATAAATTGATGATAATTCGAGAAAGTTAAAGTTTTTCAAGTCAAAGAACTTCTGAAGAGGCCTGATCAAATGATTTTGAGGCAAAAAGTTGAAAAAAAAACTTCTCTCATTCCGAATACTCTCAGAAGGGTCCAGTAGTTATTTTTTGCTTTTACACTTTTCTTAACAAAAAAAAAACGGACATGCACTTGTTGCAGACGGGCGGCACGAAGTCATTTTGGTTTTCTTTGACCCAACTTGGAATTTCGAAGGCCGTTACGGCTGCCGGCTGCATCGACATGCCTGAAAAAAGAAAAAAGCTTGATCAATCTTTGAAAATCGTAGTCAGAAAAAAGAGAAAAAGAGAAGACCGTGGCCGCAGAAGTGAAAGGCGAGTTTCCTCTTCTGCAAACTTCAGACGACGTTATCATTCGATGACTTCGGGGGGCGCCTGAAAACCGTTCCGATCGCCTCTTCATCAATAAAATTTTTCCCACGCGTTGTCTGCCAACTTCTTCTTCTTCATTGTAATGCAAGGTGATCAATTGGAGACGAGTTGTGTCGCTTGCAAGGTAATCGGAATTAGTGACGGAGTTGGTTGCAACTCGATTTCAGGTTTTTCTTTCTGAAATTAGTTTCATGGTCCATCCGTCGCGACTTGACAGTTTTCGCGTGTCTGCGTCTCTCTGTTCCCTCACCGGCGAGGTCAGAGAAACATGGAAATAGCACGTTAACATGAGAGAGGCGTCGAGAGATAAGGAGGGCGCAGAGAAATCCCGTCCTTTCATGTCGCAAAAAACGACCTGGCTCATTTCGGAAAAAGATCAATATTTTCGAAACAGCTTAAGCTTAGTTTTTTGATATACTCCAATATCCATGACCCGAAAAATTCTAGCTTGTCTGCGTCTCTTTTTTCTCACCGGCCAAAGCCATAGAAACCAAAGAAATAACTCGTAAACAACGGAGCGTCGTTGAGGGAAAAGAAGTCATAATTTTCAAGTCTCCGTGGATTATTGTACTTTCAAGAGGTGAAATCAGTAATTTTTTCATGAAATTCTCCAAAAAATGGGAATTTCCAGAAAATCTGAAAAACATGTTTTTTTCTAATGGATCTCGGGACTTCATGAAACAACTTTTATCCCAAAAAAAGACTTCAAAAATATGAAAGTAACACTTTTTTTTAACACTTTGTAGCCTGAAAAACCGGAATTCTAAGATTTCAAAGAGCAGATGGAACGTAAGAGGTCGCAGTCAAGCTCAGTTCAAGTGAGAAAATCTGAATTTTTCCCTGTCAATGAAGTCTCAAAATGTTAATAGCACCTTCTTGGTGGGACACACTTTCAAATAAACCGCTTCTCATCAATATCCAGCCATTCCCAGTGTGTTTTGAGTCGAAAATATTTTTCATCAATTTCTTATTTTCCTTCAAACTTTGCTGTATGTAAAGCAACTGTATAGTCTGTTCAGATTTTGAATGTCAAGTAGAATGACGTCATTCAAAAACGCTCTGTGGATGGCTCGCTCTCTGATTGGTTTATCACACCATTATGGGCGGAGCTTGAGCGACGACTTGACATTTTAAATCTGAACAGACTATACTCCTGACACGAAAAATGAAAGTTTCTGTAGGCAATTTATTCTCTTTACAAACTTTCCTAATCGTGGCAGGACCTCTTTAGAAAATTCGAAGATCTGCTGAGTGAAAAATTGAGATATATCTTAGTAAGTCGGATAGTTATCCTATACCTACATACATACATCCAAAAGAACAAATAGAAGTCATTTTTCAGGAAATGTTGCAAAAAGGTTCCGAAATTGGAGAAAAGTGCGATTCGTACCAGCCGTGAATCAACTATAGTTTGACCTTTATCCTGAGTGATGCCATTTCCCAAAAAGGCGAATTTTTAGCTTTTTTGCAACTGGAGACTTCCGGCGAATGTCATCACGTCCATCAGCCGTCGATGGGCCGTGAATGGGGATGAATCGGCGGAGCGAGACGGGGTTTTTGTGCTCCTTGACGGATCGGCCAGAATTCGTTCTATCTGGGAGTACGATAGCACCAACACGTCATGTAGATGATATCACTCAAAAAAATGGGCTTCTGCAAATGACAGACGACGTCGGACTCCGCCCCCCGTTTCGGCCACGCCTTCTGACGGCTCCGCGGAGGGTGGAGATCCGAGTCAGAAGCAAGTCATTTCTGTGGTCGTGTTCTGACCGGAGGGTTTAAACGCGCAGGGTCCTTTAATAAGGGCTGGGCCACTGGATGCGCCTTTAAACAATCCAAGGAGCCGTTGAACCTGTTCTTCCTATTCACTTCTCTGGCTCAAATTTAAAGGCGCATCGGACATTTTTCTCTAGAATACCTGCGTCTTTAAAACTCCAGAAAACTGTAGATATATTTTTCCGTTGTTGTTTTTTTTAGTGAAGTTGATTCATGGCTTCTGAATTGGAATTTTTTTTCTGAGAAAAAAAAATCGTAAAATTGTCTTATGCGCCTTCAAATCATCTACAAAGAATTTGATTGAAACTTTCGTACTTTTAAAAAATTTTGAAGATTTTTTTTCTATTCATAATTTACTACGAAAGACAGAAAAGTGAGCTCATTTTTTCTAGTTTACTAAATTTAATTAATTCCACGGATCTGCTGAAAAGTGAACTGTGAAATCCATTTTTCCTTTCCAAAAAAGGGTCTACTTCCCATTCATAGTGAACTACATAGTGAAATACTGATGTGTAAAAGAGGAAAACAACTTTTTGAACTTTGTCTACGGGTTTCAGCTCTTTTCCAGCTCCTCGAAGCCCTTTTTCAGTTCAAAGTCTTCAGGAATGCTCAGAGCTACTTTTATATTCATTCACTTTCTTCGGTTTTTATTTGTAAAGCTTGTTCTAAATATACTCTTCGCGTTTTTTTTAAAAGCTCATACTGATTTGATAAAAGATTTTGACAAGGAAGGCCATTTTTCTTTCCGGTTGTTAATTTCCTAAAAATGGGCCAGAGTACTCCTTGATGTACCAGAAGAACATTCTGAAAGTCTGAACCAGCAAAACTTTCTAGTTTTTGAGAAAAGACACCTTAACGTTGAAGAAAACACAGAAAATCCGTTAAAATAGGCCATTTTGTGGTTTTGAGCGTCATTTCTCGAAAACTAGGAAGTTGTGAAGGAGACTTTCAGGATCTTCTTCTGGTAAATCAAAGAGTGTTCTGGCCAATTTTCAGAAAATTCCCAACCGCAAAGTAAAATGACCTCTCTTGTGAAGTGAAACTTTATTTTAAGCGATACAAGTCATTCAAACAATAGAAAGGATTTTCGAACACACTACATCGTTGTTTTGTTTCGGAATTTCAGTTTCAAGCCCAGAATGACTCAGAAAGTAAGATTGAAAACTGGAATTAAGTTAAAAAAAAAATGTGAAAATCCAATTTATCCGCATTGTTTTTTTTAATATGAAGCCCTACCGCTTGGAAAAGAAACCTTCAAACTTCAAGTCGTTTTTTGGAAAATAAGTCTGACATTCAGGTTTGAATCACTTACTAAGTAATGTTTTCATTTGGAGCTGAAACAAAAAACAAAAACCAACATTTCGGCCGTCATTCCCAGGCCGTGAGCTATCTTATTCATTACAAATGACGTCAAAAACAAAACATTCAGGCGTTCCTCCACTTTTTTTTGGTTTCTTTGAAGATTAGACAAAGAAATATGCTCTTCAGATGCTTCTTCTGTCTGGAAAATTGGTCTATTTAATGAGATTATGGGATTGGATTTGGAAATTTGATCTTCCAATTAAGTTAACGAGCAAATATTCGACGAATTGGAGTTTCCAGAAAGAATAGCTAATATTTTGAATAACGATTTAACATTTCGAAATTTTTGGTTTCGAATTAAATTTAGAAATGAATTCAACTTTCCGTGGAGTATTTACCTGAAAAAGTTGAGGAAAATTCAAAAATTTTGTGAATATTTTTGAGAAGAAGTTCAATAATCGATTAATCTATGAGAGCACAAGAGTAGCTTAACGAAAAGCATTTTTTGCGAACGTGCGTCGGACTTGAAACGAGTTACGCCCTTCAAGATTTAGACCGAGAAACATGAACTAAATATTTTTGCTGACCTTCCCCAAATTAATTATATTCTACTCTTTCGATTATTGTTTATAATTTCCAACCATCCCAAGTAATTTTTGAAGAACAACCCAAAACCTTCGAAAAGACAACAATATTCAATTTTGCGACGAAACAAAGGATCGCTCAACAAAACGTCATCATTTTCTTTGCAAATTACTCACTCATTTCGGATTCATCTTCACCTAGAAGACTTGATGTTAATCTTGGTCTCTCGGTTTTTTTCTCTATTCCTGGATTTTCGCGATCGAACTGAGTTAAATTATCAGTTTATTAAAAACTACTGAAAGTTATTTTTATCCTTTTTTCTTGGTTTATCGAAGAATAAACCTTATTTTCATCGTGTTTACTATATTAGTTCTGCAGAAATGAATAAAAGAACCATTAGGATTAAAAAAACAGAATCATACCCGGAAATCAAATCAAACGTTGAATTCTTTGAAAAAAACGTCATTTTTTTCCCTTTTCGAATTTTTTTAAAAAACTTATTTTTTTAGCTTCAATTTTTCTCAATTAAGAACTTTTTTTCCAGTTGATATGCCAATTTTTTGCTCCATAGATTTTCATATTTTTCCCATTTTAGCGTAAAATCGCTCTGAAAGTTCCGCTAGCTGTGTGTGTGGCAAAATTAATCAGAAAACTGAAAAAACATCGTTTTATGACTTGCGAATGGGTGTTCCAAAGTTTCTTATGAAATTCCCATTTTCGTATTCATTCTATATGGCGCCATATTTTCTACGTTCAAATATCAAGGGAAGCTAGTATAAGAAATTTAGATTCTAAAGGCTGAAATAAATTGAAAAAAATTGAGAATCTAAATCTTCAAAAGCATTCTCATCCTTACAGGAAAAAAATATATTAGTTAAAAAAATTCAAAGTTCAAAAAAATTCGAAGAATTCTGGGAAGAAAAATGGTCCTAGCACGAATATCGTGAAAAATTTTGGGCCTTACAGTAACCTAGGCATTTTTCTCGAATAAAACATAATTTATAATTTTCAAGAATTCTAGAATTTTCGATTCGCAATTGTGCATCGGAGAACAAAAAAAATTTGACTGGAACTTTTTAAAAAACTTCTGGGAAAATTTTTAGTGGTCACTATAGTAGTCAAATTAGTGGCCACTTTAGGGGTCAATGGATCAAAATAACTGGTCCAATGTGTTGGTTTTAAAATTATCAGAGTTACTGGAAGGAATATCGGATGAAAAACTACTGAAGTGGCCACTAAAACGGAGAATAGTGGCCACTATAGAGGTGGGTTTAGTGGCCACTTTAGTGTCCTCTCCGAGTAGTCCTTGGCAAGCCTCTATAGTGGCCACTACAAGTTTTCCCAGTTAACAAAGGATTCCAGTGTTGTTTTTGACTATTTCTTGTGATTTTAAGTCTCAAAAATTAAAAATGAAGCTTTTTTTTTAAAAAAAACGAGCCCAACTTGTTTTCAATTTCCAAATCTGAGCCAAAAAGAGTGTAACCCAATTTGAATGGTGACCTACGTGATAAAGGAAAGCTAAGAAAATAGTCAAGTCTATTTTTATCCTTCCTTTTTTTTCCTCCGAGCTCATTTCCAAGTTATGAGAGCCGTTAGAGACCTTGATGGAGAGTTTTGTGAAGAATTTTTTTCGATAAATGCTGGAAAAATTAAAAAGAATTTAGTGTTTTTAGCCTGAAAATTCTATAAATAATCGTTGTTCTTTAGAGAATAGATGACACAAAACTGCCAGAAACACTCGTCTTTTTTTTCTAGTTCTTCGAACTGCCTGGAGAAGGTTTATGTGACCATTTCAAAATCTATAAAGCTCTTTTTTTTCTCTTTCGAAATTAAGAATTCTAAAAAAGAAAGTTCATTGGACCTTAGTCAGTACACAGCGTAATTTACATTGTTATGGATATTTCTCGGCCGTTCCCTGATTGGAAATACTTTGGTTCCTTATCAGGAGAATTGAGATTTCTTTAAAGAGCAGTTGTTGATAGGAAAAATAAAAAGAAAATGAAAATTGTCACTTGAACTTGGAATCTCGAGGTCGCACGTGGAATGGCTCAAAGTATAACGGCTGCAAAAATCTCTCTCTGACCTTAAAAAAATCGCGCTCAAGGCTATCAAAAGCATTAGATAAAGCATTTTTTAAGCTTGATGCAGACGCAACACGACCGCGTCGCTTCGAGCCATTCCACGTGCGACCATGACTTCTCTTTTAGCCTGCTTGAACCAAAATAATAATTACCTTGAAGTTTTTCTTATCAAACATTTTGTTTGGATTCCATTCCTTCATTATTTTCTTTTAGAGGTCCCAATTCCTCAAATTTCTAGAAATTTCGAATTTACATAAAGATTCTCTCTCAAAAAGTTTTTTTGTCATGACTTTTTTCGACTTTACATCCACTACTATCTTGTCAATCGCCCACTAATTTTTCAAATTTCCAGGCAAAGTCAGGGTAAAAATGCTTCAAAATACACTGAGAATCGTACTTTTCTTCGTTCTCGTCGCTTTTTCCTTGGCCTACTACGTGAATAACGCCGCCACCAGCACCGATGATTCCAATGAACAGGTGGGCTTTTTATTTCCGAAATTATGAATATTAGCTTTTTTTCAAATGAACCAAAAATGCGGATCAAAATCTTTTAAATACCACTCAAGAAAAAATTAACCACTTTTACACTACTTTTTGAAACTAAAACGTGAAAGCGTAAAAATCAAAATTTTCTTTGTTTCTAAATGCAGATGACATAGTTAAAACACTAATAATTCAAAGTTCGGGAGAATTTACTAGATTTTAGCTTGGTTAAATCTTATGCAAATAAATCGGCAAGGTTCTGACTTGTCTGCGTCCTCTTCTCTCTCGCCGGAGAGGTTATAGTCAAGCTAAAATAGCACGTAAATACGGGAGAGACGCTGAGAGAAAAGAGAGCGCAGACACTTCAGACAGTTCCTCTGATGTAGTCCGTTTTACGCGACTTCTCTGCGACCCTCCTTCTCTCTCGACGACCCTCTCTAATAGACCCGCTATTTTTCGCATTTCTGTGACCTTGGTGAGGGAACAAAGACGCAGACAAGTGTCCAGTCGGACTATAATGATCACTTTATCAATAAATCTCAATTTTTTTCGAAATTTTTTTAAAAATTCTATGATTCTCTCAAGAGTTTTTCAACTTTCAGGAGCTGATCCCGGTGAGATTTCTGCCCTTCCTGAAGAGGAACATTGCGATTGGCCGGGGCGACGGGATCCGTCCAGGAAAATGAGCATCTTTTCCCCCACAACCAAATAAACCTGCACAAACCGTTGTATGACTAACACAAGTCTCATGTGTACATACGAATTCCCACTTTGATCCTAATGATGACGATGAGAAAAATAAAGGCTGCCTTGGCTAGAAATGTTTATTTGGTTTGGCGAGGAAGGAGTCCAACTCGTCCATGTCGTTCAGATCCGGCGAAATGTTGATGAATTCGGCGTCTTTCAGTAGAAAATCCAGAGATATTCGTTGGAACTCGTTGCCTATTGGAGGAACGGATCCATTTCTGGAAAGGGCTTTGATTTTTGAAACATAACTCTTGAAAAATGTCAAAATGTCCTGAGTGATTTCGTGAGTCCAAGATTAGCGCGTTATTCGTCTGAAATGATTTTGCAAAATGCGCAAAACTGGAATATTAGGTCTTACAACGAAATGGAGAGCTAATTTCCCGCGCAAAACTTCAAACATTGTAATTATTTTGGCATTTGTTAACGGAAAGTCTAAAATCGCGCGTGAAAGCCACCACAAAAATTAATGCCGTGATATACCGTTGCGGGACCCAATTTAATTTTAAAGAAATCGTCATTTTAAAAATCGCTAAAAATCACTTTGAAAGCGGCATGAGAAAAATATACTAGGCCGTCTGAATATCGATTCATACATTTTTGAAAATTGCAACTTTGATGATTTTGAACAGAAATAAAACCCAAAATGACACAAATTCAAAAACATTATCTCCAAGGAGTAAAACGATATTTATAATGAAAAAACCAAAACTGACGTGGCGACAGCAACACAGTGATGCTGATCAACGAAAGACTCCTCGAAAATGAAATCTTCTTGAAGCTCTTTCTCCATCAGGAACTTGGTCGAAGTGATGAAGCAGCCTGCAAAAAAAAGTACAACATTCGAAAAAAGTTCATTTGTTATAGCTGTCCCGAGAAATATGAAATTGCAAACAAAAAATGATATTATCAAAAAAGAAAGTAAGTCAACAGAAGATGAGCGAACGTCAATTAAACAAATACATTGTTGGCATTCAAATCTTCCGCCAAAAACGTTAAACTAATCTTTTCATGTTGCTACAGTATTGCTCAGGTTACGAATTTTTCTTGCGGGTAAAATTCACTATATATAACATAGTGCGTTGAGACGGTCACGTTTTAGAGGACAAACGAAAAAAAAGCGATTTTTCTCTGAGAAACTTCAAAAAACAGCGAAAAGGTCTCGAAGCGAAATGTGTTCGAATTGGGGCCATACGGTACTTAAAAACAGGACAAGCTGGCGCGGAGTGGGCTTAAAAACAGCCAGAAAAAACGGAAGCTAAACATTCTAATGAGAACTTTGCAGGCTAAAAAACTATCTTTCAACATTTTTCAATTGAGAAAACCGAAAATCTACCAGGCTCATGAGTTTGTCGATCGACCACGAACTCGTAGTCGCGGAGATTTGTGGCCAATCCGATTCCAGTCGCTTTCAGGACGGATTCCTTCAGACACCAGATCCGGTAGAATGCTCTCCATCTCAAATCGGAAAAGGTGAGAGCTTTTAAAAATGAAAAAAGCCAAAAAGAAAACTTCATGGGTACCCCAAGATAACACTTAACATAGTTGACTCAACCAGGCGACACAGCAAAAGGCTGCGACATTGCTAAAGTTTCACCGCGATATCGCTATTTCTCTTGAGTTTGCTATTCAAAAAAATTTTCCGCTGTATTTTTGACTTTTATCGTGAAATAATCAAACTCAAAGAAAAAAAAATGATTCAAAAAGCGATATCGCGATGTCGCAGGATCGCAGAAACGCGATATCGCTCGCGACATCGCTTTCTTCGCTGCGACATAGCCCATAGTATAGAATCATAGAATGAAAAAGCTTTTTTTCCATTACTTAACTAAGGCTTTTCATTTTTCTTTCACGCCTTTTTTTCAAAATGAATGAACTTCTACCGTAACGAATTATTCGCCGGATTCCGCACCGTTCTCAATTCCAACGCCGTGAATTGTCTCTCTAGTCTTTGGATTTGAGCCGAGGCCGACGAACAGCGACTCTCGTCCACTTTCATCACATCTACGCCTATAATTAGTCGATTTTGAACCCAAAAAAAAGTATAACTGTTCAAGTTTTTCATTTCCAACTATTTTTTTCCTGTCAAGACCATTATTCTAAGAACATTTGGGTATTTTTAAAACTTCTTTATCAAAAATCTTTATCTTTGTCTTCAAGAAAATCTCTTCTCCATTGTAAACCAACCAACAGGACAGCTCGACGAGGCCAAAACGACGAAATCGCCCTGATGGGAGACATTGAAGTGATAGCCGTCGGGATGGGAGGCGACGAAAGGTTTGCCGCGGCTGGTCCGACCGAAACCGACTTGCGACCAATTAAGAGAGAGCGACGTCGCCGCCGCGCATCTGAACGCCTTCGTTGCTGATCGGGAGACGTGGCGGGAGGAAACCGGGCGAGAAGACGTCCCACCAGGCAGGCGAGGCTGTCATCGCGGTAGTGGAACTCGTGCTGTTGGGCGACGTCATCTTCGGTTACGCAGAGGAAAGATCGACGGAGCAACTCCTCGAAGTTTTTGTTCGAGGCGCACTGGAACCTTCGGAGTGACCTCTGGCTTATAAAAAGATAGGAAAAACTGGAGAGGTTGAGGTTTCCAAAAAGCCACGAAAAAGGTCTTTCGAGCATTTCACTGAAATTATTTTAGGGAATCATTGAAGCTTGACCTTCAGCACTAAATGACCTTCCATAAGATTATTGAAATTTTTAAAGTTTCAGACAGTAATTTTAAGATTATTTCAAGTTTTATCAATACAATTAATCTTCAATGGTCTAAAAAAATCTAATGAAAACGAAAAATTTAAAAATTAGAATATTTTTTTAAGAAAAAAATGGATTCTATTTTTCAAAGCATTCTTTCGAGATAACCTAATTTAACCATTAGAGAATGAAAAAAATGACTAAATTTCAAAAAGACAGTGAAAATTTCCTTGGAATCACTTAGAAAACGGCATAAAATTAAAATTTGGGAAATATTCAGCTTATTCACGAATTGGTAGTATGAGAATAACGTTTTCAAGTTTTTTTCAAAAACATTTTTTTCGAGTTTTTTTCTAAGCTTCAAAAAAACTTATGAATTCCGAAAAAAATCACAGCTTTAATTTTCACCTTTCAACCTAACACACTAAAAATGAAAAAGAGCCTCGAAATCAAATAAAAGTCCCTCAAAATCACCAGCAAACTCGCGAACAAAACTTCATTGACAAAAAAGGAAACCTCGGAAAGAGAGACGGCCCATCGGAGCGATTTCATTCGTGTTCCTTCCCAGGAAACTATCTCTTTTTGTACTTTCCTGGAAAATGGGGCCAATTTCGAATCAAAAGACAAAAAAGACCGAGTGCAGGCATTTTTTCCATAAAGGACATTTCGACCAAATAACGTACATGCATAGAACTGAGACTAGAAAACCCAAACTAGAAACTCATTTAGATTCGTTTATTACTCCGAAAAAAGAAATGGAAAAAAGACAACGCCGACGATTGCGTTCAACGTTGAAATATTGCGACAAAAATGAAAGAAAAAAAAATCAAAAAAAGAAATGCAACGGGGGAAAACTAGAAGAATACATGAAAAATATTGCTGAGAAACAATTTAACGTAGAAATCTTTGGGAAAGAAGACAACAGACAAAAACAAAAGAAGAATAGTTGGAAGTTAGATTTGGACCCGGAAACCGTGTTAAATATTGGCTAAAAACTATAAATAACGATGTTGGGAACAACCGAGACATTTCTTATGATGATGATGAGACCTTTTTGCTAGGTTTTCTACAGAGTTATCAGGAGATTCCGATTCGTCGGGCATTGCTTTCAAAGATCAAAAGTCGCCACAACTTCACGACGAACATGTCCGCGTCTTCGTCGATGATCTAGAAAGGGAAAATGCAAATTTATAATCAAAATTCCTTAACGGGTGTCTTTTTTGAACTAAGTACAAAAATCATATAAGAGGTCTCCGAAATGATTGATTCCGACGTAAAAAAAAACTATCAAACTGAATAAATGTCTCATGTTACCTGAACCTTTCTGAATCTCTACCAAAGAAAAATTGGAAAAAATCCCTAAATTACCATTTTTTTTTTCTCTCAATGCTAACAGAATGTGTGCTCCAAGAACCTCGTAAACCATTTTTTCTCGTAATTTTTCAGAACCTTACATTCCTTATGTAACCTAATGTTGGAAACAACTTTCCAAAAGTTTGAAAAAATTAAAAAATACTTGAAAAATGACTTTTTTTATTACAATAATATGGTTACTCAGATTTTTGAAGGAAATTCGGAATTTTAGGCTTGAAATGACTCTGGGTAAGCAAAAAAAAAAAACTTTTTCTCAAATTTTCTCTATTTGTTTCACTGACTACAAAGCTTATTTTTTTAAACTTATCCCTTTTTTCAGTTTTTAAGAGCAGGATCCTTACCAAGGCTATATCCTGGAGTAGTTTGCTCGGACTTTCGCGATTATTGATACTCCGGCAGATGAATTCGACGAGTTGAGCTTCTTCTTCTCCTGAAAGAGAAGGAAAGTTAGTCAGCTTTAATCTCTTCTCAACTATTCACATTCTTCATATATTTTTCATTGATATAAATATTAAAACAAACTATTTTTCCTAAAGAATTAAAAAGAGATCATAACCACTCCCCCTCCCCCCTCCTCGAAGAAAAAAATAGGCTTTCAATAATAAGAATGCAAAAAGTACGTTTTTCTTTTAAAAACTAAAACCAAAAATTTCCCATCGAACTGAGAGTCCCAAAAAAATTAATTATTTTTTTCTATTCTAACTACTCTATACCACCCAAAAGCAATCAAAACCCACCAAGGAATTCCTTGACTTTTTTCGAAACCCACGGCTTGATCCGTTCGTTCATCAGAGTTTTATCAAGGTGATCCCACTCGATCGGGTACTTGAAAAGCTCCTCTGCAACGAGAAATTACTTGAAGAGCTGCCGAAATATAGAACCTTTATCAGTGGGAATCTTCCGAATTATACTCTTCGTGAGTTCTTTTTTCTCGTCGGCCGACAGAACTTGGAGACGTTCTTCTCGGGTCACTTGGAACACGCCGAGCTTCTTCTTCTTCTCGTACATCGGGTTCACCTCGTCGTCATCGTCTCCTGAACGAACAACATGAAAAGTTGAGAAAATTTCTCGTTTAAGTGATGACCTCGTCATTGAAAAAACGTATAAAGACAAGATAGGATTTTTTAAAAATTAGTTAAATTTGGGAATATTATGATTTCTTCAGGACGAAAAAACTTTTTTTTCATTTTTTGGAAAAAAAACTTCCTGATTCTAACTTGATCTCTAGTTTAACCTAACCCAAATCGGAAACCATGTGCCATAAAAAACTGCCGAAAAGATTTGCAAGTACAAAAGGAACTGTTTAATTCTTCCTTTAAAACTCTTTATACCGGTTTTGAAACATACATTAATGAGGATATTGACACGATTAAAATTTCAAGCAAAAAAACCTATAAACGTTATTTTTATTAAATTTCGCGAAATTGAAGCAGCTGAATTTTTTTTTCATTTTTTGATATCCGATTAAAGTTGTTTGGGGCCTAATCATTTTTTTTTTTTGGAATTCAAGCGGCTTTTCTTTATTTTCCCATAATGATGATTTGAATTGTTGACTACAAAGATTCAAATTTTTCTCGAAATTTCAAATTAAAAACTTCTCAAAACCAAAATTTTCATCCTAATTAGAAACTTGATAAGTTTATGAAAAGAAAAATATCGTATAAAATCTGAAAATCAATGAAAAAAAGGTCTGATTCCACTGATCCTGATAAATTTCAGAGACTGAACAAGATAATTTTGACTCTCGTATATTTTCCTCACAAAACTCACCAAAAACGCCATTCAACCGCTGAGCGATGGGCGCGACTCTGGGACTCGCGGTGGCGACAGCAGGCGACGCGGTCTTGGCAGAAGACGTCGCAGGGAGTTGCGTCGCGGAGGCCGACCCATCGATCGCCTTCCATCCTCCGGCGTTGTTCACCCCGTTCGCGGGTTTGGGGGTGCCGGCGACGTCGGCACTCGCGCGACCGCTGCTTCCACGATTCGCTGCGTCGTCCTCGGCGTCGCTGGCTTCTTCGCTCTCGCTGCTACTCGACGAGTCCGGATGGCCCAGCGGCTGGTGGGGGTTCGGACTGCCGCTGTCGGCGCGGAGACGTCGGATAGCGGCTTCTTCCTGCTCCCGATGACGTTTCCGGGCCTCGGCTTCGATTTTCGCCTCGTCTTTGTCCTGGTTCTCGGCGGCGATCTGCTTCTTCAGCTCCTCGATCTCCTGCTGTTCCCGGAGCCGGTCTTTCTGGTCAGCCTCGCGCTCGCGTTCGAACTCCCGTTTCCGTTGGAACAGGGATGAACTCCTGTAAACGGAACACTTGACATGAAATTTTCCTCTTGTCAGAGAAGAAATGAGAAAAGGCTCTGATAATACCCGCTGCATTTTTGAATTTTCTCTCTAGATCAAAATAAACGAATTTCGGGGAAAAAATCTAAAAATTTAGAAATTATCAATAAAACTTAAAATCGAATCAGATCTGATGTTTTTTTGACGATCTTTTTTGAATTCAAAAAAACGACCAAACAGATTATTTGTTTCTCAAAAAAAGTGCGTAAAATTGAAAGGAAAAAGGTAAAAAAATCTAAAAATTTTTTTAGAAAAAGGGGTTTCCACAACTTTCAAGTCTGAATATTAAAAAAAGAGGGTTTTTTTCAGATTTCGAAATTATCAAGATTAAGCATAGCGTATTGAAAAGTGAAAAAACTCAATAACTTCACTTTTTTCTAACAAATTTCAATTATGAAGCCTTTTCTCTGGAATATCCCCCTTGCAAACTCACTTGTAGTACTTGGCATCATCCTTCTCATCATCGTAATCTTCCAGGAACGACTTCAGCTTTTTCACTTCCTTCATAGCCTTGCTCTTTCTGAATAAATCAAGCTCTTGGGCGATTTGGGGAGCCGGGGAATTACTTTTCTTTCTCTCGTCTCTCGTCCCGCTCGTACTGCTTCGACTTTTGTTTCTCGCGCGTTTCCCACTTGTGGAGTCGGCTCAGATAGGCTTGTTCCTTCTCTTTCACCTGCTTGCGAAGAAGACGCCGTTCTCGCGCGTCATCGCTGTCTTCTGAGCTGCGGCTGAAAATTTTCAATACATTTCCGACTATTTTTCATAACATAATTCAGTGTGTAGATATTTCTTCTCACAAAAAAGTGCAGAAAAAACACAAAAATTAAATTAATTTCTATAAAGCTGATTTTATACCTTTTCCTTAATTTCTTAATTTTCTTTTCAAAGAATCCTTTCATCTATCTAAGCTCTTTTCAAAGATCACATAGCTTCAAAATTAAATATAAAAATTTTAGATTCCCATTTAGAGATAAATATATATAAGGATGAAATTACATAGGTCCTAAAATAATTTTTTCGCATTCAAAGACAACCTTCCTAAGATTATATCACCGCGCTAATTTCTCACTGAGGCTGAAAATAATTAACTAAAAAAGATTCATATCTATTTCTTTTGAATTTCCCAAGTTTTTACCGTGAAGCGCTCCGATCGCGACGTCGTTTATTACGGACAGGAGACCGAGATCTTGACCTTGAAGAGCTGGACGAACTTCCTGATGAGCCGCTGGATCTGCTGTGCGACGAAGATGAGCCTCCACGTCTTCTTCTCCTGGGAAACATGGGAATAAAGACAAGTAGCTCAAATTTTATTTACATCAGAACTTTAATGTGTGCAAATTTTTTTCAAAAAAACTTTCTTTTCAAAAAAATTATAATAGTTGAAACTTAAACCATCTGCATTTCTGGTGGGAATTAAAAAAAAAAAATGGAGACCAACAGTTTCAACAAATATAGAAGGCTGTCAAAAATTGAAAGAGACCTGCTTTATAAAAACAACGTTTCCTTTTTCAAATGCAGAATTGAACGAGACTAAAAAAATCGTTTGAAACGATACCTACAGCAAAAAGTTTCACCTTCTCAATGATTATTTTCTTTTAATTAAAATGTCAACAACGAGTTTTATTCACACAGTATCAACGTTAGCAGTCCGAAACGAAAGAAAAAAGTAATTTTGTTCTTTTTGTTCCTTTTTGTTGATTTGAACTTTCCATACATCGGCTAGATCCCACCACGGGGTCAGCGAATTGCGGCCTAACTTTTGAAAAACGACCTACTTCAGTACACTTTTTGAATAATATTTTTTTATAATATTTAATATTTTTTTGCAAAAATGCTGGGATGGGATCCAGCCAACAAATGGAGCTTTAAAAAATAATGGTCATGAACGTTTTCACACCTCCTTGGAGTATTACAAAAAACGTTCTCACTTATTTTTAGGGGATCCGGAGCGTGATCGACGATGTTTGTCCCTGACTCTTTCCGGACTTCTCGACCGAGACTTTCGCCTCTTCGTCTCCTCTTTGTCCTGAACCAAGCAAAACTTAGCGGCGAAATGGAGAAGAAATGAAAAACAAAGCGATTTTCATTTTTTCATTTCTCTCTCTCTCTCGTTCATTGTTTAGGAACAAATAATGTGTGTATTTGAATACATGGAAGTACCTTTGGAGAAATAGGACATGAACCCAAAGAATCAATTTGCGCCTTGCAAAACAAAGGCGATTCTTTCGAGCCGACTCAAAACGATACAATTTCTCAAAAAAAGAGACGTGGAAATCGATATAAATATTATAAGAGAACACACAACATTCATCTCATTTTGGGTCTTCTTTTTCCAGTCTCTACACCAATATCCGAAATCGCATGCAAACACAGAAAATGTACGCTAATGAAAACGAATATCCATTTTCATTAACGTATCCCGCCACCAAAGGATATCAATCTATTGAAAAGAGGAACAAAATTGCTCAATTCTTCAAAAACGATATTAAAAACTGAGCGAATTTGAAAATATTCGTTTTTTTTTGTTCTTAGTAACCGACAAAGATAGTTGTTAAGTGTGTTGACTTACGCCCGAGGCGAGAAAATCCTGACAGTATTATCTGAAAATACTTTAAATCAACCAAGACATTTGTTTGAACAGAAAAAAATAATTATGATAGGCAATTTAGATTTTTTTATTTTCACGTTTGGTTAACCACACGCAAAACCATTCCGAAGTATGGGATTTTTTTTTTCAAAGGTAATTATAATCCACATTTTTTTATTGAAAATTTCGAAAACCATACTTCGCAATGCAAAAACCGTTGAAAAAGTCAAGCGAAAGCAGTTATCGACAGCCTCAAACAGATAAACAAGAGAAAGCTGAAAGAGGAGTAAGAAATCGCAGTTGGGAAAAATATTAAAAAAAGCGCAGAAGCTAAATTAAAGGGGCCATGCAGATATAATGAGATATAGAAATGTGAAATGACCTGAAAAAAAGCTTCCAAAAAAAGATCTTGTACATCAAAATTTTCCGTTTTCATGGTATTTTGGGAAAAAAATTCATTAAAAAAATCTTGAACCCAAAATTAGTGCTCATTATGCAAGAGATATCTCCAAAAAAGCTTTTTTTTTAATTTTCAAAGTATTTTCCTGATTCATTTCCAGTGTAAAAATAGGTATCAAAGAAGATTCAAATTTTCGTTGATAATTGACACAAAAAAAATCTTTTCCACAGGGCGCACAAACTCCTCGGCTATTTTGGCTCTTTTAAAAAATGATAATAGGTTTCCTAAATCATAGAACGGCCTAATAAGGGAAAGAAAGGCATTCTCAAGCCGGATATCAACCAACACTACACATCTACCAAACATTGAATGAATAAAAACAATAAATGTAGAAATGATACCCATAAATTGCTGTTCAAGACAACCTGGAATATTCAAAGTTTTGCCGGGAAAATTTGAGAGGAAAATGCCACACTTTTGTTTTTTTTGTTTGGCATGCCACGAAAATTGAAAGAAACTCAAAATTTTTCTAGGAAAGCGCAGGTTTACAAAGGAAATTCGGGAATAGGTGCAGGCATTTTGATTTGAGGACAGTGTTGAGGGATAGTTCAGCACACGAAATACGACAATTGCAAATCAGTGTGAAGACGTCTAGGTGCAATTTTGTGTTTGTGATGGTCTGTTTCGTTGGAAACTCGAGTAATGAGGTCTTAAGGGAAAAAAGGCAGCAAAACTTTATTTTTTGAATAAATATTCATGAATTTCTCAAATTTAACTTCTTCTATTTCAAAATCAATTCAAAAAAGCTTTCGTGATTCCGTTTTTCGACGCAAAATACCCCCGCATTGAATTTACCAAAAACGCATTTTTCTCACAAAATAAAATTCTATTCTCTTTCAAACACAAAACAGACCACCCAATATTCCATAAACAAACGTGGAGTGCAAAAATTTCTTTCCTTCATTTTTTTTTTGTCTTGCTTTTTAAATGTTTCTCTCATCAACCGTTGGTTAGAACACAGGAAAGTAAATGCATAGAAAGTTTAGAATAATAATAAAAAAGCAATCGATCCAACTTACCGTTCTTCTCGGCATTCCGTTTCATAATCCATGGTTGTCTATGATCTATAGCGGGAAAATCAAACAGAAAGGAAATTTATTTGCGAAAATTAGATCAAAAAAAAAAATGATGAATTACCATGGAAATTCGACTCAAAATAAGAAAAAAACTAACCTTCTTTTCTGCTTTCTCAACATCTTTTTTTGACTCCTCCTTGGTTTTCTGTAAGAATTAAAATTGAATACTAAAAGTTTTCCGAGGAAAATTACCTTGGTTTTCTTCGATTCCTTGTCGGAAAGCTCACCATCTGGAATTTTGTTCATTTTCATTTTTCCGCTATAAAAATATCTTGAAAAGGTGCTTAAAGTAGCCTAGGTATGTTTTACTGGAATCTCAAAACAGGGGAACATTTTTTAGTTCATTCTTAATACGAATTGCTACTTTAAATACCAAAAAAAGATTATTTCACAAAACATACCTTCAGCAATGTTAATCAATTCAGGATAGTCGGCTTCGATCCAATTGAGGATTTTCAGACGGACTTCCTCGTCTTTTTTCAAATCTTCCTCGTCGGCTGGAAGCTCGTCTTCTTTCAAAATCATGTCTTTCTTCCCTGAAAAAAGAAATGAACTTTTCTCCTTTTTCTGCGTTAAAAGTACCAAGACGCCTTCTGTGATTTATAGCCCATTTTCTGAGGTCTTCCCGCACTTTATCTTCAGCCTTAAATGCAGATGATTAAATATTAAATCTAAAGTCAAAATATAATTTCACAAAGAAACCTGCACACCACCGCTGATGCAAAAAGAAAAAAGAAGGAAAACGAACTTTGACGACGAGTTTCTTTTCACCAATCTGGAATTCGTTTAGAACACGCAGTGCTCGCATTGTACCAATCGGCTCTACGAAGTTGCAAAATCCAAATCCCTGCAGTTTTCCGTTGGAACCGCGAATTCGCTTCCATGACGACGTTTTTCCACACTCCTTCATGGAAATAACAATATATTCAATTCATAAAAAATGAAAACCTCAAGGATCTTGTACATGAACTCGTCCGTACACTTTTCAGAGATGTTTCCAACGAAAACTGTTGTTGGTTCTTTACTTGGGGCAGCTGCAGCTGCGGCATGATTTACAGGCTAAAAACGCAGCATAATATGATCCATAAAATCGAATCAATACTCACATTTGAGCCTGGCGCTCGTAACACAGGATTGAAATAAACAGACTGAGAAATTGGATAGGCTCCTGGAAAAAAAACGATGTTCAAAGAAAAAAAAAATGAGAAAATTCTTACCAAATGGCACACCATATCGTGGCTGAAATGCCATACTGACTAGATTGACGCAGAACCTTTCACCAATCTGTAATAAAAATGATTATACGTAAATATACAATAAGTTCACGTGAAACAAGGAAATATTTGAAATATAATTTCCAACTTTTTTTCAATGAGAAATTTTTAAAATGACCGAGAGCTCCATAAAAGAAGCTCCAGCGGTATCAAAAAGAAATGGACTGACTTCTCATGCAAGAGAATCCAGGGAAAAGGGCAATCTCGAGAGAGAATCGAACAGCCTCCCACGAAAAAATCGATTTTTTGAAACGCGCCAACGCATGCACCGAGAACACGCCAATACAAGCACGGAGTTTGCGCTAACCAAAATTTGACGCAAGGGGCACGCGCTTCTTTCTCCGCGCTTTTTCAATTTTTCAACTTTTTAATTAATAATTTTTTGAATAATTCATCTTTTCGTGTCAAAAGTTGCTTTTGGAACTCTCAAAAATGTGCGCGAAAATTTCAAACTTTCTCAGGTCTCTATCGTCTTTAAAACTGAGAATTATGTCGTTGACCTTTCATTATATTTTTTCGGTTTCAATAAGTGTTTGTTTTTTCCAGCAATGAGTACAACAGATGATGATCAAGGCTTGGACGTTGTTGATGTCGGGGATGCGTATATGGGAGACGTGAAGGTTCAAGTTCAATATCCACGAAGTCGCTCTAATACAATTAGTTTAGCTCGAGTTCAATCCAACTGAAACGAAAAGAAACACCGGCGCGAGGTATTTGTGTCCGTACGGCTGTGGAAAGTTGGTGGCTCTTCGGACGATAGATTATCATAAGAACAATGGGGTAAGTTTTGGCTGTAATTTTCAAAATGACAAAAGTTTTTCAGTGCGGCCGAAGAATGAACGAATCTTTGGTCACAAATCCAGACATAAAGAAGCGTTACTATTGCTGTGGCGTTTGTTTTACGGAATTCGTGACTCGTCAGGAATTCCATGCACATCTTCGCATTGAACACGACGTCCATCCGGAGATTCATCACGTCAATTTCAAAGATCGCGCTACTTTTGACGTATTTATTTTTTTGAAGCGTTTTTGAGTACAAAAATGGTTTGAGAGATTTTTGCGTTGGCTTGAAATGGAGGGCGGAGCTCATTTCCGTCATAAATCCGGATCGAAAAGGCGTGGACGAGGCAAAGGGATTTTTCTCGCTTGCAACAGGTTGGACGTCATTGAAGTTTTGATGTGTTCAGGTTTTTTAGGGTCTCAAAAATCTAATATAATGGTTCAATCAGTTTTTGAAATGCCTTCTTTCGCATTTGGTTAGTTTTTAGTTTAATAGAGGGCTGGTAGTTTTTCTTGAACTATTAAAAAACATAATTTTCAAAATCGAAATATTCAAGTTCCATTGGTGAACATTTAGAATAAGTTAGAATCATTTTTTGAATACAATTTCGCGCAGTAATTACTTTTATCATTTAAAATTTCTTTCTCAAATAATGAAAGCCGAAAATTTCTACTGAAATGGCCTACAGAAGCGGCTACGTGAGCAGCTCCTCGAACAGTGACCCCGCCAGGGACAGAACCGGACCATTCCGACTTGGGTTTTCGTGTACCGCTTTCGTGCATGGAACCGAGCACGAAGATGGGTTCGTTTTTTTTCCATCGAAAAAATAAAATTAATAATTTTTCAGTCACGTCAGCGCAGACGTTTGCGGTGATCACTACGGTCATGATTCTCGAATGCGACTTCCAAACGTAAGTTATTTTTTTTTGAAGCTGTAGAAAGTGAATCATTTTTTTCAGGTCATCAAGTACATCATCGGCCAGAAACAGTTGGATGGGGAGCCTTCCTCAGATATTATCGCATATTTAAGAGGTTTGTTTCTGAAACAGTAGCCATTTTTTTCAAACTGAAATGAACGGAAAAAAAGAGATATATTTTTTTCTAGCTTCTGGAAATTATGGTTCTATCAGTAGAATTTGCTGTAAAAGTGCTGAAATTTCAAAAAAATAAAAAAAGATAATTTTCTCTTAAGTTTATATATATTTTTTTCAAAAGATTCCGCTTCTGTGTTCAAATTTGATCCTCACGAAATGATTAATTTTAAAAAAAGTAGTTTTTTTGGGTGAAAAAGTTCAAAAATGGAAAATTTTGAGGTTTTTTTCAAAAGTTTGAAAAAGAGAATTCAAGTTTTTCAAGACCATTTCAATTATTTTAGTAAAGCACATTATTGACTTTTTTTATACACTAAATGAGTAGAAGGATCCCTTTGTAGGGCCCGGGAACCCCTATAGGGACCCCTACAAGTTTCTCACTTCGTTTTATTTCAAATTAAAGTGGCTTTTTTTAAATTTTATGTTTAAAATCAACGTTCAACGATATATCTTTCCTCAAATTATTCTAAAAAGCTTAATTTCCAGACCATTTCACTCAATTTGCATCGGAGAATATTTTCGCTCAACGGATTTGTTTCGTCGACAATGAAGAGTTGAAGAATATCTACGCCTGCAACACGAAAAAGTTGCTTTTTCTGGAGAACTATAGAAAAAATAAGGAAAATAGGTGGGAAACGCGAGGAGTTCCAACGGGATGCGAGATTTGGGAGGAAGAATTGTTGGATCGGGCCGGAATCACCAGAAACGGCGCTCAACGGCTCAGGGCCTACAACGAGAAAACCACTCAGGAATTGGCGTTGGATGAGGTTCAGATTAATTACTGTCAGAGTGGGAAAAGTCATGAAAAACTTAAAAATTATGCCTCGATAATTTTTTTGATTTTTTTCCACATTTTCAAAAAGTTGTAAGTCCTCATAAAAGTGGCAATTTTGAGTTAAATTCGCTTATTAGGGGACATTTTTGATAACTTACTTCTATAACTTGAAAACGAGATCTATTGCGAGATATTTTTTTTTTCTCGTTCCCTGGTTAGTGAATTTTATTAATTTTTCTCCAGTGAACTATTTTTTCAATCACATGCAGTCTATTGTACAATTTAATGGCTTGAAAATTTAAATAGAAAGATTTTACGTTTTTTCATCTAGCTCGGGCTCTTTCCGACACGTTTCTTTTGCAAATTTTCTGGCGTAACCTGGTTTTTTTCTTGTTTTGTCTCTTTTTTTTCACTATATAATGGTAAAAGAAAAATGCAAGAATTTTCAATTTTCGGTATTACAAAACCATTCTAAACAGGAAAGGGTACTTTCTAACGAGATGAATTGAAGGATTGGCCGAGGCCGCGAGTTTTCGTGGCGAAGATCCGCTCGGAATCCGGGATGCTGGTCCCTCTGAGCGACCCCCGACTGCAAGACTGCGATTCCTCCGTCCAGGCCACCTACTTCTCTCATCAACCCGCTGTCGACACTCGATACGTCGAGATGGAAGAAGTTGTTCGTTTTATTTTGAATCCCTCTTTAGAAGAGAATATGTGGAAAAAGTTTTCGAAACCAGGAAACTTTAATTATTTCTTATTCAAATTAAAGAGGTCTTCTTTAAAAATTCTTTCATTTTCTGAATTTTGGCTTTTAAAAATGAGCCGAAGGTGAACTTCTGGTTGGACTAGAGTTTTCAATTTTAGCTTTTCTAATTTAGTTTATAATATATTCATTTTAAACATTCAAAAAAGGCAATAAACCTTGAAAATTTAGGTCTTTTTCTCGATTTCAATTTTTGAGTTTCGAAGGGATTTATTTATGAAAAAAAGTTGTCTTTTTGACTATAAGGCTATTTTAATATGGTATCAATACAACAAAATTGTTTTTTTCGAGTATTAAATTAGAAAAAAATCGATTTGAAGGAGTACGCGGACGAGAACTTTGAGCACATCGAAGAAGAAGTGATCCAGGACGGGGCTTATGAAATGAAAGCAAATGATGATGGCTTGAAAGTGCCGGTGAATGTCATAAGGTGGGAGGAAAAGATAGAACTTTGGAGAAAGGTTTGATTTGAAGAGAAGAGCAAGTCGAAACGGTGGTCCGATCTTCCCATGATCATGCCGTCGATGAACCCCAGACCATCACCGTCGAGACGGTCGATGGCAAGGAGTACGAGGAATACGTCAGGGCGGATGGTCAGTTTCTGTTTTTTTTTTTCGAGGAGCGATTTTAGTTGAGATACAACTTCAAAGTTGACGAAAATACTTTTTTATTCAACGATGAAATCAAGCGTAAAAGAGAGACATCCCACTTGAAAGAATGGATCCAAAATGGCATTTTTTTTTGGAAAAAATGGATTTTGATTGGAAATTTGAGATTTACCATTGAAAAACTCATGGGAAGTGAAGTTCATAATTGGAATTTTAAGAAAATATACCACATTCAGGAACTCCAGAGTGGTCCCTATAAGGGCCCTTGAAGGTCCTCTTTAGCGACCACTTTACCAACCCCTATAAGGGCCACTAAAGCTTGCAAAAGTGGTTCCTATAGGGGACATTCAAGTCGATGATTGTTATGAGCCCTACAACCATTTTGAATGAAGTGGAAAGACCTCTATAGGGACCCCTTCAGCTTTCGAGGTTTTTTTTAGTGGTCCCTTTAGGGACATCTTTTTCGGCCATTTTGGGAGCTGCTTACCCTCTAACCCCTTAAGGGACCACTCGAGAATCCCTAAGTGAAGGCTTTTTTGATGCTTAAATATTTTTTCTTCAAACTTTTTGTAAGTTCCTAAAATATTCACAATGAGTTTTATTTTTTAGGAACGGAAATGCAAGTTGTACTCGAAGAAGACGTCTCCGGGGGCAAGCATTCCAGTGGGATCTTTTTTCTTTTGTCTTTGCCTTTTCAAAGAATCATATAATTTCTGGTCTTCAGTGTACATGGAAACGATGCAAAACGGCCACGCTCAGAATGAAATCGGCCAACATAACTTGACCGACCAGATTCTCATTGAACTCGATGAGTTCAGGGAAACTTTGATTGTAAGTCCTTTAAAACTCTCTAAAACGAATTTAAAAACAAAATTAGCACTTCATTTAAGTTTTATTCTCTTTTTAGAGGCTTGAAAAAATTGAAATTTAGAGAAACCAGCTCTTGGACATTGGTAACGCGAAGCGGACGTTTCCGGGCATTTCTAGTGACCACTTTAGTATCGTCAGCACTCTTAAGTGATCCCTTGAACCGCTCAGAAACGTCCGTTTCGCTTTACCAATGTCCGAGGCAGTCACAAGATTTCTAGAGTTGAAGAAAAAATTTCACTAGTGAAACATGAGAATGATTAATTATCTTCTTATTTTCTTACTGTGAAAGAATAATCATGAATAAAACAAAAATAGCCCTTGAAGTGATAAAGCGATTTTTTTGGAGCAAAACGCTTTTCTTAAGCTGATTCTAGAATTTTATATAATATTCTATACATTTCTAGTCTCATTACGTCATAGGGATCATGTGTGAAGGTGTTAAAACGTGCTCTATTGAGTATATATGATCAACCTGGATTTATGCAGGAAAAACGGGCGACCGGAGTTTCCCTGGCCACCCTAAGGTCTTCCTACGTCAGACTTCGCTCCATCCACAGCGCCCTTATCAGTGATAAGCCCGGCGAAAATGCAACCGTGATATATCCGCAGGACGGACGGGCCAGCTACAGGCCTGGCAGAGGTTTGTTCCGAGCAGAAGAATCCTGGAAAAATCCGTTTCAGTGGCCTCTTCGGAACATGAGGAACTCCGAAAGTTGTACAGTCGAGGCGACGTCACTCTTTTGCCTATTGAGGTTGGTTTCGAGCATACAAGGGATAGTTTCGGTTGTACCTGAAAAAAAGGGGCTGGGGTGGGGGATTGGAAAAATACCTTTAAAAAAATAAAGAATTCATTTTTTTAAAGTTCAATTGACTAGAGTTTGTCCCTCTAGGGGTCTTTTCAGTCTAATTCATAAGAGTTATCGACTTGCATATCCTCTATAGGGCCCACTAATAAAAATTCCTATAGGTACCACTTTTGCAAGCTTTAGTTGCCTCTTTAGGGGTTGGTAAATTGGTCCCTCAAAGGCCCTAAGGTTGCCCCTATAGGGACCACTCTGCAGTTCCTAGTTATACTTCAAATGTGTCATGGTCCTTGAAAATTTTTAACAAGGGTTCTCACAACTACTGAGAAATTTCAGGACGAATTGAGCGACGACGAGCCGCTGGCGGCAACCGCACGTCACGGTTTCAACTACAATCCAAATTTTTGGAGTTAGCTGCCGCTTAACTCATAAAGATCGCTGTTTTCACCTTGTTGTCATCCTTTTCTCAGAAATTCGCACATTCCGGTATTCCCTTCCAATACAGTCACTACCAATTTATCAATCTCATTATGATTTCTACTCGCTGTATTCTAACAACCTTGATCTCATATATATATATCAAAAATATTTATATCCGTATCTTTTCGATCATAATTCTGTTAGCTATTCTCACAATTTTTCGAATGCGGGGCATGTATATTTTTTTCGATTTTGATAAAGTTTTCAATTTTTTTGAAGTCTTTTTGGTGCAATTTCACTCGTTTTTTTATCGAGTTTTTTTATTGGGCTTTTTTTTATTTGGTGCGATTTTTGATGGACCTATTTTCGAAGTGATGAGAAGTCTTTGATAAGTTTTCCAGAGTAAGATATCAATTGAATTGGACAGGAAAATTTTTTATTTCCGTATAAAGTGTGCCTTTTTTTTCGACGAAAATCCTCACTTCTTGTTGTAATTTTGAGCCAATTAGTGTTTTTTATAAGGACTTTTTTCAGGAAGATTTTGATAGGATGAAAAAATTAATCGAAGTATTTTTTAATTTTCAGGAAAATCGCGAAAAATAGCTTTGTTGTAAAAGCCTAAAACCCCTGTGATAAAGAAAAAAATGAAACTCTAAAAAAATTGTTTCAAGTTTTTTTGAAAAGAAGTCCTTCTTCGGGTCTCAACATGAAACTCAGAAATTCGCCAGAAAATGGCGTGTCGAAACCTCCTGACCAACTTGAGCCGACTCTCCTTGAGAAGTGGGGCTCAGCCCGGCGTCTCGTCGGTTGCTCCGTCCTTCCGGAGCTTCGGAACGTCGTCGGCCGCCCTGGACAGCATCAGAGACAATCATCGGCAAGGCACTCGGGTTGTTGGACCTGCTGCTGTTGGTTTTTTTGAAAGAATATGCTTGAAAAATATATATCAAGACTTTTTTTATGATTTAAAAATTTTTACAGTAAATCTTTTTAATTTTTTTAAACTTTTTCGAAAAGGGACCCTGGAAAGTCTTTTTTTTCTCAAACAATTTTTTTCGATGGGAAAATGTTCTTTTTTGAAACTTGTAAGCTTTCGCTCGAATAATTTGTTCTCTGATACATCAAAGAAAAATAATATTTCAGAAGCCAACCGGCTTTTTCTTTCCTAGACACGAAAATCTGCTTCTTTGATAATTTAAACAAAAATTCCACTGCATTTATTCGAAGAAAGAAAAAAAGTTTCTTTTCCAGGAAGTGATGGAAGGAACGACCGGCGCCGGAGTCCAAGTTCCAGTGAACATGAACTCTTTGGAGTCCCGGCTCCCCACTTCGGAAACCTTGAAACAGGAATTCGACGGAGTTCCGTTTTGTGAACTTCCCATCGTCTACATCAAAGCCACCAAGAACAACACGCTGGTTCAAGTCATGGACTATAAGGTCATCAAAAAGAAAGAAGAAATTGTGAACCCTAAAGCTTCAGAATGAAGATGTGATAACGTATACATCTTGTCGACTGGAAGGCTTCAAAAATGCCCGGAAAAAGACGACGATTGCGGGTCAAACGACGGGTGTCGCGGCGGGACAGCGGCTGGTCCGAAGAGGCGTCACCACCGTCAGAGTGCAGGTCTGTTTCAGTTCCATTTTAAGTTCGAGAGGGTTAAAGTTCTCAGGAATTTCAGAGTGGTCCCTATAAGGGCTGAAAAGAAAAACAGCTCTTATAAGGCTCGAAAAAGTGGTACCAATAAGCGTAAAATTTAGGTGGTCCTTATAGGTGTTAGGGGAAGTGAGAGCCTATCAGGGCGTTGCTCCTTTAAGGACCACTCTGAAGTATTTAAGTCTGGTCAATTTTCCTCTTTTTTCGAATTTATCAACAAAAACAAGAAAAACAGAGAAAATTTTCTGTTGATTCAAAAAGAAAGCGAAAAAGCCGAGATTGGAAAGTTTTCCAGTAACTTTTCTACCATCTTAAAAACGAATAAATGCATGATTAGAGTGGAATTATAATATAACGTGCATCCATCACTTTGAACAGGGTATAAAGTTCGCTCAAGTAACTTTCAGCCGCATCTTTTAGATTATTGAGTTGAATTTGAAGAGAACTCCACACGAAAATAATCTCGTTTTCAGAGACTTCTCGTTTCTATGAATCTTGACTCCAAACTGATCAGTTTTTTTTTCCAGGTGAAAGGCCTCGGCCCAGGCCGAATGACCTGCGTGAAAGGTTTGACGGTGGCCGGCGTCAAAGTCGTCAGTATCACCGACCATACGCCCCTCGCAGAACTTGGGCCCAGACCCAAGAAAATCCGAAGAATTTGAAACTTTCTGTTATCTGTGATTTATGTGGTATTCTAGGTTCTAGCCCTTGTTTTCTTTGTTCCTCCTTGTTCTTCCCTCTTTGCTTCCAAAACGAGAAAAAAATATTTATTTTCAAGTGAATATGTGAAGTGAAATGGAGTACAAGTGTCTGGATTATTTACATTGAAGTCAAAAAAAAAGAAATCTCGTTTGGAGGGTCGACCCGAATGGAGAAGAATTTTAAGTTATAGAGAAAGCTTTGAATCAAAATTTTCGATATTATATTTTGAAGAGAAAAGGCAAAAAAAAGCGTCGATATAAAGTATTCGAAAAAATCAAACGCTAGCCACGGGATTGGTGTTTCCTTTGGGATCACTGGAATCCGAGGAAGAATCGTAGCGATTTTCCTCCCGTTCCTTTTCGGGAAGAAGAGCCGTAGTGAACTCGGTGCCTCTCATGTAGGTCGCCCCATTTTTCGGCTTCTTTCGATTCCGAATCGACGTCGTCAGAATGCTTTTCGGAACGTCTGTGGTGGGGCTTTCGGTGTCAGAGTCGACGTTCTGTAATTATAACGAGATTTTGAGATAAAAACTTATTTGTTCAATCAAAATTGATTCAAAAGGCCGTGTTTCACCGGAATATTTTTGCACGGTGTTTTTTTCATTACGCAAGGTCATGACTTTTCGTAAATTATGATGCTTAGGGTGTAAGCACACCGAGACGCAATATCGCATACTCAAAATGTTTTTTTTTCAATTTTAGAATTTGCGATTTCAGGATAATAGTCCTGAAATGTTCGAAATTTGTCAGTTTGAAGAATATGATGTGAAATAAACATTCACTTACGTTAAAAAACATTTAGGAACGATTTCAAAAGGGGAAAACTCTAAATTACTGATTACAAAGTAAAAACAAAAAATAATATGTAGGTGAAGCAGCTCCCATTGAATAAGCATTTATAAATACGAAAAAAATATTGAAATGAGGAAAAATTCGAGGAGCAAATGAAAAAACATTTTATATACCTCGAAAACCTAGCTTCAGAAAAAAACAAATAATGGATAGAAAGCAGAAATTTTTAGAAAAAACCTCGTATGGCGAAATTTTTGTTTAAATCTGAAAAACCATCAAAAAAACTAGAAAAATATAATTTAGATGATTCATATATCAAAATCATTAAACTGCATCAGCAAATTCAATTGGGCTCTAATTTACGCGAAACCGGTTTTTAAAACTACGTCAAAGGAACTAGATAATAACTTTTTATTATTAACTGATTAAATTAAAAAAACTATAGTTTCCGAAATAGAGTGACTCTTTTCATCACTAAGAATAACTGACGAGATAAACGCGAGCTCGGTGGCGGTACATTGACTAACTCGCAAAAATGTCGCTTTTTTCTAGGCGCGATCCCGCATTTCTCTCGGCGCGACCTCGCATTTTTCTCGGCGCCATCTCGCATTTATCTCGCATTTCGGAAATTTTCAAATTGCGAGAGAAATGCGAGCTCGCGCCTAGAAAAATGCGAGCTCGCGCCCAGACAAATGCGAAACCGGCGCGAGAAAAAAAGCGAGATGTTTGCGAGCTCGTCAATGTACCGCCAGTGTCTCGCGTTTATCTCGGCAGTTATTCTTAGTGATGTCGCGAAACAGATTTCAAAATTTTGAAAAATTAGGACTTTTAGAAAAATCTTCAGCTCTTTTGAGAAAATAGTTAAAGATCTGAAACCGGTTTAGAAAAATGCGCAATTAAAAGCTCCACAAGATGTACCCATAGAGAGGCGGATCACATAAATGCAAGAAATAGAAAAAAGTAAAAAACCAAGGAAAAAAGTGAAGAAATTCAATTTTTGCATCAGAAACCATGAGAAGGGCGCAATAATGCGCCATGGATAATATGCCGCTGGGACCCAAAATTTCGCATTTTTTTTCATTGCGCGGAACACCGTGTTTGGCCGCCGTAGAAAATTTTTTTGGCGTGAGATATGGATTCAAAAATCAACAGAAATTTATATGATTAGGTCCTTTTTTCAAGACATTTCTGGCGTTTTTCTTTCTCATTTTTAAATTTAATGACATAAAATTGAATTTTTTTTTTTTGAATTTGTTAATCGTAATCTTCAGTCTTGCAAGGTTTTATGACGTTCTTAAGGCGCCAAAACTTGTCGCTAAGGTTAAAAAAAAAGGTAAAAATTCATTTTCTGTGCTAGGATAAATGGACATTCCGCGAAACTTGTCATGATTTTTATTTTCCTCCGAGAGACAGAACTCTTTCCTCTAAGCATGTAATTTTTATTTGGCCTGAAATTTCCGTTACGTTAAAGGCGCATATACAGAGAAAGGCCGCGCGTACCAAAGAAAAGCTCGGACGGAATGAAAAATGGCGCGGCTGCACACCATTTCCAATTTCCAACAAGTCGGGTCGACGATTCGAACTTCCCCTTGAAGACTAACCTTCTCCTCGATGCCATAATAAGCCTTCCAGAGGGCGTAGACGAGGTCCGTTGCGAAAATGACGCCGGCGTGGCCAGAGACCATCCGAAGGACGAAGACGCCGTCTCGGTGGAGGTAGTGGTCGACGAACTTTGTCAGTTCCCGCGAGGATTCTCAAATATTATTCTGAGGTTAGTGATTGTTCTATTATTGGAACTATTGTGTTTTTTTCCTCTAAAATTTCAGCCAATGGCTTCTTATATAAAAACCAAAAAAACAAAATCTAATTTTTTTCAAATATTTTGAAGGTAACAAGCTTCAGGGGAATGTCGGATGTTAAGTTTTCCAAGATAAAAAAATTTTTAAAGTTTTTTTCCTTCGAGCTCACATTTATTCTTCATTGAGCTCGAATTTTTGTTCTTATTTGTGAAGTCTTCGTTTCAAAACTGTTTTCACAATAATCAGAAGCATATATTCATTAATAAGTACCCTCTGAACATTCGCGAAACTGAAATATCCCTTTAAAGTTCATTTTTCGCCTTTCCTGAAAGAAAGCAGTTCTCAACTTTTTCAAAATTCTCTTGTTTTATCTTTCTATCTCGGCCAATAAACCATAAAAGACGCCAGGAAAATGTTCAAAGCGTTTTTCAGACTCTTCTCATTTTTTTTTCAAATTTCGAGCCGGAAAGGAGTTTCTCACTTGCGCTTTCAGGAACGTAGTTGTTCAAGGCGCTCAGCTCAAGATGCTGCGAGATGAACCAGCGGGAGAAGCAGGGGAAAGCGATCAGAATGAACCACTGGATGAACGAGGCCGCCGTCGCCAGCAACAGGATCAGGTACCTCAAAAGTTTGACTTTGGCCAAGCCAAAAGGACTCTTGAAACTGAAAAGTTCCAGAATTCAACAAATTTTTCAAAACTTCACGTTGTTTTAAAATGATATGATTTCAACATTTTGAGAGAAAAAAAGGGGATTCGTAAAATTCCATTTAAGGGTTCACTCATTTAGGGTTTTTTTATCAGTGAAAAACACACTTTAGGGTACCGTAATTATTTGAAATCACTTTTCTTTCCGCTTCTCTGTTTTTTCTATCCTCACGGCCCCGGTTGTGAGGCCGGGTTCAGCGAGCTGGGTTTGTTTTCTTCACTGAAGCGACCGCTGCCGCCGACAATTTCGACCCACATCACCGCGCAGCCGACTCCCGCCGACTTGCGCGCGCTCCTATCTCTCATCATTCTTCCGAACTTTCTCTTCTTCCATTCCCGCACTCACCAAAACCACAGAAGCACAAAAATCGTCTCATTGAAAATATTGATGACCAAGACGCATTGAACCGAGTATTTTTGGATGTTTGCCACTTGACGGACCTGAGTTGCATTGTTTTATTTTTTTGGGAAATGAGGATTTTCAAACCTCGAAATCGCAAACGGCCGCTCTTGGGAAATATCCGCTTCTTTCCCATTGAACACCGCTCAGAATATCACGGACCACGTCGAAACCGTACCATCTGTAGCGATTCGTGCGAAGAAAACTGAAATTTTTTCGAGTTGAAATCGATTTTTTTTAGTTTTGAGGTCTCACTAGTTCATCAGGTAGAGTTGCAAGATGACGTTCGCAAAGTAGATGCCTTTTGTGAGCAAATACATGGCCGAGATGAATTTCGGCGAGAATTGGCAGTTTAGGCATTTTATCGTCTTGTGGACTGTCACCTGGAATTTCGTGAGATTTATTTTTTTCATTTCAATTAAAAAAATAAAAAAACGTCATTTTGGTTTTTATTTCGATTATTAAAAAAATCATATCAATTCCCTTTTATAGTGGTAAGCAGTGGAACGTTTTCAAATATTCAACAAGATTCAAAAAAAGTTCCGATTTTGCAAGTTTCTTACGATTTTAAGAATTCCTAATCAACTTTCAGTAGTCGCAGAAAATATTTAAACCAAAAAAAAATATATATTCACGAAAAACCGATTATATTCAGTAAATGCGAAAATAGCTGATTTTTTGCAATATTCAAAGACTTTCGTGTACAATTGAGACAAGAATTATTTTAAGATGCTCAATTTTTGAAAAACCTACATTTTTCTTCTGAAGCCTTCGCTGGAATCTCAAGGCATTTTTGAGGTGTCTGACGAGAATGTCGATATTTCTGGCCTTGACTTCCTCTTCGACATTTCCAGTATCCTTTGCCTTTTTCACCACTTCATGGATTCGAATTCCTAAAGGGTATCGATTTAAAAACGTACACCTCAGGAGAAATAATAAAGAGGTACTGTAAATTTAGAATCAAGTAGTTAATTATAAAAAAAAAGTATTCGGAAAATATCAGAAAGATGATAATTGGAGTAACTAGGGGTCTTACATTTTTTAACTTGATTTTGCACTGTAAACGTTGAAATTAACCTATACAGTATATGTTAATTTCAACGTCTGTAACCTCTGAAAGAAGTTCAACACTGACCCGAATGGTTTGAAACGTATTTCCATAAATAGCTAGGCGCTCGGAAGAAAGCCGCTTGAAGCAGAAGGAAGAACGGAACCCATTGATAGTAGGACAAGGCTCGTTCCGGTGTGTACCTTGAAGGGATGGTTTTTAGGATTCAGAGGAAAAATCTGTCTCAAGTCCGGTTTGAGAGTAGAGAAAGGGTCAATTTGCCTAGTCTTCCAGGAGGGAGTTTTTTTTTATTACTTCATTTAACTAACAAAGGAACCCATTTTATTTGCGGTTTGGATTTTCTTGAAAATTGGACAGAAAACTCTTTGATATATCAGAAAAATAGTTCTGAGAGCCTCAATCAATTTTCTACATTCCGAGAACAGACGAGTTCAAAGAAAACGCTCAAAAATCCGTTAATTTGGAGCTTTAGACCCTTTTTTCTTGAAAACTAGGAAGTTGTGCGGGTTGAGACTTCCAGAATCTTCTTCTAGTACATCAAGGAGATTTCTGGGCAATTTTCAGGAAATTCTAAGTAAAATGACCTTCCCTGTAGGTAGCTTTGATTTTCGCTTATCATTCCGAAGATGAATGGTTCAAATTTAACTAAATACTGAAAAAATAAGTTCCGAAAAATACCTGGATTCGGCTTTCAAGAGCTCGACGTGCTGTGTCGGCTCGACGAAGTAGGTGTCCTGGGACCAGCAGTAGTTCTCCGCGTACTGAAATTCGTTTTTAGATGATTTATGATTTTTTTGTTCAAAAGCTAAATTTTTTTCAAAAAAAGATCTTTCCGATTCCTAAATTAACCTTATAAGAACGTGAAACTCATTCAGTGGGAATAACTTTTGCAAAAGTAGCAATGAATTGAGATATCTTTTCAGTTATTCAGTGTTTGTAACAGGAATAATTCGAAAAAAAAATGTCGAATTTATTTCGAATGGAGCGCATTTTCTCTTTGATATTTATAGCGGTTTCCCGATATTTTCGTATGTTTTCCGAGAAAATATTTGTTTTGAAATTAGAATTATGACTTTGTTGAAAGGAAAATTAGTTTTTTGCTCTTTAAATTTTTAATTCTCCGTATAGCGCAGTTTCATCGAGTTAAGAGGCTATTTTTCCAAATAATTTTGTCTTTTTTTGTCGAGTTTTTTTTTTCAAGTCCACAACTTTCATTTTCTTCGATTCTATCCGGCTATTTTTTTAAATTTATTTTTTGGAAATTTTATTCAATTCTTGATTTTTTGGTCATTTTCCTAGCCTCTAAGGCTGCTTCTCATGAATATAGCTGATTCACGGCTAGCTAAGGGGCGTGGCCTGTCTGCGCTCTCCACGAGCCAGGCACTGTCTCATCGTGTCAGGACTCTTTTTCGATGGCACAAATCAGTCGGGAATCAGCTATAAGAGTACCTCAAAATTCATTTTGTCTACCCTTTTTATGATAATTTATAAATTGGCTCAAATGTACTTTCTAGAGGGTTCGTGCTCAGAATCTCAAAACTTTTCTGAAAAAAGCATTTTCCTTGAGACTTTTTCTGAAGATGGAAAGCGTCTAACTTGTTCCCAGCTGCCCGGAAACTTGTTGGGAAACATGCACTCGATAGGTCGTCCTCCGAACTGTTTGAAGGAGATGAGGACAGAAAAGGCGAGGAGAATATTCGGTGTGACGAGGTAATTAAGCCTATCGGACCAGTCGTCGTCCTCCCGCGGCGACAGATACCGAGCCATTCCGAGGAATGTTTCGATCATCATTCCGGCCCGATTTTTGCACTTCTAGGCCCGCTTAAATTGAAACTTCTGAGGATTATCAGAAAATAGAACGATGTAAACGCGGAAAAAGTAAATTCTAATAGGCTTGAAGATAACGTAGAAAGAAAAAGGAATAATTTTTCTGAAAAAATATAAAATTATATGAGAAATGTGTATTCAATGCTTCCGCATAGGCTTTTATATACGCCCTAATGAACTGATAATTAATTTCGAGGCAGAAAATTACCTTTTTTTTTTATAAAATTCCCTTCTGACGCACAAGTATTCGTTCAAATGATCTCAATTAAAGGCTTAATTACCAAAAAAAAAGATCTTTGTACTGCATTTGGGTGAATTTGATGATGAAATAAAGGAATTTTAAATAGAAGAAGCTTAAATATGTAACTGAATTTTCAAAATTGAAGGTTCAGGAAAATGAATAAAGAGGGCATTATTTCATTTTCCCATTTCAAAGGTGATAGATAAGGTGAGAATTTGATGGGGATTCACTTGGAGAGTTTAAAAAAAATGGTTAGATGAACAGAAGATGGCTGATTTTTTTGGGTATTTGAAGTTATTTAGGGGCAACTTTAGGGGCTCGTGGAGGGTCCCTCTAGGGACCACTTTACCAACCACTATAGGGGCCACTAAAGCTTGCAAAAGTGGCCCCTAGAGGGGACATGCTAGTCGATAACTGTTTGGAAATCTATGCGAAGAAGCATTTCCATGAGAAATAAGTTTTAAACAAAAAGTCAATCATACTCCTTAACTTTCGATAAAAATTTTCAGTTTACCGATTTTTCTTTTGAAATCAAAGCAAAGCTATGAAAAATTTTCGAAATTTCATTGAACGCAAGAAAAATCGATCAATGAGCAAGGTATATCGAGAAGAAAACGGATTAGGTTCCAACTTTTTGATTTTCTGATCAAAAAAGTAGACAGAACACATCAAAAGCTCTTCAAAAATGACACCTAAATGTTGAAATGAAGCAAAAGCTTGGTTAATTACGTCGACATGTGGCGGCCGCCATGTGTTTTCACGCCTCAAAACTCTTGCAAATCCGTCGTCACCTTTTATTATTGTTTTTGTTGCTGTTTCCGCGGTCTTTGATAAGTTATCCACTTGTCAATCATTTTCGCGCCTTTTGAACAAAAAAGCAAGAAAAATAAATAGATCATTCATCAGTTATAATCAGCAAAACTGGTCATTTTCACTAAACTGGGAAAATTTTCAGTGGCCACTATAGGGGTTTGACGTCTTAGTGGCCATTATAATAGTCAAATTGGTGGCCCCTTAAAGGGTTAAAAATCAGTGGCCACTATAGAGGTCTAAACGCTACTACTAGACCACTTAAGTTTTTGTGGCCACTTTAGGGGTCAATGGATCAACATAACTGATCCAAACTGTTTGTTTCAAGATTATCAGAGTTACTGGAAGGAATACTGGATGAAAAATTACTGAAGTGGCCACTAAAACGGAAATAGTGACCACTATAGAAGTGGGTTAAGTGGGCACTTTAGTGTCCTCTCCAAGTAGTCCTTGGCGAGCCTCTATAGTGGCCACTAAAATTTTTCCCAGAAGAGACATTTTTTTCAAGAAGGGAAGCATTTTAACAAATAGATATTAGGCAAATTCTCAGAATGGGAGTTACTCTGAATGAATTCTAATGTTATCCAGCTTAGGTCGTCGTGAAAAACAGGCGTTGGTTTTTGGTTTGAATAAATTAATGTTGGATGAACAAAGTTATGAGCTTCAGTAGAGCCTAAACTTTTAATTAAAGGACGTCAAGTTCTCAGAATCCACTGAATATTCTTTCTTCAAGCTTCAAGTTGTTGAACTCGAGTTTCAAGGTAGTTATAAGAAAATACCAAGTTATTTTCCTTTTTGAGTTGAAGGTTTTTTTTTAAACTTTTTGATTTCAGAGTAAATTGTAAGGTAAAAAAGATCTTATCCATCAGAAACTCGACGAATATTCAGAGAGAACTGTGCGAAAGCTCTAAAATCTGATTTGAAATACCTCAGAAACGTATTTTAGAAAGGTTTTTTGATTAGCTGAAGATTATGAGAAAAAAGATTTCATTTTTGAAATTTTCAAGCGAAAAATGGAAAAAAAAACTATGCCAAAACTCTACAAAATGGCTCGAAAGACCTTAGAAAACAATGGGAATGGCTTGAAAGACGGGGCAATAAAACGACCGAACAAACAAATGAGCAAACCCCATATAAAGAAACTTTTTTGGACGATTCATTCCAATTTTCAAGGTTCAAACACCGATATTTTACAAGTATAAGCGGGGAACAAGTTGAATGGAAATTGTTGACGAGCTCGAAAAGACTCGCCTTTGAGCGGAAATTCCGGTGCACAACGCGTAAATATACTATTGAAAAAGGTGTGTATCGCTAGAGAAGAGAAAAAGAAGAAGAAAGTGGTCAAGAAGTTCGAAAAGTTCAAGCTTGAAAATGAGAAAAACTTAAGTAATGATCTTTTTTTCAAAGAAAAAAAGGGATCCTAAATTTTTTTGTTCATTTTTTTCATATATTTATTTTCTATGAATGTTCATAAGCTCTTAAAAAAGCCTATTTCAAGCCAGAAAAAAACTTGAAATCGAGCTTCAGCTTTTTGAGCAATGCTGGAAATGAAGAGCGTCTCATATTACACTTCCAAATTGGCTCGATTCTAAAGGATAATCTATGAAGATTCCAATTTACCTTTAGATTGAGGACTTAAAAATGTGAAAATAGACCTCGGGCAGGTTTCTTCTCAGAAAAAAGCCCATTTTCTCAGATTTTCGCGCGCAAACGCTTCTGTAAAAGGACCGGTAGCATTAGAAGCAATGGCAAATAATCGGACACGGAAAATCGAGAAGCCTTTTCATTTTGAGCTAAAACAGAACAGAACTTCAAAGAAATCAAAAATGCAGGTTATTGTTAGAAAATTTATTATAGTCTCAAATAAACTTTTCAAAAAAGATATGGGAGAGAAAACTTTCCTAGTTGAAAAATCTAGCGTGAGTGAATTTGGAATGGCTTGAAGCGTCGCGGTCGCGTTGCGGATGGAATCAGGTTGAGGACCGGCTTGAAGCCTGGCAGCTTCATCTATCAGTTTCCCACAACTTTGAGCGCAAGTCGTTTTGGGTCGGGTGCGAATTGAAGCTTACGCGTCTGATCATTTTCCATGCGGCTACAGACTTTTCTCTGTGCAAAACTATATAGCTGATTAGGCAGGAAAAAAAGATAAAAATCTAATATTTTTTTGAACTTCGTGAAATTTTTGAAAAAAAGTCTTTTAAGTGTACAAACTTACAAATGACCAGAAAAAATTGAAAGATCAGTTAAAAATCGAGAAAATTGAAGGAAAAGCTGTATATTTGGCCATTAATCGAAAGCAATTTAACGAATCAGTTGAAAAATATGTGGATTCCTCGAAAATATTCAAAATTTATGAAGGACTAGTTGTTTTTGTTTCCTTGGGCCTTTTTGCTGTTTTATAAAGGAGAAAAATGAGAGCGGGATCATAAAAAGAAGATGGAAGTGACTTGAGAATATAAACATTGCGTGCCACGAGGCCATATTTGTCGATGAGAAACTTCGAAAAAAATTCCAATTTCTGATCGCTCTAAAGTCCAACGAATCAATCAGGAACGGGTTGTATTTTTTTTCCGTCGGGAAAGAACACTTTTTTGTTGGGTTTCCCATGCGTTTTTTCCTCCCATGAGTGAACAAGCAAAAACAGTTTTGAAAAGGTTGTGGGAAACGAAAAATTGGATGAATAATGGAACAGGGTGTATGGAAATGAGGCTGGAAATGTTCAGATTATACTGCGGTTTGGAAAATTCAAATGAGATAGATTTTGGGACGGGATTTGTAGCCTTGAAATGGGTTGCTATCTGAAAAATTGGGCTTAAAATTAAAAAAAAAGATGTTCCGGAAAAAGTTTGGGTACATTTTTGAAAAAATCCTAAAAAGAAGAATTTTTGAAATTTAATGATAACATATTTTATCGAAGACAAAAAAATACTCTTAAAAATTCACTTATTTCGAAGTTTTGATTTCAGTAGAAGGTTTCATGACAATATTGAGGTTTTCAAAGCATAATCTCGAATAATAATGCATTTTGAAACATGAAACATGAGATGAAAAAGACTAAAAATGGAAGAAACTACCTAAAATTAGAAGTCTCGAAAAATTCACTGACACAAAATAGAAATCATGAGAACGTCCGATTTTTCCAAATAAAAAATAACTGAAAACAAGGCAAAGAAAAAAAAAAATTATATAATTTAAAATTGTGGGATTTGGCGCGCAAAATCATAATTTAAAAAAATACGATTGAAGCCAAGTTTTATTCTCATAGAAATAAATATGAACTAGGACGGGTTTCAGTAGTTTTTCCTTAAAATATCAAAGAATCTCTCGTTTTTCTCCGAGTAAACAAGACCAGCGGACACAAACAAAAATGGACACGAGGGGGACGGAAATCGGTTGAATGGAAATGGCGATCGATCAGAGTGATTCATTGCGGTTGGCAGCCTGCCAACGGCTCTTCTGATGCAGAATAACAAGACGATCGGGGACATTTCGATTTTTGGTCGATGGAAAGTTGAAGAAAGGAATGGAAGAGGAGTGGAAAAAGGGCTTGGAAAACTTTGTATCGGGTCAAAATGAACTACTTCAAAAAGGCCCGCATTTACTGAATAAAAATCACTTTTTCCGTGAGACAACTCGAAAAAAAGTGTAGTTGATTCACGGCTGGCTCGAGCCATCGAAAAAAGGGTCCTGACACGATAATGCACGAGACAGTGCCTGGTTCATGGAGAGCGCAGACAGGCCACGCCCCCTCAGCTAGCCGTGAACCAGCTGTATTGCGTTCGATGTAACAGAACTATTTGATACGAATCGAAAAAAAGTTTCAAAAAAAATTGCCGTAGGATATTTTTAAGTATAAATTCGGGTGTTCTATTCTAGTATTTCGAAACAAAACCAAATTACGAAAATGAAATAATGTGTATAAATCACTCGTCGCAACTCGAAAAAGTTCTGTATCTCTTCTTGACGCGACCGGCGAGAGAAAAGAGACGCAGAGAGGTCAGATCGTCGACGAATGGACTCTAATCAACGGTGTGACTTTCACCTGAGCCGAACTTTCAGGGAAATTCGAGGGGATGGTGCACTCGATCGGCGACTTGGCGTAGGTCCTCATGGCGACGATCCCGGCCGCCGCCAGGAGCACGTTCGACGTCACCAACGTGTGCAGACGGTCGACGCCGTCCTGAACTTCCCGCCTGTTTCGTCCAAGGTTTCTTTATTCCTATTGACTGATTTAAAAGCTTGAATTCTTTCAATTGTATTATTGGACTGAAAAATCGTTTTTCCCCATTTTTTCCCTTCAAAAACTTGAAGCTGATGAATCGAATTTTCATGAATAATATAATCTGACCGTAAGCACAACCTCTAAAATTTATCTTCATTACATCTGTTTTTTAAACTCTGAGTGGAAACGGTGATTTCAAGCTCTGTGGATTTTTATCAAAAACTGTTAGAGGAATCTTGAAGAAACGTTGAGAAATCTATAGAATTTTTTTAACTAAAGAGTTATATCAAATAAATCGAATAATATTATTAAATTGGTTCAAAATGATAAATTCTGAAAAAAATGCCAAGGAATTTTTCTTTCTTGAGACTTTTTTTGAGACAATGGAAGCTTCAAAAAGATCACAGAAAACAAAAAAATTGAATCAAATTTTAAAAAAATCGTTTTTTTCTTTTTTTCCAAATCTTGAAGCTAATGTTGTTTGAAAAGTAAGCCCGCAAAGAGCCGATTTTTCGTATTTTGTACACTTCAAAAATCGATTACCATCAGATTTTTTTCTTTTTTTCAACAGTGAAGGCAATACATTAAAAAAACCTTGAAAAACTCTTTCAAGATTTTTGAACTTTTCGAAAATGTCACAATGGATAGTTCATAATCGGCCCCAACCTTCAGAGTTGTTTCTCCCAAAAGATCAAGAACCGGTCGAAAATATTACGTGTTGACATCGAAAACACAGTTGCAAGGCCAAATATAGGTGGAAAATGAAATTTTTTTTAATATTATAAAGTTGTTTCAAAATTATTCGTTTTTAGCGATAAGTGAATGAGCAAAATAAAAGGATAAAAAAAATTTTTTTATTCAAAAATTGATTATTACCTCGTCGAATCGAGCAGTAAAGGTGTGAATATTCGAAATAAGACCCTCGATAGACATTTTGGAGATAACGGATAGCGTATGGAATCACAGAAAACTGCAGAAAAAAAACAAATGTTTGTTGAAGCGCTTGGACTCGCGCCAAAAGAAGGGCGGAGCCTCGCGACGATCGCTCTTACTGTTCTTTGTTTACAGTACTGGCCATAAAGGTATTTCAAAGTGGTAATTCGAGCATAACTTCTCTGAAAGTGGCTCAAATGACTTGAAACTTTGAACAAATTTTAAATAACTACGCAGTAATTTTTTCCCAAAAGAAGAACTCATTTGCTCGAGTAAGACAGGATTTTAGAGCAAAAAAACCAAAAATCGTGGAAATGAAGATTTTTCTCCTGAGATTCGAAAAATCATATCTTCGAAGAAACTTCGATTTGAAATCAGAAACTTTTTTTTCCCGGTAAAACAAGACTTCGGCTTTCCAAAAAGTTCAACCAGCCCCTTACCAACCCGATAGTAAGAGCGTAGTGACTTTTTCTTTGGAAGGCCTTTGTGTTTTGACGCATCGTTATTCAAATGGACTATACGAGGTCATTTTTGTTTGAGAACACCATGTTTCATGTTGAAAAACTTCAAAACACCCTCAAAAATAGTTTTATACTGTTTTCTTGAGCTTTGTCACTGTTCCTCTGCCCAGAACTCGCTTACTTCACTAGGTCTGATTTTGAAACCTCTGATTTGGAGCGGTTCTGCTCGTTTTTCAAAATCAGAACATTCTCAATTTCTTATTTCAGATTCCAAAGCTTTTTCAGAACCTTTATGAATAAGAATAAAAAAAGATTCACTGTGTTTCGCTTACCTATTCAAAAGATATAGTGAGTTATACTGAGTTTCTTAAAGTTCTCAAAACTTCGTTTTAGCAAGTGTTGCTTAGAAGGCTCTAAATCTTGTGAAATATGATAAAAAAACCCCTTTTTAAAAAAATTTTTTTAAACGTTTAAGATCATTAGATAAATTTGTAACTCCTCTTTCTAGCTCTCAGGTCAAAAAAATAGGCATTGTAAAACGTTTCTTCAAACTTTATGGGAAAAATAAGTTTTTGATCTTGTGAAACTAATGCTTCAGCAAAAAAATTAGCAGTCTTCAGGAAGTGGGAGACTGCAATTTGGCCATTATTTATTCTCGATATCACGATTGAAAAGCGATTGATCAGATAAAAACTGCTTTGAATGCCCGTAAGTCCAGAAAAACTGTTTAAATCCGAGCTTTTAAAATCAGACCTAATGAAGTAAGCGAGTTCTGGAGAGAGGATATAGTGACAAAGCTTAAGAAAACGATATGAAACTATTCTTGAGGGCATTTCGAAGTTTTTCAACAGGAAACATGATGTTCTAAAAAAAAAAATGACCTCGTATAGTCCATCTGAATGACGAGGCGTCAAAAAAAGAAAAAAAGGCCTTCCAAAGAAAAAAAGTCACTACGCTCTTGCTATCGGGTTGATAGGGGGCTGATTAGGTTTTTTGGGAAGTCGAAGACTTGTTTTACCGGGAAAAAAAGTTTCTGATTTCAAATCGGAGTTTCTTCGAAGATATGATTTTTCGAATCTCAAGAAAAAAATCTTCATTTTCACGACTTTTGGTTTTTTGCTCTCAAATCCGGTTTTTACTTTGAGCAAATGAGTTTTTTTCTTTTGGGAAAAAAAGTTACTGCGTAGTTATTTAAAAATTTTTTTTCAACGTTTCAAGTCATTTGAGCCACTTTCAGAGAAGTTATGCTCGAATTACCACTTTGAAATACCTTTATGGCCAGTACTGTATCTGTGGAAACTTGTCAGGGAACTTATAGGTAATTTGATAAAATCTTGAAGCAATAATGTGGAGGGCTTCTACTCGAATGGCGAAACAGTGTGCGAATAGAAGAGGTCCAGAGTTCGCAGTTTTTAGGCTGGTATTGAAAAGAGTGTATCATTTGCATGAAAAATGCCAAATTTTGAATGGTTAGAGTTCAGTTAACGCTCTGAGAGTCGCAAGTTCGATCCCCATCGAGGAAAAAAGCAAAAATGAGGGAAAAGTTAGTGGATATTGTTGGAGGTCGAAGGCTCGCTGCTGGGAAAATTCATAAAAGTCGAGATATTTATTATTTGTTCTCAGAATTCCTGTGATTAAATATTGGAATATCAAATGTTCATGAGGTTAGAGGATCGATACTGACGAAAAAATAAAAAAAATAAAAAAAACTTTTCTTGTATCGCCTACACTACAGATAACTGATTCGAATATAAAAAAAGAGTTTATATTTTGATAGCCTAACTGGTTTTATTAAAAGTTTTGAAAAATCATAGGAATATTTTTTTTAAAGTCTCAAAACGAATACCCTCTTCTGAAAAAAATCCGGAGTGCATTTTTGAGTTTTTTTTTTTTTTTTAAATCACAGGAAAAAAATTTTAAACAGAATAAAGGAACAGAAAAGAAATTTAAATCAAACTAGAAACCGGGACGAAAAAAATAAAGGAAGTCTTCTACCCAAAAGGAGAAATCTCTGAAGAATGATAACAATGATCGATATCAGCATCAAAAACAAAAAGTTTGAAGAAAAAGAAGAGAAGTTTGAACAGGTAGTTGTGTGTTTGCAGAAGAAATGCGAGAGTTGAAAAAAATTTGTTGATTTTTGAGAAAAAGTGAAGGCGAAAAACTGTGAGAAACAATCGGGCCTGGTGTTTGGGGTTTTTTTCGGCCGGAGAAAATTGATTTTCGAGTTTTTTTACTTTTTTTCAAAAAAATTGATTTTTAGCAGATTTAAAAAACGTTAGTACAAGACAGGTTTCTCTAAAAACCATTTTTCCATAAAAATGAGGAAAAAACTTTGAAAAATGAGAAAAATCATTTTTTTAGAAAAAAATTCTGCATTTTTGTCCCAAAGAAACATTCCATTGTGACGTCACATTTTTGGCTTCTTACGGTGACAGCAAGCTTACTTTTTCTGAAAAATTTTCAGAACGTCTTGAAGTTGAGGAATAAAATGATTTTCAACTTTCAAAAACGTGTAGATGGAAGTGAGAAGTTCTTCAAAAAAGGGTTCGCAAAAAGAAGGTTATTGTAACCTTATTTCTGACAGTATCCTTAAAGAGAATTACAGTATGACTGATAAGGAAGGCCAAGTTTACGGGAGCAGCTGACAAGTGGTGTCAAGAGGTGTGGGTAGTTGGCGGAAAGGATTAGGGGCCACTCGACCGCCGGAAACGGACCACGCTTCTCAGGGGCATCTCTGCCTAAACAAGCTCATTGCTACAGTAATCCCCAGATTTCCAGTTTTTTGATCGGGATTTAGAGGGAGGTTATTTTACTTTGAGGTTGGGAATTTAATGATATAGTTTATTCACTGCCATTATTTAACAGAAAAAAAAATAATTGAAAAATAGATGATCAAGTGAAGGAATAGGCAGAGAAATAACAATACACGGGAAAGAGTCAACCCCAACGAGTTGACGGGTACCCGGAAATATGACAGATTCAAAGGAGACGAGAGGGGATATTTTCATGAAAGGCTTCAAACGGAAGAGCATTCAACTTTTTACGCAGAGTTTCTGGGGTAACGTTAAAACCTAAATAAGAAGTTAGTTTATTCCTTTATTCAATTACTTGGAAATTTGTCAGAACGCTTTTTGATGTACCAAAAGAAGTTGCTGGAAGTCTCAGCCTCTAAAAATTCATAGTCCATGGGAAATAAGAGCTCAAAATGGCCTCTTACAACGGATTTTGATGGTTTTCCTTGGCTTTGAGGTATCCTTTCTCGAAAACTAGAAAGTTGTGTAGACTGAGATTTTCAGGATATCAAGGACTGATCTAACAAATTTTTAAAAAATGAAATCGCAAAAAAATAACCTTCCCTGCTAAAAATCGGAATCAGGCCTTGGTAGACGACTTTCAAAGGCTCCCAACCGGTGAAATTTTTATTAAAATATGGAGAAGCGGCTTTAAAAGTTCCCGGAAGAGTTTGAAATTATCAGAAATATCAAATAATAGCCAATGGAATGTGCAAATTTTCAAACAAAAAAAAACAGTTTGAATTTCTTAAAACTGAAAAAAAATCAACAGTTTTTCTCAAGACCAAGTAGAAAGTTTCGAAATTTCAAAACCAATCGGATTTTTGAAAGAAGGCTCTTCGAATTTTAGAATCGCAAAATGCACTGCTGTGGTCGCCGTTAAAGAAAACGAACACGGTGACGAATTTTTGTGGTTTGTCAAATGGCTCAACATCTGTCTGTCATATTAACACGTGCTCCGTTTTATTGAGATATAAAATTATAGCGGATGAAGTGCCGGAAATCTTGGCAGGACACTTTTTCTTAATGAAATTTGAGTCATCGAAACATATTCAAATACAAACAGAGCTGTTGTTGAGAAAATGTGCAAAAAATGATCAAAACGGTTTTTTTCGTTATATTTTTGATCTTTAATGATTTTCTGTAAATGGAATGGTATAGATTTTGAACATTTTTCAAGATTTTTCAATATTATTTTTAATAAAGTCCTAATCTTCATTGTCCCTTGAGTTAAATAAAAAGTTTGAAAAATTTTTAAAAATAGGGCCAAAAAAATTATCTTTTCTTGTAAAAAGAAACGTGAATCAACTGAGTCTTTTGCACGTCAACGAAGAATGAATTTTGTAAATTTCATAAATTTTCAAGGGAATTCATTTCTTCCAGTCTTTTTCCAGAGTTGAAGCATTTCTTTGGTGGTTTTTCTCTAGCTACGGTCTCAAGTTTTAGGCAAAATTCATTTTTTTTTTGCCCGGCTCAAAAAACGAAGAAAACTGAGCTCGAGCTGTTAACCATCTTCATTTGAGAAACGAATGCCCCCGGGGGGCAAATCGCCTCATTTTTCTTCATTTCAACATATTTTCCTTCTCATCACCCTCCTCGTCATCCTAATTGGTCGCGTTTGATTTTGGCAGACACAAAAAAATGAAAACGTCAACGGAGCGAATTTCGCGTGTGCTAAATGAGCCGCGGCGTCGGTGTCGCATTTCGGCCATTTCCCTTCGATTCCGCTTTGCTTTTTCAAGCT